GTCTGACATTCCTGCAGCTGTTAATTGAAAGTGTGGAGCAAACACGTGTAAACACACACAAACGCACAGCTGACAAGAAGCAGACACACGTGGGCCTCCACATACAGGTTCACTGCTGATCCACATGTTCCTTAAATTATGTGGAGTAAATGTTCAACACAATCACTGCTCGCCTTTTCTGTGCCCCGGTCAGAGGGACAACATTCCTGGAGGAGAGGAAACTGTGTCCCTGAACGCAACACTTTGATCCTCACACATAACTCACACTGTAGGTGATCCAACACTGAGTCATTTCTCACACTGTTAAAATAATAATCGTTGAGACTATTAACCAAGTGTTTATCATTATGCTTTAATATTAAAAATCGTTTTCATGTAAAAATGTCCAAAATCTGTAAATACTACATTGTTGCTTTTTAGCATTTTCTCTGCGCTGTATAAGAATCAATGTATTTCTGCCAGTCAGCGCTCAGCTTTGTTGTCTTTGTTCGCAGCCGTGCGTCTATTTCCATCTTTCCTGTAAATTGTTCCTGAACTGTGTGTAACAATCTCACTTATTTTCACACGACCATCGGATGTGATCTAATGCTGTCAGGGGTTTTCAGATTCTGAGTGTGCAAAGAAATAACACCTCACACTGATGGGTTCAATCGCCCATGATTTCAGTTTTAATTTCTGAGTGTTTAAACCACTCCTATGGGATCAATTTGGGCCTGTTTGCTATATGTGAGCTAAATATATGAGTGTATGTTTTTTTCTTATATTGATTAATTATCATAAAAGAAAGTCACAATTAAAGTTGAGTCATGAGTGTGTGATCTCAAGAGTGGTTTCAAAAACAACCCACAGAAGTCAAAGAGTTTCTGACATTATATGCTTCTTTTAACTTTCAGTTCACTTCATATCAGAAATGATTTGATTTTTTCCAATGTTATGTGTCTGCAGAGTCTCAGACGGCAGTTTCAGGACCGCATCTCTAGGACCCCTGTGTTGTTATGTCAGCTCCAGGTTCACCTGGACACTTAAAATCTTTACGTCACATGATGAAACTGCAGTCTTTGGTAGCACAGAAATAAACATCACAGGTCATGTGGTCCGCAAAAGTGCAGTCCTGAATCTGCAGTCTTTGGGCTCTATTTTCGTGTCCGCCTGTGATGCGGCAAAGGGTGGCGGACCCAGCACAGTGGTATTTTCGTCTGGCGGAGCCCGGCGCACAGCCAGTTTAATATTTTCGTCGACCAGGTGCACCGAGGTCCGCCAAGCTGGGCGTGGTGGCGTGGCATGGGGAGGTGTCGACAGAATCACCTGGCACAGTGACATTTTCCGGCGTGTAAAGTGTGCTGAAAGCTCACCGATTCAAACCTTGTCAGCTTTCAGCGCAGGCGGAGCGCAGCTGGTCTAGTGGTATTTTGGTATACCGGCAGCGTATCGGCATACATCACCGATGCCTCACCGGCAGGTTTCCACAGTGTCAGGTACATTTCAGTGCAATAAATAATCATGAAAAAATAATAATCTGAGTCAGCACATACATTTAGATCTATATAGATATATTCTGATCTATATCTGATCTGATGAGCGCATTCTGCACGCGTTTGGACACACAACCTGACCGAATTAACACAGCTGAAACCCCATTAAATTAAATTAAATATCTAGTAAATAAAAACACATGATGAAGTGAACAAGATATGTGATTTGTCTTCTTTCTTCCTCTTCCTCTTTTCTTATGCAGCTCGACCTGGACATGTCTCCGTGTCCTCTTCCTGTCCTGCAGTTGCTGCTGCGGCAGCTGAACAGATGATTTGTTGCAGTGATCAGATGAGTTATTTACTTTAAGCCTAAATACGAATATACTACTACTTATATACTACTACTTACGCCACTGGGAGGAGCTGAGTTAGGGAGGGGGAATACTTACGCCGGGCTGCGCCACTCACCATAATACCAAATTGTGCTTGAGAACGCCTTGTTGGCGCGGCGGACCTGACTTACGCTGCGCCTGCGCCACATCTCCGGCGAAGCATGAAAATAAAGCCCTTTGGATCTGCAGACACATGCTCCTCCGTTGTAATATCATTATACTGATCACCTCGCTCCAGGTCCATATTAAAGCTCCAATGAGGAACTTTTGCCCTGAGTCAATATTGGCGCCCCCCTGAGGGCAGTCCTTTTATCACTTTGTTGATTTTGTTATATAGGCTATCGAAATCTTCCATACTGTCTCTGATGTTTTGTTTGCTTTTGGATACCATAAAAAAACTTGTGATATAAATTTTGATGAATTTAATATATGTTTTAAAAAATCCCAACAGGAACTTTAATCAAGTAGTTCCTGTTGGGATTTGAAATTGTATTTTTGCTTGAAATGCTCACCCCGTTGACTCACTTACCCCTAATTTTAATTTTTTTTTTAAAAAGTCAAGCTTTCCGCTAATGATCTTGTTTACTTAAGAAGGTCAAAACAAAGCATTAGTGTTAATTACAGTGAGTTTCATAACCAGATTAAAACTTCTTACAGGAGCTTTAAATGTGATCAACTAGTTGGCTCATTGTTTCATGTCAATTATACTTCACAAGCAGCCCGGGCATGTTCAAATGTACATGTTACATATAGGGGAGAGTGGGGTATAATGAGCCATTTTTCATATTTCAGATCACTACATCAAACATATCATTAATCATAAAGCATAGTTTTGTCTCTAACTAGTGTATCTGTATATTTCAAGATGTTGTGCATCCCTGCAAACCAACAGAATGAGTGTAAACATAACTGTCTTGATAATATAGCATGACAAAAAAAGTGGTCTCCTATGATCAACTTACCCCGTGTATGAGCTAAGTTGACCATAGGAGCGGGGTAAGTTGAGCCGTATACCTACTACCCCCACTACCCTGAAAAGAAAAAGTAAAGGAGTCTGATCCCCTCATCAGACTCCTTTACTTTCTCAGTTACCCCAGAACTACTATTACGACTTTATTAGTCCTCTAAGCTAAAATGGTGGACTTTTATGTTTGGTTTTTGACTTCATGTTGTAGCTCTTGTTTACTTTTATTGTGTTTTAGTTAATTAATATCTTATAAAAGAGGAGCAGACTCTATAAGATTTTTCTTCTATCTGCTCCTTTTCATTTACATGTTTGAGATTTTTCCTTGTTTGTACTGAATGTTTTAACTATTAACTGAATGAAATAAAGTATGAAAATGAAATGAATAAATCTTTTTTTGGTTTGAACACAATTCTAATAAAACAGACTAAATTCACTTTCAAGAGTGAAAAATGTTGTTTTTTTGTAAATAAATGTCTAACCCCTTCACCCATGTGATTCTAACCTTCACAGACTCCATGAATTGATGCCCATCTCCTAAATATTTGGTCACATGATCAATTTCTTTTACCATTTCTAAGCAACAGGGGGTGGCTCAACTTACCCTTTGGCTCAACTTACCCCACTCTCCCCTACATGTATATATCTCAAGAACACATGTATATCAACACATTTGTTGCATGCAGGACTTTGACTTGTAACAGAGTATTTTTACACTCTGTTTAGTTTGGAGTCTCTGAGGACTTCCTTCACCTCTGAAGCAGCATGGTGGTCTTTAACTGTCACACTAACTTCATGCCAACCAGCTTTCTCCTTTTCTACCCTTCCCCTACACCGCTAAATCCGGCGGATTGTGCCTCATCTTTGCGCCTCTAAATAAACAGTTTTGCCACCATTTTCCGGTGTGCAGTCTTACCTTTTCTTTCCTGCTTCTTTGCTTTTCCATCCTGCTCTCCGTCTGCTAAATCCAGCGGCTCCAAACTTTCATCCCCCAGCAGCAGAAGCAGCAGGAGAAGCAGGAGAAGTGAAAACACATCCAAAACCACACTAGGCGAGCAGGTTTTGTTAGGTCTACAGCACCTTTATTGCTCGGTGAAAATAAAGACAGTTTGTCCGTTAAGTATCGATGCTCCTAAATTCCTCCAGAGGGAAGTTAATCCACAGAAAGTGCGCCATGTTTCCACCGCCGACCTTCTCCCCATAGCGGAATTTTGGTCCGGTGAGAGGCGGGGATCCGGTCTGCTTCTTCAGGGCTGAGGGTTCAGTTACTCCTCCTGACATCAGAGAGGAGTTGAGTTACCTGACAGATAGATTCATTACAACAGCACGGTGTGTTTGTGTTTGTGTTAGTGTTAGTGTAGGAACACAAGGAAGACATTAAAAGTGATGCTGCCTAAAGTGATTTATTCGTCTTTAAAACTGTTTTATCATTTTTATTTGTCACAAAACACCACAGTTTACAAACAAAACAGCTACAGTTTCACTAACACATGTAACATTTGTAGTCTAATCGACATTTTCAGCGCTATTTTCACATTTTGAGACGTTTTTGTTGCTAATCTGCGAAAAGAAAAACTAAAGATAGAAGTGGTCAAGTGATGTTAGCATAATTAGCATAACAGTTAGACAAGACTACTAGCTTTGTCCTCATAATCAATTTCCTATCAAGAGCAAAAATTTTTGAAAAGACCTGTAAAAAAGTAATAGTCATAGTTGTAGTCATGAGTGGTTAGTTTTAGCATCACATTTTCACATTTAGCATCACATTTCCAAACTACAAATTCCTTCAGGACAAAAATGCACTGTCTTTAAAATTGTTTTATCATTATTTGGCACTAAACACAACAGTTGACAAACAAAATAGCTAAAGTTTCTCTAATACGTCTAACATTTGTAGTCTTACTGATAATTCAGCACTATTTACACATTTTGAGACATTTCTGCTGCCAATCTGCAAAAAGAAAAACTAAAGATTGTCAGTCAAGTGATGTTAGCATAACTAGCATAGCTGCGAGACAGGACTGCTAGCTTTGTCCTCACAATCTATCTCCCAACATTAGTTAAAATTTAAAGAATGACCTGTGAAAAAGTCGTAGCTGGGTATTTTTAGCATCACATTTTCACATTTAGCATCACATTTCCAGAATATCAATTCATTCAGGACAAAAAAGACACCGTCTTTAAAATTGTTTTATTATTTTTATTTGTCACAAAACAACAGTTGACAGACAAAACAGCTAAAGTTTTACTAATACATGTTACAATTGTAGTCTTACTGACATTTTCAGCACTATTTACACATATTGAGACATTTTTATTGCTAATCTGTGAAAAGAAAAACTAAAGATAGAAGAAGTAGTGAAATAATGTTAGCAAATGGCGAGACAAGACTGCTAGCTTAGTCCTCACAATCTATTTCCCATCATTAAGTAAAATTTAAAAAATGACTTGTAAAAAAGTTAGTCATATGTGGTTAGTTTTATCATCACATTTTCAAAATACCAATTCATTGATTTAAATTCCATCAGGCTAACATAGTTATGCACAAAAAAAATCAAATAATTCAACACGTCTCCTATGTACAAGTATTTACATACACCTTTGTAGGGCTTTTTTCTCATCAATTTGTCTAAAACTCATAAGACATGGTACAAATATTTACAAAGAGGCCAAAACCTCATCACAATGTCTGCAGGCTTACAAAAAGATTTGTTAGCTGTGACTTTTTTTTACCAGAAAAAAAGACAATAGTTTTAACCCAATACACCTTTTTTGTGGTATAAATGTAGGCTAGTTGAACATAGAGTAGAGTGGAGGTGCATTGAGCTAAGTGCTAACAGAAGTTTGCTGAAACCATAACACCAAATCTAGTTTAAGCTTTGTGTACTGAGCTGGGTTAACATGTTAACATGCTAAAATTAAGTTAGCTCTGTACACAAAGAAAGAACTAATGAAAATACTGTTACAGTTAATATTGCAATAAGAAATGTTATCGTTCGAAAGATGATGGCACTAATCAAATTATAAAGCTTGTTGTAGTTCATCCAAATTAATACGTGAACATCTGAGCTAAAGTTCATGTTGTTATTCAAGTCAAACTGAAATTAAGCGCAGGTGTAATAAATAACTTTAACAATCGCTCCATGGTTTTTCGGAGCGGTGAGTCATTCGTGTGAGTCTTCTGCATCTGTACTGCAGTCCTGAACTGGCTCACCTGAATGAAATGTAGTCTCATTATCTTTATTACTTCCACTTGTGCTGTTGCTTCTATGAGTCAAAACACCTGCTGTGAATGAAGATTGTTATCCTGAAGGGAAAGCTTGGATCTCAGAGAAGTGGGGAAGTATCTGGTCACAGTGAATCCCACAAAATCCCTTAAGTTCAAAATGTTCTCATGATACTCGAATAATTAAAGGGGACCAGCATCACCAACGAAACTGAGTAAAATGTTTATCAGTAATTCACAGGATGAATACTTGAAGATAAAGGGATATAACATGACTTGGCACATTTATTAGCCATCATCGTTTTCCAGTTTTCCTTTTTCCTGTTGTCTCTGTGTTTTGTATTTTGTCATCTTTGGACCAATTTGGGAAAATAATAGTTTTTATGATAAAGAGCGAACTTCAAAAGATGAAAAATTGCTCAAATAAGTAAAATTAATCAAAATATGTAAATAGATTCAAATGTTTAAGAATATTTTGCAATATAAAAGTTTTCAAAATGATGTCTTCTTTATTCATGTGATGTTAGACTCTAAACCCTCCTCTGTATGAAGTCTTGGACGGGCTCTTTGTCGTCTTACACCCCTCTAATTTGCATTTTGGTGTGTTTAGCCCGGCTCATCTTGAGACACAGTTTCTGCAGCCTGACGACTCGGTCTTTCCTCTTCGCTCTCCTGTTGTTTGGCCTCCTGACCTTCAGTCTGACGGCCTGTAGATGGCGCTGCTCCTCCATGTCTCGACTGCCTCTGTTGTCCTGCTGAGGAAGCGGCGCTCTCACCAGGACTGCTGTGCAGCTGTTTGACGGAGAAGAAGCAGGAATTCTCAGTCTGGTGATGCAGTTCAAGTTTAGTTTGAGGTTTAGTTTCTTTACTTGCATATTATCTTTCTCTTTATTTTTTATTTTTTTGCCTCTGCCATGAATGATTGCACAAAAGGTACCCGACCCTTGTGCTGACCACCCTTGGACTTAACTTGATAACTGCAACCAAAGATGCCAAAGCTATTATCTAATGGTGAAAAGCTGCTATTGATCCATCTGTATTTACATTTATACCCCAGAATAAGCACTTTTGCCTCTGATACCTCAGCTGTTTTGCTGAAACTCAGCAGGATTTGGAAAGCGGGTCTCAAATGAAGTATTTTGACATTAAAATATTTGTTTTTCTGTTTATGTTGAAGATCCTTTAACTTATTCCACCCTGCTTAAAGCAATAACATAAAAACAAAAAGTGGTCAAAAGTGAATCCTCTGTGTTCGTTTACTTACATGTTATCATCTGTGCAGTCCTGTGTTAGGAAGCAGGATTTGGAGACATGTCCCAGAAGAAGCGTCTGCACTTGGGTCAGTTTTCTCTGTTCAGCCAAAGTCTGGAATAACCTGGCAGGACAGACAAACACATGAGAGACTCAGACGCGCCAAAAAAAAAACAAATACCACCGATGACTGAACCAGCCAAGTGAAAAGAAAACCAGAAAGAGGCCAAGTGTGCAGACAGGAGGTTATGACAACGTCCAAGGCTGTAAAATCACCGCTGTCCAGATCCAGAGTACCTTATGTAACCATGTTAGCCTGGATGTACAGTATGTGTACACCGCTGTCGGCCTACTTCTGTGTTATGAAACATCACACCATGTGTACTCCTTGGTGCAGACAGAAACAAAGGTGAGTGCACCATTATCACAGCGTCTGTATATACTGTCCGTATAGTATTATTTACTTTTGGAGGTTGTGTAAACTAGACATGGTGTGACAGCACGCCCTTTAAACATGCAGTCAGTCAGTCAGCGAGGCTTTCGAGTATCAGAGTGGGAGTTTCTAGAGGTTTTCACAAACAGACATGACATTTCATGAAGTCAAAATGATCGAAATTTTTGTAAACATAAATGTTTGAATAGACTTTTAAATATTTTTTAAAGCTCCAGTGAGGAGTTTTTGATGAAACAGGCTTAAAATAATATCTGATGCCTTTCCATGACCTACATAAGTAAACCAAACAAACATATGCACTGGACACAGACAAACAAGGAGTTATTGCTTTGACCACAAGGGGCGCCAAAATCACTCTTTTTTAATCTTGTACACAACATGAAAACATTTGCAAACTATATCTTACAAAATTATGTGTGTATCTAATTATTTTGTGCACAAAAATTAAAATATTGTGTCAACAGGATGATTATCTTGCGTGCAAAAGATAACTGTATTGTGCAAACAAGCCGACAACTTAATCCCACAAGATCACTAGACTGTCTGCACCATATGATATCCTGTGCAGAGGATGAGCAAGATGAATGCATGCATGTGCAGACAAGATAGTCACTTGTTCCTGCAGGGTAACTATACTGTCTGCACAATTTGACATCATGTGCATGAGACATTATCTTGTGCACAAAACAAGATGATCACATCATGTAAACAAGGTCTTTTCATGTGTGCACAAAATAAAAATAAAAACTATTATTTTTGGGCCTACGGGGGCCCCATAGAAGCTCCTTACTGGAGTAAAACTGTATTAACTAAATGTTTTAATTTAAAATCCAACTGAGATGACTGATAAAAAGTAACTAAAGCTTTTCTTAAATGTCGCTAGAGCTGCAATTTTATTTCAGACTTTAAAATACACTTTTTTTACACCTGAAATTTTAACATTCTCTGTAGATACATGTGCAGCATGTCTCATCACTGTTTACATCCTGACAAGTCATATTTGAACGTCTGGATTTGAGACATCTGTGGGTGTCACTCATCTGAATTAAATCATAAGTCAGCAGGTTTGGACATCAAAGACTGAAAAGCTTTCTCTGTGCTTAGTTTGTAGCCTCACCTGGATGTACAGTTGCAGTGGTACAGCGTCCTCGTCTCCAGGTTGTGGAGTCCAAATCTCTTCTGCTGGGGAAGGATCTTGTTCCTGCAGTCGTCCAGATCCTTGTACACAGCACACGACACCTGGTTCACTAGAGAAGAAAAGGAGGAGTGGTGTGAACGTGCAGTTTGTTTGATGAAGCTGTGAAATGAATGAAGGAGAAGTGTAGAGTACCTGTGATACCATCGTCCAGGTGAGACAGGGTCTGGTTTTTGCTCCGTGGATGGTCTGGTTCTGATGCCGTGGGTCTTCTCGTGACCATTATGGAGTTATCATCTGAGGGGGAGCTTGTTAAAGGTGGAAGTGTTGATGCTGCAGCAGTGATGGAGGGGAGCTGCGGGTGTGACGTGCTGCTTTCCAGCAGCTCTTTGGGGATGGTGGTGTTGAGGATGGAGCTGTTCATACCAACTGGGTTTGAGGACTCATAGTGTATAGGTGGATGGACGTCAGCATACAGAGCCAGTTTACTTTCTTTACACCTGCGAGACATGAGGAGTGACAGTGAATCAAATTAGGATGAGGAAACCACCGCTTCTTTAGGGTTAGCATCTTGTCCTGTAATCAGTGCACAGGCAGCAGAGCTAGTGAGAGCATCCTCATCTGATCGCTGCAGAATTAAAACTGTGAAATGGTTTTGATTATAACATCTCCTAAAAGTCTGCAGCTCAGAGGCAGATTCAGTAAAAGATCAAAATAAAGAAACAGGTAAATGACAAGATGTCGTACATGCCAAACCAGTTCCTCTGTGTACACTGGAGTCTGTGGGAGAACTCGAAGCAGTGCATCTTCAGCAGGTTAAAGAAGGTGTATCCGACAACGTCAGAGATGCTGTCATTGGCCTCCATCAGACATCTGCGAAACCTGAAACAAACGTCATCTTAAAAAAAAGATTTTTGTAAACCGGGTGTCCGTTAGAAAAGGTAGAAACTCAGATTCCTACTTGTTGTCACAGTCGCAGTGGGACATAGTGAAAATGTTGCTGTTGAAGATGCCGAACTTTGAGTGGAAGGACAGGATGGTGTCTTTGCACTGGTCGTGTTCACGACAGCAGCTGTCTGTGTCCGCAAACACTCCTGCAAGAGATGAGACGGACGGACAGAATGAGACTTGAGATGAGATTAAGATCCTGACCTTCTCATCCTCTCCTGCTCCTCCAGTTGGACAAAAGCATTAGGGCCAAACTTTTCCTACATGTATTCCTTTTGGTCTTCAAATATACTCCCAAGAGGTATTAGATGGGAGAAACGGGTCTAATTTTCACAGATACTTTTACATAATCAGATTGATTCTTGCAGTGCATGTAGCCACCTGTTGGTCAATACTAGAACACACATTCAAGGAACACCACAGAGACTTCAAAACCGAGAGGCAACGTCTTCTTTCTGTGAAAAGTCTGTGAAGGGAATATGGACCATACATAAGTCGTCACTGACTGTAGAGCCAAAAGACTTAGAGCTCCCCCTACTGGCCGACTACAATATAGCCCATAAACCCTGCCTCCCTCATCTTAGATCTGGTTTAGCACATTTGCAGCAGAGGGCTCAGATTTCTGGAAGCAAATATGTTGTCAAAAAACTTAAGACAATATTATCAAGGCCAAGACAGACCAAACACAGATGTGGTGGAATCGTTGAATTTTCCTTAGCCATAAGAATCTTGAGATCAGTACAAGAATCTTGTCTGCTGTGGACCTACCTGAGGGATCTTTGACACCCTTTGGTAAGTTAGAGGCGTGTTTTGGTTTGCATACAGAGCGGGACGCTAGATTCAGGTCGTTTCTGCACCGGCACAGTAGGAAGCTGGGTTTTTCATTCTATATTCAGCCAGTGCTTACAAACCCTGAAGTGGCCCCCTGCTGGCCATTGCCAGAATGCATTTTATGACACATTTATATTGACTTTACTTTGAAACTAACAGGCTGATTTTTGGTTCACAGCAGAGACATCATCTTAAAAACTGATCATGCAATACACATTCCCACCACTAAGTTTTTCGAATTGCAGCAGGAAGACGAGAAGCAGCTAAGACCCTTTAAAGGTGGGGTAGGCAGGAATCCCTTAAAGAAGCATCTTTTTTTTGTGGTGTATATGCAAATAAGCTTTTAATTTTAGTCAATGGCAATTGGTTAATGATGACATTTGGTAACATAACAATATCACTATGTTTTGTTATGTCTGTGTTGTCAACATTTTAAATTTTTTGAGTGCTACGCTCTTTCTAACTGTAAACAAAGCCATTCTCCACCTCCCTCAACCTGATTGTTTGTGAGGCAGACGCTGCTCCCCTGTGTCGTTCACAAGCCCAAACAAACTTAGCGTGTTACAATATCGGTCAGTAGAAACCAACCAGAAAGTACAGAAAAATGTCTGAATCCTCCTTTGGCCACAACTGCCAACACAAGCAAGAAAACTAAGTAAATACCGGAGACACTGGCGGAATAATGGGCGCTTAAAAAGGAGGTAGACCGGACAAGAGCTAAAAAGCCAGGTCAACAATGATGGGGGACGCTTCAGGATCTTCGTGACCCTGTAACCTTTCTGCTGAACAGGTAAACCGCTTTAACAAAGTAAGCCAAGTGTCTGTAACAGAGGTGTTTCTTGTCAAACGGGACCTGCTGCTTGTTGTAGCGCCACTAAATTGTTTACCTGGACTATGTCACTTTATCGTAGTTGTAGAAATCCTGCAAACATTGTGTTTGCTGGTAGTCCGTTGACTACCGTAATGGACTGGCCTGAGGTCTGGGACTGGGCCCCATTTGTAATGTTCTGTGTCCTCTTTTTCAGTTTTTATCTGCATTATGTCGGAATTTAATTGGAATGATATGAGTGAGCAGGAGCGTCTGTTTGTGGGCGGGGCTTGCTGGAGCAGAGAGGGAGGGGAGAGAAGGAGCTGAGGGGAAAACTGGTTAGGAAGGGTAGAGTTTATGTTCAAGATTTCTCCTAAAAACTGGAACTTCCTTAGATCCTGCCTACCCCACCTTTAAATGCTAAAGAGAGGAAGAAAAATGCATATATAAATATGTATAATATAAATATGGTGTAAACTTTTGGGAAATACTTTGAATAGCCTTTACATAAATCAATTCTGATGCAGGAGAAAATCGACCCTGGCAGGTTTTCTAAACTGCATAACACATAAAGCCTGAACAATCTTGCTCCACCTTACATTTCTGAAATGCTCCAGCCTTACTGCCCACCCCGACCCTTAAGATCAGCCGATCAGCTGCTACTGACGGTCCCATATACAAGGCTGAAGCTCAGAGGGGACAGAGCGTTTGCTGCTGCTGCCCCGAAGCTCTGGAACGAGTTGCCCTTGAATATTAGACAGGCCTCCTCATTTCCTGTTTTTAAATCCCTTTTAAAAACACACTTTTACTCCTTGGCTTTTGATACTTTTTAGTGTTACTTTGTTTTTTATCATTTTAGCACCTGCCGTGAGCCTGCTTATTTATTTACTTATTTATCCCCTTGCATTAATGTATTTCTGCTCACTTTATCTTGCTCTTTGTGTTATTTGTTTTATGTATCATTGTACAGCACTTTGACTACCCTTGTGGTTATTTTAAAATGTGCTATAGAAATAAAGTTGATTGATTGATTGATTGAAATTATTTCTTCTTATTAAAAGTCAGTCTAAACAAATTTCTATTAACCTGATATATACCTGTGCTGCATAAACAGATAACACACCCTGATATTTGGGATGTCTTAGTCTGCACTGTGTTTATTTAACCGCTTTAACCCAACTTTATAAAAGTCTGAATGAACTTTTGGATAATTCTCTCTAAAATGCAGCTTCAGATTAGCTCCTTAAAACTGAATTCAGTGTCTTGTGACCCCTAATCCAGGGTTTTGGGAAATAGGAATTTAAAGTATTTTGCTGCACAAATCACGGGGTGAAAAGTGACTGGTTTATTTTAATCTGGATTCTTCCATCTTCTTAAACTCTCACCTATCTGTAGACCCCTCTGATGTTTCTAAATTTAATATGAAGTACAGAAACAACAACATACCCAGGTCTGAATATGATGGTGCCTTATTCCCCGAGCCACACCAGAGGGTCCCCGGTACAATGAATCCTCGCTTCACACGCTGATGGGTTCTGACCTCTGACCCTGCTGCCGGTGAACCACCCACGCTCCTCACTGACCTCTTCGCCACGCTCCCACCGGCATCTGGAGTATCCACGGAGACGCACGTGTCATCCGCCTCAAACATGACGTCCACGTTGAAGTTCTCATCTGGGTCATCGACGAACTCGTGCGTGCGCTCCTGGCACAGGGAGAAGTAGTTCTGCACCACCGCTGCGTGATCGCTCCAGGCGCAGTTGAGCAGAATGCGCCCGGACCAAGCGCTGTTATAGAGCCGCATGGACTGGGGGGCCTTCAGGGGGTCACTCCGGAGGAAAGTGTAGTGCACTACCTCGTTGGGGAGGATTCTGGTCCAGGTGCAGAGGATCGAGGCTTCTGCAGCCGAACATCTCAGGAGGGATGATGTGAAGATGAGGATGAGAAGAGGAGCGATGCGCGTCATGCTGAATGCGCGTCCGGAATAGCTAGTAAATAAAAGAGTTAAAAAACTGCTGATCAGCCACTGAGCAGAATGAGTGACTACCCCAGTCTGTGCGGACTTAGTGGCAGATTTCCACACTCCTGATCGGTTATAAATGAGAGAAAGAGGCGGAGGCGCGCGGCGGGGGTTTCCCTGTGGATCTAAAACAAACGCAACATCCAAATCAGCAGGAGGGACCATGTGACCTGTCAGTGTGGTCAAACATCTCCCACCCCTCCCTCTCTTTGTTTCTCTCTCACTCACACAGACTCACACTCACTGGTGGCAGTGACCATGACTAATCGATTGGCACACATCAAACCAAATAGGTTATCAATCTGCAAATGTGACTGAAACATGCAGTCACACTTTAATAAATCTACAAATGATTTATAGCACATTTAGATAGTTTACTTTTACTTATTTTAACTACAGAGAAAACCCATTGTGAAAAGAATGAAACAAGTTCCTCTAATGGGATCATTGATATTAAAGCTCTAATAAGGAGTTTTTTTACATTAATGAAATAAGCTTGAATTCATACCATAGACTGTTTATACTATTGACAACTTGGTTCCGCCTTCCACTAGTATACTTATTTGAAGCTGAAAAGCTCTCGGTAATTTCGTGTTTTTTCTCCATTTTCTGAAACCAACATCACACAGTAGCGTTGTACACATTCGGCGGGAGAGTCGCCAAGAGTCGCTGTAAGACACTCGGCTCGAACAGCGCATCTTCTGGGTGAGCTACACAATCTTCGTATGACACACAAAAGCAAATAAGACCATTGGCGACAAGATTGACCATTTTCATCCTATCATTTTTAGGGAGGCGGAAGAAGGGAAGCCGCAAAAAAAACAACCCTGTTATAAAAATTTGGTAATTTTGATATTTATCAAAAAGATTTAACATTTATTTCTAACATTTAGATTAGATTTTCCTTTATTCATCCCTGAGTGGGGAAATTAAGTCATTAACAGCAGCGGTACACACAACATACACATTCATACTGGGTACAAAAAACAAATAAGATAAACGACTAAAAAGAAGGACCAGCGCTAGTCCACAAACAGCAAAAAACAAACAGGAAGATGAGAGCTGCTGCAACAAGTCGCCACTAGGGTTAAACATTTTCCAATTAGGTTTAAATTTATGTGTTGATTCATATTTGGATTGAAAAAAACTAAAATTTTAGTATATGAAAAAATATATTTTACATTTATCATTTATAATACAAAAAATAGTACAAGGATTTTTATTTATTTTTTAAATTATTTTTATTTTAAGGATTTGCAGCTGATTTATCTTTTTTTTCTCCATTATTTTGATTTAACATTTAACACTTGTTAACAGATAACCTTTAAATTGAACATTTTATTGTTCACATTCATTTTTAAAATTTAAGTTTTATGTTGAGATTTAATGATTTAACATTTAACATTCAGATTTACCATTTAGAGTTTATTTCATATTTAATTCTCCATTCATTTAACATGTAGATATAAAGTAAACATTAAGGTTTGCAATAGATTTAACATTTACTCCTACCATCTAACATTCAGATTTAACAAAATTTTTTCTCTTCATTAACTTTTACATTTAACATTTTACAGTTAGATTTATATTGTATTTAACCTTTGTATTTTAACTTTAACACCCAAGATAAATATTAAATTTTTAAGTTCTTTAATAGTTAACTCAAAATTTTACATTTAGATCAGACAGTCAGAATATTATGTAATTTCAGATTCATATTTAATTTTAGATTTAACTTTGGTACTTTTTTAAAAAACTTTTTTTGTCAAAGTTCGCTCATAATTTATGTGACTAAAAATGGAGTTTGAATGGAATTTGCACCTTTTAAACCTGTTTAGAGCTTATTGTGGAGAAATGTTATTTTCAGTGAGTGCAACATTATAATTCGTGTCCCACAGATTTATCTCGAATATGAAAGTTCTGATATGAACTTCTTATACTATAAAAGAAAGTCTAAGTGCAGATTCACAGATCTGATTAAAAGTTAGATTCAAACTCGCTGACGTTCCTCCGTTTTATCTGAAAACGACGGTCTGATCTCGTTTATTAAACACCATGAACACCATGTTTCTTCACAGAGACGCTGCTGCCCTGGAGAGAAAATGTCAGCTCCCATCATGTTAATTATCCGTTTTTATGGCATGTTGCCTTCATTGACAGGAGAGGTCGACAGCAGACTCAGGGGAGGAGAAAAGGATTGTGGGATAACAAGCTGTGAAGGTCATTTATCAGATCTAAAGCCAGAGGGAGTTTTTCCATTTATATCAGATCCTTCAATTCAAAACCCGCTTGTGTCCAGGAGTTAGAGTCCAAATGTAAGGACGTGTCTTTCATGACTAAAAGGAGCCGCATGAGTCCGATAAACTGATCCATGTGATGTCACATGAGGCGGCCCTGCTGGGTTTGACAGAAAAAACAGCCGGGGAGGATTTGGAAAGTGGTGCAGCTCACTGAGACCTCAGGAGTCCGTTTACTGAGACCTGAAAGAGGTTCAGGGCCGTACTTCATGCTGTTGTAGTCTCTGTGGTACAGTTTCACTGATTTAGTGATCACAATATTGGAAATGTTGACTCAACCAAACTTTGAATCAACCTAAAACCAGACCAAGAGACTGACCGACAGGTGGCGCTATAACAAGCCCACCTGTCCATCAGTTCAACCACGATTATTGTTGAAGTATAGAAACAAAAATCGATGAAATATCTTCTATTCTTACTTTCTAAGTGAGCTGTAAATATGTTTATTTCTGCTTTAAAAATGAACATGTTAATATGAGCGTTAAGATATTCTTCAGCTCTAACCATAGACTGTATAAAGAATGGACGCCGTCTGCCTCCTTGCTGGGTGAAGCCACTCCGAGAACAGCATCCTCTGGTGATGCATTATAGGTCATAAATCCCGCCTCCTCCAGCAAAGCTTATGGACCTGTGCACAAACTTCAGAAATTTATCACACAGAACATACATTTTTTTCTCCCCTGGTTGCAATGTTGACATGTAGTTACTGTTAGACTGGTTTGTGTTCAAGTCCTCTTTTTTCTGTACGGCTCCGTTTTTAAAAGTTATTAGGGGGTTCATGTTTTCTGTGATTGACACTTGATACAGCCTATGAGCGTACGAAGATTGAATAGCTCACCCGGGGATATGCTGTTTGAGCTGAGCATCATCACAGCGACTCTCCCACCGAATGCATACAATGGCACTGCGCAATGCCGGTATGTGGAGAAAAATCACGGAATTACAGAGAGCTTTTTGGCTTCAAATCCGTATACAGGTGGAAGGCAAAACCAAGTTGTCTGTAGTATATACAGTCTATGGCTCTAACAGACAGCCCCAAGTGGACACTCAGGGAACTGCAATTTCATTGTTTACCACTGGCGGTAACAGATCGGCTGCTTACAACAAAAGGCACTAAATTCTTGTACAAAAATGGCATCAGCTGAGTTTAATCTGGGATCATGTAGCAACCGTATTTACAAAGGGGAAAAAAACATAGATATATAAGTAAAAGATTAACAAGCCTGGCTGTACAGTCTATGGTGAGCTCAAAAATGAAAAAGCCTGATGCTGTTTGAGAAAATGTTAAATAATTTCTGATATAGACAAATGGTTTCCAACCTTTTAGGATCAATTAAAATAATAATTTTTATGACTTCAAATTAAAGGGTTTTTTTAGGTTTTGAAAAATGAGCTAAATAATGTGGCAGCGCTGACACCGTCTGCAGCAGCTGATTGTCTAACATCTTTCTAAGCAGACTGGGATCCCCTGTGACTGATACTTTGACTATTGACTTGTACCTCATACAGCTCCACCTTACAAAAAAGGCCAAACTGGCCCTTTAAGAGTTTTCTACATCCAAATGTGTCCATGCATACCTTTATTAAGATAACTGCACTCAACCATCACTTTGCACAGAATGATATTATATTATATTTGAAAGAATTTTTATTCTTTACTTTAATTACTTTAATTTCTTCATTAAGTTAAGTTTAAGTTCATTTCTTTGGTCCACTTTAGTCATTTGTGCACAAAACACTCTAATTATGGGTGAAGCAGCACCAATTACAGCCTCTCTTTGCCATTAGTGCTGTAAATGCTAAAGTAGTGCTCTCTTATACATGTTAACTGTGTAAAAGTGTAAAAAAAATACTCAGCTGGAAACTCTTCACAGCAGCTGTAAAACAAAAAATAAACAAAAATGCCCAAAAGTGTAAAGTTTTGATTCAGAGAGACCCCCAAAAAAATCCTAATCCAAATAAATGAGTCTCTTTTAAGTGATTAGGCGTTGTCTTTTCAATTTAGGGTGTATATTTAACTAATTTCATAACTGTAAAACTTCTTTTTGATGGTAAAGCATTGATTTCTGTGGTCTCCTCCAGGTTTCGCTCATCAGAATGAAAAGCAGAAATGACTTTGATTGACCAAAGTGCTGCAGATTTTTTAAGTCGTGCCATCTGAAGGACTCGGGGATAAAGTCAGACCGGCTGTATTGATTGTTCTTTTGAAGCCTTATCTTTACATTTCTCCTCACATGGAGACGAAAATGTCGGCCGTGTCTTTGCTCAAATTCAAGGACGGACTTTTCAGAGCAGGTGAGGGAGTGCGTAAACTTTCACCCACTTGGGCTGAAGACAAGTTTTTATCAAGAAGTCAAAGTTCAGAAAATTCTCGGCTGCGTGTCGGCCTCAGCTGATTGGTCCAAACCTCGCCTGATTCAAACAAAGTTTTCTGCCATGTCACAGCGCATATCAAACACAGAAGAGCAGAGGAGTGTCATGATGCCTTTATTTATTTGCTACGTGTTTATTCCAACAATATCTATGAGTTCAGACATGCATCAATATGAAACACACATGTTGATTATTTTAGATGAAATCGCTTGTGCAGATCTCATGTAAACCGACCTCTGCAGAGGAGTTTTTGCAGAGATATCATGCAAAAGCATTGTGGGTATTTCCCTGAAAGAGGGGACACACATGCAGAGATGAGACCGTCATGTCTTTATCACATCATTTCAGTAACCGTGCATCCTCCTGTCTTCATGAATATCAAACATAAGCATCGAAATTCTGCACAAAAACACAAGAAAAAAATCTGATGTTTTGGTGATGCAGCTGTTCAAACAATGTGGTCACGTAGATCAGCTGATAGCACATAACATGATCTCATATGACACACGAGCACAGGCGAGGGCGGGGTGTGAACGTGGAGGTAAACTTCATTACAACAAACTCTCTCTGATAACTGAACTTAACCCTGTTAAAGTACGACTCAGGAGAAGAAGTATGAGACAGTTTATGATACAGGAAGAGCTGAAATGTTGACATCCATGTCGGTCACCTGAAAACTGTTGCAAATGTTGCTTTGAGAGAGTATTGAGGATGAACTACATAAAGCAATAAAAGTCTACCTGTGTTCAATATCCTACAGGGAGAACCACAAAGGAAGAAAGTATGTGAAAGTGGGGTCAATATTTTTAATCGTCAAACTGAGCAGGGTTGTCGTTTAGGAGGACATGCCAGCGCTCGATTTTCTTGTCTTTGTTCTTGAGGCATTCGTACCAGTGCTTCAAACACTCGCCTTTAGCCTGGATACCCAGCTGACATCCTCCTGGAGGGTGAGACAGAGGAGTTTATATTTAGTTTCAGATAAAGACAGAGAACTTCCGTTTGAATTAGTATAATAAGGATTCAGAGAAGAAAACCAAAACGTTATACCCTCATTTTATTATCTGTGCTCGACTGATAAGCTGCAAAGACCGACATGTTCCCCAAAGTGCACAGGTGTTACCCCCAATTTTCACAGCATCCGGAACAGCTCCAATCCGGAGTGCAGCGATTTTCAGCATGCGCCAATTCCTACTGGATCCGTTGGTGAGGCAAATTTCGTGGCGGATTACAGACAGCAGGAATCGTGAGAACTCACAAGAACCTGCAGATTCATGTGCAATCACACGATAACAAGTTTTCTCTATAAATACAGCCACATAATCGTATAAGCAGTAGACTGTGTCCTTCTAGAGGAGGAAATCTATTTCTAGACTTCTAGAATCAGCATCTCCTCATCCACGGAGTCATCAGGGTGAAATACTGTCTAAAACCTTTCATTTGTGTTCCCGCCCACGTTTGCATAGTGTGAAATACGATCCGCCTCAAACATGTAGTGTTTTATTTTGAAAAGAAGCCAGATGTCTTATTTTGTGTCTTTGCCCGACTTCCTTTCCAGCACGGGTTAATCTGTGCTGAATTTATCTGGCATTCTCTGGCAGAACTCTTGCGATCAGCTGCAGAGTCCGACGCTCCGCAGCGGAACAGAAAGAAGCCGGTGGAAATCAACACATTAACTTAAATGGTTACAATCAGTTATGATCGGCAGATACAGCCTTTTTGTAGTTGTTCCGGATGCAGTGGAAATTGGGAGTTACAGTAGAGAAAATAAAAACACACATATGTAAAGTCAAGAGTAGAAATTGTCTTAAAACAGGAAATTTCTGTAGAATCTAAAATCATAACTCAAACAAGAGTTTATAAATCTGAGCGTGATTTATTCTCCAGTTTCATCAGCTTCAGACCAAAATCTATTTGACGTTTAGTTGAATCCAAATATTAATATTTTACTGCGTATTTCTCTGTAGTGACTGAAGATCCCCACTCACCAATGAAATCGTTGGATTTGCCCATGTCGTAGTCCCACACAGAGATGTCCAGGGTCTTCTTGGCCAGCTCGCCGTGCTTTATTTCATAACTGAACTCCTAAAAAAAACAGAGAAATGACATTAAAATGGTTTGTTATAAATCTGAGTTTAATGTGTGTTAGTATAGAGTGAAGATTTAAAAGCACAGACCTCATTATACTCTGGATTTAAGGTCTTCTTTTTTATCTGCGTCTTGTTTTTGGCTTTCTTCCCCATATCAGGCTTCAGATTTCTACAGTACAAAGAGGAGGAGGTGAACAATAATAAACAAGACTATAACATTTTTTTAAACTTCAGAAAAAAAAGGTGATGATGGATGAGAGTTCAGTGAAATGAGACACATACACTTTTACAAACGGGTCTGAGTATCCGTTGGAGTCCATGGCAGCCAGGTGAGCACAGCGGACCACGCCCACGATCAGACGACCCAGCTGGCTGTTGTACGTCAGCGACACAAGAACACGACCCCTCTCTTCTGAGTCATCGCCTTCGTTCAGCTGCATGCACACACACACACATACACACATTAGAACATTCAGTGATTTACGGGATTAAACTGTGATTATCATGATGTCTCCTTATGCAGGATAATAGACGTGCTCTCTTGAAATAATCGCTATGAAATACACCATTATGTCAAAGGGTACATTGAGGGTTTAAGATATTTACTGATATTTTATTTTCCCACAGAGTGACCACAGCTTAACCTCAGTTTCCACTTAAGGGCTAAGTACAGTGGCCCTGAAGGTCAACTTCATAAACAATTCATTAAAGGCCATAATATTCCATTGAATGCAAAAATAAAATAAATGCAAATCAAAGTTTTTATACAAAGTTTTTTTAGTTTTGAAAAGTGTATCTAAACAAAAATAATTAACAATTCAAAAATATTTGATAACACCAAAGCATGCCACAGATTCAAAAAATTTAGCATTAAAATATTCTAAAAGGTTAAATATCCTGAAAAAAATGCAAAAACATGTTGTGAAGAAACAGCAAAAACTGGAAAAAATGCAATCATTTTTCATGAAAGTTTTTTTGCAAGAAAAATGTTTTTTAGGTTTTCAACATTTCAGACAATAATAAAGTCAATATTTTAAAACAATTATAAGAATTTATTTAAGAGCAAAATTGTCAGAAAAAAATAGAAAATGCTTTTTAATTTTCGCGTATATTACGTTTTCCTGAGAAATAGTTTTATTTAATTTTTTTTTATTTTGCAAATTATTTTGTGGTGGTAAAGAATATTTTGACATTTTATAAAAGTTTTTTTTGTAAAATACTGTCTTGTTTTTTGAGGCACTTTTGTGTTCATAAAACAATTTTACCAATTTTTAAAAAAGGTTTCTCAGTTCATAGAGTATTTTGAAAATTTTGAGATACCTACATCTCAATTTAAATAAAACATTTTTATATTTCTGTGTTCTATTAATTATTTTCCTGTTTTGTGAAATGTTTCTGCAGTCTATAGATTTTTGTCCATCTTGTGAGATACTTGTGCTTCATTTTAGTATTTTTGAGTTTAGTGAAATGTTTTTGTGACACTGACCTTTAGGGCCACTGTAGCTCGGCATTAAACCTTCATAAACCTCACTGACATCAGGTGTTCAGTCTGTTTATCCGAATTAAAACCATTAGGACTTTCACATGTTTACACGGCCCTGTAGCTGACACTCTGTCACATTGTCGCGTTATTAGAATTTAAATCCCATAATTATAAACAGCAGCTGAAACACTCAGTGATATGAGAGTCAGGTGAGGGTCTTACATCGTCCTCATAGAGAGCCATGCCTCGGGCTGGTCCTCCGACAGCCTTCTTCACCTGTGAAGAGAGTCAACATTATCCCTCCAAAGAAGTTATTACAGCATAAATTCAGGAACCAGACTGAGCCTCCGACACACACCTGCATCTCATCATCTCTTTCACCTGAACCATTACCTGAGTAAACACCTGACTCAATCTTCATTAACCTTTGTCTCAGGTAAACTCCACTCATCACCTCTCCTCTCCTCTATCTTCTATGACACCAGAACCAGAGGTATCTTGGTGCTCTAGTAGTCTTAACTGTGAGGAAACAGGTGGTCCAGACGTGCACCCACCACCAGTTCAGTGATACAGTTTTTTAAAAGCTGTTTCTGTCAGGGTTTCTAAGGAGTTCCTGAGTAGAGATGAACTTCACCCTCCTGACATTTCTCGTTAGTGCTGAATTCTGGAGCTAAATGAGTGTCGTCCTCAGGCTCACCGGGATCACTCGCTCCAAACACACGCTGAAGTTCTTCTTCTGGTCAAACTTGAGCTTCTTCAGGGCGACTCGTGTCTCACCGATGAATTCGTTGTGTCCAAACTTGTCTTCGTCACTCACTGAGAGCCTGCAGACAAACAGACAGTGTGCCTTTAAAAACTCTTTCACAGTTTTCTCTCTGGGCTTTTGACGACTCGTCCTGCAGCTCTGCTACAATTTAAGGAAAAGTGGGCCGAGGTCACTCTTACCGGAGGGTTTTGCGTGACATTTCCTCGGCGGAGATCCCGTGGTAAACCAGTGTCTCATTCCACACAGGATTCAGAGTGTTTTTCAGAGTCTTGGTACGAAGCTTGTTAGACTGAGGAGCCATGACACAAGACAAGACACAGAGAGGAAAGAGAAACTGATTTCAAGTGGTTTTTTAGAAACAACAGACTAACTGATGTTCATCATGTCAGACTGTTTGGCCTCCAGCGAGTCAGAAGCTCCAGTTCATAGAGGGAACGGCGTTCGCTCAGAGAGTAAGACAATATGACACGTCATAAATCATTCCCCTCATAGTCCATGTCAGGAAAATTAGTTGATGTGTTTCTGCTACATCATGTCATTTCAGAGCTACCCAAATCCAATAAACCCTCCCACACCCGGTTCAGGAGCTGTGGGCTGTGATGAGATCACTGAGCATCAGCTGAGAGCTTCGACTCTCAGAGACAAACGGAAATTCATTAAAAAGTTTGAGTTTCAAACTGTGACAGAGTCAAAGTTTTTCAGATTCAGGATCATAATCGTACCTTACTGGCTCCAGGTAGAAGGTGAAGTTTGACATATGGGTCAGCGAGTCCGTTTGAGTCCATCGGCTTCAAACCCTGAAGAAGAAAAACGGTTCAGAAAAAACTCAATTATGTTCCTGATGAAATCCTCCCCTCATTTTCTAAAGGACATGAGAAGCTCTTAATAAGTCTAATCTTTAACTCTTCTCTCAACTTGCTCACTCTTGCGTGTATCTTGTTTTTACTCACTCCAGCTTGTCTCGTCTTATCTGGCGTTGTCTCTTCATGTTATGTTCACAATCTTGTTGATCTTGTCATTTGTCCGATATAATGTACGTTTCTCTAGACTCACCTCATCTGGTTGTCTCTTTACTAATCTTGGTTATCTCGTCAATCCGGTCCTGTTCAATTTGTTCTTGTCTACTCTCATCTTGTTGTTTTGTCCAAGATATACTCTTGAACTCTTGGACACCTTATATCTTGACATGTTTATGGATCTTGTTTGAATCGCTTGACTCCCCCCTTCTTGAATTATGTTTCCAGATCTTGCGTTATCCTGCTGTTTTGTACTCATGTCTTATTTCCTCCATCTTGTCTTATGTTTCTGGATTTTGTTTTATCTTACTTATCCTGTTTTGTCCCGAATAAACTTGCCATCTTGTTGTTACAGTTCTTGTTTTATCCTGCTTATCTTGTCTTTTTGTAAGCTGTGAAGCTATCCGAGTCATCAAATAATAGCATCTATACTGTTCATCTTTATTATCTTTATTTTCTTATTATCTTGTGTTATTCAGTGTAAGTACTTGCAATATCATTGTTGGTGATCTTGTCTTATCTCGTTCATCTTGTCTTCTAACAGCTCCTTTATTCGACATCTCATCTGATCTTTTTTTATCTTGTTAAAAAATTCCTATCTTGCCCTCTGACTTATTTGGTCACATTTGGCTAATCTGTCCTGATCTTGTTTTATCTTTTTAAATCTTTTTATACTTGTTCTATTTTCCCCACCCTGTCTCTAACTGATCTTGTTTTATCTTGTGCGGTTCAGTATGTCATCTTATCTTTTCTAATCTTGTTTAATGTGTGGTATCTTGTTCAATTTGCTAATTTCTATCTCATATTCTTAAACTTATCTTGTTTTATCTGGTTTATCTTGTCTTATTGTAGCCTTTCCTGTCTTCTGACTCATCTGGCTAGTCTCTCCTGATCTTGTTCTGTCTTTTTTAATCTTGTTTTGCCTTTTTATCTTGTTTATACTTAAATTATTTTTCCCAACTTTCTGATCTTGTTTTATCTTGTTTAATGTGTTGTATCTTGTTTATTTTGTTTGTTTCTATTAAATAATCTTAAAATAATCTTGTTTTATCTGGTTTATCTTGTCTTGTTGGTCTTCTGATTTATTTGGCTAATCTGTTCTGATCTCGTTCTGTCTTATTTTATCTTGTTTATACTTGTCTTATTTCGCAGACCCTGTGTTTTACTAATCTTGTTTTATCCTGTTTATCTTGTGTTGCCTGAAATATATCATCTTACCTTTTCTTATCTTGTTTAATGTGTTGTATCTTGTTTATTTAACTTGTTTTTTTATCACATAATCTTAAACTGATCTTGTTTTATCTGGTTTATCTTGTCTTGTTGGTCTTCTGACTCATTTGGCTTACCTACCCTGATCTTGTTTCATCTTTTAGATCTTGTTGGCTTTTTGTCTTGTGTTCTCCAACATATCATCTTACCTTTTCTTATCTTGTTAATTGTGTGACATCTTGTTTATTTTGCATGTTTCTATTTCATAATATTAAAATGATCTTGTTTTATCTGGTTTAACTTGTCTTGTTGGCCTTATGATTCATTTAGCTGATCTATCCTGATCTTGTTTTGCCTTTTTTACCTTGTTTATGCTTGTGTTATTTTTCCCATCCCGTGTCTTTCTGGTCTTGTTTTATCTTGGTTACCTTGTCTTGTTAGCCATCTGTCTCATTTGGCTAATCTGTCCTGATCTTGTTTTATTTTTTCAATCCTGTTTTGCCGTTTTTTATCGTGTTTATCTTGAGTTGCCCAATAAATCATCTTACCTTATCTTATCTTGTTTAGTGTGTTGTATTTTGTTCATTTTGCTTGTTTCTTTCTCACAATCTGAAACTGATCTTGTTTTATCTTGTTTATCGTGTCCTTTTTCAACCCCTCGTGCTGTCTGCCTCATCTCATGACATCTTGCCTTAATTTTGCTCATCTTGTCCAACTTTCTGTATCATGTTTATCCTGTTTTGTCCACCAAGAGTAGCGCTAGATTACAGTCACTCAGTTACGCAGTGGCTAAAACACTTACTAATAACACATAACTCATCCCTTTAAAAAAAATCAAAACTCAGACTGTCCCTTTAAGTGTTGACTGTGTGCGTTCACATGTGTGTTTACCTTTGCTTTAATGACGCAGCAGTGCAGAGTGTGACTCTCCTGTTCGTAGAGGACGCTAAACTCCAGAGATCCCAGAGTCGCTGCAGAAATAAATAGACGAGAAAAATGAGCTCTGTAAGAGAAAAACAATTTCCCTCTGAAACAGATAAACATTGATTTGTTTCTCCTCTGGGAGTTTTCTCACAGCTTCAGGCACAGAAGGAAGTTTTATAATTAGAAATACTTCAAATCAGCCGGAGAGAAAATGCCGTCTTTAGAGCAGATGTTCTGATAAAGATGTAAAATCAGCCTCACTGGCGTCGTCTGAGTCGTAGTCGTTGTCGTCTTCCTCTGTTCGATCTGGTTGGGGTCTTGGAGGTGCAGGGTTACTTCCTGCTGGATTAACAGGTGGGGTAATTCTGCTTGTGGTGACACTGGATAAGACAGCGCTGGAAACCACAGGTGGTCTCTTCTCCTCCACAGCTGGTGGAGAAACCGTCTCAGCCCTGGGTGGGATTTTGTTTTCCACACTTGCAGGAGGAGCTGTTGTTAAAAAATCACACACAGCAGCTTTAAAGTCCCTCTAAAAACATGTTTTTATATTGTTTATGTAAAATCCGTTCCTTCTTGGAAAGAGCAGTGTGACTTTACCTGAGGAGGGGGCAGCTGGCTGGGCGTTTGCCCGCGGTGGTTTGGAGGCGAGGGCTGGTCTCTCGGTCTTCATTACAGCCGGTGGACAAGTCTGACTCTCATTATAGCTGTCAGCTGTTGTTCTTGCTGTCTGCTCCCATTGTTCTGACCCACAGGACTGCTGCTGCTGTGTGTCTGCAGCAAGCTCTGAGGAGACAAAAGGAGAACATCACTGCCACCAAAACAGCTACAGCCAAAACTCACGCTCACGTACCGACACTGAGCTGAGGGACAAAATCAGAACCTGTTAGTCAAAATAAAGAGTCATCAATAAAGAGTCTTAATTTAGTCAAAATACACATGCTTTAGCTTCTAACTTTAATACCACAGCAGCTAACCTTCACCTCAAGCAAAGTCTTTTGATCTAGGGCTTTGCAATAAACTGAAAATTTACAGATACCGAAATTTACGACAATAACCAATGTCATTTTGCCAATATCGGTATAATCAGTGTCAAAAAAATTTAATATCTCTTGACTGCTCCCATCTCATTGTGTCTTTACTAATCTTGATTTATCTTGTTAATCTTGTCCTGTCCAATTTGTACCTCTCTCCTCTCGTCTTGTCGTTTCATCCAAGATATACTCCAAGGTATTCATGTCTTATTTCCTCCATCTTGTCTTATGTTTCTGGATCTTGTTTTATCTTACTTATCTTGTTTTGTCCTAAATGAACTTGTCTCGAATCTTCTCATCTTGTTTTGTGTTACAGTTCTTGTTTTATTTTGTTCATCTTGTCTTTTGTGACCAGTCATGCCATCTGAGTCATTGAATAATAGCACCTATCCTGTTCATCTTTTTTTATCTTGTTTATCATGTGTTGTTCATCTTGTTCATCTCTCATCTTTTTTTTCAATCTTGTCTAAAAAATTCCTATCTTGCCTTCTGACTTATTTGGTCACATTTGGCTAATCTGTCCTGATCTTGTTTTATCTTTTTTTATCCTGTTTATACTTAGACACGATTATACTAAAACAAGAAAAAATATTTTCCCCATCCTGTCTCTTACTAATCTTGTTGATCTTGTGTTGTCCGATATATCATGCTTCATTTTCTTATCTTGTTTAATGCGTTGTATCTTTTTCAATTTGCTCATAATCTCATGTATCGACTCCGGTTTTGGGTGTGTGAAGGTAGGCTATGCTGCCCTACATCAGAGACGTGACTCCACCCCATCCAGTCCATAACAAAGAGGAAAAGACAGGAGAGGAGATGGAGGGTGGTTCAAAAGTTGTAGCGGCTGGGGCAGCGTCTGGAGTAAACAAAGTTAATGTGGGAGGAGGTGAGCAGCTTGTGGAGTAGTTATCATCCATTTATCATTATCGAGGTGAACTCATCAATATATCGTGATATTGATTTGAGGCCATATCACCCAGCCCTAATTTTTGCCTCAAGCACAGTTGAGCTGAAATGTGGAGTTCCGCGAGGATCCGTATTAGGGCCTTTATTATTTTGTATTCTTAATCATTTTTTTATTGATGTGTAAATTTTCTTTTCCGACATATAAACCCAGCAAAGCCCGTCTGTCGAGGCTCAACATGCTAGAGGAGCTGAATTTTGGGGGATTGTGGGCGTGGCAATAAGCACCATGTAGGCCAAATTGTGTCATTGCTCCACCAGGCTCCTGCGTACTACATCTGGTGACTTTTCAAGTGTTTTAAACCCTTCAAAAAACTACTTCCTGTCTGATAGTGAATGATGCCATGGCAACACCATTTGGCGCTGACTTATGTGCTCTTTGTGGACGTGACTCCACCCCATCCAGTCTGTAACAAAGAGGTAAGGCAGGTGAGGAGATGGAGGATAGTTCAAAAGTTGTAGCGGCTGAAGTAGACGAAGTTAATGTGGGAGGGGGTGAGCAGCTTGTGGAGTAGTTATCATCCATTTATCGTTATCGAGGTGAACTGATCAATGTATCGTGATATTGATTTGAGGCCATATTGCCCAGCCCTAACCAGTAGTCATAAAAGTAAATAAACTTAAAAGTGATGATGTTAAAATTAGAGAACAATTTTCAACGACTTTGTAAAATGTTGATCAAATACTAAATTGAAAACATTTCAAATGTTTAAACTTTTGAGCTTTTATTCCTCTGTGAAAAGTAAAAGCTTATTTTGAATTCGATCCCAGTAACATGTTTTTAGCCCTACTCCTGGGTTAGGATCTGCACTGACCTGTTTTTTATTTTAACTGCTTAGAACAACCTCTTAAATTAGCTTTTGTGCATCAAGACTTTTTGACTTTGTCAGGAACCTCTATTTTAACAAAATAAGAACAAAGAAATTAAATTGACGAAATTATAAAACGCTCTTACGAAAAACACTTGTCGTGTTAGGGTTGCTGTTGACCCGGTTAGATCAATATCTATTAATCAAAGCAAAAACTGAAATCATAAGTGCACTGACAGGAAACACACTGAAAGTCAGATTCTCTTCCAATCATGTAAGATTTAGGAAATTCTCATTTTGCCATGTTTGTCCCTGCACAAAAAACAATGTTGGGCATGTCCAGACATGAGATCGCTACTGACAAAGACAGGCCAAGAGGCCCACTACAAAAACTATTATCAGCAATATTTTCATGGATAATAAAGCCTGACAAAGTCACCTTGAGATGAGAACCAAACTGGATAATAGAGAATTGTTTTTAGAGTAATTAACAGCTGATTTAAGACACGGGTCAAAATCGACTCTTAACATAGTGGGTGCGTAGTAAAAGCTAACACAGGAGGAAGGTTAAAAAGTTGATATATAAGGACAAAAAAATCTGAAAAAGTTGTTTAATATTAAAAACATAATTCACAAGCAGTTGACGTCCATTATCGTTATCAAGGTGAACTGGTCAATATATCGTGATATTGATTTGAGGCCATATCACCCAGCCCTATTTAAATCAGTCAAATGTTTGTTTTGTTTACCATGTCCCTGATGTTGTGCCGAAAGTTCCTGGGATCCATTGAAACCTGCAGGAGCAGAACTATTGTCGATGCTGGACTGTCGAGATCCGGACAGAGGGAGGGGGGCAGGAAGACTCTGCTGCTCTCTGCCTTTGAAGAACCAAGCTCCTGAACGCTTCTGGACCTGCAGGAACACACAGAGACCACCAGAGTCTACCTCACTTCACATCTGAACCTGACTGTTTCTGAAGTTTTGAACTCAAAGAGTTTCCTGCGACAGAGGAAAGTAATAAAAACGTGGCTATTTCTGTGTTTCTGAGGATAAGTGTGAGTGTTTATGCTGGAAAAGATCTTCTCCTGCAGGGAGCAGAAACTCAATCCTGTTTTTTCAGCATCACAGAGGAGTTATTTGGTGTTTGACTGACAGGAGGGAGCATTTATTTAAAGAGTCTGAGCTCCCGGAGGCTGAGACCTGCACCAACTCGGCGCCGCCATCATCACAACAGTATTGTATAACTGCAAGCTTTATGTTCCACTTAAACCCAAACAAACCCATGTTTAAAACTGAAGCAGCCTTGAAATAAATCACTGCCTATTACTCATTTTTCTATATTGAGGGGTATCAATCGGAGGGTAATTTTCCAGGTCACTGGGCAGTGAAATGCAGTTAAGAGTGAGTGAAAAAGACAGAAAATGGTTCAAATCATGAGGAAATCTGCAGAGGAACGACATAATGGCATAATTTAGCTGTTATGAATCCATCAAACCCGCTCTGTTCCTCTTCTTCTCCCCTTCTCCTCACCTCTAGATGCTCGTTGCAGATTCTGCAGAGCCACACAGGACTGGACCTGCTGTTGCTGAAGATCCCACATTTGCTGCACATGTGCTGCAAAAACACACACATGCACAGAGAGAGAGAGAGAGAGAGAGAGGTTTAATCGCTGGCAGATTTAGCTCTTGATAGAAGGTGCACGGAGCACACATGTATTTTCACAGTTCAGATAGCATTAACCTCTGCGTGTGCACTTACCAAGAGCAACAAGAAACAGATCGTGAAGTAAAGAGCAGGAAGGACACAGTGAACGTCACAGCATGTTAGCATATGACCCACTGGCTGCTCGCCGCCGCAGGAAACCACTTAGCATCTCCACAACAGTGTAGAAAATACTGTAAACACAAATCTGCTCCTGCTGAGGAGCGCCGGCATGCAGAAGAGGATTATGAAAAATAAATATCATCAAAATAAGGTGGAGAGGCTCCAGCTGGTCCAGCAGTTTAACCCTGTACCTCATAGACAGAACAGTTGACGGTTTGATTCCCTCTGCAGCATGTCTCTCCCAACCAAGGTTATAATAGTTTTGGATTTGTCATTATAGTTTAGTTTTAGTTAGTTTTGACATTGTTTTTCTTATTATAGTTTAGTATTAATTAGTTTTGACTTTTTTTTTCCATTACAGTTTAGTTTTAATTAGTTTTAGAGCGGGCATTCTAGTTTTTATTTAGTTTTGATTTTTGGGACAAGGCTTAGTTTTAGTTTAGTTTTAGTTTTTTCGTACCTTATTTGTCAGGTGCAGGATTCAAAAAGGCCAGAGTAAGTATTTTGTAATACTGTTTATTTTCAAGTCCAACATAGTGCCACTGCTCAGTTAATGCTGATACTGTACTGTTGGCTGCTACCTTAAACACAAGAAAATAATATAAACTTAATATAAAAAATATAAAAATAAATTATATAGAAATAATATAAACATAAATTATATAAAACATTATAATATGAACTCAAATGATTAGAAACTTGGACTCTATAACAATAAAGGCAGATTCAAATACAATCAAAGACAGACTCACATGCAATTACAGATGCTCCGATTCATTGCTCCAAAACAAAACATACTCAATGGCGGCCTGTTACACCATTACAACATAAATCACTGGGACTTACAGGGACATAAGTCCTAGTACGTCGCTATGATGGTGCAACGCTGACAACTGCTGAAAACTGTCGTAAAATTGGTTGGGAAAATGTGTCGGATTAATTTAAATCCTAAAGGCTAATAAATATTGTCAAAAACGATAACGAAGGATATTAGTTAGTTTGAGTTAACTGCAATGTATTTTTAATTTTAGTTTCGTTTTAGTTAACTATTATAACCTTGCTCCCAACTCTCTATATTATTATTATTTTTATTATTATTATTTATTTATTTATTTATTTTTGAACTCACTCCTTTAATTTTGGTCAAATTTGAGCATAGTGAAGATATTTTTCATTTCATTTCATAGAATTCATTCATTTTTATCATTGTAAATAACATTTCTACATTTTTTTAATTTACTCTTTTTTGTCAGTATTTTTAACTTTTCCAAAGTTTCAACTTTTATCAGAAATTTTAAAGTCAGGTTTATGTTTTCTGTTTTTTGTTCTTGAATATTTTTGGTGATTTTATTTGATCTAAAAATGTCTAGCTTTTAAATTTTATATTCAACAGAATTTCTACAAGACTTTTATATATTTATATTTTTTGGTCACTATTTTCATATATATTTGAACTTTTTAAAAAATTAATAATTCAAAGTTATTTTTTACTTTAATAATAATATTTAAGTACTTTTACAAATGTATTCTTTGGTCGATTTTTTCCTATATTTAAACTTTTCTTTAATCAATAATTCAAAGTCATTTTTTACTTTCACAACAATATTTTAAAATTTTCATAAATTTAATTTTTTGGTCATTTTTTTATAATTGAACTTTTTTTAAATTAATAAGTTATTTTTTACTTTCATAATATTTTTTAACTTTTACAAATTTATTTTTTTGATCTTTTTTTATGTTTGAACTTTTTTTAAATGAATGATTCAAAGTAATTTTTTAGATTTAAAATTCTAAAACTTTTACAAATTTATTTTTTTTTGACATTTTTTAAATTTTAACAGTTTTTAAATTAATAATTCGAAGTTTTTTTTAAACATTTAATATTCTAAAACGTTTATGAATTAGTTTTTTGGTCAACTTTTTTTACATTTGAACTTTCTTAAAATTAATTATTCAAAGTTAATTTTTTTACTTTTATGATAATATTTCAAAACCTTTACAAATTCATTTTCATGGCCAATTTTTTTTTCACATTTGAACTTTTATAGTTCTTAATTTACCAGTATTTTTTGCTTTCATAACAATATTTTAAAACTTCCTCATTTTATTACCATATTTTTCGCACAATAAGACGCACTAAAAACTTTTTGGCTTGACGGAGCACTGCAGCTACTGTAGCTTCGCTGAGTCGTTGAATGAGTTAAATAAAGTTTGACTTATCTGACTGTTTTGTTTGGATTAATGGGCTTTATAATGTGGTACGCCTTGTGTATGGAAATAGACGCGAATAGGCGCGTTCATTGATGGTGCGCCTTATAATTAAGGTGCGCCTTATAGTGCGAAAAATACGTTACTTGTATGAAATAAATGACACTGACAGTAAAAATTTTAATCCATTTTTACATTTCAAATTTCACCAATATTTCTCTTTCTTCGTGATAAAGCTCATAGTTAGACCTGGTTCAAGTCTGGACCAGCTCTTAGTTGTACTACTATAGTTCAGACTGCTGAGGGTTCTGGTACACTGAGCTCCTTTCCCCTCTCCTCCGTCCTCTTTCTGTCTGTGTCTTTAACTTTGAACCATCATGTCCTATTAAAGTCCCTGATGCAGTCTTTATGGGAGTCCCAGAGCTCCATCATGATGTAAGTTTAGACCATAGACTGTATATAATATGGACTACTTGGCTCCGCCTCGCGTCATTATATGAATTTGAAGCCAAATTGCTCTTGGTATTTCCGTTTTTTTCTCCACTTCCTGAAACCAGCGCTGCACAGTAGCAATGCATGCATTCGGCCGCGCAGTCGCAGAGAGTCGCTGTGATGACACTCGGCTCAAACAGCATATCCCCCGGGAGAGCTACGCAATCCCTGAATGCCCATAGGCAGTATCAGGTGTCAATCATAGCAAATATGAACCCCCTAATAACTTTTATAAACGGAGCTTCACAGAAAAAAGAGGAGGCAGACTCTGTCCATTCTATATACAGTCTATGTGCTCGGCTTAAACAGTGTATGGGTGAGCTACGCAATCTTTGTGCGCCTATAGGCTGTATCAAGTGTCAATCATAGAAAACAGAGAAAAATTTATATTCTGTGTAATTAATTTCTAAAGTTTGTCCACAGCTCCATAGGGATTGCTGGAGGAGGCGGGATTTATGACCTATACTGCAGCCCGTCACCAGAGGGTGCTGTTCTCACTGTGGCTTTTTTTCTCTGTTTCTTTAGTAATCTTGGGAAAACACTTTTGCTTTATAAATAAATTCTAATGTTTGTCTTCACACCTCATATTTTTCAGGAAAGAGTGTAGAGTTTGTTATTTGTGGAGGAGAAAGAATCGAGGGATAGAGGCACCTACGTTTTTGCACTGAACACAGAGGACGGCTGTGACCCCCTGCAGTCCAAAAGATGCCCCACACAGCAGACACTCCGACTGTCCGTCTCCACGCGCCGTCTTCTTGATATCGTCCAGGCGGCTCGAGAGGCGCCTGTGAAAAAAAAAGCACACTTGGCTCAGGTTTTTCACCACAAATCATCCACCCGAGTGAACATCTGTGTGAGTCGGCAGATTTCCACTCACTCGATCCTCTGCTGCTCCATGTTCTCCATCATGGCTGCCCGAGCCAGCACGCTGTTGATGATCTCCTTCTCCTCATCTGTGAGGTCCTCCCCCGGGGTCCCGCCAGACATGTTCATCATCCACCTAAACCACACACACACACACACACACACACACACACACACACACACACACACACACACACACACCAAAACAGTCACACACATGGGGAGTAGGTGGTGTGAGGAGCGGAAACACAGCTTGGACAAAAAGGCCACCAGCTCCAAAAAGTGCATCAGTCAGGAAAGGGAGACACAAAAACTGCAGATCAGAGCAAAAGTTTTGGACTTTCAACAACTCAAAGCGTCTCACAAGCAACACACAAGCTGTTCATATGATGAATCAGTCCTCACCATGTCACCATTTAAAGGCATATGTCGTATATTTTTGTCATTACATCAGCCTGAGGGTGTCTCACACCCACATCAACAGGAAAACACACATTAACTTCTGCTCTGTTTTGATTCAGTGCTTTAATAAAACTTTAATGCTCCGGTGAAAAGGATCTTTTTTTTTTAAGCTGGTTATGAAACAAACTGAAATGAATACTGATGCCTCTCTGACCTACAAAAGCAAACCAAATCATCAGTGACGAGATGAATTATTTCTGAGGAACCCTTTTTGATGCGCTGGTAGGTGTCAAATGAGGCAATCTTCAGTAGGCAGTAAAAACAGCTTCTTTTACATTTTCATCAAAAAAGGGCGAAAAGGAAACACCACAAATCTATGAACGAGGCAAAAAAACAAGCCAAGAGATAAGAGGTTCTGATCGTCCAAAAATAGATACAAACAAAATGTTCCTCACAGGAGCTCGAAGCCAAAACCAACTTAAGACCACCTGCCTGGTCCTGTCTTGGACGCCCTCTAGTGATTTCAGGCCCAAAACAAACCTGACCTGATGAGACGTGGACTCTACCCGACCTCTGAAGGTGTGCTGCAGTATCTAACGCAAAGACTTTTGCAGCACATCCTTTTGAGCCCTGGAAGTTGTCATTATTTGTTTCTCCTAAATATTCATTATTCTAGTTCGTCTCATACCTTCACTGTTGTAAATAATTAATTGTTTTAAATGAGAAAAGAACTATTGCATCGATTCAGTAAGGTGTGCCTCAGGGGTCAACAATGGGCCCACTCTTTTTCCCATAAATGTCAGTGATTTCCTGTAATTGGTTTCAACCTTATGTTGATGACACTGTCTTGTACACATCCAAGTCTGATCTGTCGCAAATCCAACAATCTCTCGGGACCAATCTAAATCTTTTATAAGGTTGTTCTTGAACAAACAAACTACTGCACAACAGAACAAAGTCACATTTAATGATATTTTATATTATCTAAACATCATGCTGATTATATTTTACACAGAGTTAACTTTAATACTGCCATGTTCACAAGAAAGATGCCTTAAAGACCTGCTCCAAAGAAAATCATGTTTTTCTTGTTGTCTACATGTTCATATGTTCATACTTTTCTGATGCTACAGGACATATCGTGAGAAAAATAAATGCGAAATTGTATTTCTGAGTATTTCTGCATTCAAATTGTTGTAAATCTCTGGCAGACCCAAACAGCAGGTTCAGACACAGTGAGATTTCCTACATCACAAATCCAAGCTCCACCCCCGGAGGCCCACTATGCAGGAGAAGTAGAGAGGATGATCGTGGAGTGGAACAAGCGTATACGGTAGCGGATTGCAATCTTCTTTAGAAAGCTAATTATGATTTTAACTTTCATCATGTCCCCAAAGACATAAGTGTCCGAGAGCTGACATACCTACAATGTTACCTGCTACTTCTACCACATCGGCAATGTTAGGCTACAGTTTGGCCAAAAAATTCATAATCACAATTTAAAAATCACTAAGAACACTTTAAGACGTTAAAAAAAACTATCGGAGTGGGACTTTAAGTTGTTCCTGCGAGTTTTGGATTATTTTGATGTGTTTAAGCAGATTTTGGGAAAACTCCTGCTCTGAAAACGCTTCTAACCACAGGTGCAAACTTGCTTCAAAAACTCGCCTTTGCTAACCCTTCAATCATTTCTGGTGTCGACCTATAGTCCATTTCAGGTCACTTAAATATCAGAGTCCTTTTCCTTAAACCCCTCATTCAGGTTTATAAAGATTACATTATTTGAATAACATCTATTTTCCTAAAGATAAAGAATATAAAGCATTCGTGGAAGCACGCCCTGAGCTGAGCATGTGCAGCACACAGGTGGAAAATCCTTCAAACCCTCCTGAGGCAGCGGAGAATCTATTTATTCTCCATCTGTAGCCTGAAGAGATGAGTCTCATTGTTATGCATGCAGCAAATACAGCTATCTCAATCAGATCTCGCATGTCTTTAATGTAAAAACAGGCATGCTGCTTATGTACAGTGTTTCTGAATACATTATAAACAGGTTATTACAGCTCAGTGTGCACGAAGAGGAGAGTGTGAGGAGGATGTTGTTGCTATATTGTTTGGAAAAGCAAATGAATCCTTTAACAGTGTAGAACAGCCCATTGTTGCTGCATTATTATTATAAAACTTTATAATGGAGGGCCTCGGTCTGTCACAGTCAGTCTGTTTGACAAATGTTGTCTCCGTCTGCCAGCTGGATGCCTGCAGGTGATTTTCAACCAAAAAAGCAGTTACTGGAGGCTCTCCAGCACCACCAGGTTTGGACAAATAAAGGTGGTTTGTTTAAGTCAGGTGACAAAAATGGACACGGTCTGAGTGACGCCACCTGAAGGTGTCCGACAAAAAGACTAAACCAAACTCCACAACAACAAACATTTCCACCAGGCACTACATACCAGAGCAGAGTAACGGTAATGCATAATAAGGCAGTGATGGTAGTTTGTAGCAAGTACTCAATGAAACTCTGAGTTGGTCAGAAATTGGATATAAACACGTCAGTTACAGCCAATGGCATTGCAGGTATCAGAATCTACCATTTGCACCGTGCTAGTGATGGGCACAGCAGTTCTTTTAGATGTACTGAATCACTAGAACCAGTTCGCTAAAAAGATTCGTTCACCGAATCACCAAATCATTCAAAGCTTGGCAGGAGGAGCCTGCGACTCCAACCTCCTGAACTGATACACAGCTTAACGCTTCAGGATTCAGTTCAATTCAGAGCTTCTGGGACCGGGAGATGAGAGTGTTTGGCTGTGTTGCTTTGGCAAGTAGGTTTGTGAAAAATGAACTTATTTATAAGTCATGATATTTTAAGTGTACTGTCTTATGGTATGCTATTTATCAGATCTGCTTGGTAAATTGGGCTCAGTGAGTGATTCGTTCACTGAACGTTTAGAAGAATTCACACTGAACATGCATCATTCCCTCGCAAACCGCTGCAATGATAGGATGCTGTGGGTTTAATGCACTACTTGTTACACGCTGTGTCCTATTGTATGCAAGTTGTTGTGGTGAACCTGAAGCAGGATAACCAACGTCTAGGCGAGCGCGACAAAGTCTGAAGAATATTTCAGCTGAGTTAGCGAAGTTATAGAGAAGAAGAGCACTTTTCTTCAATCATGACAACTCCACCACCAACATACCAGGCTGGTTTTGAGTTAAACACCCCCCCTCACCCAGCAGACAGTTCCAATGAAGAGGCTATGGAGTTAACATCTGAAGATGTATTCCAGCTGTTAAATGTACAGGGCCTATATCACAGTCCCATCACGGCGTTTGAGACACTGTGTGAAGATCGTGACCCCCTGACTGGCAACATGCTCTTTGAGGCAAACCACCTTACCGCGCAGAGCCAGACCACTGACCCTCTGCCTTTCTTTTCACCTCCACCTCCATCCCCAACATACCCTGCTGGTTTGGGGTTTAACACTACCCCTCACCCAGCAAACAGTGGGGCTGGACAGTTTGCAGAGGTCACAAGTCTTGGAAATGCTCTTCAGTTCTTTGACCAACAGCGTCCATTGGCCAGCCCTTACACAGCGTTTAAGCCACTGTGTAAAGAATTCACTGGAACTTTACCGTCAAATGAGCCTGGTGTTTCTCTTCCCAGAGCCTCCAACTCAAGGTAAGTATTGATTCAAATTACTCAAACTTTATTTTATTCATGAACGATCATGATAATAAGTAAAGAGAATGGAAATTACATTAGGCATACCTTAACATTTATTCAATTAAAAAAGTTTGATAGAGCAACAACATTAACTTTCTCTCTGATTTTGACCAACAGGAAAAGAAAAAGGGAAATGGAGCAGGAGGACAGGCCATACATCAAAAAGCCACCAAATGCCTTCATGATCTTTATGAGGATGTACAGAAAAAATGTACCAGCTGAAATTGCGCAGAGTTGAATGCTTTCCTCGGCCAGTGGGTAAGTGTGTCAGGACATGGTTCGCTCGGGTTTAAATAAATCAAAGATTTTTACTTTAACTTTTCTCTGTAACTGTTAATGTTGCTTTTTATTCACTGTCTCATGTAAAGAACTTTTAAAGGTATGAAAGTTTGCATAGAGGAAATGTTGTAGGGCTGGAGTTGTGACATAACAAAAAACAAGAATCGACAGAATAAAGTTCATTTGTAGTTCTAAACATATTTGGGCAGTTTTTCACTCACTCATCCTAGCTTTGGGATCAATCGAGAGGGGGCCCAACAGCACAGAGACACTGCCGCCCTTTCGTTTTTGCCGCCAAAGAGGCCGCGTTTAAATTTAATACAAGACTGCATACAAGACTGCACTGCTACTTGCTTTGACATCTGCGAAGTGAGTGGGTGACCTTCACGCTTTGTCTGTGCATCCCTCTTGTACCCAGTTCACTCTGGATGGATCTAAGGTTACATTGCGCCCAAATGCAGCGTATTTGCCTAAGATTATCCCCACAGCCTATAGCTCTATGAGTTTTGAATTGCTGAGCTTCTGCCCCCCTCCATTTGCATCTGAGGAGCAGAGGAGGTTGCATTCCTTGTGCCCTGTGTGTGCACTACACACTTCATCTCCAGCTCTGTCCCACCATCCCTCAAACTGGCCACCATCACCCTGATCCTGAAAAAACCTGGCCTTGACCCCAACTGTCCCAGCAACTTCAGCCCCATTTCCAATCTACCATTCCTGTCAAAGATCTTAGAACGTGCCGTCGCCTCACAACTCACAGCCCACCTCCAATCCAACAACCTGCTTGAACCGTTCCAATCAGGATTCCACAACAAGCACAGCACAGAAACAGCACTGCTTAAAATCACAAATGACCTCCTGCTTGCCTCTGACTCCAACCAACTAACCATCCTCCTCCTCCTCCTGGACTTGTCTGCCGCTTTGGACACCATCAACCACTCCATCCTCCTCATCTGTTTATCATCCGACCTCCACATCACTGTCACCGCACACTCATGGATCTCATCATACCTCTCCAACCGTCAACAATTCATCCATATCAACCAGTGCTCCTCCTCCACCTGACTCCACTCCACAGTGCTGAAGTGATAGCCTGTTATTTGGTTGGTCTGAGAACAGGACACCCCTGCTCACAGATTTGGGAAACTTGATAAATTGCAAAGCCTATTGCAAAATAACTAAAGAAACAACTGGAGTAGGATTTTACTTCTGTTACGACTTCTTTAACTAGAGCACGTACAATACAATAACAGAGGCATTGTGAGCAAGTGTATCATATGAATAGAAAAGGGAAAAGTATAAAAACCATGACAGTAAAAAAGGAAGATAAATAGCCTAAATAAATAAAAATATAAATGAAATTATCAGTACAGAGGAAATAAATTTGTTTGTGTATTTTTGTGTGTATATGTGGACAGGAAGCCAAGTAGAAGCTACTATTCCCTTGAATAATAACAGAAGATATTAAGCTTTAAGTAACATTAGGTGATGACATAAAGTAACATTTTCTGTTAAATCAGCGTAACTTCAACATTAAAGTTGACATTAGAGCATTAATTTTGCTGAGAACATTATTTTGTATCTAGTTATTACAGTTAAGTACAGAGATCCTCTGAAGACCCTAACCTGTTGGAGGTGTCACTTAAGTTTCTATTTTTTTATATATATTAAACAACTTTTTTTTTTTGTCCTTATATATCAATTTTTTTAAAACATGTTACCAAAAATTAAATTAAAAATAAGTTTTTACTTTGCACAGAGGAATAAAATTTCAAAAGTTTCAACATTTGAAATGTTTTTAATTTAATATTTTATCGACATTTTACAATGTCTCTGACAATTTTTTCAATTTTTAACATTATCAATTTTAAGTTTATGAACTTTTATTACTGTTGGTCATATTTGTCGCCTCATTTAAGTCTGATTCATGACTTTTACTGGTTATAGAGTTTTTTGTTTTTTCTTCTGTTGTTTGAAAACTCTTTTATTTTAAGGTATTACCAGTTTGTATTCCACAGGCTGTATGTGCATTGATGTAATGCATAATGACAGTATGTGTGTGTTGTTGTGTGCTATTTGTGTCTATATGTGTTGAATTTGTTGACTCATGGGCTGTCCGTGTCTGCCATTTCAGAACATTGTGTTTCTGACCCCACCTTTCTCTCTCTCTCTCCTTGTGAACCCTTCGAGGCACAAACACACACAGACACACACAGACACACAGACACACACACACACACACACACACACTGACTGACTGACATCATCAGGCATCACTCTGTCAGGTTGTCACTTCGTCCACAGTGATAACGACCTCCTGACATTTACATGCATAAGAGCCGAGGCGTTTTGCAGAGAGGAGAGAGAAGACGGGATGAGAGGGCTGCTGAGACGTTTAGTGAGCGAGGCATTAAAGCATTTCTTACTCAGCACACACACACACGGTCTCATCTCCTCGGACACACTCAGAAAACCCACAACCTGTACCACAGACTGTGAAGTCCGTGCATGAAAGTTTAAGTCCGTTTCCATTGATACTTTCAGGATTTTGCACCTTTTAAAACTCTTTTAATCACCTTTTTTGACCTCGAGAATCAAAGTGCTTACTAAGGAGAGGAAACTGTGCATGTATTATTCAAAATGTGCCAATTTTCCTCCACACAGTACTTGAGATTTTGCAGCATCAGTCAGTCAGGGAAGGTGTCATTTTTCTGAGCAGCAGGTCACACCAGAGGGGAGAAGTCGAGGTTGTGCTTTCCTCCAAACCACGGTCTTGTGAAGAGATAATGAGTGAGCTTCTCCGCAGTGAAAAATGTCCTCAGGCTTGCACTTTGCAGACCACACTTCAATAACACATTATCGCTCACAGCTCATTCACCTACAGTCAGCAGTCGGCCTCAATTAATGCCTGATTTCCAAGCATCTGCACAAGAAACACTGTGTCTGTGCACTCGGATACAAACAACCAGCAGATGTTTGAGGACTAAACGACTGGAGGCCATGGTTCAGCAGAAACAGGAGCAGTAGGAGCTGTAGGTGTGGTACAGCTCATATAAATCATGGCTAATCACATTTGCTCCTCTCAGACCTTTTAAAAGGAGTGCCTCTGCAGACAGTTGAATGGACAATAAAATCTCTGCTGCAGCATCTGTGTCTTATAGGCAGAACAATGCATGAAGCTGCTGCTGCTGCTCAATGCCAAGGTCTGAGTCACTCACTAATTTTATTCTGGACATTTTGTTCCCATAAACCATTACCACGCTGTAGCCTGTATGGTTTAACCCTTAAATACTGAAGTATTCAGGTCCTCCGTGATGTTTTAAAAAGACAAGCTGTAACCTGCTTCAGAATAAGGGCCTGTGTCCGCTGACAGCTTATGTTCTACAAAAAGCCAATGAGTTTCCATGTTTTCAGAACTCCCCATCTACAGTACATCATGTCATTCAAAGATTCAGAGGAGCTAAAGAAATCTCTGTACTGAAGGGAAAGGGACCAAAACCAAGACTGCATGGTCCTGATCTTCAGGGCATTAAAAACAGACAGGACTCTGGAGTGGAAATCGCCACCAAACGTCTCAAGTAAGTCCAGTTGTCCTTTCAACAAAGAATTGGTAATCATAGATGATGCATCCTCAGTTTTAAAATATATCTCCAGGTTTAGGAGCAACATCTGCTGACATCCAGACAATGACTTTTTCAGGGAAGATCTTCATATGATCCAAAACCACATTTTGACAACAGGGATTACAACAGCATGGCTCTGTAGGAGAAGAGTCCTGCTAAGAAACTGGCCTGATGCTGTCCTGACTTTGAAAACATTTAAAGACCCTGAACTGTTGAGCAGCTGAAATCTTCTACTAGATGAGATGATATGGGACTTTAAAAACTCCAGAAACTAGTCTCCTAGGTCCACAAGTGTAATTAGAACAAAAGCTAATGCAACACGATGGTAAAAATAACCCTGACAAAACTTTACCTAAACATATTTCTGCCATTAAATTTAAAAAAATAAACAGGATATATTTTCCATAAAACAATTAGGTTTTTGAGTTTCTGCATTTGATGTATTAAATTTGCACAAATCCCTCTTTAAGTTCAAGAATGTAAAGACCAACATTTTTAATTAACCCACACAACTTTGTTCAATGTTAAACATCGGAGGCTAAAGGTCTGCACACACTACAGTATAATTGATGAGTCATATTAGCTGTGAATTACAGACAGGGCCAGTCACATGTACACACACAAACACACACACACACACAGACACACACACACTTGGTCACATGCATCATGAATCGACTATTGAGTGGAGCAGTCGCTCCCTCACAGCCGATCAATGAGCTCTGCAGCAGCGGGACACGCCGCTCCTCTGTGACTCTCAAAGTCATTCAGTGAAGAGGACACAAACTGCTTACATATGACAGCATATCAATACGAGCTCATACACAGCCATCTGTTTCACCTCCTGACCCTGCAATGAGCCTCATGTGCAGCACTGGCATGTCGTGGTACGGCTCTGCGAGGGGGCGATAGTTTTAGGCGACAGCGAAGCTTGATCGAGGGCAGGATGGAAATATGACACCAACACTTTTTAATCCAAAAAAGGTAAAGCGTCCCCTCTTGACCTCTTGGAACAATAAATGGCAACCCCCTGGGCTCTAATTTGGGACCACTGTTCTTTACAATTGATTTCTGTGACATTGGTCAAAATGCTCTGGTGCAAATTTTTATCTGTATGCAGATGATACTGTTATTTACTGCTCTGCCCCAACACCATATCATATATCAAAGTCCAATTTATCGTGACTCTGTTCTCATGATACTGGTACTAGGGGTGTAATCAACCAAAGAAATTCTTGGTCAACCAAAACCCTGAAATGTTTTAACAGGGGGGTTTTCCGACTCTGATGGCAAACTCTTCACCGGTGCCAGACGACGCGGCTCAGCAGGTTAAAAAATATACTGATATCAGCACAAGAAGGCAATTAAACACAAATATTATATTCATCAACGTTGAGTAACGTGGACACCGTTCAATCTTCCCGTCTCCAACCAGTCTCCAGTGGGTTGGTGAATCCAAAATGGTAAAAATAAAAGGGGGTGTTCTGAGACTGGCTGTTACCTGTGAAACGGGGATGCTCTGAAAACACCCCCATTAGCAATTGGTGCATTTCTCCTCCTGATGAAATTAACCATAGACTGTAAATTGACGCAAAAAAAACAAGTCGACCAATAAGAATTTTGGTCGACTCAGCACGTATCGACCAATATTCTGATTGGTCGACTAGGACTTCGCAGCCCTAATTGGGACTTAATCTTTGTAACAAGAAAACAACTTTTAAAATCTCTATTTGGCCCTAATTCTCTGTCGTACATTAGAAACATTGGTCTTGTTTAGCTAATGTACTTGGTTAATGTCAGCTCGTTACCAAAACAATGAAAAAATCTCATGACCAATGCCTAAGATCTGAGCTATAATATTTCAGTTTAGATAAAATAAATAAAAATGTTACCACCATGGACTGTAGATACTATGGACAACTTGGCTTTGCCTTCCTTTTCTCCACTACCTGGAACCACCACTCGCGTAGTAGCATTGTAGGTGTTTGGTAAAAGAGTTGCTGTGATGACGCTCAGCTCAAACAGCATATCCCCCCCAGGTGAGCTATGCAATCTTCATACACCCATAGGCTGTGTCAACATGAACCCCCTAACAACTTTTAAAAACGGAGCTGCACAGAAAAAAAAGGACTTGAGCACAAACCAGTCTTACAGTAACTACATGTCAACATCACAAGCAGGGGGGAGAAAAAATTCTGTTCTGTGTAATAAATTTCTAAAGTTTGTCCACAGCTCCACAGGGATTGCTGGTGGAGGCGGGATTTATGACCTATACTGCAGCCCGTCAACAGAGGGTGCTGTTCTCGCAGTGGCTTCACCCAGCGGGGAGGCGGACGGCATCCATTCTGTATACAGTCTTTGGTTACCACCTCATCCCTTGAATCACAGTTGGTGAAATTTCTCTGTAAGTTTGAAGTGTGGCCTCATGATTCAAAAATCTAAGCTTACGTGTAATATCATGTAGAGTCAGTTTATAGTCTCTCCAAGGCAAATAAAGTTCAGTCAGGTATTTTATTTTCTCATCTTTCAAAATAAAATTGTCAAATGAAAAGTGAAGCAGAATTTATGGCGGGCTAGTCATGTTGGATTAACTCAAACTGTACCGGTGGACTTATTAAACTGTAATGGCTGTATATGACTATAATACTCATATATATCTGCATTTAAAATATAAACATTGGCATCGATAACGTGGAGGGTGATGAGAGCTTCTATAAGCACCACTTGAGAAGGCCACACCAAGGACACGTGTGGTCACATGACGCCGGGCTGATTTACACTCGTTTTATTGCTCCAGTGGACTGAGGAGTGGAACGACCTCCAGGGAGGAGGGGTACCTACATGTCAGTGTGTGTTTGTGTGTGTTTATGAGTTTGTGGGGATTCTGGGTCATAATTTGTGGGGTGAACGGGGTGTTAACGACCAAATGATGACGAGTAATCTTCATCTCTGCACCAACAGTTGTTCTCTCATCAATTAAAGATGGGTTTAATTTGTAATACAATCCTTCCATCAGTCATTAAATCAATACAGTGAGTAATCACAGAGGGGGTAAATAATCGGATTTTAATTTTTTAGCTTGAAAATGTGCCGGAAAAGTTGTAAATTGGGTTTTTATCCAAAGGAAAAGGAGACGTTACGATGTATCCGTCTGTAGATTGCTGCTTTAGTCCAGAGTTGAATATTTCTGGTATTGTGAAAGTGTTTGTTGTTTCAAGAGGCCTTTTTTTTTTTTTTTGCAGCTAGCCATTAAATATTGGCTAAATGTCCCGACAACAATTAGGTAGGTTGAAATGAAATTTTGTATGCACACTAATGTCGCCTTGAGTATAAACCCATTTACAGAGTGCTTTTAATTAAACAGAGTCCTGCAAAACTATTGATGTTCCCATCAGCCTCTTGTGCTCTTTCTGTTTACAGCTAACGAGCAAATGTGCGTGCCAACACTCTGAGCTTAAAGTGCAAAAAAAGGCAAATATATCTGCATGTAAACAATGCAAAAGCTGGTGCATTCAACCCAAAACAACATCATGGGGTTGACTTTTCCACTTTTTCCTCTTCTTTCTTCCTCGGGTCAGTTTAGGAGAATCTGCAGTTTTTTATGGTTTGCACTTTCAGCTCATCCTTCTTCTTCTTCTGGCTGTCTCTCCTCTGTGAGGAAAAGTAGGTCTTCTGTTGTGATGACCTCAAGCAAACTGGTTTTAACATTACTGCAAAATGACATGCAAAAAAAGCTTACACACATACACGCACACACGCGCATGGACAAAGAGAGGAACTGTCACAAACGTTCAGCAGTCCACGGCGCAGCATCGCGAAGTGACGTGAAGTAAGAGGAAACTATGGTGTTTTTTGGCTCCATGAGACTGTGTGGGCTGACTAAGAGCTGCAGGGCTACACACCAACTCACACATACACACACACACACACACACACACACACACACATGTTATTCATGACAGCACGCTCGCCAGCACACATTGTGTAAGAATGTGTAAGCGCTTCAGGGAGGAGGACTTAAACAGATTGCGTCATTCTCCTGTGTTCCCTGTGATGCCAAGAGGCCTCGGTACTTCAGACTGGTTTTACTTTCGTCTAACATTTCATATTCATGTTTTGGGAGTACAGGGAAAATGTGCTTACGCTTCATAAAATAAGCATCAGTCAGCCTCACAGAGCGCACACCGGATTAGCTAATCCATCCGTCCATTATCCAGGGCTGGTGAGGGTGGAAACAGGCAAACAAGGACACCCTCTTTCCCCTGCAGGGTTCTTCAGATCTTTCTCCGGGTATCTTCAGGTGTTTTGCAGCTAGATGAGATAAAAATTTCTCCTCACCTACCATCTTTCCAAACAGCTGGTTGCTTGCTCCACATTTATTGAGCCATAAATCATGGAGGCAGAAAACCATTGATTCTATAATCACAGTGGGAAAACCTCAATGCGCCACAACGTTAGCTCCAAAACGTAAAGGTACAGTGTTTAATCTTCCTGTTCAAATCCACTCCCTTTGTGAGACAGGCAGATTTCAGTCATAGTCTGTGTTTTTTTGAGACATCTGAGGCTTTTCTGTCCGACACAGAAGATCAGGGTATTTTCAGAGACGGTGTGGATCCAGTCCCTCACATACCGACTGGCAAGAGAAATAAAGGACACGATTTTTGTCCACTGTCTCAGCTACGCAAAGCAGCACTGTATACCTCTGGTAAGCCAGGTGTCTCGGGAATGGTCCGGGTCAAAAATGACTCCTAGGTTGGATGCCTTTTTGCAAATATTATAAGATGATGCTAGAGGATAGATTAATAATGAAGCTAAAATTAGGGGTAAGGGGATTAATGATGATAACTTCAGGTTCAGGCAAAGATCTGTAGATTGAAGAACCAAACACAGATCTGGAGGAAATCTATATTTAGAGAGCCTGTTGTAATCTGCACCAGGGTCCTTTTTCTCCACAGCCAACCCTGATAAAATACACAGATCCGTCATGGACCTGGCTGCCTCTTTAGGTGAACACTGTTGGCCTGATTTCAGACTTTAAAAGACAACTTTTCAAATGCTCAAACCACCTCAGCTGGCTCCTGGGATCTTGGATGCCTCTGTCGCATCTCTAGAGCTGAGTCTGGACTCTCCATCACTCCCCAAAGATCATGAGGAGTAAAGACATCGACTGAGAAATCGAACACTTTTCCTTACATCTCTGCGACCTCTGACCCTCAGCACCCACGTTACTGCCGATGCCGTAATCTGCTCGTCAATCAGCGACCCACGCCCAACAGAAGACAGCAAACGTGGACGTACTTACTCTTATCCCAGCGGTTTCACACTGAACTTGAAACGACCCTGAAAATCACTGGAGGTTATCATCTGATAAAGCCAACAATCCCCTTCCCCCCAGCTGTGCTTTGAGATCCTGTCCATGAGGATCAGGAACAGGATCAGTGACAAGGGACAACCCTGGCCAAATATCTGAGGGTGTGTTTGAAGCTGTGTTTATTTTACTAATCTCACACTTGACATTTCAGTCTGACACCCTCCAAAGTCACAACTTGGAAACACTGTACGTCTCAATTAGCATGCTAAACTTGTAGCTCATCATGGGCCTAATTACAGACAAATACCAACACTCAGGGCTCTATTTTCGTTCGCGCCGGTGAGGCGGCGGAGGGCGGCGAGCCCCGCGCAGTTGTATTTTCGTCTGGCGGAGCCCAGCGTAAGGCCAGTTTGGTATTTTCGTGGACTGAGCCGCACAGAGGCGAGCCGAGATCCGCCAAGCTGGGCGTGGTGGCGTGGCAGGGGGAGGTGCTGACAGAATCAGCTGGCGCAGTGACATTTTCGTGCTCGCCACCGGCGTGTAACGTGCGCTGAAAGCTCGCCGATTCAAACCTGGTCAGCTTTCAGCGCAAGGCGGAACGCAGCTGGTCTAGTAGTATTTTGGTAGACCGGCGGCGTATCGACATACGTCACTGATGCCTCACCGGCAGGTTTCCACAGTGTCAGGCAGATTTCAGTGCAATAAATAATCAACAACAACTATTAATCTGAGTCAGCACATACATTTAAATCAACATAGATATATTCTGATCTATATCTGATCTGATGAGCGCGTTTGGCACGCGTTTGGGCACACAACCTGACCGAATCAATACAGCTAAAACTGCATCAAATTAAATTAAATATCTAGTAAATAGACACACATGATGAAGTTAACAAGATATGTAATTCGTCTCCCTCCTTTTCTTTCTTCCTCTTATTTCTCGCACAGCTCGACCTGGACACGTCTCCGTGTCCTCTGTCCGTCTTCCTGCTGCTGCTGCGGCTGAACAGATGATTTGTTTCAGTGCTCAGATGCGTTATCTACTTTAAGCCGACATACGGATATTAAAATATTCAGTTTTGTGAGCCAAATTTATTTTATATGCCAACATCTATGAAAGAAAGAGCCAGGCCACGGAGCGCGATGCGTCATTTACGCACAGATGGTTCTGATTTTAATGCCATTTTTGGAGTTTATGTTGTGATCTGTGCGCTAAACCCACCTTTGTCACGTGAGGTTTGAATATATGCAACTTTATGTGAGTGTCTTTATTTGTGGAAAAGGGTGTTTGTCTTACCAGTGGGTCCAACATTACGCACACCAAATCCATCTGTGCTCATATGAGAGAGTGTGGAGGACACTTGTTGAGGAGCTGCCCTCTGTCGCCATCGTGTGGCATAACTGTCTTCAGACATCTCTTGATCTCTTTGACTACTTCATGAAAATAGTAATACGCCTCGCCGGTGGCGGATTTAAAGGCAAGGAGAGGAGCTTATTTGATTGGTGAAAACAGGTCTCGGCTGTGTTAAACCCACTCCACACCCTCTCTCCTCCCCGTCTATGACTTATGCTGCCGGGAGGAGCTGAGTTAGGGAGGGGGGATACTTACGCCGGGCTGCGCGGCTCACCAAAATACCAAAATGTGCTTGGGAACGCCTTGTCAGCGCGGCGGATCTGATTGACGCTGCGCTTGCGGCACGTCTCCGGCGAGGCACCAAAATAGAGCCCTCAGAGTTATGCTGACAAAAGAGGAGGGACTCCTCTTTATAACTGAGATGTCTGATGTCCAATATTATCACCCATAACTCTGCAGGTCTGTAGGAAAAAATTTCAGACTGTCAGTGCTCAGTATCCAGAACGGCTACGAAAAGGTCGTATTCACCGATCACAGCTGATCGTAACCATTTACGTTAATGTGTCAATTTCCACCAGCTTCTTTCTATTCCACTGGGGATCGCCAGACTCTGCAGCTGATCGCAAGAGTTCTATTATTTCCTGGACGCCGGAGCATGTCAGATAAATCCAGCACAGATTAACCCGTGCTGGAAAGAAAGTCAGGCACAGACACAAAATGAAAAATCTGGCTTCTTTTCAAAATAAAACTCTGTGTTTCAGGTGGATCATATTTCATACCATGCAAACGTGGGCGGGGACAAACAAGTGAAAGGTTTTTAGACAGCATTTCACCCCGTTGACACCATGGATGAGGAGATGCTAATTCTAGAAGTCTAGAAATGGATTTCCTCCTCTGAATGGACACAATCTATATGGTTATGTGGCTGTCTTTATAGAGACAACTTGTTATCGCACGATTGCAAGTGAATCCGTGATTCCTTGTGAGTTCTTGCAATTCCTGCTGTCCGTAATCTGCCACGAAATTCGTCTCACAAACAGATCCAGTGGGAATTGGCGGACAGCAGAAATTGCCCCCGTTCCGTATCTGAGCCGTTTCAGACGTGGTGAAAATTCGGGGTTAGTCATTCCTGTTGAAACGACGTAATTCTCTGGTTTCATTGAATAAGAAAAGCAATGCCTCTGCCATGACACGTCCACTACCTACGACAAGACGAGTGAGTCATCTTCTGAAGAAAACACCTCTTCATCCTCTGCAGATGAGCAGAACCTGCTGACAGAGTCTCATGTGGGATTACTTTGCTCACAGAGCCAACTCTAGTGGAGAAATCTCTGACTCATCAAAACCCGGGTGTAAAAGAAGCTACAAGACAACCCTGCACAAATGAGGAAACACATCGAGACTCATCAAACACCTCAGCGAGAGACAACCAGACCTCAACAAGGAGTCAAACACCAGAGTTTCAGTTCAGTTTATCTGTATTAGATCCAACATGCCTGTTAAAACATGTTGTTTCTATAGCAACAAATGGGTCAAGCTGCAGCTAATAAGGGTTTCAAATGTGTCAATACACTACCACATGAGGCGGACTTGCGTGCAAAATTTTAAGGATTTTTTTCAGGTCGAATTGAGTGTTTTTTATGCGCTTCTAAATCAGTTAGTCCTCGCTACACAGATACAAAACTTCCATAAAAATCCGCAGACATTTGAAGGATTTTATAAACTCCCCCGCACAAGGCTGGACAGCCCCCAGAACAGAGGACATGTCCAGGTAATAGAGGATGTATGGTCACCCTAGTTTTACAGCTAATAAACGTCAGACTACTAGCTAACATTAGTAACTACTTGCTTTGGTAGAATCGTGGTTTATTATTTTTGGGAGTGGACATTCAACTTCTGATCTTAAACTCTTCACCATGTCCACCAGTGACAAAAATAGAGGGTCATCTTCTGAGTGAACACTTTCCCTCCCTGTGTTCATATCTCACATTTTAGAGGTTTTAAGAAGTGATCTGCAGTAAAGTTCTGATTTAGCAAGCATAGGGTAATCATAGGGCAGCAGTAGCTCAGAAGGTAGAGCGGTTGTCCAATAACCAAAAGATTGGCGGTTTGACTCCCCCCTATCTCGAGTCTGTCCGTTGTGTCCTTGGGCAAGACACTTAACCCACCTTGCTCCGAGTGTGTGTCCTCCACTGGTGTATGATTGTGAGTGTTGTGTGGTGGTGGTCGGAAAGGCCGAAGGCGCAAACTGGCAGCCACGTTTCCATCAATCTGCCCCAGGGCAGCTGTGACTACCAAGGTAGTTTACCACCACCAAGGTGTGACTGTGTGAGTGAATGTATGTAGCCAATGTAAAGCGCTTTGAGCGCCATATGAAATCTGATGCATTGTTATCATTAGATGTCTTCTTCTTATAAGTGTTCTTTTTGGGGGCTGTCCGGCCTTGTCCAGTTTTGTCCGTGGGAGTTTATAAAATCCTTCAAATGTCCGGGGTTTTGTATGGAAATTTTAAGTTTGTATCACATGGACCTACTGAGTTAGAAGCACGTGAAAGACACTCGATCTGACCCGAAAAACTCTCGAAATTAACTATGTGCGACTACATGACTTTGACCCAGCGTAGTCGTGTCCTCTTTTTGGGGATTCAGAATATGGAAACCCTAGCTAATCTAACTTTCTCTGCTCCGTCATTGTGCTCATGGCAATGCAGGCAGGAAATATTTTAATTTCAGATACACATTCATTTAACAAACATGGGACCAGTGGAGGAAGGTGTTGGTGTGCCACCACGCTCACAAAATCCTCAATCTGAATATTTGACTTTTAAACTGCTAACAGATATTTGAATCAGAATCACAGCTTGAATCAGAATTATGTTTTAAAAGTGCAGTGACAGAATATTTGGGACAGAACAAATGTTGCCTGAGGGTACTACTAGATCAGTCTTTGGACTTCGAATGAGGTTAGTCATCCTCAAAAACCAGGTTTATCCCGGAAAACGGTTATTTACGGTACACAGAGCATCCCCCAAGGAGTCTAAGCGCTCCCATCTGAATAAGTCTGGAACATTTCAGCTCGATTACAAACACACATCGTCTACTCAACACTCATCTCCGTCTGGTTTCTTCATGCTGACAACACAACACAGCTGTCACTTCTCTAGTCAATCCTCCATCCATTCATTCATCATCATCATCATTATCCATCCATCCACCTATTCATGTCCTCTGCTTCCTCATCCCTCCATGCTCTCCTCTGCTGAGGCTTGTCAGAGTGAGGAAGCAGCTTATGGAGCTTAGTTCTGCAAAGACGCATCACCGCCCACTTTATCCCCTGTCTGATGACTCTCAGGGGATGGTTAACCCTTACATGAACGTCAACGGAGGCCCCCTTTCTGATGACCCCAGGGTAAAGCTAGGCGTACATGTAAGAGTAATCTGGTCTTCAATCCCAGTATGGGCGGCTAAAAGCATTGACGTCAGTCGTGTCTGTAAATGACTGAACCTGGTCTGTGTGGAAGCAGAAGGATGAAACATGTCAAAGATCGACTGTATACCTTTTCTGATAAACTGCACTGTTTCTGGGATTTTAAGAGTCGAAGCTTGTTCTCAGACCCAGTACAAATCCAGCACCCCTGATGACAGACAGGACTCTGAAGTGGAAGTCACCGCATAGAAAGGACAACTGGACTTACTTCTAAGTAAGTGTAGTTGTCCTTTCAAGGAAGAATTGAAATCATAGACACTGTGTCCTCAGTTTTAAAGAGTAGAGGGTAGGGCTGCCTAATTAATTGATTTTAAATTGTAATTGGATTATTTGATGATGAAATTGTTGGAAATAATTAAAATCCTCATATCAATTTTCTTCTCGGTCATGTTTCGCGCCTCTAGGCCACTGTAACGCTCCCCAGTTCCCACACACACCAGTGTAAACAAACATGGCGTTAGCTAAAGAAGGCGATAATTTTGTGGCTAAATAGGACGAATGCAAGTCAGTCGTGTGGAATTGGTACGGCTTCGCAGTTTTGTATGAAAAGCAAACCACTCCCCGCTGCAAAGAGTGGTGAAGGCGGTCTGAAGGCGGTATCAACCCGTCCACACGAAATCAGGGGTAAACGCAAAAGTTTTTGTCGCATCGGCGTTTCATCCACACAGACATGGCGCTTATGGTGACTGTAAATGGTACTTTTTAAAAACAGGTCAGAGAGTGAATAAATCCCTAAATGACTACCATTTCATCTCCGTGTGGATGCCTATCTGCATCACTCAAAACGATCATGTGACACACAGTGTAACTCTTTTATGGCGCCTGCACGTGTCCGGCCAAAACAACCTTTATACACATGCTCTGTACTCTTCTTCTGTCTTTCGTACATTTCCTGTGCAGCAGATTTTATTTTGGGCCAAAATTGTGCATCGTGGGTATCTTCCACATCTGTGAAGCCTCCATTAATGCTGAATAATATCAAAAGGTTTAGGAGCAACAAAAGACCCCTAAAGAGACCTAAAAGACCCCTAACGACTAAAAGATGGAATCCCTTTTCAGGCAGGAATGAGACATTTCACTTCCTGATCTCCAGAAACTGGTCTCCTTGGTTCCCAAAACAACTAATCTTGCAGTTTCAATATTGTGATCTGTGTTTTTTGTATTAATTTAAATTAAACAGAGATTTTTAAGGGTTTGCAAACCATCAAAATCAGGTTTTATCAACATTTTCCAAACTTGTTTTATGATTGGATATGTACCAACATTCAGGTCTACTTTCAGCAGTTTCCCTCTGAACACATCAAACACAGTGGTTCAGTCGGGGACCCTGCGCTCCGCTCTGTGATGGCGTAGGTACCCTTGCAGTGTCATTTCTGAGCTCTCACCTCCAGAACTGTTTTGAAGCACCATCAAAGTCTGCTGGTGTTACATAAAGGGCAAAACAGAAAGAAAAGAGAAAAGTAGGCGAAAAACCTGTAGGTCAGGGGAGTAGGATGAATCAAACCAGTACCTAGAGGACGATGGCTCGATTCGGAGTTAAATCCAGTCTTCTTGCTTTCTTTTTATCTTATATAACTTCCAAACAAGTAACCCTAAAAAGAAGAAGCCGAAGACTGAACAGAAAAAAAAAAGTCAAGACCTCCTAAAGTCCTGCAAAGGTGATCATTTTTATTCTGTTGGCAAACTGGAATATCCAGACTTAGGTCTCCGTCTGTGGCTAAGATAGAGAGGACCTGCTGTGAGTCAGAGCAGAACCATGTTTCTGCAAAATAAGCAAACATGATGATTAAAATATGTTTGTTTTGCATGAAAAACCTGAAAACCTGCTGTTCTATGTCATCATTTAGCCCTTAAAACTGCAGAATCCCCTTTATGAAGCCTGTCCTTGATGCCAACCATGACCTGACATCAAACCTGTGACCTTCGCTGTATGCAATCCTCATATTTCCTGCCATCTCTCCACTTCCAGCTGCATAAATAAAAAAAAAATCATCATCCGACAAATCTGTGCGAACCCAAAGTGTAGATGTTGTTTTAACAGGAACTATAATAAAGGCAGCTATAATTAGCAGCTGCACGTGTGTGCCAATGTTTCCAGCGCTCTCAAATACCAGATTACACACCCATATGGTGTATAAATCTCAGACTCTCTTTGCGTGCATGTATACACCAGGGGCGGTGCTGAACTACACCACACTGAACAAAACAAAAATGCAAACCTCAGGCTAATTATTCCTGCGTTTTCCTCTTGTTCTGCTCTCTCACTCCTGTGTGTGTGTGAGTAGGTTTTTTTCTGTCTGACTTCACTGTGACAAGGTCAGCTGCAGGAGTAAAAAATAAAGGTAGAAAAATGGTGAGAAAAAAGATCAGATGTGTCCTCCTCAGACATGGCATGATCATCAGTCAACATCCAATCTTGTGCAGAAAGATATTGTGCAAACATTAAAAGTGTCCGTGACCGTGTCATGGCCACCGTCTGACGTTTCGCTGCTCTGAGAAACAATAAAGAGTGTCTAAAGATGGGATGAGATGATGGTTTTGTCCTGTGGGATGGTCACTGTGTCACATTAAGTGATTATAGAGTCATAAATTACTGCGGCGACACAGTGAGAGACATGACGGATTACATGTGGGCTTCCAGCCAATCATAGCTCATGTCCTTCACAGCCTACATGATGTCATGACCGCAGAGGCTAATGGAGTACATCTACCTCAACACTGCACTTAGGAACAGGTTAGGGGTCCTTTAGACAAGACTTGTTTTCCACGTTGGAGGAAAAAATTTCTAGGGTTTTTTGGGCATAACAATTTATTCCATTTCCAAAAAAGGACCAATGTGTTTCCACATGTCCACAGTCCCTCCCAGAAGACCTTGAAAAGTAACTCAGTAACCGGGACTCAAATTGAACTTAACAAGGACCGCCCCTAGACTTAGACAAAGGTAAGAAGGACTCAAATGTGATTCAGGCTCATTGAGACCAGAATCTGACTATGATTCTGAAAATCAACTCGGACTTGGAGAGAATTCAACAGAGGTTTGGAATCAGGAAAAAAGGACTCAACCTCCAAACAGGACCTGACCAGGACTTGGACTTGAGTAATGGGAACCCGACTAAAGGTTGAACTCAGAGAATAGGGAACTTAATCTTTGACTAAAGTAAAAAAACTAAACCTTGGCCTGGACTCGGTTGACATTGACTCAACTCTGACCCAGACTTAGGTAAAGGGAAGCAATCAATCAACATGAATTGTACCACAGGTTCAACCTGGACTTGGAATTGGTTTATCAGACCAACTGTAACTCTGACTCAGGTATAATGGGGACTAAACTGAGAACAGATCCAGGTAATTAGGACTCAATTGTGACTTTGTGTTTCGTCGACTATGGGGACCCAACTTGGACCTGGACTGAGATAATAAGGAATCAAGTCAAACCTAGAACTGAACTTGGACAGAGACTAGGTAAAAAGGACTACACTTAAACCTGGACTAAGGTAATAAGGAGTCAACTTGGACAAGGACCAAGCTGGTAGAGGTTTAAGTTGGACTTGGATCCAGATAACAAGGACTCATCTAATTACTATACTAAGGTAAAAAGAACTCAACTTGGTCCGAGACGTGGAAATGAGCACTCACTTTGACCTGGACAACAGTAAAAAGGAGTCCACTTGGACCTTAGCTAGGGTGAAAATCTAACTTGACTCTGGGCTAAGGTAGTCAGAACCCAATTAAAGTGTGGGCCAAGGCAATGGGAACTCAACTCAGACTTGACAAAGGTAACAAGGAGTCAACTTGGATCTGGACCAGGGTGATAATGACTCAACTTGGATTTGTACAACGATATGACCTGGACAAATGGAGTCTTGCCAAGACTAAGGTAACAAGGTGTTGAGTGGGGTCAGGACTTAAATTGACAGGACGTAACTCACCTTGACTCAGGTAAAAAGCACTCAACTCAGATCTGGACTTAGGTTAAAAGAAGGCAATATGGATCTGGACCAAAGTCATACAGACTCCTATTTGACCTGAACTAATGTACTGAGGACTCAACTTGCACCTGAAATAACCTGGACTAAAGTAATTATGACTCAGGTCTTTTTGGGTGAAGGTAGATGAGGCTCAACTCTTACCTGGACTTGGATAATCAGGACTCATAATGGATTTTTGATTAAATATCGAGAACTCAATTTGGACCTGGAATAACATCTCAATGATTTAGAATGTCTTTTATCAATATGTACTTATTAATAAATGATAATAACGCATCAGATTTCATAAAGCGCTTTATCAGAGACCCTCAAAGCGCTATGCATTGGATACATCATTCATTCGCCCACACAGTCACACCTCGGTGGTGATAAACTACCTTAGTAGTCACAGCTGCCCTGGGGCAGACTGCTTGGGTACTAGGAACTCAATTTGGACCCAGACAAAGGTAGTCATCTTGGCGCTGTAATGAGATAACGAGACTCAGCTCTGACTATAAAAGCGCTGACTTGGGTAGATGTTGAACCTCAAACAAAGTTCAGGATCCTCCTCAATGGGGCCTCTGAGAGTTTATGTGGATTGCACAGAGAACAGACTCACACATGGAGGCAGATTTAAATGTCACAGTCCTTTCTGTTTACAGCTGTTTTCTGTGACTCACACACACACACACACACACACACACACACACACAAACACACACACACACACACACACACACACACACACAAAAACACACACACATCCATTCCATCATCCATCCTCACTGTGAACAATTCGAGTGCACCCATAATACGCAGCTAATCACACACTGACTGTGGGGCCTCGGTGGGTTTGTGGAGCACATCTGCTGCTCCCGCTGTGCTCAGAGGATCCCTGCACGCCGAACACGATAATGCCTCAGCTGCAGATCAGAGGAGGAGGAAAAGTCAATTACTGGACATCTCAACCGTCCAAACGGCTAAACGCTGGGATGAACGAGCTCATGTGGAATAGCCCTCACGGGAAGAAATGGGAGAAATGGGGAAGTCATGAATTTCAATTGATTACTGTAATAGATCGACTCCGAATGGACTTGACCCCAACCCTGACTCTGTTTTAGGATCGAAGAAGCGATTTCAGCCACTTAAACCGGACGTGTACCGTGCATCAATAACACAAAGCCATTCACTTTTACTACCTGTGATAATAGGAGTGTGTGAGGCATGTGCATATGCACTCAGGTTTTTACATTTTTATGGTAAAGTCAAGGTTGGAGGAAGATTTAAGATCCTGAGCCTGTGAAAACAGTTCAGTACAAACCATTAAAACCTTACATACAAGTAAAGCTTTTTAGTTAGGTGAACGTAAATGGTGAAATGTGAAAGAACTTATGCACAGGTTACTGTTTTACAGATCTTTGTGATTTTAATGGATCAAATTTTTTACAGCAGGGTTATCATTTTAATTTGTCATGCTTTCTCTGACCTCTGAAACGGCTGATTCAGAATTTCTCAATCAGAAAAATTATATTTGGCCTTTTTTTTAGCAACATTTAATCTAAATTTAGTCCAAGAATATAATTCTAATTTGGAGATAAAGTCTATTTATCTTTTTAGGACAATTTCCATAATATCCGGGGAAGTTGCATTGATTAGATTGAATAATAATGCTTTTTCGACTTTCATTAAACATGTTCAACTACATCTGATTACATGGAAACTACAAGAAGTCAAAGGTCAATGATAACGTGTGTTTTCAGGAACAAACAGGGACTGATACCTGCAGTATTGACACCACTAATGCTAAGTCATGTTTGGGGTATTGATACATGGATCAATAGTATTGATACCAAACAGGATGAGGTTGTTTAAGGATGCTCAGCCTTATGTTTGCACTTTTTCTTCTCTGCTGCTGCTGTGTCCACACAGATCAGCTGATTAAAGAGTTTCTGAAATATTTAACACATTAAAGTTCATATTGTGGTTTCTGTTACTCAGTAAACCTCTGCGGTGAACTGTTCCCTCCCAGGACTGAACTGATTTTATTCTGGTGGTTAAAGGTCAAAGGTCAACATAAATTTAAATGAGTCTCGACACTGTTTCACGCAAATGTCCCATTGGATAAAAAAATGATGGAATGATGACATTTGAATCTCAAAAGGTGAAAGGTCAGCATCTCTTTGACCTCACATCCTTTCTTCTCTTTTTCAAACAGCCTACCTCAGCAGCAGACCGGGGGCGTTGACTAAAACCAGAGATTTTTACCTTCCTTTGTTTTTGGCCCAAGAGAACGAGACGCTCAATTATTTTGACCTCTTTTGGTCCTCGCTGACGTTCTCTTGGGACTGATTTTGCTGCCAGTTCTTTCCTTTATGACTTTCACAATTAAAGCTCCAGTGAGGAGGTTTCAGCTGAATACAAAACAGGATGAAATTAAAAACTGACGCCTCACTTTGACTCAGAAAAGTGGACTAAACCAACATCAGGAAGCTTGACTACTTCCTTACCAGAACCATTATGTCTTTACTTTATATTAAACAGACAAAAAAGTCTGTGTGAGAAAATAATCATTACTGACACATTCACAGGGCAGCACTCTGTCCTGCAATCCGTGCACCGGCAGCAGATTAGAGTATCTCTAACCTTCTCATGTCTACAATGTGTTTTAAACCTTTAGCGGTAGGGCCGAGGGAATAATACGATGACGATATATCCCAAAATTAATTTCCCTCAATATAAAACATGGTCAATTTACTTTTCGATAGTTGGCATTCTGCCATGTTTTGCTAGACTTTACGAGTAGCCAATGAAAAGGGGAGTTGCTGCGGGTCCGCTTTGCACTGAACCAATCGTGCTGAATCAGAACAAGTCTCAAATGACTGCATAGTAGCAGGATGCAGCTACACGCAACCATAGCACTTTAACATGTGAACTTGACAGTACTGTCAGGGAGAAAAAAGAAAATGAGTGCTACCCCCGACTTAAATGACGATGAAGGTTCAACAGATGAGGACATCGTTGACAACACTGGCACCAAAACGTTGGTGGGGTGGAGGTATTCTGGTTTTTTGAGGTCGGACATGAAGCAGAGTAATGTGCACTGCACTATATCGAGTGCATGTTCTCGCAAAGTCGGGGAATACCTCAAATCTTTTTCACCACCTGAAGCAGCGCCATGCAGCAGAGCACGCGCAATGCAAAAAGGTTACAAACCCCGAGTGGAGCAAGGAGCCCATGGCGCCTGTGCAGCTGAAACAGCGGACCATTCAGTCCACTTTTTCTAGCGCAACACTTTTTGACAAAACGTCAAAGAGACACAAAGACCTCACAGATGCAGTAGCTTATTGGATTGCAAAAGACATGCTACCAATAAGCACTGTTAAATTTCTATTTTTACATCGTGATATATACCGATATCTACTGATAGGAAAAAAACATTTTTCCATATTGGCCAGCCCTATTAGGCAGTGAAGCTAACAGCAATGAAGGGGAAATGTCAGAATGGGCGCTCTATCTAATCCACTTCAGAGGGTCTACTCCTCCAGCCACTAATAGCTTAACAACCCACCTCCACCTCAACTCCTTCTTTTCATGCTGCATCTAACCCTGCTTCAGGCTTTGGCACTCCACATACTCACATCGAGGATTTAGTGTCTGAAACGAAAAATGAATGACAGCATGTGTAATAAGACATATATGGGAGTATGTGCAGTGTTCGGAGTAGGACTGACGACTTACATGATTGTATAACTCTATTTTTGAAATCAAACTGATAAAGACATCATGCAGTTAATGTAAGCCACAGCAGAGCACGCTGTCCAAACCGTGCCTAACTTTTTACTTCACAAACTCCCCTTGCAGATACATTTTCATTATTTAGTTGAATGGAGAGGCTGTCATCCTACAGAAAAAATAACACTGAGCTTTCACAGAGGACATCTCAAAAGCACAAAGTCAAGGAAAAAAAAAACACCTACAGTAGGAGGTATTTCCCCTGAGTTCAGCAGGCGGGGGGTGTTGAGCCGGCATGAATCGTCTCTATTCAAGCACATTAGCCACATCAGTCCGTCAGCACCTGAGCGCTCAGCAGTCTGAATAATCCACCACCGCCCACCTCAAACACAGCACTGTCAATACAGCTGATTTAGGGTCAAAGGGGCATTCAGCCAGGATTACAGAGAGCATGGGAAAGAAGAAGGGGGCTCGATAATCTCAACGGTGGCTGAAGATGATAGAACAAATTATAAAATGAGCGCTGTAGCATCGCAAATCAATTTCTCACACAAAGGCTGAGTGAATTCATGCTTCCTTTCTCCCTCTTCCCCTCCTCATCCCGTCCTTCTCAGCTTTGACTAAACTGCTGCCATGACACGTTAGGCAGCGAGCTGCGTGCTCCTTCACCCTCTGTGCTGACCGAGGATGCTGAGACTGAACGCCTCCTCATCTCTGATGCACGCTCTCCTCGTACTTCCTGCTCATGAACATTTACAAAGTGCTCCTTTATTAATGGAAGCACTTTCAAATTTGGGAGACGCACTTATTCACCTACTTGCAGAGAGTTAAAAGGAAAAGACTGATTTAATTCCTGCCTGTGTGTTTGATATGAGGACACACCTGGATAACTGTTATGCAATCCACCCACTAGCACCTCAAAATTGACTTTCACTTGTTGGAGATCCAGAGCCGGCCCAAGGCATAAGCGAACTAAGTGCCTACTTAGGGCCCCACAGCCAATAGGGGGCCCCCAAGAGCAATCAAAAAAAAAAAGAACAGTTTAAATATTTCTTATTTTTTGCATGTATAAGTGATGCTTTTTGTATGATCAAATATATATGAATGTAAAATAAAAATAAAATAAAATAAAGTAAAAATATTTTAGTGCTGCTGCCTATGATTCTTACTGCCGACATGTCAAAGCTCCATTACCGTTATGTGACTTCTGCAGAGCAATGTGCACTGAGCATCCAATGCGCAGTTGTTATGGGGCAAAACAATGTCGCAAAAAAGGACATATCCTTCAGGAGCAGAGAAAGGAAAGAGGAAGAAGAGAAAAAACGCCAAGATAAAGGTATGTTTGCATGTCAGGGAATGTTAATCGAAGAGATTTGTGAAGGTGTGTGAATGATCAACAATCAATATTATTGGCAGAAATGGAGGGCCCCAAAATCAAATTTTGCTTAGGGCCCCATTGAGGCTTGGGCCGGCTCTGGGAAAATCCATTCAGAAAACACATTATAATAACAACATTTTGTGCAAAGCTTTTCATCGCTAAGTATCTTCAGCAAAGTTAATGTGTAACACTGAAAAACATGATACTTTTACACCTATTTGCCAAGTACCCTCTGAGCAATAGACATCTATTAGACGTCTTTTTTTTTTAGACCTAATTTCAGCCGTCTAGATTCTGTATATTTTTAGACAGAATTTAGACGTTGCACTTTAACCCATTATTCGATAACTATTTATTTCAAAAAGCAACTGTGAGTTGCATAACTGATCCCCAAGTACTTCACCAAAATAATTATGATAGCCATTGAGCAATATACAGTGTAGTATAGATATAGCCCAGATTTAGACTTGGGGTCCGTTTCACGTAGCAGGTTTAATGGAAACTCCGAGTTTGTTAACCCTGAAATCAGGGAAACTCTGAGTTTTCCGTTTCACAAAGGAGGGTTAGTTAAACCAGGGAGAGAGGGGTAACTCTAACCTGTTTCACAAAGAGAGGTAACTCAACCTCGCGGTCAGTTACCACAGTAACAGACTCCGTGAACCTAACCTGCTCGGGAGCAGGTTTAACTCAGTAAACCCAGAGTTTCAGGTGAGACATCGGCATTTTCTCATTTTGATCATGTTTTACATTGTCAAGTAAGTATTAAGTGGCAGTTTGATCCCTTAAAAAATGCTCTTTTCACACTCAAAACTGAATTTTACTCTCTTATTATGTTCCGTTAAATGATTAGGAATATTAAACTAACACAAAAACGGGTGGTGGCCCAGCAGCCCCACCTTTAACGGGGGCAGAGGAGCTGCCCCCCACCCCCACCCGTTCGACGATCGCCGCCGGTCTGTTTGCTGAGTGAAAGTCTAATATTGAGTGTAGTGTGTGTTAGTTTAATATATGTACATATACATACTGAGAGTTATTTTAATATTCCTAATCATTTAACAGAACATCATAAGAGAGTAAAATTCATTTTTGAGTGTGTAAAGAGCATTTTCTAAGGGATCAAACTGCCACTTAATACTTACTTGACAATGTAAAACATGATCAAAATGATTCAAGCAGTTTCCCTGCAACAGTCTGTCATTGTGATTGCACGAGACTAGATTTAAAGTTACGCATTGACGCGAGCAGCGATTTCCTCCCAAGCCCTCTCCCTCTCCTTTGCAGCTGCTGCTGTATTGCACTTTCTTTTAAAAACGTGCTGTAATTCGCTGTTGGCTTGCTGCTGCCCCTCCTTCTCCCTGTTTCCATTGGTTGATCATTGAATCTGCGCTCCACAGATGCTGGCTGTTTATGTCTGGCGTGCACGTGCTTAACTCCAGGTCAAACTACTCGGAGTTGTTAAAACCGTCTCAAATCAGGTATTGTGAAACCGGAAACTCAGAGTTTCCTAACTCAGAGTAGATCAACTCAGAGTTAAGGATTTAACTCAGAGTTTGTTGAACCACCTACGTGAAACGGACCCCTGGTCTAAATTTAGAAGTATAAAAAAACTTTCATTTTTAGACCTGTGGTAGCCTAATTTTAGACTAGTCATCTAGGCTACCGTCCTTGGCCTTGTCTCTATTATGAACGTGAAGAGAAAGGTGGCACCACCTTTAGGCGCCATAATTTAAGCTACAGTTGGGGATGTTTGCTGTAACCAAATGAAGCGCCAAGACCACAGACGGGTTAACAGTTAGCATTAGACAACAGCCACAACCACCCCTGAAACTTAATAAATATGAACATTAACGTCTTTATTTTATCCAAACAAAGATCAAAATTACGAGTAATTTTCATTAAGAGCAATTTGGGTGTCAATAGTTATTGTCAATATTTATTTGTTCTTTGAAGACTCTCACATTTATATGCTAGAAAGTTCTGGTAGCCTGTTAGCTTAGCTTAGCATAAATACTGGGAACAAGGGCGAACAGCTAGCCGGAGTCTAATAAAGCAAGCGAGTGTTCTAAATGTGGAAAATGTCTGCCTGTTAAATAAAACGACATAAAACATCAAGTTGTTTGGTCATTTACATTTTTTTTCCAAATTAAAGATCAACCTCCCCAAAAGACAGTATATGCTTAAATCATAACAGAACTCAATGGTTAGCTTCACTGTAGCTAAGGGGCATGATATTTAGCTTTGCGATGGCTAAAGGTGATACAAAGTTTGACGATGAGTCGCTGTTATAACTATAACTAAAATAATTATAATAAGAATTATTATAATCTTGTGGGAACAAATGAATTTTTTGGGGTGCACAATATTATTTTCTTGTAAATACACTTATCTTGTACATGCAAGATATGGTTTTTTTGTGCACGAGTAAAACTGTTTTCAACAAAACAAATATCTGGCTTGCACAATAAGTTCATTATAACTTTTATCAACAAGACTCTTAATATTATGTGCTCAAGAGAAATGACTCGTATATACTAGAAAATAACTGATGCATTAACATGATTAACAATTTCATTTTGTGTGTTCGAGATGAGATCTTGTTTCCCCATTTCAAGACAGTGATTACTTGCTCTCACAAGAATGCATTTAGTGCATGTACGATAACATGTTCCAACAAGATAATTAGCTGATGTATAAAAGTTAGTATCTGTTAAACAGGATATAAAAACTTGGACTGCACAGGGTGAACACTGACAGTGATTTTTAAAAAAAAACATATTTAAACACGACATACAAATAGAAGGAATTAAATGCCGAGATGATGTTATTTTTCGTAACGAGTTAGAAATCAAGGGAAACGATAAAGCAGACAGTATTATAACACAAGGTTCAAAATGAGCTGGTTCATTGAGATACATCAAAAATTGTAGATTTGCCTTCAAAAATCCAGTTACAGTTGCTCTGTAGTTAATTAGGTCATTAATGTTTTAAAGATCAAATTAGATCGTTTTGGATAAAATGAAGAAAAAGCCTTTTGGGCACATTTTGGCAATATCTGCTTCTCATGAGCTGAAGTTTAGACATGTTTGTTTATCATTGTTTCTGTTTCCACATTTGACTTAAAATATCAGTCTGTTTATGCAGGTGAAAACTTCAAAATAAAAGCCATAAAGGTAAATTGTTCTGGTATAAAACTATGTCAGTTGAAACTCTGAAGAGAAACAGTAATTTCATAATAAAAGTCTCTTGAATCTTACCTGAGGTCTCCCAACAGATGTGCTGTTTTTCCTTTCTTCTCTTTGTCGGGCTGAAACTGCTTCACTGTGACAGAGAGTGTAACGCCAGCAGCTCCGTCTCAGCATCCAGCATCCTCTCTTCTCCTCTTCCTCACTGCCAACCTCCTCAACACACACACAGTAGTAAAGCCTCGCTCCGCCTCCCTCCCCCATCTCTCTCTCGCTCTCTCTCTCTCTTTCCCTCCCCCATCTCTCTCTCTCTTCTTCTCTTACTTTAACTAAATCTGTCCACTCTCATCTCATCAGCACAAGACAAAATGGTGACACCGTTATTGCAGCAAAGTCATCTATAATTAATGAACAGCAGCCACTCAGCCACCCTTAGTAATATGACAGCCAAAACAAACCACAACTTTGATCAAAACTGTTTTATTTTGTAAGCCTCTTTCACATAAGCACACCTGAAAATTTCTGGATTTTTTCTTAAGAAACTCTTTCCAAAATTTTCCACCCGTCCGTCACAGAACGAAGTCTTCCTTGTGGACGAGGGAGGAGGCGGTTTCGCAGTAATTGATGAGTCTCAGGAGTCGAGACATGGGAGCACACTGTGACACCCACAGTCAGTACATTTGCATGACATTTAGAATCATTGATTTGTTGCTTTAGCTGCTTTAGTCTGAATAAAACTTGACTAAAATCACACAAAGTGAAATTTCTCAGTGGTGGATATAACATACTCAGATACATAGACAATTCAAATGAGCATGGATGTGCTGTCTGCTTGGTTTATGATGTTATAGGTCAACCAAAGGAGTGTCCAATCACAAGCTAAAATAGAAAATTGGTTCTCACCTTGTGCTCTTATATGGGGGATAAAAGCAGTCGTCCAGTTAAAGCTCATGTGAGGGTTTTTTTTTTTACATTTATAAAACAGGCTGTAATTCAAATGTATGCCTTTTTTATAACGTACAAAAGCAAACTAGACCATCAGTGACAAGATTGTTGGTTTCTATTTTGTAGTTTTGACACTTCAAACTGGTGCAAGGGGGTAGGTGTCAGCCAAGCAGTTGAGAAACAAACCTTTTTTTTACATTTCCACATAAAAAAATCTACAATAAATAATGAATTAGACCATCAAAAGTCAGCAGGATGAAAGTTTTTTCCAGATAAGTAGAGACTGCTTTGTCCACAGGGGGCGTCAAACTTGACACAAACCCTAACAGGAGCTTTAAGTTGCCTTATTAAGCTCTAACTGAAGCTTATAACTACAACTCAGACCTATGCCTTATAATTTGTAGATTTTCCTGAATATTTCCTGCAGTGTTCTCAAATCGACTCATCCTGACTTCTTGTAGAAATTTTACTCTGGATCTAAGAGGAAAAAGTCCAGGTGAAATTTTAGGATATGTATTGATGCATAAGTATCGACAGTCTTTTTTTAGACTGTTTTTTAGACTTTTTTATCGAGACATTTTTTACATAAGATGTTTTAAAACTGTAAACCTTTATGTGTTTCTATGGTATTATAACTGCTTAACTTTCATCAAAGGAGAGTTTTAAATGTAGCTGTGCCACTTCTGAATGAGCAGTTTACATTAATCTGCACTTTCAGAGGTGAAAGAGTAACATTAACATCTAAGAGGATCAGGTTTCTCTCTCGCTGTCATTGTCTGGATACCTGCCTCCTCTTCATCATGTTAATCCAGGTTTCTCAGACTGTATACATGTGCTGTAAAAGGCTGGCATTCATGCACCATATGGGAATCCTTTCTAATAGATCTATTTTCGGTCCTTTATTTCCCCTGAAGCTAAACAGCTGCACTTATTATGTGCAATACAATACAAATCCAATAGGCCCGCTGCACTGTGCAATTAGGGGCCATGAAGATTATGTAATTCTATTATTCAGACAACCAAGCTAAGAGTTAACCTTAAGCCATTTGACATGAGCGGTCACTGGAGCAACAAACGCTGTCACAGCGCGTCACACATGTTGTGTTTCATGCTGACATGAGAAATGTTTCTTCACGTCAGCGTCTGTGAGGCGTCTTTGATTTTTACTTTGAGTCCCAGAGGAGCCGTTTCTGCCTCCTAAAAGCTTTGCTGGAAATTAAAAAAAAACTCCCTGTCATCTATTGGTGCGGCAGAGTCCAGCCCACCGTCGCCCTCTAGTGGATCCTTCATTGCAATGATTCATTTGCCAAAGGCCCCCTCCTCCTACCCTTGCTACAGTGAACATTAAACGGTCCAGACAGTCAAGATAAGCACAGAATTAAAGTCGACAACGAGCCAAAGTAAACTCTGACAACCGATGTGAATGAAAAACAGGTTCAAGTTTTCAGAAATGAAATTCAATATACAGTATATTATTAATATCAATAATATTCCCAATTGACAGTGTTATATCACTTCACTATATCATAGATATCTCCTGTTGTGGAGTCTCATACCAAAAATAGGTATTATAATACATCATATGTCATGGTGTAGTGTTTTCTCATATCCTATAATATTGTATCCTATTTTTAATCCAACTGTATTGTGTCATTTTGTGCAGCGTCAACATATCAGAACTTGTGTTTTTGTGTTTAATGGTCCTAAACTATTGTAAAAGTTTGCTATTTTATATATATTTATAGTGTCATGCGGAGCCTGGCTAAAAAAAACATATGTCATACCCTTATTTATTTGTGTAACATTTGATATTGTACGAAATCATAACACACTGTACATAATGTCCCATTATATCCTATTATCAACAAAACCATATTGTATGTAATCAGATGGTGTTATTTTGAGTATCACTACAACATTTTTGAACTTGATGTTTAGTTTTTTACAGTTTTTTTATATTCTATTAAAATTGTTTGATATGCTGTTGTGCTGTTGTGTTGAGTCCTGCTGTATATCATACTGTATTTTAATATTTGATTTTGGAGGAGGATTTATTTTGAAAACAGTCTAATTGAGACAATTTTGTAACCAGGAAAAGTTAAAGTTAAACACCGCCATCATATGTGTGTGTGTGTGTGTGTGTGTGTGTGTGTTTAAAAATACACACACTTCCTCGTGATACATGAACTTGACCTGCCTGTTAGACATAGACTGACCCGAGTCAAGTTCCTTAATTAAAGTCTAACTTTTAGCCTGGGGAGTTTAAAGTCTGCTGCTTTTCTAAGATTTTTACATAATTAAGCAGCAGGTTATATAAACAGGTCACTAATTATATAATCCACAACAGAAAATCAGCTGAGGAGGACTATCTCGCTGCTGCCCGTCTGTCTGTCGGCCTCCGTTAGCCCGAGTGTGATGTATCGTACAGGAGGAAGAGTCTGGTGGTTACATGATGTGATGGGATCAGATTTGCAAATGGTGCAGAAGTGCATCAGGGATACAGCAGCAGAGCCGTGTTTGTACAGCAGTCAGTGTGGAGGATGGCCAAAGGGCTGCCCGAGAGCTCCCAAACAACAGTAACGAGCTGTAAGAGTGTAATTACAGAGATGAACACTCATGAGGTGGAATTAGGACTTAACAAGCCGCTGATTTATCTTCATCAGCGTCTGAATAAGAGTGGGTGCCAAGAAGACTTCAAGGTTTATTAAACAATTCACTTTCTTTGTGTTTTATGAGAACTGAGCGTTATTACTGAGGTTTAATCAAACAAGTGTGTTTCCTCGCACCAATCCAACACACTCCAGGGGAAACAAACAACAACTTTAAACCGAGCTGCAACTTCTTGTGGGGAAAAGCAAAGCTGCAGTTCCTCATGTGTCCACTAGAAGCTTGCTGCAAAAACAAAGGAAGTTCCACCAACGCCGAACTCAGAGGTGGAGTCAGGGAGTGGCTATCCTAAATCCTGATTGGCTACTTGCCTTATCAGAGGTGGTGCTTGTTTTGAAGCTGCTTGTAGCTTTTTTGAATTTCGGTTCAAGCCGACACAATATTAAATTTTCTCGTTTTTCATAGTTATCACGGAAATAAAATACCACTATAACAATATTTAGAGAAAACCGGAAAATTGAACAACACAATCAGTCAAATTAAGGAAAGACAAGACAAGGCCGGAGCAACAGATTACTTTATAAACTTCACTTATAAACTAACTCACCTTAAAAGTCTTAATTTTCTCATAATATTCAAAAAAAGAACTTTCTTTAAAGAGGACATCATTGCTTATTGCTCATGCTTTTATTTTGACTTTTTTTCTCTGTTTTGCTGGAGGTTGTTTTTTTTCCTGCATTGTCAAACTATGATTTTATTTTGAAATATACGACCCCCAGTAGATTGCAAGTTACAGCACTAAATTAAAACAGTTAAAATAACAGTCAGATGGTATACTTGTTGAGCCGTACATGCTTTAACCTTGTTTCTAGATTCATAATGAATGTTGATTATGGATTTTCTTACACCATGCATATATAGAGTACAGTAAATTTTAGGTCTTATATGAAGGCCTGTGGTGTCACTTGTCTGTTTCAGTCTTTTTTAGGGGGAAATGAGGTTTATATTTATGATACAGGTGGTTTTGTGCAGGCGTCAAAGGGAGAAAAGCTTTCTAATGTTACTAATAATTATAGAAAAATAACGTATTTATAAGAGTTGAAGTAAGAAGTGAAATAAAACAGAGGACGATTAGAGCAGAGGGAGAGAAGAGAGCGGGAGGAGCCGAGTTAATGACAAACAGGAGAAATGCCAAATTCATGACCACACATGCTGAGAGCTTAAGGTCAGTGACGTGCAGAGTATACTCTGTGTGTGTGTGTGTGTGTGTGTGTGTGTGTGTGTGTGTGAGACTGCCTCTCTGCACACACACACACACACACACACACACACACACACACACACACGTCTGTTCAGTAATGTCATTTATCACCCTGGGTATGAAGGTCTTCACAGAAACTGTCCAGATGCTGCTTGTTCCCTCTGTGAGCACAAATGCCCAGGAGAGTGAGTTTGTTTCTGAGTGTGTGTCTGTGAGTGTGTGTGAGAGTGTGTGTGTGTATATGTGTATGTGTGTTTCCATCTCCTGCAGGGATGTCATAACCCATCGACGTGTACCTCTGATGAGGGCTGAGAGCTCAGTCTGGTTAGGAGTTTGTGGTGCTGAGTTGAAACATGGAGTCTGACTCGGTTTCTGGTTTTCAGCTGATTTCACCTGTTTGGTTTGATTATTTACAAAACTGGAGACTGTCTGACTTAAATCTCTGTGTGACACCCGATCACATCTGCAGGTTGTAAAGCAGAGTAACTGCAGACCGGTCAGCTTTACTGTGGGCCTAAAGCACGGAGACTCTCCTCCTGCGATAATAAAACACGCTGCACTTAACAAAATGACCCGACAAATACTGGAAGACTCTGTGGACCTGACGGGAAACATGGAACAGAGAGAACCGGCTCCAATAGTACGAGGAGAAACTGTTCTGTTTAATTCTGCAAGATCAGGCGAAAAGGGTTTGAAACGAAAAACTTATAGTGTCACTTTGTTTAGATGTAAACGGTTTTACCCCTCAGGTTTGTTGACCCTCCTTTTCTTCCTACATTCGGTTACCCTCATTAAGCTCTGAGATCCTGTCAGCATCAGTGTATTTTACCCCATGAGGCAAACTGCATTAAGATAAACAGATGGATCCCTGAAGGTCTCAGGTAAAGTTTAATGTGATTATGACCCAAACACAAACAAAAAACTGGGAAATTAGATCATTCGGACAAAACAAGGGGGCGGGGCCAAACTCAGACTAAAATCTCTTGGTGCCATTTAGGATGACGGTCTTTAAAATAAAACTATATCTGCAATAGTTCTTTTATTGTCTGATACAGATGCCTGATAAAATATACAGGTTGGTCTTCCATGTTAAAGGTCAATTCATCTAATGTGCAAAAAAATAAAAAAAAGACAATTTTTGTCTTCATGTCATGTGTCAGACTTGGTAAAAATCAGACTAAAATTTGATTCACTATGAACTAAAAGGCTCAACCTGCAACTAATGATCAGGAGCACGGGTGTAGTTCACTTTGGAGACATTTCTGTTTCTGCACATTAACCCAGAGGTTTGCTGTTTTTGCTTGTTTTCAGTCCATAATCAAAACTAGGCTAACTGTGACTAGCTCTATAATTAGTTTATTAACATGATAACAGCGTTTATTTAAGATGTTCTAGAGCGACTAATATCCTGGTTGTTTACATGAATATTTTAATTCCAGCTAACTAGCTCGAGGAAAAGATAAAAAACGCTTAGAAAGCTAACAAGTGAAGCACACCGTCTGCCTCCTAACTGGATGAAGCCGCTCGGAGAACAGCACCCTCTGGTGATGGGCTGCAGTATAGGTCATAAATCCCACCAACTCCAGCAATCCCTATGGAGCTGTGGACAAACTTTAGAAATTTATTACACAGACTATAAATGTATCTCCCCCCCGGTTGCAATGTTGACATGTAGTTACTGTAAGACCAGTTTGTGCTCAAGTCCTCTTTTTTTCTGTGAAGCTCCATTTTGTAAAGTTATTAGGGGGTTCATGGTTTCTACGATTGACACTTGATACAGCCTATGGGTGTACGTAGATTGCGTAGCTCACCCAGGGGATAAGCTGTTTGAGCCGAGCGTCATCATAGCAACTCTCCCGCTGAATGCATACAACGCTACTGCGCAATCTTGGTTTCAAGAAGTGGAGAAAAAATGCGGAATTACAGAGAGCTTTTTGGCTTCAAATCTGTATACTGGCAGAAGGCGGAGCCAAGTTGTCCATAGTATATACAGTCTACGGTCAGAACCCTTCACCAAATATTCAGCCAACACTTCGTTATATGTTTCTGAGTTTTTAAAGCTGCTGATTTCTTACATTTTTAATTCATAAAACACTCATATGGGATATTCTCTGCTTTTAAACTAAACTGTGATTCTTCAAAAGACAAAAACTCATTTGGTCAAGGAAATGGGCTAAAGATTGAAGTGTAGGAGACACGCTGACCAATTATGAACAAATTTGTGTGCAGATTAAAAAGATGAACACAAATTTGTTCATTTTCTCCGATCATGGACAGTTCAGAAGTCTTAAAAATGAACCACAAACATGAACTAGTTGATTTTAATCTGTGTGAGGAAGTTTGTTTGACACACCCTGAACTTTCAGAGAAGTGTGACTCGAGTTGATCTCGAACCCTGAACCGTTTCGTACATTACCACAGGAGAAGCCGCGACAAAGGTGAAAAGCAGAGGTGCATTAATGCGGCACGTGTTGCCATTTATTGTTATTGAGTTTAGTTAACATGGTTAACTGCATCGAAAGTCATACAATAAACCTCTGAAGCTTTGTGAGAGGTCCCTCCCTGTGTCACAGAGAGAAAGCTGTAGGAATATACATACAGTATATCTTATTGGCAAGTAGATATGTTTTAGTAAGTACATTCTCCTCTACCAGGTACTCATGTACGATATACATGTTAAAAAATATAGTTTGTTTGCATTGCGATCACCGTTGTTTCCTTTTTTTTTTTGTTCAGGATGAAATTATTCACATTAAAGTGTTACAGGTTCTTGAATGGCGGTGGAACTAAAGAGCACTGTGTTGATTTATTAATAGCTATCACATACACAAAGGCATATGCATAGAAGGCACGTCTATGCATCTAAATTGCTTACATGATTAATGGAAAGCAGTTTTATCATCAGGGAAGGAGACGAAACGAAAGAAGACTGACACACACACCCTCGCACACACACACGACACCACAACAAGCACTCCACGAAACTGCAGACGAGAAGGAACTCGTGTTTGATGATAAAACTGCGTACAGTACGACAAAGTACAGAAGATCTCAGTCAATGGATGGCGTTCACCCGGGGAGATGAATCAAAGAACACTCGCTGTGAAGCAGCAGCCGGGCGCTAAGAGTCCTTCGGTGGGCTCCGGGCGGCAAGGGGAGGAAGCAGCCCCCCCGTAAAAAAAATAAAAATAAAAATAAAAAAACAAAAAACACTGACTTCATGATTTTAATGCTGAGAGAGAAACTTCTCGATCTGGGATGAGTGGTTGTTGAGGAAGAGACGTTTCTTCTTCTTCTTCTGTATTCGATGGTTAGGTGTCAGCTCCTCCAGGCGTAGTCATGGAAACAAACTAAAGGAGAATAAACTCAGGCCACATGTATGTTTGAAATGAGAGTTTGAAACTGGATCCAGAACTTTAGACTTTCCTAAATACTGCAGCTGAACATGATGGACTCGAAGGAAACGTTTGACATCTTGGAAATTTGATTTCAATGAGAACTTAAGATCGATAACAGCTACAGGCTGAAACTGGATCTGTTTCGTGTCTGACCCACTTTCCTGAGGCGGCTTTAACTCCCCCTAAGACTGAGCCAGACCACTATCCTCCTCCTTTTTCTAGTCTTAGTGCAAAGCTGAGATGTAGCTTCCCATTTTAACACATTATGCTAGGCTAGGCTAATCAGCTGCTGACTGCAGCTTCATATTTAGCACTCAAACGTCACCTTAATGAAAGATTTTCCCTCCAGATACCTACTTGGGTTTTATCAGCTTTTAACAGACGAAGGCTGGAGTGCACCGCTAAAATGCTAAGCTAGGCTAATCAACTGAAGGTAACAGTGTCATATTTAGCGTATTTCTGTTTCTGCACGTTTTCGCTTTTTTCAGTCCATAATCAAAACTAGGCTAACTGTGACTAGCTCTATAATTAGTTTATTAACATGATAACAGCGTTTATTAAAGATGTTCTGGAGTGACTAATTTCCTGGTTGTTAACATGAATATTTTAATTCCAGCTAACCAGCTCGACGAAAAGATAAAAACACTCAGAAAGCGAACAAGTGAAGTTAGAGAGGAACTTAAATCGTCTTTTTGAAGTCATGACGATGAGTTTAGATCGATCTTTTCCTCTGTTTCAGGTTTTTGCATTGAGATAAACTAATTGGCTGTAGCCTCGTTATGACTCCAAGAATGTCCGATTATTGGTGCCGATATTTGACATTTGGCTGATTATCTGTATTGGTCTTTTATTTGATAGATAACCAAAAACATGAAATATTCAAAAAGTGCGTCACTTTGGCTTTGCTGTCTGGGACTGTAAACTTGCACTGCATTGTCTCGCTGGATGCCCCGCCCACAACACTGCCTGATTGGCTAGATATCACATGACCAATATTCCTAATTTGTACAATTTTACTGCCGATACATACTGGTTCTAAACGTCGATTTATGGTCACATAATCTCCTTATCATCAAAATCATATCAGTATTGTATCTCTATCAGTATCTATTTAAGTATCAGTACTGGTATCTGTATCATTGTCTATATTTGTATCAATATTGGTGTCTGTGTTTGTATCTATATTGGCTTTGAAAAACTGATATCGGTCAACCCCTAGTTTGTAGGTATTTATTTTAGTATCTGGACTGGTATCTGTATCAGTGTCTATATTAGTATCTATATTGGTATCTGTGTCTGTATCTATATCGGTATCTATATCGGCTTTGAAAAACTGATATCGGTCGACCCCTAGATTGTAGGTATCTATTTTTGGGAACTCTTTCTCGGCCTGAAGTTGTTTTCAAGCCACTTTTGGCCAAACTCAGCGAGCTGCTTCTCTCTGTTTTCAGTCTTTGTGTTCAGTGACTCGAACTCCATCTTTAACTCGCAGATAAAACCCTTTCCATAAACTGAAAATTCAAATTTCCCAAAGTATCAAACTTCCCCTTTACATGATTCAGTGTGAATAACAAAAGAAAAGACAAAAACACTCTCCAACAGAAACCTGTGAACATTAGTGTGTGTGTGTGTTTGTATAAACTACTGAATCCAGCTGAGTAGAAACAGGGTCGACATTATACAACCACGACAGTGACGATCTATATTGCAGGAGCTGGGAAATGCTGATTGCTTCTTTAAACAGTGACTCTTAAAATTAAGTACATGTGGTGCACAGAAGAGTTAATGGCAATACACAAAAGGCAAAGAAGAAAATATGACAGAAAAAAGTAATATGCACTTAAAAAAAAACCTTAAAAAACAAAGTTTTTTGGCAGCCGTGCGTCTGTGGCGATGCCTGCAACTGAGAAACACGACGACGACAGACTCCCCTGAAATCTTAATGCATCGTCACACTCGCTGTGACGTAGAAGTGCAGGCTTACCGGACTCACTCCTCCTCTCTAGACCCTCAGATTATTGTTTGAAATCCACCAGGTGAATCAAGGCTTGACTGTTTGACGCTGCAAAACAAAAGTGCAGCAGCAGTAAGGGCATTCGGCTTGAGCTCAGGAATGGTTAACAAACAAACACTGAAAAGTCGGTTCACACGCCGAATATCCTGAAAAAAAGGTTCTCTACCGGGCCGTCCAGGCCGACCAAAAAAAAAAAAAAAACTAAAGGAATCCATGTTTTAAGTTTACAAATCATCATCAGTAAATATGGTATTACACTACAATGCCAATAGTTCTTCATTCAGAAACATTATTTATATAACACAGTGAAACTAGGCGACAAACCACAGTGGGGAGTTTCGCCCCACTTTCGTCCACAAATAAGGTCTCGTCTCCCTCTGCTGTCAAGGCCGAATAGAGACTTTTAAATGGCTGAAGAAATGTGGATTAATTCATTTGTGGTTTTGGCACAGGCCTCTTTTCTCTGAACAAACGATCGACATAATCTTCCTTTGGTTAATAAAAAGAAAAAAAACGAGAGATGAGCAAAAGTTAGCTAGTTTGATCCCCTCTGAGGAGAGCGCTTGCTGTTAGCAGCCCTTGTTGGGATGAGATTAACAAAGAGCTAAACCTAAGCGGTGGTTTAAGATTACATGGGTTTAGTGTGTTAGCTTCTCGAAGGCTCTTCTGACAATCACAGTGGTTTCGATTTCATCTAGAGGGCAAACGGGGGGGAGAGAGCAGATGGGCCCTGGAGTCTGGTCTCTCTCTCGGGTTTTTGTCGGGTGAGGGGTTGTTTGTGTTTTTCCGCTGTTTCATGTCATCACGGTCAAGTCTCAGGCGTCAAGGTGTGGCTGGCAAAAACTGTCAGGTATCAAGATCCTGAAGGAGACACAAAGAAAGACATTGAAGATGCTCTCTCCTTTATATTTTCTGTTGTATGAAGTTTCTGTAAGTTGGGTTATGATAATTTTTAGCTTTTCTTCTGCTCTCAAAAAAATAAAAATCCTTTTCTTTGTTGTTTTGGTAACAACTTTCTCTTTGTTTGTGTGAATCTTGTGTGGGTGCTTGTGTGCTCCAGCTGTATGTGCCCATATGTGCTCGAACCGGACGACACATTTACTGAAGACGCAGCAGCATGAACAACAAAAGCACCATCTTAAATTCAGGCTGTCGGCCCAAAACTGTAGCATCTCTAAACCCCTAAAACCTTAAAAAACACTGAAATGTCCCTTCAAAGGATCATCATTCCCATGTCAGCACATTATTTCTTATTTATCCATCGGACCACTTGAGGGCAGCAGTTCAGCGGTGTGTTGGCAGAGTGAACGCTCACAGTTTCATGCTGCTGTTGTGTTTATTCAGCAGAGGTTTGATTGTTTCAGTAATTCAGTTTTTTGCAGGTTTGCAGGAGAATTAAGGCCACAATAAGAAATAAAATTTAATACTTCATGATTAAAGTCGTTAACTTACAAGAATAAAGTCCTTATATTCCAACCTGTTGTTTAAGATGACTGTTGTTGAAATGAGAGCCATGGAGCATTTCGTGAAAAGTGCTGTAATAAAGGTTTCTCAAACAAGGAGATACATAACCTCAGCACATCAGCACTACATTATCGGAAATATCAATGATTTTATTACAACTTTATTCTCATTAGTAATGACTTTATTCTCGTAAATGACGACTTTAATTTCAAAGTATTAATTTTTCTCTCCATGTGGCCCTAATACTCCCTTGTAATTTCTGTATTTAATCTTCAATTCAGATTTGTACATGTTTGACTTAATCTCACATGCTTCAGTTGAATTGCAGAGATTAACTTGTAAATCGAGGAGGGCAGGTGTTGTCCTAAATGTCCCTAAAGACCAAATAAGTGTTTGTGTATTTATCAGTCACATTTTTCAGGTAAAAATGAAGCAGGATTTTAGACTCCAAACACTGTTGTACTTTGTAAATTTCTCCATTTAATATTGAGGAGTTATTTTGTGTAATAAAATATTTGTGAGTAATTCTGTCTGTTTGCCAGAAAAAAAAGGTCTAAAGCTGCTGAAAACTTTGAGAAACTGTGGAGAAACATCTTTATAATTGTAAATCTGCCTTTTTTTATGTGAGTACTGATATTTGGGTGTTTTGTTGTTACTGTTTTATCTTTTTTATGGCTGTTGGATGAGGATTTCAGAGACGTTAATTTGTTTCTACACATGCGTTTATAATTCCTCTGTATCTGTATAGCTTACTAAAAACTAACCTTCCTTGTTTTTCTGTTTCATTCAAAGTAATCAGCTGACGGCTTGTCTCTCTGCTTTGTCCTCTGTTGTCTTTCACTCACCTGGAAGTGATGGAGCGCTGGGGTTAAAGGTCAATCTCATCTGTAGCTCTTCTGCTGCTGCATCAGGCCGACGTTCTCGTACACTCTGGAGCTGTCATCCCTCATCCTGTCGAGGTGAAACAGACGCTCTGATTTAAGAAAACTACAAACATGGCTGCTCTAGCAGGTATAAGTGAAGTGAAGTGAGACTCACTCTGTGCAGGTGGGAGTAGGAATAGGAGTGCAAGGAGGCAAAGGGCTCTGCTCTCCTCCGGTCAGATCAGACAAAGAGTACTTAATGTTGGTGTACTCGCGGCCTTTAATCTTACTTTTCTGCAGAGAGGAAGAGGAAACGGCGCGGTTAGAGAGAGAAACCAAAAACAAGTGAAGCCAAAATCAGGTGAGCGGGGGTCTGCTGCACACCTGCTCCTCCTCGATGCGTCTCTGCAGCGTTTCGATGTAATGCTGCACCGCCATGTAGATGAACCTGTACTGAGCCTCCGTCTGCACCATCCCAGAGCGCTGAGAGCGGACCATCTGGATGGTCTTTGGCACATCGATGTCGCAGTCCACACCTGCAGCATGAAGGCAGTTAATGAAGGGTTAATAACGGAGATTTAATACGGCGTGCAGAGTCTGACCGTACAGTATTTATCGAACACCTGACAAAGACGGACACAGACTCACCTTTTTCCCTGATCACGTCTATCAGAATATCGATCACTATAAACGTTCCCGTCCGCCCGATTCCTGCACTGAAGAGCGAAACAGAGAATAGGACAGAGTTTTAGAGCAAGTTCAACCGTTCGTCCTGGTCCAATCAAAGCTTGTTTATCTCTGCGAGTGTTTACCTGCAGTGTACCGCAATAGGTCCAGCATCCAGGATGCTCTCCTGTTTCAGGTTCACCTCCTCCAAGAAGTCCAGCACGCCGCCGGGGTCAGTGGGAACTCCGTGGTCCGGCCAGGCCCTGAAGTGGTACTGCCAGACCGTTCGCTCCGTGTTCCCCTGAAAAACAGAAGAAAACCCGCTTTAAACCAGGAGGCATCTGAGTGACATGTTCAGGCAGGAAAACCGTCCATCTGTTATCTCCATGAAAAGTGATTTCCCACCTCCTCCTTCATCTGACTCTGTCTCTCCCCCCCCCCCATGTTCAAAAATAGCTCCTGCGTTTCTCATTTTCAGAAAAAGCTCTGTGACTCTGCGGCTCTCAGAACATGACTCAGACAGGAATACTCAGAGCCTTCGTCAGGAACTATTTTCAGCTGCAGTTGAATCACTTCGGAGTCTTTGGGGACTATTTCCAGCAGCAGGAGGGAGCGAGGGGGGACCGGGTCCAAATGAACTACAATGCAGTTGTTCATCTTAATAAAGGGACATGTCAGCCGGTCAAACAGAGCCACTCATTGATGTGATTTTATACAGCTGAGGGATCTGAACTCATCAGGCTTCAGAAACACATATCAGATTGTTCAGCAGGATAAATCCCTTCACTCTGAAGTTTGAGTAAAACACGAAACTTTAAAAAGAGTTTAAAACGACTGAAAGATCATGTGTTTCTTCAAATTAGTTTAAGATATTTTCTACAGCAGGACTGAGGGTCTAAATTTTACCCCAAGAGAAGTGGATCTGTCCTGGAAGAGTTCTTTGCAAAGGTTCAGGGTGTTTCTGATGGTCCAGGAAAAGATCAGCTGGACTTCTATCTTTTGCTGAAGTGAAGGGTTCCTCACAGGAGTTTTAAATGACTTTGTTGGAGTCTATTGATTCTTTGTATTATTATTTGAATTATTTGGAAATGCTACAGATAATGATTATTGTGAATTAATTATTTTTCATTTCTTTGCTGCTCACGTCCCTCCTCCTGTGATTAGGGAGTGAGGACAGCTGGTTTCTTTTGGTTTTGCTTGTTGCTGACGGAGTGAGGCAAGTGAGGAGTTAAACAGTTTTATCTGCGGCTAAATTACGTTTTTAATTTTGCTCATTGTTTGAAGTCAACCCAGAGGATATTTTTGTTCGCTTAAATAAATTCAAGATTCCTCTTTTCAAGCTGAAATGTGCTTATTATTTAGCGAGTCATAGACCTCCTCCTCACAAACTACTCTGATGTTTTTTTGACCTCTTTGTTAAACGCAAGAGTAGCTCTATCAAACTTCAATTCATAAGAAAAAAAGTTATTTTTATCAGAGCCTGTATCTGGATTCTTTCGAGCGTCTATCTGTTGAAAGTTCATCTTCAGTTTTCTAGACTTTGCTGAGACTTGTTTGAGCTTCAGCTTGAGCCAGAGCTAAAAATATTTAGGACTCAAAATCCAGGTCAGCTTTTTTTCATCTGTGTTTAAAAAAGGAGAAAGTGTGGACTCCTAAGTAAGATCACCACCTCAGCTTACCTGGCCGACTTTGGACAGTTTGAGTTCTCTTAAGATGTAGTCGTGTGCAGCCGTTTCTTTGACGTTTCGGACCCGCATTGCTCCGTACTCCTTCAGAGCCGACATGTCAGGCCAGTATTTCACACACTTACTCTGCAGAGACACAAAACTCTCACTTTAGTCAAAACCCAAACTACTTCATTTTGTCTCTTCTTGATCTGTAAGTTTCGGTCTGCGCACCTTCCCTCTCTCCACCTCCTTAGTCGTCATGACGATGACTCGCGAGTTCTCCTGGAACACCATCCTCCAGAAGTCACTGATGGTGTTCTGCAGACAGCCCTGAGTGGCGATGTAGCTCTTCTTCACCTTGGTGCTGTTACACTTAGAGTCCAGCTCCGGCTGCGCAGACAGACAAACAAACACAGACTTACTCAGCTGTAACACTACAAACACACATGGGAATAATGACAGCAGATCATGAGAAAACGTGTGTGAAAACGTGGTGATGACTCTGATCAGACGTCTACCCGTATCTAAGTTAGTGCTCTGAATCCTGTGGAGGTTAAACTCTGAACTGTGTTTAGAGAGTACAGATATAATCGAAGGAATTTGGAAACGGAACACTAGTCCTGACTCACTCAAACTATCAAATCTCCAAAACTAAGTCCAAATCATGTGGGTGAAAATGTGTATGTGTGAGTAGGTGTCCCCTGAGGATGAAGTGAGTTTACCATGACAGCAGATACTACCATGATGATATTGGCGTTGATGTAGTCAGAACCGGGCTCATTTGGGTCCCTGTCATTCAGAACCACACGAGTGTGGTCGACTGAAACACAAAAAGGAACAGTTAAAATCCACACCAGGTGAGGATGTTCGTGGTTTCAAAGTGTGAGAGTGAAAAAAGAAAAGGTTCCTCACAGGGCAGGATGTTCTTGTATCTGTTCTTGTTCTTGTTCTCAGGTCTCTGGCCCTCTTTGCGGCTGTAGAGCAGTTTACACTCTTGCTGCTGTAAGGTCTGGATGGAGGAAAACAACACGAGTCAGACTTTAGGAGGGAAAAACCCAAACACAGGTGAGGACAGGTGGAGCACGCTTACCTCAAACTCCTCCCAGAAGCCCTGCTTGACCTTGTCTGTGGCCTCGGCTAGTTTGCTCAGCTCCCGAACTCGACTCTCAATCTCTGCGGCGTTAATACGAGTAGTGTTGAGCGGCTGTAGGGAGGAGTAGGAGGAGTAGGAGGAGGAGGAGGAGGAGGAGGAGGAGTCAGCGCAGGTGTTAAAAAACTAGGTTTTCTTTTGTTATAGAGGATCTTTGAAAGTAGAGGTACCTGTTTGAGCTGCAGCACAGTGCCCAGAGTCTCCACCATGGGGTTCTTCTTGTAGTGCTCCACCAGGTCTGTGAGGGAGTCGAACTTCTCCCCTCCACCAACGTCGTACTTCAGGTCATGCTGAGGGAAAAAACACAGATACTTGAATTTGACAGGCAGGAGACGGTTTATACAAGGGAGAGGAAAGTTTCTGTCCAGGTTTGAGCTTTGGGAGAAAGAAAAGGTTAAAAACACTCAAAATGTAACATTTATGGAGCTAAAAATCTGATTCAGCTCCACTGCACTGGATTTCCAGTAATTACTAGGGCTTTTCCCCCGATTTGATTCTTCTACGATTTTTTGGATGATTTAAATTGTGATTCTGTGATATTGTTGATTTTGAGTCTGCATTTTTAACACCAATAAAACAGTTGAATGATTATGATTGTCTACTTTCTATTTCAGGAACCATATTTCCCCAAAAAATACACATCACATGTAAGTCAGTTTTTAAGATTTATTCTTAAATTTGAAAAAAAAAAAAAAAAAAAAAAACGATTTAAAAATTGTAAAACAAAAAATTGTGATAATTATGTGAATTGTTTTTTTCTTCCACCTCCAAGTAACTACTGATCACTCAGAGCTTTGAGGCTCCACATCAGAGAGACCGAGACCAGGACCTGTCAGGGGGAGGAGAAACCTGGTCTGGTGCCAGCCTGTCGACCTCCTGCCTCCATTAATCTAATGATGCTGGTGTTTAAAAGTCATTACGTGTTAACATGAAGGAAAATCAATATCAGCCACACTGTCCTGCAGCGGCGGCTGCTGAAAACCTGCATAATGAGGACGCTGACCCTGCTGTCACTGGTTCACATGACGAGGACCACAAAGGACCCTCAGTGTTTGAAACATGAGAAGAAATCACATTAAAAACCTTTAAGGTCCTTCAGATCCACTTAAGGCTCCTGGAGTGATTTCTGAGTGCAGTTTGAACCTGGTCACACTCGGCTGAGGGTTATTAATAAATCAGATTTCAAGTGAAATCTGAACAAACAACAAAAACAGAAAAACTCTGATTTACATTCAACTGTTTCAAATAGTCTCAGCACATACTCAGTTCTGATTGGCTAGAGGGCATCAGTTCCCTTTAGATAGCTTTTCAATCCAAATTAAAACACAGCAGCCATGCATAAGATGGGTTACCAAGGCAACAGTCCAAAATTTATTTACTTAAAAAACAAAGTGATCAAACTCAGTTTTCGTTACTCAAAATCTTCTGGAAGTAGCGTAAATGTTTCAAAATAAAAGCATGCTATGATGTGACAGGGGATAATGCAATCCTAACGCAAGGCAGTAACACTTTTAAAATAAAAGCATGACAAAGCCATGGCTTATGACAGGTTGTGTGTCATCTACAGCAGTTAAAATCACGTCAGAGGAGTTTGTCGATCTGTAGAATCGCAGAAGAAAATGTCGAGTTTTTGTTCAATTAGAATTTTCTCCTAAACAGACATGTAACTTTAAATATCATTATAAAAGGAAGACAGTCACTTAACTGTCTTTATTGGTAGAGCAAACAGCAAACAGAATCATGTACCGGAACAACTAGTTGGATTTCAGTCGGACTAATATTTACACATTTTTTCCAAAGGTCCAGTTTCAGTCGGACTGATTGTGGTGTTTTTTTATTTTCAATTTTTCCATAAAAAATATTATCACTGTGAATCTTTTAAACCTATGATGGAGTATTAGGGTCACATTAAGAAAAAAAATAAAGACTTTGAGATTAATTTACGAGAATAAAGTCATTACTTGCGAGAATAAAGTCGTAATAAAGTAATCACTTAAGAAAATAAAGTCAAAATAAAGTCCTTATATTCTAACCTGTTGTTTAAGATGACAGTTATTGAAATGAGAGCTGTGGAGCATTTCATGAAAATGTTCTTCAATATGTTTCTCAAACAAGGAGATACTTAATCTTTTGGCACATCAGCACCACTCTATCGTAAGTATTATAATGATTTTATTATGACTTTATTTTCGTTAGTAATTACAAAGTCTTAATTTTTTTTTCTCCTTATGTGGCCCTAATACTCCGTCATATAAACCAGAGTAATCCTGAGGTGAAAACGTGATATAACAGTAGTCTGAATTTGGACTCTCGTGATTTAAAAAAACAAACCAGGCAGTGAACCAAACAACAAACTGCATCCTAACATCTGTATCTCTGAGTGTCACACCCTCACAGACACACTGAGGCAAACATAAATATACGGAAACAGAGGAGGGGGTTGGGTTGGGGTGGGGGTGTCTACCTGGCAGCGGATCATGACGTGAGTGACTTTGGGTTTGCTGTCGCTGCTGTCCGTCTTGTCATCTCCTGTGCGCACAGACAAGACAAAGTCCCCCGGGTGACTCTGGCTCTCTCTCACCAGGAAGCTGCCATTCTTCCCTTTCTCCGTCAGCAGCTTCTCGGCCTCCCTGCCTGACAAGTGTCCGTGAAACCACCTGAGAATAAAAACAACAAACCATGATGTCTGGACCAGAAGCTGCTGCAGGTTAAACATTTACAGAGTGGATCCAATGAGGAGGAGGAGGAGGAAATGTTGATGAACATAACCAGGAACAGTCTGCTGCCTGCAGGGCTGATAACCACCACACCACCACTTCCTCTTTTATGACGAAGAAAAATAAATGTCAGAGCAGCTCATTAATGCTTGATAATGACATGCAGCGTTATGAAGTTTAGCCACTGAAGGACGACGAGTTATTTAACCTTTGACGAAACTCTGGGTTTAAAGATCCAGTCAGGAGTTTTTTATGTGCATGAAAATAAGTGGTGTTAATGTTTTTTATGATTTTTAAAAGAAAACAAGATCATCAGATACACAAGATCATCTGTTTTTTAGTTTCATTTTTAATGCCTGAAAGTAAAGGGAGGGGGTAGGTGTCAACTGAGGGAACAGTCTATTTTTACAATTTCAACAAGTAGTATTCTCAAGAGTCAAAAAGACGAGACTTTTGGTCAGAAAACACTACGAGAAAACAAGATAAAGACTAAAAGGTTCCTCACAGGAACTTTTAGTTGTGAAAATTTGTAATCAAAAATAAAATAAAACTCTTGAAACTCTGAAATTCCTAGCCCATTATTAGAGTTTTAAAGCTCCTGTGAAGAACTTTATGGTTGTATAAGTTATGGCGCCCCCTGTGGAAGAAGCAGTCCTTTACATGTGTCCAAACAAAAAAAAAATCTTATTTGATGATTTAACACATCAATTTTTAAGACTAATTTACGTGAAATTTGTAAAAACAGGGCTGTTTTCCTGAATCATGTTGCTGCTGATCGTCATTGCTTTTCAAAATCCAAAAAAAGGCATAAATATAAACTTAAGTCTATTCCATGGATGCCAAAAAAGTCCCTCACAGCAGCTTTAAAGCTCCAGTGAGGGACTTTTTGGGGTTTATGTCTACTCTGGCACCCCTGTGGACAAAGCGATACCTCTTCTCCTTTATTCTGTTCACGTAACAGTAGCAGTGTTTTCTTTTAGCAGTGAAATGAATCAGTTTTTCTGAGTGGTTGCCATAGAAACCAAAAGCAGCTGTTCCTTCAGTCAGCTGTTAAAACTCCTGACAGTGCCTTTTAAACGAATAATAACAGAACACCTCTGTAGTACTCAGACTGACACCGAAAGGTAACCTCTCGTGTCGTCACTCACCTTTCTGAGGTGGGGTCTGCACAGTTGAGCGGGTACTTGAGTTCGATGACGTCTCCATTCTTCTCTTTTAGTTGCCCATGATGCTCCATGTAATACTGCACCAGCTCCGCCAGAGTGGCGAACTTCTCCCCTCCGTAGAGGTCGTAGTAATCTCCTGTGTTCTGGATCTTGATGTGGGTGACGGCTCCATTTCGCCTGCGGAGGGAAAAACAGGATCAGTCGATGAGATGCTGCCTTCAGGGACACCGAGCAGAGTCTGACAAGAAGCTCGTGGTGCATCTCAAACATCTCTAAGTATCTGCTTATTTAGTCTAACATCATGACTATAAATACTGCAGCCCCTCTCTCTGTCTCTTCATGTTTAGCATCTCTACAGGATCCTCTTCTTGAGTGTGTGTGTGTGTGTGTGTGTGTGTGTGTGTGTGTGTGTGTGTGTGTGTGTGTCATCTTCATGGCTGTTTGTTGTCTTTATTTAATGATATCTAAAGTCTGGTTGAGACTCTGTATTCATTTACATCTGAAACCAGAAGCTGAGATCCAGTTTTAGTGGTCACCAGGACACCTTTGGAGACGCATGTAGAAGCTGTGTGAATGTGCACGTGCTTGGTTTAGTCCACGTGTGATCAGATCACCCAGGAAATATGTTCAAACCAGCTTTAAATAAACTCTTCTTCTACCGTCTGAAACTATTTTCAAAATAAGCAAAGATCGTTTTAAAGCAAAGTTTATAAAAACACTGTCAAGATCTAGCTTTTCTGAGTCTTCTGAGGCAGTAAACTAAATATCTACAGGCTCGAGCTGATGGCTAGAGAAAACAATCATATAATTATACTATTATTTATTCATTTGAGTTACTTTAGGGTCATTTTTGCCTTAATTAAGAAGAAGAAGAGAGAGAGTAGAGAGTGAGACTGTTGCAACAAAGACTGTGAGCCCTGAACATACAGTATGCTTTTAGCCAAACTAGTGCCCCGAGTCTCTGTTCTTTAAGTAAAAAAGATCTCAAACCAGTCCATCTTAAACGGATTCAGGTCTGAGAAGTCCCGGATTCTTCTGGATCCTGTTTTTATGAAGTTCCCTCTTTGTATCGAACAGTTTCAACCTGCATTTGTAGATAATGATTAATTGTGATTTTGAGCCCATGCGGTGATTACCACTCCAGAGCCATGTCTGTTTTTTGAGCAATGCTGCCTGATCACAGTCTTCAAGATCAGTTTTCAGCAGTTACATGATTCAGAAAGTTAATATCATATTCAGGAGGACTACACCAATGATTAAACTCTTTTTACAGAACTTTAAAATTTAGTTGTCCGATTGTCCATACAACTCTGAAAATGACGTGCATTTCTGTTTGTGGTGTTAAACTCTGGAACAGCCTGGATGTCACTTTAAAAATGCCCTACAACATAAAGATATTGATCAAACTATAGAGAAGTATGAAAAGATTCATATAAGTAAACTTACAAAAAATATGATTTTACTCTATATACTTGATTGCACAAAAGTAGTATTAATTCTGAATATTATAACACTGATTATTATGATAATATGCGAATAATTATAATAAGTAGCGTATGTAGTGTTGAGCAGATATCTTTGTGTATAATATGTAGGTTTTTATACAGATCTTTGTAATTGATACAAATAGATTTTTTTTAAATCTCTAATTTGAAAGGAAGGGACAGGACTAGATAAGCTCTTTGCTTCATTCTGCTCCTTCTCAAACTGTTTATTTTGACATACATATGTTGTGTAAATTTATCTTTGACATGTACTGTTGTTTGGAGTACATATGTATTATCTTGTTGTTCTATTGTTTTGTTTCTAGTTGTTTTTTGTTGTTGTTCTTAAAGTCTGAGATAAAATACAAAGAAAGAAAGAAAGAAAGAAAGGAAGAAAAAAAGAAAGAAAGAAAGAAAGAAAGAAAGAAAGAAAGACAGAAGAAAGAACATATGATGAGGAAAACAACAGTTTGACTCATTTAATACTCATATCATCGAGTTACAGTTTGTCTAACTCAGCACTTTCTGGTTATTCCATCTAATCTTAATGTAGAAAGTAGGGCCCGACCGATTTATCAGCTAACCAATTGAATCGGCCAATTTTAGCCCGTTTGAGACTAATCGGTAATTGTCCAAAACTCAGCGATTTTCACAGATATTTTCAGAAATAAAATGCAGAGAATAAGATTCGGTTTCAATTCGAAAATGTTTCGCCATTGAAAAGTTCCCTGACTTATGCTGTAGATGGCGCAGCAACCTCATGACAATCTTCATACATTAACTACCTCACAGCACAGCAGAGTGACGGATCTGAAGCAGGCAGCTCAGGGACGCATGGAGGAGAGTGGTCCGACTCAACGGTAAATAAACCAGTTTGTGAAATACACAATAAGTCAACAAGTTTCAGTTCAACCCACTTCACGATGTTCCCCACTGTGCTGGTCTCGGTCACGCTGAGTAAACAGTGAAGCATCATGTAATATGCAAGCTAAAGTTAGAGTTAGCCACCTGCTATTAGCCTTGCTACACTGTTAGCTGTGCCAGTAACGGTAGAATAAAGAACAGTAGTTGAAAATGCTTTTATGGTCCGAGTTTGATCAGTCTGTCTTCCTGTCGGCGTGAAGAGCAGTAATCTATAGTATACTGTAGATATCTACAGTATATAGTATATCTGTAGATATCTACAGTATATATACATTTTTTACAACTTCATACAAAATTATTAAAAATCGTCCGATTAATTGGTAATCAGATCCCCCCCCCCCCCCCCCCCCAATAATTGGTATCGGCCCCAAAAAAATCCATATCGGTCAGGCCCTAGTAGAAAGGAGGATTTAGAGTGTTTTTGTATAGTACTTTTTTCATCCGAGCTTAAGACTGTGAGTGAGTGTTGAACTGTTTGAAACCACATCGGTCCATCAGAAGTCTCTAAAATCCCAAATATGAGCCTTTTACACCCTGAAGACTTGGTCTCATCTACTCCATCCATCATGATTAAAACAAGCGAAGTGTTGGTTCAACATGCAACAGTCCGAGCGTGGGTGTCCTCTCTATTATTAACAGCAGGTGAGAGACAAACAGAGATTTATATAATGAAACACGTGTCTTAATGTGAAACTTCAGTGGAAAAAGGATGTCTGAGTGACACAAACCAGATAGGCGGTAAACTGTGTTGAGTCACTGTCGGTGACCACCATTACATCGGAAAATAGAAAAAGGAGAACTTGTGGCCGATCTGGAGCTCGGTCTGTTTGAATGACTTCAGTTAAAGTGGATCTGAATGTGCTCAGAGAGAGAGAGACAGGCGGACAGAAGTGAGGCGTTCTGACCCGAGCGGCTGGGACCAGCGAGTCAGTCTGTTCGGAAACGTCTCGGCACGGGGAGCATGACTTGTTTTGTTTCCATATGAAGTAAATCTAGTCCCAGATGAGAGGCTGCACAGCTTCAAAATATGCGTCTGTTACTTAAATAACATCGGTTACATCAGCTGAACAGAGTTAATGATACTTCATCTGAAAAATTTATGACTCGACAGGCCCCGAGATAAAACCACGACTTTTTTTCTATTAGCAAAAAGCTCCTTGGCCTTGTTTGGATGCTGCCGCTTTCCCACAACCTTTCAGCGCACGGTCCAACTTCAGAGGGAGCGGGACTATTTTTATCCTCATTATTCCCACATCAATAAAAAGTGTGAATAATTCTGCACATTTACAGTAGCATCATTGATTCGTCAGGATTCTTGAGGGCAGCAGAGTCGACTGAAAACACACTCAGACGTTATATTACAGCAGATTGGAAACTATTTTCTCCTTTTCTTGTCTGAAAATTTTCAGGAAAAGGTGCAAAAGTTTTTTTTCCAAATCCAGAAATAATGTCCCCAAAAATATCTCTTACTTTGTCGTCATGTCAGAACATCTCATAAGGAGTTAAAGACTTCAGAAAACATTCATTAACAGATGCTAATTTGCTGATTAGCAGTTGTAGCTTCACATCCGATCAGCCTTTATATTTACTGCATCATAAACTCTCAGCTGTATTTTTTGTCAGCATCTTTAAACAGATGTTGTTTTTTTTATGTGTCTGGCTCCTGGAACACAAAATAAACAAGTTATGTAATAAACGTTAAATTTGTCTGCTCCTCGTCTTATCGTCACATCAGATCAGCAGTTTTTACTCACTTTATCCATGAAAACAGACGTTTATCAGGATCAGAGAACAGTCAGTCTGGGTGAAATCAGAGCGTCTGTTTGTTTCTTTTTCCATCAATGTTTAGTCCAAAAAGTCTGTTTGTGGGGATTTCAAGTGTCATTATTACATATTACAAGCTGCCTTTTCACACAGTCTTACTCTTGATCTAATTTCTAGACTGTCATGAACAATTAAACTTAATCCAGTTTGTACATATAAGTACAATCCACATCGTATTTCAGCTGTAAAGGTTGTAAAGTTTTAACTTAATGCTTGTTTTGTTTTTCTAACTCTATATTTAGAACTGCACATGTGAACTGTAATCTAATTTCTGACTTGATTGGTTGGTAGCAGACTTGTTTGACCCTCTGCCCTCAGACAGGCGGTACAGGCCAATAAAAACAGGTATGAACAGACTCAGGAACGGCTCTTTCCCTCAGGCCTTCCAGTCTCTCAGTCATCACGCCTAATGACTCCATAACCCTATTTCACAAGCAGATTCATGCAGGCTGTGCAATATTATAGATCACCTGTTTATTTCATTGATTCATGTTTGAGACTGATTTGATTTGAAATTCTTTAATGTCCCCTACGGGCAATTTGGTTTGCAACAGAAGATAAAACACACACACAATCCTCACATTAAAGATAGAAAGCATACAGCAGAAATAATATAAATGAATACATGTGAATACATAGAGTTAGCACAATTTCATGGATGAATTGTTCCCATCAATCTCACCTACAGCTGACTCAAAAAACCAATGGCTGTTGGGGCGAAGGATTTAAAATACCTGTTTGATTTGGCTTCGCAAGTAAAAGTGAACCTTCTCTTTGAAATTCTGTATGGAGAGGATGGAAGGGGTTTGCCAGAATGGCCTTTGCCCTCTTAGTGACTGGATTTAAAAACAGAGTCAGCAGTGTACTCTCTTCATATCATGTCCTCAATATAAACTGAATTTTAGTAGAGGCTGCTCTTTTTTTTCTAATATGGTGGTAAAATGCACCAAATACCCTAGCCCACAATTTCCACCGCATCCAGAACAGCTACGAAAAGGCTGTATACGCCGATCGCACCTGATCGTAGCCAGTCAAGGTAATGTGTCAATTTCCACCGGCTTTTTTCTGTTCCGCTGCGGATCGACGGACTCCACAGCTGATTGCAAGAGTTCTATTTTTTCTGGACACCAGGGCATGCCAGATAAATTCAGCACAGATTAACCCGTGCTGGAAAGGAAGTCTGGCACAGACACAAAATAAAACATTCGGCTTCTTTTCAAAATAAAACGCTCTGTGTAACAGGCGGAGACACCATGGATGAGGAGAGGCTGATTCTAAAAGTCTACTAGTAGAATTCCACCTCTAGAAGGACACAATCTACTGCTTATATGGTTATGTGGCTGTTTTTATAGAGACAACTCGTTATCGCGCGACTGCACATGAATCCGCGGGTTCTTGTGAGTTCTTGCGATTCCTGCTGTCCATAATCCACCACGAAATTCACCTCACCAACGGATCCAGTAGGAGTTGGCGGACGGCGAAAAATCACTGCCATTCCGGATCGGAGCAATTCCGGATGCGGTGGAAATTGGGGGTAACTGCACAGTCTAAGTGTAAAACAGGAAATACTGATAGTGTCCACTCACCGTACTGAGAGGGTGAAGTCTCCAGGGTTACTTTTACTGGGTCTGGCCAAAAAGCTCCCGTCCACTCCCCGAGTCAGCAGGAGGTTTTCAGCCTCCACACCTGTGATGTTGGGGTGAAACCACCTGCAAGAAGAAAGCACACAGCAATCTTTTAACAGCTTGGTTGTGAAGGTAAAGCTTGTCTCCTTAAACTCTGTGGAGTCACTTTTGTGTCAAAAAGATAATGATTTTAAAACCAAACTCAATACATACCTTTTTAGTCTTGCTTTTACTAAATTTGATATCATTACCTTTAAGTGTTTTAGCATTTATCTCTTTGTAGTTTTAATGACAGGATTGTCTTTTATTGACTTATTTTGGTGTTCTTCTTTTAGTATCTTTTACTGTTGTTATTATGCAATTTTATTTATTATTTCTTAAATTTCATTTTGTTACTTTGTTCTTAGATTTTAAACTAAACCTCCAGTGTTTTCTTGAGTACTTAAAATGACATTTCCTCAGTGTACACACATTCCTGGTTATATAAAATCAAGCCCTTTTTCAGTTTATGCATTTTAATACATGTTTCTGTTGTGTTTAGATCATGGGGTTGAGGTAGATTTGGGTGTTCTTTGTTTCTTTTACTCCTTTTTCTGTGTAAATTACTTTGTGCTACATGGTCGTGTATGAAAAGTGCTTTATAAATAAAGACTAATTGATTGATTGATTGAAAAATGAGGCTCTGCTCCTAGCATGTTATGGTCCCAAAGTGCAGCTGTGCTCCTTTAGTTTTATAAGAAACACACAAACAGTAAGAACAAGTTCAATCTATCATGCATGCCTACTTTCTCTCTGTCTATGCCTTTCTTTTCCCTTTTTTCCACCTCAGCATGTAGGAGGAGGCTCCTTTAAGCGGCACCATCAGCTATTTTTGGACTTTTTTCTCTTTTTTCTTCCAGTCAGAGAAAAAACCTTCAGTCAGAGCTTCATCTACGATTTCATCCTCTTCTCCTAAATATAGATTTCAATCTGTTTATGTAACACTAGTATAGCTATAGGGGTCTGAATGTTTAGAGTGAACCTGAACATGTCCAGATTTAACCCTGAATCACCGGTCTGAGCTCAATGAAGCAGTTTTTTTTTCCAGAAACTTCGGCTCTCTTTACAGCCTGTTTACTGACACACCAACACCCCAAACATTAGAGTTTGGTCAAAGTTAGCTCCCCCAGCTAGCACCATCAGCAGACATTGTTTTCCACACAGACCCCCACCCCCCCTCCTCCTCCTCTCTCACCTCCGAGATGTCATTTTTTCGCTCCTCACTTCCTCGCTGGCAGTTAGCTTTAGCTACGATCAGCTGGCTAACGTTTCCGACCGTTTCTGCTTCGATCACGGGCTAAAGTGCTTCATCGGCTCGAACCCGATCAAAACGGGCACCGAAATCTGGACATCGAGACCAAATTTCGGGAGCGGGCGTTACAAAAAAAAAAAAACTCTGTAGGCCTCGGCCCCGGAGACTTCAGAGCAACGAGTCGATTGTTGGACGTCACCAAACATGCGACAAAACAGAGAGTGCGCGGTAGGGATGGGGCGTTCGAAAACGATTCAGCTTTATTAACCGACTCTGTCAATTAAACAAGGGAACCGTTTATCATTTTTGGTTAAAGAAAAACACAACATATTAATCATATTATAATATTGAAAAAATTCCCAAACGAAAATGTCTCAAATTAAGGCCAATAATTTTAAGTTTAAACTTTTGGTTGATGTATTGCAGCTTTCGATGGCCGAATCATCTGATCCGAATATAGGGCAAGCGCTAAAATAACTTTTGTAGATGTAGCCGTCTTGTTTCAGGCCTCCAATTTAGCTTTTTTCTGACTTGGTAACTGAAACGCTGGGAACTCGGGTGTGACGTCACTTTCAGCTCCAACATCTGACTTCCGAGTTAACTCAAACGCCACATATGGTAGCCCTTTCATTAAATACAAAAACACTGAATACTAAAAAAGTCTCAACATTTCAACAAAACATTGAATAAAACACATATTTTCTTCTGAAACTCGAATTTTAACCATTAGGTGTGATTCTTTTTTGTTCAAACTTTGTCATAAAAAATAAAATTCAACAAAATGCAAAAGGTGTTTTGACAAAAACAAGATTATAAATGAAACAAAACATAATTACATTAAACAACAATTCACGAAATATACAAATATTGTGTTTTTAAGAATTTGTTTATATATGTATATGTATATATATATATATATATATATATATATATATATATATATATATATATATATATATACATTATTACACTTCTTCTAGATTTCATAGAAAATACTTAGATTTTGGAAAGTGTTTTTATGCTTCATTAAATGTTTTTTATTTCATTTATATGTTTATGTGTTATCAAACTTTTTCTACATTTCTTTAAAATCCTTGCATTTTATAAGGTGTTTGTAAGCTTCATTAAATGTTTTGTGAAATGTTTATTGCATGTCAGTTTGTTTTTTTTTAAATTTTTATCCAGGCCATGAAATGTTATTTGCATTGCCACCATAACCTCATATCCTTATGCATATTTATTCTTGCATATTCCCTTGATCAGAACCACTGGGATTTTGATGCTATAAATATATGAAAGAACTTGCAAATAAAAACTCATATGAATCAACTATAGCATTTTATCATTTTGGATATTTTTGTTACACAAACATAAAATTGTGGTATTCTGGGAATTTAAAGGGTTAGACTAAGTATATCTTTTGCTCAAAATATATGAAAACATATTTGCATTGATTAGTCAAAACATTTGTTAAACGGTTAAAGAAAATGTGTCTGTTTCTACGGCTGATCCGAGTCAAAAGATGTGATTCACTGCTAAGAGCTGAAATCCCCATCCCTTGTGAGAGTACTCTTTTTCTCATCTGTTCTTAAACTGTTCTTCGCTGAAGCAACGCCCCCTTTAAAAAAAATCCTACAGAGCTCAGGCCGTCGGTGAAACTGTGTCACATTGTTGGGGAAATCCTCTTTCATTAACTGCTCATCAAGGCACAGGCGGCACAAGCGGTAAGGGTCGCGAAGGAAGTCCAGCCGAAATTGGAAGCGTCTTCCGCTCCAGCGTCATATCGAAACATTCCGGAGCCCACCGCGGACACCGCACATGTCACGTGATCCCTTATTTATAACAGTGCAAAATTATGACAACCCCAAAAGGCAGAAATTCATCATTTCATACTTGATGCTACAGCTAAATGATCAATGTGAGGTTTATTGAACTAAATGAGATGAGATACAAAAAGGTCAAAACTGAAACTAATTTTTTAAACACTAATTATTTTTCTTTATAGGAACCAGAATAAGCAGGCTGTCAGAATAAAATAACATGCTGAAGAAAAAGATTTCTTGCAGTTCTTTTGATTGCAACCCTTTTGGAACCTGCACAGTTTGGTAATCAAAGATAAAATATTCCCAAATGTGCCAAAGAGTTTAGTTTTTGTTGTTGTGGTATCAAAATAGCTGTAACATTGAATTTGCTTGTGTCACATTTAAAATCCTAGTATCATGGCAGCTCTCTCTAAGATATTAATGCACAGCAAAAATGTTAGTTTTGTCAGTGCTGGGTGAGTATAACAACCTAAAAAGTAAAAACCCTGTGCTGTAAGCATGGAGAATAAGCTACTGAAAGTCGTTTTTTATAAAAATGCTGCATGGTTGAGACTCCTAGGTGGGCACATGCATGTCAGATTAGCTGCTAAACCTTCTGATAATGCCGTCCGAAAACCCAAGACTGTGTCCAGCATTTCTGTCATGCAGCTGCAGCAGTAAAAGTGAAGACAGAGTGTCACTATCTGACAGCTGAAACAGTGTGAATATTCTTTGATGCAGGGAGGCCATGCAGAGGCAGAGGAGAGATATGGTGCTGTGAATCTTATTCTCACAATGAGTGTTAATAATTTATAATTATCTTGCATGCACACAAAATAAAAACTTGCAACCACAAGATAATATTTTTGAGCACACATTATTGTTATCTTGTCTTCCAAAGATAAGTGGCCGTGACTTGTATGCTCAGATTCTTACCAGTTTTCATTTGGTAATTATACTGTGAACACAAGTAAATAGGCTGAGGGCCCCGTATAGAACTAGGGACTTCAGGAGCTCTGGAGTATACAAATATTGTGCAGTGCAAACGTAATCACATTAAGAAAACATGGTACTACGAAGCCAAGAGAGAGAGTTAATTTACTGGTAGTGTGTGCAGTTCATTTCAGGGCGAAACATTTTTTTTTTTTTTCATCACTTTAAGATCTAGGTTTCTCAGTTTATCTAATCACACTTGGACTGATAACGATAGTTATTTAGCGCGGCTTTAAGCCAATATGTTGTAGTACTAGTATGTTAAAAGTAATGAGATTATACGGTGGCCGAGGACTGCCACAGCTGCAAATAATAAAGAATGCAAAAAAAGAACGCCACTGCTGCAGAAAAAAAACAAAAAACAATGCCCACTGCAGTTCAACTTCGATATGAAGTTGCCGGTGTGGTGTTAGCTTCAGTTCAACTTCATATCCACTCAGGCACAACATGGCCTAACCAAATGATATGTTTAAAAAGCGCACAAAGCGAAATCAAACAATAATCTTTCCACTTACTTCTTTGCTTGTCTTCTCACCGTCGTCTTCTGTGCCTAAATTGTAAAACACTGGTGCATCATCATTGGTCCCTAGCAGCTCACTTCTGTCGTCGTCGTTGTTTTCTTGCACTTATCCGGGTCCGGGTCGCGGGGGCAGCAGCTTCAGGAGGGAAGTCCAGATGGTCCTCACCCCAGCCACTTCCACCAGTTCCTCCGGGGGGATTCCCAGGCACTCCCAGGCCAGGCGAGAGATATAATCCCTCCACCTGGTCCTGGGCCGGCCACGAGGTCTTCTTCCGGTAGGACATGTCCAGAACACCTCTAATAAGAGGCATCCAGAAGGCATCCTAACCAGATGCCTGAGCCACCTCAGCTGACTCCTCTCAACGTGGAGGAGCAGCGGCTCTACTCTGAGTGTCCAAGCTCCTTACCCTATCTCTAAAGCTGAGTCCGGCCACCCTGCGAAGGAACCCATTTCAGCTGCTTGTATCTGTGATCTTGTTCCTTCGGTCATTACCCAAAGTTCATGACCATAGGTGAGGATCGGCACGTAGATCGACCGGTAAATCAGGAGTCTCCCCTTATGGCTCAGCTCTTTCTTCAACACAACAGATCAGTTAAGCGTCTGCATCACTGCTGACGCCGCTCCGATCCACCTGTTGATCTCCTGCTCCATCCTACCCTCACTCATGGACAAGATCCTGAGATACTTGAACTCCTCCACTTGTGGCAGGACTGCCCCTCCGACCTGGAGAAAGCAATATACCTTTTTCCGACTGAGGACCATGGCCTCTGACTTGGAGGTGCTGATTCGCATCCCAGCCGCTTCACACTCGGCAGTGAACCGCCCCAGCAAGAGCTGAAGGTCACTGCTCGACGAAGCTAGAAGAGCCACATCATCCGCAAAAAACAGCAACGCGATCCTATGCCTGCTGAACTGGACACCTTCCACCCCCCGGCTGCGCCTAGAAATTCTGTCTATAAAGGTTATAAACAGAACCGGTGACAAAGGGCATCCCTGGCGGAGTCCAACTCTCAATGGAAACTAGTCCGACTAAAGGACGACTAGTCCGACTAAAGTTAAGCGTCTGCATCACTGCTGACGCCGCTCCGATCCACCTGTTGATCTCCTGCTCCATCCTACCCTCACTCATGGACAAGATCCCGAGATACTTGAACTCCTCCACTTGTGGCAGGACTGCCCCTCCGACCTGGAGAAAGCAATATACCTTTTTCCGACTGAGGACCATGGCCTCTGACTTGGAGGTGCTGATTCGCATCCCAGCCGCTTCACACTCGGCAGTGAACTGCCCCAGCAAGAGCTGAAGGTCACTGCTCGACGAAGCTAGAAGAGCCACATCATCCGCAAAAAACAGCAACACGATCCTATGCCTGCTGAACTGGACACCTTCCACCCCCCGGCTGCGCCTAGAAATTCTGTCTATAAAGGTTATAAACAGAACCGGTGACAAAGGGCATCCCTGGCGGAGTCCAGCTCTCAATGGAAACTAGTCCGACTAAAGGACATCTTTTTTTTTTTTTCAAACCCATATCCTGTCAATACAAGCGTTCACAACAGCAACATTTTTCCGTCCTGCGATATTGCAGCATTTATGTTTTTGGATCACGGTCGATTTTTCCAAAGTTTCGCATACTGTGTGTCCACTTCTGACCAATTAGATTTCTTGTTGTTGCGACGTCTGATTCACCGGTGTATCCAACATGGCTGACAGGCTGATTGTTTAAGTGTCTGAGAACAGAGTACTTTTTGATAAAAGACACAAACATTACAAAGATAACGACCTGAAGGACAACTTGTGGAGTGTCATAGTGTCGGATTTCTCATATGACAATAGTTTGTGTGCTTTAACAGTTTGCTAAATGTCTTTGTTTTAACTTTCATCTGTGCTAAGTAACTTTAGCTCATTAGCTTACCTGTTCAGATACAACATACCATATGTATTTTCACCGTCTCAAACTCAATCGCGTTGTCCATGTAGATTCTCACATGGACCTCAATCGCGTTGCTGTCACAGCGCCATTAGGTCCCGGTTGATACCTAACATTTATGGATTACAGTTTAATGTGCTTATCTGCTACTGGCCCCGACTAAGTACATGCTTTCATGACAGACAGCCATCTAGTGACACTAGTGTCTAATCAGAAGTGAAAAACAGTCAGTCTGGTTTTGTGTCAGTCTTCTCACTTACACCCGGGACCTCTTTTTCCCCTCGGAAAGTCGCAAAATCGCATTTGGCTTGATGTGTACAGTCAGGTGCGTCAAAATTCGCCTTCAAATATCTGTAATTTCGCGTCGTATATTCGCGTCGGTCCCGGTGTGTAAGGACCTTTACAACCTGCTACACTGACCAAGCTTGTGCTCTTTTGTTAAAGGGATTGAACGGCCCACACTTCCGTTGTGGCTTTTTTTATTTGCATCCTTTTATTTTTGCAGTGACTAACTTTTTTATCCATCACCACTTTTTTTTTTGCATTAGTAACTTTGACTCCTGTTCTTTGCATTTTTGTTTTTTTTGTTTTTGTTTTTTTGCAGCAGCAGTGGCGGTTCTCGGCCACCGTACTCCTTGACAGCTTGGCGCTGCGCACTCCCTGAAGTTTGTCCCTCGCAGCTCTCCGTTTAAGCCCGTACGTGGCAGTCAGAGAGAAGCACACAGCTGCAGCTGAGGCTGATGCGGCTCATCTCCGCAACTCTTCCCTCACACAAACTGACATCCCGGTTTCATTCAGGATACTCTGAAGCAGGGACACTCTCTGTATCGTCAGGTCTGTTGTGACCCCCGCTGGGAATCATCTCAAACATGTTTACTGTCTCGGAGCTGGTGGTCTTGCTGGCCGTCCTGTCTGCCACTGCGTCCGGCTACTTTGTTAGCATAGACGCCCATGCCGAAGAGTGCTTCTACGAGCGGGTCAACTCCGGCACAAAGATGGGCCTTATGTTTGAGGTAGCCGAAGGAGGCTTCCTGGACATCGATGTCGAGGTAAGATCTGTTATTTTGATCAGAATAAAGGAAGCTAACATGAGAGAATTTCTTATTTTTTATAATTAAGCTGTGATTTGTGACCCATTAGGCCCGTGCTAGCTTAAGCTAACCTGCACCGTCTGCGTAACGTCAACTTAAACTCTGCTGACAGACTTGTTCGCTTGTCTTAAACTGACCGCAGCGATAGAGTCAAATATCTGGACTTGGTCAGAATTGATTCTCCTAGATGAGGTCTCCATTGAAGTATGTGTGAATATGCTTAAATTATTCATAACGATATAGGAAGTGCGGCATCAGTGTTTTGACCGGTGTTCTGTCGAACACTGCTACCTGTCAAGATGCGCGATTCAGCGGCTCTTCGCGTATCAGCGCATGCGCAGAACCCCAACCCTGGGCGCTTGTCATCATAGGGAGCGTTATCCGTTAGGGGGGATCTGTTCATTTAAAAATGCTTCCCCTCGAATAATTCAGAAAAAATTCTTAGGAGAGTGCCAAAATAGCCTCCCCTAATTCTTTAAGTTATCCCACTCCTGCTTGTTAGTAAATTAAATACTAAATTGAAAGCTGTCGGTAGCACTTCCTGACAGAGCAGCACAACTCGACAGAACACCGGCCGAGTTAAGCTAGCTCACCATGTAGCAGAAACTGTGATCTCCTCATACGGTCTAAAATAGTATTTTGTCAACCTTGTGCTGAATTTAACCTGCAGATATGTCATTGTAATTTGCCAGAAGTGCACAGGAAAGATAACTTTGCACACATATGAAGCTACCATATGTTACAGCGGACCATTCATTTTAGTAATGTCGTGTCCTCATGCAGCCAGGTCCTTTTTCCTTATTTATTCAAAATACAAATACGGGATTGGCGCATTTGATCATATAATATAGGCACAGGTTCACATTTAAGATAGTGAGAAAAATAAAACTAAAGGTCAAGCATTTAAAACAACTTTGATTGTGATATTATATATACATGAAGAGCCAGGTCTGGTGAATTTGCCTGCAGATGAAAATGCGTTAATAAAGCACACAGAAATTTGGTGTCACACCATGTAGAAAGATCCCAAAACGTCAAATTTTTCCATATTGTCCTTGATAAATCCACGTTATTTCCTATAGGGGCAAATTTTCAGCTGAAAACCCTTTTGGGTAAAGCCAGTCCTGCTCATCCTGCCAGACCACATACCCAAGGGTTGCATAGAAGATGACATAGTTATTGATTTTGCAATATGAGCGTTTGCACTGAATGTATTGCAAAACTCTATTTTTAAGATCATGCTTTTTATACCATTTCAGTGTGATTGCATCAAGCTCCAGCTAGCTGTCAGCAAACCTCAGATTAATTGGTAATAATTTAGTGATGGAAAACCTCGCTTTTGAAAGTATTTTAGGTTCAGAGCAGGAGATGGGTAATAGAAACTGTGGGTTAATAATGCTTATATGCAGTCTTACTGTGACATGATTGAACAATGGCATTGCACAAATTTTCCTTCATGTCCTGCAGGCCTGGTGTTAGATTTTCAGGTGAATATGTGAATCAAGTGTGGAAAAATGAGAAGAAAAACAGACTTAAAATCTGAAATAACTCTTTAATCAGAAACGCCAAAATTTATATGATTCAACTTTTTGTTTGTCATGTTGCAATAATTTTTGCAGAAAGAAAACACAAAGCAGTGTCTGTTTTTAATCTTTAGCAGCCCCTGTGTCGACGGTATTGATCACTTTTTATTATCTCCACTAAACACACAGCTGTTTATTTTAAGTCTAACACATCACTGGACTGATAAACTCTAAAACTTCAAAATTAACATCTGCTTTGTGTGTCACGGTGAATTTAAGAAAGTTAATATCTCTGTGTATATATGGATCATACTTTTGAAAGCTTTGTTAAATAGTTCCTGTAAGATCTTAAAGGTGTGAGGTGGTTGCAGCGGTGTTGTTGACTCAGGTGTTTACCCTCCTGTGTCCTCCCAGATAACAGGGCCTGATGGTAAGCAGATTTACAAAGGTGACAGAGAGTCCAGTGGGAAATACTCTGTGGCGGCGCACATGGACGGCACCTACAAGTTCTGCTTCAGCAACAAGATGTCCACCATGACACCCAAGATCGTCATGTTCACCATCGACATTGGAGAGGCTCCCAAAGGCCAAGACATGGAGACGGAAGGTACGCAGAAGGAACACGTTTGAGGGGGAATTCATATTTAAGAAATTATTACTCTTGATCTCAGACTCTTAAGCCTTCTCTTCTGTTTAATGATTCAAAGTTTCTTTCTGCTGTTATGGATGCTGTTTGACTTGACTTTGGGGACTTCTTCTCCTCTTTGTAGGTGGTGACAGCTGGGATGGTAGGGCTCAGGGCGAAAGTGCTGTTTGAAAAAGACTTTTGAGTTTGTAATGCACTGCAGAGTTTCCTCTAACCAGTGTTGTTTCATAGCATTAACTAATATTGTTGCATTTCGACAGTACACAGGAGGTTGTGATGTTTGTGACTGGTTTGGTTCTTTGCACACTGTAGGATCCATGAATGTCTCTGGTGATGGGAGGGGAGGCATCACCAGAGACATGTGTCACAGAAACGTTGTGCATGAACAGCAGCATACCTCATGCATGTTTTTTAGTGCGAGACAACTACAACGTCCACGCCGGTAAATGATGATTATGTCCGCTCGTTTCAGCTCACCAAAACAAGCTGGAGGAGATGATCAATGAGCTGGCAGTTGCCATGACAGCTGTAAAGCATGAGCAGGAGTACATGGAGGTCCGGGAGAGGATACACAGAGCGAGTGAGTCACAAACTAAAAAGAGCTGAATTTGTCCTTTTCCTCTTTGGTCTCTTTTTCACATTTTCACTCCTGAAAACTGACTGAAGTTTTAAAAAAAAAAAATTATTTTTATAAGGTCTGTTAAATTTAATCAAATACCACAAAAACAACAATTACAGCATAATATTGGCCTGATTATCGGCCATCAACACCCATCAACTCGGGTGTTATTTGAGCTGTGTTCGAGTTACCTCGGAAGTCAGATGTCCCAGCTGGGAATGGCGTCACACCCGAGTAACCAAGTCAGAAAAAGCGAAATCAGAGGCAGAAACAAAAGTCCAGAAGTTGCTTATATTCGGACAAGGCAAGCGCGAAAGACAGCCCAGGTAAATAGGGTAACATTTTAAATCGACAGATATCACCATGAAACTTCCCAAGTTTATAACTTACATTAAAACAAATCTTTCTTGTATTACAAGTTTTGTCAGAAGTTCTGTTTGAATATGTAAATGAGGTAATATCTAATTAAATATGCACTTAATTACATACATTTCCAAACCCAAAAACTGAACAATGGATAAAGCCCCTTTGAAATTCTTGTTTTATTTTGTTGACATACTAGAGTCAGAAAGGGGGAGGAGGGGACTTTAGATATCTCTTTTCATCACTCTGTAAATAAGGAAATAACACCCAACCCTAAAAAATGTCTAACTAAAGTTTTATGCGACACTGCGGGTGGGGCACGAGTTGTGCTTGTAATCACTTATCTATCATACAAATATGCTAATTAGAATTACATGGTCAAAAACATGTATCAGGCACCAGTATTCCTGGTGTAGAATAAATCGACAGACATCACCATGAAACTTCCCAAGTTTATAACTTACATTAAAACAAATCTTTCTTGTATTACAAGTTTTGTCAGAAGTTCTGTTTGAATATGTAAATGAGGTAATATCTATTTAATTAGCTATAACCTCATTTACATATTCAGACATAACATTTGAAAAAAACGTGTAATACAAAAAACATTTGTCTTAATGTCAGTTATAAACTTTGATGGTGAAGTTTCATTGAGATATCTGTTAGTAAAAAATCTCCCCCCTTTTACCTGGGGTGTCTCCTCTGGCTTCCTACCTATCATGAACACATCTTGAAAATGACACCTTTCTAGCGGTCAAACTTTGGTGAACTTTTAGTATGTTATTAAGGACATCTAATACTATAAAAAAACAGTTCAGAAACCTTTTGTTTAAATTTTATTGGGGTCAAGTCATATTTGCACCTGACTATGATATTTGTAATAAATCTGATGTAATGTAATCAGCCTGATCAGTCGACAGCAGTGAATCATGTCAGCTGTTCTATTATTTGCTGTGTGTGAACTTTAGCCTCCATGTCTGACTTGAATCTCACATCTCCTCTCCTCTCCTCTCTCCTAGTCAACGACAACACGAACAGCAGAGTGGTGCTGTGGTCGTTCTTCGAGGCTCTGGTTCTGGTGGCGATTTGACACCTGACTATGATATTTGTAATAAATCTGATGTAATGTAATTTCGAAGTACGGCGGGTGTCATGTAGTGCGATCGAACCCCTCTTGTGTCCTCCGCTCTTTTTTCCAGCACCAAGACAGTTATTTACACTTTGGATATAAGACTGGCAGTGTCGAGTAAAGCCTACTTGTGATTGGATCTCAGATGGTTTCGTTCTCCTCTTACCTATTTGGTTCCTTATAATAAAAAAAAAATGTAATTAGTGTTTGTTTGGAGCGAGTGGCCAAAAGATTCGGGGTGAAGATGCTGTTTTTTTTCTTTAGTATGTTGTTTTGTTTTAACACTTTTTTTTTGTTCAATATTATTTGAGAAGTACCTGCCAGTACAGATTTGCCTGTGAGAGGCGTGGAGGCTCATAAATTCAAGTCAAGGCAGTGAGATAAAGTGAGAACGGATGTGGAGAATAAGATTGAAACAGGACCTTTTTCCTATCATAGAGAAAACATCCGATTTTGTCTGAGAAGCAGGATTTTTACTCCTGCGTCTGAGCCAAGTCAGACTGTGAGTTCACAGGTTTGTGAAGTCTGTACATTGTGTCTTTGCTCTCTAACAACAAATTGCACTCCTGATGAAAACATCTAAATATCTGAAGGATTTTCACCGCAGCTGGTTTTTAAGGGAAACTGTATAGCTTCTGGCTTTGTCTGTTAATTCATAGCGATCCACGCCACGAGGGGAGCGGGTGCTTCAGCGGACTTATTTTGCAGGGGAAGCGGTCTGACTCCCTTTGTAGTTCAGAAAAATGAAACACTGCCGCTTTCTTGGCTTTGGCTTAATTTTCACACCCAGTTGATTTCCAAACTTCTTTAGCACCAAGACCGTGAAAAGCTAAGTTGACGTTGGATTAAAACCCAACTGCTCTGGAGTGCAGCTCCTGAGGGGAGTGTAGAGGAGTACTGAAATACATGTTACATGTTGGGTGAGGCTGGGTGGGTGTGTGGGTGGGAGGGGGGTCGACCTAATGACTGCTGTGTGCTTTAGTTGCTTCGATTCTAGTTCTTTTGTTGGGGTTAGGGATTTTAAATTATATGATTGTATACAATTCTGAACTGTTTGTTTTTCTTTTTTCCTGGAGCATACTCTGTAACCTGCAGCTCTTTGCATGATGCCTTTTAAATAAATATCTTTTACCTCGTTCTTTTCCTCCATACAAGGTAAAAAAAAACAAAAAAAACACTCACGTCCAAGGCTGCAGCTTCACTTCGAGCACACGGCTGCAACATCACAAGTGTTAGTGCAAGCGCGCGTTACTGAGTATGCTCCAGTTTTGTATCCGAAACAATCCTCGGTGAGCTCAGGCAGGTGAACTGCTCTGTACACACTCTCTCCTTTTTGTGATTACAACAAAATCTGATTCATGGATCTGTACAAATGTAGATTGGTTGTCTGTGGAAAAATGCCCCAGGTTTCATAATAAAGCCAATATTCTGTACAATAACTGACGTCTTTCGAAGAGGATGGTGTCTGCGTCTTATTTACAAAGTGAAGGTTCGTCTTCTTTTTATTCACTTTGCTTCAGCTCTTCTAAACACTGCAGGTAATGCTCAGATTATACATTATAAGTATAGTTTGTCTATAAAGTGCTTTACACAGAAAAAGATAAGATGTTTCTTTAATAGTCCCAAAATGACCGCAGCATAAGATACAAAAAGAGAAAAATTCAAGGATGAAGAAACTTTGATTTAAAAATATGTACATGCGTCATACTTACATCTGTACAGAATTTACAGAAAAATAGGGTTTATTGCACATTGAGGTTCCTCTTGTGATGAAATGAAACTAAGAGCAAGAAGAGGAGCCATGACTAAATGAGCCACAGTGATCTACAGACTGCAGAGTGAAGAAATGTTGAGAAGTTCTGTGGAAGTCCCTGTCACCTTCAGTCCTGAAGTGTGTGAAAGGAACAGATAGTAAATTAAGTGTTTTGGATCTGAGGGGGTGGACTGCCTGCCCAATATTATGGGAAATGTTGGGCTCAACTTTATCATTTACAATCACAAAAATTACTGTCTATCTGATTTAAACTGTAAGATAATTTGTTTCCACCAACAATGCAATACAGGATTTGGGAGAACTCCTCGATCTCACTGGGCTTAAATGTGAACTGCAACTATAAGTCATCTCCATATGTATGATCTGATATGTTCAAACTGTTCATGATCTGTCATCAGGGCAACGGAACACCAAAGGACAGATGAGAGGATTCAGAGACAGAGTTTCCAATGAGAAACAGAAAGGAACTAAGTTATTAATAGTGTTAAATAATTATTTTATTACAACGATGATTTAAGAAAATAGATTTGATGTGAATTGATGGGGTTCTATTACTCCACCCACCACCGACACTGTGAGCAAAAAGTACGTACTCAGTAGACCTATATTTATTACTTTTTTAAAAATATATATCTTTTATTTTATTTTCATGGAGTAATTGTTTGTTTCTACCCCTATCCGTGATAAGAAAAAAAAAAGACAGTGACTTTATTTTCTTGTTTTGTGTGTTTTCCTGTAAATTAATTTTCATAGATGGTATTTTATCATAAATGAAGAACATTGTATTTTATTTTTTTTAAATTTTCCTATAAGGTGAAAGTTAGGGTATGATTGTTTTTAATTTACTTTTATTTTATTTTGTTTAGAAAATTGATTTGATGTGAATTGATGGGGCTCTATTACTTCACCCACCACCAACACTGAGATCAAAAAGTAAGTACTCAGTAGACCAACACTGACTACTTTAAAGAAAGAAAGTATCTTTTATTTTATTTGCCTAGAGTAATTGTTTGGTAGTGTTTCTACCCCTATCCGTGATAAGAAAAAAAAAAAGACAGTCACTTTATTTTCTTGTTTTGTGCATTTTCCTGTAAATCGATTTTCATAGATGGTATTTTATTATAAATGAAGCACCTTGTATTGTTTTTTTTGTTTGTTTGTTTTTTTAATTTTCCTTTAAATAAGGTGGGAGTTAGGGTGAGATTGATTTTGATTTACTATTATCAAATTTTTTTAGAAAATAGATTTGATGTGAATTGATGGGCTTCTATTACTCCACTCACCCCAGACACCGTGAGCAAAATGTAGGTACTCAGTAGACCTACATTTATAACTTTTTTAGAATATATTTTTTATTTTATTTGCCAAGAGTAATTGTTTGCAGGGTTATGCAAGAAATCTCTCCAAAGGAAAAAAATAAATATGGTCTCTTTAATTTCTTGATTTGTCCATTTTCATGTAAATACATTTTCACAGTTTTTATTTTTATTTTTTATTTTTTTTTAACCATATTTTTAATTTAAATAAGATAAGATAAGTTAATATAAGCTGTTCCTTCATTATCCCCACAGAGGGACATCCCAAAATTACAGCAGCATAGCATAGACACAAAAAGAGAAAAATTAAAAAAATAAAGAAACTTTGAGTTAAAAACAAGATATGTGTATGCAACATATTTACATCTGTACAGAATTTACAGAAATAAAGGTTGATGGTAAATAAAGTGGAAGTAAGGGTGAGATCGATTTTAATTTACTATTATATTATTATCATTTTAATCTTAATGATACATTTCCTGCAAAATAAAAATTATTTAATGCTCAAATTTTTACTACTTTTAATTGGAATTTATAATCTGCGCGAACCCGGAACGACAGTCGTGCCTGAGCTTCAGTTCCTACTCGGCTTGTAAACATCAGCGCACCCGGAATCAGGAGCAGCGTGGACAGGGAGCCCAGCTGAAGCTAAGAATTTTACTTTCTGTTTTTCTTGATTATATTTATGTTTAATTCTAAAAATGGAGAACACGACAGAAGGGAGGTGGGACAGTTTACCGGTGAAACTGAATCAGAGTATTTTAGAGACGCTGGAGGAGCTTAAATTCACTCACATGACACCTGTACAGGTAACACAGAGGCTTTAAAGCTTAGTTTAGACAACACTCTTTTTTAAACTATTATTTTGCGCTTTTATTCTGATGTTTATTTTCCATTTCTTCCAGTCTGCTTGTATCCCTTTGTTCATGAGTAATAAGGATGTTGCAGCTGAAGCGGTGAGAGTTAAAAAGGCTGAAACTTTACTTCTTTATATTTTGTATTATCGATTATTTTATTGATCCATATTTCTAATGATTATAACATTGGACTTCAGGTGACTGGGAGCGGGAAGACTTTGGCTTTTGTCATCCCAATCATTGAGCTGCTTCTGAAGAGAGAAGAGAAGCTGAAGAAGATGCAGGTGAGGAGAGGGAGGAGGAGGAGGAGGAGGAGGACAGGTGTGGTTAAATAAGAAATGTCTAACTCGAGATTTTAAACACCAAATATTGGATCTTGATTGTTCATGATGTCTGGATAAATTGTCGTAAATTCGCCATAATAAGACATGTTTGATTGGAAATGTGACTTCAGAGTCAGAGTCAGTTATTTGCCATTTGCAGAAAAAAAAAAAAAAAAACATTTGTGAGAGGACAATAAAGACAGACAAGGTAAGTTACATAGAAACACAGAATAAGGTGAGTTAAAATTACAGTTAAATTCAAGTATAGAAGGACACTGCAAGTCATAATAGTAGTAATAACAATAATAATAAATAACAATGATTAAGATAATAATAGTATATAACCCTCTTATTATCCTCAAATATTACAAACACATTTTACCCTTGGGGATCAATGTGACCCCAAGTATATTTGCCTCCAGAAAATGACTTACATGCAGTTGTTGACCAAGATTGTTTGTCAGTCACTTTGTTTATTTGTTGAGTACATAAATAAGCCCTCAATAATGAAACCTATCAGTGAGTTGACCTGTTCTCTCGCGCCACAAGTAGGCCAAACTTCGCATGAACTACCAATGTTCTTGTGGGAATACCCACCCTCCACAGCACAGGAAATACAGTATCAGTCCTCCTTTGACATGTGTGAGTACAGTAGGTCGCTTGTATACACACACACACACACACACACACACACACACACACACCTTCATGCCCATGGTTCCTCTATTGACTTCAACAACAAGGTAGACGTGCTGCTATGAGCGCGTCTCACCAGACTCACAGTCTGCCATGTTGAAGACGTTCATTATTCAAGCTCTTCTTATATCCATCAATTGAAAATATTGTATTTGAGATGATCTTTTTAGAGGTATTTGTAGTTGGAAAGACTTGGGTGTGATCAACTTACAAACCTACAGTAGCTTCCTCATTTTGGCAGGAGCTCACACATCAAATTGTTTTCCACATGTCCACACCATGAGATACACAAGAGAAGTATCAAAGTTCTGGAGGGAATAATTGTTTTCCTCACCTCCCTGTTATGTATCAACTCAAAAGTATCAAGTCTGCACCTTTAGGTATGCGGATGTTAGGTCACACACGCGGACATCATGAAAATTTTATGCTAAATCAGTTGTCCCCATCAAATTAGGAAAAGTCATGAAATATGAAGCAAAGAAACAAAAGTCAATTATTGTTTTTTAAATGATAAACATTGAATGGGGTCAAATTGACCCCAAGGATAATAGGATGGATAAAAACTTCTATTTGACCCTAAGTGCTCAGACATGACATGAAATTAAGTAGAGCCCTGAGACTAGAGGTTATTTAGGCTGCATACAGCACAGGAAAAGAAACGATCTGAAAAGCGGGAGGTAGAGCTTTTGATTGAGCGTTACCGTCTACCGGAGGGGAGAAGAACAAAAAGGCTGGAGGCAGGTTTGACTGGTGTCACTCACTATTTCTAAAGCCAGGAGCCTTGAGTTATAAAGTGCATCAAGTTTAGGCCGGTCAGTGCCAATAATTTTCTGAACCAGATTGACTTTTCTGGTCAGAGATTTTCGGTCCTGTACTGTTACTAAACCAAACTGTGGACAAAGAGGTAAGAATACTTTTAATGATACACCTAGAAAAGTTAACTAAAATCTGACAGGTAGAGGAGAACTCTTTCATTTTATGAAGGAAGAAAAGTCGTTGCATGGATTTCTTGACAATGATACTGGTGCTAAGGTGCCAGTTTAGATTGTTTGTAATAGTGACACCAAGAAATTTGACGCTACTCACCATCTCAACCTCTGTGTTGTTTATAATGAGAGGGCGATGTGGTAGTTTTTTCCTACAAAAGTCGATTATAATCTCCTTCGTTTTGGAGACATTTGAAATATGACTTGTTTTATTTCCTCCTGCAGGTCGGTGCTCTTGTGATCACTCCCACCAGAGAGTTGGCTTTGCAGATCAGCGAAGTCATGGGGCAGTTCCTCCAGAAGTTTCCACAGTTTCAGTAAGATCAGACTCAGAAGACGACAGAGTCTTCCTGTTTTTGTAACCTGTCAAAAAGTTCTTTATTAATTTTTGCTTCAAGTCCAGTTTTCTGAATTCTTGTGGAGTTTTTACTCCTTTTCTCTCACTGCATGATCTGAGCTCTCAAACAGTTGTGAAGAAGATTAAGTTTGTTGGCTCAAAGAGAAGGAAGATAATTTTAGTTTACAGTTAAAGGGATATTCCGGCGTAAAATTAATTTAGGGTCAAACACACTGCAACAGACATCCCCTTAGGAGATGAATGTTGCCAGCCGCTTGCTTCTCTAGTTATAACTTTAGTAACCACCTCATATAGCAATACAGAGAGCCACGCACTCAACCAAAACGCCACTCTATAGCCACAAATAATGCTCAGAACAGCACCTAACTTCATCAACAGGACATATAGGGTCCCAGCCACAGTACTAGCCAACAAACATCTTTTTAACTTTGACTAATTTCTTTAGCAAAGAGACTAAAGACAACTCACCTACTCTCTTCCAGCAGCCGCTTGTTTGTAGCGAGACCTCGGGCCAGTCCATTGCGGACTACAGAGGGCTGACGCAGCTCAAGGACGCGGTAGTTCTTCTGCCTTAGCGTCTCGGTCTGATTGTATTTCCATAAAGTAATGATGATAAATGTTCTTCCTTGAGCTGTGTCACCCTGCTGTAGTCAATGGACTCGCCTGGAGGTCTCGCTACAAACAAGCGGCTGCTGGAAGAGAGTAGGTGAGTTGTCTTTAGTCTCTTTGCTAAAGAAATTAGTCAAAGTTAAAAAGATGTTTGGTGGCTAGTACTGTGGCTGGGACCCTATATGTACTGTTGATGAAGTTAGGTGCTGTTCTGAGCATTATTTGTGGCTATAGAGTGGCGTTTTGGTTGAGCATGTGGCTCTCTGTATTGCTATCTGCGCTTATAACTAAAGTTGGTATAACGAGACAAAAAAGCGGTGTGTCTATCTCAGTGTTACAGTGTGTAAATTAATATCCCTTTAAATACTTTTTATATGTTCCCCCTCTGATTATCACAACTTAAACTATCAGCTTTATCAGCCAATTATGTTAATCTTTTCAATGTTGTCCTCCCCTAATTCAACTGTTTTTTTAATGTTTGTTTTCAGGCAGATTTTACTGATCGGAGGAACCAACCCGATAGAGGACGTGGAGAAGTTCAAAGAGCACGGGTGTGTGTTATTAAAAGTGAAGCTGTAGTACCTTAAACCCAGGAACTTTCAGTTCAGCCCAGAGTCCAAAAAGAGAAAAGGATCACAGCGAGGCTCCAGAGTCTCTCATGATGTTTGTGCGTTTCAGGGCGAACATCATGATCGCCACGCCGGGTCGTCTGGAGGACATGTTCAGGAGGAAGTCTGAGGGTCTGGACTTGGCGAGCTCAGTCAGGTGTCTGGATGTGCTGGTTCTGGATGAAGCCGACAGATTATTGGACATGGGGTTTGAAGCCAGGTACGGAAATCAGCTCTCGTTATCTGACTCTCTTTGAGATCATTTCTGACAGAGTGCGTGTTTGTGTGTGTTTGTGCCCCAGTCTGAACACCATCCTCGGCTACCTGCCCAAACAGAGACGAACAGGTCTGTTTTCAGCCACGCAGACTCAGGAGCTGGAGAAGCTGGTGAGGGCGGGGCTTAGGAACCCTGTACGCATCACCGTCAAGGAGAAAGGTGTGGCTGCCTCCTCCGTCCAGAAAACACCATCCAGACTCTCCAACTACTACACCGTGAGTCAGATTTCAGCCTGACACTTGTTCTGCGTTTAAGAGACGTAAAAAATTTTGACTTTTAACACAAGACAGATGTTTGATTCCAGATCTGTAGGGCTGAAGACAAATTCAACAATCTGGTGGCATTTTTACGACAACACAAGCATGAGAAGCAGCTGGTCTTCTTCAGGTACCTTCAACAATAACGAAACAGCAGATATGAAAGTATGAAAGTAAATATGTGTTTTTGAGAAGCATGACACAATATTTTTTCATAAGTCCCTTTCACTCATGCGCCACACTTTGGAAAATTTTCTAGACTTTTTCTTGCCAGCCTTCTTGTAAAAAGTGTCACCTCTTTCACACATTTACTCCTGAAAATTCACAGAAATATCCTCCAAATTTTTCCAGAGTTGCTTGTTCACATTCTCCACACCGCATTCAGACTTAAACTATCACGAGTCCTACTGTAAAAGTCTAGAAAATGTCAGTCGTTTGTTTCTCCCGAAGTTAACGGGAATGAACTGTTCCTTTTTTTCATCTTCAGTACGTGTGCATGTGTGGAGTACTACGGCCGAGCTCTGGAGACTCTGATCAAGAAGGTCTCGGTCCACTGTATCCACGGCAAGATGAAAAACAAACGCAACAAGATCTTTGCCGATTTTCGTGCCCTGAAGAGGTTTGATCTGCTGTTTTTGGAGGATGAAACTGGTTGCTTTGAAATGTTCGTTGTGTCATTTTCCCTCTTTTTATCACGTCGCAGCGGGATCTTGGTGTGCACAGACGTGATGGCCAGAGGAATAGATATCCCTGATGTGAACTGGGTGCTGCAGTACGACCCTCCCAGCAGTGCCAGGTCAGTGAAGATAAATGTAGGAGGCACATTTTAGTCATGGGGGACTATTTTTTGAGGCGCATTGATCCATATTTTTGGATAGAGGGAGCAGAATTGGTTCTATAATGTCTCACCTGATGCTAAAACGGAGCCGTGATCCTTTAACCCTGATTTATAAAACCTTTTAGCTTTATTTAAGTTTTGTGTTTCCATTCTGTCTCAGTGCATTTGTACATCGCTGTGGGCGAACAGCGCGCATCGGCAATCAGGGAAACGCCCTCGTCTTTCTGCTGCCGATGGAGGAATCTTATGTCAACTTTCTTTCCATCAACCAGAAAGTGAGTCTTTCCTTCTTTAAAACCAGTCACAAGTTGGAGTTTAATCATAGATGGATATAAGACATAGATATACACCACTTAGAGTTTCAGTTTTGTCATGGTGTGAATTTGCACTCAGCAGCACCGGGGCTCAAATGTGCACGTACTCCTTTTTCTGAGTTTGCACAGGTTTAGTGTGCAAAAGTTACACAGTCCTTTTGTAACTCAGCCTGACAGTCTGCTGATAGAGAGAATTCAGCTTTGGAGCTTTACTTTCAGACTCGTATGTAATGTCTAGTTTCTGTTTATTTGTCTGAACCTCAGCTGGTTGTCTCGCCCTCTTTCACATAACTTGTATTATTTTTTATTCCAGTGCCCACTGCAGCTGATGCCCCCTATAGCTGACGTTGTGGACGTGCTGCCCAAAGTGCAGGCCATGTCTCTGGCTGATCGTGCCATGTTCGACAGGAGCATGAGAGCCTTCGTCTCGTACGTCCAGGCCTACGCCAAACACGAGTGCAGCCTCATCTTCAGACTCAAAGGTGAAAAAACCTCAGCCAGGATTCAGTTTGATCAATTTCAAAATATGTCCACAGTTTAATTTTACTTTTTTCAAAATCAGGACCAACTCTTTTCATAAAGCACAAACATGTCCTCTTATGCGAATGTCTGTCCTGTATAGATCTGAATTTTGCTGCCGCAGCCCGAGGCTTTGCGCTCCTCCGCCTACCGAAGATGCCTGAACTGAGGGGGAAAAATTTCCCTGATTTCGTTGGGACAACTGTGGACACAGAGACGATCCGCTACAAGGACAAGAACCGTGAGAAACAGAGGCAGAAGATGCTCGCTGAGCTGAAAGACAAAGAGAAGACTCCACTTCCTAAAAGAAACTTCATCAAGAACAAATCCTGGTCCAAACAGAAGAGCAAGAAGGAGCGCAGGAGGAAGAACGCAGCCAAGAGGAAACACAACGAGGTATTTCCTCTCCACTTACCACTGAATTTATCTTTGATTTTAGGCCTGTGCTGGACCTTTAATCCTGTCAGTCTGGTCTATAAACTCAGAGTATAAGAGGTCTGGATTTATTCATCACTTTTTAAAAAAAATCTTTTCTGTCTGCAGGAATCTGACGAGGAGGACGAAGACTTATCGGAGCTTTTGAACGACACTCGCCTCCTAAAGAAACTAAAGAAAGGACGAATCACAGAGGAGGACTTTGAGAAACAGATCACAAGCGGACCGGAGTCCAAACACAAAACAGAAGCAACTCCACTCGACGGCTCGGAGGATGAGGAAGTTTGAAAACGTCTAAAAGTCAAATAAACTCACAACAGATCTTTGAAAGTGTTTGAACTTTTGATGTTTTTATTGAGAGTTTTGAGGCACGGTTAGTTTTTATAAATAAAGCTTGATGAGTTCGTCACTGACGGCTGACGGTGTGAGGACTCCCAGGTCAGTGAAGAGAAGGGTGATGAGGGAGGGAGGCGTGTAGTCGATCATGGGGTGCTCCTCTGAGAGGTTCTGAACAGTCTTCAGAGTGTCTGCTTTATACTGCAGATAAGAAAGAAAAGATCTGTTAAAAACACATACTTCAAAAATGTAGAAATTCAGATTTTTGGACCCCAAATTTTCTGGTATTGTACCTTAAATTTGTCTGGCACGTCCTGCTGGTTGAGCGGATAAAGACGGACGAACTTGAAACTCTCTGCCACCACATAGAATGGTTTGTTGTGAGCTTTGGAGCACACAGCCGTCTGATATGTACCAATCTGTGAGAGAGAAAGGAGACATATTTAGATCTGTTTTATTTTTGATAGTAGAAGGCGAAAGAAAGTATGAACTTGGGTAGAATTTTACTGTTTTTCTTTTCTTTTTTTCTTGTATAAATAAGAAAAACTGACTGTAGAGAAAAGTGTTTTTGCAAAGTGCAAAATCCTCAGAAGAAAAAAAAAGACATTTTGTGTCACTTTTGAGTCAAAAAGTCTCATTTTCTAATAATAAATGCAACAAATTTGTCTTGTGATTTTGACATTCACCTTGTTGATGATTCCTCCGCTCTCTACGACTCCTTCTGCTCCAACAATCACCAAATCTACTTTTTCCAGCACGTACCTGAGACAAAAAAGAACCAAAATATCATAATAAAGATAAGTGCTCATATCGACTTAGAATGATTTTATAATCGATGCTTTTACCCCACAGCTGCGTCCAAAACTACAGTCACAGGGACATTGAGTTTCCTTAGAGCGTCGGCCATCTGTCGCCTGAATAAAGAAAGGACAATTCACTGACTGTGTGTCCTTTCAGAATAAAACTCAGACACAGTTTAGTGACACTCACCCAGCGGCGTCAGGCTGCGATTCAGTGACATAGACAGAGAAACGTTTCTTCTCGGCTGCAGCTTTCTCCAGCACCCTGAGGACCACCCTGGAGTACGAGTGAGTCAGGATTTTCTGAAGGAGGGAGAGACCCAGATGGTGACAGAGCTGAAAGGCTGAATAATGAGAGTTTAGTGTGCTCTTAGAACCGCCATCAGTAACAATCACAGCAGCTCATAATAAACTAAGTTTGTGTTTTTGTCAGGTTTCTATTGAAAGTCTCATTAGGATTGATTTAAGCTGCATTCCCCTGATAAATCCAGGAAAAAAATATATTTTAGGACAGTACATGTTGAAAATAATGACTACATTATTGGAGAGGAGTCTTTAAATCTTTAGCTGCATCACATCATTTATACTTACGGCTCCGTCTTTGATGAAAGTGTGACAGAGCTTCGCCACTTTGGTCCTGGACAGCGAGATCTTCTCCAAAAACAGTTCTCCTCTCTCCTCCATCACTTTCTTACAGCGAGAGAGATCCTGCAGACAGAGGGAAAAAAGCTTTGAAATAGTTCTCCTGTTGGCTCAGAGCTCCAGCTGTGACATGTAAAAATGACTCTTGCATATCAGCCGTTTCTGTTATGTTGTGGATAGGGCTGGGCGATATGGGAAAAAGTTTATCACAATATATTTTTTCATATCAGTCGATATCGATATATATCACAATATAAAAAATGATGATTAACAGTGCTTACTGGTAGCATGTTTTTTGCAATACAATAAGCTGCTGCATCTGTGAGGTCTTTGTGTGTGGAGAAAGCTGACTGAATGGTCGGCTGTTTTGGCTGTACAGGCGCCATGGGCTCCTTGCTCTGCTCCGGGTTTGTAACCTTTTGCATTGCGCGTGCTCTGCCGCATGGCACTGCTCCTGTGCTGTCGGCTTCACCTGTTAAAGTGCTAAGGTTGCGTGTAGCTGTAGCCTGCTACTACGCAGTTGTTTGCTACTTGGTTCAGCGCGGAATGGACCCGAAGAAACTCCCCTTTTCATTGGCCATGTGTATGGTCTACCACAACATGGCAGAATGCAGACTATCGAAAAGCATAATGTCCATGTTTTATATTGATATTGAAACAAATTAATTTTCGATATATGTGGTTATCATTTTATCGCCCAGCCCTAGTTGTGGACTGTCTGCATGTTTGTGTTGATGGTGGTCTCAGGTAGGCAGCCCACCTGGTGCTCCAAAGAGGTGAGACTGATGAAGCGCAGGAAGAGCTCTCCTCCTGAGGACACAGCCACTGAAGAGTCCACTTTTGTCAGGCAGTCTGTGGCCCACTTCAGGCTCTCCCTCAGGCCCAGGATGGTCTCACCTGGAGAGACAGGGACCAGATATCTTTTTTTTTTCATCTTTTGGTGCAGATGAAACCAGGTATCTCTCACTCATGTGATTGGAAATGAAAAATGTACTGAGAATAAACCCACCTTTGTCCCTCTTCAGAAACTCCAGCAGAGTCCGGATAGCAGCCACAGCTGAAGCCATGTCTGGGTCTTTCCTCATCTGAGTCCTGAAATACTCCACCAGCTCTGAGCAGCAGAAACAGAGAAATCAGCTTCATTTGAGCTCGGATTAACATTAAAAGTCAGCCGAAAAATTTAACCTCACAATACTTACCCTCTTCATCCATCTTTGAAATCCACAAGAAGCCTTAAAAGCTGCGGTATCAGGGGTAAAAACAAACCGGGGATAATTTTAAAGGGAGTTTGGTCAGTATTGACACATGTCAGATCAGCGGACTCCGCTCCACTAAAGCCTTCCTTTAAACTAAAGTGAAAATCAAAAATTAAAATTAAACTTTCAGAAATAATCCCCCCTATCACAGTTTTTAAACTATTGCCTGAAAAGTCGGTTTGGACCTGTTAGTAAAGTTTTATCTTCTCGCTCTTGCAGAGTTGCAGTGTATTAGCTCATCTCTCACCGAGCTGCGTGTTGATGTGTCGCAGAGAGATGACGCAGCGTTAAGGGTTCGCTGCAATTCTGTTTTCTACCAGCAGAGGGCGACAGAGTCATTTTTAATATCTGGTAACTAAATCTCAGGTCATAGAGTTTATCATCCACCTATTAAGTATAAAACTAACACCATTACAGCTTTAATGTATGAAATAATGACTGACGAACTAAAGAACTGTGTGGCTGTGTTTTAGTGTGACCGTGGCTCTCATCTGAAACCTGAAAGTATACTCAGAAACTGTCTACTGGTGTTGTTGGTACGGTGGCCAAGAAAATAAAAAAAGAATACAAAAAAAAGGAAAAAGAAACCAAAGCCCGCTGCACATAAAAAAGAAACCGTGGGGAAAAAAAGCAAGAACAAAAGTTAATGACACGGGGGAAAAAAGTGCCGATGCAAAAAAAACAAAACAAAACAAAAAAACTAAAGTTACAGTGGCAAAAAATAAAAAAAAGGAAGAAACCGAAGCACCGAATCAAATCCACCTTACATGGACTTGAGGATGTTAGGATGTTGGGATGGTATTACAACAGCATGGCTCTGGGGCACAGAGTCCTGCTGCTGAACTGGTCCGCCTTCAGTCCTGACCGCTCTCCACCAGAAAATCAAGTACAGCAGAGGCACCTCTAAATTTTACTGAAGTACATTACTTTGGTGTGTTTGCTCTCTACTTTTATGTTGTTTTACTTTTATATTTGACTTTTACTTCTAATGAAAGGTAGGGGAGAGTGGGGTAAGATGAGCCATTTTTCATATTTTGGATCACTTCATAAAGTCATTTTTCTTTTTTCTTTTTTTTTTGTTGGCAGCAGCAGATGTTGGTTTCTTTTTTTTGCATCATTAACTTCTGTAGTGACTCTTTTTTTTTTTTTTTTTGCATTCTTTTAGGCGGTTCTCGGCTACCGTTCATGTGCTTCTAACCTTCACAGACTCCATGAATTGATGCCCATCTCCTAAATATTTGGTCACATGATCAATTTCTTTTACCATTTCCAAGCAACAGGGGGTGGCTCAACTTACCCTTTGGCTCATCTTACCCCACTCTCCCCTACTTCTATTGTGGTATAACTCTTACTGCTCTATTATTATTAATCATGGACAACCTAATTTACTCCTTAGCCTTATAAAAGTACTTTTACCAGAACAAAGCATTTTCACAGTTGGATACGAGTACTTTCATTCGGTAAATACTCTAAACCACTCTAAGTACAGTGAAAGAGCTTTAAAATAGTACTTGACTTAGTTTCCACAACTGTACTCCTGTAACGTTTCAGTGTGAGACCTCCTCTGTAATAAAAACGGAATAAAAACTTAAACTACAGTGAAAACTACAGTAAACTCCCTCTAGTACGGAGGACATCCATGCTTTTTGCAGCCTCTTTGTTCTCCTCCACACACAGCAGGGAGACACATCTCTCTCTGCTCCTCTCTCAGTGCAGCTGCAGCCACGCTCCCCTCTCCTCTCTCTCTCTACATGCTACATCAGTCCGCGCATGCGCAGGCGGCTCCTCTGTGCGCTCTACTGTTTGCATTGTGTCTGAACTGCCGGCGAGCTTTAAAAATATTATACCCACCGCGGCAATGTCGGGCAGGTCGGTCCGAGCTGAGACCCGGAGCAGGGCGAAGGATGACATCAAGAGGGTTATGGCCGCTATTGAGAAAGTACGAAAATGGTAAGAAAGAGAAGAAGAGGGGAAAAAGCTGGCTTCGTTATCTAACACGAGAAAGGCTTGCTTGTTGGGGGAGGAGAGGGAAGGAGCGAGACGGGAGTGAGGGATGAAATTGAAAGAAAAAAAATGACAATTTGTGAACGGGGATCGGCGGCAGATGTAGCCGCCGCTCAGGTGCAGCGCGGCGCATTGAGCGGCGCATTACCCGGCTCGTCAAACATACGGCGCGTACCCGGTGTTCTTTTCTCGGTGTCTCTCTCTTTTAACGGCTGGGCTTGAACCAGAAGCCATTTCGATGCAGTCACATGAAGCCATTGCTGCCCGCCGCCGAGTGTGTAGGGCAGGCAGGCGGCGGTTTTTTTCTTTTTGCGCCGAAACGTCCGATAACTCTCGACTCTGGAACAATTTGACGACGGCGCTCTCGAGTCGGAGTAGTTTAGTCCGTGTGGAGTTTTAAATTAAGCGCTTTGAGTCGCCCTTTAGGTCTGATAGAGAAGGAGGCACGGTGGGGGTTGGGAGAGGGAAGTAGGCTACAGTAGTGCATGGCTGAACACGTAGTGACTCAGTCTTTAACGTTAAACTGCCGAAAAAACAGCCGTTTTATCCACATTTAACGACTCATACCTTCACGTTTTTCACACACGAAGACGCAGTTTTTCAGTATGTTGGTGTAACCCCGCCCGGTGGGGTTTTTTAAGCTATGTAAAATATTTTATCAGGTGTTTAAATCAAACGTCCTCAGGTCAAAGTCAGTTATAGTCAGAAGTTTCTATCAAAACGTTATATTCTAACCGACCACAAACACACAGTTTACACTAACTCAACAAAAACATTATTAAAAACACTGAATGAATTTAGATTTTTAAACTTACTTTTTAGTTACTTTTTGACAGTAATGAAAAGTAATTTAAAACATTGTGCTTATTAACTGAAATATACTTTAGTTCACTATTAAAATTTATAATACACAAACCTTTAAGAGGATAATGTGCTTTACTTCTTTTTATTTCAGACATTTCGTTTCATTAAAAAAGAAAACAACCAATACAAAGACAGACAACAAAACAAAAGGAAAAACTACAACCAGAACAAAATGTGAAACTTGAACTAAAAAGTAATTAAAGTTTCCAAAACTTGACCTTTTTAATTCACTTTTTTACAGTTACAGTTTCAAATGAATAAAAAAATAAAGCATATTATCCTATTAAATGTTTGTGTATTATAAAAAAATGAATAATGAACTTAAGTATATATTACAATTGAAAAGTACAATGTTTTTAATTACTTTTTATCAATGTCTACTAGAAAACAAACATTTCATTTCATTAAAAAGAATGATACAAAGACAGCCAACAAAACAATAGGAAAAACTCCAACTAAACAAAATATGAAACTTGAACTAAAAAGTATTTTCAAAACTTGACCTTTTTAATTCCCTTTTTTTCAGTAAGTTATTATTTGGTTTCTTGAAGACATTGATAAAAAGTGATTTTCTAAGAAATGCTGTTTACTATTTTGTAAAGGTGATTGTTTTGTATTTGGGTGTTTCTAATCTTTTTTTTTTTTTTCTGCTGAAAGGTTAAAGAGTTCAAAACAAGAACTTTTTATGAACAATACAAACTGAGACTTACATTACGAGGTCAAAAATGTTCTTAAACATAACAATTAAAGTCTTCATTTTAACATTCCTTTATTTGGGGGGTTGTGACTCTAGTTTCTTGGAGACTAGTTAGGAACATGAATGAATCTATCCATGTTCTTTTTGAATGAAATCAAAATGTTTTACCTCAGTTATCACATTTCAGTGGATAATAGTTTTAAGATTTTCCTGGAATATGTCGAATGTGTCATATTGAGTCATTATTTAAAGGAAATAGGAGCTTTCAACTTGTCTTGTTTCAATATTTGCTGCATTTCTTGGTCATATCATGAAGCAGTAAACATGTTTGGCATATTATCAGCAAATGAGTCGATAATGTGAGAAGTAAGTTACAGATACTGAGATTGTGTTTGTGTTGATGATAAATCATACAATGCCTCTTATAACTGATCTGCACTTGAATGGTATTTATATGCCTTTCACAGTCTAAAATAGTATTTTATGACCATTTTCAATAATTTCTGTTAAATTAAATACACTTTTTTTCCCTGAACTGTTATTTAAAGTCAGTTAAATGACAGATAATGTCCTCAGTTTCTTCATAAAGCCCAGGTTGATGTCCCAGATTGTGTTAAATCTGCTGCACAGTAATTATATTTAAAGACAAAACGACTTTCAAGTGAATTAATGAAAACATATGTTTCCTGCTGTTTTAATCACAATATTTTCCTTATAACTACAGATTTCTTTTCTTCATTAAGGAGAAATGCCTCCAGCTTCTTAAATATGATAATTATTCTTTTTCGCTGCCTTTTTATTATCGTAGATTTAGGTTTGGTGCTGCTGGTCCAACAAAACAAGTAATTAGGTTGTAAAATATGGCTTCAGGCAGATTTAGATACTCTCCTGGTTAAATGGTTATTTTCTGATTAAAACACAGATATAGGGATAAAAACGATAATAAAATGAAGGCCTGAGAAAGACTTTATTGTAGTAACAGTAAAACAAAGTTAAAGGTCCATCAGTTTCATATTTACAGTTTAATCTGAAAAGGAATACAGTCCTCGCTGTGTTCAGTATTTGTCTAGCATTATGTCACAGCGTCTTAATTTAGAAGTAAATGGATGTATGGTGCCTTGCAGCCTTTGAGTCAGCTCTGTTTTCTACACAGGGAGAAGAAATGGGTGACTGTAGGAGACACGTCCCTTCGTATCTACAAGTGGGTGCCGGTGACGGAGCCCAAATCAGATGATGTGAGTCCAGAATGTTCCGCCTCTGATTCAAGGACAAAATCTATTTTACGATGCATGAACACACTTCCCAACCTCCCTCCGCCATTCTGATTATGTTGCTCTGCTGTTAAATTACTGTGCGTTGATTGCCTCTGAATTAAGCTCTCGTGTGTTTTTTTTTTCTCTGTCTGTAACAGAAAAACAAGAATAAGAAGAAAGGCAAAGACGAGAAATACGGCTCAGAGTTGACGACTCCAGAGAACAGCTCCTCTCCGGGCATGATGGACATGCACGGTAGGAGCAAAAACTAGGACACTGGTTGACTTCCTGTTGTCAGAATGTGGTTTGGGATCATATGAAGGTCTTCCCCGAAAAAGTCTTTGTCTGGATGTCTACAGATGTTGCTCCTAAACCTGGAGATATTGTTTAAAACAGAGGATGCAGCAGCTATGATTTCCGATTCTTCATTGAAAGGACAACAGGACTTACTTGAGACGTTTCGCCTTAAGTAAATCCAGTTGTCCTTTCCATGCAGCGACTTCCATTCCAGAGTCATTTCTGTTTTCAGTCAAATATTGTCCAAAGAGTAGCCATCTAGTCTTGGTTTTGGTTCTTGTCCCTTTTGCATAGAGATTTCTCAAAATTCACTGAGGACAGTTGAACTGTTGGCTCACGCCGTCTCTCACAGAGTGTTGAACTTCTTCCTGTCTTTTCCAAAGTTTTTCTGAGAGGTGCGCAAAACTTTTTTTAGTGTTTTATTGTCGCTGTTCAAACTTTTTAAAAGGTTGTAACTAGGGCCCTACTGATATGGATTTTTTGGGGCAGATGCCGATACAGATACCTAGGGGGGAAAAAATCTGTTTACTGATTAATCAGCCGATTTTTAAATTTTTTTATGAAGTTATTAAAAAATATATATATACTGTAGGCTACTGATCTTCACGCAGGAAGACCGACTGATCAAACTCGGACCAGAAAAGCGTTTTCAACTACCCGCCGCCACCAATCGGTGCCTCCGCGTCTTAACTCATGTTACACATTTCTAGTCCGGTCTCATCTGGAGACATGCAGCTGCCTCAGTAAGAGAAGTAGCTCGATCACGTAATGTGTACTGTTGTTAATTCTACCGTTACTGGCACGGCTAACAGTGTAGCAAGGCTAATAGCAGGTGGCTAACTCTAACATTAGCTTGCATATTACATGGTGCTTTACTGTTTACTCGGCGTGACCGAGAGCAGCACAGCGAGGAACATCGTGAAGTGGGTTGAACTGAAACTTGTTGACTTATTGTGTATTTCACAAACTGGTTTATTTACCGTTGAGTCGGACCACTCTCCTCCGTGCGTCCCTGAGCTGACTGCTGCAGATCTGTCACTCTGCTGTGCTGTGAGGGAGTTAGTGGATGAAGATTGTCATGAGGTCGTTGCGTCATCTACAGGATAAGTCGGGGAACTTTTCAAATGGCAGAATGTTTTCGAAATGAAACCGAATCTTATTCTCCACATTTTATTTCTGAAAATATCTGCGAAAATCATTAAGTTTTGGCCGATTACAGATTAGTCTCGAACGGGCTAAAATTGGCCGATTTAATCGGCTCGCCGATAAATCGGTTGGGCCCTTGTTGAAACTAAAACGTTCAGTTAAAATTTTCGAACTTAATTTTTATCAAATCTTTAACCACAACAACACAGTGTTCACATCTCAATACAATACATTTCTTTTCCTTTTTCCAGCTGTATGTGTATTTTTACAAACATCCACAGATAATGTGGGATTAAATCAAAGAGAAAAAACATAGTGATCATCGCAAAAAAACAATGTCCACTCTAAAGTACAGATTTATAGGTGCGGATTCTAGTCAGAGGCAGGATGAGAGTATTTTAATATGGATAGGAAGTACTTACACCATTAACAGTAACTGTCATTGCATCAATAAAGTTACCACAAGTTCACATCTTTCAATAAAGGAGGCCCTCCGAAGCCTTAGTGAAAATGTGATCTGCTCCATTTGATAAATATCCCATACCAGTTTTAATTTTTGAAAACCACTAGAATCTGTATCATCAATGGAGATATTTAATCAAACAAAGATGGTGTAGATAAAGTTTCAAAGACCGAAACCTTAATTTTGTGTTTTAATATATTAATCAAATCCTAAAATGTTTTTTTTTTCTTGTTCCTGTTAAATCTCTGTTCTTTTTGCTACTTGTATGAAACTTTAAGAAAAAAAGAGTATTTTTCTATTCCATCATAACTTGATTGTCTCTAAAAAACGACTTGAGACTGAAAGTTTTTCATCTTTGTCTTCCTCAGACGACAACAGCAACCAGAGCTCCATCGCCGACTCGTCTCCGGTGAAACAAGAAAACAGTTGTAGCACGAGCCCCGCCCCAGAGCCCACCAACACGTCTCACCGCGAGAGCAGCGAGGCCAAGAGTGACCAGAGCCCGGACAGCAAGAGGGGTCAGATGCACAAAAAACACACACAAACACACACCTATCGTCTTAAAGAGACTTTTTTTCCTTTTTTTTTTAAAGGTGGCTGTGTTAAATGAAGCTCACAGCCGTCAGTTTTTTTGTTTTCCCTCTGATAGCGAGTCTGTCGAGTGACATCAGGACAGACATCGTCACTCTGAGAATCAGAATGACTCCTTCTCCATTAGTTACAAACACACAGTTTACTGGAGGACAAGCAGCTGTGGCCTCTCTGTCTCCCCCGGGACTTTAACCGTCAACCCTGTTTTACATTTCTATCATTCTCGCACAGACCCTGTAGAGGTCGACCTCCGCGTCTGACTGTGACGGCGGTTTAATCTGCGGGTCTGACTAAACTCTGAACGACAATCTCTCTGGCATTTACATATCACTGAAGATGAAGTCAGAGCGGAGGCGTCACAGTCATGTCGAGGTTACAGCTGCAGCTAAACAAAATGATTTCACTGAAGTGTTTAATGGTATGTAGAAGCTTGATGCAAACTAATAACAGGCTAAAACTTGTTTTTTCTTCACACCGCTGGAGGCCGGGGAGGAAATGTGTTCTTACACCGTCTACAGTCTGACTCGTTTTCAAAAACAGAGAACTCAGATCTCTTCAGAGTTTTTCATTTACAGCAGGTCAGAGTTTCTCTTTAAACAAACTGTAAATAGCAAATACAGCTCTCTACAAATCAGAGGTAATCCTGGCTGCTATTTCGGATTTAGTCTGAGTCTTTGGACCAAAGTGAATTTTAGTTTTAGTTGTTTGTGTGAGTCAAAGCGTTTAATGACCTCAACTAGTTCAGTCAATAAATTTCTAAATTAGTATCAAGTTTAAATCTGACGTGTTTCATCACTCAACTTTTTACTTTTATCTGATCATCGACTTTGGCTCTGTTCACACTGCAGGTCAGTACCGATTTTTTAACCATATGTGACACATATCTGATTTTTTCATGTAAGTGTGAACAGTGCAATTCTGATTTTTTTCAAATCCGACCCAGGCCTCTTTCGTATGTGGATATAAATCGGATATGTTTCCGATGTATGCAGTGTGGACGCTAAGGTTGCGTTCATCCGACCTATATGTCATCAATATGTGACAAACGTCACCATTGTTCAACGACACAAACAGGCGCAGAAAGCAATTTATGCTTTGTGTGCATGTGGGTCACTTCACAGGCAAAAAATCCGAATTGTGCATCAGAACCTGCAGTGTGAAAGTAGCCTAAGAGACAAGAGAGGACTTTTTGGACAGACACTGACCTCTCTTCTCTTTCAGCTACATCTTCGTCATCACTCAGTGCGTTTACATGACACTCGAGAAAACCAAATTACTGCCTTACTCCGATGAAGACCGGACACCTGAAGTGCATGTAAACACCTTAGTCTGACTATAACCAGAGTTTGAGAACTCCGATTAAGACGCCCAGATAATGCGATTGGAATCCGATTTTCTCTACCATGTAACCAGCGTAGTTGGAGTATGATCGGACGTGCGCCACGCCCCCGTAACTCCAGAACAAAAACACCAGAGAAGAGGAGTAGCGTGCGTCTCGTCTGCAGAAAAAGTAGCACGTACATCATGTACGACAAAAACAACACTGTACGATGTACGATGCACTGTAACACTGTACGATGCTCCATCTTCTCGCTCCAAAATGCCCAGCAGCAATTGTAGACATTTCTGACGTCTGACACGGACCTGCTGTTGTTGTTGACGGTTGTATGGGGTCGGATACAACACGGCTGAAAAGACCTATATTGCCCCCTAGTTTTGCGAAGGAGAATACGTTCACGTCAATAATTCTATTTTTTCAGCTGCATGTATACGCAGACAAGGAGAGAAGTCCGATTCTGCAAAAAAAACGAATTACGAGCTTAGTCTGAATAAATTGTGCATGTAAACGCACTGACTGATGGCAGAGTGGATTATGGTGAACTCAAACGTCTGAACCAAATCCGTCTCTGTGAAGTCAATCATGTCCCGATCACACTGACCCTGAATCTGATATAAATACTCCAAAACCAGAACTTGGTCGCTAAATCTTGCAGCCTAATTTAAAGATTTGCATTCTCTCCAGTGTGCTCCTCATCCTCTGTTTTTATACGATGATATCAGAGTCAAACACAAGTCTGGTCTATTTAAATGAAGCCCAGATCTGCTGCTTTTCATTTGCCATGTAAAGGTGCAGTTACTTCAATCAGCCACACGGTGTCAGTAAAGAGCCAGAGAAACCCAATCTGACTGAAAAGCTGCCTCATGTGTTTTGGTGTCTCTTGGAGAAATGTGTTCTGATGCTGATGTGTCTGTTTTGATCCTCAGGTAAGACCACCCCGTCATCAGAGACCTCAGAGAGAGCACAAAGTGCCAAGAGAGACAGTCTGTCCTCAGGAGAGAAAGACTCCTCAGATAGCAAAGCCACTCAGGTAAGCGCACGTCCAAACGTCTGACTTTACCAATTCGAATCTCAAAGACAGAACACTGAAAATGACTGCAGTGAATGAGTGAATAAGGTAAAGACGGGGTGGATAACGTCAGAAAAAGGTGCATACTCTTGGTTTTACGTGTCCAGGTTTTACATGTCACTCCTTCAATATTTCTGTTCTCATTAAAACTCAAAAAGTGTCTCCTAACTTTGAAAAACTCAAGAAATAAAAACAATAATATAGAGCAGACTTTATCCGCTCATTTTTGACACATCCACCTTTAAACCAGGACAATCAAACTAAAAGAAAAGAGAGAGTCCAGATGTCCTTGTCTCTCTCTGAAGCTGCTCTCTTTCTATAGCTGCAGTCATAAAGCCTGTGACCTCGGGGCCTTCACTGAATGTGGTTGTGGTTATTTATATCCTTAGAGATTCAACAGGACCTTGAATAACAGCAGCACTGACTCCAGGGAGCTGCTGTCCTTGGAGCGCATGGGTCACTTAGTGCTTTTTTTCTTTTATTGTAAAGTTGTAGTCAGAGTTTATCTCCACACAAATTAGGGCCTGACCGATATGGATTTTTTTGGGACCGATGCCGATACTGATTATTATGGGGGGGGGGGGATCTGATTACTGATTAATCGGCCGATTTTTAATTTTTTTTAATGAAGTTATAAAAAATTACATATATACTGTAAGCTACTGCTCTTCACGCCAACAGGAAGACCAACAGATCAAACTCAGACCAGACGAGCGTTTTCAACTACCGCGATGATATACCGGTGAAAACATGATTATTTATCATATTGTTGTGACAAAATAAGATCACTATCGCTAAATGCGCTAATGTCTTACGGGTTTGACAAGCTGTTTTGATGACATCTTTTTCTGTCAAACTTTGGACCAATTACATGGTCTCATATTCTTCTTCTATTGTTCTCTTGATGGTAGTGTCCAAAAAAAGGCAACCAAAGATCAACAAGAGACAAGAAAGTTCCCTGCTTGTCTGCAACATGAGAAATAATGGTCCTAAATGTTTGGAAACAAGCAAAGAAGAGATTATGAGCAGTATGATGTGACCCTCTGTCTCATCCCAGACAGGAACTGCTTCCAGGAGTGGCATAAACAACTGTAAATAATAAAAAAAAGGCCTGGAAGAATTAGTGTAAATATGTAAATAGTTTCTGTTGTGTGTTTGTTTCAATCCCAATATTTCTTCTCCTGATAGCCAAGACTTTAGAGAATGATGTGCAGGTGAGCAAAGTACCGTTGGTATCAATTTCCATTTTTGTTTTTTGGTTGACTTTGATGGTTCTGAATCTATTGTCACATTCATTTTACATCATTTTTGCTCCATAAACTGACAACGGAGGTTGTCCTAAAAAAAAGATGTGTTTATAGGATAGGATAGAGTTGCTACATTGAATTTTACAAAAAAGAACCAGGTGGACCAAAAATAGCCTAATATACCTGGGAGTTCTAAGGGTTAAAGAGACACAGACTGAATCACTTCTCCTTGTGTTTATTTCTGGGTGTTTTAAAGCTCCAATCAGGAACTTTTTCCTCTTTCTGACTGTGTGTTTGTTTTTCTCGTAGGATCTAGAGGAGGAGGCCCCGCCAAGTAAGAAAAGCAAACTGGAGTCCTCGCCTCCGGACTATGAGGAGAGTTAAATCCTCGTCTCCTCCTCCCTCCCTCCTCTCTCCCTCCCTCTGTACCTCCCTCCATTAACTCGAGATAATGTCGGGCTAATGGACACACCAGCTCTCCTCCTCCCTCTCCTCCCCTCCTCCTCCTCTCTACCTAAACTATACCAAAGGGAGAATGGACGTCTCTCTTCCTCCCTCCTTCCCTCCCTCACTCCCTTCCTTCCTTTCCTCCAGTTTGCCTCCTCAGCCCTAACACTCCTCTGCCACAGAGGGAGAATGGATATTACCTCTATTCACTGGTCCCCTCCGTGCTTCCTTCCAGTTTTCCACTTTTTCACTAATGCCAAGAGAAGCTCTGAACCCCGGGGCTGCAATTTCCCCTCTGCGACCAGGGGGGCGGCGCTGTCAGCCGAGCTCCAGCCACCACCAGGCCAGACCACAAACCCTGACCTGCACCTGTGACTAAAAGAGTTAACACTGGGGATCTGACTGTAGGACGAGGTTGAACCCGGGCGCTGCTCTGAGATCCTTTTGAGATACTGCTAACGGGTTAGCTTAGACGCCGACCTGGTCTCAGATCAGCGGCTGCAGGGGGAACCTCCGCCCTAAGACCACGTCACTTCAATCCTCCCGATTCGCCTCCTGTTAGACTAATGTTCTATATTTGTTTAGGAAACGTTTAGGGTTTTTTTCTCAGGAGGGTCAATGCACTGTTATGGTATGTCACAATCGATCACAGATAGATTTGCTGCTGTAGTGGAACTCTTTTTTCTCTATCCATGAAAAGTTCTCCATTCACACCTTTCTCACGTGACTTAGCTCGTGGTGGTTCGTAGAAGAAGAAGAAGACGGTACTGGTCAGAACTCTTTGGAAAAGTAGTGAAGTCAGGCGTAGGTAGCGTAGGTCCTGATGGTGTGCCTTGAGTTGCTACGATTAAATACACGTTTTTAGGTCAAACAGGTTTAAAATCACAAGTTTTGGTGCCATGTTTTTGTTTTTGTTTTTGCCTTATCATCGTCACTGATTAGCATTACCCAAAATTTACCCTCAACTACGACAAGAGAGATAGTTCCACTTTTTTAGGAAACAGATCAGCGCCAAACAATCATGAATGAAAAAAAAAACTACAAACTTCTAGCCGAGAAATAGTCCCAATGAAATGACAAGTTTTTATTCTTTAATTTTACTTCTTTATGGTTTAAAAACGTTTATCTGTCAAAGTTAGTGACTGTTCGATGGATTCGAAACAAAATCCAGCGTAAAGGCTAAAGTAGGCGGCACTCAGTCGACTTAAGGAAAGTCGTCTTGATGAGTTTTACACTCAGAGGAAAAATCATGCATCACTTTTTTAGATATTAGACAGAAAATCATGATGAGAAATAATGAATCAGTGCCTCTACAATGAACAACAACGACAGATTTATTCGTTTGAAGGTTTATTAAAAGTTCCAGGATTTTGTCTTTTTAACTTGGCTTGGACTAGAAATGAAAGCAAAAAAATCTCTCAATTCCTCCAGTCATTACAAAAACAGAAGGCAGCACGCCTGTTTCTAAAAATGTGGAACTATTCCTTTAAAGCAGATGCAGACTGGAATCTGAACACTATCCTAAAACTCTTTTTTTGCATCAATGAGCCTCAAAAATCGTCCTCCCTGGTCCTCTGGTCTGCGTCTACTTCAGGCGGCGCTCTGTGGTTCTTGTTTGGTTCCCTTTAAAGCAGAGACAGACCCGTTTCCTCGGACTGATTTCCCCGCCGCCATCATGTGACCCATAAAGTGATCACCTCTCATCTCTGCACGTGTTTCCTGTGTATCACTACTTATCTCTGACCTTCATGTCTCTGCAGCTCCACACAGAAGGGTCCGGTCTTTTTTTCGCTCAAACGTTGGTTCTAATCCTCCTCAAAGGTGCTGTCTGTCGGCTGAATCCAGACACACACATGCACACACATATGAACACACACTGACACACACACGTGGCATCAAGGTCTCGGTTTTTGTGCAGAGTTGTGCAACTTACTTGAACTTTTTCGTATGGATTCAGACCTTTGACCTCTAACCTCACACATGCCAGATTTCACGGATGGATCAGTCGACACACCAATGACGCCATGACATCACAGAGCTGCAGAAGAACTTTCCGGCAGAATTTACTTGATCAAAATTTCAGCGAATCAGCACTCACATGGATGGAGAGAAAAGAAACAAACCCAGAATTGTCTCAGTCTAGAGGATGGATTAGCATATACCTCATTCCCAGTCCAGCAGCGCTGGAACTTAAAAATGCTATTGTAATGACATTAACAGTTATAAACAGCATTATGTACACTCAGTTTGATGAAAAAGATCTCACTTATGTTGTAGCTTCACCTGATTGAGCCGATTGCTTATAGTTTGCTCATAACTGTGTGTTTAAAAAAGAGCTGTGAGATATAAAATCTTGTATGTTTTTTTTTTTTTTTTCTTGGGACCATTTTTGTTTCACTTTAGATCTTGTACAGATTTATGGTTTGGTTTGACTTATTTATTCCATCAGTAGTGCTTGGTTTTTATCATGTCCAATGGTTTTGTTTTCTTAATAAAATTCACAAAACATTTCCGTGTTCGTCTTCACTTTCAGGTTTTCTCGGTTAAATAACAGTGCACGTAAACTAAATATTAAACATGGGTGTCATCTCTGTGAGGTCAGCCTCGGTTTCTGGGCAGGTGCTGTGAAGTCAAACGCGGGCAGCCGCCACATGAGAAATGCTGTCAAAATTAACACCAAGTTACACACCCCCTTGAGAGATGAATGTTGCCAACCGCTCATTTTTTCATGGAAATGTAATCAGGCCGAGACGCTAAGGCAAAAGAACGACCGTGTCTGCAGTGCAAAATGATAAATATGATGATTATTACCTCAAGGAAATTATAAAGAAATGATCATAAATGTTCTTTGAGCTGCGTCACCCCGCTGTAGTCCGTAATGGACTGGCCTGAGGTCTGCGTACAAACAAGCGGCTGCTGGAAGAGAGTAGGTGAGTTGTGTTTAGTCTCTTTGAAAAAGAAATTAGTCAAAGCTAGAAAGATGTTTGGTGGCTAGTACTAAGGCTGGTTCCCTATATGTACTGTTGATAAAGGTAGGTGCTGTTCTGAGCATTATTTGTGGCTATAGAGTGGTGTTTTACATTGAGGTTTGTTTATGGTTCCTCAGACCGCTGTATATTGCTATCCTGCGTTTATTACTAAAGTTGATATAACTAGAGAAGCAAGCGGTCGGCAACATTCATCTCTGGAGGGGGTGTCTAACTTGGTGTTATGGTGTTTTTGAGCCTAAATTAATTTTAATCCCTTTAAGCTTCTCATTTGGAAATCAAGGTCCTAGAGTCTGGAGTAGGATCAGAGAGGCCCAGAATCTGAGTTTTCACAGTCTGTGGTTTGGGGAAGTCCAGAGTCAATGCAGCCTCAGGAGGTTTTAGAGACTCCGATAAGAGACAAGAGGTGAGCTGAAGGAGCTTTCACAGAGACCTGGACTTCAAGCACAACCCAGCGGACTTGTGGCCCCCACTGGTACTCGAGGCAGTTTTTGTAAACAGAGTAAATAAAGTTGCTTTGGTGAAGGGAGGAGTGAAGAGTAAATCAGTAAAATAATGAAACAGCACAAAGTAGGTTTTCCTTTAGTTGATATTTCTATTGGACTGTTCAGGAGTATACAGTACATAGAAAACAGTGACTCTTACACCACGTCAACATCTGTAAAACTGGTCTGAACATTTCAAAACCACGTCTAGATGGTGCCATATAAAACATCACACGGATAATCAGACGTGTCACGTAGAAAGTACACAGTACGTCGATACAAATCTTTTTTTTTTTTTTTTTAAACTGGAAACCGTCTGATACAACGTGAATCTTATCAACAGGGCAGAAAAATAAAATGTAGTACACATAAAAGCTTTTTTTAGTTTCCATGGCACTGTGTACACGTTAGCCAGAGGGAGGCCTCTGATCGGTATTTACAAAGACGAGTGTCCGCGGTTAGTTACATCTGCGTTTATATATTTACACTGGTACACTAGAGATTCAATATGATACATTATCATTGTGCTTAATAAGTCCAATATGTGGTTCAGTTAAAAGAATAGTTCACAACATCAGGAAATACACTTGTTTGCTTTATGTTAGTGCAGAGGACGATAAAGCTAAAGCTAACAGGCTAGTGGCATATTTTTTGAATAACTTCAAAATTTTGTCTTTTTTACTTTACCTCATATTCTGAATTGTGCACCTACACTACCCACAATGCACTCCTGTTGATGATAATTTAATCAAGATAGTGGTATTTTGTAAGTTGTTGCTCTAAAGACTTTTAAACATATTTTAATGAATAAAATTTGTCCCGTTATTACTTTACAGGCAGCAAAGAAATTAAATCAACTGGTTAAGCTAACCTTCAACTTAAAACAGCTAGCTTGTTGCTACAGAAACGGCAACAAAAGTTGCATAGTAGCCCTTTATATAACAATGATGTGCATTTGTTTAACTTATATTAAAGCTCCAACTAGGAACTTTGGGTATGTGTCAACTTTGGCGCCCCCTGTGGACAAAACTTTAATTGCGTGTTTTATTCTCTAAGTGCTAAAGTGTCGTCTGAACGTAAAGATTCACTGTTGTGCAGGATTATAGCGCTAAAAGCGTCATGTTAGCTGTTTCCTGGGTTCAAAGACTTTATGCTAGCTAACTCGCTGAAGATTCGTAGCATACAGACACGGAAGTTGCACCATTTGTCTCTTCTTTTTTTGCTGCCAAACGAACAAGTGTATTTCCAGAAATGTTGAATATGTGCTTTAAGAGAGCGCAGTATGAAACGAGACGGTACGCTATTATAGATACCACCTTTTTTTTTTTTAGATAAACTTCATCTTTCGAGTCATAAAGTGAAAGCGCAGTACATATCAGCTGATCTTTAAAGTGGACAGTGCAAAACTAAGTTAGTTTGAGGCTTCTACAGTTTCATCTGTTTTTTCAGATGAAGCCCACCTACACGACAGTAGTCCTAGTACAGACTGTACACCTTTAAATAGTGCTAGCTTATTTTCCTGTATGAACTGGTTAGTGAAAGATTAGACAATAAATAACAAACCAAAACAGAGTCCTACTGAACTACAACAAATCCTGCTTTAGGTGCTTTAACTGGCAGCGTTTGATGATGTAAACCTGTGTTGTGGTTTGCAGAAAAGGAAACTGTAGAAAACGTTGGCGTTGGAAACAGCAGCCAGCAAAACATGTTTACAGTCGAGTCCATGTAGCTGCTGGTCTGAAGCCTCTGATTGAAGTTTCATGCAAAATGTAGAAAATTTAAAACCTCAAAAAAGCTGAAAAGACTTTTAAATGCTCTGAGAAAGTGAAAACTGAGCAAAAACCACAAAACTAACTGCTGATGACAGTAATGTGGTTATAATTCAAAGCTCCATCGCTGCAGCTACATGGACCTCTGAGTAATTTTTGTAAATAACAAAAACCGTAAAGCTGCTTCATTAAAAAAAAAGATACAAACAGGAAGAACTGACCTTAAAAAGTCGAATAAAGTCCCTTCATGCCACGGTTCTGACACAAGAAATCTGAGGTTCAAACTGTCTAAAAATTGAAAGAGTATCAGGGCCACTGACAGAGGTGGAAAAGAAGAATAAAAAAAGAAATCTGGGAAAAAGTTAGAATATTTTTAAGGTTTAAGCTGTTAAATGTCTAAAAAGTGATAAAAGTCAACATATTTGTGATAAATTTTGTGATAAAGTGTTTTAAGCAGAGAGATTAACACTGGTAATATAAATGTTACAGTAACCCTGGAAAAGGTCACAATATTTCAGATTTTGAAATAAGTTCCAATATTTGAGGAAAACAAACGTAAATATTTATGATTAAATTTGGAAAACTAGAGCTAGAAATCTCAAAAATATGTGTTTGTGGAGTTTTGTGGATTAGTGACGCTCTTTTCTTTTCCTGCTTTTCCTAATTTCATGAAAAGTTTTCTATAAATATCATAACAGTGAATGTTCTTCATTTATGATAAATTTGAAGAGCTTTGATTTTCTTTTTCTCCTCTGACGGTGGCCTTGATACTCCGTCTATAGCGGTACTTTTATAAACAGGACTACACGTAAATAAAATCAGTAAACTCTTCGTCCCGGCAGTCTCGCTCTCGGAGGAATGTGCTGCAGATATCAGGAATGTCAAGTCCTGGTGGTGCTTCGTTTTCCCTTCGGTTTCATCTGTGCTTATAATTCTGTCACTTTTTTATCGTTTAAATAACAAAAGCCCCAAAAAGAAAGTCTGTGAACATCACTTCTACGAAATTTGGAAATCAAATCAAATTAAAACAACATGTAAAAAAACGAACAAGTGCAGAGGAAAGGTTCCTTCCGTTAAAAACATGGATATTGCACCAAAGCAGTGTATTTGGACGAGCATTCAGAAGATTTAGAGAAAAAAGGGCGGCAAGAGTCGGGTTAGGACAGTGGCTACAGTGATATGCATAAATACAGTATAAAAATACAATATGGTAAAATCTGTCAGGGTGTGGTCAGGCATGTGCGGGGGAGTCAAAGGTGAGTCGAGAAAAGAGGAAGGTAGAAGAGAGTTTTTGGAGCTACTAGAAGGTCTGATCGTCGTTACAGGACTCGGTGGAGTGTCCGAAGGCCTCGCAGATGTCGCAGTAGGGCCTCTCGTCCGATGGTTTACCGTGATAGGTGGTGTGAGGGACAGAGTCGGGGCTCTGGGCCTGAGTAGGACAGTCCTCGGTGTCGTGGAGGTCGAAGCAGTCGCAGATATCGCAGAAGAGACGAGGCGTCGCCTTCTTTTCCCGCTTAGACATCCCTTCGATAAATCTGAGGGGATGAAAAAAGAGAGAGCGGCAGTTCAGGTCGCGAAAATAATCACATGATCCAAGATCCAGACAAGCATGCAGAATTCTGATTGCGTCTCCAGTTTTCTGAATCCTGTCATAAAAGACTCCGTCTCTCACAAAGTGCTGAACCTCTTCCTGTCTTTACTTCTTAGATACTCTTGACTTTTTCCCGTTTTGTAAAATGTCTATGCCATCAAAACCTAAAATTAATGTCTATTCTTCCTAAAACAATACGTTTTCTAAGCTTCTTTGTTTGGTGTGTTTGTCTGATGTATTATAAATTAAAGAAAACGAAAGAAATCAAATTTAGGTTGGTCATTTCTTCGTGTCTTACTCGTCAGTCCCGTCATTGCCGTTAAACTCAGACAGAGCGAGCTTCTTCAGTTTTATCTTCAGCTCCTCGTTCTTCCGTTGCAGGTCCACGATCACGCTGTTCAGGAAGTTAATCTGATCGGGAAGAAGGAGACAATAAACGGTGAGTATGAAGTGATTTTACAGCCAGATTAAAAACGTATTTCTGGAAACATCCAGAGAAGGTCTCACCTGTCCTTCTGCAAACTCTTTCTCCTCTTTGAGCTGCTCCAGAGCTGCAGAATCACCTACAGGAGGAAGAATCAGATCCCCATGAAGACAGACCGTCCTCTCTTAAACATTTTAAAATTACTCTGATTATTATCTCCTCACCTGTGGGTGGAGCTTCCCTGTCTCCTCCCTCTGACCCCTGCGTTCCCATGAGCCTTTGCTCCAGACTCTGGACTCGTCCCTGCAGCTGGGCTTTGTCTTTCTCTAGCGTCTCCACGGCCGACTGCAGCGTCTTGGCCATGGCGTTTTCTCCTCTGAGCACCGCGATCTGCAGAGCGGACACAACGATGAACAACACTAGATAAAGTTTTAGGGTGATTTTTCTTTTTCATGAGGCTCAAACGTCGGTACCTCGTTCCTCAGAATTTCCAGCTCCCGGTCTTTGTCTGAAATTAAGGCTCCAGTGGAGTTCTGGAAGTTGATGTCTCCCTCTGTTGGTATGTTGTCTCTGTGAAAAAGACGGATTCAGAAACTTGAAGGGATATTCTGGCGTAAAATTAATTTAGGGTCAAACACACCATAACACCAAGTTAGACACTCCCTCGAGAGATGAAAGTTGCCAACTGTTTGTTTCTCTATTTATACCAACTTTAGTAACACCCACATTATAGCAATACAGAGAGCCACACGCTCAACTAAAAAGCCACTCTATAGCCACAAATAATGCTCAGAAGAAGCCCCTAACTTCATCAACAGTACATATAGGGTCCCAGCCATAGTACTAGCCACCAAACATCTTTTTAGCTGTCTTCTTTCTTTTTCAAAGAGACTAAACACAACTCACCTACTCTCTTCCAGCAGCTGCTTGTTTGTAGAGACCTCAGGCCAGTCCATTACAGACTACAGCGGGGTGACGCAGCTCAAGGAAGAACATTTATGATCATAATCACCAATAATGTACTGGCCTGAGGTCTCTACAAACAAGCAGCTGCTGGAAGAGAGTAGGTGAGATGTGTTTAGTCTCTTTGCTAAAGAAATTAGGCAAAGTTAAAAAAGATGTTTAGTGGCTTGTACTATGGCTGGGACCCTATATGTACTGTTGATGAAGTTAGCTGCTGTTCTGAGCATTATTTGTGGCTGTAGAGTGGCATTTTGGTTGAGGTTTGTTTATGGTTCCTCAGACTGCTGTGTATTGCTATCTTGCGGGCGTTACTAAAGTTAGTATAACTTGAGAAGCAAGCGGTCGGCAACATGCATCTCTGGAGGGGGTGTCTAACTCAGTGTTACGGTGTGTATGACCCTAACTTTATTATACACCGGAATATCCCTTTAATAATGACGTATTGTGGGTTTGACATCTGCCTTCAGATTCAATCACCTCAGATCAGCTCTGGTAACTAAATCTAGATGTCTAATTGATATTTTCCCGACAGCAGCAACCTCCTCGCTCAGATCAGATCAGATCTTTCACTCCTGCTCTAACTCTTCATCACCTCTCTCCTCATTTCCCCGGAGCTCCCACAGCTGCTCCTCACTTCGCTCCTCCACCTCTGCTGGTGCTGCTGTTGCTCTTATCTTACATCACAAACACCACTCTGATCCTCGGCTGTCCCTCGCCTTCACCGTCTATCATCCCCTCTCTGTCAAACACTCACTTTTAGCTTTGCCTGCTGCTCTAATGAGATACTGACACGTTTTGATCCTCTGATTACGAGAGATGATGGCGGGGGGGGGTTTAAAATAAGAGCGAACAAACTCTGAGAGCAGATGTAGAAACTCATCGCTCATTTAAAGAGAGATAAAAGCTGCAAACTTGAAGCGCTAAAGCTCTACAAACAAATCAACATTTCTCTCTCTTCGTGATAAAATAAGATGTTTTCAAAATCAGCGTGTTTTCAGTTTTCTTACCTGGTCTTCATGTCTGCCTGTTGGCTGTTCCTCTCCTCATTGTTCTGAGGACACACACAGACATAGACGTGTTTATATAGAAGCTAAACCCGTCTGAGCTTCAAGAGTTTATTCACAGCAGGAAGTAAATCCTCGCTATGCCAAGACCTATTAATCAAATTACTCCGCTCCTGACTCTCCTGGTCTTTTTAGGGTGAAGAAAGCGGCTTATATAATAACTCCTTTTTTCTTTTTTTATGACTAAGGGAAGGTTTGTACCTCCTCGAGATGCTGAGTCTTCTGGGAGGCCAGCTTCAGCTCCTCACTGAAGGACAAAGAGAGAAAGAGAGAAAGAGAGAAAGAGAGGAGAGCTGTCAGAGCTCGGCGAGACCTGTGTCACCATCATGGATTTGACCTTCAATCATGTGTGCCATATCATCCTCAGGAGCATCACTAACATGTTTATAATCAAACATGAGAAGAGAGCTGACTGACCGGAGCGTTACCTGCTTTCAGTTTACGCAACCGCGACAGTATGATCCGAAAAACACTTGGCATTATGTAAGAAAGAGGCAGCACACACACAAACACATCAAAGGTTTGTTTTTAAGCTCCTTAATATTCTTTTACATTTTTGAGTAGACATGACTCAAACAGGGAAATGCTTCAAAGCGCTTTTTCATTATCTGCAGGAACAACTGATGAATTAAGGGCTCAGTCAGTGCTTTAAAAAATAATCCACAACAGTTTTAAGACTCAGGTTAACATCCTGAACACTAACAGAGTGAATAAAGATGTTTTCTATATTCCAAATTTAGGGGGACTCGTGCTTTTAGTGAGTTCTAAATAATTTAAAAGTGCTTTTCTGTTCGTCAAACAAAACATATGTAGACGCCACATTTGACAAAAAACAGTTTACACCTGCATTCAAAGAGCGGGAAATGGTATTTAAAGAATGGTGTGAAAGCCACAGTAATGATGTTAGCTAACACATTAAACATGATGCAGTGATTAAAGTTTTTACATTTTTTATCAATGCTGCATCTAAAAGCAGATTGATGTTTACATGTCTTTGCTGCTCTGAGTGAATTCAGCTTAAAAAAAAAATTATAGTTCTTTAGTTGTCAATCAGAAAAAATGCATTTTAATGGGGAAGATCAACCGTAGACGAGGTGTATCACTTTGTCCACAGGGGGCGCCAAAGTCTGCACAAACAGAAAGTTCCTGACAGGAGCTTTATAGTGTTGTGTGTTCCCGAACGATTCGTTCAAAAGAACTGAATCTTTTAAGTGGACATACTGATTCGAATCACTTCTTCGAGTGATTCATTCGTTTCTCACTTCAGTTGAGCTGAAGTGAGAAACAACATTGCCAGGCCAGCAGTCAGCGAAGGAGGAACCACATGCACCGATGCCTGAATCACTTGGTGAATGAATCAAGCATTAAACGACACTCTCTGGAATCTTTTATGTAGGACAAAACTATCTTTTTGGTTTTTTTCTGCTAAATTGCCACTACAACAACTTGCATACAATGGCACAAGTTTATTACCCTCTTTTAAAACTAATTTTTGTAAAGGTGCTTTTAGTGGGTTTGAGTTTTACCCATGTTTAAGTGCTTTTAACTGAGTTTTACGTTATTTTTGTTTACTGATTGTATCGATGTCCTGTTGTTGTGAATTATGATGACTGTCTCAATCTTATTGTTTATTTTTCCATTGTAAAAAATGTGTAAATCTGTTTTTAAAAGTGAGAGCTACATCTTTAGATAAGTATTATTTTAGTTTTAATTATTATCTGAGAGGAAAGTTGACATTTTTGGACCATCTTTGCTGCATTTTTAAAGACGGTTGTTTCCAAGTAAACATAATAAATGAAAGATTTGACCACAATCTTTATTTCTGCCATTTTTTAAGGATCCACGATGCATGTTTTAAACTAACCTGATGTTAATCCAGTATTTCCTCTTTTAGCTCTGTTTTTGGTCTCCACCACCTCTTTAACAAACCAGAAAAATAGTAAACTAAGTTTGTTTAAATGCATTTCTTTAACTATTTTAAATGCCTAGAGTCTGTTTCCCTCGCTGGTTTAGCCCCCCTCCATCAGTAAATGTAGTGTATCTGCTGCACTTAGACTGATTAAACCCACTGACGTCCTCTCATGATTGGAGAGCCATCTGTTTGATCACATCTGCTGCTGATGTCGACTGCTGCTCCGTCCTCTCTTAAACATCTTAAAGGATTTAAAAGCTGTGACTCCCACTGTGAATTAAACACTCTACAGACTATGATGACACCATGCACAAAGTCAGAAATACTGTCAGGATACCATGAAACTGATTCTGTAAACCTAAAGACAGCAGCAGCACAGACACTGTCGTCTGAGTATTTATGATTCTGTATATTTTAGGAAGCTGAAAATGAAGATGATTTGCAGCTGAAATGGAAATGAGCTCCATGTGGGTCATTCTTAGGCTTTGTGTCAAAAGGCGAGCTCTGGAGCTTCCTGTGTGACTAATAACCAGTCTGAGCACCAGCTGGGTGAAATATCCGACCGCCTGCTGTATAATTACATCGGCTCTGTAGCATCAACTGCACTCGAACATGCGGAGAAGACGGCTCATTTACAGAGGAGAAAGAAAATACGGTTTATAGTGAAGAGACTCCAGAAATGAGACTGTCGAATAATCTGCCCGTGTGCCAGTCAGAGAAACGGAAACAGACGAAAGGAGGATCCGAACAGGAGGGAGGAGGAGTAAGAGGCAGCTGGGACTCAGCTCCTCAATTTTACCTCTGAGATTGTTTCATGCATCATCTAAAAATTTAATACGGTTTATTACTGTAATTTCACACTCCGGCAAACTGAACCGAAACAGAAAGAACAACGCTCAGATCCCACACACATGAAACAAACGAGGGTCACTGTGGTTTTCTATGGAGTCTGAGGGCCACACTCAGAAAAAAACATAACCCTATTTTTTAAAAAGTTGTTTTAATGATTGTTAGTTTTTTCTTTCAGCACATTTCTCTGGCCTCTGTTCTTTGAACTGCCTTTTTAATAAAATGAGATTTAACATTAAACTTTCAGAGCCTTTTTTTAAATTGTGGAGAAGTAACGAAATTATCAGGACATATTACATGAATAAAATTATTGTTAAGTCGAAGTAATTTATGAATTAAGTCAAATAAAAGTCTTAATATTTCAAGAATGCAGTTAAAAGAGATAAAAGTGGTTAAATTATAACAACGAAGTTACAGGCAAGATATAAAAGGAATTATAACAGAAAATAAGGTCATTATACAAAAATAAATCCTTAGTGAAGTGATAATATTATATTATAAATCACTAGAATAAAGTCATTAAACATAATCAGACTTTTTTCTTGTAATATTATGACTGTTTTTTAAGTAAATCCATTTTAAAATCACTTTCTGGTTACACCTGAAAACATCCTTCAATGTGGCAAAATATATTTGTAAATGAAGTCATGACCCGTAATTTTGATATTTGTATGATATTAAATTATGGATGATATCTGTTTGACTCATTTGTCTGTATTTCTCTGCACAAGGTTATTTCGGCATTTAAATGTCTTTTAAGGATCTTTTTCTTCAAACTAGACCCTGAAACCAAACTTTATGTGGGTATGGGAAATAGCCTGTTCAGTGAAGAGTTATTAATATGATGTAAATATTAATATAATAGTATATTTTGTTGTATATTTTGTTTTGTATTACAATGTAAAGTTGTGCACACTCCACCTTTAGGATGTTTAAAAATGTCAAAATTCGTAATTTTTGTACAAAAGAAGATTAGGGCCACATGAAGAGAAAACAAATAATTACAGGAAGGAGATGTGAGTCGAAATTTCGAGATTAAGGTCGACATTTCAAATTTAAAACGTTGAAAGTATGTCAATAAAGAAAAGAAATCTTTTCGACATCAAAACTGTTTCCTCTGACAGACAAACGGACAAGGATCTGAACTCCAGCAGCACCAGAAACAATCAGAACATCTGATCTGAGCAGATTAAAGCTGCTCTCTGTGCTGACACAGAAAGCCACATTGATTCACACACACACACACACACACACACACACACACACACACACACACACACACACACACACACACACACACACACACACACACACACACAGAGGCACAAAAAACACTTTGACACACACATCCTTACACACTCTCTGATGTCATAGCGAGCGTTTCAGCCATGTTGGAGCCAGGCGGTCCTAGGAGGAGAGACGGAGCGATTACATAATGCCAGCAGCAGAGCGAGGGAGGACGAGCCTCCACGGGGACGAGAAATGTGTTTGACATGATTCCTGTTTGTTTGTTTTTCTGAATCTTCAATGAAACAATCAGAAACGCAGAAAAAAAAGAAGAAAAAGCTGCTCCTGATTCACTGAAACTAAAAATATTCACTCTCCATCTGCTCCCCTCCGTCAGGACAGCAGGCTGCTTTTTGGTGATTATGATTCAGCCAATTAGATCCATCTGCAGCTGTGACATCATCAGTCGGGGGCTGCAATGAGTCAGTGGAGGTGTGGCAGGATGATGTAAAGACTCACACCACATAGGTCTACATGTGATACACACACGCACACACACACACAGTTTATAAATAGACTTAAACGTGAGGCTGGAGGTTCAGAGTCTGTTAAAAAATGAGAGACCCCAAATCTAAAACAGTTTAATTGTTCACAGGATGGACTTGAGAAATTAGGACCCCACAGAGGGGATACTTAAAGATCCTACCAAAGCTCCAGTCTGTTTTTTAAACCTACAGCTCTAAACGCTTCGTTATGATTCAGATAAAAAATGAAACACGCTCACATGTTCCCCTCGGGCAGAGCGAGCTGAGGCACACACCACCACCACCACCACAGAGCTGTCCTTATGTCCTTATGTCTTTATGTCGCAGCCGCCTCCTCTCTACATGTCGGTAAATAAAAGCCACGTGTTTCAGTTGAGGGTGATTGTGTGGCAGCGGTTGTCGTGGTTACAACAGCTGTTAAAACTCGTAAAGAGTCCTCATGATTGAAACTTTGTTAATCTTGTTATAATAAACTCAAACTTTACTCATCAGACGTATTTTACAGACACCTTTAAAGCTCTCAATGGCGTCAGTTACAGATCAGATGAGCCGACACGTACATTTACATCCTCAGGCAGTCTCCATTTTGGTAGACCACCATCGCCTATGTTTTGTCGGCATTGCCCAGCATGCCTTGCTGTGGTTTAATTCTTATGTGCACAAACGTAAGCAACGAAGATCAGATCATTCTTAACAGAGAGGTATACCCCGAGGTTCCGTCTTAGGCCCACTCCTGTTTTGAATCTTCTCCTCCTGCTCGTCTTATCTGCTGGTTCATATAGTTATATGCAGATGATGTTATAAAATACATCTCTAACCCCCAATTTCTACAACTACAAAAAGGCTGTATCCGCCGATCGTAGCTGATCGTAACCATTCAAGTTAATGTGTCAATTTCCACCAGCTTCTTTCCGTTCAGCTGCAGATCGCCGGACTCCACAGCTGATCTCAAGAGTTCTATTTTTTCTGGACGCCAGGGCATGCTGGATAAATTCAGCACAGATTAACCTGTGATGGAAAGGAAGTCGGGCACAGACACAAAATAAAACATCTGGCTACTTTTCAAAATAAAAGACTGTGTTTCAGGGGAATCATATTTTACACCACGCAAACGGGCGGAGACGAACAAGTGAAAGGTTTTTAAACGTCATTTCACCCCAATGACACCATGGATGAGGAGATGCTGATTCTAGAAGTCTAAAGGTAGATTTCCTCCTCTGGAAGGACATAATCTACTGCTTATATGGTTAGGTGTTTGTCTTTATAGAGACAACTCGTTATCGCACAATTGCACGTGAATCTGCGCAAAATGTCTGATGAAATTTGCCTCATAAACGGATTTGGTAGGAATTGGTGGATGGCGAAAATCGCCACTGATCTGGATCTGAGCCGTTTCAGATGCGGTGGAAATTCGGGGTAAAGCCTCCATTTCTCAGATACAAGAGGTCTTACAATCTAATCTTGATGTTTTACAAACTCGGCTCTGATCAGAAGAAAAAGAGAGATCTTGTTGTTGTTTTAAGGCTTTGATTGTTTTTTATCTTGTTAAGTTTGCTACCTGTCGTCAATTGTCAAATTTCTAGAAAATCTTTTTTCAAGATGCTGCATTTATCATTCTAAGATAATACATTTCTTTTTAAAAATCTTCCTATATTCAGGATATGAACTTTTGTTAAGTGAACATTTTAACTTAATCTAAAAGATACAGGTCGAAGCCAACAGCTTTGGAATAGAGAAGCAGTCAAGACAATTCAAATTAATCTCGGTTTAATTATGTGACGTAACAGGAATTAAGAGGATTTGACATTTGTAATTCTGTAATTACTTTATAGCCACTTATCCCACTTACACTCTGATTCTTTGACCTTACAGTGTTTACTTGTTGGCGGCTCTTCTGTCAGTTTGGGGTGTGTTAGTTTGGTCTCTGTGTTTTTAATGGGAAGATGAAAAACAGACTCAAGAATCAAGACTTTTGTTAAATTCTACATCGTATAAAGAAATCTGTTAAAAAAAAAAAAAGAAGAAGAAGAACCTAAAATGCCAGATTTGCTTTTTGAGATTATTTACTTTGGAAAAAATCAACACGGGTAAAATCTGAATATTTAATAGATATGTGATTCCAGGTGGTTCAAAAGTTTCCAGAAACTAGCCCTTTAATGCTTTTTGTATCATATTTGATACAAAAATATATATGAGAATATATATGAGAAGTATATATGATATACTTCTATCAAATCAATATGATCAACAAATTAATAAAAAAACATCAGAATATAGTCCAATAAATGATAAAAATGTCCTCTTGTAGTTTATCAGTTTACAAAAACATCTAATGTAAGAATAAGAATAAGAATAAGAAGAACTTTATTGATCCCTGAAGGGAAACCCAATTGTCTGTTGTCTCACGTAATATGACTATAAACGTTATCTATTATTTACATAAGAGTTACAAAGCCTGATGGCTGTTGGTACAAAAGATCTTCTAAAATCAAATGAGATAAACTAATGTATTTGTTAAATTTTAAGGACATTTTGATTTTTTTGGTTTTCAGTAGTAAGTGAAATAAACATTTCAGCTCCAAAAAAATTTGAATTTTCTGGCCATAATTTGTGTTGTCAGGCACAAGGGCTAAAGGGCTACAGATGTTAACTTTTAAAGTCTGACATGTATTGAACCTGCAAAACCAGCTTCTGAAGTAGTGTGCATCTGCAGACCTGGAGGCTGCAGTTTTAGGACCCTTGCTGTTTGTGACGGCACCACTTGATGCTAGCAAAGGACCACATTTTTGGTGCCTAACCACACTTTGAGCATTGGATATAACTACTGGTAACCATAGATGAAGTCCCAGAACTGCGGTTGTGAAACTGCAGCTTCTAACTTTGCAGAAAAACACTCATTGGGGTGACAGTTGGTGATTTCCTGCATATGCATTCTTGTGTATTCGAGTCTGTTAGTGTCGACTCGTCCCTGTGCAGCTCTGACATGCAGACAGCAGAGGAGGTTTGGAGATCAGAACAGGACTCACAGTTTCAGATCTCAAACTCCGTCTCGTAAAAACATTGTGAGTACTCTCAGTGATGACTCACGCTGTAGTATTTCATAAAAACAGATGCTGCCGTAACACCATCAGGGCTCTCTTCTGTTGTTATTATAGCTGTTGTGCATTGTTCGCCACTGTGTCATATACATAATCACATAATAGCCACCTCTGCATTATTATAAGCTTTGCACAGCAGTTTAAAAACATATTTACAAGCAGAGGCGTCTCTCTGGAGAACAACCGCTAGAGCCACCTTAATAACACACGGTATATCTCTGATTCAGACCAATTAAGGTGTTATTTTTACACCTTTATACTCTGATTATGCCGTTTAATAAAGACACAGAGTGCTAAATTAAAGCGAGACTCACTTTCTATTAACCAGCACAGGCCCTGAGGGACAGATTTAACACCCCAGTCTAATAAACTCACAGGCTGGGGTCACTTTTAGAGGACAAGCAGGCCAGGAAAAAACACATCAGTTATCCTGAGTACTCACATTTCCTTGCAGAGGACGCCGATCCGCTGGTTTTCTGAGCTGCTGCGCTCCTTTGACAGACTCAGCTCCTCTTGGTATTTGGAGTTCTGCTGTTTCAACGCCTCGAGCTAGAGAGGAGAAAGCAGGATACAGGACAGGAACGACAGTCAGAGAGGATATATAAACACGAGAAAACAAACATCGCAGTAGGAATAGATTTGAATGTTTCCAGACAGAAACTAAAACATCTATTCAGAGTGATTTTAGTCCTGCAGAGACAACCTGAGGAGGTTTATGTAATCTTCACGTCAATACCTGCAGTAAATTACAGCATTATGAATCACTGACAGAAAACCGTCTGGAGCATAATTCTCATGTTTGATAGAAGGACCAGCTGATAGTTCTGGTTTTGTTTTTATTCTTTAATCAATTTGAATTTCAAACAAAGAAGAAGTCAGGGACGAAACGCCGACTATAATTGATTGACGGCAGGGTTGTCGGTGTAAGTGTGTTAATCCACGTGTGAAAAAGGTCTGATATTATTGTTTTGTTGTTGTTGTTTTTTTTTAATCAGGTACAGTTTTGTCCTTTTTGGCACACCGTAGTCAGGCTGTCACAGCTTCTTCTTGCTTCATTCTGCAGCAGCGATGGAAAATAACACCACAGTGCTTCTGAGCGGCACATCTAACTTTACAAAACCCTCCAATGGCCTCAAAACAGTTATTGACTATGGTCATATTTATGGCAGATTAAATATATCAGCTTTTTATCAATCACAAACAAAATCAATAAATCAAAAAGTGCGCAACTTTGGTCCTGCTAATGGTGCATCCTTTCCTCTTGGTCTGTTTACCATAGACATTATGTGCGTAGATGCCTCACAGACTGACGCTGCCTATTGGAGCTCAAGTATCAGCGCTGCCGCTGCCGCCATAGCCTAGCTATAACACAGGATGCTGTCACACATTAAAAATAAGGACAACAAAAAAATTAATCTTACTAGTCAAAACGCAATCCTACGTGATCTTGTTTCAATATTGTGTCAGTGTTTTCAACCATAGACTGCACAAATACAGTTATAGTTGCTCATTCTTCATTGACTGCGTTTGGCTCTTGTGCAAGCCAGTAGTGAGGAGACCCATCCAATATGGCAGCGACACTGGATTATGCTCCAGCACATAATGAGGTGTCTACGTATATAATGTCTATGCTGTTAGCCCTCAACTCCTTATGTCCAGCCCACAACACCGTCTGATTGGCTGGATATCACATGACTAAGATATACCCGCCCTGTAAAACTAATTAACTCTCAACTCCTAAATATGATGTTGTTGAAAGTTTCACTTTTTATTTGTAAAAGGCATTAAAACTAAACCTTTTGTTGAAGTTTGTTGTACTATAAAGTCTAAATTTTGATATTAAGTTTTTCATTTCTTCAGTAAATACATCAATCACATCATCTACTAATAGTCAGTACAAAACCAACACCAGTCAGTCTTGATTTAAACGTCACTGAAGCAGACACAAAAGTCAGCAAAGCACTATTTGAAAGTGTGTAAATCACCACAGATCTGTAAATAAAACTAAATCAAAGACATGAACTTCATTAAAATAGTGGAAACTGACTGAAGGCCGGTCAACGATGTAGAAGACTCGTATTTTTGAAGTCAGAATTGGCTTCACTTGTCCTGGTAAACTTTACTCAGGCTGGTTAAATCAGATTAAATAGTTTAAATAGATTAAATCAGTGGATTTAGAGAAACTCAACTTCCCAGTCCCTGAGGAGTTGTCAACCTGACTTTTTGTTGATTTGTCTCGTGCATGTCTTCAAACTACACAAAGACTAAGAGCCAAATGGTCTATTTTTTTTTCTGTTTATCATGCAGAATCAAACTACGACCACAAACCCTCATCACTGATTCTCTATTTTAAAAAGATATTGTTTTACTGTTTCTTATAAATAATTACAGACCATAAGGATTAAAAGTGAATGCAAACACCTTCCATTCGGTCATGAACCGCACCATCACCGGTGACCTCTGTTGTAGTTCGGTCCCTCATACTTCCTCTCGTCTTTTCTGCACCTTTTTTAAAAACTGTCTAAAGTTGCCCGTTAATTATCTTCAAGCTCCATCATTAATAATTCAGATCATCTTGGACACCGTGAGCAGAGTTTGAACATCATTCTCTTCCCACGTCTCGTTAAAAGCCTGAAAAGCTGCAGCCAGACGAGAGAAATTCTGGGTCATTAATCGAGACGCTGCAGTTAAGACTTAAAAATACACATGCCTTGATGATGGGATGAGTCAGCAGACAGCTGAGGCGGTGCCACGTGAAACTAAAAATACATGAAAACTTTTTGTTGGAACTCATCAAGTCTAAAATCTTCTCCTCCTAACACAGACGAATAAATCCTCCTAGAGCTGCTGGTGGGACACGTGCAGCGATGATGTGATCACAGCAGCTTTAAAACAGCAGCAATCAATGATTAATTAACGAGGGCGACTTTTAGATCAATGCAAACACGCTTCAGACTAAAACATTTGAAATGCACATGAACCTCAATATTAATGTGAAATCTGGTGTGCAGAAAACTCTCCTCTGCACACATCAACTCTCACAAATAAAGAAGTAAAACATGCAGAATGGCAGCAGATACAAATGGTGACAGACAGCTGCATGAAAACCACAGAGAAAAAAATCACTTCTAAGACTATGTTTCGCTCTGCACGTGAGCTTCGATATTCATCTGTGCTTCAAAAGTGAGATGCAGTGTGCAGAGTGTAAACACAAACAAATCCTGGAGGACAATCCTGCAGCTCTGTGATCACACTAGATCTAATCTGATGTATTTACACCAGCTAGACTGATAATGATAACGTATCTTCAGATTTACACTCTCAGAAAAGCCGCCTGCTCTGTGTTTCTGTTTGCACACTGTCAAATGTGGCATAAGACATCTTTTGGATGCCTTTGCACTTGAGTCTTTTGTAAGCCTCTATACACATCCGAACCACCAAAGTGAGTCTTTGTGTGCAGAACATGCTCCTTCACACACATTTAAACACACAAGTACACCTAGAATGAGAGCAGGTAGATGCTGGGACACGGTGACAGGCTGCAGCGTGAAATCCGTTTCTGGGATAATTAAAACCAGCTCTTCTTGCTCACAGAGACGCTAAAATCCTCCTGCTGCACTGACCCGTTTTCTCCTCTCAGTCTGGAAAGAAAGAAGCAGACAGTCGTACCTGGTAGCGAGGCGAGTAGATGTTACTGGAGTAACCCTGATGCAGAGCAGCTATGTCCATGTTCTGCACGGATAACCTCTGCTGATGTTCAACCCGCTAAAACAGCTGCAGCGTTGTTGCTATGCCCGCTCTCCCCTCTTCTCTACAGCATAACACAGACGAACACAAGCTGGGCATCAATAAAGCATCAGCTCTGATCCCCCGCCGTGCATGCCACGAGAGGGGAAATGGAGAGAGTGTGTCTCCGGAGCAGCCTCCCCCCCCTTCCTCTCTCTCTCCTCTCTCACAGTCGGGTTAAAGAAGCTGGGCACTTCCATTATGTAAGCTTGGATAAGCTCCTCCCCCTCCTCCTCTCCCCCCGCTCACAGTCTTGTTTCCTCACTTTCTGACAGCATATGTACTCCCGCTCTGAAGCGTTCACCTTTCATTCACAGCCTCACACATGAGTCAGAGTCAGCAGCTGCTTCGCTTTACAAACCTGAAGACATCCACCGACCATTCACGGTTGATCATTTTCTGCAGCATCACTGTTAAAGCCTCCTTATAAGTTGATTTTTTTATTGAGGATATCATGAAGAAAATTGACTTCCATCTCTTAACGGTGGAATCACAAAAGGTTGAGGTTTCTACAGAGTCAGGATTCGCTGATTTTATGTTGATTTTTTTTAAGTTTCAAGACTTCTCTTTTGATTTCGAGAACCTAAAAAAATCATGTTTTCATTTTTCTGGCATTTCATCAGCCTGACATTTCAGTGAAACACGAAAACAATGACCCGCATCAGAATCCTGAAAGTATAAGTCGTTTTTATAGCTAATTAATCAGACGATAACAGGCTGAGTTAATTTTATAATCAGGAAACAGTCAGGAAAAGCTTTTTAGTTGATTATGAATGAGATTAAAATTGATATTGATTCCTCTGTATGAGTTACTAAACGAGAAGTGAAGCCAAATCATCAGTGACAAAATAAATAATTTCTTTTTTAATGCTAGTAATTATGAACAAGAGCATTTAGTCAGCTTATCAATAAAACCTCAGTCAGAAGAATTACCAATGGTTTTATTGTCATAGACTGTGAATCTCATAATATATTAAAGGAACAATAAAAGGTAACTTCCAGATTTTTATTTTCAACTTTAATTTTAAAAACAACACAGTTGAGAAAATGCAAGACAAGAGTGGAAAAACACAATATATGTGTTCATAAATATTAGAAATCCATAAATTTGACAAAGAGGATGAACTTATAAGTTAACGTCATAATCCATCTCTAATGATGTTTAATCTAAATCACTGGCTCATTTATCGACTGTCTGGCATGCTTGTTTTTTGAAATTTGGTCTGCCTCGTGTCTTAGTTGTATTATACTATAGACAACTTGGTTCTGCCTCCCATCAGTATACGGATTTAAAGCTGAAAAGCTCTCAGTATTTCTGTGATTTTTCTTCATTTCCTGAAACCAATATTGTGCAGTAGTATTGTGCGAATTTGACGGGAGAGTCACCGAGAGTCACTGTGATGACGCTTGGCTCAAAGAGTGTATCCCCTGGGTGAGCTACGCAATCCTTGTACGCCAATAGGCTGTATCAAGTGTCAATAGAAAACATGAACCGCTAATAACTTTTAAAAACGGAGCTGTACAGAAAAAAGAGGACTTGAGCACAAACCAGTCTTACAATAACTACATGTTAACATCGCAACCAGGGGGGAGAAAAATTTATATTTTGTGTAATAGATTTCTTAAGTTTGTCCACAGCTTCATAAGCTTTGCTGACGGAGGCGGGATTTATGACCTATACTGCAGCCCGTCACTAGAGGGTGCTGTTCTCAGAGTGGCTTCACCCAGTAAGGAGGCAGACGGCGTGCATTGTGTATACAATCTTTGGCCCTACACTGTAAAGCTGTGCTTTTATTTTGAAGTCAAAGCGATTTCTGATTGGTGGTAAATTACAGGACTAAATGAAAACAGTTTGAGGAGACGTGATTAACAAAGAGACATGACGGTATCATTTGGTCAACAGGGGGCGCCCAAAAAACAACAACACTATTTTCACAGTTTTGAAGCACTTCTGCATTTATCAGAGAAATCGAACAGATTTAAGGCTCTAAAACAACTTCACCACAGTGAGATGAACAAAATACCTGACTAACGTGTAACCTGTCTGTTTTTAGCGTGCTCACTTTTACCGCCCTCTTTATAGTCTAACTGTAGCTACATTTGGTCAACTCTTTTAACAGACGAGTCGAAGTTTTTTAAATATCAAAGAAGATATCAATCCTGCAGCATAACATCAGGACTCTCAACTTATAACGAAAGAAAAACAAACTGAAGCAAAAACACTACGACTGTAAATTGTTCATCAAAACTGTGATCGAAGGAAAAACTGAATATTCAGTTTTTACATCCAACAGAACAGAGAGAAAAGGGTTCGCTCAAGTCGAGCGTTCATTAACTAGAGCAATGCTCTGTCCACTCAAGCATCTCTCACACACACACGCACGCACACACACACACATGCAGACACGTGCTGGATGCAGGATTACATCACAACCTACAGCTACATGGCTGAGTGAAGCCCAGAGGCAGATGTAACAAATAAATAAATGTTCTCAAACGTGTGTGTTTGTCTGTTCATGTCCACTGAGACAAACCTCATGCTCTCTCTCTCTCTCTTTCTCTCGCTCTCTCTCTCTCTCTTCATATCTGTCTCACATGATCTGGAGGAAGAGTTTGAAACTTTCTTTAAGTGCTGAAATCCTCTCTTCTCTTACAGTCCTGTTATGAAAGAGTAACGTGAGTGTGAGTATAATCAGGATAATGAGTTTAAAGTATTAAGAAGAAAAATGTCCCCTGTGGGGCGCCGGTTAGTTTAGCGGTTTAAGTGCGCCCCACAGTTCTGACCTAACGCCACGACCCTTTGCTGATGTCATCCCAACTCTCTCCTGTCGTGTTATCAAACAGTAAAAACCTCTTAACAATGCCTGAACAAACCATTACACCTTTGCACACGCTGAGCCCTGCAACGAGGCACCCCAGTGTTCAATTCCATTTTGCATCAGCTTGTAAACAAACACACAGCTGGAGCGCCTCATACACACACTTAGACATGCACACGCACACACACACACATACACACACACACACACACACACACACACACACACACACACACACACACAGCACCGACCTGCCCTGCTGGCTTCAGCTCTAAACATTACCCCGATCTTCTCCACATTACAGCTCTGTTAACACCTGTGAGGGATCAACTTCAGCTCACCTCCACAGATGAGGCGTAAACACACAGCCTTGAAAGCAAGCCAAATTCATGAAACACTTAATATTGTGATTTTTCTCACAAACGTTTGTGCTTTTAGCGAAGCAGTACAATAAAGTCTGAGTAAATAGTCTGTGAAGTATTTTTTCCTCCTGCCGACCTGTCAGTGTATGACCTGTTTTCCCTTTGGGCAGGACTCCAGTCTATCCAGTGTGGGAAGGGATGGTGAAGAGGCTACCTGGGACACCAAAATACTCGTTCATCAAACATAACCAAGGTAAATGTTCAGTTTATTATGACTCTGATACTCTGGTTTCCTCCGACAGTGAGAAGACATGCTTATTCGGTTACCTGGTCACTCTAGACTGACCATAGAAAGAGTTATACTAAGATATAAACACTGCTCAGAATATCAAGCATCAGGAACTAGGGCTGCAACGATTAGTCGACGTTGTCAACAAAAATCGATAATGAAAAAAGTCTGCAATAAATTCCATTGTCTACGCCTCTCGGCTGAGCGGTAGGGTATTCAAACATGGCAGCGCCGGCGTCCTGCATGCGTTATTTTTTGTGTAGGATGGTAGGGGAAGGTCCCGCCTCCTTCGCCTCTGATTGGCTGTGAAACATCATCACACGCTTAAGCCGAATGCGCACATCGCTACTGCGCAGCTCTGGTTTCAAGGAAGTGGAAAAAACCTGGAATTACCGAGAGCTTTTTGGCTTCAAATTCATATACTGGCGGAGGGCGGAACCAGGTTGTCCATAGTATATACAGTCTATGCGTTTCACAGCCATTAGGAATAACCAATCGGAGCCCAGCTTCTCCAGCCAATCAGAGGCAAAGGAGGGCGGGACCTTTCCCTACCATCTTACCAAAAAATACTGCATCCGGTACAGCAGCTGCGACTAAGTGCTTAAAAACCTCCAAAGTTTGGGAGCTCTTTAGCCTAGATAAGGCGAAAAGAAAAAACCTTGCGTATGATGGCAGCACGTCAGTGATGCACGAACATTTGAGAAGAAGGCACGTCGGAATGTTGGATAAACGGTTAAAGTCGCCTCGGTAAGAGCTTCTCAGCTTCATAACAAACAGACTGAAACGTCACAGACAAAACGTAATGGCTTGAATGTACATTTCATAAGTGTATTTGGCTTTAAAAGAGAGCTTTAACGTTTTACCTGATAAAGGTATTTCAAATTATCTGCATGCGTACAATCCAAAGAAGAGCCCTTTTTTGTATGAACCAGCCTATCAGCAGCGAAGTTCAATAAAAAATGCATTTTTTATTGAAGTACCCACAATTCTTGCGTTTATTATCATTGTCACTTTATTAAAGCAACCTCATGTTAAATTTAAGAAGAAGAAAATAATTATCCGATTAGTCGACTAATCATTTCAATAGTCAGAGAGTTGACTATTAAAATGGTCATTAGTTGCAGCCCTATCAGGGATTCAGGCATCGCTCTCTCTGAAATGTTGTACATGGAAAGACTGACTAAAAATAAAAACACCACGGAGCGGTCATGTTCAAGTCTCTATTTCCTGTCTCTAATCTGTGATCCATTCTCCAGAAGTCATGAGAGAGACGAGTCAGAGCTGGAGTTGGAGTCAGAGAGGTGACTGTAGGCGAGGCAGAAGGCACCGAGAACGGCTGCAGGTGGGTCTCAGTCAGAGGGGCCGAGTATGAAATGATGAAAATATCAAGTTACAGATGGAGGTGAGACATGTGGGCCGAGAGAGAGAGAGGGAGAGAGGGAGAGAGAGAGAGAGAGTCCCTCATGCGTGGATGATCAAATGCAATGACTGCGACTTGCACAGTCACATGCAGTCAGCGTGGGAACCCTGATGTGAATACATAATAAAAACCCTGCAGGCTACGAGTGCTGAACTTCTGTACGTGCATGTGTGAATCCTTTTCACAGTGCTGTCAGCACACACATACACACATACACAGAAACACAATGAAACACACACACACACACACAAAAGCAGGAGCAACACTCTGCATTTCAGTGTTTGTAAATCTAGAAATACGAGAGCAGAGAGTTCAGTTTCTGCGCTAATTTAAGCTACAAACATCCAAACTTGTTCCTTCAAAAGCTGAGGAGAAGTTCAGGAGCCAAGTCTCTTATTTTGGTCCAAAAAAAAAACCTCTTTTGTCTCTGTCTTTATAAAGTCAAGACGTGTAAACAAAGCTGCTGAAACAGACTGAAAGTTTAATAAAATCCAAGTCTGATTCTGCATTTATTATTCTCCTGATACAATCTCAGCTCTGCAGAAGTCTGAGGATGATCCTGTTACAGCCAGCTGAGTTCTCATTAATAAGGGATATTGGAGAAAAGTTGCCTATTTTGTGAAATTATCAGCAGAAAAGACCCTGAAAGTAAAAGATAAAGAGGGATTGTTCAGTCTAAATGATAAGAGTGATTTGACTCCAGGCCTCAGAGTTATGCAAAAACATCATCTGCATATTACAGCAGCATCTTCAGATTAATGGAAGGGGAGTTTGTCTGCTTGAGTACCTGAGCGTGTGGGTGGAAGGGAAACTAACCAACACATTTGGTGAGATTTTTTTTTGACAGTGTTGCTGCAGAAAATCAAGAACAAGGAGAGAAAAAGAGGAAGAAAAAGAAGGTCAAGGACAGAGAGAAGACAGAGACTGAATATGAAGAAACAAGAAGAAGAAAGGCGAAAAGAGAAAGATGACAAAGACGGCAAAAGAGGAGAACAGGAGAAAGTGACAGAGAACAACAAGAGGGAAAAAGAAAGAGGGTGAACAGAAAAGAGGAGGAGGAGGAGGAGGAAGAGTAAAAAAAACAGAAAAGAAAAACAACAGCAGGGATCCAGCGGCGAACCATACTTTATAAAAAAACTCAGTTGTGATCATGTGTTGACTTCAGGGACTGTGGGTATTTACAGTCTTCTGTTGTCGCTGAATACGACTTCATATGTTTGAAATCTGCTCACCTCCGTCTCCAGCGTCCTCTTCTCATTGGTCAGCTGCTCCAGCGTCAGCGCCATCCTCTCCGACTTCTCAGTAACCTAGAAGACATTTTGATCACATTTTAGCTCCACATTTACAAAATTTTGAAAAAGTGAAGCAAGAAAATAACCTTTTAGCTACCTGACGGCAGCAGACAAAAACAGAAATATATAAAATAAATCAATAAATCATTTATGGAAATGTTTGTGTGCAGCTGACGAGGATTACTCCAACGTTTACCCTTTTTTAGATGTTTTTATGGACAATTTTTCTCTGTTTATCATCTCTCAGCTGAATTTAGACACTTCAATATCCAAAAGCTAAAACCACCGACATCAGTCTTTAAAAAGGATTAAGACTGGAGCCCAAAGGGACGTTCATCATTTCCATTCAAATACCAGCAATATCAGACAGAGGTCAGTAAAGATGCCGGCTAAAAAAAGACAGAAAGCTCTTTACTGAGTCCGCCTTCAGCTTATTTGGATGAAGAGAAGAAAGGAGAGAGACCAAAACTCTCTGTTATGGCTGCGAGCTGTAAACTCCTCCTCTGTGGTCCTTTAATTTTTGAGAGAGAGACTGCTCAGCCTCCTTAAACCGCACTGTGATGGACGAGCTCGTGTCAGAGATTTAAACAACTTAAAAATAATAATAATAATAATAATAATAATAATAATAATATACCCTTTTAATAAACAGTTCAGCATGGATCAATCAAACCCTCTAAACCTGCAGAAGACTCAATCCTGGTGAAGACAAAAGTGAGAATTTACTCTTTGGTTGAATCTTTTCTGCAGTTTTGGAGGCAAATCGAGTATTGCGGTTCAACGGTTGATTGTAATGAGTGACAACAGCTGGAATAAAAATAGAAAATTGAGGCGTGGACTCATCAAAACCCAAATGAGGACGAGCGTGCCGTGTGCATGTGTGTGTTAGTAATGTTTTAACAACATTAAATTTCAGCCCGGGGATACGGTCGGCCTGCACTAAGTCTGAATGAAAGCACACAGAGAGGAGAGGATTACTGCAGGAGAAGTGAAGAAGAGGAGCCCACTTAAAAGTCCTTACAAAAACTTTAGAGAATAATGCTGTGACATTTCCATCCTTCGCCCAAAGAAAACACAAACGTGACTCTGTCTGTGTAAATGTGCTGACAGCTCAAGGCAGGCCGAGATATCTGAGCAAAAATCAGAAAATGCCAACAGACTGATTCATCAGAGCGTTAAGAACGACAATAAAGGGTTTAAGACAGAACATAAGACCAGTGTTTTTAGGCGGGCTGCATTAGCATCATGCTCTGAAAACATATAACGACTACATGGAAACGCCTCGATTACAGAGTGAACTGCACAGACATATGCGTAAAATGTGACTTAAGCTCATCTCTGGACTCCCTGAGTAATCAAAGTCCCACTCTGTTGTTTTTTTTCCCACTACTTACAGTGTTCTCAGTGGTCTTTAAATTGTGATTATTAAGTTTTTATCCAAATTTACATTACCTGTGTCATTTTCAAGGGCTTTTCTTTTACAATGCTCCAGTAGCTCATTAGCAATTCACCTCTGAGTCGTGAGCAGAGACAGCACTGCTCTGCACACTCCTCTTCACGTTAGCTTGTAGCCTAACATTGCCGGTGTAGTAGAAGAAGCAGGTTACATGGGAGCTATTCAGAGTCTGACCTGCATAGTGGGGCTCCAGGGGCGAAGCTTGAATTTCTTACATAGGAAATCTCGCTGTGTCTGAACCTTCTGTTTGGGTCTGTCAGGGATTCACAGCGATTTGAGAGTAGAAATACTCAGAAATGCAATTTCGCACTTTGTTTTTCTCATGATATGTCCTGTAGCATCAGAAAAACGAACATATGAACATGTAGACAAGAAAAACATCATTTTAATCGGGGCGGGTCTTTAAGCTTCAGTGTTACAACACTAGCGGTCTAGGCATGCGCCCCATGTATAGGGGTTATGCCTCGAGCGGACAGCCAGGGTTGGATTCTGTAGCTCCTCACTCTTTCTCCCCATTTCCTGCTCTCTACACAGTCTGATCCTTTCTAAAAAGGCACAAAATCCCCCCAAATACGGCGAGAAACACTCTAAATTTCATCATTTTGATTTAGTAGTGTTGAATTCAGACTTTCTTTATTGGAATAACGCTAAACTGAAGTCAATCTGCAGCCTGAACAACACGGAGAAAAAGACGCAGCATCGCTGATGTGTTTTAGCAAGTTGCATCATCTTTCTTATATCATAACACAGTGACACAGAAAACTGTACAGCAGCTTTGAAGATGCAGAGATTCTTGATGGATATTATGACAGAAAAAAACAGAAATACGTCTAAAAGTTTCAGCTTCAGCGTTGTGGAAAAAATCCCCTTTAATATCAGATTAGCTGAGTCTGTGCAACGGCATAATTGCTTTTCAAAATGATCCGGCACAGAAAGACAAACATTTTAATTTCATAATTTCTCTGAGTATTTTAAAATGTTCTTTACTGTCATTTTGTTTCTTTATTTTCTTTCTCTTTCATCTGGATACGATTTCAGGAGCGCAGTAGTCACCCTCGGAGGTCACAGTTACTTCTCTGTTACTTTACATTTGTTTAATGCTGTAAAACCACTGCAGCTGTGAATAAGACGTTTCCAAATCTCTGTGCAGACTTCATGTTTTGGATTTTCATCATTAAGACATCTTTGTCGTGAAATATTTATCATTTCCTCTCCTCGCTTTAGATCTTAACATAAAAAATGTACTTTTAAACTTATAAATCAGATCAATAAAGAGGAGTGAAAGAATAAATGGTTATAAAGGTACAAAAAAGTACCTCTGCATACAGACGGTAATGTGTCAGTGATTTGGACTTACCTGTTTCAGCTCCTTCTCTCTGGTCTGACTCCCCTCTCTCAGGGTTTGGTAATCTTTCTTGGACTGCTCATCACTCTGCTCCAATTCTGACAGGAAAAAAACATCAACTTCACCAACCATCTGGACTAAAAACAGAGAAACAATCAGACAAAGACACGTCTGAAGAGTTTACCTTGCATGGTCTTCGCTGTCCTCCTGCTCTCCTCCTCGGCCGTCTCCAGCTTTTGTCTCTGAAATGAAGAAACATCGGCGTGACTACGAGATAATCACTCGCATGCTAACATTCCTGTACCTTTAGCTAAGTCGGAGAATAATGACCAGACTCTGAAAACATGTGAGGTTTGTGGATAAAATGCCTCAGTTAATGAGGCCACTCTCAGGATGCCCACGAGCAATACAGTAAAAATAACATGACTGAGTAAATCTGTGCGGGGTCTACAGCTCAGCGCTCTCAGACATGGTCTTCATTACACAAATATGCTGACAATTTAGCCGGGTCTGAGGCCTCCTGAGGTCCTCTGAAAATCATGACGGCATCACCGACCCAAAACAGAAATGACTCTGTGAGGTTTTCTGATCGAAAACAATCAGCAGGTTTTTCCACATGTCGATGAAAAGAGCTTTTATGAAGTCTTTCTGGTTTGAAGTTTCTCAGTTTGAGAATACTTTTGTGATATTTGTGATGGAAATTAACTGAACAACCTGATCTCACAAGTCCAGCTTTGCCTGTTGACACTGTGGCAAAAACACAGAGGATACTTAAAAGTCACTTGCCACCTTTACAAGTGCAAATTTTTTTAATCCAATTAAAAATTTGAGGGATCTGATAATCTGAATCCACTGTTTAAATTGGTGCAAAATCAAATTAACCGATCATGATGTGTATATACATGCACCAAGTTTTTTTCAGATGAGGAAGCATTTGGACATGCGCAAGAGTTGTCTGATTTCGCTAAAACAACTGCAGAAAAAGAGTAATATTGACACCTGGGCTGTCAACAAACCAGCAATCGCAGTAGTAGCTCACTTCATTCAATTCAGGATTTTCCTCTCTGTTAAATGTTTTAACTAGATGGCGCCCTTGCTCACTTATTTTACTGTCCTGTCAAAGGTTGCAATGTGCGTGAAGATGCGACATCATTACGCTGTTTGTACGCCTTGCTATGTTATCAGAGGAACAGACACGACACCTGCGGTTGTGTTTTATGCCAGAGTGTTAATAATGAAACCTCCTGAACTGACTTCAACAAATAAACCAAAGGCTTAAGAGTGAAGATCGAGTCAGGTAAGAGAGTCACGATCGGAATAAGTGGACACACCGAAATGGACACATTTCGGAATAATGATCGGCATAAACCACCCCTCTTGATCTGAATACAATTTCTTTTCGGTTGAGCTGAATTGGATCAGAATCTTCTGATCAACATCTTTACATGATGCATTTTTATTCTGATCGGGTATTTCCTCTGATTATTTGTGCCCATGTAAACACAGCTATTGAGAGGGAACAAAACTTCAAGACAACAACGAAAGAAAGGAGAAAAGGGGAGGAGACAGCGAATAAGGAGATTAATGAAAGAGACATCAACCAAACTGAAGAAAACAGACACGGAGCAAAGATAAAACTGAACACAGACGGCTTGGTTGAGTGAAAATGATGATTAATTTGAACCACAAACTCGGTTTATAGAGGTTATCTTTTGTTTGTTTTTTGCGGATCTTTTCTCTCTTTTAGTTTGAACCTTTTCCTTTTTTCTCACCAGGTCTGTCAGCTGCTGCTCCAGCTCGCTCTTATCCTGCTGCAGAGACTGAAGCTCTTTCTGTTTGCTCTCCACATCCACGCTCAGCTCGCTGATCTGTTGACACACAGTATAGAAAGTACGGCTCACACACAAACACCCGAGAAGAGCTATAAATTATGCATTCATGGCCTGGAAGCTTTGACTAACTAAACATAAAAAAAGAACATAAATTTGTTAGGAAACTACAAGGAAACCTCATCTCACTCAGTCAGGAGTTAAACAATGACGATGATCATAGATACTGAATTTTACGAGCAGAAAGTATCACACAGCTGCAAAACAGAAACAAGAGAGTTTCCCTCCCCGAACCTTCTTCTCCTGAGACTGCGCCTGGGCCTTCAGGCTGTTGATCTGCTGCTGGGACAGAGACGCTGCGTCTTCCTTCTGCTGGGACGCGCGCAGCCTGAGCTGGAGGTCGGCCACCTCCCGCTCCAGCTCCATGATCCTGGAGCGCTCCGACACCGTGGCCACCTGCAGGAGAACGTGTGGAGAGGGCATGAAGGCAAAGAGGAGGCGGAGGGCTGACAGAGGAGAGGGACGAACCCGGTAGTTCAGCAATAAAAATTATAGGATTCAACTTCATCAGAAATGGAATAAAGCTGCTGGAAAATTAAGTTATTATTGGCTACAGTTACCTCAAAATAAAGTAAAATTTACAAAAGGCCCTTGACTTCAATAATCTGTTGAAGAAATGTACCTTACAAAATGACTTTATTCTTAATTCATTAAAAGAAAGTGTATAAAGTTAAAAAGCTCATTAAATCTGCTACTAAAACAGAAATCAGTGGGCAAAAAAAAAATCCTAATATCCATTTTATTATCATTATAACCCAGCAGACTTTGACCTGAACGGACTTGTAGAGGGACCAGAGAGCCTCTGTGTGAGACTCTGGAGAATCAAAGTCTTACTCTTAGAGTTTTGAATCATTACCGATCGGCCCATCATTGTTAATTTTCAGGTTAAAGAATAAAAGATGGCAGAGTTGAACATTTTTCTTATTCACAACAAAAACCATGAAAAGACCCAAACCAAGAATCAGCGTTTCTGCCTAAAAACTTCCTGTTTCTTGAAATGACTTTGAACAGAGGACTGAGATACTCTAATAAGAGGGTCAAAAAGATCAAAAACACTCGTCAGTTTGACTCTTCCTGACTGAGAAGTTAGTCACATTTTATCATTCATGGTCAGGCGATTAATGAAATAGTCCTTTAACGTCCCTTTTAGAGATATTTCTGCTGTTTCGTTTAATCTATTTACATTCTGTAAAATTTTTTGTAGTGCAAACATGGAATTGTAAGTGTGATCATTAAAATCTTTTATTCATTGGGATCATTTTTTTGTAGTTTGCATCAGGTGACATGTATAAAAACTGTCAGGAAAGATGAGCAGCGTGGAAGCAGATTTTTTTTTTATTATTAAAAAAAAGACCCTTTTTTGTTAAATTAAGGCCCAATCCCAAACCGCCACCTATACACGCTCCGCCATATTGTAGGCCGTTCCAAACCACAGAGTGAGTGAGGACGGCAAGTGGACCATTCAGCCCTCAAATAGCAAGCCTGCCCGGATGCACACTTACGACAGGATTTGCAGGTAGTGCGCTGGCAAAAAGGGAGGAGGAGGAAACAACATCAAACTACAAGTTCTGTATGGGTCCACCTTTGTCTTACTGACAAAAAAAAAAATCACAAAAGACGTGGTTTGGAAAGATCAAGTGAAACTCCGAAATTGCACTTTGTGCTGACAGAAATTTAGCTCCTGTCACTGTAATGGTTACTGGATTTATGATTTTACTGGGAGGATGAAGAAACGAGGCAGCCGGTGTGGCTCAGAACTGTACATGATGTCTGTTTACTAAGAAAAGAAACGCTGCCTTGCACAGGACGCGTCTTTGTGTTGCTATGGTGATGAATCTTTCCGTTTTCCGGTGGAGTGAGGAGGGTGTCCCATACCTGCCTGTCTCGTTTATACCCTCCCATTTCAATTGAAGTGCACTCCACAGCTATGAGTATAACTTCATTACAAGTGACACTCGATAGTGAAGGCCGAGTGTGTAGGGGACGGTTTGGGATTGGGCCTAAATGTTACCCAGGTTCAAATGTCTCACCCAGGAATCATTTCTGTCCACCTCTCCGCAACCATTGGATACCCTACCTGTCAAATTACAACCTTCCCCTCCCCTCACCTGTTCTAAATCACCTTATTGATCACCTCAAGAACACACACCAACTGAGCAGCAGGAGCAGAAAGATCTCACTCAATCTTCCTCCTCAATGGTGAAGAGGAAACTTAAATTTGGATCGTGCAAACTCTTAACTCACCCTCGGACCTGGTCAATAAAAAATACTATAATAATTCAACCAGTTATGTCAATACAAACCCACTTCTCCATAACTCTACCTCAAACCCCATTCAATACTCTTTAGGACATGTGGATGAACTAATGCAGCTACACTGAGAGAGAACCTGCTGGAGAGCGGTGAGCAGCAACATACACCTACTGTGAAAAGGAAAAAAAACACAATTTAATGACTGGACTGTTATTTACTGACTGATCACCTGTTCCTTTAAACAGGTCAGGCTTTTTTGTTACTGGATGAAAAACAATGGACGATGGCGAGCTACCCAACAAGACTTCCAAAGGCTTCGCCTCTCACCCTCGACCTCGAGCCTCATGCCTGAGCCCCCCCATTTCCTGGCTAGTAGTAGGCCAAAACCTTAACCTTTACCTTGGATGGACATGATAGCTGTTTTATTTTATTCACAGTGAAAAATAAACAGTTATTTGATTTAAGATTTTCATTTTTTAATTGAAAAAAAAAAAAGGGCAGTTTATGGACCCCTGTTTTTTATATGCCTTAAATCAGAATTATTATTTGGATATAAATTCTGTGTTTTAGAAATACTTTATTTGCCGTTTACAACTTTGTTTTATTATATCTGGTATTCTTTGAGTTTGTATAAAGTGTTTTGTTTGAAATGTCAATACAGTTTGCATTTCTTTAATCATTGGTTTCTGTCTATTAATTTGTGCTGCAAGCCCAAGACTGACTTTATTATAAGCTATATTATTCATAAACAATTTCGTAAGTGTTTCGTTTAATATATTTAAAATTAAGTCAAATTTTTGGTAGGGTAAACATAGAATTGTAAGTTTAATCATCTTTTAAAATCTTTTATTCGTTTGGATCATTTTTGGTAGTTTGCAGCGGGTGAGGTGTATAATACGAAAGAGGGTAAGGGCCACATGAAGAGCAAAAAAATTAACTACAGGAAGGAGATTGAAGTTGAAATTTCAAGATTTAAATTGAAATTTCGAGATTTCAGTCAAAATGTTAAGATTAAAAATTTAAATTTTGAGATTAAAGTCGAAATTTTGAGATTACACATGTCGAGATGTCGTGAATAAAGTCAAAATGTCGTGGATAAAGTCAAAATTTCGAGATTCAAGTCAACATAAATAAAGTTGATACTTCGACTTTTGGATTTCAACTTTAATCTCGAAATTTTGACCATAATCTCTAAATGGAAATTTAAAAAATTTCCCTCCTGTCATTATTTTTTCTCTTTTCGTGGCCCTAATCCTTTTTCATAGAATAAAAATGGCCATTTTAAACTTGTTTTTTTTTTACTTGAGTATGATCGACTCTCCTTGTTCCCTGAAGCTGGTTTGATTTTGAGTTTAGATTTGCCTCCACAGTCTCTCAAGAAGCAGCATGTTGTCATTATAGTGTATAGTTATGGACGCAAATATATGAATACATGAACCGCTTGTCTGATTGGTCAGTAAGTTTGAGGCTGAATACTGCAGAGAGAGAGGAGGCACAGATATGTTCTTGGTTTCGGTCTTTTTGTTGGATTTTCTGTTGAAGAAAAATGAAAGCAGAGATTTTTTCAAAGCGAAGGCAAAGGTCCATCTTTTCAAAAAGCGCCATGCAGACATGCTGGACTTTCAGTGATAGACCTGAATTATCAGGAAAGCCTGTGAGATGTTAATGTCCCTCTTTTTGTCAGGTCTAATCGAGGACTATGTGTTTGCGGTTCCTTGGGTACACTCTGAGCATCATTATTAAACCCAGTCCTGCTGTGGGGACTGGGACTGCCGGCATTACCCTAGTGTCCTCTAAATCCCTCTGGAGTTTTTCAGCTTTGGTCTTTTCAAAGAGCAGGCTCTGCTCGAGCTCCTTTATGTGGGCATGCTCCAGCCTGGTCTGCGTCTGTTAGTAAGAGAGAGCAGGAAGAGAGAGGGAGAACAAACACCAATGCAACACTGACATGCCAGCTTTGTGCCACGAACAGAAAGAAGATTTGAAACAGAAAGACAGCCAGTCAGAAAGCTCTGTTTCTGTTTTATCATCTGGTTTTAAACAAAGGACAAGATTTCTCTGAGGAACTTGGGAGTTAATTATTCCGGTAATCTCATCCTGACTCTTCAAAAATGTGTATTTCTCCTCTAATGACGCTTGTTTGCTTGTAATCCGGGACTTGGAGGAAGCCTGTAATTCAGGCTGTGATTCCTCTGAAGAGGGACAAAGATGAGGACAAGAGAGGGAGATGAAAGTGTGTGAGAAGACTGAAGGCGAGTTAGAGAGATAAAAACAGCTTTAGAGGAGAGGAGCGCAAATGATGAAGAGAAGAGGATAGTGGTGTAAGTGCTGCAGATGGCTGGGAAAATGAAAAAGTGAGGGTGAGTGAATTAGGGATGAATGAATAAATAAAAGGAGCACGAAGAGAGGCGACGTCTGAGCAAGAGAGCAAATGAATGATTCAAAGAGTGCAGGAGAGGAAAAGCCCGGTGACGAGGTGATTGGTTTAATCAGCAGCTCTTATTTCTTTGAGGAGATTCGAAGCAGAACAGCGAGTGAGCGAGCAGCCGATTTAGCAGAGAGAGAGCAAAGGAGAAACTCAGGTGTTCATCAAAAACTCAACAGAAGTGTTTGGGGTCATTAACAAAGCCGGGCTCAGACTACAGGTGTTTAAACTAAACTTAAATGTCATGATTTCACCCAAAACTTCCTGAAATCTCACAAATACAAACTCAGAGACGCACAGGTCCAACATTAGGGTCCATCTCAAGCTGCTAATCCAGAAATGTGAAATTTTTCTGGCAGCTGAGATGACCTAAAGCCATCGGAGATGAAGTTACTGGAGGACAGAGGCGCCAGTTTAGCTCTGCGGTTAGCTCACGTGCCTCCACACAGACTCAGGTTTTGATTTTGACTTCAGCTCTCACTCTCTTCTGTCTGAAAATAAAAACTCAAACTCCTGAATTAAAGGTACCAAACGAGAAGGAGAAAAAACTACAGGAGGGCTTTTAACTTCTTCAAGCCTTTTGCAGATGTCTGTCTTAGTCTAGATATGAAGAAAAATCCTCAATAATCCTGCGTGAAATCATCGCAGAGACCCCTAAAAACTACCTGATAACTCAAAGTCCGATATCTACACAGTCTAAGAACTCAAAAACAGATTTTCCACAAACTGTCAGGACAGTTAATAAACCCTCCAATAACTCCTGTGGTCTGACCCAGCTTTAACTTTAATCAGAACTTCATCATCTGTTCATTTAATTTGTCAATAATTCAAACTTGAAACAGGCCAGACATGTGGGAGACAAACAGCTGCTTTGGGGGGGGCACATGTTTAATTGAGGAGCCGATTATATAAGCGGAGTTACCTCCAGGTCTCCTTTGGTGATGCACGCTTCTTCCACACGAAACTGCAGATCCTCCACTTTCCTGTCAAAGAGGGACAATGATCAAGTTTGGAGAGTTAGACTCGACTCATTCAGCTATGGGAAAAAACTGAAAAAACACTGAACTCCAGAAATGGACTTTCACAATCCTGGTCTGGACTTTCAGTTTGCAAAAGTGTTGGTGTTGAACTTTTCACCCTTTAGTTTGATTCTTTATTTTTCCTCTAAATCTAGCTTTAAATACTTTTTAATTTGTCAGCAGATAACAGAAGATGCAGGACGATCCCTCCACATGAGAGTATTTTATCAAAGAGTGAGAATGAAGTTTGAATGAAGAGTTTCTCTCTCACATTTACAACCAAAGATGGTGTGTGGTGGAAGAACTTCTGAAAGACCGTCACAAATATAAAAACCTTATATTTGACAGAGTGAGCTCTCTGTGTCTGACCTTTCATAGTTTCAGACTGATAATGATGCAGCAGCTGTGCAGCATTAGTTTAAATAATGAGTCTGAAATTCAAGATCATATATCGCATTTCATTACGTCCATTTGTTTCCCAAATCAAAACACTATTAAGAACCGTTTAAGAGTGATCATATGGGCCTAAAAGTTGTTTTGCAATGCAAATAATGTAACTATGTAGATACAACTAATGATGCGATAAATCAGGATAAACTAGTGAAAAACGGTGATTTATCACTCTTTAAAAAGTTTTTGTCTAAAATACAACATTATTCTTCTTCTTTTTCCTGTTCTTTTTCTTCTTCTTCTTTTCTGTTCTTCTTTTTACTTCTTCTTCTTCATTTTATTTCTTCTTCTTCTTTTCACCTCTTCTCCTTTTTCTTCTTCTTTTTACTCTTTCTTCTTCGTTTTTTTTTTCTTCTTTTTACTCTTTCTTCTTTTTCTTCTTCTTTTAACTCCTTCGTGTCCTTCTCCGTTCTTGTTCATTCTTCTTCGTCTTCTTCTTTCTTCTTTTTTCTCTTCTTCTTCTTCTTTATTCTTCTTCTTCGTTTTCTTCTCCTCCTCCTCTTTCTCTGCTCTTACCTCTGAGTATAATTACATCTTCAAACAGTATCATCATGTGCAGGTGAAGTCAGATCACCCACCTCTTCTCCTCCTCCAGCTGGTTCAGCAGCTCCACTTTGTCTCGGTCTGCTGCCTCCACCAGTGAGCGAAGCTGATCCAACTTTGCCTCCATCTCTACCGCGTACTGTAACACACAACAAATAAAGAATGATGAATAACACCGGACATGACGACTAATAATAACAATCATAATTATAAGCTGTAATCACCTAAATTAAGATCTTTTTTCTGCTTATTGATGACAGCGTAGGCCTTAAACTACATATTTCAGCCAATTTACCAAAACATTAGAACATTTCTGGGACTCCAAGGGGTTAAGTTGTCGTGAAATGCATCATTACTTGTTCAATAATAGTTTGACAGGAAAAACAGTGTGTTTCTATAGCAACTTAAAGGCTGCTAAAGTGAGACACTAAACAGAGACACAAAAATAAAACAGCTTAAAAGATTAATGGACCGAATAGTCAGGAAATAAAAAAGCGTCTTTAGCCTGGATTTAAAAACAAAGATGGAGGGAACATTACATCACACCACCTTGTTGTGTGTATTTACAGAAAAAATGAAATGTAATGCATTATTAATTTTATTTCTTGTTTTACCACAGCTTATGAATGAGTGTACTGAGGAAGGACACTGCTGTTTAAACAGAGAAACCTGTGAGATGTTCATCATTTCAAATGGATTTCTGATTAAAACAGGGAAAATTGAATTGAATATAATTGTAAATATATCAGAGAAGCTTATACCAGGAGAGGCTTATTCACGAGCTGTGATTACCTCACTTAGATATGTAAGATTTGAGTCTTAAACTTCATTTGAATTATTTTTTGTTTTAAGATACTCTGGTTTAAAACAGCGAAAGTGGGAAAAACCAAATCTCACAACAAGTCAAAGTACTGCACTGCTGTACATGTCGCTATCAGCGCTGCAAACTCCCCATGGAGACAACAGATGGTATCAGAGAGAGCTGCACAGCTGCACAGAAACTGCACATTGTGGAAAAAGTCCTGCAGGAAACAGTTTTTCCTCCCAAGGAGCCCCCCCCAAAAAAACCGACCGAGTGCAACTTCAATTCCAGAGTTTTGCTTTTCTGTCATCTAAAAGTCGTTAAAGAAAAATACCATAAAATTAGCAGAAACAGAGGACCCCGATAGATTAGTAAACCTGTAAATGAGGAGTGAAAGGACATTAAACTAGACCTCAACACATTTTTCTCCATTGTCTGTTTTTCTGATTGAACAGGTAAAATCCACGTGTCTGACCTGATCCCGTCCTTTCCTCAGCAGCACCAGCTCCTGCTGCACCTCTCCCGCCTGACTCGTTGCCTTCGCCACCTCATATCTCTCAAGGTCTCTCTCCGCCAGCAGCTGCTCGATGTGCTGCTGCTTCTCCTTCAGGGCCTCCTGCAGTGCCGTGGTGCCGGAGATCTTCCGAGCGTACCGAGCAGACGTCTCTGTCAGCTGCAAAAACAAAAGAGGTGGATAGTTTTACGTTTTATTTGATGATTATTTGATTTGATGATAAGAGGTAGCAAAATACAAAGGCAGTTAAAAGGATGACAGGAGAAAAAATATATATGTTTATCCAAAAGCAGTGATGTTTGGCATGTCACTCAAGTCTCACCAGTCCTGCTCGACTCGGTTTGCCGCTGATGGATGAGGTGGCAGAGCTGAGCGAGCTCATAGAGGATGCGCTCGGACTCCTCTTCAGACCGGACCTCCTCCTGGAGCTCTTGGCCTTAGTGGGTGTTGTGCAGGGGAAGCCGATACGTGTCACCTTGTGGACCGGAGCAAATAGACCGTACCTGGGCAGACACTGGAAGTATCTGAGAGGAACACAAGAGGCACGGGTTTGAACCTCAGCTGCTGTAGGAAGTCTCTTTTGATAATTTTTTTTTTTTTTTGGAAGTGGACGTGTTTACCTGGTCCCCGCCACGGCGCCGTCATTCTTGCCCAGTGGTTCATCCAGTTCCACTCCACACCAATCGCCTTTCGCAAAGTCTGTCTCGCCCAGAAACCGCACCACTCCTGCTTTTGTACCACCAACCTGCACAAACACACACAAAGGGACCGGCTCTCTTTTGTTTTGTGCTTTTGTAATTAAACTTTTCACTCTTGGCATTAGCCTGAGACACATTTATAACTTTTTAAAAACTCTGAAATACTGAAGACTCGTGAAACTGGCTGGAGGATAAGTGCAGAAGCCCAGATATGCACCAGCAAAATATTAGTCATTTAAAAACCTACAAATTAATTAATTCAACATCCATTTTTGAGCATTGTATTTATAATTTGTCCACTGTTTAGGCTGGAGATGTACACGTGCCGTCATGTGTTCTCTGCCTTGGCTTTCCTTGCTCTGAAAAACTGATGCAACACCTCTGTAACATGCAGCATGCACATAAAAAAGTAGAGGCAGTATAGAGGCAGAGAGAAAATAACAGTCCGCTCAGCAGCAGAGGAAGAAGGTCTCAAGACAAGCTGACAGACCAAGCCTGCATTTATTCACATCTGCATGATGTTTCATTCCCAAAACACAGCAGCAAACGTGCCGGTCAAATTACCTCATCACAGATCAACTGAATTTGAATTTCATTAGTCAGAGTGGAAAGCTGCAAGTCACAGAGACAGTGGAAAAACTTTGTGAGGGAGGTGCTGACGGTGTTTCCTGCTCACATGAGCTAACTCAAGAGTTAGACCCTGAATTAACACAAGTGTAACTCTCATGAGTTCTGTCATATCTCATTTATACTCCTCGAATATGGTAGTTGTAGATCTGGGCGATATGGGAAAAAGTTTATCATGATATATATATTTTTTGAACGCACCATAGACCTTCCGATGCACCTGAACGCACTGCATCTGTGTGTGAGATGTTGCAGCTGCAAAAGTTTAGTTTTCCTCCTCATGCAGCAGAGGAGAGTTCGTAAATTTCCTCTTTCCCGTTTTTAGCCAATATTCACCTTCATATCCCAGGAAGTGAGTTTTGTGATGTTTCACTGTCCAAGTTGGATGCTATATTGTGTTAATGTATTGTTTACCGTGAATATGGCTAATGCTATCTCATGCTACTCGATGTTCAGTTAACAAGCTAATTCTTGCTGTGGCTGCCGTGAGCCTCGTGTGAGATCATTTATCTACAATAACTGAGTCATATATCATATGATTGACTGCTGAATACAGTCCTTCATATTCAGAGTTGTGTGTTATGTATGGTGTGAGCTGTACTGATTGTTGCTTAGTACCTTTATCTGCCGAACCACAGTCAAATAAATCCACCACTAAACTGGACATCTGTATCCGTGTCTTTTAACGGGGACACACACCATACACCTTTTCGCTCTAAACCAAGCTAAATCCCAGAAAACACCCTTTTCTCCTTTTTAATGCAGACTATCAAAAAGCATACTGACCATGTTTTATATTGATATCGAGGGAAATTAATTTTCTATATAGATCGTTATTGTTTTATCGCCCAGCCCTAGGTTGTTGTATCTGACCTGAGCTCCCTGCTGTGGGTTAACATAAGATTTTGACACTGATACTGATACCAAGTTAAGTCTCACAGTCCTTGATGCCAAAATGAAACCTGACAGTGACACAGTTCTGGTGCAGTACCCGTTACCTAATAGGTCAGACTCAAGCTCTGAACTCTGGAGCTTTTTTGTCGTGCAGTTTTTGTGCGTTTTTCTTTTCCCCCTGGACTTTTTGCACTTCAAAACTCTGGGCAAATTCCCCATAAGTGGAGGATATGGCAAAAATCTGGTCCTAGTTTTGACGCAGACACATTTATTGTTTAAATATGAAGACAAACAGAAAATTACAGCAGGTTTAAACACAGACTTCTCACCAGCACGCGGTCTCCCAGCCTCAGCTCCCTCTTGCCCTTCTTTGTGGATTCTGTATCGGTGATGTTTGACTCCGTGGACGCCATGTGCATTCGCTGAAGTGCTGTCTTGATGCCGCTGCCCTGAGCTGAACAGAGAAAAACATTTATCCCCGAGTTTAAAAAGAAGATATCTGAGATTTGAAAACCTTGCGTGGATTCATGGATTCACGTTTACCAGCTGAGGTAGTCCCTGCAGGTGCACACTCGCTGGTTGCAGGTGCAGCAGTTGCAGGTGCAGCGGTTGCAGGTGCAGCAGTTGCAGGTACAGCGGTTGCAGGTGCGGCAGTTGCAGGTGCAGCAGTTCCAGGTGCTGGACTGGCCTGGCCTCCGTTCGCCTCCTTCTCTGGCACAGCCGTCTTGGAGAGCTTTGAGGGCCGCGTGAAAATCCCCCTCCCATCCTCACACTGGAAGTACCGGACCCCCGCCACAGAGCCATCGTTCTTCCCAATAGGCTCATCGAGGACGATCCCGGCCCACTGCCCAGGAGCAAACTGGGTCCCTCCGATGAACTGCACATATCCGGGCTTGTTGCCATTGACCCAGACCCGCTCTCCGATCTGGAAGTCCTCTTGAGTTGGGGAAGTGACACCACCAGGGGATTTCTCAGGAGGGACCGGTTTCTGGGTACCTGGATCAGAACATCATGAAAACTTGTTTATATTTGATCTTTAAACAGCAGGAGGAAAATTATCTTTGTCATGAGAGAATGAGAGGACGGGATCTTCATCTGACACAACATTTGCGTCAACATTTGCCAGCTGATAAAACAGAGTCTTATCAGACTCTGGACTCGCTGCGTTTACAACGGTCTGACTCAGTGCTAACAGCATCATTACCGCCCTGCTTTGCATCATGTTTTGATTATATAGCTCTCTCTCTGGACTCATTTTCATGTTTAATGCACTTCACTTCTTCAGAATATTCCTCTCCAGAATCATTGGCGACCTGCATGTTGAGATGATGCAGATCTGAAAAAATTATGGACATTTTCTTACCAGAGGATGGAGACGTCTTTCCCGGTACTCCAGCTGGCCGAGCTATCTTTGTGGGTGGTTTGAGCCCACTGACCTTGCCTGATGTGCTCATGGCTCCTGGTTTGTCCATAAGTAGCAGAGAACTGTAGGCCAGTTCAAGGTGGGGGACTAGGCCTTCCCCACAACTCCATAAGTCCCAATGTGAAAGAAAGGAGCTGCAGAGGCAAAAAACGGGTCAGTGTTTTTTTTTTTTTTTGTCTGTTTCATTCTTGGAAACCTAAAACGTACCCGAATCTGTTCCATTATTCAGAAACAGCTTCATTATTTAGATCTTAATAGCCATTTGTGGAAGAGAGCGGGATTTAAAAATTTGCATCACATCTTTTGCAAATCTAACCTCAACTGTTGTTGTTTTTTCCTCACAGGTGTTCTCGACTAAATCATAGTGAAATCGACTTCAGCTTTCAGCACCATCGGCTCCCCCATCAACTCTCCAACAAACAAACCCATCAATACCAACGACTGCACCTCCTTCACTGCTCCTTTGTGTCACAGTGTCCCACAGGGTTCAGTGTTTGGTCCTCTATTATTCATGTTCCATTAAAGGGATATTCCGGCGAAAAATTAACCGCTTGCATGTCTAGTTATACCAACTTTAGTAACGACCAAACAATAGCAACACAGAGCGGTCTGAGGAGCCATACACAAACCTCAACCAAAATGCCACTCTATGGCCACAAATAATGCTCAGAACAGCACCTAACTTCAACAACAGTACATATAGGGTCCCAGCCATAGCACTAGCCACCAAACATCTTTTTAATTTTGCCTGATTTCTTTAGCAAAGAGACTAAACACAACTCATCTACTCTCTTCCAGCAGCCGCTTGTTTGTAGCGAGACCTCGGGCCAGTCCATTACAGACTACAGCTGGGTGACACAGCTCGAGGAAGAACATTTATGATCATTTCGTTATCATTTCCTTGAAGTAATAATCATCATATTAATTATTTTGCACTGCAGATGCGGTAGTTCCTCTGCCTTAGCGTCTTGGTCTGATTGCATCTCCATGAAGAAATGATCATAAATGTTCTTCCTTGAGCTGCGAAACTCCACTGCAGTCGAAGTACTCGCCCGAGGTCTCACTACAAACAAGCGGCTGCTGGAAGAGAGTAGGTGAGTTGTGTTTAGTCTCTTTGCTAAAAAAATTTAGGCAAAGCTTAAAAGACATTTGGTGGCTGGGACCCGTACTATTAATGAAGTTAGGTGCTGTTCTGAGCATTATTTGTGGCTATAGAGTGGCATTTTGGTTGAGTACGTGGCGCTCTGTATTGCTATCTGTGGTTGTTACTAAAGTTGGTATAACTAGAGAATCAAGCAGTTGGCAACATTCATCTCCTGAGGGGTGTCTAACTCGGTGTTACAGTGTGTTTGACCCTAAATTAATTTTACGCTGGAATATCCCTTTAAGATAATGCCGATCACCTTCTCATTCTGCTGCTGAGACTCTGAGGTATACATTCACCACATCCAGATTCGACAACTCTGGTACATCCACAACTCTCCCACTCCCATGACCATATGACCCCCGTGTCCAAAACTGCCACTGGCTCCACAACAAAACCACTTTACAGTCCTTATCATGGCCCACTGAGCTCTCTATAACCAGACCCTTTTCTACCTCACCCACCTCCACATTCCTGCCAGCAGATTTGCTCTGGAAAATCAGGCAGTCTGGATCAGTCTGTGAGATCATGGAAGGACTGATCTGTTATCTGTACAGTCTCATGCCTCGTTACGTCGACGATTTAAAAGATAAATGCTGATAAAATTTAATCAAACCACGGATTAAATCATCATAATAGCTGCTGATTCTCCTTCTATTGGCCAATTAACAAATCCAGAAAAGATTAATGTAATCCAATCTAAAATAATAATAAAACAAGCTCAATGGTCTTGTCAGCAGCTGTTATCTCAACAGTATCTATGGACACCACTACTGTATCCCATAACACTCAGAGCATGATGGGTTTTTTATTATCAACCATCTATCAAATATGATGTCTGCTGACGTTTCTAGTGTGTGTACAGTTTCACTGTGGTGCCATAAAAACAAATGCCCTCAATTTTATACGACTGTATAAACAAATGTGGACAGATTTTCCACCACAGCTCTGGATGAGCCGTGTTTTATTCTGCAGGTCTCGTAGGTGTCAGGGTGGAAACAGCTCAGCTAGTTTATTCATAAAAAAAAAAAAAGATTCACTCTCAGTGTAAGTAGGTCAAAACAGACATTTTGTTTCACACAGTAAAGTCTGGGTTTCAACATTTCATGCTCTGCATATATAAATAGTGTTGTACATTAACAAAGAAGTAACTGTATTCACATGGTTTATTTTTGTCCTCAATTTCAGTTGATATAAAAAATAAAAATAATGCAAATTCCACCTCCCTGTCCTGAAATGTCTTCTTTAATTACCAATTAATCATGAAGTGCACGTTTTTGCTGCTAGCACCTCTATGTTTGAGTCACAGAAACAACCATCTGTTTTCATGAAAAATAAATATCCTAAAATGACTGAAAAAAACTCCCAAAGGTTGTCAAACAAAACTTACTGCTGTTTAGAAAAAAATCCACAATCCTTCATAACTTTTGGGCCATTTGAATAAAACAATATTCCATCTGCTGTTTGATTAAAAAAACATCTTAGATACTTTCAAGAGGGCTGGTAACTCACATTTCGACCCACAACGTTACAAAACAGAAATCTTTGAGGGAAATTACACTGCACAATATTAACTACATATTTTAAAAGACACCATTAGTTTTTAATTTGATTGGTTTAAGTAAGAGTCATCTCAGTTTTCTATATTGTTGGTGTTACATAAGTATGTCAACAATTAGGTCAGAGGAACTGTTTTTCCAAAGCAACAAATTCTTTAGAGGAAGTATCGGGAACTTTTAAGGTCAACTTGTAAAAGGAAAAAACTTTTCAGACCAAACCCAGGAACCATCAGTCCTCAGAATATTCCTTACAAAACCAAAGTATGTGGAGCTTTTAGTTCCAGGAATTTCTTTCCAAAAAGTACCAGGAACTTTTAGTCACTGGAAGCGTGAAGTCACATTCCAACCCCAAGAAAAATATTCATATTAAATCTTTTACAAACAACCTCTTTTAAAGGGGTGAATAGGGAATTTTAAGACCCACAAACATCTCATAACACAAGTAACTTTCCCAAACTAGGATACTGGAACTTCAAGTCTCAGTCATATCATTTTAAAAGAAAGTATCCAGAACTTTAAGACTTACTAACAACTTGCCAAAGTCACTCCTTTTGCCAAACAAAACCCCAATAACTTTAATTCCAGCTGAGTCCTTTTAAATTGAAGTACCTGAAACTTTGAGTTCATATTTTAGTGCCAGGAACTCACTTCAGATGTACTTCTTTACAATCGGAAGAATCCCCAGTGGAGTTGTGTCTAAAGGAAGAAACCTCTGTCTCCCACTAGCAACTTGTCAGTCTTGTGTATTTTATGTTTCCAGAAAGAAGTAACCAGAACTTAAACCCTCGTTTCACCTGAGGTTCCTGGTCCCCATGAAAGTTCATGCAGTGGAAACACAACTTTTGTTGAAAACACAACATAGCTTTTGTATTAAGAGTTCATCTTTGTGTATCAAAACATGACAGGCTATGCATTTGTTGAGAAACTAATAAAGCCAACTCGACATGTGGTTAGAAGTTGTGATTAATTGAGCTAAAAGTCCAAGTTGAGTATCCTGACAGATTTACGCCATATCAAGTATGTTTTGATTCTCTAGTAGTCTTTATTTTCTAGCTCTGAAGTAAATGTCAGCATTAAAAATACAAGTAGGTGTCCTCTTATGTAACCTGCAGGTAACAGGAGCAGCCCCGTTCGCCGCCCTGCTGTAATATTACCTCAGAGCTGCTCCCTCCGCCCAGCCGGTGTTCCCAGACCAAAACAACAAGCACACCCAGAGCTGTCAAATCTCCTCCTGTGTCTCCACAGTCCCTGCTAACATGTCAAGCCACCATGCGCTTTGTTTAGAGCCCCCTACACACACTCTCGCCTTAACTAAATCAGTCATGAATGTACAATAAGTCATTGTTGTTGCAGACGGTGACACAGGTCGTGTTGTTTGTGTCTGGGCTGGGCTCCTTTCACTTCTACTGCATCTGTGGAGCCACCAACTTAAACCTACACTATACTTTTTCCAGAACATACTACGCAGTTATTTCAGCCTTATCGGGTTGACTCGATTTAACACGATAACTGCCAGTGTTTCGCTTTAGATTGAACTTCTATATTGATGTTATCTCGTCTTGTCCAGAGAGCCTCAGTCCCTGCTGGAATGCGCTCCTGGAAGCTAGCTAGCTCCAGATTAGCATAAACTAACGGTTAATTCCAAACCTTATATGAGATGATAATAAAGCGACATAACAGCGGGCAACTGTGGAAATATCCTCCGTGGAAGCTTACTTGGTCTCTCTTGGTGAACTGAATCTCAGTTAGGGATGCCGTGGGTGGGAAGGTGCAGCGTACCTCGCACCGTTACATGTTTTTCCAGCGGCTCTTCTTCCTCAGCCCCAGCCCGGACCGACCGCATGACGTCACCCTGGGAACTAACGGTGCCTTCACGGAACTGGACGGAGGCTCCGTTCACTACAGTACTACGGTGGCTGAGAACCACCACTGCTGCAAATAATTTTTTTTTTTTTTTATTAAAAAAAAGAAGGAAGCCACTGCTGCAAATAAAAAGAAGGCAAATACAAGACACCACAATGGAAGTTACTGATGCAAATAAAAAAATAAATAAATAGACCAAAGCCCGCTGCAAATAGAAAAGGATGCAAAAAAAAAACAAAACAGATCGCCACTGTGGAAAATAAAAAAATGCAAAAAAAAAAACAAAAAAAAAGAATGCAAAAAAAGAACGCCACTGTTGCAAATAAAATAGTGGGGAAAAAAAGGGAACGCCACTGTGGCAAATTAAATTAAATAAAAAAGAATGCAAAAAATATATATAAAACGGCACTGGTGCAAATTATAAAGAATGCAAAAACATAATTGCACTGTTGCAAACAAAAAAGAATGCAAAATAAAGAACGGCACTGGTGCAAATTAAAAGGAGTGCAAAAAAAAGAAACCACAAGGGAAGTTACTGACGCAAAAAAAGAAAAAACAAAGTTACTTACTGCAAAAATAAAAGTACGCAAATAAAAAGCCACAATGGAAATGAGCTGCCAGGGACCAATGATGATGATGCACAGGTGTTTTGCAATCTAGGCACAGAAGACGAGCAAAGAAGTAAGTGGAATAATCATTGTTTAATTTCACTTCGTAAACTTTTGAATGTGTCATTTGGTTAGGCCATGTAGCACCTGAGTCGATATGAGGTTGAACTGAAGCTAACATCACACCGACATCCTCCAGTTCAATTTCATATCAACTCAGGTGCTACATGGCCTAACCAAATGACACATTAAAAAGTTTAAGAAGCAAAATTAAACAATAACCTTTCCACTTACTTCTTTGCTCGACTTCTCGCCGTCATCTTCTGTGGCTAGATCGTAAAACATCGGTGTATCATCATTATTGGTCCCCAGCAGCTCACTTCCGTTGTGGCTTTTTTTAATTTGCTTCCTTTTATTTTCGCAGTAACTTTTTGTTTCCCATCGCCAATTTTTTGTGTGTGTTGTTAACTTCAGTTTTGTTTTGTTTTTTTAATCTGCACTGTTTCTTTTTTATGTGCAGCGGGCTTCGGTTTCTTTTTCTTTCTTTTTTTGCATCAGTACCTTCCGTTGTGGTTACTTTTTTTTTATTTTGCTTTTTTTTTTTTATTTGCAGCAGTGGCAGTTCTCAGGCACCGTAGCTTAGGTTATAAAATATGATTTTTCGCATTGGAAAGATGCCAAGTTTAAGCAAAAGACGCAAAAATTACTATCATGAACAGGTGTTACTTGTTCTGGTGTTACATTTATTTATTGGAAAGAAGAAAATGTGACAAGACAGGGATTTGGAGTCCAAAAAAGAAAGTAAACAGAATTATAAAGGAAAAATACATGGAAAAAAAAAGTTGAAAAACGTCCGTAATATTAAAGATTAAGTTTTACTGACCTCCCTCTGAAGACATAAAAGTTAAACTCCAAACAGTCTGCCGCAGATGTACAGTCTGTTGGTTGATCATCAGTTTACCGATAGCACTCGTGAGACATGAACGCCTCTTTGGTTGTGGTTGTCCAACATACTGTATTTGCACCGCTGATTTACTCTGTAAATATTAGTTTAATGTGCAGCAGAGAATCAGAGCCTGTTGTTCAGTGAAGTTGTGATTGACTATTAAAAGAACCATGATATTAACCGAGAAAGTGAGGCAAAATAAACACGAGTTATTAGTCAGAAACTGTTACTTTTAGAGCATTTAAAGAGCACAGAAGTATGTCGCCATTCAAATGAAAAAAAGCGCCCATGAAGTAACCCTCGAGTTTCTGGAGTATTCCCGCCAAAATGATCGATGGAAAAATATTGAAAGAATAAAGCTAACTCATCCAAAAACACTGGGAAACTTTCTAAGATTTTCAATAACTTTGACAGGAAAATTAAAAACAATAAATTTAAGCTTTCAAATAAGTCATCTGATAAGATAGATCTCTAAAAAATGACAGATCTCGTATTTCAATAATGTTTTAATGACTTCCTATATCAAAACTGAGTAATTTCCCAGAGATTTATTTTTCCTAAATATTTCTTTGAGAAAATGTTTTTAAGAATTTTGAATTAATATTTCAAGATACTCCATCTCTGGCTTGTAACTATCTCTTCACTGAAAAATGCCTAATAATATACACTTTTCATTGCATAATAGTATAAATATCTTGGATAAGATTCTTATTGATTTAAGAGCCATTTGAAAAAATAAAAGTGTTGATTTTGGAGAAGTTTGAGAGATAAAGATCTGACTTTTTTTCTCCTTTATCACCAAAAAGGACATCCATACAGAGAAGTTTGTTATACCCGACAAATATATACACTTTATATATAATTTTATTTTAGGCTTGTTATTTCACAGCTCTCAGTCACAGCAACACCACCTTCCTACATTTTATAGAGGTTATAAACCAGGATAATGGTTGTTTTATCAGTAGCCAGGGCTTTAAAACACATTTTACCCTCATGTAGCTAACAGATTGATTTAGCAGCTGACTTTATATCCTTCGACTGTCAACTGTGGAAATGTCATTCTCAGATGTTTCCGTCTGATCAGTGCTCCTTCCCAGCACTTTATTTAAGACCTTCTTGAAGGTGCCGCTGAAAGCCGGGCTAGAGAAATAGTACACCACTGGGTTCAGGACGCTGTTGAAGTAGGTGAAACACACAGACGTGTAGAACGCAAGGTTGGCCTCCTCAAAGTACTTGCACTCGTGATACCACACCTTAAGGATCCACACAGCTATACGGGAAATGGTGCTGGGGAAGAAGCAGATAATAAAGATGAGAGCCACAGCCAAGACAAACTGAACGGCCCGTTTGATTTTCCCGTTTTTGTCCATGGTCCTGTTTCTCAGCTGCCAGGTGATTCTGAACGTGCAGAAAGCGACGATGCTTGTGGGGAGGAAAAACTGGACGACATAGAAAGTGTTGTGCCAAGTAGAGAGAGGAGTGAAACCCATGCAGATGTTAAAACTCTCACACTGTGTCCTGTTGCCGCTGTCAAAGAAGTGTTCGTCAGCAAGAAGGTACCCAGTGGCGAGAAAGATCAGACCCCAGAGGAAGAGGGAGACCCAGAGAGCGTAGCCAAGGCCAAATCTGTTGATCCGATTCAAGGGGTGGACGATCTTGAAATAACGGTCAACAGCTACAGCTGTGAGAAAGAAGATCCCTGCTGCACGATTTGCTGCCAGCAGAAAAAGAAGGATGCGGCACATGGCGTCCCCGTACAGCCAGTTCTTCCCTCGCCTATAGTAGTCCGCCCTGAAAGGGAGGCAGAACAGCACGATGGAGTCTGCGACAGCCAGGTGAGTCAGGTACACAGAGTTTGGCTTCCACTCGTCCATGTGAAAAATGAACATCCACAGAGCCACAAAGTTCCCCATCAGTCCAAACATGAACTCAAGGACCAGGATTGGAGGTAAAACCTGGTCCAGGATGGGAGACTCGAAGGCGCAGCATTCATCAGTGAGATTCATGCTTTGAAACGTCGATGTGAAGCAGAGCACTGACCTGCTGCTCAGCACAGGTAGATATGGTGCACCAGGTGACTTATGTGGAAGGGTATGTTTGCACTCATGCAAATGATCCTCAGACAAACATACCAATTCCTAAGTGGAGCGAGCATCTGTGTCCTGCGCGTTATCTTTTGGGGAAGTGGCATTGACCCAAAGGAGCGTGGAAACAACTGTAAATGTCCTCTGTCTGGGGAGTGAGGCCTCATTATACAACTATTATGCAGCTGAATAAAGGTTCGCACGAGGATAGAGAGGCACACCTGAAAAACAAGCAACCCGTGGTCTGCAAGTGACTCAGATAAACCTTGAAAAATGACTCATTTTTAATGAAGAAACAAACTTAAAGAGAAGACGTTTGAGTGTACAGGCGAAGGAGACTGAAATTTATTAGCCTACAGTTTGCTTGAGTGAAGAACATTTGGGAGGGATTCACGTCATACCACACCTTTGGCAAACGAGAGAAAGCAGCTATTAACTAAAAAAAAAAATCTGCCAAGTGAGTGGCCAAGTCCGCAGCTTTTATGAGTAGTAAATAAAATAGGTATAAAATGACTTAATGTGTACATTTGGCCAGGTTTTTGTCGCTGTTACAGGTCTCATCCGTTTCAGTAAAAGTGCATATTTGGTCTTCACTTCTTCACTTCACCAAGATCATCAATGCTGTCATCGTCCACCTGCAACACAGACACACAAACACAGACCCACATCAGTTTTTGGACAGGTTTGGTGATCTTCTGTTTTTCTGGAAATTAGCAGTTTTGTGAAGTTTCAAGACTTTAAAACGAACTGCAATAAAACTGGACTCACACCACCACTTTTTTTTCTTGCATTTAAATTGTGTATATTGTATATAGTTTTATTTTTCTTCTCCCTTTTTCTAAATTTTTTCTTAATTATTACATTTACTGAAGTTCTTAATATTACGATCCTTATTATTATAACTGCTTTTTTGCACTCTTTGCCTGTGATGCTGCTGTGACAAAAAAAATTCCCCCATGGGGGATCAATAAAGGAATATTCTATTCTATTCTATTCTATTATTGGCACTGGATTATTGTAAAGTAGGAAGCAAACAGAGAGAGTGAGTGGGTAAGGATGCCTTTTGTTGGCTGCTTTCATCAGTTTGAAGTCATGTTTCTCACTTGTTTGGATATTTCTTCACTCTTTCATCATATTAATATTTTAAACTTTCAAGGACTCCCTGAGCTTTTTCAGTTAGGGCCCGACTCTTTGGCCTAGAAGATCAGACAGGCTAGCTCCTTCTCCTCTTTTTAAATTAGTTTAAAGAAATTTGTAAAAGAGTGCTTAACTTTGATTTGCTTCCTATGGAATATTTGACATATTGGTCCAGAGGGACAATTGGACAGTTCTATTGTGTGTGGACCATAGACTGTATCTACTATGGACAACTTGGTTCCGCCTCCCACCTGTATACAGATTTGAAGCCAAAAAGCTCTCGGTATTTCCGCAATTTTTCTTCATTTCCTGAAACCAACATTGCACAGTAGCATTGTGTGCATTCAGCAAGTGAGTCGCCGAGAGTCACTGTGATGACGCTCGGCTCAAACAGCGGGTGAGCTACGCAATCCCTGAGCGCCAATAGGCTGTATCAGGTGTCAATCATAGCAAACATGAACCCCCTAATAACTTTTAAAAACAGAGCTTCACAGAAAAAAGAGGACTTGAGAACAAACCAGTCTAACTGTAACTACATGTCAACACCGCAACCAGGGGGGAGAAACATTTATATTCTGTGTAGTAAATTTCCAAAGTTTGTCCACAGCTCCATAAACTTTGCTGGCAGAGGCGGGATTTATGACCTATACTGCAGCCCATCTACAGAGGGTGCTGTTCTCGGAGTGGCTTCACCAAGCAAGGAGGCAGGCGCTGTCCATTCTATATACAGTCTATGGTATGAACTCAATTTCTTGATTATGTGGGGCCAAGGATATGCAGTATATTGGAGGACTCCTCCCAAACCAGGACAAGATGGCTAGTGGACTGGGGAGGCTCTGTTGTCTGTATTGCTTCTATCATTGTATGTGATATGTATGTATGCGTAAGGTTTCAACATTCTGATACTCTACCTGTTTATGCAGGACTGTGCTGTGATTACGTTGGAATTTATTTTTGTTTGAGGGATTGGGTATTAATGGAAAAAAATGTATGTACTGTTTGATAAAAATGTAGTGCTTAATGTTAAAAAAAATAGTTTCTGAAAAAAAGGGTGCTTAACTTAGTTTTTAGCAAGGGTGTCCCAATACAACTTTTTTTACTTCCGATATGATACCACTATTATAGCCTTTAGCAATGGCCGATACAGATATTGATCTGATACTGGCATAAAATTGTGCCTGACAAGTCTTGCACCCAGCTGCAACGTCTTTTTCGGACTTTAACGAAAAAGTACTGCCACATGGCCGACATCACTCTTAAGGTCCTTTCGCACCGGGAGCGTTTTGAAAAGCAGTCAGTCTGCTGTTGTGTCAGTCTTCTCGCTTCCACCCGGGACGCGTCAAATATCCCCCTCCAAATATTTCATAATTTCGCATTGTATATCTGCATTGTTCCCGGTGTGTAAGGACCTTTACTCCTCTCTACTTTGTTCGTACCTTAGTAAAGACTGTTGTTGCGATTACGTGGGCTCTGCATGTCGGATCACGGTGCTGCTAGATAGAGGTGCCAGAGCTGAGTCTGGAATGGACTTCTTTTCTTGGAGTGCTGATATCGGAGATCTTAGATGCAGGCTGATATAATCAGATATTCTATTTTTTGCTGATATCGGACCAATATCCAATAACAATATTTTAATCAGGACACCCCTTGTTTTTGTTTTTTTTTTTCTAGAGGAGAATATCAAACTTTAATATATGATAAAAGTTCAATCTTTACAAATTAGTTATCGGTTAATTTACTTGGAGTTGGGTGTAAAGTTTGAAGTCCAAGCACTACACAGGTGTTTGTTGTGTCTCTTCAGGGCAACAGGCAGACCTTTGTGTATTCTAATCAGCAACAGGAGACACACCTGGGCCCAGTGTGCCTCCTGTTTAAACTCAGAGCTGCAGTAACCCCGCATGTGCTCCTCAGACTGTCTCTGAGTTCGGACTTCAGTGTGTTCACATGCTCAGTTGGGTTTTTATTCCCTGACATTTCATTCGAGGCTAAATCCAGACTAAATCTATCAGCAGTCAGGCATCTTGGTTATTTACCAAAAAAAAAGCCTTATCTGCACTCAACCTACTTTATTTTGTGAATGGAAAAAGTCAGAATTAAAGTAAGAAAGAAAAATGAAGACAGATCCAGGGCACTCACCTCAGGCCACTTCTCTTGAATGACGTCGATAATGTCATCAGTAAAATCTCCCTGAATGATTATTTCATCCTCTGCTAACACTGAGGCACCACAAGAAAATTTCTGAGCGAAGAACCGCTGAGCCTCTTTAAGGTCGATGTCTGCAGGAGTCGACAAAGAGAGACAGTTAGGAATAATACACTCAGAATAAAAGAAACGAAGCTGCATTACTTATTATTACAACCAAGAGTCTCTCACCAAATGTTGCCAGGCCGCACACCCGTGTGACGTATTTCTTCTTGGCTCTCGGGATCTTTGCTATCGTAACTTTCTGAGGAACAGTCTTCTTTTTCTGTTTGATCTGACCTCTGCCACCTTAAAAAAAGGAAAGAAGACAGATTTCAGTCGCTCAAACTTCTAGAAGTTCAAACAAAAATTATGCAAGAGCCAGGTCTTAAAATATACTTCAGGTGCACAATCAAAAAAAGGTTAAAGCAGATATTTCTTATAAATTTATATGGGTGAGTTTATCATATGCTCTATTTTGCTCTTGCCTTAAATGAGGCCTAATGAAGTCTGCTATGACTCAGTATCCTGCTAAAATGTCGTACCTCTCTTCTGTTTCTTCTTCTCCTCCTCCTCTCCTGCAGGGGGAGCCTCTCCAGTGCCGGTTTCCTGCTTGGGTGCATTTGCTGCCGGTCCAGTTGGACAGAAAGAAAAAAGGAAAATATCAAAACCAATCCGCCGACAATAGTACTGTTTAAGATGACCGCTGAAATGTACAAGCCTGGGTCTTTTGATATGCAGATTAGCCGAGCTACTGATCAGTGTGTGCATTACAGTTTTGTACAGCCGGTACGTAAACCACTGCGAGACAAATCCATGACATAAATTGGGCTGATGAACCTTTTTCCTTGTTGTGGACTGAAACCGTTTACGGCTCAAAGTTCAGCTTTAGTTCAGTCTTTAAACAAGGAAAGCATTTGGAAAAGCTTCACCCAAGAAAATCTACATCAGCTACTTTTTTTGTGTCTGAATATTTAATAAACAATCAGAGGATTCAGGAGAAACTGGGGAAAACTAAATGACTGGAATCTAAAATGTCACTCACCTACAGTCATCCTGGCAAACACATCTGGAAAATTCTTCTCAAGCCACTGCCTACATTTGGCCGGCTCAGGCATGTACTCACAGTACTGCAGACACAAAAGAGCAGATTCAGTTTGACCTACAAGTGAATTTGTGAGTGCGTCAGACAATTCTCTTTGTTTGATGATTAAACTTACCTCTGTAGGTAGTGAGCACACTGTGGAGAAGAAAATAACACTGTTACATTTCAGAAAGGCACAAAGGAAGTTTAAATTTATTCTATAATCACTTCAATCAATCAAGTAATACCAGCCACAACCGTTCTTCAACAAACAGTTGAGGGACAGAATATGAGAAGATTGAAAATGCCTTTATTTTACATAAAATATTTTAACATTTTAAATATAAAAACCATGAGATACACACATTTAAGGTTTTCATTTAACCCTGTCACAAGATAAATGAAACACAGCAAACCCTCAGAGTGCCTGTGCAACCACAATCCTGATTCTTTACAAGTTGGAGCACTGTGTGAAATATTGATAAAACCGATTCCAATGGTTTGAAATAATTTAAATCGTTCAAAACAGATGCGCCTCTGTGGTGGAGGTCACTGCATTCACTCAGATTTGCTTCCAAAATGAACTGTCTATAAAAAGGAAATGATCTATAAGCATGATCCAGAGACGTCAGCCCAAACCTATGTAAGATGGACTAAGGCAAAGTGGGAAAATGTCCTATGATCTGATGGATTAATATTCAACCTCCTCTCTGGAAACCATGGATGTCACATCATCTGCCTTGAAAAAGGAGAGGGATCACCCAGCTTGTTCTCAGTTCACAGTTCAAATCCAGCATCCCTGATGATATGGAGGTCATCAGAGTCCACATCTGTGAAAGCTCCATTAAAAGGGATATTCCGGCGTAAAATTAAGTTAGGGTCAAACACACCATAACACTGAGTTAGACACCCCCTCAAGAGATAATTGTTGCTGACTTCTTGCTTCTCTAGTTATACCAACTTCAGTAACAACTGCACGATAGCAATACACAGCGGTCTGAGGAGCCATAAACAAACCTCAACCAAAACGCCACTCTATAGCCACAAATAAAGCTCAGAACAGCACCTAACTTCATCAACAGTATATATAGGGTCCCAGCCAAAGTACTAGTCACCAAACATCTTTTTAACTTTGACTAATTTCTTTAGCAAAGTGACTATACACAACTCACCTACTCTCTTCCAGCAGCCGCTTGTTGGTATCTAGACCTTGGACCAGTCCATTATGGACTACATCGGGGTGACACAGCTCAAGGAAGAACATTTATGATCATTTGTTCATGGAAATGTAATCAGGCCGAGATGCTAAGGCAGAAGAACTACCGCGTCTGCAGTGCAAAATGATTAATATGGTGATTATTACTTCAAGGAAATGATAAAGAAATAATCATTAATGTTCTTCCTTGAGCTGCGTCACCCTGCTGTAGTCTGTAATGGACTTGCCTGAGGTCTCGCTACAAACAAGCGGCTGCTGGAAGAGAGTAGGTGAGTTGTGTTTCGTCTCTTTGCTAAAGAAACCAGGCAAAGTTAAAAAGATGTTTGGTGGCTAGTGCTGTGGCTGGGACCCTATATGTACTGTTGATGAAGTTAGGTGCTGTTCTGAGCATTATTTGTGGCTATAGAGTGGCGTGTTGGTTGAGCGCGTGGCTCTCTGTATTGCTATCATGCAGTCGTTACTAAAGTTGGTATAACTAGAGAAGCAAGTGGTCGGCAACATTCATCTCTCGAGTGGGTGTCTAACTCAGTGTTATGGTGTGTTTGACCCTAAATTAATTTTACACTGGAATATTCCTTTAATGCTGAACAATATCTACAGGTTTAGGGGCAACGTCTGCTGCCATCTAGACAATGACTATTTCAGGGAAGACCTTCATATTTCAGCGAGACAATGACAAACCCCATTCTGCAGGGATCACAACAACATGGCTCTGTAGAAGAAGAGTCCTGCTGGTTCACTGGCCTGCCTGACACCCAATACAGGACAAAGGAGACCCTGAACTGTTGAGCAAATTATACTGTACCTCCACAATACAGAACTTTCAGTGGGTACTTTGAATCAGGGTCGACTGGTCCATGTTCTGATCTGCTTTCTGAAGAACCAGAGTCCATCTCAGTAGTCGCCATCACAATTTATCTGGATAAAAAAAGACAAAAAAAATTAATTTTAGTTCAAACTATACTGTCAGTTTGAACACACCTTTAAGTTTTCTCTTCACGTTAAAACCCCAAAAAAAGGAGAAACAAATGTTTTTTTTAAAGACATGATCAGACTCCAGAGTGAGCTTCGGGGAACAAGGACCTTTGCAATATTTCATCATGCTGGCCTGCTTGGCAGACTCCTCTCCTTCACTGAGCAGAAACATCAGCAGCAGACACGGTTATGAAGGAGAACAGCCGACATGACAAGTACAGCAGGGATTCTTTTCATGCATATCTACAGTGTGATAAATAGTTGCCCTAAAGGCACAAGAGGAGGTAGTCAGAATGATTAGCTTTAGCTGGCTAACACATGCGGCTCTTTACTGTTGGCTGCCTATTAAACTGACATCTTAGGTCAAACTAGTGTAAAAGAAGTCCTAGGTTGATCACATCTTGTGCTGTGGACACTACCGTTTTGATAGCACACTCCCACTTGCTAAAAATAACCCTAAGTCTAGTTTCAGAGGTTTCATTGATCCGGTATCGTGGACTCACCCAGCTGTCACCGTTAGCACCTCAGGCTAACAAGCTAACAGGCTCTGCTGCTGCTTCATATATATAACTGTAATAAAAACACGGAGGAAACGCCCACATACCTACCCCACAGACTAAACTCTTAAAATCGTTGTTTGCTCAGTGAGTCCTCTCGCATTATTCACGTTAGTTTGACTTTAAGATCAGCATTCTTATTGAATAAGGTTTAGTTGGCGTACTTTGAGCACGCCTAGCACCGCTTCTTTCTTGAGTTGTTTAGGTGGATGATTTACAGCGTTAACGGACAACAGCGCCCCCTGGTCCCAGGAGGTAAAACCTAAGATTTGATATAAACCCAATTTGGTACATAGATGGAAAGCAGCTTTTCCAAACCTCTTCTTAAGCAAGTACAGTTTTGTGAAATGCTTGGTGTGTGTAAAAACAAAATTGTGTTATAATTCTGTGTTACTGTTCTTAAGCTGTTAATGTTGATCATAATATTTCAGGGAAGTACACAAAGGTGTATAGGGGAGAGTGGGATAAGATGAGCCATTTGTCATATTTCAGATCACTACATCAAGTCAATACTAGTTCTGTCTCTAACTAGTGTATCTGCATGTATTTCAAGATGTTGTTCATCCCTGCAAACCAACAGAATGAGTGTAAATATAACTGTCTTGATAATATAGCATGCCAAAAAAAGGGGTCTCCTTTGGTCAACCTACCCCGTGTATGGGGTAAGTTGACCATAGGAGCTGGGTAAGTTGAGCCGTATCCCTACTAAGATTAAAGGTAAGTAGTAGTTCAATTTTTTTTTTTTTTTTTTGGTCTGAACACAATTCTAATAAAACTTATGACAGAATGAATTCACTTTCAAGAGTGCAAAATGTGTTTGTCTGTTTTTTTTTTTTATTTCTTGTCTTTTCTTTTTTTTTAAATAAATGTCTAACCCCGTATCCTAAATATTTGTTCACATGATCAATTTCTTTTACCATTTTCAAGCAACATGGGGTGGTTCAATTTACCCTCTGGGTCTACTTTCCCCACTCTCCCCATCTTTTACTTTTTTAACGTGTTTTAAGAAAATTTTATGATTAAAAAATCAAATTCTAATTTTTTCCATTTTTTCTATGTTTCAGGTTCAACCCTCGTGGCCACTGCACAAAACATTATCTCGGGCAAAAACCATAGACTGCATATAGAAACTATTTTTTTTCTCTAGTTTTCACGAGTTTGAAATTTGGAAAATTGTAATACTAATAATTATGTAAAGTCTAAAAGTTAAACGATAGCTTGAGTAATTTGGGTTCCTTCCAGTTTCAGAAATTTATAACGATAAAAGATACTCGTGCCTCTCTTCGCACAAGCGCCTTGTCATGTCTGCTTTTATTTTGAAAGGGTTCCTTTAAAAGTTTGTCGTCTGTTAGCCTTTTTGGGCTAATGCTTTCAAGGATAAGACCGGTTATAGACGTAAAAAGTAAAATATTTTATTTTTACACAACTTGAGTGATAGTTATTTATGTATTGGGAACTTTATCGTGTAAAACACAACTTTTATTGGAAGTTTTGTGAAATTATTGATGAAAAACCGGAGACATATGGCCTCTCTCGTGACGTCATCGTCCAATCCTTGTCGATGAATTTCACTCGTTCAAAAATTAAACGATGCTAAATGCTAGCTAATGTTAGCCAAGATGTAAGTTTGTCTTCAACCTTAAATCATGAATTATTATTGTAGCCTCTATTTACACATGCAACCGAGTTTAAAGACGTTTTTGCAACGTGTCAGGAAGAGTCTTTCAGAGAAATGAGAAGTTAACGTTTACCTTTAAAGTAAGATGATTGTCATACTGCTGGAGTAATACACACAATGAACTCATTTCAACAACAAGACAGCTAAAATGAGAGAAAAACAGGACATTTAAGAAGTAAAGTTGGGTGAGATGTTTGCTGTTATAATGTGATGGACGAAAGGAAAAGTTTGTCCTCGTCTTATGGAGAAGCTTGTAGGAAAGACTCAGTCTGCTCTCCATGGCCAAATGGTAAATATACTCACTATTTTTGTCTAAACCAGCAATTAATTAATTTAAATCCAGTGTTTATAGATATTTAAGTGACATTTTTATCATGCAAGATCCACTTTTATGTTGTTTCAGATACAGCAGTTGATTTCTGGCACAGCACTCCAGTGAAAAAGGTAAAATTCCCCTTTAATCCACATATAAATAAATGCCCAAGAGCATTTGAACCACAGAGGGCGAGTACTTGATTAATGTATAAAAATAAATTTGATCATAAAAGCAGTCATCACAGTCAAAATTAGAATGACAGAACAAGATAAACAAGATTAAAATCCAAAACTGCAAACAAAACACTTAAAATTACTGTCACATTATGGTAAAATATTACTGTATCCAAAATAATATGATATATTATCATACAGGACTAATAATCTCACACATTGCAAACCTCCATTTTGAAATAAAAGTAGATATATTCAGTTAAAGTGGTTAGTGCCAAAGAGAATCAGTCTAGTTTAGTTTCTTTAGTGTGCCCAGGTCTGTTTCAGCCTGACTCAAACAGGTAAGAAAGACTGTCTTTCTCCAGAGTGTCTAACTGTAAACACATCCTCTTCAGGATAACAATGCTGCTTCATCAGACCCCAGACAAGCCTCTGTTCTGACCAGCCTCAAGATGGACCAAACATCAAGACAATGGGGAAAAACTACACCTCCAACCCAAACAGACGTCCTCGGCCACCGCAGTATACAGGATACAGAGGTGAGATAAGACTACAGCCCGGAAACTTCTTCATTAGTCATTTATCAAGTGATTGGTTAACATGTAGGCAGCAGACTCAGAAACATCTGCCACCTGTGTGTCAGCTGGTCACAGAGCAATGCTCTCAATGCACTAAATTTGGAAAATATTAGGTCATGAGAGTGATGATCCTAAAAACTTTTGCAGCACTTTTAAATAATACATTTCTGGTTACTTATAATACCCTACTGTAAAAAGAGATTTTGGTAACAGGTCATATCCTTACTAGCCTTTTATTCTTTGAGTACAGTTTCCAGTGAGTGACCCAAGTGGCTCCACCATACAGAGGCAGAGAAGGGAGCTGCAGCTGCTGATGGCTGAGCTGAAGGACCGAGACAGGGAGCTGAACGCTACGGCAGCCTCTCATCGGAAGCAGCTTCACGCATGGGAACATGACCGCCAGAGGGCGCTGACTTTGGAGCAAAGGTGTGCACGTCTGGACGGTGAGGATGCTTTAATGTCTTTTCATTTGTTATGTCTGGTTCACACATTTGAGCATCATAAATACAATCCATGCTAATATAATAGAGCTCAGTTGAATAGATGTATCCCTGTATGACAGTGATTCCTGTTGTGGGTGTTTGATGCAGATGAGTTGCAGAAGCGTAACGAGGTGATCAGAGTTTTGACTAAACGAGTGTGGGTGGTGGAAACAAGGGAGGAGGAGGTCCAGAAGGATCTCAGAGCTGCACGACAGCAGCTCTGTGAGCTGGAGCAGAAACAGCAGCACATCAGCCAGAAATGTGACGACTTTGAGGTACCAGCAGATCGTTCAGTTACTTTAAACTACACTTATTTTTGGTCCATATAAAAGCACCTGCTCACAGCTTGTGAGGAATATTCAAGTCAATGGATGATGAAGATGATGATGGTGTTAGGTTGAAGTGTCTGTGGTGTCCCTCAGGAGAAGAACCAGAGTCTGAGCTCAACAGTGATGGCTTTGTCCACTCAGATCGGCTCTCTGCAGGTCAGAGAGGAAGAATTGAGCTCCATGCTCAAACTTAAGGTACTCCTGTGGGTTTTTGAGTCTGTGTCATTTACAGAAACATGCAGAAGTTTTGTTTGTTTTTCTGTTTCTGTTGAACGTCAGGATTAATTTAGGATTTGACAAACTACTCGTTGGTGAATGGGATTTTTTTCTCCCATCAGGACAAAGATGTGACTGAGGCCTCGGGTCACAAAGCAGAGCTCACCGAGCGTCTGCAAGAGCTGGAGACTTCACTGACAGAGAGTCGTTCACGGGAGAGCAAACTGCAGAAAGATTTAGAGGAAAACAAACGCCGCTACAAAGAGGCTCGACACGAGGTCACACACCTGAAAGGTAACAAAACTGAAGCTACATGTGTGACAGAGACGGTGTGTTCAGGCTACAGTAGAAACCTCCCTATGAACTGTTTTGATGTAAGAAGCATTAGAAAGAAGATAAATAAGAGATGCAATAAGTTAATGTTCCAATTATGATCTTGATCAAGATGCAAAGAAGTGTAAATTGTGTGACTTGTTAACACGTGTTATTGTCTGTGCTTGTAGAGGAGCTGCAGCAGCAGGTGACCCAGAGCAGCACTCAGAGGGAGGAGATGATCCGACTCAAACAGGAGCTCCAGCTGCTCCGCAGAGATCTGGTTCTGTCAGGTCCAATACACTCTCTGTGGTTTTTATTTTATTTGAGTTGTGATTTTGGGAGATTTTTTGACAGGAAAGCTGGAGGGAGGGGTCGTGGCCAGGAATCGAAATTGTGACAGCCATGATCAGGGCTGCAGCCTCTGTATATGGGGTGACGTGTGTTTCGACCCCCTAGGCCATGAGCGCTCCACTCCCTGTGTTTTCAAGATATTTATCTGTTTTGATTATTGAGTTTATTGATTTCTTACAATCCTTTTTTCCCCATATATGAGTTCATCCTAACAATTACAGTCTACTTAGCTTACATACTATACCTTGTCCTTTTTAATCTCACCAGTTTGAGGATCCTTGATTATTTTAAGCTTATTTAAGTTTGTTTATATCAGTTTTAAATGTGTTATAACTTTATCTCTGTGCTGTGATTCTTTTGGTTTAGATCAGTGCTGCTGCAGCTGAAAAATGGCCATCATGAACAGGAACAGCTTTTTTACAATACTGGTGTTTTTTTCTTTCACCAGGGGAGGGCGACAGCTGGAAGGAGGAGCTGCTGGAGTTGGCCCGCTCCAAACAGGAACGCACCATGTCGGAGCTACGTTGCCTCCGCCAGGTGAAGTATTTCACACGTGCAGCAAACAACATTAAGAGGAGGGAATAAAGAATGAGCCACAGTTATTATCCAACACAGTTTTATGAAATTGAACTTTTGAAACTGTTAGAGGATGCCGGTTTCCTCATTCCTCCCAATCAGTCTGTTGTTGATGTTAGGTGATTTTCTGGTCGAGCAGCATACCTCAGAGGGATCCTTCAGTGTCTGAACTTCAGCTGAGTGACTCTGGGTCACTGTCATGACCATTACATGTTCAACCACACTAATGTAGAAGAATTGGTTCTGTGAAATCACTGTGACTGCTCTTCAAGACAAATAATACTCAAGTTTTCTGAGATCTCCTTCTGCAAGAGCTCTGTATATCTGTGATAACAGACTATGCTCACTTTGAGGGATCCAGTAAAATTAAAGGATTTAAGTCAAACACCCTCTGTTTTATTCAGAGATAAAGATGCTCCAACTGCTGTTTGATTTCTGCCTTTAGGTGTCGGATGGTTTCTTTCTTATAATGTAGATATAATGACGCTGTTTTACAGGTGTGTGAGAATCAGAGGAATGATCTGCAGCTGCTCCAACAGAACCTAGAAAGTGCCAGAGAAACCCTGCGGGAGAAGACTGCTCAGGGATTACCTGGCAGGTAAGTCCTGTGCAAGAAAACATGACCACAGGGGCGGATCTATGAGGTCACCAGGGGTGACCTCATAGATCATAGATCCCCAAATCTGGTCGGCCACCCTTAAATCCTTCGCTGTTATTGTATTTTTGCACATCCTTTTTTCTTCTTAAAAAATGTTTGTTGTTCCTGAAAAATTACATGCTGAAGTGCTTTCCTAACATATGGGTAATAATGATGACTATCTAAGAGAATAAAATATTGATATTGTGCGAGTTAGTTAGCCGTAGCAGCCCTCTGAGAGATGATTCGGCACTTTTGAAAAGTGACGCCCTGAGATTTAAGTAAGAGTTAAAAAAAATCATTCTAGCTTTTTCCTCATCAGGTTACTCATCAACTAAACATGCATATTTTCTAGCTGTTATTTTGACTATTCTCTTTCAGTTCTGTAACTTACAATCTCATAGAAGTGGTGCCCTTCAAAATAAAAGCATTGTTTTAAAATGCTGAAAATAGAACTACCTAAACCCAAGACAGAAAAATATCAAGTTAAGTGTGAAAAACAATCACTGTAGGAGGTAATGTCTCCTCTTAGGAAGTTTCTGTCATGAGGATTGTGGATAAATCATAAATGGTAAGAAACAGATGACATTAAAGTTGTATACGTTTATAAATGGCGGTGTTGCTCCGCCCTTGTGAACCTATTCAAATGAAACTCAGTGTAAACGTTTTTTTTTTTGTGGAAAACAGATACTGACATCTGGGTATCACACACAAGTATACATGATTTGTTTTTGTCTTTTGTGTTTCAGTCAGGAGGAGTTGAGAGGTGGTTATGCGGAGGATAGGTCAACTTCATCTGTGAGAGGAAAAAACTTCAGACCGTCACATGATGGTGTCACTCCACCTGCAGCAAACCAGCAAAGACCCTCCAACAGTGAGCAGAGAGTCTTCTCAGCACACTGGATGGATGTAAGGCTGAATGAAACAGACCTCCCTTCACAACATTTCACCCTCCTCCAAACATGTTTGTCTGATTGTTTTCAGAAGTTTCAGAGTTTTCTATTCTCCCCTCTTTAGGGTGATGATCCTCTGTCCAGCCGGTCTCTTCAGCAGCTGTTAGATGAGTCTAGGCAGGTCATCAAGGCCAGTTCAGAGCGTCCAACCTCTGACCCTCTTCACTGTCACTGTTGCCAGACCTCCCCCCACCACCACCACCCAACCCCCTCCACATACAAGGTAGAGAAGTTTCATCCATTTGGATACTCTGGGTGTGGCATCAAAGGTGTAAAATGTTTGGTTAAACTCCTTTCAGTTTGGGTGTGTAAAGACATAACAGCTTGATTTCTCTTTTGCCTAACAGGTCGGTGAAACTCCACCCAAATCCTGCCCTCATATCAGTGCCAGAAAAGACATGTGGATGAGCTGACATTGACTGAAGCTGTTTTAATTCCAGTATTTTAAAAAACAGTTTTCAACGTCTGTGTCACCGCAGAACTATAAAGTGTTAAACTCTTCCGCCTCTCAGGGAAACAATGAAGTGTTAAAAATACAAACTCTCATGAATTCTTGTTTTTTGTGACTCTTGTTTCAAATTAAAGGCTCTGTGTTTCATATATTGATCATCTCTTGGGGGTGTATATTTCCAGATTTAAGTTTTTCGTTTTTTAACTCTGTGTCTGATTTGTAAAGGCTGTATTGTGTGGAGTAGTTGAGATGTCAAAACCAGTCCTACAGGGCTGTTAGGTGGTGTGTCCTTGTTTTGTCTTTCCAGTTTCACTGCCTACAGATCTGCAGAGTGACTCAGATGAAATGTGGATAGCTGTTTTAAAATAGTTTTTACTCTTCATTTGTAACTTTTTCAAAATTTTTCCACCGTGAATATAAAATATTTATATAAAAACTGCTTTTGTTTGAGTTTTATTATCTTATAATATCGGTCTTTCACTGATGCAGAACAGATTTGGAGATTTGTTTTCCTTTTGGTCACGTTTTTACGCAGTTGGAGAATTTTTGCGCAGAAGAAAAGCAGCTTTATTCGTGTCTTCCAACGAGAAAACTGTCGATTTTTAATCTAAAGGCGATCATCTGAGGAGGGATATTTTGGGAACATGCGCGCATCGCGTCTGACGCACCCATTATTGTTGTAAAGACGCAGCAGAGCGCACAGGTGAGGAGGAGCTGACACCTGGAGCAGAAACACTCCGCATTAAAACATCAGAGTTAAAGTTTGTGTGGAGTATATCGGCAAGATGAGCAAAAACAAGAACAAAGGTGATAATAAGACGGAAAAGGCTTTGGCTGCGGAGAAAGAGCAGTTTGGGAAACAACAGGTGAGTAATTCTGGTTTTATTGAACCTTCATTTAACCAGGTACCAAAAATATAAGTGAATATGCGCTACCATAGTATAACGTTAGATCTCATTTCTGACATTAGTGACATACTGAAAATGATATTTTGTGGAATTTTTACGATTGATGGTTGTAAAATCCTTTGTGTGTGTGTGTGTTGATTTCTAAACTACCCTGTCTTGTTCCGTTTACCTATCTGTTTTTTCCTTTAGCTTCACAGTATCAGCAAAACCGTGGCCTCCACTGAAACACCACCTAAAGAAAAATATGTCCGCCGTATCCTTTATTTTGGTTTTACTGAGTTAGTAGATTAATTTCAGAGGACTTGAAAATATCGCTTCAGTTAAAGTTATACTGTAACTATGGGTGGCTTTCGCTAATGCTAATGTCACCATGCTTTTGTGTTGTTTTCAATATGTAGGTGCCAACAAACTGTATTTGATTTTTTTCAAGTAGGACTTTTGGTTGTTGAAGTTTTTATTTTTAATTCTTTATCACTCTGAGTGAAAAAAAAAGGTTAAATAATGTGACTGTATTAGCTTGTATGGAAGCCCTAAGTTGTCCTACACCCGTACATTTTGTCATCTCTGTATTCCTGCCATACTGCGTTGTTTTCTGGATGTTTACTCCAGGATCATTAAGACTTATTTCACTCATTTACTTGAGATTTTAAAGTCTGTTTCTTCTAATGATTATATAAATTTCCCTGGTTTCTATAAAACATTATGAGCTGGTGAGTGTGATAGGCGAGGCTGCCATTGTTGACATCAGTTGGGCACATAGACTGTATATAGAATGGACGCCGTCTGCCTTCTCACTGGTTGAAGCCATTCCGAGAACAGCACCCTCTGTAAAAGCTTATGGAGCTGTGGACAAACTTTAGAAATTAGTCACACAGAATATAATTTTTTCTCCCCCCTGCTTGTGATGTTGACATGTAGTTATTGAGAGACTGGTTTGTGCTCCAGTCCTCTTTTTTTCCTGTACAGCTCCATTTGTAAAAGTTATTAGGGGGTTCATGTTTTCTATGATTGACACTTGATACAGCCTATGGGCGTACGAAGATTGCTAAGCTCACCCAGGGGATACGCTGTTTGAGCCGAGCGTCACCACAGCGACTCTCGGTGACTCTCCCACCAAATGCGTACATTGCTACTGTGCAATGTTGGTTTCAGGAAATAGAGAGAAAACGCAGAACTACCGTGAGCTTTTCGGCTTCAAATTCGTACACTGGCGGAAGACAGAGCCAAGTTGTCCATTGTATATACAGTCAATAGTTGGGCACCTTTAGTCCATCTTTATGGTTTTACCTGCTTTACAACCACATGGACTCAAGTTGTGGTCATTTGTAGTCAAGTCATGATCCAGACAAAATAAGTTAAAATAACTAATTGGCACAGGAAATAAAATGTATAAGTGCACGTACAATTGATGGTAGACTTTTCAAAGCATGTAGGGCGATGCGGGTCTCTGATTATTTTATTCTAGGCCTTGACTAACTTTTTTTCACAAGGAGCACATGTGTTCCTAAATTGAAAAAGTAAGGAGCACAAAAAGAACTTTAGGGGCACAATGAAAATTGATCAAATAATGTTTGTCTTATTGGTCAACAAAAGTACAATTATTTGAAATCAATTTTCAGTCAATTGGTCACGTGACATGGAAGCTATTGGAGGAAAACAGTCTTTTTTGAGAACATCAACCAGTAATTTATTGATGGTCCCTTATTCAACACCCGATGTTGACAGTGAGGGTGCTGAGTAGATTTAACCGCACTGCTGTTGCTAATCCAACCTAAAACTAACTTCACCATGGTATTTACATGAAAAAACATTTGTTGCCTCGGCAGATTTTTTTAAGCGCACATGTGCCCCTAAATACATTTTACAATTCGCATACATCTATTTTTAGTCGCTGTATATCATCCCTTGAGCAGCTTAGACAGGATGTTATTTGTTTATTTATTTTTTATTGGTGTTTCAGCAATTTACTTTATCATCCTACCCATTCCTCCTGTCACTCAGTATCTAGACTACATCCTGATCAGCTTGTGGGAGACTATAATGCTAATCAGTGCCTTACTCATGCACATGGCTGTTCATAAATCCTCTTTCCACCTGTTCAAGAGTCACCCTTTTACCTGCCTTCCTGAAGTTGTTGAAACATCATTGAAACAACCATGAAAACTAACATCAGCAGTCAGCCCAGTTTAGACTTCATCAGCTCTTTGTTAATGTTGAGTGAGAGTTATTGCAGCACCATTGTGAGGTTCCTTAACAGCTATGAAGACATCATCATGGGGACACATAAGGAGGGCGGAGCTACAACCTTCTGGTCCTACATCCTGAACCTGCCTCTCTCCAGCAACTCCATGGTCAGCTGGAAGTTCTGCTACCTGCTGCACAAAGTGCTTCGAGATGGACACAGAAATGTGAGTACATGGTTTTCAGTCTGGCTGTTTACGTCTCTCTTGATCTCCTTCATGCTGCTGATGTAAATCTGTCATCTGTCCTGCAGTGTGTTCGAGATTCTCACAGATACTGTCACAACGTCAAAGATATGGGCATTCTTTGGGTGAGTAGCAGAGAGTACAACTTTGTAAAAGGCTTCTAGTCCTTGTATGTTTTTGAGAAACATTGGAAACACCGGATGAATACTCATGCTGATAACTGAATGAATAAAACCATAACATCTTTAATTTTCTTCAGGGGAACTTGCATGATCGTTACGGCCACATTGTTGCTCTGTCAGCCAAATACCTCTGCCTCAAGATGGATTTTCATGCAAAGGTGACTGATGAATATTTGTTTGACTGTAACATGATAACATGCGATTATTTCATGATAGTTTGTTGGTTGAATTACGAATGAAAAAACTTTTCCACAGCATAAAGTGATCCCAGGACACATGGAGATCAGCGACGAGACTCTGGAGAGGGAAGCCGGAAATGACATGACCAAAGTGTGAGTTTTCTACCTGCATCTATTTCTGCATAAAACAGCATTTCTCATTAAAGGTGGTGTATTCGGGATCTGAGGAAGTGCCAGTTTTTGGGAGAAATCTTGAATGTAAACTCTACCCCTCCCAACCAGTCCCAACTCAGCTCCTCTTCTCTGCTCCAGCAAGCCCCGCCCACAAACAGACGCTCCTGCTCGCTCGTATCTTTCCAATTAAATTCAGATATAATACAGATAAATACTTCAGGTAATTACAAATGGGACCCAGTCAGCGTTCAAGTAAAATGCATTGGTGCTATGGTAGATGCCAACAGACTACAAGCAAACACAATGTTTGCAGGACTTCTACAACTAGGATAAAGTGACATAGTCCAGGACCCAAAGTCAACAGTTTAGCGGCGCTACAACACGCAGCAGGTCCCGTTTGACAAGAAACACTTCTGTTACAGACACTTGGCTTACTTTGTTAAAGCGGTTTACCTGTCCAGCAGAAAGGTTACAGGGTCCAGAAGATCCTGAAGTGTTCACTGATGTTGATCTGGCTTTTCTAGCTCTTGTCTGGTCTACCTCCTTTTTAAGCGCCCGTTATTCTGCCAGAGTCTCTGGTATTTACTTTGTGTTATTGCTTGTGTTTTCCGTACCTGCTGGTTGGCTTCTACCGTCTGATATTGTAGTACGGTAACTCTGTTTGGGTTTTCGGATGTTATCCAAGGACGTGGAGCGTGCCTCACAACACGAGGGAGCAGCGTCTGCCTCACAACCAGTCAGGTTGGGGGAGGTGGAGAACGGCTTTGTTTACATTTAGAAAGAGCGGGCCGCTCAAAAATGTTAAAATGTTGACTACACAGACATAACAAAACACAGCGATATCGTTTTATTACCAAACGTCATCAATAACTAAAAGCTATTGACTGTCTATTAGGACACTGTCTGACTATCAAAAGCTTTGTCGTATATACATCACAAAAAATATGCTTCTTTAACGGATTCCTGCCTACCCCACCTTTAATCTTGACAATTACATAATTGTTTGTTTGCTTGTTTTGTAGGTTGGATATGACACAGGAGCTGCTGGAGTGTCTGCAAGCTGGACTGAAGATGTCTGATACCGGTGAGTCCAGTTCTACATCGAGGGTTTCTTAATGTTGTGAAACTGCAGAAAAACACCAGACTTTGCTGCTTTGAAACTTTTGCCGTGTTTTCAGTTTTCAGTCAGATGGACGCCAACGGAGCCAAATCTACGACCCCGGCTGGACAGTGCAGACTGACGCCTCTGATCCCGCTCATCCAGGACTGCAGCTTTCTCTACCACTTCTCAGTCCTGCTGATGTTCAAACTCCACAGCCGTGAGTGACGTTGAAACATCAAAATCATTAAATTGAAACTTTAATAAGTTTGACAATAAACCTTTTTTAATCTTCTGTTTTTTCAGGCATAGCTCCCGATATTCTTCTCGGACATAGAGAGCGGTTTCGTGACCTCTTCACAGGGTAGGTACTGATATGAGACTTTTATTCCCCATATAACTGGACCCATTTCATGTGAAGTCTTAGTGATAGTCGGGTTTTCCTCTGCAGTCTCACACAGTTCTTTGACCGAGCCAGAGAGATAGAGTTCTTCAAGACCATCATCCGCATCCCTGATCTTCCAGATGTAAGTTCGTGGTTTTCCGGCATGTTTCCTCTTTAATGTGTTTAAAAAAATCAAGCATATATATTTTATTTTAAACCTCACAGGCTCCTCCAAACTTCCTCCGTGCCGCTGCGCTGGGGGAGTATAAAAAAGCGGTGGTGGTGATGCCGAACGAGGAGCGCCAAGACGAGGAGGAAGTGGAGGCTCAGCCGGAGTTTAGAGAAACACAACAAATCCCACAGGTATCCACACACAGAGATGGTGCAGTATTCTGCAGCTGAGGTGCATCATATCCCCACGTATTTACACCTTTAAGAGACAAGTAGCGGGTCCAGAGTTTATTCACTCACTAAAGCGAATGTTAGAGTCAATTTTGCACAAACTGCATATCATCCAAATCTTGAATCAGTACCAGGCCCAGAGCTCAAATCTCCGTTTGTTTCAGTACTATCTGCTGAATCAGATGGGAGGACCTGATCCTTTGGTGGAGCAGAGAGAAACCGAGAATGACAGTCTGAAGAGAGAGCTGGAGGTTCTCAAACCAGAGTTGCAGCTCATCAAGACTGAGGTTAGTTTGGTTAAAAGTCACACCTCAAACATTATCAATTTAACCCTCATATGATAAACTTCTCTATTCCTCTCTCCTCAGGCTCAGAAGGCCGTGGTTGAACTGAAGTCTCAGGTGAATCGTCTGGAAGCCGAAGTGGAGGAGCAGCGCACTCACAAACAGATGGCCATGATGGAAAACGAACACCTGAAAATGGAGGTGGAGACTCTGCGGAGCGCCAACGTCGTCAGTGTCGGGGCTCAGATCGGGCTCAAGGAGGCAGACTGTGAGTCAGCAGATTTATGTTTAGGTCAAACTGATCCCACAAATCAAACAGACGTGTTTCATCTTCACCTGGTTGTCTCCACACAGCCAGAGCTCAGGCAGCAGAGCTTCGATTCACTCAGCTTAAGGAGAGACACGCAGAGCTGATCACCAGTCACGCTGATCTCATGAAGAAGGTGAGTTGTCGAACCCTTCACCGAATCTCAGGTGTTTCCAGAAGGAGTCACTCTTAAATGTCATTGGTTTTGTGTGTGTTTGTGCAGAACGCAGACACGGTGAAGCTGCTGTCCGGTGCTCAACAAAACCAAGACGATCTGCTGAGATCCAGACAGCAGCTGGAAAACGAGCTGGAAAATCTACGACAGGAGAAACGAAATATGGTGAGACCTCATCGACTTCTTATCCAAACACCTCCAGGTTCACTCAGCATAAAACAGGAAGTTTTCTCTCTTCGTTAATTTCTACGTGCTCCTTTCTTGATCAGATGAATCACCAGCAGGAGGCTGAACGTCTGAGCAAAGAGCTTCTGGAGCAAAGAGCGGAGCTGGCTCACCTCCGCAGCTCTCTGGAAACTAAAGACAGGGTGAGACAGAGTGAAAAGACGGACAATCACACGCTCATTACGTCTGTCCTCGCAGCCCTCCTTCATTCACTTGTTTATCTGTGTCTGTTTAGGAGGGATCTCAGGTGAACAGCAGCCTGGCAGCTCTGCAGGCCGAGCGGGAAGTCCTTCTGCGTTCCGCTTCAGAGAAAGACGCTGAGCTGTCGTCTCTGAGACAACAGGCCCAGTTCCAGCAGGGATCTCAGGACCTGGAGAGAGACCGGCTCAACCGAGAGCTGGAGTCTCTGAGAGCTCAGCTACAGCAGCAGGTACAGAACCGAGACAGAGCAGCTGATGAGGATCAAGCTGCTTTGAACCTTGTAGACTTCTCAGAGAGTTCAAGATGGAGATTAAACATAAGAAGCAACTTAATCTACATAAATTCTCAAAAAAATGGAGGATTATTTCTACATTTGGAAGTAAATTTGGATTTATTCATTCAGATTTTCATGGTTTAGTAGCTATGATCAAATGTTTCTTATCCTGTTTGCATTTTTTTTTAGATTTTTAACACTTATTTTCTACTATTAATGTCTTTTTGAAGCTTCTGTGTGCTTTGTAGGACATTTTCAGATCATTTCTGTTATATTATTTTAATTAAGGATCTAAAATGGTCTATTTATCAAGTTCTCTGTCAGTTATTTTTATGGATTATGGACTAATCATTTGGTCTAATTAATGTCTGGAGCATGCAAAAAATGTCTCATCGGAGCTCAAACTGAAGTGAAATGAACAAACAGCAAAAATCTGCTTATTTAAGAGGCTTAAAACTGCAAATCTTTGACAATTCGACTCATGAAAGCCTGAAAACAATTTTCAAAATACTTTGTTAATAAAATATTTTTCATGAAATATTGCTGTGTTACTTCCTAAATCTTCTGGGTAGCACTTAAACTTTCCTTACCTTCAAAGATGATGTAGAAATAAACCTTCTTTATCTTTCTTTAGCTCACCATCAACGCAGAGCAGAAGCTGGAGATCGACCGGCTGAAACGAGAGCTGGACTCGACCCGAGCAGAGCTGACGATTGCAAACAATGCCCTGAAGAGCAAAGAGATGGTTAGAAAGTTTCCTGCAGTTTCACCCTCCACGTTTTATTGAAGTAAAATGACTCACTGTGACTTTTTTTTGTGCTGATCCTCAGAGTGGGACTCACCTGAGCAGCTCTCTGGCCGGGCTGCAGGCGGAGAAGGAGGTGCTGCTGCGCTCGGTGAGGGAGAAGGATGCGGAGCTGAGCTCCCTCCGACAGCAGGCTCAGCTCCAGCAGAGCTCTCTGGAACAGGAGAGGCAAAGGAGCAGCATGGAGCTGGGGAGTCTGCACGCTCAGTTACAGCAACAGGTGCTGCTCTGTTTTCCTGCTGCAGAGTGAGACTGTTAGGATCTTCACGGTGGTTTGTGACTGAGGAGTGTGGTTTTCTTTATATCATATCAGGCGTGTCGGGAAGGAGAGCTGCTGTCCCAGAAGCTGCAGGAGGAGCAGTTCGGTCTGCTGCAGTGTGCTGTGGTGGAGGCTGAGGGCATCATACTGGACGCTGTGTCCAAACTGGACGACCCCATACACGTCTGCTGCATCAGCTCTCCAGGTAACGACCTGCCTGTCCTCTCCCTGCTGCCAAAAAACACTTTCAGCAAATAAATCGACTCTGAGCTCACAGGAGGAGTTTATATTTGACCCACAAAAACAAACAAAACAACCAGCGTTACGACTGATTATTACATTTTTTTCATAGTAGGTATAATAATAATTACTTTATTTGTATAGCACTTTTAAAAACAGAAGTTTTACAAAGTGCTTTGAGATATAGTCATAAAGCACATTGAAAAAGACAGATAAAAACAAAAAGCTCAGTTAAAATGGAATTGAAGGCCATTTTGGTGTCATAAGGAACCCAGACAATACAAGTACCATGCAACATGAAATGACACCATATTTATCTAAATATAAAACCATCTATCTATATCTACAAGTAGACTTCTTCTCATCCCTCTCAGTGGAACAATCTGTTATGTTTACTTTGTTTGAACACGTGCACAAGACAAAATCAGCAAAGACAGGTACACATTTTTGTCCACAGAGGGCGCCAAAATCAACGTAACTTTAAAATTCCTCACGAGACTGATATTATTGAGTTATTTATCCATCAAAACAACTTTTAGGTGCTGTAAAAACTTTTTTTTAAAAGGATCAACGATCGTATTTTAGTGGTTAAAGCTCCTGTTGGACAAAGCTGTAATCTTTATTATCCTTTTTACCAGTCATATTTGTGCTTAAATGTGTACTCAGCTTTTTCATTCCAGTTTTCTCTCTCCTGTTTTCTTCCTGTGGTTCAGATTATTTGGTGAATCGAGCTGATATCACTCTGGGTTCGATTGACAAAATGCAGCAGAGTCACTCGGTCTACCTGGGGAACAAGAGCGGTCAGTAAAATGTGTGTGAGTGTAAATTTAAGTTTCGTGTGTTTTTGAGTAAATTTAATCCTCTTCCATTAAACCTCCAGATGCGAGTGGTTTACTGAGAGCGGTCACACAGTTCTCCCACCTCGCCGCTGACACCATCGTAAATGGAGCGGCAACGTCACACTCCGCCCCGACCGACCAGGCTGACCGTAAGAGACGTTAACTCACATCAGCTGATCGGAGAGTTTCTGTACAACCACTGAACACGTCTGTCTGTTTTCTTCAGGTTTGACTGACGGCTGTCGGGACTGTGCGAATCACTGTCTTCAGTTCTTGAAGGATTTAAAGTTTCAGGCGAGTTTACCGAGAGCTGACCCCTCTGCAATCCGCTACACCGTCCAACGACTCCTCGCTCTGGGACAGGTGAGACAGACTTGACCTTTACATGTTTCTTCAACGTCAAAGTTAGTTAAGCTGGAGAGCGTCAGGCTTGGAAGGAAACCTTGAACATATGTGATCCTTGTTTAGGATTTGCGACCTAAAGGACAGGATGTGAATAAAGAGGAGCTGGGATCCATGGTGGACAAAGAGATGATCGCTACATCCACCGCCATCGAAGAGGCCGTGCTGAGGATGGATGTGAGGAAACACAGACATCATCACAAAGAAAAAAAGTTAAAAACCTTCTTTTTAATTTTAATCATGTCCTTTTTTATGCTTTTGTTTCTCAGGAAATCCTGAATCAGGCAAGAAGAGACACCACAGGTGTGAAACTGGAGGTCAACCAGAGGTGAAACAAACGCTGTGGCATCTTAAACATCTTAAGTTTCTCTCTCCTTTTCTTTTCTTTATGAGCTCTAATCTGATTCATTTCTATCCTCACAGTATCCTGGGATCCTGCTCAGACCTGATGAAGGTAAGAAGTTTGTCTGTTTCTGAACTAATTTAAGAACTTTTGATAAACTGAGACTCATGATCTCTTCTGCTCTCCTCTCTGGTCTCTGCAGGCGGTTCATATGCTGGTGACAGCGTCGACTGACCTGCAGAAAGACATTGTGGAATCAGGAAGGGTGAGTCAAGAGTGTGAGAAAGTGTCACCTGAAAACAACAACAACAACAGCAGTCATATTAGATTGAAAAATATCGACTTTTTAGTATCTATCTGTCATTTTCTGATCTGTGTGACTGTACAAAATGGAGTTTATTTTATTGTTTGTGTTTTAAAACAGTCCTGAATTTGTTTTTTATCTTTGTTGAAACTCTGAGCAGAAATCATTGTTTATAACAGAAGTTTTCTGTATTTTTTCCTTTCAGGGTGCGGCTTCTGTCCCTGAATTTTACGCCAAAAATTCTCGCTGGACAGAAGGACTCATATCCGCCTCTAAAACTGTGGGCTGGGGCGCCACACAGCTGCTGTAAGTGTCACCATCAACACATGATTTTATATTATCTTTATTTTTTTGTGATTTTGAGAAGGTTATGCATGCTTTTATCACAACTCATTTTGATTATTGCAATGCACTTTATTTTGGTGCCAGCCAAACCTCTTTTTTGTTATTAACTTTTAAATCTCATAAAAACGGGCTTGCTCCTTTTTATCTCTCTGACCTATTTTAAAACCCTATATTTCATCTCGGACTCTCAGATCCTCTGACCAGTGCCTTCTGACTGTCCCTAGGACCTAATCACATTTGAAAACGCACTTTTACTCCCTGGCTTTTAACTCCTGAAATGTGTTCCTGTGTCTTTGTTTTATTGTTCATGTTAATTATCTGTCTTTATTGTTTTTTAAACCCTTTAGGGACTCTGCAGACCGGTTTGTGGGGGATAAGGGGACACACGAGGAGCTCATCGCCTGCTCTCATGAGATCGCTGCGAGCACCGCCCAGCTGGTTGCCGCCTCAAAGGTACAAATCCTAAAATCAAATAAGTCAGTTTAAGGATTCGGATATAGAAAAGTGATGACTGTGTCTGAACTTCACCACAGTTTAAAGGATATTAAACAGATTCATTCCTTAATCGTGGAGGTTATTATTCTTTAAACTTGCTGTTGTTGTTGTTGTTCGCACGTATTTCAGGTGAAAGCTGATCGTAACAACAAGAAGCTCTTCACGCTGCAGCAGGCGTCAAAACACGTGAACGACATGGCAGCTGTGGTTGTCACCTCCACCAAACATGGGCAGAGGAGGACCTCAAATGGTGAGACTAGAAAACTTGACAACTCTGATGACATGAAACTTCCAAAAACCAAAATAGAAAAACTTAATATTATCTGAATATTCGATGTTATCACAGGTGCAATGGACTTCTCTGGCATGTCTCTGATTAAGCTGAAAAAAGAGGAAATGGAAGCTCAGGTGAGTTTTTAAAGATCCAAAATTTACCATCTTGGTTTCTCACTTTTCTCCAATTATCTCATTTTCTACACTAGAAGGACACCTAAGGAAGCACTTCCTTCAAATTTATCTGCTATAAGAAGTATTTCCGGTCACATTTTTTCCACTTTATTGGAAAGAAACAGACATGATTGAGTACATTTTCTCATGTTGGGGAACTTTCCTTTGCTAGTTGACGATGTCCCGACGATGTCCCCTTCTGTGTCTCTCAGGTGAAGGTGCTGCAGTTGGAGAGCCAGCTGGAGCAGGAGCGAGTCCGTCTGGGCGAGCTGAGGAAGAAACACTATGAGTTCAACGGAGCTGAAGCCGAGGATGAACCAGACAGCTTCCCACCGCCTCCACCCCCAACTCTGCTGGACTTCACCTCTCTACCTCAGTCCTTTTCACAAACACAGCCTTACCTGAACACCCAGAATATCACCTCGACCAATCCGTTCACACCGGCTCAGACTTACACACCGACACACACCCAGTCCTACACGCCTCCTCAAAGCTACACTCCCTCCAGCTCCTACACCCCATCTCAGAGCTTCACATCCTCCCAGCCCTATGTCCCATCTCAGCCCTATGTCCCGTCTCAGCCTTATGTCCCGTCTCAGCTGTACACACCAAACTCATCCCAAAATTACCTAAACCCACAGTCCCACTCACTGTCACAGCCGTCATCAAACCCCTCACAGACTCCGGCTCAGACCAGCACACAAAGCCCCAAACTGTCCATCAGAAAACCCAGCATCTTCACCAAATCTGGGAACCGTCTGAAAAATGCGGTAAGAGCTGAAATACATCTTTTTGACCAGAATATTCGCTAAAAACACACCCTAAATATGAAGATAAATGTTCTGTAGACTGTGTTTAAATTAGTATTTTCTATTTTTGTTACAGTTCAAACGAGGAGAAACTGGAACTGGAGATTCATGAGGCCTGACAAAGTGGATCCTGATATTTTAATAACCATCACTGAAACCTTTAACATGCTTTTAACATGTTGAAACAGTTTTAAGTTCTTTTCTAATCTGTCTGTAAACAATATGTCTTAAATATTGCAATCAAACTGGAACCTTACAGGATATTATGCCTCATTTTTCTGTTGTATATTAATTTGATTCTCGAAATATATAAAAACAAGTGAACATATCCGACATTTCTTTCTGTATTAAAGCTCTAAAATCTCTTCTTTATCCTCTCTAAGCACAAATAATTCAAACAGCTCTTACTGCCTTCCTCTAAATAAACGTCCAATTGTGTGTTTTTCAAGTGTCAGTGCAGTAGCTGTTAATCTATTCTCACAGCGACCTCATCCGTCTGTTATTTCTGACATGCGCAAAATAAACTGCAATCTCACCACCATGAAAGTAGCCGCTGTCGGCACCGAAGCGGAGCGTCAAGTGTGATTTAAAAAAGCGGAAACATACCGGAAGTGACTTCATTTTCTTTCAAATTAAGAGCAGAAAATTATAAGTAATTGTAAGTAATTTGCAGGATAATAAAGTCCGAGGCATGGGCGCCATGTAGTATTACCATAGACTGTATAAAGAATGGACAGTCTGCCTCCTCGCTGGGTGAAGCCAATCCGAGAACAGCACCCTCTGATGGTGGGCTGCAGTATATCCCGCCTCCGCCAGCAAAGCTTATGGGACTGTGGACCAACTTTAGAAATTTATTACACAGAACATAAATTTTTCTCCCCCCGGCTTGTGATGTTGGGGGGGGGGGGGGACCCGGAATTACCGAGAGCTTTTTGGCTTCAAATCTGTATACAGGCGGATAGGAAGGCGGAACCAGGTTGTCCATAGTATATACAGTCTATGAGTATTCCTCACTGCAACATTTTGGAGTAATGTATTTAAGTGTTGTACACGAACATCCAAAGTATGTCCGAATCAGAAATACTTTAATAATCCCCAAATACTTTAATACTTTAATAATTAATAATTTAAATACTTTAATAATTTTTCTTCTCCCTTCTTTCCTTTTTCTAAATTTTTTTCTTAATTATTACATTTATTTAAGTTCTTAATATTATGATCTTTATTTTTATAACTGCATTTTTGCACTCTGTCTGTGATGCTGCTGTGATAAAAAAATTTCACCCATGGGGGATCAATAAAGGAATATTCTATTCTATTCTATTCAAGGGGAAATTGTTTTTGTCACAGTACTACATTGCAAATACAGTAAAAAGAGGAGATAAATAATAGATGAATAATAGATGAAATAAGTTTAAAAAAAAGTTAAAATAAAGAGATGAATGGATTACATGAGCAAAATAAGTCAAAATAAAGAGAGAATATACAAGTATGTACCAAAGACTGTATACAGAATATAAATAGAAAATATAGAATATTGTATATACAGTCTATGGTATGTACACTATATACAACACAAAAAATGTACATAGTATGCATTGTATAAACATCATTAAAATGATTTATTTGACATTTTATACCTTTACTGCACCACAAAACTGTTGAGTAAATACTTGAGTTCAAACACTGGAAAAGGATTAATGTCTGAGAATTTTGATTTCATAATTCAGAAAATAAATTCATCCATATTTCAGCATTTTTCCCCCCTTGCCTAAAAAATCTCTTTGCAATCTTTAATTTTTTGATTTTGTTAAAAAAAATCTTGAACTGAAATGTTCGTAAAATTGTCAATACAACTTTTTCTACGGTTAAATTAGCTCACACACTTAGCATTTACAGCAGCAGAATTTATTGAAACCTTATTTTTTCAGTCTGTTGGTAAAATAAGGTTTCAAAATGCTATATATTTTTTTATCTGACCTTAATTGTATTTTCGTGAATTTGTACTACCACGAGCTCATACTACTAGTAGTAAATGCATTATCATAATTAACATAATTGTACCCAATACTTTAAGTAGTAGCATTTCTCTTTATATAGCTATACACTTTTGCAACGCGTTTGACAGTGCTAGTTTTATTCTGAAAAGTGTAGCCGGAAGTACAGAGTGAAAAATGGCAGAGTTTATAGTTGTGGTCACTCGTTCATAGACGGACAGGACGGGACCGCGATGGGCCATAATCGATGTTTATCTCTAATAAATCAAATTACAGCACAGACTCTATCTTCAGTGATGGAAAAGCGATAGTTATTGTGTTTTAGACTGTTTTAATGTGTATTTATCTGTAGTTTATGAAGGTAAAGCGGTAGAGCTGAGCTAACTTAGCAGAATTGTTCTGCCAGGGGAAGGAAGTTTGTCTGCGGCGGAGGAAACAGCGGAGGAAGCCGGGCAGGGCCGAACTATCCCGACATGGAGGACTCCGGCTCGGCCCTGGAGAAGAACGTGGCTGACCTGACGGTGATGGACGTGTACGACATCGCCGCGGTGGTGGGCCAGGAGTTCGAGCGGATCATAGACCAGTACGGCTGCGAGGCTCTGTCCCGGCTCATGCCCAAAGTGGTGCGGGTCCTGGAGATCCTGGAGGTGATGGTGAGCCGGAATAACATCAGCCCGGAGACCGAGGAGCTGCGGCTGGAGCTGGACAAGCTGCGGCTGGAGCGGATAGACCGGCTGGAGAAGGAGAAGAAGCACAGGAAGGTCTGTCTCTGTGAAAGCACAGGCCTGATGGGTCCAAACCTGGTCCTGGATTTACCTCTGCCATTGAATCTTACTAATACAGAGTTAAACTGATCTGACAGCTTAAGAAAATTTACTAATTTAAGGTTTAACCTACAAAATGTATTCAGTTTCCAACACTGAGCTTTGGATTTAACCATGCAACAGTTTGGAGTTGCAGAGATGAGCTCTAGATCCAGCCTCTGTTTCATTAAAGCTCCAGTGCGAAGTTTTTAGCAGGTTGTTAAACATGCTAATATTAATACGAATGCTTTGTTTTGGCTTAGAAATGTAAATAAGAGCACCAGCATGAAGCTTCACTGTTTATTTGGGGTATTTTTTATTACCTAAAGCGGGGTACACACATAAAGATAATCAGGCTATTTCTGTCCCGATTTGCCCCCTCGCGACCAAGGATGGCAATCTGAAGATTATCTTGTGTCTTCTATGATGATCCTTTAAGATTATCCAGTGGTCTGAGGTGTATTAAGAGTGAATTTGTACCGATAATTGGGTCCGAAATGGGTCGGGGCCGACAATCGTAAATATTAAACTTGTTCAATATTTACGACCAAAAATCTTCACGTTTGTGGAGAAAGCCAATGACTCCCAAGTCATGACTCCGTGAGTTGTCACGTGAAACAGAATGTAGCCAATCAAGAAGCGAGCTGACTGAGGAACAAGGAATTAAATAAAGCCAATAAAAAAAGCATTTATCTAAAGATATAAAGATTTATTTGTGTTACTAGGATAATCACACCAGCCATTAGCTTGATTTAAGATCAACTCACCTCTAGCTTGCTCAGTAGACTATAAAGGGTACGATCAAAACTGTTCAGTGCCTGATTTTTTTACCTTCATGTGTGGGGTCTGTAACAGATAAAAAATCTCTTCAGATGTAAAAAATCCTTATGTGTGTACCCCGTCCAAGACAGGTGGAGCAGGGTTGGTGTCAGAGAAAGAGATTGATAACAGATGGGGAGCGATTACAGGCTTTCTTTTTAACATTTTTAACACCTTAAAATGTTGATTAATGATGCATGGAGAAGGAAACAGGATGACATTTGTGGTAAATTATACTATGAATGCATCGGCAAGACAAAAACAGGAAAGAAGGAAGGGGGCCTGGCTGTCAAAGAGCACCCTGTACATGCAGGTCATGTCTTCAGTGCTTAACCTTAGTTTGATTCTGACCCATGACTCTTTTCTCAGCCTGCCTACTCAAATAAAGGCACAGTGAATAGTAAATGGGAGATCTGGCAGTCAGATTTCGGGTTTAAATGCCCCCTTGCTCACTCCTTTCATTGAGGTCAAGAAGCTCCTGTGATGCATGAGAAGTCTGTTTTTATCATTAGAAACAGTACAAATTCATTTCTGCACAACAATAGCTGCTCTCTTTCACTCCTTTGTTTGTATCTGGAGTTGCGTTCAAATGCATGCAGCCACTCACAAGATATAAAAATGTGTAAAAGAAAAAAAGACTAGTTTGTCCTTTCTGTGCCACAGTAGAAAGATGGTGGCCCCTGCAGAAGACGACCTGCTCCTAAATAGATATCTCAGGCTCATTCTAACTTCTCAAAGACAAAAGGATTTTTAACCCCACTGTGTTTATTTAATTGTTTAAATTTCTTTGATTTCACCCCTAAAACAACTAACCACTGCCATAATGTGATCATAAATCATAACCCATGTGTTTCAGTGATGTTCCTGATTACAGGCTCATCTCTGCTCATCTCTGCTGGGATTAATGCAGCGTTTTACAGCTTCTTTTAATGCGTTTTGCTTGTATTAAGTGATCAATTTTTGCTTGACTGCAGTTTTGAAAATATTATTTTGATGGACTTTAAGGCTCCAGAATTTAACCTTTCTAAAAGAGAGACTCTTTAAGGGATTCAAACTTTAAATTTCATTACATTTTCCTCTGAAATACTGCGATTTTTATCGGTAGACATTTTAATTTAAGTAGTCTAATATAGGACTGATATGACAAAGTATCTTTACACTGCTGTATCTTTGGTTCTACACATTGAAGAGCTAAATACTGGTTGCATATGTGCTTGGTTCTTTATTTTAATGATATATGTCATATCATCGGTGTGACTGATATAATATTCCTGTGGTTTTTCATAAATGTAGGTATGTGACATGCTTACAAATTAGAAAATGAATATTGAGATATAGACACAAGTATGGTTGAACTTAATTTTTATAGTTTTAGAAAATCAGACATATTAAATAGTTGCATTTGCAGATTTGAAATCATATAATATGCAAATCTGTCTGTATTATTGGCCTTGAGTTTATCCTTTCTTATATTTCATTTCTTTTTTTACACTCTAATGGCCATGATCCTCTCATGCCTTCTGCCTTTTAAGTTGGTTATGCATGCATCCTTTTATACACAGGTTTTAGCAGAACCTTTCAATCCTGAATCAGCTGGTCAATAAATACAATCAAGACCTTGAGCTGACTCCATGCAGACCTGTGGTGTTGGAGAGTTATCGCTTCAGATTTGAGAGTTTTCCATGTGAAACTGTTGGTCTGTAATCTGACTGTGTGCTCCCAGTCAGAGCAGAAAAATCCACTTTATCACGCTCATGAGACACAGTTAATCAGTGTTGACCGCTGCTCAGTCAGCGTCACGAGAAACTCACACATGAACTTTTTTATAGCAGCAAGCAGACTGTGAGCTTTACAACCACAACAATGATCTCAGAGTTTCTGTGAGTTTAAAGTCAGTTTTTTTTAAGTCAGCCCGCAGTTAATTATTATTTTACTTTTATTACTGAGCAGACTGCAGGAGCTTTTTTTCTGTTATCAACATATCATACAATTGTCACTTGGTATGTGAAATAATCCTGTAAAACACCAAGTCTTCAAAATAACACAAACAAATGAGCCAGGGCAGCAATAAGAGGTAACATTGGTGTTTTTGTAAATAAAAGTTTCAAATTAAAGCCAAGAGTTATTTCTGTGATATTTTCACACGTCAATCAATTGAACCAGAGATGTGATTTCTCCAAACCAAAATGGAGTCCTGTATTTTCCGACCCAAAGAGGTGACCCTTGAATCCTACATAACGACATGTTTCGCATAAAGAATGTAATACACTTAAAAGTAATACGAAGAAATTTTCAGAGGAGCTACAGGCTGAAATGTGATGAAACTTTAAATTTTTAATGTTAGTGTTGAGCTTGACTTTAGTGTATTTAGCCGTGTTAGCCATTTGTGTTTATTAGTAAGTTGTATTACACTTCAACGCACCATCCTCCATTAGCCGTTAGCTAACGGTACAGCTAGCGCCGTTATGCTAATACAGTGTAGTCTGGTTAGCGCTTAGTTTCCGCCCGTCTTCGTGACGACGAACAGTTTAACTAGTTTAAAAGTCACCCAAGGGAAGATTTATTCACTTCTAATAAATCAGTGCTCCTTATCCAGGTAATAAGGCAAAGTTTTTTCTTTGCTTGTTGTGAAGATTTTAGCTCAACGGCTTTTGTTTCCATGGTTACCGGATGTGTCAATCACTGGAATTTTCTTGTAACTTCCAGTTTATCAAATTTAAAATTACATCGAAAAAGCTTTTTGACAGTTTGCGTTATAGAAATAACTCACATCTTAAATTTTGTTTAAAAATTGTGTTTAAACGTGCTTTTAAAAATATCACATTATCTGAGCTATGTGTATTTATTATTGCTTAAGTGTCCGATGACAGTCATCCCTGAAATATGCTTGATTAACAGTTAATATTCAGTCACTTTTAAGCTTTTAATCTCAATAATGTCCATCTGACTGCAGCCCAGATTGTGTAATCTTGTATCCTTCCCATAATCTGATGACTAATCGGAAACAATCACACACATCTGACAAATATAACCTCAGAGTGTGTGAGAGAGGAGGGATATTTTCCTGCTGAGCCAGGGAAACATTTCTTATTGGTTGTCAGCATGTGGGACAAATATAAACAGGAACTATCGTCTAACGTTTCAAAGGAAAAATACAACACTTATATCTGTTTTAAGTGTTTCAAGCCTTATTTGCTTTATCATGTAGTCCCTGTAAGTAGACTTAAGTGAGACTTATATGAGGTGGTTTTTGGGGACTACATGTTGATCTACACTGATGGTCTGAAAACTTGTTTAGTCTCTGTCTAACCTTCAAACCACAAACATAACAACCATCTCAAAACTCAGCTTCTCTAAATTCGTGGCATGGATTTTGTTCCAACAAACATGATTTAGAAGATTTGATCATTTTGAGTCTAATATGTATTTTTCTGTGTGGTTGTAGGAGCTGGAGCTGGTGGAGGATGTGTGGAGAGGAGAAGCTCAGGACCTCCTCTCTCAGATCGCTCAGCTGCAGGAGGAGAACAAAAGCCTCCTTACCAACATGTCCAACAAAGACCCCATGAGTGAGGAGGAGCTGCAGAGACATGAGGGTGAGGATAGGGAACCCCTCACAGGACCTTTAAAGTCTCCACCTGCTGTCTGAGTTCTTGTTTCCGCGGGAAACTTTTACTGACATTTGCTGCACCCCCCTGCTCCCTCCATCTTTGTTATGCACACACAGAAATACAAATACACACACACACCAGTGCACACAAAGGCAGCCTTCTCTAGTGTCTGACCGAGGGCCAGTCTTGTCCCTGCATCAGAGGCTCTGTGGTAGTTTCACACAGAGGACACAGTCACCCTGACACACTGCACAGACCAGCCTCAGTGTGCCAGCACACCTGCTAGACACAAGCACGCACACACACACATGCTGAAAGACATGCACACACACTTAAGCATGCATCTGCACACATACATGCATACACTCATGCATGCAGGGTTTCCTCTTTTCAAATTGGACTTTTACCTTCCAAAAAAATCCGATTGTAAGAAAAACAAACAATTTCCACCTAAAGTAAATGTTCTTTTCTGTCTTTTGTGCATTTTCTTCTTGCCTGTTTTCTTCCTCCAGGTATGACGGAGCGAGAAAAGCAGGTGATGAAGAAGCTGAAAGAAGTGGTGGACAAGCAGAGGGATGAAATTCGAGCTAAAGACAGGGAGCTGACGCTGAAGAATGAGGACATAGAAGCAGTAAGGAGAAAAACAGGAGATATAAACTCTGATGTTCCCTACTTAAAGATGCACAAGGAACATTCCCCACAAAATAAACAAGGAACAGATATTTAGACATGACAAGATGGACTCCACGACAAGCAGAAGTGTGACTGAAGACATGAATCACAGCTATGATTCATGACTTAATATCCTGCTCTTCTGTTTTCTATCTCTCTCTCTAATTCCATTATTCACCCATACTGTTTCTATCTGTGTGTGTCTTCGCCTGTGCAACTGTGTCTCTGCAGCTCCAGCAGCAGCAGTCTCGCCTCATGAAAATCAACCATGACCTGCGACATAAGATCTCGGTGGTGGAGGCTCAGGGGAAAGCGCTGATCGAACAGAAGGTGGAGCTGGAGGCGGGAGCTCAGGCAAGGGGACAGGAGGTTAGCGCGCTTCGGCAAGAAATTACACGCTTAAGGGAACGACTTCAAGGAGACCTGCCCGCCCAGGACCCAGAGGAACCCCCACCTCAGCCCCCTTCACCTGCAGAGGTAACAGTAATGCAAAGCTTAGTTTGACAGAGTTAAAGGTGGGGTAGGCAAGTCTGGAAAAAGCAGGAAGAGTTGGTTAGATAAAAGATACTAAAACACCTTCCTCAAATACTCACGAACGTTACAGGGTGACTCATCAGAGGAGCATCATCACCATGAACTATAGACTGTATAAAAAGATGGAGGTCGTGGCAGTGAAGCCAAAACATGTTGAGCTCCCTCTACTGGCTGGCTGCAGTATAGGTTATAAAGCCGGCCTCTGATATTAAAACTGATGGAACAAACGGTCAAATCAAAAGACACTAATGATATTAGTGAGGTTTCCAAGTGTTGATTTTTCTGAAAGGTTTAGTTCTGCAGCCTGGGTTCAGCTTGTAGAAGAGGTCTAATCTCTCTTTGTCAGTCCATCATGATAACTAGTAATTTCCACAGAGGCCAAACAGCAAACAGGAACACATCATGAGTCGGATTTTCTCTGTAAACAGATATTAAAGTGTTTTTTACTCCACCAGCGAGGTAACGCAGCCACAGAGCTGTTTGGAGCAGAGAGCTGGTTAGAAAGGCCTGACCCCTCTGAGCTGATTGTGGGGGGGTTTGGCCTTCCCCCAAGACCCCTACCTGGCTCCCTCAGCCCAGAGGGACACGAGGATGAGGAGGCTGAGGACGAGGCAGTGTTGCTCTGGGTAATGCAGGAGTGCTAGTTAGAAAACCAGAGTGTGCTGTGATCATCCTGACTCTAACTCCAAAACCTGCACCCCCTTCTCTGTGAGGAAAAACCAGCTCATTAGGCACAGATGTGAACTAGCAGACTAACGTGTGTATGGCCCATGAGTGGTGCTGAAACAGCTCTGCATGGGTGTTCAGGAACTAACAGACTCTGTAGGATTTCACACCGGTCAGCCAAGTGGGTGAGACTTTGTGGACGACTGCACTGGTGACCTCTCTAAAAATAGATCCCTCCAGCCGCTCGGCCTCTAACAGCACTTGAAGTTGCCCTTCGTTGCACTCTGATCCTAAAACCCTGACAGTAGAGATGGTAGTTTGAAGTCCATCTGAAAAGAAAGTGCATGTCTGATAATCGCAGGTCCTCTTCCTCCGAGCAGATTAAATCAGAAACTGAATGTGTGAGTTTTAAAATTAATGTGCATCAGATCCTCAAACACCTTTGGTTCTCCTTCTTCAGCTCCAGACTGAACGGTTTTACTTCATATTTCTCTGGATGCATCTGAGATCATTTTCTGTCCTCGTCCTTATGTGGCAAACAAACATAACATGAGGTTCATGTTAGGTTTGCTGGATGGACCTGCAAGGTTGAACTGTACACTCCACCTCCCCCTTAATCAACCAAGAAGGGACAGGTGAAGTAGACCCTTGTAAGAAGTCTGGTGGGGCTACCAGCCTATCTAATTGTGTGCTGTACCTTCCCTACAGCACCATTTTCATGAGGGAAGAGAGGATAAACAAAAAAGTAGAGGATGTTTGAGACAGGGTAAGATGGCTATTCAACCCAAAGTTTACTCTGCCGGTAAGGCTTTATGCTCCACCTCCCCCTTTTCTGTAGGGAGGAAGGATTGAAACAAAGACAAGAGGCTGTAGAGTGAAGAATGAGAGACAGAGAGGGTTTTGCCGGGATAAGAAGGCTTTTAAAGCTTGAGTTCAGTCTGCTGGGTTTGGCTGCATGTTCTACCTCCTCTTACTCCACATTGTCATTAGGAAGAAAAGTAGAAAAACAGAAAAGGAATCTTGCAGAAAGATAACATGTTAGAAAGAAGAGAAGTAAGGAAGAGTCAGGAGAGGAGGCTGTTAGAGCTGGAGCTATCTCCTGTCATGTTGGCTGTACTCTCTACCTTCTCCTACCTCCCTCTTTATGAGGGACATGATGACAGAATAGAGGGAAAACAATGAGAAACATTCATAGAGAGAAGTAATGTTAGAAAAAGGAGAAGGTAGGTTTGGTGGCACATCTGGTTAGGCTGTACGCTCTGCCTCCCCCTGGTTGTCCTGTTTATCAGGCTAAATAGAGGAAAAACAGAGAAGAGTCCATAGAAAGACGATGTTAGAAAAATGAAGGCAGGTTCAGGGTGAGAATGCTGTTCAGGTTTGAGTTTACCTTGCTGGGTTTTGCTGTACCTTCTGCCTGACCCCCCTACCCCCATTTTAATTGGATGATAAACAGCAGGTCGAATCCTGACTGTCTGACTGTTTTCTTGCTTTGTTTGTGGCCCCTGGATGAAGCTCAGTCTGCCTCCTGCCAGTCCTAGAACAAGACATGTGGTCCATCTGTGAAACAAGAGGAAAAAAGCGCTATAGTGAAGTCTTACGAGATCAAATAACTTTTAAAGAAACGACATGAAGTCTGACCACACAAAGAGATTAATTGCAGTGATTTCAGTTGGACTTTGTTTATGGAATAAAAACTGATGAGAGCCACGGTGTGTTTTTTTTATCTGCTCAGTGCATGAGTGACTGCCGTCAGCTGCATGTTTGTTGGTGTTTGTTTAACAGTGAACGTCTCTAAAGTGCTGAGTTTAGACAAAGAAACCGTACTGTAGCTCTAAGGGAGGGAGGGGGGCGAATGTATTGGAACAAAGCCTGAAGTCTGACTTAGAGTTCGACGTTTACCACCAGGAAGCGATGTGCGATGAGGACATGCCTGCTGTGTTCCAATATTTCACCAAGGTACCCTCACCTCCTTCCCGCTTTCCGTCCTTCCTTCCTTTCTTCCTTTCCTCTGGACTTACTTCCTCATAGTGATGGGTTTGTCTCTCTGCAGGAGGCGTTGTGCGAGGAAGAGTCTGGGGGGCTCGACCCAAAGGACCCGAACCGACCCCGGTTCACCCTGCAGGAGCTGAGAGACGTCCTCCATGAGAGGAATGAGCTGAAGGCCAAAGTGTTCATGCTGCAGGAGGAGCTGGCCTACTACAAAAGGTAACAGACATTCAGATTTAGGTGGACTTTGGATGAATGCATGAAATTAATCCACACAGAAGGTCGGAAAAGTTCATTTGAGTCATGATCAGCTGTTTTCAATCAATCAATCAATATATTGATATATACATATATATATATATTTGGCTGTGATGGATTTAATTTTTTATTGCATGTTTAAACTCCAATATTTTACATCTAAAAAAATTTTAAAGTCCATATTAATGTCACAATTCAGGGTATTTTTCATTTTGCAATCAGAAGCAGATTTTCCACCTTTATCTTTGATTTTTCTCCAGTTGACATTTTAAGACGGAGACATAAAAAAGACATTTAGACAATAAACTTGTCAAATAAATGTTGACTTAGGGACGAATCATTGAAAGGGGATTATTGTTTCATCAACTTCTTGGCAATCAAACTTGCCCCCTGCTGGTCATTGAACAGACTGCAGGTTTTAGTCTCTTCTTTATCTGGACTCAGAGGTCACATCCTCAGATTTAAATCACATGCAGTCAGTGTCAGTCTAAAGTAGGGCTGCCATTGTCGACAAAAAAATGTTATTGAAAAAAGCCGACCATGAGTTCCATTGTCGCCTGACGAGTTTTTTTTTTTTTCAATGGAGTGAGGCATCTTACTTCATTATGATCTCCGCTGAGCGGTAGGGTATTCAAATATGGCAGCACAGGCATCCTGTACGTGATATTTTTGTATGTAGGATGGTAGGGAAAAGTCCCGCCTCCTTTGCTTCTGATTGGCTAGAAAAGCTGTAAATGTCATCACACGCTCAAGCCAAATGCGGGCTGTCGGCTCTGTGCATCTCCTAACCCTAACCCTAACCCGACTGACAATGACATTTCACAGCCATAAGGTATAACCAATCAGAGCCCAGCACTTCTAGCCAATCAGAGGCGAAGGAGGGCGGGAACTTCCCCTACCATGAAAAAAAAATTTCACGTCCCGTACAGCAGTTAAGAACATGCGCTCAAAAACCCCCAAAGTTTGGAAGCACTTTAGCCCTGATAAGGCGAAAATGTTCAATTTAAATCAGCTGGAAGGAGTTTTCATTTTCTGTTGATTTTGGCGGCCACTATGGACAAAAGTGGTAGTGTTTTAGCGCGTATACTCACGAAGACACTCATCTGGCTCGCACGTCAGGGCTACAGAAACTAACTTTTTTTGTGAGCAGTGTGAGACAAACGTGGAGCAGCAGGACTTCAGAAGTTAGTGACACAGAGCTGTTCTGTCTGCCTATCTCCAGTGTGGAGGAGATTCTCACTCCATGGCTGCAGCTGTAGCATCACAAAGTGTCAGCAGGAGTCTCCTGCTGTAAGATATTGTCACCGTTTGTGTAGTGACTGTAATATATGCATTTTCAGTGCCAAATAAACAGAAAAAAACGTATGTGTCATCTCTGGTCTGAGTTTCGTTCGTGGTCCCGACCCGACCACTGGCTCCCTGTTTTCCCCGTTTTTACTATATAGAAAAAGCTTATCTTCACACAGATGGGCTCATTCGCTGTTGCAGGTGACAGGGAGACATCAGCAGAAATGAGAGATTTTTTCAAATCTAGTTAAAAGTTCCTTACAGGAAGTTTGAGAAAAAAAACATCATTACCTGATTAGTCGACTACTAAAATAGTTGTTAGTTGCAGCCTTAGTCTAAAGACATGCTTTCTTTTGATTACAGCCTGTCTGTTCCAGCATTGTTGTTTCTGATTATTGTTGTTTGTATTTCAGTGAGGAGGCTGAGGATGACGGTGTCACTCCCTCTCCGTCTCCCTCTCCTGATCTGAGGCCTCGCTCTCGGTCGTCTGCACAGCCAGAGTCTGGAATCAAACGCCTGTAAGTTCACAATAAAATGCATGCAAAAACACTCAGATACATCTCCTGATGAAAACACTCCCACAGATTTCCTTAAGTCGCTTTGATTTCGGGGTTAAAACTCTCACAAACAGTCTGTTCTGCTTTGCATGTGCCGATTATCTGCATGTTTGAATAATGGAAGAAATAACTAATTAGAAATGACTGAGTTAGCTGATGATGGTCCTGTTTGATCATTAAGAGGCATCAGTACTCATTTCAGTCTGTTCCATCATCTGCGAAAAACCTGCCCACAGGAGCTTTAATAAACGTTTTTCTGGATTGTTTTAATGGTGATTAAAGGTAAACAAAGAGCTAAAACCCAAGTTCTCTTTTAAGCAGGTTTCAAACAGCAGGTATGATGAAATCAAACTTCAGATATCTCCGTGTTGAGGCCTGCGCACGCTGAGTTTGATGTGATTATTCTTCCATGCAGTGTGAACTTTAGCACTCCTGAAAAAAAAAACTGTGCAAACATGATAAATGTGCCACAATCTCACAGGATAAAAAAAAAACAGACTCAGTGTGCAGAGGTCTTCAGGCTTGATTGTTCTTGCATGAATGCATGTCGTGCAGAGGTAGCATCTTCACCATCTTCCCCTCTGATCGTCTCTAAGCAGTTTGCTGACAGTGAAGAGGAGCTGGTGTTGACAGCACAGATTCCTCTTTGTCATCTATTATTCACGAAACATGCCTCTGTCCTCTCTGTTCAAAGTTATTGATCAGCATGATCAGATCGAGCTCCTGATTCACACACACACTCTCGTATTTCTGAACCTGTTTTATCTCTCTGTCTGCTCTGAACTCACCCACAGCATGACTTCTTTAAATAAAGTCAGAGGTCAAAGGTTGATGTGGTCCCTGTCTCCCCCCCTCTGTCTGTCCCCCTCCTCCCCCCTCTCTTCCTGTTTGTGCCTGTGTGTCTTTTTACCTCTGTGTAACAGGATCTTCACAGCCATAATGCCGATGGTAGCGGCTGGTTTGATCCCAGATGACCCCACTTTACAGCCAATCAGACGTCTCGTTTCTCTTGTATGATTCGTTATTCGGTTGGCTTCAGTCTGTCACTTCTTTAGCTAACAGCCTCATCCTCCTCTGCATGTGCTGGGCTGCTGTTTACCTCCCCCCTCTGTAGTATTCTGATTGGCTGATTGTGGGGCCGTCTGGTTATTTCTGTGGATCATGAAATAATTCAGCCAGTCAGAATATGAACCTGTAGCCTGTTGTTGTCTTTTCTCTTCCCTCACTGACCACGTTAACACGTCCTCTGTGCTCGAAACTTACAAAATAACCGTGTAACTGCTGAACTTTTACACAATTCAATCCAAATTTATCACCTGAGATTACTTCATTAGTTTATAAAATCTCCTCAAATATAAAAATACAAATGTCAGTAATTATGAACCATAACTTGACTTTGGTTTGTTTAAAAGTTTTGTTTGTGAAATCTCTTAAGACATAATTGAATTTATGACCAGTCATACCACATCCAAAGCTGCTCTTTTTGCTTGCTGAGTCATGGCTTTGCATCTAACCAACTCATATATATACAGGAGGATTTGTTGGTTTTTTAACCTTGTAAGAAATTAAAGTTTTTAAAGTGTGTTTTAATTTTGTGTGAACAGGATCTTGAAACACAGCATTTTCTTGATTGAACCAAACCATGATCTTGTCTGATGGAGGTTTGTTTTGTGGTGAAAATATATCAAGATTATTGTTTCTGCAGTAATATTTGTTTTTATTCATTTCTTTAAATTTAATTTTAACCTGTTTTTAAAGGGATATTCCTGTGTAAAATTAATTTCGGGTCAAACACATCATAACACCGAGTTAGACACCCCCTCAAGAGATGAATGTTGCAGACCACTTGCTTCTCTAGTTACACCAACTTTAGTAACGACCGCAGGATAGCAATACAGAGAGCCACACGCTAAACCAAAACGCCACTCTGTAGACACTAGTAATGCTTAGAACAGCACCTAACTTCATCAACAGTACATATAGGGTCCCAGACATGGCACTAGCCACCAAACATCCTTTTAACTTTGACTTATTTCTTTAACAAAGAGACTAAACACAACTCACCTACTCTCTTCCAGCAGCCGCTTGTTTGTAGCGAGACCCCGGGCCAGTCCATTATGGACTACAGCGGGGTGACGCAGCTCAAGGAAGAACATTTATAATCTTTTCTTTATCATTTCCATGAAGTAATAATCACCATATGAATCATTTTGCACTGCAGACGCGGTAGTTCTTCTGCCTTAGCGTCTCGGTCTGATTGCATTTCCATGAAGAAATGATCATAAATGTTCTTCCTTGAGCTGTGTCACCCCGCTGTAGTCCGTAACGGACTGGCCTGAAGTCTCACTACAAACAAGCGGCTGCTTGTTTGTAGGTGAGTTGTGTTTAGTCTCTTTGCTAAAGAAATATGGCAAAGTTAAGATGTTTAGTAGCTAGTACTATGGCTGGGACCCTATATGTACTGTTGTTGAAGTTAGGTGCTGTTTTGAGAATTATTTGTGGCTATAGAGTGGCGTTTTGGTTGAGCGTGTGGCTCTCTGTATTGCTATTGAGCGGTTGTTACTAAAGTTGGTGTAACTAGAGAAGCAAGCGGTTGGCAACATTTGTCTCTCGAGGGGGTGTCTAACTCAGTGTTACGGCGTGTTTGACCCTAACTTAATTTTACGCTGGAATATCCCTTGAAGGGGTTTCAATATTTTGTGTGTGTCATGAGCGCCCTCTGCTGGGAAGGAGGACTGTTCCCCATGATGCGCCAGATGAAACAATCCCCTTTTATTGATGTAAAAGGCTCCGGAGCCTCTTATTGATTTATATAAATTTGATAGGATTATCTATTAGGGTTAGGGTTAGCTCTGGAGCTCCTGTGATCCTCCTCAACAAACAAACAAACAAACAAAAATTTAAAGAGTAGATATTCACTCTGAAAGTCGGGGTCTTCCTCACTTTTGATTCCATGTTGTAATTTTATTACTGATTAAAAATTTACAGTTTGTATGTACGGATGCTGCAGAATGAGCCACTCTAACGCTGCTTTAAAATGACTGATACTTCCCGCGCAAACGGCAAACATCTGACTGTAAATATCTGTCGCCTGACGCCTCACAGACTGGTCCTTTAAAGATGTCCGCCTCTGTCTCCTCTGGTCTCAGGTTTAGTTTCTTCTCCCGGGACAAACAGCGGGGCTCACAGAGGAGCGGGGAGTTTGACGGCTCATGGGCGGGGAAAGAGGATGTGTACACCGAACAAGCACAGGAGGCGTTACAGCACATGTAGAGACAAGACGGACTCCAGAACTGTTTAACACTCCACGTCCATCACGCGAAAGCCGAAGAATCAAAAAAGCACCGCCAAGTGACTCACACAGCGACTAAGATCTCATCTCACTGCTGCTCACAGTGAAGAGGAGGAGGAGGAGGAGGAGGGAATGCCTCTGAGTTAAGATGAAGACATTTCCTGCTGTATGTAAACCTCCAAAGAACCTGAACACGTGACTTCACGTTCAGATAGTAGAACTCTAACTGAGTTTCAGACCAAACATGATGCAAATTTTCCTTCAGGAGCGACGAAATCGATGCATCTTATTTATCAAATAAGTAAGGGAATATTTATTTTTGAACATATCACACAGTCCAAAGTTTTGATAAATACCCTTTTTTTGGTAAACGAAAAATTTTATCCTCAGAAAACTGTCCAAACATGGCCAAACATGGGGATCATGGCTGCCATTAGCAGAGCTAGCACTACCAGCCTTTAGACCTCCTTGTAGATCAGTATCCAAAAGCCTGTTCTAGTTTTACATCGTCCTACTTAAGCGGTTTTATACCGGTTTAACTCTGCGCTGCTTTCAAACTACTTAATCTGAGTTTTCAGGGTCAAAATACGAAAATAAAAACGAGACATGATCCATCATCTGTGCTTGTTTTACATCCTGGTAGTCGAGCATCCCAGTATTCTGGTAGCTGCTATTTATCTGAGTGAGTGGAGGGTGTCTGTGTTACAACATATGACTGCGGTTCAGGCTTATATTGATTAAGTGGACTAATAATTCGATTAAGTACATAAACCGCCTGCATCCCTGATTTCTAACCTGATATTTGCACTTTAATTTGAACTGTAGCAGGTAAAATCCTGTGAGGAACTTTTGGTTTGTGTCATTTTTTACCTTCACCTGAATGACAAATAGTGGATTATCAACACCTATTGGGAAAACTTGGAACTGAATTTAATTCTCTTGATAACTGGGCAATGGAAAATTCAAACTTTTTGTCTTTTTGCCTCTCTGCGCTGCTTTTTTACGTCGTCTCATCTCTGAAAATTTGCCTCTTGTTCGGTCTGGCTGCTCCTTGAAAACATAAAAACATTGAAGGTTTTTACAGTTGGCGTTTGAAGAGAGAGTTAGCTCAAGTTGAACGATGGAAAGTGGAAAGTTGTGATTGAAGTGATTCATGATGATGCTGGAGCAACAGAAAGCAGGTTAAAAAGTGAAAGTGATGAAAGCTCAGGATGCAAAAACGCTCAGCCTGTAACTAACTCTGCAGTAAAGATGAAGGATTTATTTATACATCCATTTAAACCACCATGCCTGATCGAATTAAAGAGCCAGTCTGCAAAGAAATCAATAACTCTGATCTTTAGACTCACCTTTGTGCCCCTTTATTTGATGTAGGCAGCTTGTGGGTCCATCACCAGCATTCATCCGACTATGCAGCTCCATACATTTAAAAGGTTCAGCCTCTGTGTGTAAAATAAAAATGCCTAAAACAATAATTTACAGTTTGTGTTCTGAAGAAGGACAAACCACAGATGCTTTTATTTATCATGTATGTCATATATAACAAAGTATGGAAGCCCATTGGAGCAAAAACAAGAAACAAAAGCACTGAATTAATGTGAGTGTTAAAGTCATGAAATTACATTATGAAGTTTTCTCAGAGTCTGAAAAGTTCCAGCCTGGTTTCAAAAGATGACACTTAAGTGAGCTTTAAAGTTTAAAAATGTGTTGCAGCTTCACGAGGGGGCCAAGAAAGGCTGCGCTTGCAATTATTTTTAAAATTGAGAGAAAGTTTTTGTCACTAGTCGCCACAAGAAAACAAATTGTCATGTTGAGTCCAGTAAAAGTTCAACAAATATCATCTTAAATTCACAGATGTTTTTTTACTCTTAAAGGATAGCTTAAAAATCAATTTACAATTTTATTTGTTTGAGTTTAAATTAAACAAGAAATATAATTTTTATAATTTTGTTTTTCGTGGTAGTTTCCCTCCTTCTGCAAAGCTCCTGTAAGGAACTTTTTGTTTGTGTTGATTTTGGTGCCCCCTGTGGAGAGAATATGCGTCATGTATTTTTACTAATTTGTCTTAAGCATTTTTAACAAAATTACCCTTTAACGACATAGACAGAATCAGACCTTACACTGATGGTTTTAATGTTTTATTTTTGGAGCTCATTAGAGGCATGAATCTTGATTTCAGCTTGTTTTGTTACCAGCTGAAAACTCCCCACAAGAGCTTTAAAATGTTGTTTTAATTGGTTTTAAATGGTGAGATAATTCCCCCTCTGTTTATGGCATTAAAAAAATAACTGCAAGCATTGGCCTTACTCAGCCTCCATAGCTTCTGCTCCTTCACCCTGAGCCCAAACTCAACACTCACCCATCTTGTTGTGTTGTGACAAAGAGGCTTTTAACAGTGTTGGTACTTTGATTATTCTTATTTACCTGGAAAGGTGGGATAGGTTCATTTAAAAGGACAAAAGCACTTGTGTTTCTGCAGCTTTTTTTCCGTTTGTTTGTCATATTTACAGAAATTATAGGGTTTGTTTATTTTTCATCACAGTCTATGATTCTGGACTTAATCTGGACTTTAAAGGGATCTGGGAAAATGATTATGGACTCATTAAAAGGGATGTTTTATGATCACACGAGGCAGACTGTCTGAAGTCGGTGTTTATTCCTCCCTGATTAAACTGCGTATTTAAAAATTGTCATAAAAACTTCAGTGCTTTGTTTAAGAAGCTGGCTTTGAGTCCAACATGTCCCCTCCATACATAATAAAAACACTGTAATCTGTTGTCTGTCTCTGTCTTTGAAACTCTCTCATCATTTTCTGTTAGAGTTAGAAATCATGATTAGATGGCATGTTGATGGTCAAAAACCTCCTCTACCTGCTGAAACTCATCTCAAAATCTGCACATTTTAAGTTATAAATAATTCCTTTATTTTACCTTAAAATGTGATATTTATGTACTTTAACAGTTTAAAAATAACTTTTTTTGTACTTTATGAATAGAAACTCAGGTCATTCATATTAAAAGGGTTTTTCTTTTCCCCTCAGGTTTGATAAATTGTGCAATTCTTAATTGTAGTTTATAACTGAAGCTTGTTCTCGGAAATTTCCAGTTTATTTTTAATGTAATTACTTCAGGTCTTTAAAGAGTTTTTGTGATGAGAATAGTTATTATGTTATGATAATAAAGTAGATATCTTATGAGAATTAACTTCTTATGTCATTAAGTCATCTTAAGAAAAAAGTTATGACGCTAGAAAAGAGTTAAGAGAATAAAGTCCTAATGAAATGAGAATTAAGTTTTCATAAGTATAAAGTAAGAAAATTATGTGAATAAAGTCTTTATGAGAATAAAGTTATTTTAATTCAGTTATAATGAATTTCCCTTTGGGGTCAATTAAGTTCTTGTATTTTTTGTATAATCTAAAACAAAGTTGTTATGAGAAAAAAAGTTATGAGAAAAGAGTCGTTTTAAGAAGAAAGTTATGAGAACAAAGTCAATTATATGAGAATTAAGTCTTCATAAGTATAAAGTAAGAAAATTATGTGAATAAAGTCTTTATGAGAATAAAGTTATTTTAATTCAGTTATAATGAATTTCCCTTTGGGGTCAATTAAGTTCTTGTATTTATTGTATAATCTAAAACAAAGTTGTTATGAGAAAAAAAGTTATGAGAAAAGAGTCGCTTTAAGAAGAAAGTTATGAGAACAAAGTCAATTATATGAGAATTAAGTTGTCATAAGTATGAAGTGAGAAAGTTGTGATGGGATTAAGTCCTTATGAGATGACGTTATGATAATCCAGTTTTTAGAATAAAGTCTTTATGAGAATCCAGTTATATCACGGTAATTATTAAGTTATTATATTGGAAGGGTCCTTATGAGAAAAATTTTATGATGATGTTATGATAATCCTATTTTTAGAGTGAAGTTTTTACGAGAATACAGTTATATCGTGGTAATTAAATTATGATACAAAAAGGTCCTTATGAGAAAAGAATTATGAGAATATTACGATAATCCAGTTTTTAGATTTAGGTCAATATGAGAATACAGTTATGTTACAGTAATTAAGTTATGAGACTGGAAAGGTCCTAATAAGAAAAAAGTTACGAGAATGATATTATGATGATCCAGTTATTACAACAAAGTCGTTATGAGAATACCGTTATATCACGGCACTTAAGTTATGATATTGGAAAGGTCCTTATATGAAAAAAGTTATGAGAATGAAGTTATGATAACCCAGTCTTTCTGAGAATACAGTCATATCACATTACTCAAGTTATGATTTTAAAAAAGTCATTATGAGAAAAAAGATTTGAGAACAAAAATTCTGATAGTGAACAAAACACTGAATAACGGCCACGAGAACAGATGACATTTCCAATCTTGTTTCTTGCATATTACATCTTTATTCATTGATGACTAAACCCCAGCATTAAGATTTATTCAACGCTACAACAGCAAAGATCTTTTTTCTTTTCCTAAAACGGCCAACAGGTCAGTTTTGTCTCTCGGGTTTTATTGCATTTGATCCACATAAAGACGGAAATAACCCTTAAAACTCCCGACAGGCGTGAAACTCTACAGAAAGAGATGACAGAGAGAAGAAAAGGTGAAATCTACCTGTTTAACACACACAGCATCTCCTGAATATTTCCACGTACTCGTCTCTTTCATTAACACTGATCAAACTTGTTTCACGGTCACCTCAGTAAAAACAGGAAATCTGAGGCAGGTTTTATTCCTGTATCACACTGAATGCTTCATAAAGACTGAAACGAGGCAGCTCTTCCGACATCAGAACACTTTTCAAAAATAAAAACAAACCGGTGACAAACATTTAAGAATATAAGATTCTGAGGGTTTTAAAGGAATATTCAGACATTTTAAAGAGGATTTAACTCACTCTAGAGCCTGTTTAGCTGCTTCCCTCTGTTTAAAGTCTTTGAGCTAAACTAAGAACCTTCAAATCCAACAAGACGATGAAGAAGAGGTTTAAATCTGACTCTTTACAAAGACACAGACGACGGTTACAGCAACTGTAAAAAACTATGTTTAAGTTTGAACTTTGAAGATTTAAAGCTGCTGTAAGGAACTTTAGGTTTGTGTTGATATTGGCGCCCTCTGTGGACATAATGAAATCTCTTGTTCTGTAAATGTGAAAGTGATTTTAGAGTGGATTATATCGTTGACTGTCAGTATTTGCCACAGAAAAGGTCAGATTAGGGTGTTTTTTTTACTGTTTTTTGCTGCTTTTAAATGTTGAAAATCACAACAGTGTCCACAGGGGGTGCCAAGGCTGGAACAAACTTATCACAGGAACTTTAATGTCCTGAAACTGATGAGTTAAACAAAAATCACCCCCTTAACAGAGTGTACAAATTTAGAAATGGACTTCAGATCAGAATGTCTTTTTAGCATATTTATTTTGTGAATGGGTGTGTATGTAGCTTCTGGTGCTTTCGTAGCCAGCCTCTAGTGGACACTTAAGGAACTGCAGGTTTTAGCACTTCCACATCATCTTCACTTCTCTAGAGGTTGCTGCAGAAACATGGCTTGACCGACTCAGTTCTTGCTCAGCTGGTGCTCTCTGTTCCTGAGGTTTAGGTCACATTTTGCCTCATTTTCTTTAAAATAGAAAGTCTGAATTTTGAAAAAAAGGCAGTGGGTGTGTCCGAGTGTTTCTAAAGTAGAGCCCCATACTGCGTAATAATATCAAACTTCTTCTGAAAGACTCATTATGATTTAGATAATATGAACTATGACACAAGCAGCACTTAGAGGAGGACAAAGTGCTTTATGACTAAATAAAACATGATAAAGTGATGATGTACGAAATTTGTTCAGCTGCAGAAATAACTCCTCCTTGGAGAATTCATCATTAAGGATCTAGGATTACATGATCTATGATTTGAACTCATGAAGTCCTTCAGCACTGATAAATAAACCAACACTTTGGTTGTTTTAGTCATTTTTTATGATAAAAAATATGGAATACCACAAAGTTTATGCTCTAAAAATAGTTTTTATTCTAATTTGATTCAATCGATGACACCAAAGCTGCTGCACGCTCACCTTTCTGTGGTTCTGTGCACAAATTTTATTGTAGTGATTGGACCAAAGTAGTGTGGCTAATCCATGTTAATTACAGTAAATATCAACAGTCATTGGTTATGTGGAGTGCCTGTGTGATTAACAATAAAACTTCCCATCACCAAACGAAACTTAGACTATGCACTGATTCACTGATTATCTACTTCAGGACAAATCAAACCAAGATAGATGGAGATAAATAAGATAAATTCATGAAAACACATTTGAGAAAGCTTTTCAGATTAAAGTTTAAATAAATAAAGTAAAAAATGACCTGTTGGTTGTCCAGCTGTTAAATACTTTCACATAGAACAGTTTTTGTGACTGTCACGTGAGCGAAATGTGAGAAAAGACCTGCAGGAGTGTAAAAACTCACCAAATACACTCTTTGTTGGATGTGTTTGGACACTGACATGCATGCCCACACCCTGGACTGTGAAAATAAATCAAAATCACAAATACAAAATATGTGTGACGCGTGCAAAACAAGTGGAATGTTTAACATTTAAGGAAGAGAGTGAATTTTGGTTAGATATAAAACTACCACCAGAAAAAACAGAAATGGAAGTTAATTATTTACTAATCTGATTATGTCATGAGCGACATCAGTGTTACTTTTGATTATTAAAGCTTGTATAAGGAACTTTCTCTTTGTATTGACTTTGGCGCCCCCTGTGGACAACCTGTTTTGGTGAATTTGACTGAAAACAAAGGTTTCTAAAAATTAGGCTACTTCTGTGACAATTTTTGGGGTTCCAGGCTCTGGATGTTTTTAACAAACTATGATCTAAATATAATCTAAATACATTTAAAAAAGATAAAATAGGCTAAAAACTTAGAAAGAAGAATCATTGTTACGGAAAATAGAAAACTTTTAAACACTTCGTAATCAGGTCCGAAAACGCCAACTTCAGCATGAGTTTGGTGAGTTTTTACACTGCCGTTTAAGTGAGTTTTGGTGTCTGAACTTAAATTCCACTTCATCAGAAATTATTAGTTTTTAAATTTGCGTCTCAGACTTCTTCCTCGCTCAAAAACAGAACACTGGGGTCTTAAATTGAAGTATTGCTAACGACTAATTAAGAAAAAGCGGTATAAAAAAGGCAGAGCGTTCACTACCACCTGCATGCGGTCCAAGCTTTTGCTCTAATACAAAATGTACAAAATAAATGCGCTGCAAAACAACCGGAAGGTTCCATTAATACATAAATAAAAAGGACTGAAGTCATGTGACCTCAACGTGTGAGAAGTGGGCCCCTCCCCAAAACACAACTCCCCCCCCCCCCCTCTTATTTTCTCAACACTAGAACAAAAAGGGAACACATTCTGTTTCTAAGGCATTTTGTACACTAGCTAAAGAGAAACTCGGGTCTTACTTTACGTTTCCCTTTTTTTTTTGTTTTTTTCCCGAACAACCCCCCCCAATCAGTATTTAAGCCACGGGTGTGCTGCAATGGAGGCTTTACTGCGGTCCCCATAGTCGTACAGAAGCTCCTCCCCCTCGTCGATGTTTCGAGAGGCGACGAGGATGAGGTGAGGGACGCCGTTGATGTCGTGAAGTTTGGTTTGGCAGTTTCCGGTTTTGCTGTGATTGATCAGCCGACCCAATCGGCCGGTCTCTTTAGTGGCGTCCACGCTGCAAAACAAACAAAGAAAAACCCACAAAGATTTATGCTGCGTTCAACTTACCTCAGAAGTCAGATGTCGGAGCTGAAAAATGTACCAGTGTTTCCAAGTCAGAAAAAAGCAAAATCGGAGGTCTAAAATTGGATTGCTACATCTACGAAAGTTATTTTAGCGCTTGCCTTATATTCGGACAAGGCAAGTGCTTAAATAACTTCCATAGATGTAGCAATCTTGTTTCTGCCTCCGATTTTGCCTTTTTCTGACTTGGTAACTGAAATGCTGGTAACTTGGGTGTGACGTCATTTTCAGCTTAGACTTCTGACTTCCGAGGTAACTCAAATGCAGCATTAAATACAGTTTAATGGCGTCTTCTAGCGGTGTGAAATAAAAACATCCAGCTTCTCTCGGCGTCTATCATACCAGTACGTTTTGCAGAGGTACTGGAAGTAGTACATGTAGCAGCCAGTCGCCGGGTTTTGAGCGTATTCGGCCTCCCTCTTCTTGGCGTCGTTGATCTGCAGCAGGTCTCCGTGATACTCCACCACGTACTTGCCTTTCTGGAAACACCGGGTCGCAAAAACTCCTCGCCCCTTTCCTTCAATGTACTGCACCTATAAAAAAAAAGGTCATTTGAGAGGTGTAACAGGGACAGAAATATCCTTAATCCTGACTATGGGGTGCCGTTTGTAAAGCAGCCCATTATAAAAACAACAGCAAGATTTGGTCACATTTAGCAAAACAACAGCAAGATTTAGTCACATTTAGCTTCAAACAGCATTTAAAAATGTGATGTGAATTTTCGGCAGTCATTCTTTTGCACATTTACAACAACATTTAAATACTAAAACTAAATGTTAAATGTTAAATCTAAATGCTAAATATAAATCTTAAATATATATGTTAAATCTAAATGTTAAATATAAATCTAAATATAAATCTAAATGTTAAATCTAAATGTTAAATCTAAATGTGTTGGGCGAAACTAAATATTTAGCTAATATGCAAATTCACGGTCGGAAACCGGAAGTGCCAAAATAAAAGCTCCAGAAGGTCATATTGATGATTCTTGTGTCGAAGAAAACGAATTAAAACCAATTTAAGGGGGGAACAAATACTTGGGGTGATGTTTCGTGTTAATAACTACCTACAATAGCGACAGCAACAACAAAAACTTTATTAGAAAGACTCGAGTTTTCAGTGTCGCTTCTCCGTATGGCGCGGACACTGTACGAACCATAGACTGTATATAAGATACATATATATAGTCTATATATATACTTATATACAGTCTATGGTTTCGAACCCCGGCTTCCTGCGTCCCAGTCGTCCGCGTTACCCGTATGGCCAAAGCACTTCATGAATAGATAAGGTGCCATGGAGTAGTATGACGTGTGCGCCTGCATGTGTGTGTGCGTGTGTTCGTACAGTGTCCGCGCCATACGGAGAAGCGACACTGAAAACTCGAGTCTTTCTAATAAAGTTTTTGTTGTTGCTGTCGCTATTGTAGGTAGTTATTAACACGAAACGTCACCCCAAGTATTTGTTCCCCCCTTAAATTGGTTTTAATTCGTTTTCTTCGACACATGAATCAACAATATGACCTTCTGGAGCTTTTATTTTGGCACTTCCGGTTTCCGACCGTGAATTTGCATATTAGCTAAATATTTAGTTTCGCCCAACACATTTATATTTAACATTTAGATTTAACATTTAGATTTATATTTAACATTTAGATTTATATTTAACATTTAGATTTAACATATATATTTAAGATTTATATTTAGCATTTAGATTTAACATTTAACATTTAGTTTTAGTATTTAAATGTTGTTGTAAATGTGCAAAAAAATGACTGCCGAAAATTCACATCACGTTTTTAAATGCTGTTTGAAGCTAAATGTGACTAAATCTTGCTGTTGTTTTGCTAAATGTGACCAAATCTTGCTGTTGTTTTTATAATGGGCTGCTTTACAAACGGCACCCCATACCTGACAGCTCAATCAGGGTCTCTGCAGGTTTCAACAAGTCAGATTTAAGACTATTAACACTTTTTAACTTCAAATCAACCTATATTCCTATGGCACATTATTTATTTATAAGTTGACTCAATACATTTTCAAGACCTTTCCAAATTGTATTTAAGACATTTTATGAGATTTTAAGAGAATTTTAGGGCCTTGAATTCAATTGGATTTTAGACGTTTTAAGACTTTTTAAGACCCTGCGGATACCCTGTCAATATAATATAAGACCACATGATCAACACCGTGCTATGATATTTCACCTGTGCTTGTTTACTTCCAGGTAGTTGAGCCTTATGGAGCCACAGCCTTGATGCTCTTTACGTCATTGTTAATCAGGCTTCCCTCACATGCTTACAGTTAGTCCAAAATGCTGCTGCTCGTCTTTTAACAGGTAAATGAAAACATGACCACAGAGATAAAAACATCCCCCACTCTTTCTACTTTTGAATCACATCTTAAAAACTCATTTTTATTCCTTGGCTTTTAGCTCAGCATGCGAGTTGTGTGATCTCTGTCCTTTTATGGTCCTTTATCACTTTTATTTCTTTTACACTTTTGTGTTTTTGTTTCATTTATTTTATTTCATTTCAAGTGTTTTCACCTGCTTTTATTCATTTCATCTTGATGTTTTCAGGAGTGTCTGTTCTTTGAACTTTATTTTGCAGCTCTTTGGTAAACTTGAATGTTTTTTAAAATGTGCTATAGAAATAAAGCAGATTGGATTGGATTGGTTAGTAGCAGGTGTCTGTGCTGCAGCTTAAACAACACATGAGCAACATTTTCAGCCGACATGAGCTGCTTGATTCTGCTGTTGCAGGTGCGGTTTAACTTTTTGGAACTTGCTTTGTGTGTTTTTTTTATTTACTGGAAAGAATTACAGGTGGAAAACACCTTCAGCTCTGTTTTGCTGTGTCGCACAGAATGACGCCCAGCAGCTGTGGAGTGTGGCGACAAGAACAGATTTTTCTGTGGAGCTGACAAGTGAAGACATCACGAAGTAGGACAGGTGCTTCGGATGTGGGCCGGCTCAAATATCACGTATTATGAGGAGGCTTTTTGCTGCTTGTGTTTGTGATCGCCTGAGGGTGTTTGAAGTGAAAGCACAAAGTAAACTCACCTCCATTCCTTCTTCGATTCCCTTTGTGATGAGCTCGTCTAAAAGCTTCTTTTCTTCACACTGCAAACAAAAAGGGAAACATGAGATAACTGGATAAAAGCTGTTTGGATGTCTGAGTCACAACTTGACTTTTTCTCGTCTTGTCACAGACTAACTCCTGTAAATCTGCTCTCTCAAGTTTGAGGTTTTGTCTGGATTTTAGTTGGATGTCTTAAAGATAACATGTCAGGATTTGGACTGGTGTCTTTGCAGTGGAGACCAGAGGAAGCTTTAAACTTGTCAGGAATTTACTTCCTCTGCTGCAGCACAACAAATCACACGACGTGTCAGTGAAGCTAAATTAGGCCGCTCATAAAGAAACACAATAAACAAACAAGTCTGCTCACCTTCAGCTCTGTTTTACTTTTCCTTGAGCTTCGTCTGATTGGATAGTAGTCAGTAACTTTCCGGTTTTGGGAGTTATTCCCCCTGGTGCTGTCAAGGAAAAAGAAATTATTACATTTTTGTGTTTCTTGATGAAAATAAAGGTTTTTAAAACAGTTTCAACAATAAGTTTGTTCTTACATTCTTGGTGTTTTCTTTCCTTTGACCTTGAGGTGCAGTCCTCTCCTCGAGTGGCTGAGGAGGGGGCTGCTGTTGTTGGCATGGAGGGGAGGGGGAGATAAACTGCTGCTGAGAGGCAGGGGGAGATCTGTGGGGGAGCGGAGGCAGGTCTGCGTGCGGTGGAGCTGCAGGGGCGTCTGTTCATCTGACCAGCAGGGTGAACACTGGCTCTCCATCTCTGGGAAACCAGTCTGTGAGTCTTTGGGGGAGAGGCTGAGGGGGTTTGTTCTCCGGCCTGGAAGAAACAGTCGAGAAAAACACAAGTTTTATCTACAGAAACACAAATAAACACCCGCCAAAAGATGTTTTCTCAGCTGGACCCGGCTGACCAAAAGTTTCAGGAACGATACCGATTAAGAAAACCAGTTTATTGCTGTCCAGGACCAGATCTCAGTGCTGGTTTTAAGATTAACCAATATGGACTACATGCGACATTCTCAACCTGAGGAAGAGCTGAAATCCCCACACTGGAGACAAATCCTTTATTTTTTTTCCTTGCCCTTTTCTCTCTGTCATAATCTGTGCAACTGTAGGAATTCACAATTAAGAGCGAGGCATTAAAAACATCCAGAGTATCAACATAAGTCTAATCATGGTGTTTCCAGCCTGTAGTCCAGCCTTAAAGGGATATTCTGGCGTGAAATTAATTTAGGGTCAAACACACCATAACACCAAGTTAGACACCCAGTCGAGAGATGAATGTTACCGACCGCTTGCTTCTCTAGTTATACCAACTTTAGTAATGACCGCAGGATAGCAATACACAGCGGTCTGAGGAGCCATAAACAGACCTCAACCAAAACACCACTCTATAGCCACAAATCACATTTAGGATAATTTCAATATAATTTCCTTTAAGTAATAATTATCACATTAATCATTTATCACTGCAGACGCGGTAGTTCTTCTGCCTTAGTGTCTCGGTCTGATCGCATTTCCATGAAGAAATTATCATAAATGTTCTTCCTTGAGCTGCGTCACCCCGCTGTAGTCCGTAATGGACTGGCCCGAGGTCTAGATACCAACAAGCGGCTGCTGGAAGAGAGTAGGTGAGTTGTGTTTAATCTCTTTGCTAAAGAAATAAGACAAAGTTAAAAAGATGTTTGGTGACTAGTACTATGGCTGGGACCCTATATGTACTGTTGATGAAGTTAGCTGCTGTTCTGAGCATTATTTGTGGCTATAGAGTGGCGTTTTGGGTTTGACGTTTGTTTATGACTCCTTAGACCGCTGTGTATTGCTATTGTGTGGTCTTTACTAAAGTTGGTATAACTGGAGAAGCAAGCGGTCAGCAACATTCATCTCTCGACGGGGTGTCTAACTCAGTGTTTCGGTGTGTTTGACCCTGACTTAATTTTACGCCCGAATATCCCTTTAAATCCAGCCCTCTGTTAGATCAGGATAATCCTGATTTTATGGATCAGAGTTATACAAATTTTACTTAAAGTTTTGGACACAAATTTGAGATTTTATTCTGCTAAAACAAGACTAAATGATAATTTCTTAAAAATTAAATAAGTACTGCTCCCTGCTGCAGCAGACTAACTCACCCTCTCCCTGCTTTTGATCCTCAGTTTGCTGGCAGCATATTGGCGAGCGCTGTCCCTCCTGCGTCAGCTTGATCGTGTTTTCATCGTGAACAGGAGATATGGACTTGTTACAGTTTAAGACGGCGATCGGATGATTACTGCAGACAATCTCCTGAGAAAGCAGATACAGAAAAATTAGTCAAGTACCATTACATCAAAAATAAACTCAATTCTCTATTGGGGCTGCCACCTACAAATAGAGTTATGGATGTGAGAAGATCAAAATTACTTAATAAACTCTTATATTTGGCCAGAAAATGTATACTATTTAATCGGACTAGCGACAAACCTTGCACAGTGACTTAGTGGTACAAGAAATTTTTTGTTTTACCGATGGAAAGGCTAAGTGCCAAATTAAAAGGGAATGATGACATCTTTATGCACATCTTTATGGCCCCTTATGGATTACTTGCCAAAAGGTCGAAGTGAAACTATACCCCCCCCCCCCCCCCCCCCCATGATTTATCTCTTTCTTGTCATTTTCTACCTTATTTGAATTAAAAGGATGTATGGTTCTATGTAAATTCTGAAAATAAAATAAAATCAGATCTAATTATTGATTTCCAAACTACCAAAAGCTTTTTTAATAAACATCCATACACCCTTAGTTTCTCATCCCAGATCTTAAATTATACATAATTTCCTATTTTACAAAATAAATCATAATTTTTAGGTACTACTGTAAATAACCTGCCCTGTTAGGCTGTTTCTGTTGTTGTTTTGGGGGGGTAAATCACTCAGTGTTCAGCTCCAGTGTTGTGGGTGGGGCCCTGAGGAGGGCGGCATGCTGGATCCACACCCACATCCCACTAACCCATCCGTCCCTTTAAACCCACAGAAAAGACACAAACAGGCCTCTTTATGGCTCATAATAAACTATTAAAGTCCGTTCAAACTAAATTATACCTCAACAGATGCATTTCAATTGTAAAACACTTTTAAAAGAGGAAGTAAGGTGATTATTCATCTCTGTGCGTGAATTCAAAACACTTATTCAGCCAACACATGTAACAAGCTAATGTTAGCAAAGCTTCCCATACAATACAGCTTTACTCTATGTAACACCAGGGTAATAGTGAAAATACAAGGCGGGGGAAATGCTGATAAAAAGTATCGAAAAACGGCAAGTAACAGAGAGATAATCCTCTAAAACTAGCTCCAGACTGACCGTGTTCAGAGGCGTTCTCACAGCCGAACTTACTCCGTTCATGTCCGGCTTGTTTTCGTGGCTCCTCGGGCGGCTCGGTTCTTCTTTCGAGGGAAATAATAAATGAATTTTTGTGTCGTTTCAAAGATTAACCTCTCCCTGCTCGTAAAGCAGTGACCTCCCGACACACTGACCCTCTTCAGCGGTGACTTTGAGCCTTTTTGTTGTTTTTTTAAACTGCCAGCAGCAGCTCAGCCGATGCAGCCTCCACAGATCCGATCCGCCATGTTTTTATCTGTGTTAAAAGTGAAGGCGGGGCTTTGGCGCCCTCTGCTGGCCGACAGCGGTAACGAGGTTTATAATACAGAGCTGGGGGACACTGTGACCGTCATAACTGATCATGAAATGCAATTTTCTGTATGTGTATTTGGTTTGCATTTGATAGAATAGGAAAAAAAAAATGCATTAAGTTAGATATATCAGCCTCACTGACATTAATAACATAAAACTAGAGTTAACTACTATTAGGCCTGCTGACTGCAATCACATTAAATGAGAGAGATAGATTGTTTATTCAATCAAATATGCAAGAAATTTCCTATTTTATATATATATATATATATATATATATATATATATATATATATATATATACCTAGAATACTTCAAATGTCTCATTTGTAACATATCCATATACAATATAATAAGTGTGGCAAAACGAAAATCACTTCTGTAAGTATTTTTCAATCATACTCTGCTTTAATTTACAAAATTATTTAATTAAAAAAAATAATTTAACATAGTCCATAATTACTTATATCCTGATCCTATAAACTGAATTCATATTATATCATCATTACTTGCTCTGCAACCACAACTTTGCATTAGCAACTAAAGTGATTCCAGACATGATTATCCCACACGTCTCCTGAAAACATCTGAAATTGATTAATTCTGTGTGGATGCATGTCTGCTAAGGGCTTCTTTGATATTAAGGAAAACTTAAAAGAATTGAATAGTTTATTTGTAAGCTGTTTGTTGTGATTGCATCAAAGAAATTTATTGTTTTATTTTAGTCGGACCTTCAAAAAATGGAGGACAGGAGACACTGAATTTGAACTCTGTACTCTCTCGGTGTTTGGTGTAGTGCTGGAGTACAACTGTAGAAACTGTAACTAACTTGTTAACTAACTGTTACAGTTTCTAGGTAAAATATAAAATGACAAGCACTTTTCCCTCACACACGTACTGGCTTCAGAGTCACAAACCTATCATGGACTGTAATCATGTAGGAGAGTTTAAAGTAAAACAGAAGGCTCTTCAATATGTTAAGACTAATCATGGTCATTTTGGCTACCATAACATTTCTATAATTGATTTATTTATCAGGGCAAGGCAAGCTTATTAAAAAGTCCTCTTATGTCAAGCCAAGATCCCAAAAAAGGTGAATATATCAGAAAAAAAATCAACTTTCCAAGAAGAAAATTTTAAAGACAGAGAAGGGAAATCATGATCCAGACTTTTGTCCAGTTCAGAGTCTGCTGGACTCTGCTGTTCACTCTTCAACCACGTTAATCAGTCTTTAGTCAGACTCTGATACAGTTTGACAAGATTTACACAAGAGAACTTAAAAAACCTGAGGATATGCATTTCACTGTAGCTATAAATACTTAATGTGTCTGTATACTAATGCACTTTATTGTGGTCTTTTTTTATTGTAGATTTTTTTTACATTGACAGCAAAATATTAATATTAATAAATATTAATATTAATGGCCCTTGAAAAAAATATACTAGTTTTATTCTTGTGAAACATATTTTTAATATCAATAGGACATTAATTAAAGTGTAAACATTTGATATAACATACATGTACACCATAATAAAAGCATAGATGTGTAACAATATGTTTCTCTGTAAAATGAAACAATAATAAAAACAGGATTTTATATATATATGTATGCAAAAACAGATAAAAACATATAAAACTCATATTACCCTCAGAGGAATAAAAGTAAGATTTGGGACAAGATCTAATGTTATGCAAGTTTACAGACATTTTTTATTTTCGGGTAAAGGACTGAGTTGACCGTTACAAGGTCAGTGTGGAGAAAAATAAGGTTCTCTTCGTGACTTTAGGTTTGTGCTGACTATGGCACCCCCCTGTGGACAAAGTGGTACCTGTAAGAGCTTACTGGATTTTGTCCTTTAAATGATTTAATAGTGTTTAAAAAAATCTAACCTTGCTTTATTTAAACAGTCGGATATATCACTCAGTGTTGCCATGAAAATCTAAACAAAGGCTGATTCAGTAGCGTGCAGCTGATTACTACAGTATGCAGGTGCCCCCGTCAGAGGTTTTAGACATTTAAAATAAGATATGGAAATAGTCAGTCTTGATGGTGTTGGTCTTGTTGCTTTTTTAGGTCCTAAAGAGGCCCCAGTCTTAATTAAAGTATGTTTAATCACCAGCTAAAAACTCCTTATAGGAGCTTTAATGTCCTCAGGACGGTCCAGCACTCCAACTTAAAGCAAAGTCTAAATTCATGTCAGTTTTGTTATTTATCAGCTTTGCATTGTTTATTTAATGTATTTGTCACTGTTTTTCATTTTCTTGGTGTTGTCTTTTTCCTTTCTTATTTATTTTTGAACATATTGAACTCCTCTTCTCTTAATGTAGTTAGGGTTCATCTGGTTAATTTTCTGATGGCTCTGTTGGAAATTGAATACGTTGGGTGGACAAATCTTAAAGTACTCTAATTTGATCAACCGATTCGGCTAATATATCTCAATAACATAAAAGATAATCTATTTACTCAATCTCCAATTTATTAATATAAACATGAATTTGGCTAATTATGGAAGTAGTATCATGAAAAACGTGATTTTCATGATGTTGTGGTTGTCTGAGTATCATGGGTCCCTGGGTAGCTTCAGCATTTCCTTTGACATCTTTGAAGGCATATTTGTTTCCCTGATCCAAAACCTGCTTTTTCCTACAGGCACGTGTTCCCGAGTGATTTTCACCAGCAATAGTGATAGAGGGTAAAGAAGGTTTGGGTGGATATGATAGCTGCTTATAGGGAATAAGGTCAGTAAGAGTGGTCCTGGAATTTGCATGCTATCTTTATTTAGCGCAGTGGTTATGAATAACTATCTTATCACATCATATAACTGAAGGAAATTCATATGGTGATCAGAAATATTTGAGTCAGCTGGTCATTTTTACTCACTCTAAATCTGCCATATTTTGGTTCCCTCTCCTGCAGCTGTTATTGTGCCAAGGACCCTGAGTCTTCACCAGGGAAGACTCACATGCCCCAGGAATGGATGGAAAAGAAACAAAGTTTACAGCTTAGAAATATGTCTTTTTAGGAACTTTTTGTTCATGAATGCCTAATTTCAGTTATTTTGTTGCATTTTTATATGGTCCCCTCATGGCAACTTTTTTCCTCCCTTTGGACATTACACAGTTAAAAATAAAAGAAAACTACTTTAATTTGTCATGTTTTATCCTATTTTGATGATAAGTACTTTTCCTTGGGTAGGGGAGAGTGGGGTAAGATGAGCCATTTTTCATATTTCAGATCACTGTATCAAGGCAATCATAGTTTTGTCTCTAACTAGTGTATCTGCATATAATTCAAGATGTTGTTCATCCCTGCAAACCAACAGAATGAGTGTAGACATAACTGTGAGTGCAGCTCTGTCTAATGATTGAAGACCCTCTGAGGTGACGAATCAGAGCATGTAGTTGACATGTATTTCCATAATAAAACATCATCGTCGTCGATCTTTCCTTTCTTGAACTCGGAGGTTTACTTTGCATAACTTAACGATATTTTTTACAAATAATAATGACAAAATCGAGACCCGGTGTTAACATGGTCAAAAACTATTGTGCTCTCAAGGACCCACAGCTGCTCTAATTACCCAAGAAAAACCCACAGGTCTCACATTACATGTCTCCTCCAATAGGAGAGCTGCAGTAGTACTTGGCTCCAATTAAACTTTAAAGTAAAACTATACAACTGTTCAGTCTCTCAGAATTCTAATCAGGATAAATAACAAAATTATTAATTATCTGTCAAATTATCAGTAGTGCACGAATGACTCTAACAATAACTGTCTTGATAATATAGCATGCCAAAAAAGTAAGTAAGTAAGTAAACTTTATCTGTATAGCACTTTTCACAGACAAAAGAGTCACAAAGTGCTTCACATAGACAAAAATAAAAATGTACGTACAAATTAAAAGGCCAAGACAACAACATTAAACGGTCAAAGCAGCCTGAAAAACAATTAAACAAAGGCCTGAGCAAATAAATAAGTTTTGAGTTGGCTTCTAAAGGAGTCAACAGAGTCAATTAAGCAAAGAGGGAGAGGAAGATCATTCCAAAGCCTGGGAGCACCTGGAAGGATCGGTGTAAGGGTGGAGCCTGACCATGCAAGGCTCTAAATGTTAAAAGTGGTCTCCTATGGTCAACTTACCCCCTGTATGGGGTAACCCTAACCCCCCACTCTCCACCCCAGCCCTCCCTCACCTTCTCTCTCCCCAAATAACAGTCACTTCTCCACATTCATGTGTATTTTTAATCTATTATATGCTATTCAACTGGTACAATGATTCTTTTTATTATTATTGCATATAAATGCTAAAAAGCTGTTTTGTAAAAAGTGATTTTAACATGAAAATGCCTTTAAGTGATTCAGAATATTCACAGCTGTATTTTTTTTAAGAAAAATTTAAACAATCTGAACTGAAACTCTGATCCTCTCATCAGGCTCATTTTTCACTTTATCCCTCACCCTCATCATTGCACCTTTATTAGTACTGTATTGCATTTATTTGCACTATTGTGTCCATATTGCCATATTGGCACTACTGTGTCCACATCAGGACTGCCATACTATTTACATTCACTTTCTTCCAATCACCTCCCTCCTTATATTTATACTGTACACTGTTTATACTGTTATGCTGTTTATATTATCTTTATTTTGTAAATTGATGTGAGTACTTAAGGTAGTCTTCTGTTTAGCTTAGTTGTTCATTCTATATTTATAATTTTATAGTTTTATTCTTATAGCTTATTGTTATGCACCGTGGGTCTGAGAGGACTGAAATTTCATCTGTGCTGTATGTTTAACATGTATAGGATATTTGACAATAAAGTTGAATTTGACTTTGACTTGACTTACTTTCTTAGTTAAACCCCTGGATCAACTTACCCCAGAACTACTTTTAGGACTTTATTAGTCCTCTAAGCTAAAATGGTTGACTTTCATGTTAGGTTTTTGACCTCATATTGTAGCTCGTAGATACCACAATTGATGTTTAAAACAAATTTAAAATGGTCTTTTTTTTTGGTCTGAACACAATTCTAATAAAACTTATGACAGACTCAATTCACTTTCAAGAGGGATTTTTTTTTCTTTAAATAAATGTCTAACCCCTTCACCCATGTGCTTCAAACCTTCACAGACTCCATGAATTGATGCCCATCTCCTAAATATTTGTTTCTTTTACCATTTCCAAGCAAGAGTACCCAGATGCAGCGCCAAGATGGCGGACCCAAAGATAAAAAACCACATTTACAAAACGCAATAAGTTTCCGCATTACCTCCGATTGGCGGACCCAAAACATGAACTTTGAACTTCTGCTTTGCGATGCCAGAACAGTAGGTGGCGGTATGCACCTACACTTTCTGACGGCAAAATTTACAGAAGAAGAAGAACTCTCAGGAAGTTTGAAAAGAAGCAAGCCGTCCGCATTCATTCAATCTCACCTCCGACCACTCAAACTAACCCTAACCCTGCATTCCATTGTTTCCATCATGGGAAATCTAAGTGACGCTCTCAAATTAACAGGAACATTGCGCAGAAGATATGTCCTGGGCAATGGACTGAGAAAACGGGCAGAGATTTGGAGGTATTTGTGCATGCTTTATATTACAGTTGAAAAGTGTATAACAGCTTTCCAATGCTGTTACTTGTGGCGAACACCTTTTTGCTTGAGTTGATGCGTGCCCGCAGGTGGAATAATGTCACATGTCACACACATTTTCTGTTGTTTTGATTTATTTACTCATTCATCATTTTATGTGCGCACCTCTCCTAATCAACCCACCCATTAAATAGACAGGCACAATAGCACCATCTGCTGGCACAAAAAATACATAACAATAAACTGCAAAACCCCAATCTGGCTCCTACAAAGTGTATGTGACAAGATGATTAACGTTTGCTTTTGTTAAATCAGGGCTTCCCCAGCCAGGACTTCGGCTCAGACTGTGGCATATTCATGTTGATGGTAGGTCATAACGAGCTGTAATGCACAAATATTGTATCTAGAATAACTTTCCAACATGAACTTTTTTAAAGTTATCTCACATGTTGTCTCATAATTTTTTTTTTTAAGTCTGCCATGTACATCGTTATGAAGTCACAGTTTGACTACTCAGTTGTAAGTACTTTTCAACACGCAGTGTCATCCTCAAGATTGTATTTTGTATTGTGCACTAAAATGAAGCACAAACAACAATTTCAGCATGACATGCCTGTTTGGCGGCGATGGTGGTGCCTGTTGCTCCTGGAGAACAATTCTTTGAACAGGTAGACAGTTTAAGTAAACTAGATGTCCTAATTAACTGGAAGACAATCAATATATTGTACTTAAAGACATATTGTCATTACAGTTGTGGGAAAATCTTCGCCCACTGGACCAAAGAATGTCAAGAGCTCATTGCTGGAAAGCATACTCCGGTCTTCAGTCTAAAGAGGAAGGCAGAGCAGCAGGACATAGAGGTTAGAAAATTGCCTTGTAAAAACAGTATTATCTCAGTGGGAGTCCTTCAAAATGCACACAGTTGTATGGATCAACATTGTCTCGATGTAATTGGTAATTGATGTTACTTTTCAAATTGCCTTGTCAAGGAAACCATGACGCAGACGGTATCGGATGTCCAAAGAATGTGCATGGCAGATTCAATGCAATTCTGTGTCTACCAGACATCGAACAACACAGGAGAGAGGTGTGTTGCAGACTCAATTTAATAAATGCAATTATCGGGGCCTATTCAGTGATTTTCCATGAAGTGACCACTTTTACATATAGTTTAAATGCACGAATCATGCAGGAAAATTATTTATACATTCAAATGTGCTGCAGAGGTATAATCAATTGGACAGCGTGTTTGTTTAATATTATGTTTGTCTCTCATTTGATCAGATTGCTTTACCCTGAGGTAAACGTCATAAAATGGGTCCAGTGCAAGACGTGCAGGGGCTGGCTGCATCAGGATTGTGCTGGGATTGAAATGGAGCCGTTTGACTGCGGGTGCGAGGACTCCATTGAGCATCCTCGGTATAACATAATTTATCAAGGAAACATAGTATCAGTCAAAAATACGAGGCTCAAAGGATGAAAAAATGAGGGCTTGCTCTTTTCTTATTTCTCTGCAGGATCAAGGATGCTGTTGACAGTTGAGGAATTCATGCTGTCTTTTCTAAGACACAGATCAAGGTTGCTTTTGAATGCACTATCAGTTGTTAAAGCCACCGTTTCTTTTTCAGATGATTACATTTTTGTCTCTTGCTCTTTGGTTTCAGACATTACACGATGATCTACTGTCTGGAAAGATCCGCTCCAACAGAATGTTCCTTTGGAGGAATCCCGCCACCTCACTCCGACTAAAGCAGCATCTTAAGATAAGGACACTAAGTTGGAGTGAGCAGCGCGTAAGTAAAAATGCCATCCATCATGAGTATTTTTACTCTCAGGGGTGTTACATTTGAAAGGTGTTTACTTTCTGTGTTTTTCTTCAATAGATGTTCGAGCTCCTGCGGTTCATTGAGGTGGCAACAAACATTTCTAAAAAAATAAAGAGAGGCGAGATTCATCTGCTTGATTTCGTTTTTGACGTCATGCTCCCAGAGGTGAGTAGATCAAACTATATAGCTTGCTTTGAAAATTGATGATATTGTTAAGAGGTTGTTCTTATTCATTTGGAAAGCTCAAGAACAACAATTAACCCATACTGCATAACTTCAATTGTTCACATTATTTGACTGTTTTTCAGCTTTTGATCAAAGCACTGAAGGAGCATGGCATCAACCGGTTCAGAGCAGAGCTGATGATGGCCTGTGGCAACGTGTTTTAAGACCCCAACCACACCGACGGCAGTGCTGAATTTTGTATATATATATTTTTTTTTACTGTTCACAATTTTGTTTGGAAAAAATTAAAGAAATCTTCAAAGCAGTTGTATGACAATTTCCCATTTCTTTACACAGTCTGTAATGATATCGCTATTCAATTGTTTTTGCTATATGGCTCTTCTGAACCTTAAAGAGATCATGTGACTTGTGTCTCTACAACTATTGTATACTTGGATTTTGCACAGTCAAGCAATCCTGAAGAGGTTCACCAGGAAGCACACCATTTCATAAATTATGTCCCTGGTTACACAATGTTACTAAAGGATGGGGGGAGTAAATTTGTGCAGCAACATAAGCACTCTCATAAAACATAATTATGAACAACAGAAAATATGTGAGGGTCAGGGCAACATTGTTGACATTAAACGAGGTCCTAATAGGAGTGGAGAAACAAGGTCACAGAAAAGTTAAGAAACATTGATGTGCTGTGTAATAAAGCTATTGGAGAGAAAAGTTAGAAAACACTGTTATATGATGTGTAACGAGAGGTTAAAACAGTCCATACTTGTAGCAAACTCTTACAAAAGAATTTGAGTAAGATGATAACTTCTACATACATTTACCTATTCTGACAAATTATCAGAATATGAGGACATCAGGCTATATATACATATTACTGTAAACTTCAGAATTAAATCAGAACAAAACAGTAGTCATAATTAATACATAAACGTTTTATTTTGATTTTTAGCTCAATAATAAATTTAATTCGATTCTTATGGAATGAACGGAGCAAAAAAAAAAGGATCCGGCGACTAAATCCGACTACCTGAAGTATTTCGGCGCCGGAAGTCCGCCAACGAGAAAGCCTTTCCACCGGAAGTAATTGTTTTGGGTCCGCCAATCGGAGGTAACGCGGAAACTTATTGCGTTTTGTAAATGTGGTTTTTTATCTTTGGGTCCGCCATCTTGCGCTGCATCTGGTCTCCTCTCTTTCCAAGCAACAGGGGGTGGCTCAACTTACCCCAGTCTCCCCTAAACATAAATTTGGCTAATTATGGAAATAGTATCATGACAAACGTGACTAGAATTTTTTATGTATCTCGCCCTCCTTGCTAATGATATTTGTGGTATTAATTATTACATAAAATAGTTATTAATCGAAAATAACATTTTTTTTATTAAAGAAAAAAATCAGAGGACGAAAAAGGAAGAGGACAAACGAAGAAGAACTCTCTCGCTCGTCACTTCCTCCCTCGGCTGCACTGGGTCACGTGATGCCGTATTAGCTCGCTGACTCTGCTATGTTTGTCGTTTGTCGGAACGTTTTAGAAATGAGAACTTTTTCACCGGTTCCGGTCCATCGGTGCCCCGGGACGCCCTTTAGCCGCTCAGAGACCCGTTTTCATCGACGCCGGACGAGGAGTTCGAGGGTAAAAACGCCCGCTGTTGGCCTGCACGTCACGTGACCAGCATGCGGCTGAGCGTTTGATAAAAGATGGCGTGAGCGCGAGCGCGGCGGAGCGGAGAGGACAACACATCTGAAGTATCGAGCGTGAGGCACAGCGCGAGACACGGCGGTAGTTAACCCGTCAGGTGAGATGATTTCAGCTTTGAGAGCGTATTTTGGCTTTCTTTCTGTTACTTTTATCTAAAACTTCAGTTTGTGTGGGTTTTGTGGCGTAAATGTACGAATTTAACGCTCAGACTAGCCGCTCGTGCTACGTTAGCTTCAGACAGCGATGACAGTGCGCGCGAGGGTGCCGTCAACAACACCGCAGCACAGTCAGGGTGTAGTTACCTCACCCAGGTACATTTGGAGGAGGCTGGGAAGGACACGCGTTGACACCTGGATGAGTTTAAGCTCGTGAAATAGTCACTATTTAAACTGCGTAAGTTTGTTATGTAATTAATGAGTAACTTAATGAGCACGGGCGTAATCAGCTAGCTAACAAGTCGTTGCGTTTCAGTGTTAACAGCGTGTTCGTTAATATCAAACTCTACGAGAAAGAAAGTTAGAAGAAAAATAACACTCTTAAACAACGATTAAGGTTTTATTTTAGCTCGTATGTTGTGTTTAGGACCAACTGACATTTGTGACAAGTCTCCGTGGTAACCGTTACTTCACAGTTACGGCAGGGATATTTTTATTTCTTAACATTTTGCTGATCAAGACTCGCGTGTTTTAAAGTAATTTGGCATTTCGGAGATTTAAAAACAGCAGTTGACTTCAATATATCTGACATTAAAACGAAAGTGTCTTTCAGTTACAGTAAGTATACGTTAGCTTTCTGTTGTTATGCCGCATTCAAGTGCAGCTTAAATACGCGGAATTCTCAGTTTTGAAGGCGAGGTATTTGTTTTGAAAGCACCATTCACACAGAGAAGAATTTAAACTATAAGATACTTAAACAGTATCAAAAGAAACGTGAATTTAAGTAATCATATACTTGTCTCGTCGATTTGGTTAAATAATTTAATATCTGTTAAATAACTTTCTGATGCCAACATCGTGCAAAATTACAAATTCTGTTTTCTACACGGTTTTTAAGTTCTACATTCCATCTGTAACTGAAAGCTCTTTAATAGTTCTTTATGATTATTCTTTTCACTCCTCAATTAGTATTACTTATTCGCTTTTATTTACTGTATACTCTTTTTTCCGATTATTTCGTCAGTGCCTGAACGCAGCATTAGCAAAGATCACAGCTAGCTTGGCTGTGTCACCCTGGTCCAACCAGGCCAGTTTAGCTGGTGTAACAGCCGCAAGTCATGTGCACACTAACTGCTCTGCACAGTAAACTGTTCGTGGTTTAAAATATTTGGTTCTATGATATATTGTAGACGCTGTTTGTTTAAATTAAAACCACCCAGAGGGGCTAAGACGCTGTCGGGGGTGGAAGGACCAGGAAGCTGCACGTACCGATGTAGGGCAGAGCTAACACGTGTCTTGTTTTGGGTCACTTTGGAATAAGTCTGTGACCTGACCTGGTGTGTAGACATTGCTGTTAGTCTTTTTTTTTTCTTTTATTGAGCAGTAAATAGATGAAGTGACGCAATTTAAAGTTAGTGCTGCATGTTTTTGTTTCATTTTCACTTCTGCCGGTGTAAAGTGTACGACAAGAAACGGTGAAACTGAAATGATCTTGCCACCTTTAAGTTGATTGAGTTACACATGTGGAGGGGAACCAAATGGTTTTATTTAAAATACTTAAAAACTCGCCATTGATTAACTCTTTTCTGCGTAAACAGTGCTGAAAATGTTGTTTCCATTACACATGTGCTCCAACATGTGGCTCTGACTGTACTAACTGTTTTTTTTGTTTATCAATATTTTTCTGATCACATTATTTCTATTGCTACATCACTGCTGTGTCTGAATACAGGGTAACATTTAAACAGTTGAATACATCTATGTGCTTGTATATATAATTAGCCACATGTGGAGTATGATGTTGACTTAACCAGGGTTGTCTTGGGGATGAGATCCCGTGTCTCCGTGAGATTTCATTTTAAACTAGATTTTAAGTAAAAAGTAAGACAAATGAAATAGCTCAAACTGAGAAATTTCGGGTGCAAAATTTTACATTTCATAAGCTACCTTGTGAGAACAGGCACCATTGATCTAGAGCTCTCAAGCCGATGGTAGAAGAGCATTCCAATAGTTTGATTAATTGCTTTTTTAATTATGTGTTATAAATTCCTTTGATTTGCACTTCAAAATAGTTTTTCAGTCTGAACATTGGCGAAACTGCTCCTACTTGAGTCCTTGTGTGGGAATCAAATGAATACAATCTGATGTTCTTTTTCATTTAGATGTTTCTAGATTTACTATTCAAAGACATGCTGCACTGCTACACTAGTGAGGTCCAAAACTACAACTTTGAGGCAGTATCTTTAAAGAGCTTATTCACTCAAGTAATGGTTTTATTTATGTACTTATTTAAAGGGATAGCACTGTTATTTATTGACACCTATGCAAGGCTGTAGTTAAAAATGTCTAGTCAGTGTCAGTTCGATGTGCAGTTATACTGAAAGAGTTTTGATAACTAACTGAATTCCAGTGGTCCCTGGTTAGTGCAACAGCATTTGTACTTCTTAGGAGTTGTAGTTGTTGTTGCTTCATTTGTTTCGTACTGGTCCTGTATGTGTTAAACTATCTCTGTGCCAATCTGTGGACATAGCTTAGCTTTATTCAGAGCGTTCTCAAAGTGAGAATTTGATAAATGAGTGGGTCAATTAGTATCATTTTTTAAATTAATGCCAGAGGTCTGCACATTTGAGGAAATTTAACTTCATTGTTTTGTCTTTTTTCTTGAAATTAATGTCAAAGTTATTGATTTTACCATCTCTGTTTATTATCTGTTAGTCTGATGTCGTCTTTCCTTCATTGTTGTGTAGCTGTATCTTCTTATTTCCGAATGAATTGGCTCTGTCTGCTCAGTACATGATCATTTTTAACAGCAGAATATAAATGTTTGTGTTGCAGATGGATCCTGGACAGGACTTACTTCTCGCTGCCCTCAGTGAGAGTGGCATTTCTCCAAATGATATTGGCCTATTTGATGTTGATTCTCAGGATGTTGCACAGGCTTCCACAGCCCAGCAAGTAAGATGGTCTTTGTTTATCTTTATAATGGAGCAAGGATGTTTAATTCATAGCTGTTTGTTAATGGTCTATTTTATGGTCTTCCTCCAGTCCATCTCCATCAGCACCCTGGATACTGGTGTGGGTACAGAGTCCATGGAAGCTGTTCGAGCAGAGCCCCCAGCTCCTGTCCCGATTGTTGCTATCAGAGTAAGATTACAAAAATTTTATTATGATTTATTGATATCAGAAACAGGTATCAATTCATGGTGTGTTTTAAAACCCACTTTTTATCTTCTCCCCTCCAGCACAAACCTCAGCCATCAACCACCACGTTTGTCTTAAATCAGCTGAACCAGTTACCGTCACTTGGATCTGTTGTGACCAAACCATCAGCCACAAACAACATCAAACACACCATAACAGTCACCAAGGTGGTTCATGTTACTAACTCAGCCCTCAGAGGTTCACCCACTCCCTCCTCCACAACTATCCCCCCCTCAGTGTCCACAGTTGTGCCTTCCAACAGAGATCAGGTAAGTTTTGGTCACACAGTGTTGGGAGGTTGTCACAGGATGGAAAAAAAAGAGTTTAATCACATTTTCTTCATTTTATTTTTATTTTTTTATAGCAAATTCAGTTAAAAGACCTTCTGAGGACCAGCAGTGTGAAGAGCACCGGTCTCAAGGGTAGCAGTCTTATGGAGCTCATGAAGCTAAAGCCTCCACCTGACATTGCTACACCTGTAGCCACGGCAACAGCAACAGGTATTTAATTCACCTCTTGATGCTATAAAAACTGCATTTATTTTTGTCTTTTTTTGTGTCCTTCATACTTTGTAAACACTTGTGTCTTACATTGGAGTGATGATTAAAAACACGAGTTCACCTGACGTCTGATTAAGCAGATTTTTAAGCTCAAAGCTGTAGCGTTTGATGTCAGTCTCTAAGGTTTCGTGTTGATTTATACATTGTATTTTTGGAGTTACTTGGTGATTTATTAAGTATTGATTTTTGAAGGTGCAAATCATGTAGAAAGCATTTGAGAGTTTGATGTGTGTGAAGCCAAAGGAAAAACATTTTCTGTGTTTATTCTAAAGAAAAGATGCTGCTGGATGGAGAAATGAGTGACTAAATTCATCTGTGCCATTAATACCAATGCATTTACGTTTGACTGAAACATTTAAATAGTTTACAGGCAGATTTGTTCAAAAATTGATTTTTGATTTCTGCAACTACATAGTTTTAGTTTTATGAATTCTGACAATTCACCAGAAACAAATCATTTCATTCATGAAGTAGTTAGTTAAAACGGAAGGCCCCCAGGACAGAGTCTTTACTGTGTTTGTTATATGTGTTTACGTGGACTTGAGTATCCAGTTTTGAGTGGATTTTTAAAGTGCCTCATTGTCGTGTCTGTGCACATAAACATCTCATTAAAAAAATAACTCGTTTTGCTGTCTGGACAATAAATGGGATACTGTGGCACACATAGCCACCCCTCACCCTGGTTTCTGACAGCTGTCGGCTGTAATGTATCAGCAAAACAAACATCGCAGCAGCTTTGAGTTATAAAAGAATTAGTCAAAAAAGGAAATTTATATGCGTGTGAGTAAATCTACATGATGATGACAACTCTGTCCCACCAATCATGGCTGTCCATCTTCACTCCCTTGTGTAATGTAGTGGCAGTGACAGACTTGAACCAGTCAGTTGAGGACACATGTATTAGTCGCTGTCACTCTCTTCTTCTCCAGTTGCGGGAAATGAGGAGTAAACGCCACATCTGCAACACCATGCTGGCATGTAAAAGCCTTCCATAAACCACAGCACTCTCATTTTTCTAATTTTTCTCAGATTTGAACATCCCTGCAGTTTGTGTTGTAAAATATAAACATCACAGGCGTCTAGGTGAATAAGATGAGTATTTATCATGTATACAGGGATGTGAATAACCAGCTTTCTCTGTGCATTCAAGTGTTCATGTCCCAATATGATCAGAACTGGGATAAGGCTCAAAAGAAGGATACCTGTCTATGTGAACACTACATTTTTGGTCTAAGGAGCAGTCGTGATGAGAAAATGCAGAGATATTTATCATTAAAGAAACAAAGAGCAAATAAACATTAATCCCTCACAGGCTTGAAACTTTTACACCAATTCTTTATCTTGAAGACAAAGACCACAAAGGGTCTGCAGTGAACAGTGCTTTTAAGAGAATAAATCAGGGCTTTTTTTGCAACCTTGTCCTTTTCAACAATCTTCATCCTCAAACACTAAGAGACCAAGTTAAGAAGTCCACCAATCACCAATATGTATTTGGTGATAAAAGTCTGTTTTAGAGTAAATGCTGTGTCTCTTAAATTCATCATAAAATCCTCTGAATTGTTATTTTGCAGACAAAGGACTCAGAGCTTCAGTAGTCTTTTTTCTTTTTCCAAAGCTGATGAACTTTCAAATGAACATTTGTGAATAATGGGAAACTGTCAGACTTAACACATCATGTCTCTGCTGGTGTTTCAGCTGAAACAAACAACGGCATCAAGAAGGAGGTTTTGGGGAGAGACGCTGCCAGGATCTGGATAAACGACAACACTAAAGTGCAAAACTTTACACATATTCTGGTGAGTACCACAACATTAACTCGGGGAGATGATCCCTGACAAACAATAAGCACGGTTTGGTTCAGGTGATGATGAAAAGTTCAGGAATATTGTAAAAACTGGTCTCATTATGTCAATCAGAAACCTCCGGGGATGAAGGAGGAGGACGAGCCTGAGGAGGAAGAGGAGGAGGAGTTGGGCCATGCAGAGACTTATGCAGAGTACATGCCCATGAAATGTAGGTATCACTCACTACTGTTTACAGTACAATGATGGCGTTATTGAAAAGAAATGGTCCTTAACCCTGCAAAGAACCTGAAGCACACATATCCCTGAATACTGATAATCAGGACCACACCCAAGTTTATTGAAGAGCCACGTATGTTTGGGAGACTTTCCCATGTCCATCCATCCACTGTGAAAACAAGTGACTGAATTTTTTTCCTTCTGGCCAATCACTTTGCAGTGAAGGTCGGCCTTCGACATCCAGATCCCGTGGTGGAGACCAGCTCCCTGTCCAGTGTCAGCCCCCCTGATGTTTGGTACAGACTGTCCATCCCAGAAGAAGTGATTGATCGAGGCTGCCTGTCAGCTCTGCAGCTGGAAGCAATCACATATTCAGCTCAGGTGAGAAGGAGTTTCAGAATAGTGTGACAATCAATATTAGTAAGCTGAGAAAATAGGGAAAAAAGCAAACGCTGAGGTTAGACAAAGCTCAAACAACTTCAAAGATGCATATTATCCAGAATGAATTTCCATTAAGGACTGGAATTGAATCCAATTGATTGGGAAGGCTTTTTAATGGTTAGTGCCTAAAACTTAATAATAATAATAATAATAATAATAATAAAGAGCATTTTTGATCTAATATTTTTGTCTCTCAGCAACATGAAACATTCCTCCCTGGTGGTGATCGGGCTGCTTACCTAATTGGAGATGGAGCTGGTGTTGGGAAAGGCAGGACCATCGCAGGGATCATCTATGAGAATTACCTTTTAGGCAGGAAGAGATCACTCTGGTAAATAAATACCAACTATTAGCCTTGAAATCAATTCTGACGCCCCCAGGATTACACTTCCTGACCTGTCTTCTCCTCTCTCTGTTGTTCAGGTTTAGTGTCTCCAATGACCTCAAGTATGATGCTGAAAGGGATTTAAGGGATATAGGAGCAAAAAACATCCAAGTCCACTCACTCAACAAGGTGAGATGCTTCAAAAATACATAAATGCAAACACCGGCGTCAGAGAGACAAACCGTGACTCATTTTACTTTTCTATCCACAGTTCAAATATGGTAAAATTTCCTCCAAACACAACGGGAGTGTGAAGAAAGGAGTCATATTTGCCACCTACTCTTCGTTGATCGGAGAGAGCCAGTCAGGAGGGAAGTACAAGACCAGATTTCAGCAGCTTCTCCACTGGTGTGGAGAGGACTTTGATGGAGTCGTATCCTTTTCAAAGGGAACATTATGCTGAATCATTTTTATTTAATAAGCAATGAGCTTTCGATTTAGTAAATGAGACTGTACTTGTTGGGCTAAATAGAATGAAAGAGATTAAAACAAGGTACCAGGCTGTTGCTTTGGTTCCTGGCATCATTCTAATCCTAAAAACGGCCTACAGTGTTCTTACATGAAATTCAGAAAACAACTGACTGATGTTATCACCAGAACCCTCCTTACACCTCCGTAAGAAATGAGTTTCTGTGATTAAAGGTTGGTAAAATCACAAAATAGTATTATTTTACAAAGTTTTTTTTTTATTCCCTTAACCAAAAGTGTTCAGATCGTCTTTGATGAGTGTCATAAAGCCAAAAACGTTTGTCCTGTTGGATCATCCAAACCTACGAAAACCGGGCTCGCAGTGTTGGAACTGCAGAACAAACTCCCAAAGGCTCGAGTCGTTTATGCAAGTGCTACAGGTGAGGACATGTTTTTTTTTTTTTTTTTTCCAAAACAATCCAACTTGTTTTCAACTTGTCTGGATTTGGGTAAATCAGTAAAAAATGTTGATGTCACTCTCAAGGTGCCTCTGAACCACGAAATATGGCCTATATGAATCGTCTCGGTATCTGGGGACATAAAACACCCTTCAGAGAATTTGGCAACTTCATCCAAGCTGTTGAGCGCAGGTAAGTTTCTCTCCTACGCAGAAAATGTAGCACATATCCAAAAGTGTGAGGCTAAAATGTGCCCAACATGTTTTTTTTTAACACTCTATTTCAGAGGTGTGGGCGCCATGGAGATAGTGGCGATGGACATGAAGCTGAGGGGGATGTATATCGCGAGGCAGTTGAGTTTTACGGGTGTAACCTTTAAGATCGAGGAGGTTCCCCTGAGTAATAAATACATCAACATGTACAACAAATCAGTGCAGCTGGTAAGTTAAAGGAGATAGATCTGCATTTCAAGATCATCGCTGCCGTTCTTTATTTGTTTCCAGTCAATAAATAGATTTTTCTCTTCTGCTTCTCTAGTGGGTGACTGCCCGAGAAAAGTTCCAGCAGGCAGCCAACCTGATGGAGGCGGAGCAGCGGATGAAGAAGTCCATGTGGGGCCAGTTCTGGTCTGCTCACCAGAGGTTCTTCAAGTACCTTTGCATCGCCTCCAAAGTCCGCAGAGTGGTCCAGCTGGCGAGAGAGGAGGTCCAAAATGGGAAGGTTAGGCTGGTTCTTGACAGAACTGTTTATATAGAAATGATCTCAGTTTGTGCCTCAGCCTGTTATTTTAATGTGTGATGGAAAAAAAGGACTCCAGTCTGGTGAATAGAAATGGAGTAAAGTAGAATAAGTGGTTTATACAAAGGTGTGAATAAATCAGGGTATGACAGGGCAGTTAGGCAGATTTAAGAGACAGTTAAGAGTCCTCTACTTTCGTCACACGTGTGTTTATGTTGTTGAGGTTAAATTAAACAGTTTTTGTTTGTCTCTGACTCTTAAATACATCTTAATAACAGGTGTTTAAATCCCCCTGTGAAACCCTCTGTGTCTAAAATACTGAAACGGTTTCTCTGCAGTGTGTGGTGATCGGTCTTCAGTCCACTGGAGAAGCTCGAACACTCGAGGCCTTGGAGGAAGGAGGAGGAGAGCTCAACGACTTTGTGTCAACTGCCAAGTATGCGCTGATATATAAATATAGATATTTATGCTAACAGGCTAATGTTTGTGTGTCTCAATAATAAAATGTTGTTGCTGTTGTTTTTACAGAGGTGTGCTGCAGTCCCTGATTGAGAAGCACTTTCCAGCTCCTGACAGACAGAAGCTCTACAGCCTGCTGGGTATTGACCTCTCAGCCAAGAAGACTCCCTCTCCCAGTGAGGCTGCAGCAAAGCCAGAGCAGAAGGGCAAGAAGAGGAAAGGTGATAAACGTTTGGAGCTGATACTGCTGAACAGCTTTAACAAATTCAGACTTCCTCCTTGTTTTAAACTTTTTCTTTGTTCTCTTGTCGTCTCTTCAGGTCCAGAGGCCAAAAAGCAGCCGAAGAAAAAGTCGCGTAAACACGGTGGTTTGTCAGGAACGAGCTCGGACGAGAGCCAGTCAGAGGAGTCGGACAGAGAGTCGGGTAAAGACAGTGACGACAGCTTCAAGTCTGTCAGCTCAGGGGATGAAGACGACGACTTCAACCCATTCAGAGATGAATCTGATGAAGATGAGGAAGATGGTGAGGCATCTGAGGGAGAATAAATGAAGCTATTTTTAAGATGAGTTTGGTTTTCACAGAAAACCTCTTTGTCTTAGATCCATGGCTCATCAGAAAAGAACCAAAGAAAGGGAAAGAGAAGAAGAAGAAAAAGAGGAGGAAGAGTATCGATCCAGACTCCATTCAAAGTGCCTTGTTAGCCTCGGGGCTGGGCTCCACCAGGCCTGCTTTTACAGCTCCAGTTAACCCTTCCAGCACACCTGCCCCAGGTAAGCACATTGCACAAGCCTGGTTTGGCTCTGATTTCGCCTCTTTGGGGTTAATGAATGTGCTGCTGTTTCTGCTCACTCTTCAGTCAAGGCAGAGAGTCAGGACAGCTGCATAACAAGTCAGGACGCAGTGGAACAGGCCCAGCAGATGAAGAGAAAGCTGCTGGAAAAACTCGAGGAGCTGGCCGAGGATCTGCCCCCCAACACTCTGGACGAGCTCATCGATGAGCTGGGAGGTCCTGAAAATGTGGCTGAGGTATGGAAACGTGTAATCTCTGATCTGGTCAATTATCAGTGCTTCTGGACTTTTTACCTGACCTCTTGACTCCGCCTCAGATGACCGGCCGCAAAGGCAGAGTGGTCAGCAACGACGACGGCAGCATCACGTACGAGTCTCGCTCTGAGCTGGATGTCCCCGTGGAGATCCTCAACCTCACAGAGAAGCAGAGGTTCATGGATGGAGAGAAGGTGAGGGCAGACTCTTTAAATTCATAAGCTGACTCAGCTCTTGAACCAGTTCAGGATTAACATGTTTAAGCCCAAAGAGGCGTGTTATTTGTTGAACTAAAACTGAAAAGACGACAGGACTGACAGACTCTATTTATCCTCTCGCTTTTACCACCAGAACATCTCCATCATCTCAGAGGCTGCCAGCTCAGGTATCTCTCTGCAGGCTGACCGGCGAGTGAAGAACCAGCGGCGGAGAGTTCACATGACGCTGGAGCTGCCGTGGAGCGCAGACAGAGCTATACAGCAGTTCGGTCAGTCGATAATTAACCCTCCGTTTTTTTTTTTAAATATACCAGAGAGAGGTTGTACTTCCTCATGTTTTAACCGTCATACTGCTGTTTAGAACATCCTAAACATTTTTTTTCTCTGTTTGTTTTGGTCACAGGGAGAACTCACAGGTCGAACCAGGTCACAGCTCCGGAGTATGTTTTCCTCATTTCAGAGCTCGCAGGAGAACAGAGATTTGCATCCATTGTTGCCAAAAGATTAGAAAGCCTGGTATGGAGCTTTTCAATGTTTCATCACCATTTCTTTTTAATGATTGTTTTAAAGGCAGTTAAAAATGTCTGAATTATTTAGTGTGAGTGTTGATTTTTTTTTTTGTAACAGGGAGCTCTCACGCACGGAGACAGAAGAGCGACAGAAACTCGAGATCTCAGCAGGTTTAATTTTGACAATAAGGTGAGAGCTCTGAGCTTTATCTTGGAGGTTTTTTTAACGCTGTCCTCACTCTGCACTGTCTCATCCACGGTTATCTTTGCTACAGTACGGCAGGAGCGCTCTGGAAATTGTGATGAAGTCGATTGTAAAGCTCGACACTCCGTTAGTGTCTCCACCTGCTGACTTTAAAGGAGATTTCTTCAAAGGTATTGATCACACTTAATTGATTTCTGTATATTTATCCTTTTATTTTCTGAGTAACAACTTGTACTTGTCCTCTGCAGAAATACAGAGTGGATTAATAGGTGTGGGCCTCATAAATATCGAGGACAGATCTGGCACATTGTCCCTGGACAAAGGTGATTTGAAACAGTTTCATATCTTTGCTGTTATTCTCTCTTTTTTTCACTCTCATAATGTTCACATGAATCTAACGCACAAACTCTGTTGCTGTGACAGACTACAACAACATTGGCAAGTTCCTGAACCGCATTTTGGGCATGGAGGTCCAGCAGCAGAACGCCCTGTTCCAGTACTTCTCTGACACATTGGGGGCAGTGATTCAGGAAGCCAAGAAGAACGGCAGATACGACATGGGCATTCTGGGTAAGATAACCACTGTTCGACGTTTTCAGGAACAAACACAGCAGCCAAAAAAAAAAACTGGGGCAGAAGGGGTTTTGTGTTCTGTGTAGTGAATTATTTAAAGCACTTTGCTCCCTGAATAAAAAAATCTATTGTGTGTGAACATGCCTGAAGGGTGGTTTTTAGTTTCTAAATGATTTTCTGAGATGATTTACTGAAGCGGTCTCTGTCCTTTCAGATCTGGGCTCAGGGGATGAGAAGGTGAAGAAGGTGGACTGCAGAAAGTTCCTGACACCGGGCTACACCACGTCAGGGCATGTGGAGCTCTACACTGTATGTACCTGAATATATGGACTTCTGTGGGTGGGTGTGTGTGTGTGTGTGTGTGGAGAAAGTACCAACATAACCTGATCTGTCTGTTTCCAAAGGTGAGTGTGGAGAGGGGGATGTCATGGGAGGAAGCCACGCATGTTTGGGCCGACCAGAACGGACCAGATGACGGCTTCTATGTACAGGTAAAGGCAGGGTTTTTTTTTACCTCTTTTTAAAAAATTATATTTGGGCTGGAAACAGAGTGAGAGAGTTAATTCAAACAAACGTGAGCCAACTGCTCCAGGCGTAATCGGTTTTTAGGGCGTGTCCTTACACCATTAGACCAACGCCCTGAGGTGTGAGCAGGTTATAAGAGTTTTTTCACTGAAAGCTTTGGACTCGGCAGAAGTTAAGATGTGAGGTTTCCAGATTTAACTGTAAAAAACTATAGACTGTATATACTATGGACAACTTGGTTCCGCCTTCAGCCAGTATACAGATTTATAGCTGAAAAGTTCTCTGTAGTTCCGTGTTTTTTCTCCACTTCCTGAAAACAACATTGCGCAGTAGCTTTGTACAGGACAGTCGCCGAGAGTCGCTGTGATGACGCTCGGCTCAAATAGCGTATCTCCAGGGTGAGTTACGCAATCTTCGTACGCCCAAAGGCTGTATCAAGTGTCAATCATAGAGAACATGAACCCCCTAATAACTTTTAAAACTGAGCTTCACAGAAAAAAAGAGGACTTGAGCACAAACCAGTCTGACAGTAACTACATGTCAACATCACTAGCGGGGGGGAGACCATTCTATATACAGTCTATGAAAAAAAAAATCAGGCCATAAGCTGAGAACCTGTTTACATGTAGGTTTATATTAGGGAACCAAACTTAACATTTCCAGTATTTATGTGAGTGTTAGTTGGGGTGGTGATTGTCCTGCTTTGTCTGATGCCAGTCATGTCTCCTGAGAAATGAAAGTTTATTTTCCTTTTTGTTGGAGGATCATTTCTAGAGATATATTGGATCAATTATTTTATTAGTATTAGATTAATCTTCCTCTGTGCTTTTATCATTGCAAACTTTGCAATGAAGCAAACAGCGCCTTCACCAAATTGAAGTATCTTTAAAAGATGGATTTTGCTGTTATGATGCAGCCGAGCCGAAGTTTTCCAGCATGTTCATAAGAGTTCAAAGACATTCAGTTGTGATTTATTACACATCGAATTGGTGAAGTTGTTGCACCTCAGTGGATGTGAGCAGAGTGGAGCAATGAGGATTTCCTCTCTTTGCTTATGGAGCTCGTCGCTCTCTTAAAAGCCCCTTTAAGGCCTCTCCGTCCAGTCCTGCTCTGCACTGAACTCAGATTTCACTTTGCTCCTTTCACATCACTCACTGGTTACTTCATCCTAAGCTGCATTGTGTTTTAGTTTCTGCAAAGAAACTAAAACAGAGTGTGAACATTTAAGTTTATAACAGAGTGGACAAAGCCCCACAATCATTGCAAAAGAAGACGTTACACAACAGTTTGCAGGCTCAGTAGCACTCTGCCTGGGTTTGCTGAACAAATCTCTACATGTAAAGCTTTTGCAATCCTCCTGCAGAGTTTGATTTATGTGTCTGTGATTTTTTTTTTTAGATGAGGAACAACAAGAAAACAGCCATCTTGGTAAAAGAGGTGAACACGAAGAAGAGACTCTTCCTGGTGCACAGGCCGAATACAGGCAGACAGCTCAAACTGGAGACGTACGCGGACATCAAGAAGAAGTTTAAAAAGGTTATACAACGACGTCCCTTTTATCGTGAGTCCTGTTAGGAGGACACTGCCCGAGGGTAAATTGTGATTTTTTTTTTCTCTTCTTTTTTTCTGTTAGGTTTTGTCAGAAGACGCCAAGCAGCACTGGACAGATCAGTTCATCTCTTCTGCAAAAATCTGCTCTCATGCATACTGGTACGTGCTTTTGAAATCTGTGTAAAAAGGTTCAATCTGGCCCAGTTCAGGATTTTTTTCAGGACATGAGAACAAACCCAACGAAATGTCCTCATGTGTGTCACAGCCTGTTACGTAACCTTCATCTGTGCCATAGAGCTTCATTATTGTCCAAAGACTCGTATTCCTCATACACAGAACGCTTTCAGGAATCCATCTCAGTTTTCTATTTCAGGAACTTTATAAACAGGAAGTTTATGATCCTTTTTTTAAGCTGAACGTCTTCACTTCATTTTGAGAGTCACAAACAGGAAGAGAAATCACAGAGAGCTGCTGTGCTGATGCAAACCGAATCCAGATTATTTGCCACCATGTCCTGTTTGAAGTCTCCTTGTTTGTCTGGTTGCTCTGCCCGCAGGCGGGGAAACTGTAAGAAAGCCTCAGTGGGTCTGCAGTGTGAAGTCGGGCTCCGGTGTAGGACCTTCTACGTTCTGTGCGGCTCGGTGCTCAGCGTATGGAATGAGGTGGAGGGAGTACTTACCCCGGTCAGTGGAACCAACGTGAAGGTGCAGATAGTCCGACTGAGGACTGAAGACGGACAGAGGATAGTTGGTAAGTTAAAGTACTGATTGAACATGTTCAGTTTGTACCAGTAGACTTATTTTCAGCAGGACAGTGACTCACTAAAGGATAAGAAGTAGTCCAGTGGGACAGAATAACATCAGTCAATAAGATGCATAAATAAAAGTGAACCTCTGGACTAAAAACGAGTGTGAAACATGCTAATAAGGGCTTCCATCATGTGAGTAAATATTGCTACAGCTTCTTCAGCTCAGTGACAGCAACAGGAACAACCTGTTTTAATTATTTGTTCTTTATCTTGGGACTAAAAATCTCCATCCAGACCTCAAATTCAACGTTCAAACGATGGGAGTCATTGTTTAAAAAACAAGCCTGGTGAACAGGAGTGGCGGTGACTCACCAGTCAGCTGACTCGACTATTTGAATGTTTGATTCATGAGGGGAAATGCACTCTCTTGAAAAATGATAAAATAATTGATTTTTGCACCTGAATCATCAACATCTCCTTTGGGAAATAATGTTGCATTTAAGTTCATTATGGTTTCTATCTGCAGACTCTCAAGGCGACCTCTTAAATGAGCCGGTCTGATCCTGTCCGCTGCCGTCTCTAAACACTGTTACCGCCTCTTTGTTGTTGGGCTGTGCTGCATAGACTCAGACATGTTTTACAGGACAAACCAAAGGTCCCAGTGTCCTTCCATGTTAAACCATCCTGCTGATGTATATGAGGCACATCTTTTACTAAATCAAAAATCAATACCACTCTGATTCCTGACGAACAGTCAGGTGGATTCATCCAAATTCATTTTTATTCAGCTGCCTTTGTGTTTTGTATCTTCTGTGCTGAATCCATAAACTGTTTCAGACTCCTGATGTCGCTCCATGAACTCCTTAAATACTTAAATTTTCATGTTATTATCCCATAAGTCTGACCCCGTCTTTTCTCCTGCAGGACTCATCATTCCAGCCAATTGTGTGTCTCCATTAATCAACAAGCTGTCGACGTCAGACCAGTCCCAGCAGCTCGCCGTGCAGGAGCAGCAGAAACGCCAGCAGCTCCACCCCCAAAGTCTCTGTCACGCACCCAACACATAGTCCCAGGTGGACCAAGCCCATCTCCAAGCCCTCGAGTCCAAGCCCCAGTCCAAAGGGACCTGGCTCATCAGTCTCTGTCCCTGCACTGCAGGCTCCAGGACCGCTGTCCCATGTTTTGCACCCTCATGTCCCCCTTGTGTCTCTGAGGGCCTGAGCTGTCCCACCGTGCTGTGGAGACTCTCAGATGTGAAGCAGTGGTTTGTACAGAGAAAAGATTTCAGGGTTTTTCTTCCTTTTTTTATTTTTAAATCTCCAGAGACTCTGTTTTTTCACCTCGAGAGATTTGACGGGTGATGATCTGTCCTCTGACATTCAGAGTGAAACGTTTGTGATATATTGATGGAGTTGAACTGGGAGGGCATGTTGGCCTGTGGCTGTTGATTCATCCACTCCTCCTCCTCTGCTTTAAACTATTTAGTTCGGACTAACTGGTATGAAGCAAAGACTTTTTTTCTTGGCTCACAAGAAAGTCAGAGAGCTACCTTAGTTCATTCAAAAGTGGGCATTTAATGCTTAACTACAATCTTGTAATGATATGTGTGACTCCTCAGACATTCAGCACTAACATTGTAGAAGAGTTTATTTTGTTCAAATAAAAACCTACAGAAAGAAGTCCAAGTATCTACAGGGAATCCAAGTCTTTGTAGTCCTCGTATCAGCACGCAAGACAAATGTCATTTCAGGAATCTCAGTCCAACCTCAGTCTGATCTGGTTTTGTTTTTTCCTTGGTGGGTTTTATTCAACAGATTGATTCAGCTTGTCGTTTCATAGTCAAAGGGGCCAAAGATACAGAAGCTGGAGGAGACGTCATACCAGTTCTTACAGGTTTATAATTTTGATCCATAAAAAAGGGAGATTTATAAACCTGAAACAAGAAAATCAACCTGTCATTGCAAGAAAACAAAAAGGGTGGCTTCTGTTTCTTTTTAAAGATAGGGAGTTAGATTTGCTCTGTTAGGAGGTAGAGCGGTCATCCAATAACTAGAAGGTTGGCGGTTCGATCCCCGCCCTATCCCTAGTCGGTCCGTTGTGATTTTGAATGTTTTGTGGTGGTGGTCAGAGCGGCCGTAGGCACAAACTGGCAGCCAGTAGTAGTTTCCGTACTACTAAGTTAGTTTACCACCACCAGGATGTGACTGTGTGAGCGAATGAATGATATGTCCAATGTAAAGTGCTATAAAATCTGATTCATTATAGTTATTATTAGTTTACCCGACTATTAAACCAAGACTGTGAACTGAACCTTCAACAGACTGGTATGTGCATTTGCATTAGTTCAAACATCGACTGCTGTCAGACATCTTTAACAATCTAGAGCAAGTAAATATTCTCTAAAGATTATCTGGTTTGAACAAAGTATATAACTCCATACAAAGCTCATTCAGTATCTGCTAAAAACAGCTTTGTGATGCAGGTAAACCTCTGATCTGTACCTTCACACGAGTAAAGATGATTGTTGTTGTGATGGCGGTGATATCTTACAGGTAAATGAGAAGAAAAAAAACGTGCAAGCAGCCAAGGAACCGTGCGAAGGCTGATCTGTTTTTGATTTTCTGACAGGTTTGGGAGCTCTTCTCTCTGATCAGACGTCAGCTTTTGTTTTGTTTTGTTGCTTTTTTTTAAACTGAACACTTCTCAGGGGTTAAAGCGACACAAAGGCCCTCTTTAAAAACTCAAAAATAAAGAAAATCTTTCTTTTAAAAGGTCTGAAATGAATGATCATAACTCAAACTCCCCTGTCCTTCCTAACTCAGTGATGTTACTCTGTGGTTAACCTCCGCTGTCTTGAGCCTGGTTGGAGTTAAAACAGATGATTCCTCCTGTCTGAAGTACCTCTTCTCCTCAGTCTTTTTCTGGGATGTACTACATCAACTCTTAAAAATGACAGACCAAAAGTTCAGTGAGTGAGCTGTCCTCAGATCTAACATTTTAGAGACATCCATAACTTGTGGATTTCTGTATTTAAGTGTGGATTCTCCTTCGTTTGTGAGTGGAGTGAAACCAGAGTGAATTAGTCTTTGTATCATACCTGCGTTCATTTGTACACTTTGTAAAACTGAAATTCTTCATGCAGCACATCCTGACTTCACCGCACAGGTCTGCTCTCTGATCTTCTACTTTGAATGTCCGACATTTTACAACCACAGCTCTGGGTTTTTAATTTGTCATAATAAGGTCTCATTGTTTTTGGACGCAGCAGCAGATCGTCTCTCCTGAGGTTTGAACACTTGAAGGATTTCTTTTGTTTCCCCTTCCATCTCTGCACGAGTTGCACTACTGACAAAGAGTTGTACAAATTCAACAGGATCTGTAAATGAATGAGTGTAATGCTCAATAAAAAGCTTGTTATACTTCTACTTTGTGCTTCTTATTTAGAGATTCAGGGACATCCTAAAACGCATCACAAACAAACCTTCACTACTTCTTTTTTAGTCTTAAACCTTGTCTCTGCAGCCTAACTTTGTCATACATATATTTTATATTTATATTATGGCTTTCTCTAGAGATTAAAATCATGTCCTTGAATTTGTGTTTTACTTCCTGGATTAAATCATGCCAGGAAATCAAACAATATTTAGTCTATTCGAATTTTAAGTACCGGGTATTTCATAGACAGGATCTAACCTCTGTCCACCAAGAGTTTACATTGGTGAAGATAACTACATAATAAAGTGAGTTGCTTTTTTAACCTTACATTGTTCCCAGGGACAACAATATCAGTGTTTTATGACAAAATGAAACTCATAATAGCCTTAATTCAAAATAACATGACACCTATTGTACAAACATACAGCCATTAAGTGCTTCAATTCAATAAAAGTACATAAAAATGAGGGGAAAGTGAAATAAATACCAGTAAGATAGTGAATGTTATCCTACTCCAGATTCAAAAATCTTAATAAAATCTGAAATTAAAATCAAAGTATTTTAATTTCACCCTGTAAAGATATAGATTCCGGCATTTCTGTATCGTACTTTGACTTATATTGTGAATTTTAGATTGTTACAATTGTTGCCATTGACAAAAAATTCAGTGTTTTATGACAAAATAAAAAATCTCAGGATAGCCTTAATTCAACAAAACATCACACATATTGTACGAACATACAGCCATTAAGTGCTTCAATTCAATACAAGCACATAAAAATGAGGGAAAAGTGAAATAAATACCAGTAGATTCTTACCCTAGATTCAAAAATCGTATTAAAATCTGAAATTAAAATCAGTCTTTTAATTTTACCCGTAAAATATATAGATATAGAATCTATATGTAAATATAGACACATATTAATTGTATATTACAGCAGTATTGAATGTTAAAGTGCTTTAAAATTGTAGTTTTTAATCATTGTAATGTAAATGTATGTAAGCTTATGTCTGATTAAACTTCACAGAATGACCTCATTATGTCCTCTGAGGCTTTTATTTTGAAATTATTTTAATCAAACTGATTAAAATGTGCAATTCTCTTGTTGTTAATCAGTTTAATTGTGTTTTAAATAGGCACTGCCCTTTGCACATGCTTGTATTATCTGCCCCTTTGTGGGGTCCACCCCCAGCTTCACAGGGGTCCCTGCAGGTCATGACACCGGGGGCCAGGATTGGACCAAACCTGGTGTGTTGTCCAACCATGTGGCCATTAAGGACGACCATTATGATGATGATGATGATGGGTCACAAACTAAGAGTTTAACCGACTCTAGACTCCTCATTTGATTTGGAGAAGCTTTTTGAACAAACACAGACCTTTTTTCAACTTTACCTTTACTTCTCTTTTTTATTTGTTAGTGGAAAAGCTTTAAAGAGTCCCAATGGATGGTCCCACACAGACAAAGACAGGTATCTGAAAACCACTTCTTTTGTTTTTAAGCGTAAAGTAAAACAAAAGCACCAAAAAATGAGTGAAAATGTTAAAATTGCTGTAACTTAAAGCCAAGGAGCCTGTCTTTAAAACGCCGACTCTGTCTGTAATGTGGTGAAAGTTGAAATATATGTGTTAAAAAAGTGTAAACACCTCACAGGTTTTAACTCTTTCTTGAAAAAAGATTTCATCGAAGTGTTTTTAAAGTCTTCCTCAAAGTGTTCAATTGGAGAAATGATGCCTAAAATTGTCAATTGTGTGTTAAAAACCGTGTGAAACCGTGTGTGAATTCCGTCACTTAATGGTGGAAATCGGCTTTTTTAACCGTTTTCTCTCCTTGATAACCCGCAATGGATAGTAGCAGTGTTAGAAAGCATAGTGGGTGTCAATATAAAGTGACGGCCATATTTGCCGGTGCCGCTGTTGTAAACAAAAAGTGAGAGACAGACGCTTCACTGAATTTCGGGTCATTTTTATTTCTTTAATTTACAATGTCTTTGGGAATGTCTTATAAACCCAATGTCCATCAGCACATTCCGGGAACTTCAGGGAACCAGGGTAAGGAGAAAAACCGGGGGGAAATCAAAGTATGCGTCCGTTAAATCGAGTGTTAAATTCGGGGTCTCGGAGAATACCTGGAGAAAGACCGTGTCTGTAGTTTTTGTCCAGTTATATATATAGGGTCAGATCCTGGGAGCTAGGCTAATTCATATCCGCCATTATTACTAATGTAAAAGAGCGCCATCCGTGATATCAGGCGGCCGAGAAACACGGTTAGGATGAGAAACGAGACGGCGACGGTTCCTAAAATGTGGTTCTCCGTCGTCCCGGGTCCTGGTCCCGCTGGGTGGGAGCCGTTACACGGTGACAAAAATGTATCACTTGTGTCTTCTTGAGCCAGCTTGTTCCGTTTCCTCCATGATGCTCCTCGGTCGGAGCTGCTGATTGATCTGCCTCTGAATTTTTTTATGACTCTTCGAGGACATCTCGCGACCGAGGGTGAAAATTACAGCCGAACAAAGCGGCAGGGGAGCGGCGAGGGTGGAGGACCGAGCCCCGCCAAACCTCTGTCATTTTTACCGAGATTTAAGGAGTTTCTTTGTGAACCCTAGCCTAAAGGAAAAGTTTGAGGTCGACGCTTGTATGTTGTTTTTTATTTTTTATAGAAAGTGAAGGTATATAGAAACAAAATGTACCTCTAGTTGGTGAGTGAGAGGAAACAGTGGAGGACAAAAACCTACAAAATATGGAAGTAAATCTGTGCCATCTGACTTTGAATTTCTTAAGCTGAATTTTTTTTTGTTTTGCATCAAAATCAGACTTTGAATTTCAAAACCATCAAATTTCAAGCACTTTATGTTGGAATTTTTACACAGATATTTTAGTGTAATTTTTACTAAATAAATTATTTTCGAGAGACCTATTTTTTACACTGAATTTATTTCATCATTGGGAAAAAAAATGCGTGCTTGAAATTTAATGGTTTTGACATTCAAAGTCTGATTTTGATGCAAAAAAAAAATTTCAGCTTTAGAAATTCAAATTCAGAATCAGATGGCACGGATTAACTTCCATAACAAAACCTCTATTATTTTGAATTTTGAGCATTTATCAGGGATTGATTCAATTTTTTTTTTTTTTTGGCTTTTTATAGAAAGTAAAGCTATATAAAAACAAATAATGCCTGTAGTTGGTGAGTGGGACAAAACAGTGGAGGGCAAAAACCTACAAAATATAGAAGTAAATCTTTGCCATCTGATTTTGAATTTGAATTTCTAAAGCTGATTTTTTTTTTTTTTGCATCAAAATCAGACTTTGAATTTTAAAACCGTCAAATTTCAAGCATGCATTTTTATTTCTGACACTAATTTTTTTTTCACAATGATGGAATAATTTCAGTGTAAAAAAAAAAATTCTCTCAAAATATTAGTTTAGTGACAACTAGACTTAAAAAAATTCTACATAAAAAATTAAGTGTAAAAAAATTTAGTTTCAAAAAATTTATTTCATCATTATGAAAAAATAAGTGTCAGAAATAAAAATGCGTGCTTGAAATTCGATGGTTTTGAAATTCAAGGTCAGATTTTGACGCAAAATAAATTCAGCTTTAGAAATTCAAGTTCAAAATCAGATGACACAGATTTACTTCCATAATAAAACCTCTTTTATTGACAAGATATCCTCAGCATGAATTTTGAGCATTTATCGAGGATTTATTCAAGCAAAAGTTTTTGTTTTTTATGCCTTTTGTCCAACACAGAGGTCAATCAAAGTGTTTTAAATAGGCTGAGAAGGTTAATTTCATCATCTGTTCTATTTATTAGTTGTTGTTTTTTTTTTTACGTGGGCATAGAGTAACATAAGTGCTTTTTAAACCATACTACTTCTTCTAATAGCAAAATGCTGATTTGCAAAAGGAAGCTTTTCTTAATGTGTTAGAAATGAAAAAAAACAACAACACAATCATGAAAGCAAGACTGATAATATTGTGGCGACTGCTCTCCTTCAACAAAAAGGCAGCTGGGGTTTAGGTCTGCTTGCATTTGTGACTTGTTTGAATGATCAGTCCGGTTTAAGTGTTAAAAAATGATTTATTGTTCAAAAATGAGAAGAAAACACGCTGATCCAGCTCAAAAACTTTGCCTTTGAATGAAAAAGTGTTAAAATGAAATGAGGTTAAAACAGGTTGAATAAAACGATGAAAAACGGTCAACAGAAAATTATCAGAGCTTACCATGGCCCATTGTCTGACCACACCTGTGAGATTTAAATAACCCTCCAAACATCCCAAAACCACACCCCTCAGTGACGATCCCCAGACATGACGTACTTATTAGAATCAAACTAAACAAATGTATTTTGGCTCTTAAAGATAGATGGTTAAATGCAGTAAAATGTGCTAATTTATGCCCCTGTTTTCAGTGTGAGAGCAGTGTTCATGTGTGATTCTTGCAGTCCTTTTAAATTCGACTGACACCTGCTTGTGTTTTCTCATCAGTTGGAAACCTCCAGTCTCCCTCAGCAGCTAACCTGGCCACATTGCAGTCCTACAGGCCTCTCCTGAGTGATTACGGGCCTCCATCTCTGGGATTCACACAGGTAACTACAACTCTCACCATTACTTACTTATTCAATTAAACGCAGAGTGTCAGAAAGAAGAAGCAGGCTTAAACATTGATCCTGTGTGATTTTACATCACTGTGATTTTCTTTCCTTGTTGGTTTTTGTCAGGATTTATGTTTCCTCTCTGCTTCTTTCAAATACGAAGGCTGTTTTGGTTGATATAAAGAAAGTTCTGACAGTATTTTGAGTGCAAAGACAGGCTAATCTCACAACACAGCTGGAGGACAGATTCACAGACAGAAGAAGCGATGGGATGGTTGTTGTGGGTGACTGTGGATTCAACAGTTATTACGTTGAAACCTATAAATAGAAACTTTGAGCTTACTGTGCCTTTTTCAGGACTCCAGCTTGTCCTCTTTTGAAAACAGGTGGATTATTTTGACTTCTCTAACAGATATGAGACTGAGGCTGTAGAGAGAAAAAGCACCAAGCAGCTTTATCAGCTGCTTAAGAGCTGATCACTGTTGATGGACATTGGCCCATCAGCAAATAATGTATCACGCTGTCCTTACTTGTTTGGATCTTATTGCTTCATAGTATTAATTTGACGCAGGTGAGCTAGTTTATCTAAATACTGATTCAGAGGTTAGGTTTTTATGTAGCAGAAGACATCACCTGTTCGACAAACTGATTTTAAAAATCATCAAGATGAGGCCGAACGTTTGTAAGACAAATCCCCGTGTTATTTGCAAAGTGCTTATGTGAGTCTTAGAGTTAGGACTCTGTGTGAAATGTCATGTATTAATTGAAGTTTTCTCTTTTTCCTCTCACATTTTTTTTTACATGGTGCTCCGTTTTCTCCGACTTCAGGGCTCTTCTGGCAGCCAAGTGCCTCAGAACAAATATGCAGAGCTGCTGGCTATCATCGAAGAGCTCGGCAAGGAGATCAGGCCCACATACGCTGGAAGCAAGAGTGCAATGGAGAGACTGAAAAGAGGTAAGAGAGAGCCTTAATGTGCAGAAAAATTTCCATAAAAATATCATCTCAAATTGAGCCGTGTGGTTCTGTTTGTTAAGCTAATTTTTTGTGTCTTCAAAGGAATAATCCACGCCAGAGGGCTGGTGCGCGAGTGCCTGGCTGAGACGGAGAGAAACGCACGGTCCTAGCTAACAAACACATTCCTCCCCCCCGCAAGAAGAACTAACAGCGTGTGTCCCGTGAAAAAAAGAAACTTGCATGGCATTTCCTTTTAAAAAGAGGAAGTAAAAATGAAGAAAGGTTGGAAAAGAAAGCTCCTAGAGTGAAAAAATGTCACAATAACAATTCATGACTCCTGAGGGATCATTCAAATCATGTGTGGGTTATTGGGAATCAAACCAGAGGATGATCATGTGTTTTTACGCCCCATTTTTGGGATCTTAAGTTCTGACTTCATATTTAAAATGTTGATTTGTGCATGCGAACGGGCCTGTGGGTTAAATGTAGACAGTGCATGGCTTGTACAGGGGTAGACGGAGAAGACCTCTTCTTCTTTTTGATAGTATTTGGTCTGATTTTCAGACCCGTATAACACACGTGACTGAGTGAGTGAGGGACAGAGATGTGCCAAATGCATCGGTTCATTCGTGGTGAGGTTGGTTTTGGTATTAAAAAGAGGAAAATGCTGTTACTTGCATCTTTGTATGTATTTATTACTCAGTGTAATAAATTGTATTTTCAATACAGTTGTCAGAGTGTTTTTCATCAGACTGAAGTCATCCTGCTCCTCTGAATGTGCTCTTAATCTGATGGTTCTCCTGGGATTAATTCTTAATTAAGAAAAGTCAGTTGTCTGGTTACGAAACCGACATGAGCAGTGGGAATTTTCTGGAGGATAATCAAAAAGTGGGATTTGGATTAAGTAAGTGCTAAAGTGTTCCAGATAGAGGGTCAAAAAGTAGGTCTGGTAACCCTACAGCCCCAGAAGTTTAAGACTTTAAAACAGTTTTCAGTGTTACAAAGCAACAGTAATGGTGAGAGAAAAGTCAAAGAGGAAGATTTAATATTCATCCTCATGTTAAAGATGGTTTAGTTTGGTAAACATTACTGCTGTTATTGTCATTATACAGTCTGTAATGATTTGAGGTGACATATCATCTGCTGCTGTGGGTCTACGGTGTTTGATTAAGTCCAGAGTCAACGCGGTCTAAGGTCTACAGACCTTTATGCTTCCATTTGCTGAGAAGCTTTATGGAGATCTAAGCTACGTTTACACTGCAGGTTATGATGCACTATTCGGATTTTTTGTTAAATCCAATCTTTTTGTGCGGTCGTTCACAAAAAAGCATGTGACCCGCATGCGCACAAAGCACGAATTGCTTTCTGCGCCTGTTTGTGTTGTCGAACAATGGTGACGTTTGTCACATTTTGATGATGTATAGGTCGGATGAATGCGACCTGAGCGTCCACACTGCAGTCACATCAGATACATATCCGATTTATATCCACATACAAGAGAGGCCTGGGTCGGATTTTAAAAAATCTGATCGCACTGTTCACACTTACATGAAAAAAATCACAAATGTGTTACATATGGTTAAAAAATCGGAATTGACCTGCAGTGTGAACATAGCCTTAGTTTTTCTTTTCCAGTAGAACCTGACTCCTGCCCATAACGCCAAAACTCCCACCAAATGGTTTGCTCACCACACTTGATTGGCCAACTAAAAGGCCTGACCTGTACCCATCGGAAAATTTATAAGGGGGTTTTGCCAGGAGGATGATAAGACCCAAAAATATAGAGCAGTTGCCTTCATGCAACGTCCTATTGATGGTGAAGGAGCTGCTGTCAAGTATTGCATGTATTAATGACCATACTCTCCAGAGGTTGAATATTTTTTGTTTTGAATCATTTATTTTTTTGTTTTTCTTAACAATATTCTAATTATCTGAGACACAGGATTTCTGATTTTCATGTGCTATAAGCTAAACTCATCAAATTTCAAACAAAAAGGTTTGAAATATATAATTTTACATGCAGCAAATACAGGATTATATGGCTGGTTAGGTTTTTGAATTAAATTATGAAACAATAGACTTTTCATAAGGTTGGTACAAACACTAAGAAGACAAAAAAGTACAAATCTGTTGTTTTATTTTGGATCCACCATTAGTTACAACAACATATGCAGTAACTACTCTTCCTGGGGCTCTTATCTTCTTTTCCATTTTCATTTTGAACTTAGACATATACTTACAGTCATCACACTTACATAACACTCATTCAACACTTCATTCATACAGTAGCTCTTATTCTCTTTTGCTTTTTGAAAAATAAACCAAAACATAAATAAGACGAAGAAAGAAAAGTGAAAAGATAACAAAGAAAAACAGAACTTATCTTAGGGATCACAAGAAAACATACTCCATCAGAGAGAAGAGCTGAACTCAGTTTCATTCACGGTACTTCATATGTAAACAAATACATCTTTAATTGTTGGTTAAAGCAACTTCTGTTAATGTCTGAAATTACAAAGTAAGGTTATAAATCCCATGCCATCACTGCTCTGTAGTGGACAGCCCTTTTAATCGCCTCTGTTCTGCACAGAGTTAGCCGGAGCCTGACCTCTGATGCTTGCCTAGTAAGGGGAGACCGGGGCTTGTTGTCACACTTTTGTCACACAGAACAAACTGAGGTATGACAGGATGCCTCAATCTCTCCTCTAAAAAGTGCACATGTATAACTTCTAGGACTTTTTATCTGGAAGGAGCTTATTTTAGAATATATTATTATTTTTTTACTTTGGGTTGTGCAAAATGGTTAGTTGGCGCTCATCTCAGCTCACAATGTGCTCTTCTCTTCTCAGACAGAACATGACCATAGACTGTATATACTACGGACAACTTGGTTCCGCCTCCCGTCTGTATATGGATTTGAAGCTGAAAAGCTCTCAGTATTCAGTATTTCCATGATTTTTCTTCATTTCCTGAAACCAACATTGGGCAGTAGCATTGGGCAGTAGCATTGTTCGCATGCGGCGGGAGAGACGCAGACAGTCGCTGTGATGACGCTCGGCTCAAACAGCATATCCCCCGGGTGGGCTACGCAATCCCTGAATGCCAATAGGCTGTTTTAGGTGTTAATCATAGAAAACATGAACCCCCTAATAACATTTAAAAAACGGAGCTGTACAGAAAAAAGAGGACTTGAGCACAAACCAGTCTTTCTGTAACTACATGTCAACATCGCAACCAGGGGGGAGAAAATAAATTTCTAAAGTTTGTCCACAGCTACATAAGCTTTGCTGGCGGAGGCGGGATTTATGACCTATACTGCAGCCCGTCACCAGAGGGCGCTGTTCTCGGAGTGGATTCACCCAGCAAGGAGGCCGACGGCGTCCATTCTGTATACAGTCTATGGACATGACCCCTGACAATGTAAAGGAATAAAACTAGCATTCCACTTCTTAGTCGCGCCCTCAGGTGACAAAGATAATTGCAACGTGACAACTTACCCATGTGACAACAAGCCCCTGTCTCTCCTATCATACTGATGTCCCTCAGAAAAAAATGTTAGTTTATTAAAGAGTACTTCTGAGACTGTCTATAATAATACTTTTTTTGTGACATTTTTGAGGAAACAGACTAAAGTGTACAGTGTGAAGATACATTTTAAAAATGTAAGTTGCTGTAGAAAGTGCTTGAGGCTGCACAGTACGTTGCAAAAATAAAAAAAAATGTTAAATTCAAATTAATTATGCATACTATTTGAAAATAAGAGTGAATTACATTATGAATACAAATTCATCCTGAGGGTCTGAGGTGGAGACTCGATTGGGTAAATACCCAGCCTACAAATCTGTTTCACAACAACATTTATAAATAATGTCATAATTTAATATTCAAACAAATCTAAATAGAGTACAGATTTCTGCCTGAAGCTGTTGAAAAGATTAAATAACTCAGTCTGTCTGCTCCTTCTGTGGTCCTGCTGCTGCAGACGTTCATTCCTCCTCAGTCAGGTTTTGTCCCAACAGATGTGTACACCTCGTTCTCTCGACAGCCAATAGAATCGCAGAGTGAAAGTGACGACCAATCACGGCGCCGTATTTTCAAGCGGACTCGACCAATCGCGTTCCAGACTGTAGACGTTAGAGCAGGCGGCTATCACTGCAGTGCAGTAGCCAACCAGCAACTAGCTAGCCAACTTGACTACTCACAGAGAAAAATGGATGAAATGATGATACATGTCAACGGGTAGGTTAATTATTGATACACAGGCCGTAAGATTTCAATGTCCGCTGTTAGATAGGAGTTTTAATTTTGTGTTTGTGTTTGTGTTCAAGAGTCTCGTCCGCGTTGTCCTGTGCCTCCGCTTTGCTTACAAACCTGTAATAAACCAACTTAGCACAACTTAGCCTGATAGCTAACCTCTCCATTCACCAGCCTGTGTTATCTAGTAGCTGGATAACTTAGCATTAGTGAGCCGAGTTAACAGACAACTTAAACATCCGTGCTGTTGTCTGTCACCGAGGCTAAAGCAGCTAATGTGGCTTTTTTGTCATTGTCTGAACGGCTGCATCCTCACAGCTTTCATACTGTATGTGTTTTTAACATTATCTACTGTGTGTATAACCAAGAGAATTAGATATTACATCTAAAACCTGCAAATCAAAACGAAGCTTCAACACCCAGGAGACACAGGTTATTATCATGAGAAAAAAAAAAAAAAAAAAGAGAACAACGCAGACAAGGAAGTGGATGTCAATGCGAGATATTTACACACCAGATCAGCTCTTAATGTGTTTATATTTGGCTCTGTTTTTCTTTGGCTGTCTCCTGGTTGTTCAGATCAGATGTAGGTCACAGTCTAGGATGGATGGAGTTTCTATTCTGCCCCAATAACTGTGTGATAACCTGACTCTTGTAGGACAAAAAGTGTTTTTTTATTGAGTACAGAAATGAAAATGAGCTGCAGGAATATAGGTGTTAAAACTCACATGTTAGGGTTAAAATAGAAGATTCACCTTTTTTACTGTCACTCCTCATTTCATAAAAAATTCATAAATTCTGCCACACCAGTCTCCTGTAAGAGAGCTCACAGGTTTAAAGGAATATTCTGGCCTAAAATTAATTTAGGGTCAAACACACCGTAACACCGAGTTAGACACCCCGTCTAGACTTTCTTGTGAGCCGGACTACAGCGGGGTGACGCAGCTCAAGGAAGAACATTTATGATCATTACTTTATCATTTCCTTAAAGTAATAATCACCATATTAATCATTTTGCACTGCAGACGCAGAAGTTCTTCTGCCTTAGTGTCTCGGTCTGATTGCATTTCCATGAAGAAATGATCATAAATGTTCTTCCTTGAGCTGCGTCACCCCGCTGTAGTCTGTAATGGACTGGCCTCTGGTCTCGCTACAAACAAGCGGCTGCTAGAAGAGATTTGGTGATTTGTGTTCAGTGTCTTTGCTAAAGAAATTAGGCAAAGTTAAAAAGATGTTTGGTGGCTAGAACTATGGCTGGGACCCTATATGTACTGTTGATGAAGTTAGGTGCTGTTCTGAGCATTATTTGTGGCTATAGAGTGGTGTTTTGGTTGAGGTTTGTATATGACTCCTGTGTACTGCTATCCTGCGGTCGTTACTAAAGTTGGTATAACTAGAGAAGCAAGCGGTCTGCAACATCTCTCAAAGGGGTGTCTAACTTGGTGTTATGGTGTGTTTGACCCTAAATTAATTTTACACCAGAATATCCCTTTAAGACATATTTTTGTCATTGCCTTACACAGTTTTCCAAGTAAGCACAAACAACCTAAACTCCTAAAAAGTTTGGCAGCTGTGTAAAATGTTAATTAAGGAAGAATTCAATAAGTAGAAATCATTCAGTCTGCATATAATTTGATTTATAAAACATCATGTCAGATGTTAAAACTGAAAAATATTTTGTTGTATAAAAATTATACGTTCACTCACTACAAATTTGATGCCAGCGCTTTTCGAAAAGTGTAATCAGAGGCGAGTTTGTCATTGTGTTTTGAAATTGTTACTTTTTCTTTTAGCAGCGCTCTTGAAACTGAGAGGAGCAGTTCCGGGCGTTATGAAAGTGAAATATTTTCCTGTTATTGTCTGGTATAACTTCAGCAGTCCAACAGTTCAGGGTCGTCTTTGTCACAGAGACAGGGACAGACTCTTCTCCTACAGAGCCATGCTACTGTAATCCCTGTTGTCAGAATGTGGTTTGTTATTGTCTTGCTGAAATATGAAGGTCTTCTCCTGAAAAAGTCATTGTCTGGATCGCAAAAGATTTTGCTCCTAAACCTAGAGATATTGTTTAAAACTGAGAACACAGAATCTATTATTTCCAATTCTTCATTGAAAGGACAACTGGACTTACTTGCAAGTCCGGTAAGTCCTTTCTAAGTCTATGTCTGGATGTTCACAGATGTGGAAGATAGCCATGACATCAGGGATGCTGGTTTTTGAAGTGTGTGCTGTTAACAAGCTGACCCAGAGAAGGTTCTGGATCATGTTTGTATGTAGTTCCCTCGGTGTGTGTTGCAGAACCTGCTTTTGTGGATGCAGAAGAGAATCATGATCACAGACAGTGATATTAAGCCTATATAGTGGGTTTCACATATGTTGTCTATTACAAGATTTAAAGCATTTGCAAACCACCAAAGTCTGCAGTCAATATCGGCAGTCCGCAGATAGGAAAATTCTCTCTATGTACAGCCGATAAGATGACTCAATTATGTATGCCAACATTGAACCTCAACATGTCAACAGACAGCAGATGCATCACAGAGTGTCTATATTTGAAAAAGAAACATGTCAAATACGGTCAAGTTTGTCTTGTTTTACGTCTGTTTCAAAACAAACACACTATGATAGACTGTAAGCAGGTAGATTCTCCTACAGGGGAGACGATGTTAAAATGAGGAAAAGTTTGAAAGAGTTTGAAAATATCTGTTTATTCAGTCGTGTGTATCCTTAATTGTTGTGGCAGCTGCTTAACAGGTTTGTCTGTACAAACATCATATTTCCCTCATCACTTATCGGAGTGTCTCTTGTTCCCCCTCTCTTTGTGTCCAGCTGTCAGACTGATCCCCCCTGCATGGGCCCATAAACATGTCCACAGATGACAGTATCTCTGAGGATGTGTCCAGCTCGGGGGCTTTGAGCCACTGCCATGCCAGTGCAGACGGGGATGGGGGAAAGGAGAGCGAGACCTCTCTGGTGTCCTCTGAGGGGACATCGGCCTCTGGGCTGGCTGTCTCAGAGGGCAGGCACACAACCTCCCAAACAACAGGAGGCACTGTGGAGAGCAGGCCCGTGGACATCACACCAGCATGCAACAAGATCAGGTGAAGTAACTGTAAAACACTTTAATGTGGCTCTTCTCCAACACAGAGGTCATTCAAAGTTGCAAAAGCAAAGAGATTAGAATATTCCACTTAAGATGTTATAAAAGATTAGTAAACTGAATAAAATGATTAAAATTTACTTCGATTTTTCGTGAATTTCATACAAATTCGAAAAAATATGTATGCTTCCTTTTATGTTTTTTCATATTTTACAACTCTAAATATGTGATTAATTGTAGTATGGTTTTATTATAGGAGTCTATGTCTGAGCACGGATGAAGCGTTCCAACAAGGGAAGAGCCTCCCATTCATCAACCCCAGCTCCCTGGAGACCCTGAGAGCTTTGGTGCAGGAGATCCAGAGTAGCGGAGAGACAGACCCCGAGATCTGGAAGGACTGTGAGGTGGGAGGAAAAAAAAAACGCTCTACATTTTCCTCAGAAATGCAAAAGTGCTTGTAGTGTGTGTAAATACACGCTGATTCTGTAGAAATAAAAGTTGGGGTGAGCTTCTGCTGCTGTTGTGGCTGCAGCAGCCTCGTTTTGTGCTGTCAGACTCACACCTGACAGTGAGACACACACACACACACACACACACACACACACATAGCACAGTGCAGCTGATCTCTTCAGACACAGGATTTGATTTGCAGGGAACAGACAGCTGTGATGTGCTGCAACACAAAGACAGCTCAGTGTATAGATCATCAGACTGCAGACTGCTGAGTCTGCACACCTGATCTTTAAGATGCCCTTCAGAATTAAAGCAGTCCAGACCAATTCCTCTTAGATCTCTATATGACACAGAGATGAGTGGATGCACCCTAATCAAGGCCCTGCACAGCTGCTGCACTCAGCTCAGCTCGGCATGTATGCAAATCTAGTTAAAGGGCACAAGTTTAAGGTTATATTTCCTCCACAGTAAGCTCATGAGCTAAATCAGGAGAACATAGTTAATGCGCATGGTTCTATTTGCAAACTCAGACATGTTCACGCACGCTGGGCTGCACCAAGACTGCCATGTGGGCTCTCATGGGGTTACCAGTGAATGATGAAGTAAACATTATGTGGACTCTTGTGGCCCTTGGGATGCAGAAAGTGCAAATTGGCCTCAACTGTTTTTTTTTAATGAACATAAAACACTGAGAGACAAAAGATTCAGAAAGTGTAATTTAACATAACTAAGGCTTAAAAATATTCTACTTTTAGGTTTCACACAAAATAATCCCTTAGAATTTGAGGCCGGTATCACCTGCAGGATATTTTACTCCCTGTATAATCTGATCTCTCTGCATATTCTGGTGTGTGTTGTGCATGTAGAAGTACTAGTTCCTCCATTTGGTAGTTTAGGATCAGATAAAAGGCAAATTAGGAGCATGAGTGTGCAGAGAGAGGCTCATGCTTTACTCTGAGTGATGACTGTGCGTGCTGGTAACTCTGTTTTTGCATTTTTCTGCAAAAGGGTCGATGGTTGCATCTGTTTCAGCTGGTTGAGAAGCAATACCAGGAGCAGATACTGGCTCAGCAAGAACAATACCAGTGCCAAATTCAGGTGAGTCATGTCTTAACAAATGAACGAGCTTAAAATACATGTATACCGGCTCCAACCATCATGTGTTCTCTTCAGCTGATTCAGGATGAGATCAAGGCTCTGGTTCAACTCCAGAACCGGCAGGCCTGCATCCAGCCACACACAGAATTCTCTCCGACTTCAGTGACCAAAACGACGGCCAACACAAAGGACTATATTTTCCCACTCCTCTCCACCGAGTGCAAAAACTCCAAACACGTGGCCAGTGACAACGACAGCCTGGCAGCCCCCGCACTCACACCCTTTAGCTCCCCGTCACCTCCTCTCCAGAGATCAGAGACGGCCAACCAGGGCGAGGAGCGGGCGACCACGGTGCTCAGCAGCGGGTACGGGACTCTGACTGCCTGGGAATCAGCTCTGGAAGCTGCTGGGTCTCCAGGGAACGATGAGGATGGTACCCAAGTAAGGGAGAAGCATCAGTGGTCCCCAAACTTCCAGGAAGACACAGAGACGGTTTTGGTTGGCTGTCTGAAGGATTTTCCAGATGAGAAGCTTCTCAGAGTGGAGGAAGCGAACACATCATTGTACCAGCAGAGAGCCTCTGGGTATGTCTGAGCTCTTTATAAGAAACCTTATCAGCAGATCCTGATAATAGGCCTTCAAAAGACTCATTAACCAAGGCCTGCTGAAACAACTCTCCTACTCACCATGTGCAGTTCTGTCGGCTGCAACAAGGTTTTGCAAAATATCAGACCAAAGCTGACAGGAAATTGACCCAGTGAGCTCTTTTCTAATTTCATCAATCAATTTATCAGCTGCAGCTGCTTTTCCAGACTTAGTTCAATGATTTCTTTCACCCGCTGTAGCCGATGGTTTTTCTGCTTCTGTGAATCTGATAGAAACTGTTCGTATTTTCAGCGGTTTTAGAAGAGATGCATACAGATGATCAGCCAATTATGTACATGAGCACTCTGCATGGCTCCTGTTTAAGAAGCAGAGTGGAGGAGTGAGGATATGAAAGCTAAACAGTTCACTACTGTTGCTAAGCTGTTAGATGTCAATTTGACTCACTGAAAAAAATCCCAACTTAAGGTCCTTAACCACCGGGAACAACGCGAATATACGACGCAAAATTACCAAATATTTGGAGGAGAATTTTGACGCGCCTCACTATACACATTAAATTGCGATGCGATTTTGCGACTTCCCGGGGGGAAAAAAGACGCATCCCGGGTGGAAGCGAGCAGACTGAGTGTTTTTCTGTTCTGATTAGACACTAGTGTTGAGATGACTGTCTGTCATGATAGCATGTACTGAGTCAGGGCCAGTACCAGATAAGCACATTAAATTATAATCCATAAACGTAAGGTAACAACCGAGACCTAATGGTGCTGTGACAGCAACGCTGTGATTGAGTTTGACAGTGAAAATACATATGGTATCTGATGCTATGACTCTCCACAAGTTGTCCTTCAGGTTGTTATCTTTGTAATATTTGTGTTTTTTATCACAAAGCTCTCTGTTCTCCAACACAGAAACGATCAGCCGGTCGGCCATGTTCGATATAACGGTGAATCTGATGTCGCAATAATCTGATTGGTCAGAAGTGAACACACAGTACGCGAAACTTTAGAAAAATCAACCGTGATGCGAAAAAAAAAAGCCGCAATATCACACAATGGGAAAACGTCGCTAATGTGAACGCTTGCATTGACTGGATACGGGTTCGAAAAAAAATATTGACGTCCGAAATAATCGCACAAAAAAACGCTCCCGGTGTGTAAGGACCTTTAGAAATGAAAACATATTTTATAAAGTGTCTGTGTGTAAAGCTCTTGTGAGGAACTTTTCATTTGTGTTGACATTGGCACCCCCTCTGGACGAAAACAGCTTTCAGTAGTTTTCTCCTGTACAGTCTCATCTCATCTTTCAGACATTTGAAGTAACTTGTTTACGATCTTAATTTCTTCTTTAATACATAAAGAGTCATCACTTTTAGTTTGGTTGTGTTTCACGACCAGCTCAAAACTCTTCAGATGAGCTTTAAATCTGAATTTATTGCATTGAAGAGGACTTTTTAATTCTTAATGAAGCATAAACCCAGAAGTGTGCTCTTTAATTTTTATTTATTTCTCACACTTTTGTGATGATTTTGTTTAAATATTTCACACTATAATCCATTATTGAATAGATTTCTCATATCATGCAGGGCTATTGTCAGCCCATTATTGTGTTTTCTATAGTCTGCTCATCTGAATGTTCCACAGACAGAGCTGAGAGGATTGTGAACAATTGAACTAAACTGTCTCTGTATGATGCGATTATCACAGATTTACCCCCGGTTCAGTTTCTGCAGTATCTGCTCTGAAACAAAAACTCTAATTCAGATATATATATTTGTGAAAGCCCCATGATTGATGTATCGGCTCCTCTGAACCCTGACCTGCTCTGTTGACAGCTCCAGTCAGCCTCTGACCTCCTGGGCCCAGCGACAGAAACTCAGGCCCAAGAAGAGCAAAGCAGGACACGCTTCATCTCAAATCCTGGAGCACCAGGAGCAGCCTCATGGCCTCAGAGAGCCGCCCAAACAGACCCCCACTGAGAGCTTAGACTGTCAGGACCAGGTAGGACTCAGAGAGCACGAACAGCTGCTCCTCTGGGACAAACACACTTTAACAGGGATGGTCAAATCTCTGCTCAGAGTCTGTTTTGTTCTCAATGGGTTTGTATGTTGTGCTTGTCCTTATTATGCCCCCTCTGCTGACTCTAATCCACTCATCTCTATTGCATTTCAGCAGAGAGCAGGCGGGCCGTCATCCAGCTCTTTCCCCCTGAGGAGGAGTGACAGCCTGATGTCTGAGGCATCAGGTAACAATTCACTGACTCAGACTAACACACAACAGCAGCAACGAGGCTCAGCCAGTGTAAAGAAATCACCGACACTATCGCTGTAATTAAATAAACAGAGCAAAACACCACAGCCTCCGGAAAAGAGGAAGCTCAGCTGTAGTTACCACCAGGGACAGTCAGGTGGTGCTGTTGGACCAGCAAGGGATTTTGTATAAAACCAAAGTCAATGTGAAAGATGAATGAAAAATAGAGTTTAAAGTTATTGTGTTGAAACATGATCACATCAGGCGTCATTGTCTCCCTGTCGCAGGTCTGACGTATTGGCGTCTGAATGAGAGCGAGCTGTATCACCCTCTGCCCGACAGTTTTGACAGCGGTGCCTACCTCCTACTGCAAGAGGCCTCCATGAGTCTGGTGAGTACAAACCTCTGCTCTGATTTCAGACCAGTCATTAAAAGTTAATGTCACATAAGCTCATGGTATTATTATTATTATAAATGTACTGTGTAAGTATTAACTGTTCACTCTTAGTTTTACAGTCACACTCAGAGCTTTAGGGTGGAGGAAAACTGACAGACCTGTCCTCCTTTGGCGCTTAATACATTCCTGCTTTCTATCATTGAACTTCCTTTGCAGAGCTTTTGTCTCCCCCTACTGGCGGTGAGAAGAATTGAGCAAACATGGCTTTCTTTTCAGGTTTTCCTTTTCGTTTGGCACCTCCTAACAAGGATCACTTACTCCTTCTGCCTCTTTTATACAGACCCTGATGCATCTGTCTCTTTGATTGGTCGCTCCTCCTTTTAGATCCAGAAAAGTAAACACTGCTGTTGTGTGTTTGTGTTTTCTCTCCCTCTAAATGTCTCATTTCCATCCCTTCAGACCCCATCTCAGGAGCCCCGGCTGTCCCTCAAAGAGATCTATCAGAACAAGCAGAGGACAGACTGTAAACGCTCAGACTGGGAGGGCTCTGTCACCTCCAGTCCAACCTCACCTCAGGTACCTCACACGGCTCTGAAGAGTCTCTCTTCTCTCCGCTCTGGTGTCCTCTGTTAGAAAACTGATCGCTCTGACTGGCCATTCTCAGCTTGATGATTTTAACTGGACCAGAACCTTTCTACGGGACCAGAGGCTTTTAGAGATTCTGTGAAAATAAAGAAAGAGGTCAAAACCTTGTAGGAGGATACGGAGGATAAATGGCTGAACAGATGAGGCTGAGATCATTTTTTTTTTTAATCTCTCAGAGTCTCAAACTGAAAATTCGATTCATAGTTAGATAAAGTTTGTCTCTGTTTGTGTGTTAAGTTTACCTGAACTGAGTCAAAAGTCAAAAGACTTATTTCTCTTTTCTTTTTTAGTTATTTTGTTCGTCTGTTTGTTTCTTTCTTCCTCTTCTTATTCTCTTTCATTCTTCAATCTTTCTAAAAATTATTCTTTCCTTCTTTTTCTTTCTTACTTCAATTTCTTTAATTCTTCACTAATCTTTGTTTTTCTTTTTTATCATCCATTCTCTGTTCATTCTTTCTTTCTCTCCTTTTCTTTTCCATCATTCCTGTCTTTGCAAAGCTTTAAACTTTTTGTATTCCCCTTTTATCTCTGTATATTTTCCCTCTTTTTATTCTTTCTCTAGTTTTTTTTTTATTTCATTACTTCTTTTTCTGTTCTATTATTTTTCTGTCTGTAAACTTTTTTCCTTTTGCCTCATTCTCCCATTTGTCTTTTTCGTTTCTTTTCCCTTTCTTTCTTTCTTTCTTTCTTTCTTTCTTTCTTTCTTTCTTTCTTTCTTTCTTTCTATCTTCTCTTATGTTTTTTCACTCCTTTTGTCCTTCTCTCTGTTTTCATGTCTCTCTTTCATTCTTTTTTCTTTCTTTCTTTTCTCTCTTTCTATTTTCTTTTTTCACTCCTTTTGTCCTTCTCTCTCTGTTTTCATGTCTCTCTTTCATTCTTTTTTCTTCTTTTTTCTCTCTTTTTAATTCCTGCCATTCTTGCTTTATTCTTTCCTTGTTTTCTCATTTTTCTGCCTTTCTTTCTTTTGTTTTGGCACTTTTTTACGTTCATTTCTTTGTTTCTATGTATTATTCTGATTTATTCTGATAATGTGTTTAGTTTTTATCCCGGGTTTCTTCTGAAACAGGACAAAGTCTGAGTTTATAAACACAAAAACACAGCTAAACTAAACTGTTTAGTTTTTTTCCTGTTTTAGGACTTAGACTTTCTTTATTTGTCATTGCACAGAATAAAACACAGCAGTGATTTCTCTCTGCAATAAAATGTCGTTGCTTGGCTTCCATATCACAGCATGATGGTGTTTAATTTAATATACAGAAAACAATAAAAACTAAGGGTAAAAAAGCAGCATGGTGAGTAATATTGCACTCTCTGGAGGTAGAGTGGTAGTGGAATAAAAACCAAATAAATAAAAGTATATATAAAAAGATTTCTGTTCTTAAGATCATCCTTTAAAACACTGAAAAATCAAAAATAAAAGAATAAAGTCAATGATGACAGCTGTCACTCAGAGTTCTTCTTCTTCTTCTTCTCTGATTCGTTGTTTGACCTCCAGGTGTTGACGTTGGACCCTGCAGCGAACCAGCGACACTCAGATCGAACCTCTGGCTTCACCTCCCCCTCCCACTTCAGCAGCCCCTCATTTGCCGCTCATCCCCACCTCTACCCCCGAGTGGGGACCCCTGTGACCCCCGACAGTATGGTGGAGGGCAGCCCAAATCCAGGAGACACAGACTGCATCTCTGACACCTCCAGTGTTTCGGCTATGGGACCCTCCCCGCCCAAAGTTCAGACCATGTGGGGGAAACCAGTCCAGTCTACCTCCCAGGACCAGACTCACACATCCAGCCAGCAGCAGCGCAGAGCCAGTGCCCCCTTAGCCAGCGAGGAGGAGGGCAGCCACACCCACACCAGCACCCTGAAGCCGGGATCAGCCTCTGGGTCATCTCTGAGACCTGCAGTCAGTCCACACATGGAGAGAGCTTCATCACTAGAAGATCCTGTCGTCCTCTCTCTGTGAGTTTAACACACACAGCTCACTGATTGGTTCGTTTTAGAGGCTCATACTTCCTGTTGGTGATCCTCTTTTACACTATGGTGGTAGAAGTCACCTCCCTCGACATTTTACTGCACCAGTTTCAAACATGTTAGCATCTATTTGTAGTTTAGACTCATGAATATGAAGGAATCAGAACCAGGTTCAGAACCAGAATCCTCCAAACTGAGGCCCCAACTACACGAATGCGGATATATTTCAAACCACACATATTTATGTCCGATTAGGCCTTCCTACCACACCAAAGCGGGAGTTTGGAGCACTCAAACCAGATAAATCTGAATCCGGAAAAACAAGTGGAGAAATAAAAAAATATCCGTATCCCGTATCCATAGTGGATTCGTGTGGTTGGACTTTTAAGGGATCGATGACGTCAAACCGCAGCTCGCGCATGCGAATTAAAAAGAAAAACAACAACAACAACGATGACGGACATACAGGGTATTCTTTACGTTTGTTTTGCCCTTTTGGGGCTAATTTCAGCCTTGCAAGTGAACCTTATTTTATACAATTAGATCCACCAGTCAGCCAGCTCACAGACGCGTCTGCTGCGGCCAATACTTTTATTGGTCACATGGTCCGTCACATGGACCCGACGCACTAGTGTAGCTTCCGCAAACAATGCATGATGCATCACGCTGTTACGATTCGTCGGCCAATCAGTTAGCTTTGTTCCTGAATTTTTTTTAAGCGGCACCAGATAGGATTGAGTTTGAAGGCTACGTGTGGACGCAGATATTTTTGAGAACGAACACGGGTGGACAGATACATTTATTTAGAGCAGCTGCAGGACGTCAGTGAATCATCTTCTCATCAGCAGAGAGATCCTGCTGCTTGGAAGGTAATCCACCTGACTCATGATGTGACTCACAATGATGCAGATTTTACCAGATTTTTAAAGGGTGTCAGTGAGCGTTTGTTTTCAAGAGACTGACTCATGCTCTTTTTTTGACAGCTGTTTACACCTCGGTTAACAAACACTGAAATTAAGATGTCTAATTTTAGACTCTGAAGGTTCTTTCTCTAAACTCTTTAAGTTACAGGAGTATATAAACAGTTGGAAAAAGATGCATGCGCCCCTCTTTAGAGTGTCTGCTGCATCTCACACTGTTAGCAGGGGAAAACATAAGAAGCAGAGAGAGATTGTTGTCAGTTTATTAGGAGAGAAAAACATATTTTTCCGAGCTCACTGACCAAACCTAATGAATGAATCACCGGAATGGCAAGGCAGGACGAGCCCCCAATTTGTCACGACCCGGCTCAAAAGTCGGACAAAGAAAAGGGGGAGGACACGGTCAACTCAAAGTATGATGATTTATTTTACAGAATTAATGATTTTACCAACAAAAACGGATGAGGTGTGTGCGGCAGTTAGTCAGTATGTCTGTTGTTAGATGAGTGAAAGCTGTGTGTTTATGTGTAGCATGTTGTACGGTGCAGAACCAAAATCCAAAGGGGGCCAAAGCCAACCAAACAAAAACCCTGCTGCAACGGAGCGATCTGCTGTGATCTGAAATGATCAGAAACAATACTGTGATGATGAACCACGCGGCTGTCATCCAGAGCAAGGGTCAGACAGAAACCTGTGTCTGTGTCCGATTAAAATGACGAAATTTTTTCCTAGGGCTGGGCGATATGGCCTCAAATCAATATCACGATATATTGATCAGTTCACCCCGATAACGATAAATGGACGATAACTACTCCACAAGCTGCTCACCCCCTCCCACATTAACTTCGTCTTCTTCAGCCGCCGCTCCAGCCACTCCAACCTTTGAACTGTCCTCCATCTCCTCACCTGTCTTTCCCTCTTTGTTACGGACTGGATGGGGTGGAGTCACATCTCTGACGTAGGAGAAGGGACACGAGACCATTGCCTACCTACACACATCCAAAACCAACTCTGGCACGGTGCCAGAAATCCGGCTCGGGTTTCTTTTTTTTTTTTTCTAAATCATGTCAAACCCCCCCCCCCCCCCCGGTTAGTTAGATCTGAATATGACCGGTAGAGGACAGCATTACGCTGGATAGCATACATCCTGCAGGAGAAGAAGAAGAAAAAGAAAAAGACACATCAGCGAGCAGCGAACGGCAAATTTCCACCGATGGATGCCAGGTCCATCAATCCAGGAGAAGAAACGGCGATGTTAGAAGCTGGGCTAGGGCGGAAGAGGCTGGAATAGATGGAAAGCCTCACGGTAGCTGGTGCCGAAAACTAAAAGGGCCGGGTGCATGTTTTTGTGTGTCATGCACTGGAGAGCTTATAAATGGCAGCAGTGGCAAAAAGTTCGGTTAAGTTTGAAAGATATTCACAGATACTGACTCTAGGGATCAATAACTCCGAGACGAAACATTGTCTAAACTCAAATGATGCCTCTTTCATGTCGTAATAGCACAGACTACTGGCTACAAGAATCAAAAAACGATTTGTTTTACAAAAACAAGCTGTTCTTCAAGCTGGATGAATAATACTAATCTTGATGCGCAGCTGGTAGCCTGACAAGTGCGCAGGGATCGTCTGCAAATTACGATACAAGAGCATGACGCTGCAAACGAAAATCAATAGCTCCACTGTTATACAGTACAGAGACTCCATATCCATACCAATGACGTAGGTTATTGACGTAAATGTCTGTATCGGTAAATTTTTTTAGGTTTATCGCCCAGTCCTACTTTTTCCTACCTGAAGATGAAGAGAAGAATTATCAAAACGAAACTCATAAACTCATCTGCTGTGAGTCATTATTCTCCTGTCATGTTTCCTCTCCTCTGTTCAGACTGAGGCAGAACCTGAGAGAAAAACACGCCCGACACGTGGCTGATCTTAAAGCCTACTATGAGTCTGAGATCCAGATCCTGAGAGACAAACTGAAGCTCACAGATCTGCCCGAAGATTTGGAGAAGAGCAACCAGGTCCTCATGAAAAGGTGTGTTTGACCCTAACAAAAGTTTTCCAGTTTGTCCTTTAAAAAAAACTGAGGGATATTTATCTTTCACATGATGGATTAACCCTCAGTGACAAGATTTGATCATTTAAGAGACTTTAAGACGATAAGATGATTGTAAATCTTGTTTTCAGAGTAAGAGAAAAAGGATCAGGTGTTTGGAGTCTTCTTCGAGTGACTAGACTTTAATTCATTTTTTTAATCCTGCATGTTTTTGCTCTTGTGGATCCTCAGGTGTAAGCAGCTGGAGAAAGCTCTGGCTGAGGCCACCGGTCGGATTCAAGAACTAGAATCAACAAACAGCTCTCTGGAGAAAAAACTGGTGAGAAAACAGATACTTACTTTGAATAATTTGGGCTTAATCTAGTTTGGAAAGTTGCGTCAATCCCAAATAAGTTAAAAGCTTTTTTTTTTTGTATTTCTGTAATTTTTGAGGTGTTTCCTAAAGTCCTAAGATTTAATTCAGTTCTTAACCCTTTCTTAACCTCCGTGTGACTCTGTTTTCAGGCAGAGTGGCCGGAGCGATACGCCGTCGCAGGTGCCACCGTGAAATCCCTGCAGCAGCGGTTGGAGGAGAGCAAACGCTCCGGCAAAGAGAAGGACGCTCAGACGGTTCGTCTGAAGAACCACGTACGGCAGCTGGAGGAGGTGGTGCAGAAAGCGGGCAGGGAGGCCGACGAGAAGGAGGCGAGGAGGGAGAGAGAGTACAAGATGCTGCAGGATGTAAGTCCGACCCTAAATTCCTTTTTGATAGTAAATCCTTCATTAAGTCAGTATCATCAAACTTAATGGGTGCCTCGTTTACTTTGTGTCCTCAGCTGCTCGGAGAATACGACTCTCTTATGAAGGAGCATGAAGGAGTCAAGGTGAGTGATCCTGACTCTTTCAGAAATGATCCGATTATTCAGACAGGAGGTCATCCTCACGATTCCTCTTCTGCTGTTTTTGTTTCCTCAGAACAACCTGCTGTCAGCTGAGAACAAACTCGTCGACGCAAACGATCAGATCTCCGACCTGAGGAGGTGAGCGTATGGGATGTGGAGTTTGACACAGAGTTTTCCAACACTTTTTTGGACTTTTATTTAGAGAGGACAGGAAACAGAGCTGTAAACAGGAAGTCAGAAGGAGAAGAGTCGAACCATAGACTACATAGAGTCTCTCTGCCTCCCTTCAGATTAAAGAGTTTATCTGGAGGTAACGTTCTTAAATGATGTAAAGACAGTCATAAATTTAAACATATTTGCAGAGAAAGTTAATACAGCTTTACAGCAGCCTGGTCATCACTGTCAAACAGAGTAACATCCTCATCAGCCGGCTCCTGCAGTTTGTGAAAGAGTGACAGAGCAGATGGAGTTGTGAGAATGAATCGATGAAGCCTAAAGACGGTGTCAGGGCTGCAGGAGAGACAGCGCTGCAGCTTTCCTTTGCAGATTCAGCTCAAGAGGAGCAGTGTTCGGGATCTGTCAGGTCGATACAGCGAATTCACAGACAGATTGAAAAGCTCAGCTCACAGATCGTCAATATGGGTGTCATAGGATTGGAGCTGAAACAGATGGTCTTTAGAGGAGGAGGTAAGAGAACGAGATTAGGGATCGAGGAGAAAGAAGTGAGAGAATCCCTCAAATATCAGCCGGAAGATCTCAATAAAGACAAATAAATGAAAATAATTTACTGTAAAAGGATCCATCGAACATTTATAAAACCAGAGCACTGAGTTGGTGAAGGATATGGAAGTAGAAAAGGGTGTAAAAGGCTGTTATATCTGCACAAAAACCTCCAACTTCACGGTCTATCGGATTCATTAAACCAGGAGATGTCAGAGGATCGTTATTAAAGCCGATCAAAGTCAAACAGGAGAGGTAAATTAAAGCCGGACCATGACAGAAGAGACGACCTTTTATCCATATGTGACCGAGCGTTCAGAGAGAGGTCAGCTGAAGGTCGTGTTTCTTCTCTGGAACGGGGAGAAGTTTTCACTGAAGTTATAACAACTTTTGGACCACTGGTGCTTTTCCACGTCCAAAAAGTTCATTTTTAGGATCAGAGGAGGGGCTCAAAGAAGCAAGTAACCACCTCAGAAATATTAAAATGACTTTTAACACATTTGAAAATTTTTTCCACATGAGGTCCTAATCATGCATTTAAAAAACAGTGTTTTCTTGGGGAATTATTTGGTCTGTCTGTGTCTCTCAGTGCTGTTGTAGGCTGAGCTAAACTTCTGTACAGAAAGTTAGCAGAGTGTGGATAACATATGTGGGAGAAAACACTGACGGCAAACCCTTCTGCGGTGGGGTGAAAATATACTGATATCAGCACAGGAAAAAAATTAAACACAAAAGCCCAACATATAAATATTCAGCAAACCATCGGACGTTGATTTACTTGGACGCTCTTCAATCTTCCTGTTTCCTGCTGGTCTCCAGTGGGTTGGGCGAATCCAAAATGGTGAAAACAAAGGGGGTGTTCTTGGACAGGCTGATACCTGTGAAAGGGGGGTGCTCCAAAAACACCCCCATTAGCACTTGGTATGTTCCCCCTGATGGAATTAACCATAGACTGTAAATTGACGTGGAAAAAATCGAATTTTGGTCGACTCGGCACGAATCGACCGATAATTCGACCAGGATTTTTCAGCCCTAAAGCAGACTGTGTTGTTTATTTCGGTCCTTCTCTCAGACTTAATGTTGTTAAATAGTCTTTTTTTGTTTTGTTTAAATTGTTCCGAGGAGGTTTCGTTTTTATAATTAGAGTTTCTTTATTGAGATAATTCGACAGAAACTGATCACTTTGAAAGGATGGTGTCACCTCTCTGTGTCTGAAAACCTCACAATCGCCCGTGTCTTTGTATCCCTTAGAGTGATCTCCAAACTGGAGACTCAGGTGAAGCAGCTGGAGCACGAGAACCAGGCCAGGGCCCGGTACACTCCTCACAGTAACACACAACCATCTGGAGCTGGGTAAGGACTTCATGATCTGATAAACTCTCCTTCATATAATCAGGTTCTGTTTCCCTCATCACGCTGAACTTATCAAACACGAGTCTCTCTGTTCTGGTTCTCAGTCTTTTCCACCACCCGGACCTGCTGCTGTCCCCCAGTAAAGGCAGGATAGAGCCCGACATCACCCGCAGAAAGTCCCCCTGCCCTCCATCCCTGTTCCCCCAAACTAACCAATCAAGTGTCCACAAGAAGTCTCAGCATCCAATCAGTGATCAGTCAGGAAGTGGGAGCTCTGTGGATGCTCCTGAGGGTGTTGGCGTATGGAGGTGTGTGTTCAGATCGGTGTTTCTGTAGTTGGTGAAGTTTTCAGGTGACTCACTGAGACCCTCCTTACAGGTGTGCGTCTCCTCCTGAGTGTGAACAGTCTCTGCCTCAGCACAGACTCCAGGAGCAGAGCGGCGCTCAGAGAGAGGCGGGGCGGAGGGAGACATCCTGCGCCATGACGCCCATGATGAAGGCGCTGATCGAGCTGGAGGAGACCAGAGCCACGGAGAGCCGGGCCCCCTGTAAGAGCAACTCCACGAGCACCCACAGAGTGACTCACAGGCTCTCATTAGATTAAACCAAACTGTCATTTTCTCTGAGCTAAAGGTAACAATACGATAGTTATCCTGTCACAAACCCACACTTCACCAGATTTAGACCCCTGCGCTCTCTGACTCACAAACTGATCCGGAAAAGGTCATAAAAATATTCACAGGAGTAACTCGAGGAAACTGACAGCAAATAACGAGTCCGTTTCCCCCTAAAAGTCCAGTTCCTTTGTCCAGGGTGAGCGCTCTGTACTGCGCCCAGGCATGGCACACTTCCTCCATCCTGGCACGGTTAAAAGAAGCGGGCTTTGGCGTGGGCCTTGTTGCCGAAGCACCTGTTTTTTTGTTTACACCCAAACGCCACATGTCACATCGACACAGTTGGACGGAGAAAACCTGAACGCTGTCAGGAAGTCAATGAAAACACACTTTGTGAAATCGTCTGTCACTCTCTCAGGATATTTTACATCATGACGGGTTTTTTGTGTTAAACACATCTCTATGGTTTCTCCTCAGGGATCAACAATCAGAAGACCACGGTCGGGTTCGTGGAGCGCAGACACAAAGAGGTGATTCAGGATCAAGTCAGGCTGCAGAGCGACAGAGAGGTGGTCAAACCTGGAGGAGCCAAAAAAATCAACGGAGCTGCAGCTTTACTGAGAGCCCAGAGGATACTGTCTCCAGAGGGCCACAGATCCTCCTCTCTGCCTCCTCCTGGACAGAGGAGCATCCCTCCAACTACACCCAGTGAGTCCAGCTCTGTAGAGGCTCTGTTCCCTTACTCAGCTCTCAAAAACAAACTCTTCTGGATTTCAGTTGGATGAAACAAAGAAATCCATAAGATCTAACTGAGGTTAAAGGCTGTCGAGGATCAGGACAGGTGCTCAATTTTCTTTTCTCTTCCTCCCAGCGAAGAGAGAAACTCTCCTGATGCCTCTGTCTGCAAAGTCCAGCCCTAAACGCTGCCCCACAGAGAACTACTCCACCGCTTTTGGTCGTCTGATGCCCAGAGAGGAACATCTGATAAAAAGGTAAGACACACATTAACAGGAAACAGTCGACATCAAATTAAATGAACCCTTAAATGTAAGAAATCAGCTCTGGTAAGATCCTGAGTGGGTTAGAAATTCTTCAAGTCACTACAAAATATCAAAAAAGTCTCAGGATTTTGTAGAAAGTTGGCAACAGTTTCTTAGAATCCCTCAAAAGTTACTCAAGATCGAGAAAGAGTCCGAATCTGTGTCCTTGTGTTTAAACCACCAGGTGTCATCCTCCACACATCAGAGCTTCAGTCTCAATATGACCTGAACTATAAAAAGCTCAGTCAGACTCAGCCAAGGCTGATCAAGTAAGAATTTCAGCTCGAGTCCCCGAACAAGGAGGTTTAAGGTCTGATTTAGAGCTGGACGGACAGCAGAGGAAGTATGGCAGTCTAAATGAAGATGATCAAACCGTTCTGTTTGTGCGCTCTGCTGTCTGCAGGTTTGATGGACATGTCGATCAGAGGCGTCACTCCTTCCACAGCAGCAGCCCCAGAAAAAGACTCCAGTTCATGTCAGCAGAGAGAGAGGATGGTAAAATATTCAGTCTTTATACATATTTAAAAATATCTGGTAAAAAAAAAAAAAAGACTGGTGCAATCATGTCTGAATGAGGTGCATTTAAGGTCTGATGTTCTCAGTTTTGTATCTCTGCAGAAGATTCTGAGTAAACCTGTAATTTTATGTATTTTTTTTATCAAAGATTTATGTTTAATATTTTAATATGCATGTGAAAGACAAATTCAGCAAATTATGAACGTTTTAACAACTTTTAAAATAGAACAGTTCTCCAAATGTGGATGTTTGATTTAGACCGCTCTAATTTTTCAGATACTTCTGTACTGTAAACATCACTGTCTGACACTCAGCTGTACCTCCAGATAACGCTGTCCTTCATTTCCCTCTCAGAGTCCCATCAGTCTCCAGAGTCCTCAGGCGGCACGAATCCCTCAGAGGGAAACTCCCAGCTGGGCTGGGAGGAGCAAGCAGCCTGTGGAGGATCTGACCTGCTGGACCCCTGTGAGGACTCAGCTCCTCTGCTTCTGGACAGACTCCACTCGCTGGCTGAGGCAGAGAAACTGTTTGACGAGCTGACGCAGGAGAAGCTGCAGGTAATAGGTTTTTTTTTTTTTTCTGCGATCATTAGCAGGCCCAATCTCAATCTGACCCCTACACAACCTAGAAACCCTCGTCTGCTCCACCGTTGGTCTGGTTTTCTTTTGCAGGTCTTCAGTGTTAAATTCAGCCTGTTTCTCAACCGGCTAAAAACTCCTCACTGTAGCTTCAATGAGTCACTGCAGGAATAAGATAGGATTTGAGAAAGCAGTGATACGTTCCTCTTGTACAACCAATAAGTTCAAACACAGTGAACCTATCGTGTAAATATTTACCCTTTAAAGACGTGTTACAAACAGGCTCCTCCTCCTCAAACAGCCTTTACTGTCACCTCGGTTTTTAACATTACTGCATGAGAAATTATTGTAAAGTGATGAACCAATAACAGTCAGAGGTGAAGTTTGCCAACTTTAATAATATTGCTGACAGTTTTCTGATTAAATTCACTCACAGTGTTTTAAAGTGTTGTTTTTATTGACCCTTTGTGTACTTTCATATAGAATTAACTGTCATCTCAGATATTCAGCTCTGATCTGTAACATGAACTTTATTGTTTTTCTATCACCATTAAATGACTTCTATTTTAGGATGTTTATATCCACACACACACACACACACATACACACACACACACACACACACACCTCCCTCTCTCTCCTGGTCACACAGGGACACCAGCCTCCTCATTCACAGAGCACACGCTCATCTTTTCCCAGCACGCTAATCTAATGAGTGCGAGTGTTTCGCTCCATCATGTGCAGGTGGTTTCATCGATACATTTATTAATGTTAATGGATGATTAACTTTTATTGTGTGTGTGTGTGTGTGTGTGTGTGTGTGTGTGTGTGTGTGTGTGTGTGTGTGTGTGTGTGTGTGTGTGTGTGTGCGCGTGTATGTGTGCAGATTGAAGCAGCTCTGAGCCGTATGCCCGGAGCAGGAGGCAGAGTGAGTCTACAGACCAGGTTAGATGAGGTAAGACACGCTCATATTGATTCTCTCATCCATGTTCGTATCGTTTAACCGTGTTGGTGTTTTAAAGTAAAGTAGTTTGTCAGGAGATGATGTTTTATTATTCCAGCTTCTAAAACATGAGGATCGACATACTTAACTTTAAATCTGACATATCTCTGGACTCATTTATAAGCTGCTTCGTATTGACGGCTAATGGAGCGATGAGGTGAGTAGAGGCCTGTATACGAGGATGAACCACAGGTGCAGATTTCTGGGTGGATCAGGTTTATAAAGGGAACAGTCTCACTCTTAGTTTGGACCCTATGTGCTTTCTTACTCTCTGTCTTGACACCGCCTGCACAGCTAAAGAAATCAGTGAATCCTTATCTTTGAGAAGCTGGAAGCAGATGATGTTACCTCCATGAGTTAATTGACCCATAAATCTTTGATAAAGTCGTTCCACTCTCACTCCCTCCCTCTCTCCTCCTCGTCTCCTCCTCTCTCCACCTCTCTCCTCCTCGTCTCCTCTCGCCTCAGGTGGCCTTAGAGAACCGTCTGGAGAGAGTGAATCGTGAGCTGGGATCCATCCGCATGACCCTGAAGAGGTTCCACGTCCTCCGCTCCTCTGCCAACATATAGCAATGTCTGTCTTTTTACAGTGTAGATGCTAAAACTTAGTGTCTTGATTTTTTACAGTGCACTGATTGTCTTTAAGTCTCTTTTTGTGCCATAAACTCACCTGTACAGCAGCACCTTTTATACCTGTTACTTATTACTCGGGGATATTTTTTATATGTCTGACAGATATGACGATTTTTGGAGTATATTTTTAGTAAAGCACAGATTTGTAAAGTCCTTTACTTTTTTAGTCACAGAAATATTAATAAGACATGTTTTAATCGCCATATTCAGGTGTGGATTTTTAAAAGCTTTCGGTGTAAATTTGACTTTCCAGCAGACACGTTTATCCACTTTGGAAATTTACGTCACTGCCATTATAACTCACATTTATGGACCTTTTGTTATTGTTTTATTCCATCTGAGACCACTCAAATATTATTTATGAATATTTTTGTACATCAGATTTTAATTTTAAGTGTTTGTATGTTTTTTTACGTTTGTATTTGATTTCTTTCTGGGCCAAATGTATTTAACATGAAGAAAAACATTACTTGAATCAAATTGCCTTTTTTTGCTTCTTTATTTTCATGTTTGCTCATCACTTTGTTTGCTTTATATTTGAAATTCTGCTGTTTCTTGGTGAGAGCCACTTGTAAAATCAAAACCAGCACACTTTCTGAGGATCAAACACACACACACACACACACACACACACACACACACACACACACACACACACACACACACACACACACACACACACACACACACACACACACACACAACATTTCCACACAAACCTTCAATCGATCATTTGATGCCTGTGCATGGAGTTTCTTGCACTGCTTCCTTTGCCATGCAGATTTTCCTACCTGACAGGAACTTCACTGGAACTATAATATTGTTGTTGCACAATAAATGAAGCTTTTTTGATAACCTGAGGTTTGGCTCTGATTTTTTCTTGGCTAGGTTTTCCTTGATATCCCGGAATTTTCTATTATGAGTGAAAATCCTGCATCAAAAATATGAACAAAATAAAATAAAAGGGATATTAGGCTACTGGAAAATCACCACTTTTTTATAAAACTACTAGAAAAAAATGACAACTATTTTTTACCGCTGAGTGTGGTGTCAATATCCAACCACAAAATAATAATGAACTTTATCTTAAAGAACTCTGTTAAAAAAATTTAAATATATTTTTATTACAGGCTCTTCAATAAGAACTGAAATGTAAAACATGATAATATTTTTTTTAAAATTGACAAAAACTTTTTGGTCTGTTTATCCATACACTATTTTATTTGTACCATATGTAGACAATAACTGGCACAGGCTTCAACTGAAAAATTGATTGACAAAGAAAATAGAATAGAATAGAAGAATAAAATAAAGCTTTTTCAATAACCCGAGGATTGGCTCTGATTTTTCTTGGTGAGATTTTCCTAAGTATCTTGGAAAAAATACTCTATTATGAGTAAAAAATCCTGCATTAATAATATCAACCAAAAATAAATAAATAAAAGGGATATATAAGGCTAATAAGGCTTAACTATTTTTTACTGCTGTGTGTGGTGTCATTATCCAAACACAAAATAATAATGAAGTTTATCTAACAGTACCCTAATTAAATTTTTCAAATTATTTTTCTTACAGGCTCATAAATAAAAAATAAAATCTTTTTCTCCATACTTTATTTGTAACATATACAAACAATGACTGACACAGACTTCAAATGAAAATTCATCAACAAAGAAAATATTCAATAGAATAATCTTATAACATTTCATTTTTATGTTTAGCAAACCTTCATAAAGTATGGAGGAAAACCCAAGCAGTTAAATTCACCCAATCTGTTAGCAATATAATTTTTTAATATTTTTTTAAATAAAAAATGACAAATATATTTATATTTTTTTGTCATTTTTTATTAAAAAAAATAAAGTAAATTTGGCTTCCAGTTTTTTTTCATACTGTTCCGTTAATGTTTTACAAGATGATTAATTTTACAACAGTATTAATAACTGTATTTTTCGGACTAACATGTTGATGAAGTTTTATAATGTCATGATTTTTCCGGCTGCAGGTCTCTTTGGTACCGCTGGGGGGCGCTTTCTCCCTCCCTGTGTGGCAGGAGGACGTCCTGTCTTCTGATGTAACCGCTAACCTGCCTCTCTCAGCGGGCTGCACCGGCGGCACACAGACGCTCACTCACCGGACAGGACGGACGTGTTCAATGATGGAGGATCGGCGGTGACTTCCACCCACAGCGGCCGGACTGAGGGCGCCTTCACCGGGGAGTGAACGCTCCGTGTAGCGGTGGTAGAAGAGCTCCGACGCCCCGCAGTGAAGAACATAAACACGGTAACGGAGGCTCGTCTGAACATAACGTTACAGCGATGATACGTTCACTGCCTCTGCAACGTGGAAATCCAGCTGAATAAACCAGGACTGCTGCTGCAGGTGAGTCAGTCATGATGGACGCGGTGTTTACCTGTTAAAATGGCGTCACTGCTCTCAGATTTCCCATTAATCAGGCAAAGTGACAAGGTGCAAATATTAATTAATTCCTCCCTTATTTATGGCCGTGTTTGGATGGGCTACAGTGATCAGGTGGCATCCATCATTGTAGTTTTTAATTAGACCAGAATGAACCAGCTGCTCCATTTATTGATTCTGGTGTTTGGAGAGAATAATACAGTATGTTGACGTTGATATTGAGTCTCTGATAGGGATATTACAGGATGCATTAGCCTGATAGACCATTATGTTCCTCCTCTGTACTTATTAACACAGGACGACAGGTAGTAGATTTGCAGAACTATTAAATCTAAACTGTAAACACTAAATTTACAGCATTTATGTGCAGTGTAGTTTGTTGTGCATGGCTGTGTTAAACATGTTGGCTGAGGGGCGTTGGAGGCCCTTAATGAGCCTCAAATTAAGAGCTTTTTGAGGCTCAGTCTAATCTCAAATATGACAAAATCTCAGCTAGATTTAATATGTTTGCTTTTCCAAATTTGGATTTTTGACTCTGACAAACTAATGTTGTTCCTGTGATTAGATTGGGCTTGTGTGTCAGTCAATGACCTATCTGAATGGGTTGCTGTAATGTCAACTGAGGCTTCAGCAACTGCGCTGATGATGCAACTTTTAAAGGTACAGGTATAAGAGAAAGTAAATGCATCTATCATCTTGCCTCTAAAACAATCCTGCCGTCACATACCAGTCCAGAGCTCGTCCATCAGATGGACAAAGTTGGCAAGCAGCTGCTTGTAGAAGCGTTGGCTCTGCTTCGCTACTCTGATGCACCTCCGCGCTCCATCACTCTGGATTTTATATCGACACTTTGGGAGTGGTAGAAAAAGATACTTGTAAATATTTGCTCTGATCAGATGGCTGAACTGAGCAGCATCTGTAGGAATCTGATGTGGGATCTTGTTTCAAACCCTCTACTGCTGTGTCTGGATTAGCAAAAAAACATGTTGGGGGGTATTTGTTTCTGTTCAGGCTTTCTAAAACCAGCTAGAATAAAATGTTGGCATGTCTAGACTGGATTTTTGTCACAACAGGGCTGAAGAGTCTACATCAGCTTAAGTGGTGTAGTTGGTTAAGCTGTTCTTTGGGTGCCTCAAGTTATAAAATAACCTCTGAACCGTTTGGCTGTTGTCCAATGATTTTATATCCTCAGGGAACCACGGCAACTTATTTGGCTTCCAGTGTAGCGAAGGGTAACGTCTGGAATAAAGAGAGACAACAGCTTAATGCACAGAGAAAGTCCTCAGTCGGCCTTCTTTACGCCCCACGCTGTGTTACTATACTGTATGGTACAACATGATGTGATACAGTACTATATGATCTGATACAATACAATGTGATAGCATATAATTGACAATATGATGTGATACGATCCAATACAATACAATGTTATACAATATGATGTGATGGGATATGATGTGATATGATACAATACGATTTGATATGATTTGATACGTAAGGATCCAATACGATGTGATACAATATGGTATATGATCGATACAATACGATACAGTACGATATGATATGATATGATATGATATGATACAATACGATACGATACGATAAGATACAGCAGGATTCCATACAATGTGATACGATACGGTATATGGTATGATACGATATTTTAGGATTTGACACAATATGATATATGATATGATATGTTATATGTTATGATATGATATGATACAATATGATATGATACGTCAGAATTCCACATGATGTTAAACAGTTTGATATATGATACAATATGATATGATATGATACGTCAGGATTCCACACGTTGGAAACAATATGATATATGATTCGTTATAATACAATAGAAAACGATACAATACGATAGGATATGATATGATATAATTTGATATGATATGATATGATATGATAAGATAGGTCAGGATTCCATATGATGTGATACGATATGGTATATGGTACGATACGATATTTTAGGATCTGATACGATATATATTATATGATATGAGATGATATGACACAATATGACACGACAGGATTCCACACGATGCGAAACAATATGATATATGATATGATATGATACGATAGGATATGTCAGGATGCCATACGATGTGAAACGACATGATATATGGTATGATATGATATTTTAGGATTTGATACAATATGATATGTGATGTGATATATCATATGATACGGTAATTTAGGATTTGATACAATGTGGTGCGATATGACACAAAATGATTTGATATGATGGGAAAAAATAAGACACAATACAACACAATATATCACAATATGATGCAATACAATACTATATATGATACAGTTTAATATAATTCTATATAGTACAATAAATCAGATGCGATACAGTGCAATCTAACATGATAAGAGACAAATTGACTCAAAATAATATGATACAATTCAACAATGTACAAAATACAGTACAATACAACATGACACGATTTGGTCTTTATAGATGTTTTTTGGGCATCTTTGGACTATGAAACACTCAAATGTCTCTGTTATTGCTGACATATTTCAATCTGGGTTAAAGTTGTTGACAGACCCACACATCTTTCTAGAAAGTTGTTAGAATTAATATGCTTTTCTTTAACATGCTTGAAGATTGGGATTTTTTAAAAAGGACTACCTTCCTGTATTGTTATTTAAAAACGCCTTTGTACATGGACTTCCACAGTTTCCTTACACTCGTTAAAAGACTTAGATGTAGCGTGTCTTGTCTCACCTTCAGCCCTGAACGTAGATATATTCAGTTTGTAGGTCACCTCGTGCTTACTCGCTGAAAACTCTCTGTGTCCTTGCTACGAATGTTCTGTACATCCTGCTAACAATGCAGGAATCCACAAAGCTGGAGCTATTCTTAGACTCTGAAGGTGAACACACTAAAGAGGTGCTGTTGTTTGTGTGATCCTCACCTCGCCGTTAACTTATTCAGACGGACGCCGCAGTGGAAGCCAACACTCTCAAGGAAGGTCGCCTAGAAAGAGGTTCGCTGTCAGACTGACCGTCACCAGTGAACTTAAAATAACCACATAGTTTCCTGTAGAGTGGTAGTTATAGGAGTTCATGGGTCTTTGAAACAGTTAGTGGCGATAAAGAAAAAGGCAAAACAAAAATCCTCTGTTGTCCTATTTGTTGATCCAATAACTAAATGTCAAGATATGAGGAACAAATGCCACTTCAAAGTTGGACTTTTCCTGCAGAACCTCTCGGGTTAATCTGTCGTCAGTGAAAAGCTGAAAACCATTTTATAGTAACCGAGAAATTGATGAGATTAGACTCAACCTAAAAAATCATGTAAGCCTCAAAGTTTATATTATGAAGGTCAGGGAGTCACTAAGTTCAGTATAGTTCAGCTGCTGGGGATCATGAATATCTGTGCAGGATAATTTTAAAGTGCATCATATACGTGGTAAGATATTTCAGTCAACACAAAAAAAATGAAACCTATTTTCTCGAAAACATCAGTTAAAGTTTTATGGTCTGTTGTCTGGGTCTAATATATATTTGTATTCAGTTACAGTGCAGATGATATGATAGTTTCGGGATATTCATTTTGAATTGAAGCTGTTAACCTTATGATGGTTTTTGAGGACATGTTACAAAACACAAATCTCAGCGGTTATCCTCTGAGGACCATGAATACCAGTACAAGTTTTCATGACACAGTAATTTAGATATATAAGTAAAACAAGATATGTCTGCCTCCTACAAGATAAGTTTAACTGTCATAGTATTAAGTTATTTATCCTCTGGTAACCATGAATATCTGTATCCAGTTCCAGTAGATGGCAGATAAGTTAATCTATTTGGAATGTTTAATTTTAAATTGAAACAATCGACCTCGCTGAGCTTTGTCACCTTCATTGTAGATCTACCGAGACAGGTTTAGGTACCACCTTGGTCATTAGGAGTCCTCCCCTGGGGATCACAAATCCAGGTCCAAATGTCATGTCAGCTAGTCGGACAGTTTTTACTTCACGATTCATTCAAAATTATTTAAACTAACATCCTAATGGGTCTTCAGGGAAAAATCAAACAACACAAACATTTTAAAGGTTCATTCTCTGGGCACCATGAGATCCTGAACCAAAATTTCTGTCAGTTTATCACCTAAATGTTAATCTATGACAGGCTTGAGTTGGTTCTGAAAGTTCTAACTCGGTTATGAGACCTCTGGATTCAGACCTAATCAACTCTCTGATTGTCCTGAATAGGAATTTAGGGTTTCACTGAAGTCTGAGGACGCGTCTGGAGGGGACCATGAATATCAGTGCCAAATTTTATGGTGATCTATTTTAAATTTCCCTGAGGCCCGAAATGGTGGACCTGATCCGACATTGTTTATGCATGGACTCATGCTTCTTTCATGGCTAAATGGTCTTTCTGATTATCCAGTGATTGCACCAGTTCATTAAATTTGTATCATGCGGCCTCATAATCAGCCCGACCATCAGATCCGCTGCCTAATGTTCTGGTCCTGTTTCCTCCCATTTCAGGTCCAGTGTGCATGATTTTAATGTGTGTGACAGAAGATGGAGCCTCACAGGATCTGATTATGGGGACAAAATGATTAGGTTTGCTTTAATGAATGCTGTTAGGAAGTAGCCGCCGCAGAAAGAATGAGTCATGATATTGATTGCCGCCCTCCTCCTTCAGTTGCTCCTTCTCTCTAGAAACCTCCCAACCCCACCCCCCCTCTTTCTCTGAAGAGTCTATCCATCCATCCTCCTGCTTCAAATTCATATTTCTGAGTTCATTTTTTCTCTCCATCCCTTCGTGACGCGCTTGTTTGCCCCCCTCTCCCTTCCCCAAAGATACGTCAGAGAGGATTTGCAGAGAGGTGGCATGCAGCCAGGCTGAGGGCTGCATACCAATAACGACATGACTCGCTTGGCTCTCCGGTCTGGATGAGAGAGAGAGAGGAAAGAAGGGAGGGGTGGGAAGGGGAGGAGAGGGGAGGGGGTCTTGTCACGAGATGCCACGTCATCGCAGTGTGTGGAATCTATTTTTAGCAGCGTAAACAGAGGGATTCCAGCCCACTGATCATGGCTTCACAGCGAGGACTGAGTGGTGGGAGGCTGGAGACGCTCTGGATGTGAATGAACGACACTTTCCATTAAGTCCTGACTGTCTGCCTCCCGCCGCCGTCGCTCCCCTCCCTCCGCCTCGGCCTGTCGAGGAGAAACACTGCACCACAAATAGACCGACAAGCTCACAGTCTGACGCTTTCTCCTCTGCAGCCTGCTTCACATGCATGAACATATGTACTCGTACAGTCTCGCCTACGGAGTGCTGTATGTGGTACAGTATGCAACCTGTAATAATAACAACCATCAGTGTTATGCTTTCCTGACACCTCCACAGAGCTTCACTGATTAGACGACGGCCACCTTTGATTTTCAGATTAAACTAAATTTCAGTGTGTGTTGGTACGCAAAATGAGCGCAGATATACAGATACTGAACAAGTGGAATAATTCTGCCTTTAATATTTATAGATCAGCTGATCCTAAATACAGCCTCTGATTGGTCAAAAGTCCAAAACAAACATGGCATCTTTCATCTGGCGTAGGTAACTAATAAAAAAATGACACAATTCCACTAAAAAGAATACATGAATTATCACAGATTACATTTGACTTTGGAGGTCTGGATTCAGACAGTCCCTGAAAACACACTGGTGGTTTGCTATGTAGAATAGAAAGTCTGCAAATGTCGCAAAAACATGTGGAGTTTATCCCCTGAGAGGTGCCGGCCTCACAGAGCGAGTAGATTTTATTGTATGTTCCTACATTATACTCATTTATTTCTATTAGAGCTGATACTGTGGATCCAGTAATATGTTGTGAATATCAGCATTGACCCCCAAACAGAAGACGTGCTACTGTTATCAGCTAAACTTTATTTCAAGAGAAATAAAAACTTTATATTGATATAAGTTGATACGATTTATATGTTATCCTGATAATTATCTGGCTGTTTACAGGAAAAAAAGAATAAAATTGACTCAAAATATTAATTTAAAGACAGCTTTGTCAATTAAAGTATAACTATCGTTAACAGGCAGAGGAGAACAGCCTTTGACACAGTGGTAAAATTGGAACCCGTTTTCCCAGATTGATGCGCTAATGGTGCGTTCCAGTTGTACTCGGAAGTCGGGATTTCTGAGCTCCAAATCAGAAATTAATCTGAAACGCCCCCCTAAACCAGACGATCCTCACCAACCCCGATTTAGTGACAATGTCATAATTAAAGATGGCAGTGCAGTGCATCAAACGTAAAGAGTAACAGTGAAAGCTCTCGTAATCTAATATTTATTAGCACTTCTGTTTTGTTTTTGTAAAATTAAATAAGTGGTATGTGTTTTACTGCCCAACGTCTAACTGTGAACACGGTACTATGGTGTTTGTAAGAGTAAAATACTGTGTTGTGAGTTGTTTACAACTGGTTTAGCTAACAACAACAACTAATAATTATGGACAACAGCTAACAATTGCTAACTGTAGGCGTCCATCTTGGTTTTTCGACTTGTTAACTTGGAACGCCACCAACTCGGGTGTAACGTCATTTCCAACAGTGTCTAATAAGCCCATGGGGCTGGGCACCAATTTTGGTGTATGACACTTAAATAAAATTATCATATCATATCATATCATATATCCAGGTCCGACATCCGACTTCCAAGGTAACTGGAACACAGCCTTAAACGTGAGCTCAGGTCGTCTGTGGTGTTACTTCTGCTGTTCAGAAGAAGTACAGCAGCTGGGCAATTACAGTTTATGACGATAATAAATTATTTTCTACACATTAAATGTCTGTAAAATCAGAGACAGATTCACTTTACTCTGTGCTGATTGGTCTCTTTGTCGTACATTTATTAATTTCAGGTCCCACAAGGGACACGAGTATTCTGCAGAACTATTAAGAGGAACAAAAGATTTTTCGATTATTATTCTGCTGTTTATACTTACTCATATTTGACTCTGTTTTGTGATTTCCTGGTGTACGTGATTCTCCTAATTCTTGAACACAGCTGATACAAACAGAATGGATTTATATAGATCTTCATTGTCACAGTTTCCAGCTGGCACTCAGATGGTGCCCTGGCAGAGACGTATCAAATATAGATCCATACCTTTGTGACGTCCCCTGTTGCTCCTGAGGGGCCCGTTTGTGAGTCATGTTGTTGAGGGGAGGGTTCGAAACTGTCACATTTGACCACGTTAGCGGCGGTGGCTTTGAGCACTTAGTCTAATTAACAGTCCGGGTGCTTTGTATGGATGCAGCGAGGCATTGCGCCCTCATCAAATATTCACACACTCACACATATTCAGCAGTGTGAGGCAGCTCCCTGCTCACCTGATACTCTGAACGTCACTGCGTTAGTTAAAAGTAATCTCTGAGCATCTGTTTCCTCACAGGTCAGACTGATTGATAGTCATGGTAACGGCTCGGTGTGGCTGCTGCTGTCTGCAACAGTCAAGCTTTGGGCTCAAAATGTTAAATTAAGTCCAGCAATGTCATTCCTCTGTGTTAGTTTTACAGTCTGTCATACCTTTGGCGAAAGACTCTGCCAAGCTCTTTTGTATGAGAGGGGCTGCTGCGGTTTTGGTTTTTGGTGCAGCGGGTGCGCCACGTGTTTCGTCTTCAGGTGGTGGAAGAGGTTGTTGGTGTTTCCTCCTCCAGCAACGACAGCCACACGACACTCTTTGCATGGTATTGTTTTTTGATCATTGTTGGATTTCGCAACTCGCGCCACTTTTTCGGGATAAGTTCCTCCTCCTGTTCCTCGTGTTGGGTGGGTCGGGCTGCCTTCATTTGCTCGGTACTGCCACTAATCTCTGCGTCCGCTATGACCACCATCAGTGAAGCTGTTTCTTCTTCACTGAAACTCTGCTAAGCAGTCTGCTGGACACGCTGGTGATTAGAGGGAGCGCATGCAAACCTGACCAGCTCTCACTTTGATCTTAAAGGGACTAGATGGTTTAAATTAGTGATCCCCTGACCCCAGAGGCCTTAAGGGAAACAGTCCCACAACCAGGACTAAATCCACATTGTTCTTCCTGTTATGACCCTGAAAACATGAAAGGATCCTCAAAGTCTTAAAGGGATATTCCGGCCTAAAATTAATTTAGGGTCAAACACACTGTAACACCGAGTTAGACGCCCTCTCGAGAGATGAATGTTGCCGACCACTTGCTTCTCTAGTTATACCAACTTTAGTAAAGACCACACGATAGCAATACACAGCGGTCTGAGGAGTCATAAACAAACCTCAACCAAAACGCCACTCTATAGCCACAAATAATGCTCAGAACAGCACCTAACTTCATCAACAGGACATATAGGGTCCCAGCCACAGTACTAGCCACCAAACATCTTTTTAACTTTGACTAATTTCTTTAGCAAAGAGACTAAACACAACTCATCTACTCTCTTTTAGCAGCCGCTTGTTTGTAGTGAGACCTCAGGCCAGTCCATTACAGACTGTTGCGGGGTGACACAGCTCAAGGAAGAACATTTATGACCATTACTTCATCATTTCCTTGAACTAATAATCACCATATTAATCATTTTGCGCTGCAGACGCGGTAGTTCTTCTGCCTTAGTGTCTCAGTCTGATTGCATTTTCATGAAGAAATGATCATAAATGTTCTTCCCTGGGCTGCATCACCCCGCTGTAGTCAGTAATGGACTGGCCTGTGGTCTTGCTACAAACAAGCGGCTGCTGGAAGAGAGCAGGTGAGTTGTGTTTAGTCTCTTTGCTAAAGAAATCAGGCAAAGTTAAAAAGATGTTTGGTGGCTACTACTAAGGCTGGGACCCTATATGTCCTGTTGATGAAGTTAGGTGCTGTTCTGAGCATTATTTGTGGCTATAGAGTGGCGTTTTGGTTGAGGTTTGTTTATGGCTCCTTAGACAGCTGTGTATTGCTATTGTGCGGTTGTTACTAAAGTTGAGTATAACTAGAGAAGCAAGCGGTCAGCAACATTCATCTCTTGAGGGGGTGTCTAACTCGGTGTTACAGTGTGTTTGACCCTAACTTAATTTTATGCCAGAACATCCCTTGAAGGGTTCATCCTCTGGAGAACATGAACCATATTTAACCTATTAAATTTGTTTTTTTTAAAGTTATTTCAGTCTGATCTAAGACGATAGATTAATCGCTGCCCCTGAAACGGTCTTGTATTTTCTGTGTAATGATTTTTTTCGCCTGGTTTGGCAGTCAGACATTATGGATGAGAGTAATCAGGAGATGGACCTGTAGTCTTAACGGATGCTTAATCTCCAGGACAAATCACAGTGGGTGAAAGGTCCAAGTGTTGCTGCTCTCTGCCTCTTGAATGTAAATCCACCTTGGAGGCCCTGGAGTGGAGCCAGACAGTAATAGTTTCAGCTGAGGAGTGGATCTTTTATCTCCGGGTTTTCAAATCTTCTCTGCTCCAATAACAACTGTCTCTCTTTCTTCTGGGCTGCCGTTTCTTCATCTACATCTCATTTATACCTCCACCTCTTTGCCCTCTTGGATCTCTGTGCGGTCTTGTTAACATTGATGTTCAGGTGTCAGATATAAAGACCCACCAATTCCTCTTTCCCTTCCCTTCATTCCTCAGCACATCCTCCCTAAACATCTGTTTCTGATGTTGAAGGTAAAGGTGTAAAGGTGAAGCTGTGAAGGCAGGAGAAACACTGATCTGATGAAGAGGTGTTGAAAGAAGCAGCAACGAGGAGTCAGCAGGTGTTGAGATTGACCACTGCTGTCATCCTTCACATCCATATTTGTATAAGTAAAGGTGAATCAAAGATGAGTGAAAGCTCGATGGCAAACACGTCAAACCTCGACCGCAGGAAATCCTCAGACAAACTAACTCACAGCTGAGAAACCAGCAGAGAGACGGAGTTAAGGCGTAGCCTTGCTGTGTGATCGACGGTTTCAAGTACCCGCCTGTCAGTCAAATGATTCCTTTGTATGCATGATGGAAACCGACAGCTTTGAAACCTCTGTGAGCGGTTTGAACTTGTTATGAGGAAGACTGAGACCAACACGGATGTCTTTTTATGATCTAAGATGACAGTTTATTTATCTCCATTTTTAGTCTTGAAACCAATGTGTGTTAGCCTTATATTCAGACAATGCAAGCGCTAAAATAACTTTTGTAGATGTAGCCTTCTTGTTTCCGCCTCCGATTTTGCTTTTTTCTGACTTGGTAACTGAAATGCTGGGAACTCGGGTGTGACGTCAGTTCAGACTTCTGACTTCTGAGGTAACTCGAACGCAGCCTAACTTTACATGTACTGTCAGCAAATAAACAAAACATCAGAAGTTCCTCACAGTAGCTTTAATGTAGTTAAAATAGATTTTTTTAAAATAACAGTTTTTAGAAAAAGAGAAAAATGAGCTAAAGAGATGTAAACGGCGCTCTTTAACAGGCTTTTAATGTGTTTATTTTTAATGTAGCAGCAGTAACAGGGTAAGCTCGGTTTTCTGAGACAGTCTCAAGTGGACAGTTGAGGAACTGCAGTCTTTGCATTTGAAACAGCCTTTTTTTTCTGTTGTCAAATATTTTTAGGTAACCCTTAAAAAAAAGTCTCAGATATTGCTGGTTTACTTTTTGCAAAAATGTCCATTTTACTCGTGTTGTTTCAAAGGTGTTGCAGTGAGTGACCTTAACACTCCTGTGAGGAAGTTTTTGACATTTTTACAACAGACCGGAATTTAAATCGATGATTTTTAATGATGTACAAAAGCACACAAGATTGACTCTTTTTTTGTGTAAGTTTTGATACCCGTAAAAAGGCACATAGGGGTCGGTTTCTGTAGAGCAGGTTAAGGAAAAATCATTTTTTACACTTTCAGCAATAAGTATTTACAAAAGATGACATATTGACTGTCAAAAGTAAGCAGTATTTACAATTTTATATCAGAGGGCACTATTTTCACCTGTAGAGGACAGGATAAGCAAAGACTGCTTTGTCCACAGGGGGCAGCAAAACTGACACAGAGCAAAAGTTCCTCACAGGAGCTTTAATGAGTAGAAGAATTAAAACAAACTGTTGATTTAAGGAACAAAAATCTTAAACATAATTTTTTATACATTTGTTTTTTTAAAATGCAGTGAGTGTCATCACAGGTAATTAAACCAACAGGGGTCTAGGTGACCGACATTATCAGCTGGTTTCCCTCCCGTTACACTAGCTGAGGCATCATCGCCGCCATTTACCGGCAACACTGAGGGAGCAGAGCAATTTGAGCATCAGCACACCACCCCGCCACAACCATCACACCGCTCTCTGCTGTCAACCCCCCCTGTCTCCCCCCTCTGCCTCCCCTCCACCTCCACCGCCGCCCTGAGCTAAAAATAGCCGTCCTCTCTCATCAGCCAGTCGTCACGTCAGGGCTGCGTTCTCTCTCATTTGCTGCACACACCTCTTTTTATGCTGTCATGTTTTGACAGCATCAGACGGACACATTAACCGGGGGGTTGAACACGTTCAGAGAAAAGAGACTTCCAGAAAATTTAAAACACAAAGAGTCTGATTTAAACTCCGATATTTTTTTTTTCCCTCTGATGTGTCAAAGTGGGTTTCGACTGCGCTTCTCAAACTGGATTGAGGAAGGAAGTGGTTTCGAAACATGACTTCTGCTCCATATTGGGTATTTATGCAATATGAGTGAGACAGTTTGGAGAACACACTCCATCGCAGAGCTGAGTGTTGGTTCATCTGAGCGCTAAATCCACGTCTGTGCACGACTCAAACACCATCAGCTGCTCATAGAGTCCTTTTCTGTTTCATTCACAGGAGGAAACGTCGCTGGAGATGGACTACAGGTCAGTAAATGATCATCTGATAATATTTCCGATCAGCTGAGAGCTTTTTGAACCATTACTGTAATAAGAAAGTGGAAATTCAACCACTGGAAATCAGTTCTTTTGTATTAACGAGACAAACTGAGGGTTAAACTTCTATTATCTGTAACTTTTGAATGTCCAGTCTTTGCCTGAATGGAAAAAAAGTGGTGAGAACATAAAATATCAAATCTATGTCTGCACCACTTCAGCACCACGGACAGCGATCAGGGGTCTTTATAAAATGAGTAATTTTTTTACAACTTTACAAAAATCTGGACCACATTTTTATAGTTCTGTTATTTTATTAATCTTTTCATAGATCCTGCTGTTTCTCATTTTGTTTTCCCTAATTTATCAGAGTGGGAAAATCTCTTTTTTATTTTCTTGAATTTGTGCAGGTCTTGGTTGTAATGGTTTTAGAAAAGAGGGTCATTTTCTTCTTCTTCCTCTTGTGTGTGGGTTGTTGGTAGAGCGCAGACAAAGAGAACTAGAGACTAAAACGAGGATTGGATTCTAGGTTGGCGGGGAAATTTAAGCCTCAAATAATGTATGTAAATGTGGATAACGCGCCTCCATGTCCTCTAATTTGAGCTCACCGCATGAATATTCCTACTCCTCCACCTTCTTGTGTAGGAAATGTCAAACTAACAGAGAGGATTTCAGCATCTTTGAACCTAATAATATTTACCCAAACTAACAGTCTGATATTTATACATTTAATGATACTCTCCGCCTAAGATCTGATCAGGACTGAGTTCAGCTCTTCTTTTAATGTTCCCTGCTGTCATTCCTCGCCCAGCAGCACCGTGTCCCCTCTACGGACTCACAGGTGAGTCCTGTTTGTTGTTGTTGAAGAGTGAGACAGCTGTTTGTCCATCAAATCAATACACAGAATCAATAACCCAGAATACTTCCACAAAGCGCTACTTATAAGTCGTTTAAGTGTGATGACTGTCCAATCAGGATGGCTTAGATCGCAGCACTCGTCCCCCATTTTTTTAGGAAATCATCACTGTATTAATCTGCCTGAGTCAATAGTGTTATTCAGTGGTCAGGTAACGATAAGAGCTCCCTCTGCTGGATCAAATGGCAAGCTGCTTTAGATGGAATATTCTGAATTTGAATGGCCTGTTATAGTTTAAATACAAACTTAACCTCTGAGTTTGAACGAATATTTACAGTGATAGCAGATAAAAAATGACAAGTGACAAAATAATAACACTCTCAATATTTAACCACAATGGTTTTGTAGATTTCTGTCCAACCATCTGTAATGATTCAGACAAAAATAATGCAAGTAATGATTGTATCTTTGAAATAATAAACAAAATAAAGTCAAGTATGATTTTGTAATTTTACACAAATATACTCAGTAATAAATCTGAGGATTCTAGGCTCAGAAATTTTAAAACAGAAATTCTCATTAAAGGCTGATTTCTGTCTCAAAAAACATTTCAGATCACCTCGGAGCTCATTTGAGAAAAATTTTTTAGGGTCTGTTAAAAAAAATGTCACTTTTTAGCCCCGCTGTTGTTGGCTTGTTAGCTTATTATACAACTTTTTTACCTCTGATACGATACTGATTTTGATATATTGATATTGATATCCGTCTTCGGACTTCAATGAAAAATAATGCCACAGGGCCAACATCACTCCTACTCCTGGGTACTTTGTTAGTACCTTAGTACAGTGGTTCTCAACTGGTCTCACTCTGGGACCCAAATTTTCCCATGGTCCTTGTGTCGCGACCCACTTTTATAGAATTCAATCCAAGCAATTGTTTTTTTTTAATCAAAAAACCTTAAAGGCTCTAATCTTTAACATAAATTTACTTGTTTTGTTGAGTAAAGTGCATTTCAGAGCACATGAAGGGGACAACATGAGGAGGACAACTACTGAAGTTGCATAAACAAAAAATATCAAATATCTAATAAATATCGCATTAAATATTTACTTTTTTGACCAGCTGTTCGTGACCCATTCAGAATGTGTCTGCGACCCACTTTTGGGTCAGGACCCACCAGTTGAGAACCACTGCCTTAGTACACACTGTTACGTAGTCTCTACATGCCAGATCCGGGTGCTGTTAGATAGAGGTTCTGGAGTCTGGAATGGACTGCTTCTATCCGAGTGCGGATATAGGAGGTTTTAGATGCAGGTCGATATTTGATTTTTTTTGTTCATATTGAACCGATATCTGATGTCAGTATCATATCAGGACACCCCTACTCTCATTATCACTACAGCCGCTCTCTTGTCATACTCATTCTGTCCCTTGGCTTTTCAGACACACACACACACACACACACACACACCTGCCTCCTCCTTGTGCACATTTTTTTCTCATTTAAAGATGACAGAATATCAACCATGATGAAGTTACTGTTTTATATTTTTGATCCTGAGACCCCTCTACCAAAGTACCACATTATGATAACAGAATTAAAATCTCAGCTGCGGTGAAAAATAAAGGCTTCAGTGGGATTCAGAGCGGGCGTATGCTGCAGCAGCCAGTATGACGTCCTGACAGATGCCATCAGTGAGATCAGAGGAGGCAGCGTGCAGAATCCTGCAGCCAAACACAGCTCCTGTTTTCTGTTTGAAGCTTCAGGATGAGTAACAGGAGCGTCTGCGGAGGAAAGATGTGTCTGACAAGATCACAAATTAACAGCCGTAATTGTGGCAGATGTTCACTTTGTGGATCTGTGTGTGTGTGTGGGCTGATTCTGTTAGCGTGTGTTCTGCTGATGCTCAGATAAAGTGTGTGTGTGTGTGTGTGTGTGTGTGTGATGGGAGGAGGACCCATCAACAAGTCATTTCATTCTGAGGATCTCTGCAGCCCGTAGATAAAACCAGAGAGCGAGGAGGAGGGCGATGGTACGAATCACAGACTCGTCCTCCTCACTCTGGATGACAGAAAATTTAATCTTTCTCTCTTTTGTGATCTGCTTTAATAAAAACTCTCCGGGCTGTTCTTCCTCCTGCTGGATGTTGTGTTCAAACCCGGCTTTAAAGGTGAAGCAGCAGCCATGTGATCCCCTATAGGAGCGCCGGCTGCAGGTGGGATATTTTTAACCTGAAACCCACTGAGATGTGTCGGCTGGATGTAATTAAAGAGACGTTTATAAAGCACCGACATCATGTGAGTCAGAGAGTTCATCCCACGCTCACAGCGCTCACTCAGAGCACATCAGGTCTCATTCAGAAAATATGAGCGCAGCTTTATGTTCATGGAAAAAAGAGCAGAGAGTCCCGTTTTCTTAGAAAGTGTGGAAAAATAATTAAAAGTTTGAAAATATTTTACTTTCTAGTCACAAAGAGGATAACAATCAGTCAGGGGTGTACCCGGATTTTTGAGGGGCAGGGGCAAATAAAGTGAAAAGGGCACCGCTACTGTAAAAATTTCATTTGGCAAACTTGGACAGCTGTTTGTCTAAAAACAGATTTAAAATAATTAAGAAACCCTGATACCCAAAGTGTGGGAATTATTTAAACATTTTCAAAAGTCAGAGGAGAGTCTGAGGGTCTGAAACTTAATTTTTTACATTCTGCAGAATATTTCTGCAACATTTAAATGATTTATAAGAAAATAAACAATTGAAGCTCAAATTCTACTTAGATTTAATCAGGTAAGACAAACTAAGTTAGCACTCAGATGAAATAAAGAGTTTTGATAGTGTTAAACTTGGCTCTAAAAATAAATATGTGCTGTATAGAAAGAAAAATTTACCTGAGGGTAGCTTATCACTTTTTTAATTGGATGGACATTCAGTGAGCACTATTTCCTCTTAATTTAACCAGAAGGCATCAAGGAGACTCTTTGTTTTCTACATTTAACAAACTGGAGGGGTGTCCAGGGACTATTTTTTTACATTGTGTATCTAAAAAAAGGACAAAAAAGAGCACTTTTTATGTTATATTCTCCAAGAGGATTCAAAAAGGGAACTGTCTTCCCATGTTAAGTATACTGAGATGTATTAAGAGATTTTTTTACTTAAATCTAGAAGAATAAAGGTCCTTACACACCGAAATATTCAGAGGAGAATTTTGACGCGCCTGACTGTACACATCAAGCCCAATGCGATTTTGCGACTTTTCGGGGGGAAAAAAGACGTGTCCCGGGTGTAAGCGAGAAGACTGACACAACACCAGACTGACTGTTTTTCAGTTCTGATCAGACACTAGTGTTGAGATGACTGTCTGTCATGATAGCATGTACTGAGTCGGGGCCAGTACGAAATAAGCACATTAAACTATAATCCATAAACATAAGGTAACAACCGAGACCTAATGGTGCTGTGACAGCAACGTGATTGAGTTTGAGACAGTGAAAATACATATTGTATGTTGTATCTGAACAGGTTAGCTGATGAGCTAAAGTTACTTAGCACAGATGAAAGTTAAAACAAAGACGTTGGCAAACTATTAAAGCACACAAACTATCGTCAAATGAGAAATCCGACGCTATGACTCTCCACAAGTTTTTTCTCAGGTCGTTATCTTTGTAATGTTTGTGTCTTTTATCAAAAAACACTCTGTTCTCCGACACGTGAACAATCAGCCAGTCGGCCATGTTGATATACCGGTGAATCTGACGTCGCAACAACACGAAATCTGATTGGTCAGAAGTGGAGACACAGTATGCGAAACTTTAGAAAAATCTACTGTGATCCGAAAAAATAAATGCCGCAATATTGTAGGACAGGAAAACGTTGCCGATGTGAACGCTTGTATTGACAGGATACGGTTTCGAAAAAAAAAAAAAAGTGAAATAATTGCACGAAAAAAATGCTCCTGGTGTGAAAGGACCTTAAGGGGGGCACTTTTCCATCTTAATTTAACCAGAGGGCATGTAGGAGGCATTTTTCACATTAAACAAACTAGAGGGGTGTCCAGGGAGTATTTTTTATGTTATATATTTCAAAAACGGACAAAAGGATTCAAAAAGGCAAATTTCTTTCTATTAGGAGATTTTTTTAACCTAAAATCCAGAAGAATAAAGGGGGCACTTTTTGATGTTTTGCCTACTGCAGGGGATCCAGAGGAGTGTTTGTGTTTTATCTGCTGGAAGATCATCTATAGGGCACTTATATTGTAGAAAAGCAGCTACCAATGCAGATAATTGTGCATTTTTAATGAAAAGGGCAACAATGAGGGCATTTGATAATGTTTTATGTATGTTTGGAGCGTCCAGAAGGGCACTTGTGTTTTTACAGACATGAGGTAACAGAGGAGGCAGGCTAATGTTGAGGATAGTGTACAGTTAACTACTGGTTATGCAAAATTACATCCCGGCAGTGTGAGACAACGCTTTAAATTTTCCACACCACAGATTTCAGATGTTTGTTTGCACAGCAGCATGTTTGTTAATTTTACTTCTTCTCTGGTTTGTTAGTCAAAAGAGAAGAGCCGAGTTCAGAGTGCTCAGCCGGCTCATTCAAATTCTGTGACCGTCCTGCGTGAGAAAAACACACAAACAGGACGGTCACGACTCCTGCAAACAGACTCACAACCATCAGAGTGGGTGATCCATCGCCAGCAGCAGAGCTTCAAGTGATTCCTGCAGATGTTCAGGACGGCCTCCCTCCACAGAATTAATAAAAACACAATTACAGTCTTTAGAAAACGTCACCTTTATATGATGACAAAAGGATGTGTGAGCAGAGGTTAGCTGCCAGCTTCTTAGTTTGGTCCAATGTTTTATTTGGCACATTTATCAGAGCAGGATATTCATAAGGAGGTTTAAATTTGTGTTTACCAACCTGGATAGAAATAATAACCCGGGTCTGCTTTCATTGAGGCTCCCATCTTGTATTGCCATGTTTCTACGGTAACACAGAATGGACAAACTAGTACTTTTTCATATTTACCGAGTAGCTATTGTAAATGCACTGTTTGGTATTTATAAGAAGTTTTTCATGGTAAAAAGTGAAGAAGTGGAGGCTGATACTTTTATGCATCACAGGAACTTTTTGTCCTCAGAGCTCTAAACTTGAAAGAATAAAACTTTGTGGATTAATACAAGATAAAAAATTCAGGAAAGACACATTTGTATGATATAACATACCTGCAGACCTTCTTGTGCAGGTACTTTTAAGGCATATCTCATGACTTTTCCCAACCCTTTTTTTACAAACTTATTCAGGCATTTTAGGACTCTTTAGTTTGTGTTATTGTGTTCGTAGATTTGTCATCCTCGGCTCTTTGTGCTGAATTTAACTCCAGAAAACGATGACATTTACACTAAAACCTACAGAGTTAATTTCATGGATTGATTTATTTTGATGGAAGTGAAATTCCTGCACGTCTGAGTCAAACTTCCTCGCAGCACGTCGATCTCCAAACCAGCAGAGAGTTGATTCTGGCTCAGAGCTGAAAAAAAGGCCATCAATCTGTTGGGCTGCACCACCAGCTTCCTGCATCACAACAAAACCCACCAATTGGGGCTCAGCCTCATGCGTCACCATGGTAACAGAGCTGCCTCAGTCTGCAGGAGGTGGGGACAGAAACGGGGGGAGTAAAGGGAGGAAAGCAGGAGAGAGGTGGATGAAGGGAGGAAGAGGAGAAGGATCCTCAGCTTCTCTGGTTTCACAGCGAGGATTTTAAGACGGAGTTCCTTCCCCCGATGAAGGGGGGAGGACTGGGCGAGGGGAGTCGGCACCGGGTGTAGGGATGGGGAGGAAGGATGGCTGGGCTGCTAGTCTCAGTGGGACATGGATCTGCGACAGCTCCCGTGTTTGCGCTCTGTCTCAGCAGAGGTGAGGTGTGTTTCCTTCAGTTTTCTTTTTAAAATGCTGCAACACGTCTGAGCTGATTCCTCCTAACAAACATGGACGCCCGCCTCTGTGACTGATGGATGCACACACTCATCAGGTTGGAGGATCTGCAGGTGGCTCCTGTTTGAGGCACAGACTTTGGTCCTTTCCCCTGTAGAGAAAACCCACTTGAGATGGAAAATCTGTGGGATTTTTGTGTAAGTTTACTGGTGAATGAGGTGAAATCCTGTCTGGTGTTTTGGATGTGCAGCACGTTCAGGGAGTTTTTCATGTCTGAGTGCTGCTGCTGCTGCTGCTGCTGCTGGGAGGAAATTAAACCGAGTAAGAGGTGATGCTTGTGCACAGAGAAGAGGTTAAATAACACTTGAATTAGTGCAGCTTTTCTGTTTGTTTCATTGTTGATATTTACAGGCTGCAGATCCAGATTAGACTTCAGGGAGGTTCTGGCGCCGTTTTTACCTCCTGATATCGATTCTGAAACCCTGATGTCTTCACTGGCTGCTAAAAGGAATCTGTAAATACAAGTTTGATGAGGAGTTTAGATTTTAATGTGAATAATCAGCTGTGTTTAACTGAACACCTCGGTTAGCCCCATACTGTTTATTTCTATTCTATTCTATTCTTCTATTTCAATTAGTTTGACGTCTAGACTTGTATATTGGCATGTTCCTGTTTTTTGTTGATATCTGAGGCCGATACTGATGCAATATTTGTATCAGACTAAATTTAATCACCGTCTACATGGATGATATTCAATCTGAATTGCTCTTGTATACTTGTTCGTTCAGTTTTACTGGCAGTAACGAGGTTTTTTTGTCCATGCTTGTTCTTTTTGACTTGAGACATGCACTGGATCATGTGACATGGTTATATTCCCATCTGTTTGCATCATTTTTGAGTCTACATCTGCTGAACATGCATTGTGACGTTAAGAACTATGTGATAATATGTTGCCGTATCAGTTTTTCAGCACAGCCCTAGTTTACAGTAGAGGGTGTGCAAAATGCGGGTGTAGTCTCAGTCGTGTCACAAGTTGGTTTTTGAGGCGGGGCTTGGTTGACCTCGCAGAGGTTGAGAGTTGTGGTCTTTAGCCTTCTCAGTGTCAGCTTGAGTCAAGTCGGTTGTGCTCATGATTACGCAAAATTCATAATTGTATTATCTTCATAATTAATGACTCATAAAAAATCCTCCCCTGTACCGTTTGTTCAGAAAGAGAAATGCACTATTCAACCTCAAACTACTTTTTGAACCAGTCTGCAAACATGTTTATTTTTGCTGTAAAATTTTTTTGAATGGGTGTGTATGTGGTCTGTGGTGCCTCTCGAGTCGGCCCCAAGTGGACACTTAAGGAACTGCAGTATTTAAACATGTGCATTTGCTATATTTTTTAGACTCCTTGGTTTATACCATAGACTGTATATAGAATGGACGCCGTCTGCCTCCTTGCTGGGTGAAGCCACCCCGAGAACAGCACCCTCTGGTGACGGGCTGCAGTATAGGTCATAAATCCCGCCTTAAAGAGTTGTGAATAAACTTTGGAAATTAATCACATAGAATGTACATTTTCATCCCCCCTGGTTGTGATGTTGACATGTAGTTACTGTAAGACTGGTTTGTGCTCAAGTCCTCTTTTTTCTGTGAAGCTCCGTTTTTCAAAAGTTGTTAAAGGGTTCATGTTTTCTATGATTGACACATGATACAGCCTATGGGTGGACAAAGATTGTGTAGCTCACCTGGGGGATACGCTGTTTAAGCCGAGCATCATCACAGCGACTCTTGGCGACTCTCCCACCAAATACAATGTTACTGCGCAAGTGGTGGTTTCAGGAGGTGGAGAAAATCCCAGAAATACTGAGAGCAATTTGGCTCAAAATTCGTAATGACAGGAAGTGGAGCCAAGTTGTCCATTGTATATACAGTCTATAGTTTATACCCAGAGTTAGCTTAGTTTTTGACTGGATATCAGCGCCTCAGGCTGTCTAGTTTGGAGATGAGGTTCATCTCCATTTAGCTGTTTTAGCACGCTCTAAAACTGTGTTTAAAACTGAACCAAATAAGGTCTTTTAAGCTACAGTTATGACATAACAAAGCATTATTTAACTGGTCATTCATTAAAGCTCCTTTGAGGAGATTTTCAGAGGTTTATGAAACAAACTGTTGACATCTAAAAGCCAGTAGATAAGACGAATGAGTTAGTCTTTTTCAGTGTTTTGTCCTTTTTGTGGGACTCCTAAAGGATTATCTTATCTTGTCCTATTACTGGACCTAAATAAATAGACTTGAAGTTTATTAGACTGGCTAATGCACATTTATTTACATTCACACTGACTGGTTTAAAAGCCAGCCTCCCTGATAGTCTTGGGTAGTTTCCACGTCTGTGAAGGCTCCATTAATGCTGAAAGATAGATATGAGTTTGGGCTCCTGTTGCTGGTGTGAGTTACAGATTTGCTCTTTTTTTGCAGTTATGCAGTTATTCAGAAGATATATATCATCAGCTCAAATATCTTGTGTAAAAATAACAATTTTTGTCTGTATATTAGACATTTTCCCCCTCTGAAAGTAGGAATCATCTTGTATTTGCATCCACATGTCCAAGTATCAGATTTTTTTACATTTGGTTATTCTCTCGCCTTTAAAATAATCTATATTTTGTCCGTTTTATCCAAACCTTTAAAGGCCTTTATGTCTGATCATGAAGATTTTTCTTGCTCAGACGTCATCTCGCTCTCCTGCATGTTTCTTGAGTGGTGGAGTGTTTCAGTTTTAATCCCCATGTTTCTATCATTGTTATTAAGAACAGAGTCAAATCCCGCCAGGGGATCTTGTCTTCGCAGCACGCCTCGTGTAGCTTGTCTCACCGCTGAATCAGACGCATCCTGCTGCAGCCCACCATGACGGGAAACCGACACGCTGCTGTATCTGCTTCTTTCTCGCTCTTTAATTTGCTCCTGCATGTCAGAGTGCAGTTTGAAGGACACATATAGAGCTCCTAGTTTAGGTTGTTTATGCATTCAGACGATATGTTCTTAAGAATTTCAAGTAGCTCTACTTCTAATGAATAAAACATGAGCGTCACACATTAAAGAAAGACTAGGAAACCTAACAGAGAGGCTGTGAGGCTTCGGTGTGACATCATTATGAAATGCTCCTGCATGCAGATGTAAAAAAAACAAACAAGAATCAACAGAGTGAGCTGGTTTGGTAATATTTGAGGGAAAACCTCATTAAGGACGTTAAAGAGAAACAGTGAAGGGCGTGAACCTTCAGGTCTGATTTTTAAGGGCGTAAAGGTCATTTCTGCTGCACATTAAATTCTGTTTAAAAACACTCATACATTCTTTTATTTTTGCCGTAGACTGAAAACATTTGGGTTCAGACCAGAGAACAACATCTAGGGCTGGGCGATAAACGGCAAATTGACCGTTATCGAAATTTACGTCAATAACTGACGCCATTTTGCCCATGTCAGTATATTCGGTGTCAAAAATAAATAAATAAAAGTTGGTTTTGGATGTGTGTAGGTAGGCTATGGCAGAGGTGAACAACCATGTGCCATGGAGAGCCGAGAGGCTGCAGGTTTTCTTTCCAACCCAAAACTCCACCAGGTGATTTCACTGATTACCTTACCTCCAAGCAGAGAGCAGAGACTAATCAGTGAAATCACCTGGTGGAGTTTTGGGTTGGAAAGAAAACCTGCAGCCTCTCGGCTTTCCATAGCACATGGTTGTTCACCCCTGGGCTATGGTCTCAGGTCCCTTTAACCCAGGATTTCCACCGCATCAGGAACAACTCCAATCTGGAACGGCAGTGATTTTTGCCGTCCACCAATTCCTACCTGATCCGTTTGTGAGGCGAATTTCGTGACAGATTACGTGCAGCAGGAATCGCGACAACTCACAAGAACCTGCGGATTCACATGCAATCGCACAATAATGAGTTGTCTTTAGCCACAGAGGCTAACCATATAAGCAGTAGATTGTGTCCTTCCAGAGGAGGAAATCCACCTCTAGACTTCTAGAATCAGCATCTCCTCATCCATGGTGTCATCGGGACAAAATGCTGTCTATAAACCTTTCACTTGTTCGTCCCCGCTCGTTTGTGAAATATCCGCCTGAAACACGGAGTGTTTTATCTTGAAAAGAAGCCGGATGTTTTTATTTTGTGTCTGTGCCCGACTTCCTTTCCAGCACGGGTTAATCAGTGCTGAATTTATCCAGCATGCTCCAGCATCCGGAAAAATAGAACTCTACGATCAGCTACGATCGGCGGATATGGCCTTTTCGTAGCGGTGGAAATTGGGGGTTGGACGCTGTCTTACGTCAGAGATGTGACTCCAACCCATCCAGTCCGTAACAAAGAGGAAAAGACAGATGAGGAGATGGAGGACGGTTCAAAAGTTGTAGCGGCTGGAGTGATGGCAGAAGTAGACGTTAATGAGGGAGGGGATGAACAGTTTGTGGAGTAGTTATCATCCATTTATTGTTATCGAGGTGAACTGATCAATATATCGTGATATTGATTTCAGACCATATTTCCCAACCGTAACAACATCTATTTCAGTTTTTACCTAAAAGGGTTTTGCTCAGAAAAATTTCATGTTATATACTTTACTCTTTTCATTTTTACAGACATTGACGTGATTTTGAGTCCATGTGGTGACTTCCACTCCAGAGTCCTGACTGTTTTTAATTCCTCAAGATCGGGACCTTCCAGTCTTGGTTTTAGTACAGAGATTTCTCCACATCCTCTGAATCTTTGAATGATATTACATACTGTAGATGATGAAATCCACTCAGGAACATGTTGAACTGTTGAGCTGTTAGCTCATGCAGTTGTTTTACACCAGGTCATGTGACAAACCTCAGAGTTACATTGTCCACATTTTTCTGACAGACGGTTGTTGCAGGATTCAGTCTAAGTGTGTTGTGTTTATTGCTGTACACCTGTCAGGCTTTAATTTGATATAAAATCAGGGTTGAATCTCTGCAGCAGAAGCAGAATCTAAAGCAGTGGTCGCTGAAGAAAAGCCTTCAAAGGGCAGAGAGGAGTGTGAATAGCCGACTCCAGAGATAAGTGCTCTCTGCTCTTGACATTCAGGCTGAGACACTCACTGTCTGTCTCTTTGCTGCTCGCAGACTTTGACTTTAATGTGAATGGCTGGATTGTGGGCCGGGGTTCGTTTTTCAGGGGGTCAGCTGAGCAGAAAGTTGGCCTCTGGGAACGAGCTGCTGTGTTTAATGGAGCGGAGCTGTTTTTCTCCCAGTCGGTTGCCTTGGTGGCAAATTTGGTGCGATTAAGCCGCAGGCCTGTGCAGCACACAGGACTGTGATGGAGGGCAGCTGGCAGCCGCTCGGACTCTTAAAACGAGCAGATGTGACGTTTACTTCCTCTGTGGAGACCAAGCCAGCGCTGCTTTTCAGCTGCTTTTCAGCTGCTTTTCAGCTGCTTTTCAGCTGTGAGCTTGTGTCTTCATATCCCCATCGGAGGCCATTTCCTCCTGATGTCATGTTCAGGCTGTAATGTGGTTTTGCTACACTTGAGCTGATGGATTTTGGAAACATGTGAAATGTGCAAATTGATATTAATCGAAGATGTTAAAGACAATATAAAAGCCCTTGACCGCTCTTTAGCTAACAGCAAGTTAGTCAAATTTGACAGATTGAACTCAAACTTGAACTGTATCTTTCTGGGTGTTAGGACCTGTGTCCCCTTACAGCATTATAATGCCCATTTTCTTTGTTAAAGTCCCCCTCTGACCTTTTTTATTTTTTTATTTTTTTTTATTTTTTACTTTTTAAAGTGTTCTCTTTTTAAAGTTTTTAGCCAAAATCACGTTACCTGTGTCATTTCTAAGGGCTTTTCTCCCGCAGAGCTCCAGTAGCTCATTATCAATTCGCCTCTGAGCTGTGGGCAGAGACAGTGCTGCTCTGCACATTATAAGGCTGCACGATATTGGAAAAAACTAACATTGCTTTTTTTTTTAACCTTGCAATATATATATATATATATATATATATATATATATATATATATATATATATATATATAGCGATATTAAAAAAATACAGGAATTTTAACCAGATGACCTGAATAGCACTTAATGTTATGCTGCGCTGCTGAAATCTTGAGGACAGTTAACCTGCACTGATCTTACCTCTTTTTGTGAATGTTAGTAGAATGGCTTCTGTCTGTCTCAGAGATATTTTTAGCTTTTATTGTTCTGGGGCGTTATTGTGGCAACAGATGAACACAGAACACGTGTTTTGGTCGACATCATCCTTCTTGTAACCAAAATAATTCCTAATAACTGACGTTGCTTTTCTTTTTGGCAACAAGTCTTCATCTTCGGTGGTTTTCTCTTGTTTGTTATTTTGCAATCGTTGTTGTTACCGGTGTTGTGCCGAGAAACGCATGATCTCCGAGAATTGCATGCACCTTGCAAAACGCGCACTGCTTATAGTAGAGTGGTCCATGGAAATGTACAATTTAAAACCCATACAATAATTATTTGTGGGGCTAAACAGTGATGAGTAATGTTCTGAAAGTAATTCTCAGCGGACACACATTTCTCGGCTTCTCGGCAGCGCCAGCGACTCACTCCATGTACAGGGGCGTGGTTTCCTCCTCTCTGATTTTGATTGACGGCTGGTAGAGTAGTCTGATTGGCAACTGAGTAAAGAATGAAGGTGATTGGTGGATCGCTGAACAGCACATGCAGAGTCACATGCAGTGCATCTCAGTCAGCTACCCTTGAAATTAGATCAGCTCATTCACTTCCTCCATCGCAGGCTTTGCAATGTGACTATCATGCACACGTACATCGCGATAACGATGCTCAAACGATATATCGTGCAGCCCTAGCAAACTCCTCTTCACGCTAGCTTGTAGCCTAACATTGCTGGTGTAATCCAAGAAACAGGTAACATAGGAACTATTCAGCTCTAGGACACTAATGTCTTTGGGGGCACGATAAAAGTTAATATCATAATTAGCATTTTTACGAGCACTGCTAACCTGCTAACGCACACGGTTGTTCCGCGATCGTCCTCTGTATTTCTCTGAGTCAGGCCTGCAAAGCGGGTCTGTGGGGGCGGAGCTTGGATTTGTGTCGTATGAAATCTCACTGTATCTGAACCTGCCGTTTGGGTCTGCCAGAGATTTACAGAGATTTGAATGAAGAAGTCCTCGGAAATGCAATTTTCGCTTTTTTTTTCTCATGATATGTCCTGTAGCATAAGAAAAATGTCATATAAACACGTAAAAAAAAAACAAAAAAAACATGATTTTTATCAGAGTGGGTCTTTAAAGATCCTGCACTTTGGCGTTTTTAGGACTTAGCATGCTAAGTTTTAAAGCTAACAAGGTGAGGGTGCTCAAAAACTGGGGTTGTGGGTGCTACCAGTGTAAAAGATGCGGTCAGTGGACACAGGTCGTTAAACATTTATAGATCAGTTTCCCATCGCGTATTGAAAAGTTGTCTTCTTGAATACAAAAGCAGATTTAATGGTCCAAATGTGGACATTACTTTGTTTTGGTTTGAGGTCAGCGCTCTCTCCATGATTTGTACTGTGTTTTATCACTAACACTATAATACCAGGTGCAAACTTCATCATTTAAACGGATTACACTGAATGGAGGTGAGCGGAGGTAAGCAGGTGAAGCTAATTTCCACTTTGCTTTTATTTTGTAGCTCTGTGTCAAATTGGCCGTCAGCCTGGGACAACTTTATTCAGGAGGCGAGTAATGAGAGGGAGAGAAAGAGACTCTGAAGGATGCCGGCTGAAATGATGAAACACATTACATCACATATTGATAAAGTACTTTGTGTTACTCTGAGAAGTGAAATTGAAGTTTGTGGTGGCCTGCCAGCTCACAGTCCAGAATTTTAATGTCTCTCTCTCTCAGGGATAAGTGCTCGGCTTATTAGTAAGGACTGAAGTGAACTCGGCTTATGTCACTACTTGGCCATTCACACTGAAATACACACTGGCTAAGGCAGAGGAGCGATTGTATAACATTTAAAGCGTAAATCCAAAGACTGAGAAAAGTTAGCGCCACATAAACTTCACTACATCCTTTTTATAACAGGTTCAGTCAGAGTGTTAATCCGTCTTTGTTTCAAACCCTCATAATTAGGGATTTTCTCCTGTTTTCTTTCTTTTGTTTTCCTTTTCTTTTGATTTGAAAACCGTCTAGACTTAGCTGTGGAAACCTGTGATGGAGATTTATCTGTGTTTTGTAATCATAAATAACTAAAACCTGCATGTAATGACTTTTCTACAAGTCTGTGTGCAGGAGAAACAAAGTGCAGAACAATATCGGCATGTTTGTTTTGTGACATTTGTCATCAAACTGCTGCTTTGTTACTTATTTAGCAAATATTGAGCATCAACATTGATGAGTTGGAGTCGTTTTTGTTTCTAACTGACTGATGAAAGTCCAATATTTACTCCCTTGGAGCTCCTTTTTGCCTCCACTGCTCCTAAAGCTGCAGAAATGTGAGAGCAGAGCTTTTTTCACACTCTATCCACAAATATAAGTGTTAATCCAAGACTCTTTCCAAAAAACTGCTCCAGATCGTAGGGCCGGGCGATAAACCTATCGTATCGTATTTACCAATACCCAAATTTACGACGATAACTGAGTCATTTGCCCATGTTGGTATATTTGGTGTCAATAAATAGATAAAAGTTGGTTTTGGATGTGTGTAGGTAGGCTATGGTCTCATGTCCCTTTAAGACGCTGTCCTACATCGGAGACATGACTCCACCCCATCCAGTCTGTAACAAAGAGGGAAAGACAGGTGAGGAGATGGAGGACGGTTTAAAACTTGTAGCAGCTGAAGTAGACGAAGTTAACGTGGGAGGGGGTGAGCAGCTTGTGGTGTAGTTATCATCCATTTATGGTAATTGAGGTGAACTGATCAATATATCATGATATTGATTTGAGGCCATATTGCCCAGCTCTACTAGAATGTCTTCTGTTTGCAAAAAGAAAAGACTAAGTCCCATACTGTAAGATCAGACTCACTGCCATGCATTTAGAGAGTTAGAGTGGAGAGGAAGAACTTCCTTTAACAGGCAGAAACTGGGAGCAGAACCAGACTGATGATAGACAGTCATCTGCTGAAAGGGGGAAAAGGGAGATGGAGAGAGGAGAGACTGATGCTGGAGAGCAGACAGAGCCTCAGCAGCTGAAAGTCTGCAGCAGTGATCCAGATTAAACCTACATCATGATGGAGCTCAGAGACTCCCATAAAGACTGTATCAGTGACTCTAACGGGACATGATGGTTCAGGGTTAAAGACGCAGACAGATGGAGGATGGAGGGAAAGGAGATCAGTGTGCCGGTAACCTTAGTAGTCTAAATGTATAGCAGTATAACTAAGAGCTGGTCCAGAACTGAACCAGGTCTAACTATGAGATCTATCAAAAATTAAAGTTAAAGGTAGAGAGGGAGTCCGCCCCCTGGACCTTGAGAGAAACCTGATAACTGAGACTTCAAGTATGATGAGCAGGCCTGCATTAAAACACTAAATAATAATAATTCATAAAATATGAAAATAATAAAACAGACTTCCATATTTGACTCTAATACTAAAACATGTCTGTTTATTTCGGATTAATATTTAAGATTCAGGATTATACGTAACTTACCTCCATGTAGGATAATCGGTGTGAAGTTGTGTTATGTAAAGATCGACAGAAAACCCTCTGAGACCCAAAACAGGAAGTCAAGCTTTTTAAAATGTTTTTCTAGTAAAAAATTGTAGGGAAGTCCTCTCTGAGAGTCTGAGTCATCTTTTGTAGTTCACTCAGTTTATTTTTGATGTGTCTCACTGACTGCAGGCTGCAGCTGATGTGCTGACTCATTCAGCTGACAGAGGAAAAAAAAAAAAAAGAAAACACTGAACTTGTTTTTCATGCGCGGCGCTGGCTGTCCATCTATCTATCTGCCTATCTGTCAGTCCGTCTCTGTCCCACTCTGGGCTGTTTGAGGATTTCTCTGCCTCTATATTTAGCCGTTTTTTTGTCAGTGGAGGAGTTTCTTCTTCTTCTGTGGATTTAACAGAAACTCTGTCTTTCTTCTGAAACTGTGTCAGACCTCAAATCACCTCAGAACAGTGAATAAGGTCGAGCGTTGGCACCTCCGGAGAGCAGCGTGGATTTGACTGTTGTGGTGTTTATCACCTGTAGCTGTTTGTAAAGTGCATCATAGGAACCAGAAGAGAGTGTTTTCATGAAGGAAGGAAAATAAATCCTAACAAAAACATGCAAAGAAAGGCGCTGTCTTTATCACAGCATCGGGTCCAACACTGTCTTCCTCACAGCGGTCTCTGGTTTTAAAAATGAAAAAATGGAAATAATCAGTCTTGTCACTGATGGCCTGGTTTAAATATCCACTTTAAATCATTTTAAAACCAGTTGAAACTTATTCTGAATATGACTTTTAACTGAGTTTTCAACTTTTAACTTTTTCTCGTTGACAGTAGTATTAATATTTTACTGCTGTTAATTATGTTTAGCTGTGTTATTGTATTTTTCTGTCTTCTATCTCCTTTATTAAATTTTCTGTTATTTCACTAAAAAACAGGTTTTCTTTCTGGGGTCATAAAGAGACAAAAGTTTTTATTTCCGTCTGTTATAAAATCAGTTGAAACTTCTCAGTAGAGCTTTAAATTCTTACCTGGGTATGATCTTTAATTAAGTTTGTACATTTTTTATTGAGGTACAGCTAACTTTATTAACTTTAAACTGGTTTGAGTTTCATCTCCAATATAGTTTTAACTGGTTCCTATTGACTGGTTGTTTTGGCTGTCTTACTGCTGTTTATTTTGTCAGCTGTTTTATTTTATTCTTGTATTTGATCTCTAATCGACGATCACTAATTGACTGGTTTTATTTACTGGAGGTCATTAAGAGGCAAAAATATAAAATTCAGTTGGTTAAAAACCAGTTTCAACTCCATATTAAAGCTTTTATTTAACTTTTAACTTAATTTTTTAACTTTAAACTGAGGCTCAACTAACTTTATTATCTTTAAACTTGTTTGAGTTTCATCATAAATATAATTTTAACTGGTTCCTGTTAACTGGCTGTTTCTGCCGTCTTACTGCCATTTATTTTGTCAGCTGTTTTAATATATTCTCCCTGTATTCCATTTCTGAATCTGTTCCTCTTAATGAACTGGTTTTATTTTCTAGAGGTCATTAAAAGGCAAAAACATTCACTTCAGTCTGTTTTTAACTTTTAATTTAGTTTTTTAATTTTAAACTGAGGGTCAATTAACTTTATTAACTTTAAGATGGTTTGAGTTTCATCTTTCAAAGACTTTAAAGTTATTCCTGTCGACCGATTGTTTTGTTGTCAGTCTGTATTCTTTCTCTATTTCTGTTTTTGTGTTATGCAGCACTTTCTAACTAAAACAGTTAGTTATAATTATTGATATTGTTCATAATTAAAAATCGTGCACATTTCTTATGATTGCAGATGCAGATAAGTGGATTATTATTCAATTTTTTAAACAAGTTTCATGTGAGTGAGCCGTTCGTTCAGTTTGGACTCTGAGGATAGATTTTACCAGAAACAGTCTGTTTAACCCGGGTTAAAGATATGAAATGTGGTCATAGTGTCTTAATCTGAATACCTGACCCACCTGATCCTTTGAGCTCTGTGTGGATAAAGAAAAAACAGAATTAAAGGAAACAAATTAACCGCTCCTTAAAAAACAAACCGCCCCCCCCCCCCCCCCCCCTTTAAATCAACGTTTTAAGAGACAGCAGAGATGAGGAGGAGGAGGAGGTCACGTGACAAAGACGATTTAATCCCACACAGATTAAGACGGCTGTAAATCTGACTCTACGATCACATGAACCAGGACGGAGGAGGAGGAGCTGGAGGTGTGTGTGTGTGTGTGTGTGTGTGTAGGTGTGTGTGTGCAGCTTGGGTCACTCTGTCGGTCCATCTGTGTGTGATTAGACTGTGCATGTTAGCTTCAACACATGAAGAGTAGAGGTCTGGAGACACTAAACCTCATCATCATCATTTCATATCTGAGCGCCTTAAAGCTGCACTCAGGAGTTTTTACCAGGTTATAAATACATTATATCAACAGCAGCCCCTTTTAGGAGCTAGAAAAGATTAAAGATTATTACTTTATAGTTTTTAAATGCCTGAAAACTACGATAAGACTGCAGAATAATTTTATTATACTACAATCAAAAACATTTAAAAAGGAGGAGTAAGACGCTATAACTTTTTTTCCTTTTTAAAGCTCCTCTGAGGACTTTTTTTTACGTTTATGAAACAGACTTAAATTCACTCTGAAGTCTTTTTTGATCCAAAACAAACAAACATACAAACAAAGAAACAAAAACCCCATCAGGAACATGATTGATGATTTTTACAGGAACATTTTTAATTCTTCTAGCTGGTGGTAGGGGGTAGGTGTCAACCGAACAGCTGAGCTAGCTTTTAATTATTCGTTTTTTTTTAAATAAAATATATAGAAATACATAGAATATATAGAAGAAAGAAAAAATATCCAGAAAAAAGTATAAATTTGACTGTCAAAGTTAGCATAAAGAGATTTTTTTTAAACATATCTTTGATGTCTGTGTTCATACAACAACATCCAACAATTCAAACATACCGCAGTAATGAAAATAATAATAATATAGAAAAGGTAAATAAATAGAATGAGCAAAAAGAGATTTTTGTTGTCAGGGAATGCTGACAAGATGAGCAAAGACTGCGCTGTCCACAGGGGGCACCAAAGTCGACCTGGTGCTATACCGAAGACACATAATCCAATGACATTTCAGCCTATAATGATAAAAATACTGTTAATTTGTTTAGAATGAATTGAAGAAATAATGTGTGGGATTCAGATGTCAAAGCTTTAATCATCGAAATATTATTATTAATCAAAATAATGATGATGGTGAATTTTGCCACTATCGAGCAGACCTAGAACAGAGCAGGTGAAGGATGTGGAGGGTTCAGGAGTTAATGACAGTCAGATTATTAGACTAAACTTCATCAGGCAGATGCTAACAGCTCTCCAGAGAAATAATCATTAATATAGTGACTGGTTTGACACTGTATTCATGCAAATACAGAGCCTCATCGATCAGCTGTGTGTGATCTACTGACAGGAAAGAGTAAAGCAGATTCAATTTTCTTCAAGTCAAAAGTCAAACTGACCACCAGAGAGTAAAGGGTTTCATTCTTCCATCACGTGCTGCTGAAGTATCAGGAAAGCTAAATGCTCTTGTAAACTACAAACAGTTGGATTTAAGGACTACATGGACCACAACAACTTGGCTGAATCTTGGGCGCGTGGCACAGTCTGGATTGAGGTTGCTGGGGGATTTGAGGGAGGCTGCTGGGTCAGTGGATTACCTTGTAACAGATCTGTGGGCGGGCTTTGTGACACACACACCGGATGTGTTGGCTTGTGTACGGGGCTTTAATCCTTCAGACAAACATGCTAACTCCTCTGCTGGGTTTGTAAGTCATGCTGGAAGCTAACATCTCCATTTTCCGCTCGGTGTTTTTGCCGCCTCTGTCTCACTTTAAGCCTGTTTGTCTTTTTTTTATCTCCTCCTTCTCTCAGGTGTGACTAACGATGCCTCCTGTCATCGCTGTCTGAACATGCTGCTCGGGTAGCAAAGCCGACCGAGAGAGAGAGGAGCATCTACCCTCTTACACTCCTTCCCCTCTGGATACAAACACACACACACACACACATACACACACCGGACTCAATTCAAGCACAACCATGCTGATCAAGGAGTATCGTATCCCCATGCCGATGAGCGTGGAGGAGTACCGCATCGCTCAGCTCTACATGATCCAGGTGAGTGCTTCTCCTGATTCACAGATTCACTGCTCCTGTTGTTTTTGTCTTTGGGAAAGTCTGTGGTATTATGGGGCGAGCAGGAGAGTTTTCAGGTGATGAGGCTGCAGCTCAGGTTCAGGTTCCAGTGTAGAGGTGGAGGTCAGGAGTTCAGGGTGTCATTGTGTCGAGCTGCACCAGAACCAGAGCGCTGCTTTAAGGGCTGCAGAGGCCATGTTTTCCTGCTGACCAGATGGCGCTCCATATGCCCGAGGATTATCTGTCATTTCATAACTTTTAGCAAAAACGCAAACAGGAAAATGATCCACGCAGGGAAGAAGATTCACCGGAGGAGGAGGAGAAAGAGGAGGAGGTGGTGTGCTTTTGAGGAAACATGCAGAAAAATAGACGTTTATAATGGAAGTCTATCATGTCCATGTCCTAATTGTAGCTATTTACCTCTCTATAACAGCTGTATCAAACCTCTTATTAGAGACAGTCCAACAAATCGACGGTCGATAATTTATGTTTAAGAATAATAAGTGTAATATCAGCATTAGCGTTGAAAAGGTTGATTTCACCGTCATCTTTTCAATTCAAATTTCAAATTTCATTTATAAAGTGCCAAATCACAACAGTCGTTATCCCAAAATGCTTTCTAAAAGAAGAGCAGGTCTAGACCACACTCATCTTTTCGCTATTTTAACACTTTTTTTAATCCTTTAGGACAGCACCTTAAATCTAAACCTGTAGCGTCACCCAACTGATGCAAAATACAACATAAACATGTGACAGGACAACAAAACCGTCTTTATCAGAACATGATGTGCAACACAGATATTTACCTCATAAGATGGTTGGACACACATCTGATAATATTTATCTGAGAAAACGTTCCTTTGAGTTCAACAGTTTTATTCAATTATTTATTTATTTATTTATTTTTTATCAAATGCAAAAATCATCAGTGTGATATGAGTATCACATATCGGTCTATAGTAGGGTGACCATATCCTGAATCCCCAAAAAGAGGACACTACTACACCAGGTGGAGTTGTGAACGCGCAAAATTTTTAGGGTTTTTCGGGTCAGGTCAAGTGTTTTTAAAGGCACTTTTAAATCAGTTAAATGCATAAGTATCGCCTTTTTTCATCTTAAAAAAAAGACATTTTATCTCATCTTTTTTTTTCACTGGCTGAAACGGGCTTCTATACAAAACCCTGGACACTTGAAGGATTTTATAAACTCCCCCCTGGACTGGCCGGGCAGCCACCCCAACTGAGGACATGTCTGGGTAAAAGAGGACTTATGATCACCCTAGTCTATAGGGGCTAAAGTCTTCGTCATAGCGGTCGCTGGTTCAACTCTTGTAGTCGCCAAAGCTTTTTTTTTTTCGAATTGCAATTAATCATCCAGTTTCAGTAATAATTATATTTGAATTGCATGTTCAAAATTAATCATTTTGCATTTTAAAAACAGTTCTTAAGACCTTACTAATGATGTAAGACAATATTTACTTGTGTCTCGATCTATTGTCTTTTAAATCAAATGAGTGTAATTAAATGAATGAAATGTCTAGTGTGGTCTGGAACCAGGACTTAACTTCAGAGAGCCAACTCTGAAAAACAAAGGGTTCATTATGATCGCTTTTAAAGATCAGACTGTCACACATTAAGAAATATGTGGGAGGTGCTTACAAAACATCGAGTCGTTGTGAGTTTGTCAGTTATTATAAGATAACTGAGTTTAATCACTGACATCTATTTATCCCTTTTAATATAACAGAATTTTAAAATTTCAGGAGCTCCAGTTTGGTCACTTTCTCACCTGCACCTGTATGCTTAGTTTGGAGGAGTAACCTCAAACTCATTTTAAGTCCATTTTTAGTCATCAACTGAGCTTTGGTAGAGTTTTTCATAGTTAAAAGTGTGGAGGTGGTGTTTTCAGTTGCTCCACTATGTTAGTGCCACTGTGTAAATATCACACACTTACAAAGAGTGCAGCATGATTATTGTAGTAACAGGGACAGTCTTAGATGCTGCTTGAGGTTTTCCCTGCTGAGTTGAGTTTGAGTTATTTTATTTACAAAAACCATCACAACTCTCTGCACTTCTTTACAAGTGACTCTAGTTTTGATCAGGCCTGGGGTCTGACTGAGGGGGCGTGTCCCGTTCTGGTTTCACGCTGTTCTGTACATCCGTGTAAGCTGAACAGCTGTTACTCAACACGTGCAGGTAGAGAGATCAGCAGCAGGTATTAAAAGCACGCCAGCATGAAAACACACAAGTTTTGACAGGTCGTGTGGCTGACAGGCTGTCTGCAGGAATCCTTCTCAGCTGTTGCATGTAGATCTTTTCTTCTGGTGCAATTAAAAAAATTAACAGATGAAGTATTTTTAGTCATTTTACTGCTTATCTGCAGAGTTTATTCAGAAAAATATCTCAGTAGGTGCACACACTTAATCCAGTGAACCTTTTAGGTGGATGTTTTAGAGCAAGCCATGAACCATGGCCAGAAACCATGAACAGAAAAATGTGAAGTTACAAACACAAACAGAGCTGAAACAGAAAACTAATCAAAGCAGAGGAAGGGAAAATCACCATCAGATCTCCTGAATATGCCAGCCTCTATTTCAAACATCATTACAAACACATCCACCGCTGGACCCCACCTCCCGTTTCAGCGTCACAATCTTACACCAGGTTACCACGGTAACCTGTGACATCAGCTGCAGCATGGCAGCGTCTGCCATCATTTGTTTGTGAAATGAACGAAAGAGAGAGAGAGAGAGAGTGATGGTGCAGTCAGTGTTGCTATGACAACATAATGTCTGAGTCTAAATACAGAGAGCGGTTTGAGTTTTTTTTATGCAGCTCGATGAACACGGAGCGGAGCGAGGTTCGGTTATGATAGATGATGTCAATGCTCCCATGTTCTTATTATTAAAACACACACACACACACGCACATTTATACAGAGTCCTGCTTCTAAAAATACACACCAGAGCTCTAAATGTGGATCCATCCGCTGCTGAAAATAGTCCCTGTAGATAAATGATATCCTTCTGTCGACGGAGGTTTATAACAGTGACGTTGTGTTAGCAGCTGGTTTAAGACGTCCTACAGAGAGACTGTGAAAAGAAAAGAGCCGCACACGTCGACTGTCTGAATTTGTCATTGAAGTAATTTAAAAATTATAATCAAACAAAAACTTAAATCCCACTCAGCATTTTGTGATTTTTTTTTTCCGGAGGCTGGTTAGACATCGATGTTTCAGCAGGAATCTGCTCCTGTCTCAACAATTATCACATTTTTACACACATATAAGCCACAATTTTAAAATCTTTTCTCACAAATATCTACTACAGTGATTGTAGTGCCCTGAAGTGAATCCTAGTCACCAACTAAAAACTTTCAGAGCGACCCCCATCAGTGTCCTGGTTCAGGTCCTGCACAGATGTAGGTTTGTTTTTTCACAGTACAGTCTTAGTGCAGTTTTCCTCCTCTCTCATTTACCACCTGATTCCTGAATGCTCACAGTTTACACGCAGCACAGCATGAAGCTTCTGGACTTGACTTCTTTTGTAATCACTGATGCTTTTAACTCGTATTTATCAATTTTTTTTTACCTTCTTAAAACACCTCTATTTTAACGCACTATTTTCTCTGCAGTCCAGTTAAAGGTGCATATCCCCTTTTCATGCATTTCTTTGTGTTGGTTTTATTCTTGTTCAAACCAGAAAACTCTCGCCTCAGCAGCAGATGCAGCATCCTCAGGTTTAAAAACGCACCAGCTCGTCACATTTTTAAGGGGATCTGAAGGTTAAATTCACATGAGGTAGATTTTTTTTTTAGTCTTCTGACCAGCTTTGCATTTTCAGTCTTTTTCTTTCTGTGCAGAAAAAGATCTATAAAGACCTTCAGAGGGGATAACTAATGAAATCACCTCCAGTATTTTCACAAAGATGCATACGTCCCTGAGGAGAAGCTGTATATACGTTCAAACACTTTGCTCTTTTAGACGTGTGTCATTAATACAGATCCTCACAGCAGCAGAGGGTAATTTAAGGCCCTCAACTCCTCTCCTAAATTACATTACCTGCTAGATTACAGCAATTTTCCAGCTGTTTGCCTCCTCTGACCTTCATTACTGATAGCACCTCCCTGAAGTCTTCACCAGAGAGCCGCATGTTCAATCTGAGCTCTCACTCTTGACCCCGAGCCCCCCACTCCGCCTGTTAATAATGATCCTCGTGATTTGTATTCACACACCGCCGCTGTTCCTCGACCCGCAGCCCATTACAATGGAGGGAATAAAACCGCTTTTCAATCACTCTTTGCAGACAGTGACTGTGGTGTTCTGACAGTTATCACACCGGAGATTAAAATGCAATAAAGATTTATAATTCAATTAAAACTGCAGAGCAAATACAGAGAGTCATATATATTCTCTGCTCCACTTTACATGGAGGTAATGACCTGTGGGGTCATCTGGGGACTGAAACAGACATGAAAAGCTTATTTCTGGTACCTGGAAACACTTGATCCATCTTCAGGGTGTGTTTCTAGAAAGATCTCTGCTTCATCTGAGCTCCTGGTGTTTATTTTTGAATTTGATCTTTTTCTCAAAATTGTTAACTTTTTTCTGGGAATTCTCATTTTTCATACAAACTAGGATGATATCTTAAAAACTTTTTTTTTTTTTTTTTTTTTAGAATTTAAACTTTTTCCTCAGAATTTTAACTTTTTCCAGAATTTTGACTTTAGTCACAAATTCTGCCTTTAACTTGGAATTTTGTCATTTCCTATTAAATTTTAATTATTCTATTATTTATTATTTTAATTTTCAGATTGTTTTTTATTTTTATTTTTTTTTTAAACTTTTTTCATAATTCCACCTTTTTCATTACTCTGTTCTTTTTTCTCATAATTTTGCAGATTAAGTTTATGGATAACACTTTACATTAAAGCCCTTGAAATAAGTAGTAATTAATAGTTTTTAAGCCAATTATTAAAACACATAAGATGCTCAAAACATTTTAATGCTTTGCATTTTTTTCTAATTTTTTCACATCACAGTAAAATTTGACCAAATTTCTCAGAAATTTTGCTTTTCTTGCATGTTTTGGGTCTGGCTTGTTTTTAGAAATCATTTTTATTTTCAATTTTTTATCGTATTTTTTTCAGATTAATGACTTTTTTTTAGATGTTTGACTTTTTCTAAATTTTGATGTTTTTTTAGACTTTTGACTTTTTTACATTTTTTCTCTTAAATCTACTTTTTTTTCCTCAGAATGCCGACTTTCTTCTAGTGTTGTGACTTTTTCTCAAACACTTGAGATTACAGTAAGATTAAGTTTGCAGATTAAGTTTATGGATAACACTTTACATTAAAGGTGTTTCACTCTGCGAAAAAAAAGGAAATCATTCATCTGTTCGCTTTAAAATCTGCCTCCCTGAACTCATCAGGAAAATGAAACACTTCACAGAGTTGGGATCAGTCGGTGCTGAGGAAACAGGTGATCTCTGAGGAGGCGGAGAAGGAGGAGAAGAGCAGATGGAGCTCATTCTGTCAGAGCGACAGTCCAAATGTCAAACGAAGATTTGACAATCACTCAAACACGTGTTTCATAGCAGGTTCTGCACAAATTTAAAATCTTTAGAGTGTACAGCTGTGCTCTTTTTGTAAATCCTCATATATCTTAGCGATAATTCAGTTGAAGTCACTGGAAATAGTCTCCACAGAAGCTGAGGTGCCGCTTTAGTTCAGGTTTCCCTCTGTGAGGAAACAAGATTAAAACACGTCTTCCAGGATCTGAGGGTCCGACCATCTGTTGTGATTTTAATAAAGGTGTTTCACTCTGCGAAAAAAAAAAGGAAATCATCCATCTGTTCGCTTTAAAATCTGCCTCCCTGAACTCATCAGGAAAATGAAACACTTCACAGAGTTGGGATCAGTCGGTGCTGAGGAAACAGGTGATCTCTGAGGAGGCGGAGAAGGAGGAGAAGAGCAGATGGAGTGTTTCATTAAGATGTGACCAAAAGAGTTTAAGGACGTGCCGTTCGTTGTTTTTCTCTCCAGCTCATCACTTTGTTTCTGCTGCATCATCCTTTAGATCTGAGAGGAGATAGACAGACCTGAAAGAGGGACAGGAGCACTGTGTCAGGCTCTCAGGGTTTAATGTGACATTAGAGGAGAGGAAGGAGGGACAAACCTGGAGCAGGCAGGACTCTGATGGGGTCTTTATTTTCCCTCATAGCTGAAGATCAAATATTTGTCTTATTTTATGATTCTGAGTTATTTATCACTGGAGGATTCCTTCTGGAAAACATGTTAGAGATAGTTTCCACTGCAAGGACCAGGATCTAAACGAAGATCCTTGGACAGAATTTCAGTGACCGAAAAGTTCCTGCTTGGTGAAAAGAACAAGAATGATGGGTGTGAGGCTTTCAGAGCTGCTCTTTTTAAAAAGAGAGTTTGTCTTGGTTATCAACTAAAAATCAAAGTTATGAGAAACTGGAATAAAGTTGTGGTATAATAGTTAAAGTTAAGAAATTGACTTTTATTAGACAGTTAAAATTATGCAATAAATATAAAAGGTATGAGATTTAGATAGTCAAAATATTGAGAGAAAAAAAGGCAAATTTTGAGACTTAAATTAATTATTTATGAAATTTAAAGTAGAAATTATAAGATTTAAAGTATTTTTGTTAAAATAAAAAGTTACAATTTGATGATAATAAAAAGTTTTGAGATAAAGAATTTTGATTGAAGACAAAATCATAAAGCCCAAATTTAAATTATGAAATAGGAGTCAAATTTTTACGATCAAAAGACAAAATAATGGAAAAAAACTTTAAAATAAAAAGTTTAAATTTGAAGACTTTAGCTGAAATCATGAGATAAGATTTATATACTGTGATTTTTTATGTCTAAAATTATTAATTAAAAGCTGCAGCTTTTTTCACATTTCATATCTTAAATAGTTTTTTTGTAATTTTTAAAAATTGTTTATTGGTTTTGAATTTACCTGCTAGAGGAGGTTTATATTTATTTTAAAAATTAACGACAAATACCTGTCTATTGTTGTTTGAACCTGAATTTCTCCCTTTAAACCGCTGTCTTTATCGGTGTCTAAAAGATAGTTTTGACCTAAGTGTCACTTTTTGGTCATGGCTGCAAACTGCGACCTAAATGGAGACACACCGTGATGACGGATGATCGATCAGTTCAAAGAGGACGGAAAATGTTTACAGGATGTTTTTCAGTCAAACATTAAACTGGCTTCACTCATGTCTCACCCTCTTCTCTCTCCTCTCTCTCTCTCTCTTTCCCATCTTTCTGACGACTCGGCAGAAAAAGAGTCGAGAGGAGAGCTGCGGCGAGGGCAGCGGGGTCGAGATCCTGGAGAACAAGCCTTACGAAGACGGACCCGGAGGCTCGGGTCAGTACACACACAAAGTCTACCACATCGGCAAACACATCCCGTCCTGGTTCTGTGCCATCCTGCCTCAAGCTGCCCTACGAGTGGAGGAGGAGTCCTGGAACGCCTACCCCTACACCCGCACCAGGTGAGACCGCCACACCTGCAGAGACCAGAAATCCTCTTCTAAGACCAGAATCCTCCTACAGCGTTAGAAAAAAAGTTATTTCTAAAAGTCTCAGACATTAAAACCCTCCTGAGATAAAACACCTCCTCTCTCAGGCAGCTGGCATCATCTAAAGAGGAGGGACTGACCTTCAGTCATAAAAAGCTCTTAATGGTTTTTACTGAACGGCTTTTACTTCCATAAATTTAATAAATGAAACAACTTTGTCTGTGTTTTTGCTGAGGCGGCTGTTTCCTTTTGATTTGGAGCGATTTCAGCTGAATAATCACGTTTTCATTAACCACACATTCTGCTGCCAACTTTTTATGTCCTCCTGCTTCTTCTTCAAACCACCCGGCCAGGTCTGCTCCTCCTGCACGGCATGATGGGAAGTTCTTGGCTCGGGTTGAGGGTTCTCATCGATTAGATATGAAGGATCCCATTAAAGATTCTTGGTCTATCCATTAGGTCTGAGCGTGCTCAGAGGGGCTCTGAATATTTGGTTTGTCTGAAAGGAGATTTTTACACAGATACAATATTTACTCTGAAACATTTTGAAAATTTTTGATGTTTGATTCTTCATGAAGGCTCTTTGAACTTCTTTAAAGCAGGCAGGATCAGGTGTAAAGTAAAAATGTGATATTTGGAGTAGCTTTGCAGGATTTTGCAGGTTTTCCTTCTGTCGTTTGCTCATCATTGTCGCCGTCATCATCATCGTCGTCAGGGGCAATCAGTCTATTTGTTGCACCACTTTTAATCACACCTATGAGCACAAACCTGCCAGTGGCACTAGACCCTAGAGAACAGAAAGGGTGATGTCTGAGGGGTTCATCCTCTGGGGATCATGTTGTGTTACCTTCTGGCCATTTTATTCCACAGAACATGTTTCAAGATACAGACCCAGGTATGCTTCAATACCGTCTGCATAAACACACAAATTTTTGTCAGATTTTGGTACATACTCAACCCTATGTCCACAGTCACCCAGAGTAGTCATCTGATACTAAGCCAAATGTGTTGTATAAATTGTAGTTGTTGTCAGTGACATGCATGAAAGGTAGAAATGGTGGTAAAATTTGATTTTCAAGCCCCTTAATTGCACAGAGCATTCGTTGACACTCAAGAAAATGGTCAATATATCATATTTTGTAGTTATGATCAGTTTTGACTTTTTTCTTTTTAGCTGAAACTGTCCTACAATGAACCATAACCACCATATAATTTCAACCAACCAACCAACCAACCAACGGTTTAATGTGTTTGTGATCTTTTGATTTAAACTTTTGGCTTTGGAATTTCACTGAACCTCTCGTCGCTTCATCCAAGTCCGGGTCGCGGGGGCAGCAGCTTCAGAAGGGATGCCCAGACGGCCCTCACCCCAGCCACTTCCACCAGCTCCTCCGGGGGGATTCCCAGGCACTCCCAGGCCAGGTGAGAGATATAATCCCTCCACCTGGTCCTGGGTCAGCCACGAGGTCTCCTCCTGGTGGGACATGTCTGGAACACCTCTAACGGGAGGCGTACAGAAGGCGTCCTAACCAGATGCCCGAGCCACCTCAGCTGACTCCTCTCGACGTGGAGGAGCAGCGGTTCTACTCTGAGCACCTCCCGAGTGTCCGAGCTCCTTACCCTATCTCTAAGGCTGAGCCCGGACACCCTGCGGAGGAAACCCGTTTCGGCCGCTTGTACCTGCGATCTCATTCTTTAGGTCATTAGCCACAGTTCATGACTATAGGTGAGGGCCGGCATGACTGGTAAATCGAAAGTCTCGTGTTACGGCTCAGCTCTTACTTCCCTATGACAGATAGGTTAAGCATCCGCATCACTGCTGACGCTGCTCCGATCTGCCCGACGATCTCCCGCTTCATCTTACCCTCACTTGTGAACAAGATCCAGAGATTCTTGAACTCCTCCACTATCGCATGCTGTTGCTTTTAATTTTCCTTCACAGTTTACGATGGCAACCTGTAAACTGCCACATTAAATGACCTTTTCGACTTGTTCTCATGTCTGATCTCTCAGGTACACGTGTCCCTTTGTGGAGAAGTTCTCTATAGACATCGAGACGTATTATAAACCAGATACTGGAAACCAGGGGGACGTCTTTAACCTGTCCTCAGCTGAAAAGAGACAGAGGACCATAGGTGAGTCTACACCTCTGCTTACATCTGAATTAGTTTGATATTCCTCCGTTAAATGACACTAAATTTGTCCCTCTGCAGACCCCATAGACATCGTAAAAGACTACATCCCTCCTCATGAGTACCTGGTGGAGGAAGACCCGAAGCTGTATCAGTCTGTGAAAACCAAACGAGGGCCGCTGTCGGACGACTGGATCGAGGAGATCAACCAGAGTCCGGGTCGATGTCCCGTCATGTGTGCCTACAAACTCTGCAAGGTGGAGTTCAGATACTGGGGCATGCAGTCCAAGATTGAGCGCTTCATTCATGACGTGGGTACGTATGGCACAGGGGGGGGGGGCTCTATGGTTGGGTTTCTATTTGACTTTATAACTCTTTTTGCACAACTTTACAACACCTCAGTCTTGGTTTTATTTCTGAAATAAACTGAAAAAACAACAACCATGAGTTGAATGACGTGCCCTTTCTGTCAGGTCAGAAACAGCAGAACTATTTTTGAGTAAAAGTGCTTCATCCTTTCCCTGTACTCGACCTGACATGACATTTTTAACCCTGAATCTCTGACAGTAGATCGAGTTTCAGCGGCCATAACTTTATATTTCAAAGGTTAGATCACAGAAATCGGATTTGTTCCTCGCTGGATTGAGTTTACCCCCCCTCTAAATCCTGGTTTGTGTCCCATCAGGTCTACGTAAAGTGATGGTCCGGGCTCACAGACAGGCGTGGTGCTGGCAGGACGAGTGGTACGGTCTGACCATTGAGGACATCCGGCAGCTGGAGCTGGAGACTCAGCTAGCCTTAGCGAAGAAGATGGCTCAGTACAGCCTGAACGAGGAGGGGGGAACAGAGACCAACGGCTCCTCTGTGAGCCAGGACCAGGAGCAGGGAGGGGAGACAGGGGGGACGGCTGTGGAGATAGAGGGGGGAGGAGGAAAACTGGGAGACGCGCTGGAGACTCGAGGGGAGCTCACCAAGCAGTGGTCCACCTCGTCCAGGTCCTCCAACAGGTCGTCCAAGAGAGGAGGTGAGGAGGAGACTTCCTCGTTTACTAATCTGATGAAGATTGCTTATCTTAAATTAACATGATTGTGTGTTTTTATGATCACAGGGAGTCCATCTCACCAGAGTATCTCCGAGTGGAGGATGCAGAGTATCGCCAGAGACTCCGAGGACAGCACGGATGACGAGTTCTTCGACGCTCACGGTGAGTCAAAGTTTTCTGCCAGTGTTTCATTCAGATGCAGAACTCCAGATATAATATCATCACTGACGCCGAATTTACACCGCATCCGGAACGGCTCCCATCCGAAACTGCAGTGATTTTCAATGTCCACCAATTCCTACCAGATCTGTTTGTGAGGCGAATTTGGTGGCAGATTACTGACAGCAGGAATCACGAGAACTCACAAGAACCCGGATTCAAGTGCAATCGCGCAATAACGAGTTGTCTCTATAAAAACAGCCACATAACCATATAAGATTATATTATATATATTAGATTGTGTCCTTCCAGAGGAGGAAATCTACTTCTAGACTTCTAGAATCAGCATCTCCTCATCCATGGTGTCATCAGGGTGAAATGACGTTTAAAAACCTTTCAGTTGTTCGTCCCTGCCTGTTCGCATGATGTAAAATACGATCTGCCTGAAACACGGAGTGTTTTACTTTGAAAAGAAGCTGGATGTTTTATTTTGTGTCTGTGCCCGACTTCCTTTCCAGCACAGGTTAGTCTGTGCTGAATTTATCTGGCATTGCGAACAGCTGCGGAGTCCGGCGATCCGAAGCTGAACCAAAGACGCCAGTGGAAATTGACTCGTTAACTTGAATGGTTACGATCAGCTGCAATTGGCGGATAAGGCCTTTTCGTAGCCGTTCCAGATGCGGTCAAAAATTGGAGGGAAGAATGCAGCGACCCCAGCGGCACTACAGAGCAGGGAAGCCGGTACAGATGTGCTTTATCAATCAGTTATATTTGAATCCTTTTTTTCTGTGAACCATGCAGAGGACTTTTCAGACAACGAGGAGATATTTGCCAAAGAGATCACCAAGTGGAGCTCCAACGATCTGATGGACAAGATTGAAACCATCGAGGTGGACGAAGCACACGGTCAGTCCTTCATTCATCCATTCATTCACGCTTAAAAAACAGAACATTTATTATCACCTTAAATGGCACTTTTTGGATCAGACAGATGATTGAACTCAAACTCTTGATTTTCAGAGTCCCTGTATCATGAATCAGGTGGAGAGTACGCCGTGATGAATGAGGAGAGGGTCATGGAGGTAAAGTTTCTCTGTTTCCTCGTCTTTAGGAAATTCATTTGATTCTCTGGTTTCTTTTGTTATTCTTGAAAATTCTCTATAACTCATTTAAACCTGTTTCCTCTCTGTCTCTCCTGTCCTCTTCCTTGCAGGAATTATCCACTCAGCAGTGTCTCCAGCCGTCTAAAATTCACGTCCTTTTCCTGGTGTTACACGGAGGGAACATTCTAGACACTGGCTCAGGTACAGCAGCAAACAAGCTTAAAAAATATTCAGATTTCTTCATGAAAATTCAAAGAGGCTCAGTTTAGAGAGCGCCCTGTCCTTCTACATGGACGTATAAAATTTGTGTGTGACCTGTTCTTGTTTGTCCACAGGTGAGCAGAACAGCAAACAGGGAGATGGAAACACTCTGAGTGGTGCCTTCGAGACCGTGATGAGAGTCCACTACCCTGCAGCTCTGGGCCGCATCGCCATTCGGATGGTCCCCTGTCCTGCTGTGTGTGTGGACGCCTTCTCTCTCGTCTCAAAGTGAGTAAGACCCTCGAGTATTTAAGAAAAAGTCTGTGATAAACAACCACAAACTTGCTGAGAACAGACGTGTGTTTGTTCGTCCATCAGTCTGAGTCCGTACAGCTACGACGAGGGCTGCCTGTCCAGCAGTCAGGACCACATCCCTTTAGCAGCTCTGCCTCTTCTGGCCACATCTGCGCCGCAGTATCAGGACGCCATCGCAACAGTCATCCTACGAGCCAATCAGGTGTACAGCGACTTCATCAAGTCTTTAGAGGGAGCGACTTTTAATGGACAGGTCAGTGTGAGACCTGAAGGGTCATGTATCCTCTGTGGTTCTGTTTGAGGTGGTCCTGATAGTGAGGTGGTTTTTGTGTGCCGTGTCTCAGGTGTGTGTTATCGGAGACTGTGTTGGGGGGATCCTGGGGTTCGACGCTCTCTGCAGCACCTCTGTGATTGTATCAGAGAGCCAGAACAGCAGCAGGCGGGGCAGCGCCATCAGTGTTCAGGTACGGATCTCACATCAAACAGGTCTCCTGCTGCAACAGAGGAAGGTTACTTCAGGTCAACTTTGACAATGTTCTCCGCATTCTTTGTCTCTACAGGACACAGACCTTCTCTCTCCAGGTATCGTCATAAACAGCGTCTCTCCGTCCTCCTCACCAACCTTGGAGGGAAGCCGCCACCTCAGCCGCAGCAACATCGACATCCCTCGCTGCTCGGGGGCTGATGACCCAAAGAGGCAGCTGCCGCGCAAACGCAGCGACTCGTCCACGTACGAGCTGGACACCATCAAACATCACCAGGCCTTCCTGTCTAGGTCAGACACGGAGAGGGGTGCAAACATGACATGAGCGCCAACAGCTGACGTGTGATGAGAACTTTTTTGTAACTGTAGGAGCTGAAATATGCAAAAAAAAAAAAAAAAGGGTCCTTGTGTGAAAAAAACAGAATTTCCCTTTAAAGTGCAGAAACATGAACTGTAATTCTGATAAGTTTTGACTGCTTGCCTCTCTGACTTTAAACACCGTCTGTCTGTCTGTCTGTCTGTTTCCTCTCCGCCTTCAGCCTTCACTCCAGCGTGCTCCACGGGGAACCTGGGTCGCGGCGCTCCAGTAACAGCACCATGCTGGAAGGAGGGTCTTTGGGGAAGTTTGACTTTGAGGTGACTGACTTCTTCCTGTTTGGCTCTCCTCTGGGGCTGGTGCTCGCTCTGAGGAAGACCGTGGTGCCCTCTTTAGATGGTGAGGAAGAGCCTCTGTCTTGTTACGTTTACTGAAAAGTTCCTGATGTTCCTCGTTAAGCAGGTCTCAAAATTATAAAGTATGACTGGAAATTTGTGGATTCTGATGATGTGAGATTCCTGTCTCAAACAGCTGCAGAGCAGGTGTCAAAGGTTAGAGGTCATGTTTCTAAACTCTAAAGAAAAATACGTGATTGAAGTCAGAGCTCACTTGAAGCTGATTGTATGTTTGTCCTCTGAGGTTTGAAGTAGAGAGGTCGCTGACCTTCAGCTGTGGGAACAACATCTGGATTAATTTTCAGGCTGATTTGATAATAGTCAGTCGTTTTGTCATGTCACAGGTCAAAGTTTTTTATTTTCAAAGTTTATTTTGGTATAAACACAACAGTCATGCAAACTTTTCCAACAACCAAATACTCAAAGTCTGAGCTGCTTCTTTGTCATAGAAATTTAAAGAAATGTGCTGTTTTTAAGGCTGTCGATACTCAGAATCCTTATTTGGTTCTGCTTGATGTTAAAAAAGTGAATACAGCTGCAACATGTTAGAAGAAGTTCACCTGAGAATAAGTCACTGCTCCAGCCAAATGTTATGATGCGTTTGAGTTACCTTAGAAGTCAGATATCGGAGCTGAAAAGTACATCACGGAAGTTATTTTAGCGCTTGCCTTATATTCGGACAAGGCAAGCGCTAAAACCTCCTTGTAGATGTAGCCATCTTGTTTCCGCCTCCGATTTTGCTTTTTTTCCGACTTGGTAACTGAAACGCTGGGAACTCGTGTGTGACGTCATTTTCAGCTCAGACTTCTGACTTCCGAGGTAACTCGAACACAGCATTAGTCCAGGAAAATCCGCTGTTTCCCTGCATTTGTCTTACTTACATTTAGCTTTAAATGGAGGACTAAAACAAAAGCCAGGGAGTTTTGGAGTTGAGTATTTGCAAGTCTTTGACTTCTTGACCTCTCATATGGAGGACAGTGCCCCAGTTTGACCGCCCAAGTCCACAGAGTCCATCACTGCTTCTGTGCTTTGATATCACTGTAACAGAGTAAAAGTTTTAGTGGTATTCAATCTTATTTAAAAAAAACTTTTGATCACTTTGTTCTTCTTTCCAGTGTCTGCTCTGCGTCCAGCCTGTCAGCAAGTTTACAACCTGTTTCACCCGGCTGATCCCTCGGCCTCCCGTCTTGAGCCACTCCTGGACAAGCGTTTCCACCTGCTGCCTCCGTTCAGCGTCCCCCGATACCAACGCTTTCCTCTGGGTGACGGGAACTCTGCCCTCCTGGGTGAGTCCTCAAACGAAGACGAAACCCTCCCTGTCATTTTTTCTGTTTCTAGACCTGACTTTGTGCCCAACTTTTATCTGGTCTCCTAGTCGACACGGTTCAGAGTAATCCTCAGCTTCTGCTGGAGTCGAGCGGTTCAGCATCTCTGCGCTACCATGAAAACACCGGCAATGAAACCTCCATCCCAGTGCCTGTTCTCAACTGGCAGAGCTCACAGATCCACTCAGAGAGTAAGTACCTGCTCTCCTCATGCACTTTAAAGTAAAGCCACTTTTCCAGAGCTTCGATTTAGAGCACAGATGAAGCTCAGGTATCAAGATTCAGCAGTAAAGAAATCTGTCGTCATAGATGTTAAACTACTGCTTTAATTGCTGCAGCATAAATGCTCAGACAGGGAAGAAAAACCGTCAGATCAGTAATGAAAAACTCCACCAAGCACAAAAACACGTTACTGCCTCATTTACTGCCTGCTTAATTGTCTCACTCTTGCTGTCCTCCTACATCTCTGTGTTCGGTCTGCTGACTCACAGCTTTGCTAACTGCACTCTTTAAAAAGTTTCATTTTATGACATCAGAAAACTGGCAGAGATCTCAGCTCATTTTTTTAGGACTCAGCTCTTGGACGACAAAGTTTTGTCACACAGTTTTTTTAGTCCAGTCAGAACCAGCAGAACCGACGCCAGGGCTTTGTTTGAAAACCTGAGACTGTAGAAGAAGAGGATCCATCAGCTAAAGCAGCTGAAGTTTTGGTCATAAAGCCCGCCTCCTCCATGTAAACAGATGGGGCATGAGTCACAGTGTAAAATGAAAAATACATGCTGTAATGATTCCTATAATGCCAGAGTGCATTGCTCTTTGTCTGACCCTCCTCTTCTGTCTCTTCAGCGGACTCTCTTCATTCTCACATGTTCGTGGACGGTCAGTGCGCCCCCTCCACGTCCCCCGGAGTCCCTCACCTTCGTTGTCATCGCAGGGCGAGCGAGGCCAGCTTAGCCAGTCAGGTGTCAGGGTTAGCCGACTCTTACACCGCCTCCAACATCGCCACCAGTAAGTTGACCTCTGACCTCTTGAGTGTGATTCATGTTTATGACGAAGAGCTGACATTTGAAGTGTTGACCTTCTCATTTCCTCCCTCCAAACATCCCCCTCTCCCCATGAAGTCAGCACGCCTAAGCGGCCCCGGCTGCTGACCCAGCTGGCTGTCCCCTACAATAGGTTGTCCTCTCGGAACCCGTCATTTCGCTTACGGCAGAAAATCCGACAGGTGTTCCCGAAAGCCAACGGCGTGGAGTCAGAGCAGAGCTCCCTCATTAGCTCGGACAGGACCTCTAATACTGCCTCTGACTTCACTGATGTCACCTCTGACATCACAGACCTCAACTCCATGCCCCCGTCACCCAGGGTGCTGAAGAACGTAGAGCAAGGTATCCTGGGAGCTGTAGTAAGAGGACATAAGGGAAGGATGCTAGGCTCCGTCCTCGTTTCCTTGTGCTGTGTCCTTCCTCTCTCCTTAGAGAAAAAAAAGACTCCCAGAAACCTTCGTGTGTGACTTTTTGATGCTCAGAGAACTTTTCCTACGTTTTCCAGAAAAATCTTTGGCATGGTTCTCAAAGATTCAGAGGGTTTCGCGAGTTTTACTTTCTACTCTCTGACCTTCTTTTTCATTTTTAATTCTCTTTTGGACTCTAGTACCTTTAGTGACTTATTCATCACCAGATAAGCAGAACGTAGATCTGCAGTGGACCCATCTAAGAAACACTACGGTGATAGATTTCCTGAGTCCTTATCTTACTCTCTCTCCTCTGTCTCTTCTTTGTTTTCCACTCCCTTCCTAGTTGCCTCTCGATGGTGGGGCAGTAAGAGGATGGACTACGCCCTCTACTGTCCAGACGCCCTGACAGCTTTCCCAACGGTGGCTCTGCCTCATCTTTTCCACGCCTCGTATTGGGAGTCCACAGATGTTGTTTCGTTCTTACTCAGACAGGTTTGTGGAGTATTTCTGATCCCCAGAGAATGTATCCTGATGTTTTTATGATTTCTTTACTTTGATTTCAGTTCACCCTGACCATTAAGAAAGTTTATCTACAGTTAAATATCCAAATGAGTACAAAAACAAATAACTTCTTTTTCTCCTACCAGATGCTAAAATCTAAAATAAGAACAGAGCTGTAACCCCGAAACAATCCATCATTAATTTCACCAGCAGGAGTGAAAATACACATTTATTTTGATTGCTGTGACAGTCTAGGATATTTAGACAAATTATCACAACAGATGGACGACTACAAAGACACCAGGACACCAGAATATCATCAGAAAGTTTCACCGCTTTGCTTTGGCAGACTGCTGTGTCATTGTGTTATCTTTGGCTGAAGTGCTGAGGCGAGCAAAGGATCCCAGCCAGTGTGAAGATGACTGTGAAGCAGAATCAGTGCTGCGTCTACTACTTACTAAGAGTAAAACTTTGTTCCAAGACTATTTATCTGAGCTTTTTGTTCTCTTATTAGGTGATGAGACACGAGAACTCAAGTATTTTGGAGCTGGATGGGAAAGAAGTGTCTGAATTCACTCCGTCCAAACCACGAGAGAAATGGCTGCGCAAGAGGACTCATGTGAAAATCAGGGTGAGCGCTCTGTTTACTTTACAATTACACAAGTTTCAACAGGAACTTGTGTGTTTGTGAAACCTTGTCATCTGAAGTTGTAAATCTGTAGGAATCACCAATCTTTAGAGTTTAGTCCAAAAAAGATCAGATCAAGCATCTTTAAACTGTTTTTTTTCCTATCAAGATACCCAACATGAACTTTATTGAGCATGGTCATAAAAAAAAAAACTCTTAAATGGTTGCACCAAAATACAAGAAACTCCCAACAGGACAGGGTTTTCTAAATGTTGTCTAAAAGGCCAAACCCGGTCCAGAATCCGTCTCCACAGCTCATAAAGCTGAAGTGCGGCTCTTGATTAACATTTTAATCAACCTAAAGCTTCTCTCACATAGCTGCTGGCAGCTGCACAGTAAAAAGTCTCAGTGAGAGAGATTTCAGGGAATGAGGTAAACCCAAACCTTGTAAGTAAAGAGGTCATGTCCTCTGAAAATGGGAGAAATCCCTGTAAATGAAACATGAGGAGGACAGCTGTTCAGATTTCCTGCATTTTCAGAACGTGACGGCTAACCACCGTGTGAGTGACGCTGTGTTTACGGAGGATGGAGCCCAGATGGTGATGGGACGTTTCATGTACGGCCCTCTGGACATGGTCACCCTCACTGGAGAGAAGGTAGTGACAACGTCCAGCTGTGATATTAAAAAAAAAAAAAAAACGGTTATATAATGGTAGCACCATCTGTGTCTTTAAGGTCATTGTGTTATTTCCTGCAGATTGACATCCACATCATGACCCAGCCTCCCTCTGGAGAGTGGGTGTACTTTGACACGGAGCTCACCAACAGCAGCGGACGCATCTCTTACGTAATCCCTGAGAGCAGGAGGCTGGGCATCGGAGTGTACCCTGTCAAAATGGTAGTCAGGTACGATAAGTCCCTCTCTGACTCAGGCTGTCTGGGGGGCAGGTGTTTAGAAATCATGTAAAGGGCACCAGCTGCATGCAAGCGGGTCACCAGAGAGTATAAAGGATGATGCATTTATGGTGGAGCAGCTCAAAAACCTCAGGAGTAAACAAACTGACTCATATGGAAAGAAGATGTACACCCACCAAATAATGAAGAACTTATAGGCGTGTTAAAGTCAGATATCTTTACTGCACATGAGGCAGCCTTGATCGAGCTTTCTCCACTAAATCAGTGGAACTTTGTGATGTTTTCTCCACTGGATGGGCAGTCTTCTTGGAATAACAGTCTTCATCCTTTCTTGGTCAAATAAAACCCTGAAATTTTCGACCAAAATTGACTAATCAAGGGAGGGATTTTCCATCTCTGACAGCAAACCTTTCTGCGGCAGGGGACAATGCCACTTGGCGGGATGGAAATATACTGATATCAGCACAAGAAGGATATTAAACACGAATATTATATCAAGCAAACCAACGGCCATTGATTAACATGGGCGCTCTTCAATCTTCCCGTCTCCAGCTGGTCTCCAGTGGGTGGGGCAAATCCAAAATGGTGAAAACAAAGGGGGAGTGTTCTGAGACAGGCTGTTACTTGAGAAATGGGAGTGCTCTGAAAACACTCCCATTAGCACTTGGTACATTCCTCCTGATGAAATTAACTATAGACTGTTAATTGACATGGAAAAAATTTGAGTCGACCAATCAGAATTTTTGGTCGACTCAGCACGTATCGACCAATAAGTCAACCGGTCAAACAAGGACTTTACAGCCCTAGTAGAACGAAGAGGTAAACCAACCAAACATGGAAGACCTTGTTAAAGTCGGCTCTCTTTGCTGCACGAGGCAGCCTTGATCCAGCTTTCTCCACTAAATCAGTGGGGCTTTGTGATGTTTTCTCCACTGGATAGGCAGTCTCCTTGGAATAACAGTCTTCATCTTTTCTCAGTCAGTTCAGTATTTCCATCTTAATCTCTTTACTTTGTCTTGCAGGGGTGACCACACTTTTGCAGACAGCTATCTCTCTATTGTTCCACGAGGAACCGAGTTTGTAGTGTTCAGCATTGATGGCTCTTTCGCCGCCAGCGTGTCTATAATGGGCAGCGACCCAAAGGTCAGAGCTGGAGCTGTGGATGTTGTCAGGTAAGGTTTCCCTCTGAACTTCCTGGGTCCATTTAATAGATTCACATAAATCATCAAGGTAAACAATAGTTAAGAGTGAGTGAATGAAACAGCTAAGCTTTGCTCTGTTAATGACCTTTATGCAGATACTGGCAGGACCTGGGTTATATGATCGTGTACGTAACGGGCCGCCCTGACATGCAGAAACAGCGTGTGGTGGCCTGGCTTTCTCAGCATAACTTTCCTCATGGTGTCGTCTCGTTCTGTGATGGGCTGGTTCACGACCCGCTTCGACACAAGGCCAACTTTCTTAAATCTCTCATCAACGAGGTGAGGAAAGCCGCTGAGTCTGAGGTGGTTTCATGATGAAATGCTCAAAGTTTCTAAAATGTAACCCCGTTTTTATCAGGCCCACATGAGGATCTTTGCTGCTTACGGATCCACCAAGGACATCTCTGTGTACTCGTCAATTGGTCTGTCTCCATCTCATATTTACATAGTGGGAAGGCCAACAAAGAAGATGCTGCACCAGTGTCAGGTATGGAGTGAATCCTGATTCAGCAAGAGTCCAGCATCACCAGAATTTTCAGCCTGCTAAATAAGTAATACTGTTTTTTTTAGTTACTGTAGGTGCAAAATGCTGATCTTGTGTGGGTCCAAGCTGTAACGCAGCCACTCACCTCTAACCAGTCCTGTAACTCATTCCAGTAAAGACTGACATGATGCTAAAATGCTCTGCTAACCAGATGCAAACAAGCACAGTTGTCAGATGACATCTAGAGATGATCTAGATTGTAACCTGCAGGGTGGTGCAAAGGCTGGTGGTACTCACTCTGCTAATGGTAGCCACACTCTTTTTAACTGGTTTTCCTCACTTAAGTTCTAGTTGGAAAAACAAGACTTTTTGCAGAACTACAGAGTTGGTCACTTTGGAACATACCAAGAGACGGTTTGGTGTTTTACAGCTGAGTCGTTTAGCCATCAGGAGATTTCTTGCTTTCACCAACCCCCAATTTCTACTGCATTCAGAATGGCTGCGAAAAGGCCGTATGCGCTGATCGCAGCTGACCGTTTCCATTTAAGTTAATGTGTCAATTTCTACCGGCTTTACCCTGATGACACCATGGATGAGGAGAAGCTGATTCTAAACGTGGATCTCCTCCTCTGGAAGGACAAAATCTATTGCTTATATGGTTATGTGGCTGTCTTTATAGAGACCACTCATTATTGTGCGATTGCATGTGAATCCACAAGTTCTTGTGAGTTCTTGCGATTCCCACTGTCCAAAATCCATAACGAAATTCTTCTCACAAACACAGCCGGTAGGAATTGGCGGACGACAAAAATCGCTGCCGTTCCGTGGCAGAGCCTTTCTGGATGCGATGGAAATTGGGGGTAAGAGTCAACACCTAAAGTAATTGACCCTGAATGTCTTCCAGTTCATCCCGGATGGTTACGCCTCCCACCTCTCTCAGCTGGAATACAACTCCAGATCTCGTCCCGCAAAGTCTCCGAGCACCCGTATGGTCCTCCGCAAGAGCAGCTTCGGTTTGGGTGCGGCTGGAGGAGACTTCCTGCGCAAACGTAACCACATCTTTCGCACCATCTCCTCTCAGCAACCTGGAGGGGCGGGGTCTGCCTCCCCCAACCAGCCTGGGCGGACTGAGCGCACACTGAGCCAGTGCGAGATGGAGCGGGATCGAGGGGTCGCTGCTGCGGCAGCTCAGAGGAGTATGAGCATAGCCGCGGGTTGCTGGGGCCGCAGCGGGAGCACGAAGGAGGGCAGCGGAGGGTTACACAGCCATAAATGAGGCTCAAAAGGGAGCCTCAGGGTTAAAAGACCCAGCCTGGGCCACCATGATCTCTAGACTGATGAAAAAGAAGAGGAGGACTGGATGTCGGGTTTGTATATAAAATATTGATTGTATCAAAAAGGAAAAGAAGAGCAGGATCAGTCAAGGAGGAGTGGACTAATCAGGCTAAGAGGAATCCGGTGAAGTAAAGACAGTCCTGTAGCATGACTCTTTTACAGTAATACTTTTATAGGAGCATCACTAATTATTCAAAAGACAACAAGGAAGGATTAACTGAAATATTGTAAGCCTTAAACTAATCTCCTGTAAAGAGACAAACCCCCACCAACTCCCCGATCCAAACACACAGTCCTAGCATTCACACTCATGAGCTCAGGACAAACTGCAGATTCATCCCCAGACAGTCGGAACGGGTTCAAGGCCAAATTCTGTGGCAGCCATGATTAAAAAAAAGCTGCTGGATTTCACTTCTGTCTGTTTCATCGTCAGCCAAACAAAATGTTCTTGACACAAAACTCAACACAGCAATGACATGCAATAACACCAAGGAGAAACAAGTTCATCCAGATTACAAAAAAAACCAAACATATTTTATGGCTTTATGTCATATAAACACAAGGTGCCTGTGCTCAGAGGAGAAACCCATCCCACTACGCCCTCACGCCCACGTTTCTGCTATAGTATTAAGTCACAAAGCCCACCATATGGTCCCAAATGTCCCTGAACAGCCAAGCATGAAGTTAGGTGGTGCAGTGAGAGCCAGCACATCATTAATCTCAGCAGCCTTACGAATGGTTTCAGTTTATTCCTCCAGGATTTGCTCTCTGAGATCACTGCCTCGATATAAACCCATTACAGGAAAAACTGCCAGTTTTACATTTTCATCCAAAAAACAAATCGATTCTTCGAAACAGTGGAGAGCTATATCTAACGATGTTATTAGTCCTTTTGTTCCATACTGGTCCAAGAAGAGATGACATCTGAAGTTCCACCAAATACTCGATGATTCATGGTCCCCACAGGATAGTAAATGTTAAACTAACTTTTACGATCCAAACTGGATCAGTCTAACATCATCTTGAAGTACATTTACAGTGAAAGTGAGGGTCAACTATTGCATAGATGTGCCATTAAACCTGATGAAGATGGTCATTGTCCCCAGAGGATGACGCCCATGTATTCATTAATTGTTAGGTTCTCTGCGAATGTGCCATTATGAGGTCATCATTTCAAGTTTGTTTACATTGGATGAGTGTGAAATTTGATTTCACTATTCAAGGTGCCCAGAGGATGGACCGTTTTCTGACTTTTGGAGAAATATAACTGTTATAAGGTCACATGTTTTACTTGACAATTTTTAGAGGATACATTCTAACGACGTTGATGACCTCTAACCTTTTCTCCACTTTTTTTAATTTAGTGTAAACATTGTTTTTTTGGTTCATGACATTCCCACGAGCCTCCGATGTACTTGTGGTTTTGTGCCAATTTTTAAAATACAAGCATGTTTATACAATAAATTACCATGATTAACATCTAAATATTTACAATGTGACCAAGAGGGTACTTTAATACTGATGAGAACGCTGCTAAATTGATAAAGTTTGATGTGTTAATCAAAATCATCTTTCCTGGATGAGAGCGAGTTCAGGTACAGTAATCTTGACTGTTTTTACAGGACTTAAACTGCCCACAGAGCCATGTCTCATGTGATGCAAGGACTTTTGTAATCTGGATGAACTGACCTTTTTAAAACTCTAAGAGCTGCATCTGAATTCTTCAAGTATCAGAAATGAAAGAGCCTTTTGTCTCAGTCTAAAAATAACTGTGTTCATCATTGTATATAATTACATAATCCTTGCAGGTTGCTTGTCCAGTAATCATCCCACTGTGCGTTATATTTGTAGTTTTTCCCTGTCAGCGTGGCCTCTGGGCCATCAGATCCAAGGCCTTAATATCTGACAAGACTCGAACTCCACAGATGGAACAGAAAGCAGACAAACAGGGCATGCAGCATTAAGCGACAACTGAAACTCTGTACAGTCCTCAGCAACAATCCCTTTATACAGTCATCTGCTTGCAATACCTCTCTGATCCACCTGAAGGTGGTGCTCTGTTCCGCACATGTGCTGCTGCAGGGAGGAACTCCAATTGTTCCCTGGCTTTTTGCTCTTTTTGCTTTGCAGGGTAAGAAAGATGAACTGGTTTCTGCAGAGGAGCTTGAATAATTTTTAGACTGGACCCTGGGAGGAAAGTAAGGCAGTATTTCCACAAAGTTTTCACAAACAGAGACCTGTTAGACTTTCAGTATTTTTACCAAATGGACAGCAGAATGGACAAGAGGACATTCAACAACAATGTTGAAAAGACTGGACTGACCCTTTTCATGATGAATGTGGAGATGAGATTTGATGAGAGCAAACACTGTCTGCTGCTTTTATCTACTGAACTGTATATTTTCATGCAAAGGGGACATAATAAGGAGAAGCCACCTCACATCCAAAATCACAAACCATGTGCACAAAAAGTCAGGATTTCTCTGTACTGATGCCAACCAAGCTCACTATAAGGTTCACAATTTTAAAGTTGGTCTTTAAAAATGTCTTTCTGTTCGTATTACTTTGCAGTCATCATTTCATTATAAAAGATTTTCAAAACACTTCCCCTGTAAGTGAAGGATAAATACACCTCCAACTGATCTTATTTTAGCCTTTTATAGTGCTGACGTAGAGGTTCAGCAGTCCAAGTTAATCTGATCAAGCGAATCTTCAACAAATGCAAAGTTTGTCAAAAGACATTTTTGTCCACTTGGATTTTAGGCCACCTAATTTCACAACAAATAATAACCTGTTGTCGACTCATGTAAATTATGGCATTGTAAGTTTTCATCTGCAAATATGTAGCAGGCTCAGACAGTATGGTCTCTAAACAGGATAACTGGTACCATCAGCATAAACCAGATTTTTGTTGTTGTTTTTTAAATCCTGTTCTGCTTTTGTTCCCTGTGGTGTTCCCTAAGGCTCCATCCTTGGTCCCATTTTGTTTTGTTTTTTACTAGGCTTCAATTCTTCTTGATACCAAATGATAATCTACTGACCCTTTATAACGGATATATGATGATCATATCCAGCTTTTGGGTCACATCATATTAAGTAAAAACAATCCTCATTTTATGTTTGGAAAACTCACAAATGCTGGAGTTGTAAATGTCCACCATCACCTACAGTGGAAGTATACACAAATACTTTTGAAGGACCAGGATGGCTGAAGCAGGCTAAACCTATTTTTCACATGAAAATCTGCAACTGTCTGTTATTATAAGCAGGATTTAAAATTGTGAACCTATCCCTTTACTCATACAGGCTTATAGACTTAAGGTGTGGAGCAGAAATAACTGCTTCACTTCATTTTACTATGCTGTTATTTTACTCCTAGCTTCCACACAACACAGGAGTGTGTTTCTACCCTGTGTGTGATCAGTAATGTCTTCAACCCACCACAAGAGCCAAAATCATTCTCTGATACTGTAGTAAATCAACTATGTAACCTCATTGTTATTTTTTTGCACTAGTTTACAATGAAAATAATCTGTAGTCACCATCTCATGTACCACTGTAGTGCATGACACTGTTTGTTCATTTCAGGGTAAATTGTTTCTACAGGTACGCACACTTCTTTGTCAGCATATGGAAATAATGTAAATGTGCCAAACAGTAGAAGATTATTGAGAAGTATTATTAGAGCAGGGGTTTTCAAAATCTGGCACCGGGGGTTCTTAAAAATCTCCCTTTTTGTTATTGATCACACTCTGATTGATAACCATGCTCTCAGTTTTGGCTGTGGAGTTCTTCTGAAACTAAAAAGAAGCCCTAAAAATTACCATTCACAGGCAGGTTTTACAGGTGTAAGATGCACTGATTTTTGGTGTCTTCTCAGAGCAGATTTAAGGAAATTTATTCCCTATGAACAACAGGTACACCTCGATAAATGTAAGTTATCTCAAAAGCAAAAAATGTTTCAACTGTGTCAGTGTGATAAATCCAAAACTCAGAATTAGTGCAATTTATGGCACAATTTTTTCCTAAAGCTGATAAAAATCTAAATTGGACACTGGAAATATCTCTAAAACATGATCAAAATATATATATATATATTTCAATCATATCTGTTTGTCCAGACTGAAATAGGTGTGATTTATGGCGCAATACTACTGATAACCAGGCCCCCCTTTGTAGACCTTTCAACACCTTCTTGTCTCAAATTTTGAAAACTCCTGATTTACTTTTTATTGCAGTAATAACGGAGAAGTATTGATCGCTTATACTAATTTGACTGGACTTAACTGCTGGTGGCCAGTTTTTCTTTTTGTCTTTTATTACCCATGTCTGAGGAAAAAAGTGTCTTTTAACAGAAAACGAAAGATGTCCTTTAACTTTGAGAGCAGAGATGGAGCGTGTTGCTGTAATTTTGGAATATTAGCTATTTTGCAAGAACTCATGGACTTCTGCATTGAGTTTTTGTTGGTTTTAGGCCGCAAACACATTGTCCCCCTTCAGCCATTCGGCTGCTGTGTTGAATGTCTGCTCATTTGGATTCTGAGATTGATCAGGAGCCATGGATGTGTCACTGTACATATTGTAAAGATGTGTATGTAGGACTTCTATGTTCAAGAGTTATTTATTTACCTATAAATCATTATGTTACTCTGGAAATTTCAGGTGAAATATATTTGAAATATGTAGCATTTTATTTGTCACTTCGGCAGTCATTAAGGCTATACGGACCAACACAGGAAGGTTTTTTGTTTTTACAAGTGCAATATTATTATTCCAATCACAGCCAGGCAGAACCACTACCACAGCAGGCGCACAATCTGCCACAACAGTCTGAAATCCTACACACACCACCTGCAGTCCTGTTTCACACCTTGTGAAATGTATTTGTATTCTAGCTAATGTTGAACTCTGCTGTCTCTTTACAACAGTCCACTGCTGAGCATTTTATAGGACTTCCTGTACCTATTTTTCAAACTGGAGTATTTTACTATCACTTTGAAATATAACTGGAGACTGATTTTCAGTCAGCAGTGGGTGCATGAAGAAGTAAACCCCATAACAATGCAGCTATATTTAATAAGCTGTTGCATGTCATCAAGCCAGATTGGAAATAATTAATCTTCATGCTAAACAATAATAAACCAGATGTGTTGTCCACAATGTCTTCATTGTTTGTTGAATTAAATATTTGCTGAATTTGTTTGGTACTATGATAACTATTGCTATAATTATTGCTATATTTAGACAGTTTGACAGCTTAGTATTTGCTATTCAGTAACTTGCTTTATTTCTGGCTTTACAAGGGTTGGATGGTATTGGAAAACGTATAATAATTCTAATTCTATAATATTCTCTTCTATGAATTTTATTCTCTTCTATAATATGCTCTTCTAGCCGAGCAGTGACCTTCAGCTCTTGCTGGGGCGGTTTACTGCCGAGTGTGAAGCGGCTGGGATGCGAATCAGCACCTCCAAGTCCGAGGCCATGGTCCTCAGTCGGAAAAAGGTAGATTGCCTTCTCCAGGTCGGAGGGGCAGTCCTGCCTCAAGTGGAGGAGTACAAGTATCTAGGGATCTTGTTCACGAGTGAGGGTGGGATGGAGTGGGAGATCGACAGGCAGATCGGAGCGGCGTCAGCAGTGATGCGGACGCTTAAATGATCTGTTGTGGTGAAGAAAGAGCTGAGCCGTAAGGCGAGACTCTCGATTTACCGGTCGATCTACGTGCCGATCCTCACCTATGGCCATGAACTTTGGGTAATGACCATAGACTGTATATAAGATCTCTTATATCTCTATATACAGTCTATCTATGGTAATGACCGAAAGAACAAGATGACGGATACAAGCGGCCGAAATGGGTTCCTTTGCAGGGTGTCCGGGCTCAGCCTTAGAGATAGGGTAAGGAGCTTGGACACTCAGGAGGCGCTCAGAGTAGAACCGCTGCTCCTCAACGTCGAGAGGAGTCAGCTGAGGTGGCTTGGGCATCTGGTTGGGGTGCCTTCTGGACGCCTCCCGTTAGAGGTGTTCTGGACATGTCCCACCGGGAGGAGACCTCGTGGCCGACCCAGGACCAGGTGGAGGGATTATATCTCTCACCTGGCCTGGGAGCGCCTGGGAATCCCCCCGGAGGAGCTGGTGGAAGTGGCTGGGGTGAGGGCCGTCTGGGCATCCCTTCTGAAGCTGCTGCCCCCGCGACCTGGACTCGGATGAAGCAGAAGAAAACGACGAAGAGAAGTTCAGTGAAATTCCAAAGCCAAAAGTTTATATCAAAAGATCACAAACACATTAAACCGTTGGTTGGTTGGTTGGTTGGTTGATTGGTTGAAATTATATGGTGGTTATGGTTCATTGTAGGACAGTTTCAGCTAAAAAGAAAAAAGTCAAAACTGATCATAACTACAAAATATGATATATTGACCATTTTCTTAAGTGTCAACGAATGCTCTGTGCAATTAAGGGGCTTGAAAATCAAATATTTCCACCATTTCTACCTTTCATGCATGTCACTGACAACAACTACAATTTATACAACACATTTGGCTTAGTATCAGATGACTACTCTGGGTGACTGTGGACATAGGGTTGAGTATGTACCATACCTGACAAAAATTTGTGTGTTTATGCAGACGGTATTGAAGCATACCTGGGTCTGTATCTTGAAACATGTTCTGTGGAATAAAACGGCCAGAAGGTAACACAACATGATCCCCAGAGGATGAACCCCTCAGACATCACCCTCTCTGTTCTCTAGGGTCTAGTGCCACTGGCAGGTTTGTGCTCATAGGTGTGATTAAAAGTGGTGCAACAAATAGACTGATTGCCCCTGACACTTTGTTCACACATTCCTGGTCCCCAGGGGATGATTTATAAGTACTTTAATTTCTAAAATGTGTCTATTGCTGCCAGCAAGTGTACACATTTCGAATATTTCACATATTCATGGTTCAGAGGGGATGAACTCTTGCAGCAGTTCCTTTGACTTCTCTGTTGCCACTAGCTTGTTGGTATATAGCTCTCTAGAGAATGTTGCAGCACTAGATACGTACTGATTGCCCCTGGTATTGTAGATATGCATTCATGGTCTCTAGAGAATGATTCTCAAGCATTGTAATTTGTTCTCTTGCTGCTGGCAGGTCAATATTTGTAAGTTTATCATTTAAAAAAATAAAATGAATTCATTGTCTCAAGAGAATGAATCCTATTGACGAATGATCGACTGTCTTTCCATTCAGCCAAAGAAACTAATTTTTATTTCTCATAGCATTGTGGTTCCCATAAATTGTAACTTTTCTGACTGAATTTATTCCCTCTTTTTTCAAAAGTTAAACCACTGAGGCACTGTCTGAAGACACAACCTTATGGCATTACTATCTTCTCTTAAGATATTGAGGTCCAAACTAACAAATTATCGCATATTATAAAAATTAAGTGTTCATGGAATAAATAAATACAAGTAGGGCAACAAGAAGTATCTTTACTTTATTTTGGCAAATGAATGACAGTTTTTGTAATTGGTGTATTGAACACCCTGAAATGAGTTGCTTTACCTTTGATTATTGTGCCCCCTTCAGGTCAATTTATGTAATGCATGGTTAGTGTTGAGTTTTAACCCTCCCTCCCTCAATCAAACATACATTATATTACATACAGTATCAACAAAAACACACAGTGGCTTATTTTACACACAAACTTGATATGTCCTGTTCACCCCTGAGCTGAAACAAGGAGAGTAACAGGAAGATAATCCTTCAAATATTGCACAAAAGGGCAAAAGTTGTTTATAAAATTGGCCAAAGTGAGGATAAGATATGATTCAACTCTATAAAAATGTTTTTAAAACAAATAAATATTCACTTTTTTTGTTTCAAATGAAGCACTTGTGACTCATCACACATACAAAACCTTGCAAATAGACTTCACAGGAGGATGAAGAGCAAAGACAGTCTGCTCTTTGGTTTGTCGGGTGGACGGATGCATGATGGGAAGCGTTGGCAGCCTGTACAGTAAAGAGGAGGTGGAGGAGAGACCAAAACGAACAGAGAAGACAGTAAGTCATAAAATCACAGCTGAGCTGAATTAGCTCTGTCGTCATCAGTGACCTTTCTCGAGTCAATATTACAGGGAAATATCAGATGTCTGTGTGTGTCTATAGAGCACGAGGCCTTTTGGGGGTTATCTGTTGGCTAGCTTGCTCTTCCTCCTGCAGTGCAGAGCGGAAACTTTTGACTTTATCTGGAAGAAAAAAAAAGACACAGGTTAAAAATCTGAAATGTCAGGACAAAGATACACGACAAAACCAGGTTATTCAACATCTGTTTGAGTGTTACCTTTGTGTAATTGAGAGAGATTTAATATTTCTTAAATGATCTTCACAGACTAAATCAGACTCAACATGACTTCAAGAGAAAGCAACACATGATTTACATATTTGGCACCAGCTGATAAGAGAGGAGAAAGTCGTAGGTCAAAAAAGTTAAACTATTGACAACAACAGATTTGTTCTATTGCAGGCCGCACAAGATAGTAGTTAGTGGGGTCAGTAAAGGCAACTCCAGGCTAACATCAGCCATCACAAAAAATCAATTATTCATGAATTATGTTGTGCAGAGTAATGTTTTCTGATTCTTTCTTTATTTTTACACATGAACTGGAGTTACCTCTGAGTTCTGTGAGAATGTCGATCTTTTGGTCCAGGATTTGTTCAAGCTGAGTTGCAAAAGACTCAACGTCATAGTCCACCTCCTCTGTCATTTCTAGGAGGACTTTCTCGTCTTCCAGCCAGCGGATCGACTCCTGTTAAGAAACCATTGGACATGTATATGTTTTTATTTAATCAGTTCAGTGAACCAAGATATCAGAGATATGAGACCTCCATGTTTCTGTCTGTTCAGACAGCACCCACAACTTATGACGTGAGTGTACCTGAAACACGGCCCTGTGGTCCTCCAGAACCTGCTCCTCCATCTCCACCAGCTGAGAGACGGCTTCATGGAAAGTGAAGAGCTGTGGGGAGACCTCTTCCTCCTGCAGAGAACATGTACGAGTTAGTTTTTATCAGGGGCTCAGATAAAGGGTCACACTTTCTAAATAAGTCTTACATTCTGTTCACAGAGCAGCTTCAGGTCGTCCCTCTGAGGAGAACTTCCGACTCCCCACTGAGCCTCCAGCACCTCCAGCTGGTTCATGTGTCCCTGACGGATGTCCATTGCTGCTGCAGGGTCCACCGTCAGCTCCTTCACCCTGAACAGACATGAGAGCAGCTCAGTAAGTAACTGCTGGGGTGTCTTATAAATAATGAACAGAATTTAAGGAAATCAGGTCTGGATATAGTAAGAGGAGGTTGAAAACCAAAAGTAAAGGATGGTGGAGTAAACAGACGTGTGTAAAGTGATCATACTCATAAGTAGGAGAGAGTTCAGAGCGACCTCCTCCACCCCCGCCCTGAGAGAAGGGGATATCTGAGGGACTTATCCCAAACTCCTTCACTCTGGAAACATGAGAAAGAGATGCAAAAGTCACAGAAGAAGAAGAAGAAGAAGAAGAAGAAGAAGGGAAAGGATCATTAGAGGGTCAAAGTCTACTCATAGGAGGGAGAAGACAGAGACTCAAGAAAGTTCAGGATCAGGTGTTTTACCTGTTGGCATATCTCAGTGTGTTTAGGGTGTTTTCACATGAAGCCATCCCAGGAGAGATGGTTGCAATCTGTGAGGAAACACAGAGGAGAGATGGGTATTAACTTTGCGGTCAGTATATTCCCACAGGTGGTGGAGTTTATATAGACAGCCCTGCCTCTGTCTCACCATGCATGTTCTGGAGTTTTCCCCGATGAAGGAGTCTCTCAGCACTTGGGTTAGCTTGCTGGCTCTGAAGGGGGTGTGAGGTTTGTTTCTGCCCAGAGCTCGAATACACTCCTTAAAAACAGAAATCAATAAGAGAAGAAGAACTTTATTTATCCCTGAGGGGAGATTCAATGTCAAGACTCAAACAGTTTCAACTAAATAAGGGCGTGTTTGAACTGAAAACATGTTTTTACTCTGACCACTACTTGAAAAATACAACTCAGAGCGGTAAAATCCACCATGAATGTGTTGTGCTACTTGTCCTACATTTTATTGACTTGCTGTCTGAAGTTCAGCTTTTTTTAAGTGCTTCTGGTTCTTACTGAGAGAAATCTCTAACCTACTTGATGTTAACTTTCAAAAAAACTTTCCTAATCCCGTTTATCTTGATTGTATTGAACTAAACTAACTCAATAAGAATCCTTATCAGTCACTGAGACTGTACAGCTGGAAAAAGCGTTCCTCATTTGTGGTTCGATCCCTGATGTACATGATAAATAGTGTATTCAGGCGGAGACCTTGAGTGCCAGCAGACTCTTGTTGATCTCAGCTCCTTCCAGGCGAGTCTGACGGTCAGCGCTCGATGTGTCTGCTCCTCGCTCGTTCCCCGCCAGGTCAATAAGGGAGAACTTTCCGTGCATCTTCCCCCGTCGGCGCAGGATGATCTGAAAGACGGCATGGCTCCGAGAAGAGTGAGCGTTCGCTGAGGTCTGACCAGAAGTCCTAAAGAAAAAGACATCAAGTCCAAACTTCTCTGATCAATATTTATTACATCAGACTTTCCTCAAACGATCAATGTTAACTGGAGCTATAATCTCCTCCTGTACAGCTGTGGAATTTAAGCTGTTACATTCAGTGATATCATGGAAAGTATACTTCTACTCTACAGTGTGGTATTTGTGCTCAACTACAGTAAGAGGATCTGAATATTTAGGTATTAACCTGCAGCTGTTTCCAACTTCAATGAGTTTGAGGACGTCCTCTGTGCACTTCACCTCCCTCTCCTGCAGCCCGACCACCTGAACCTGCTGCTTCCCATCCTCCAGCACCCGTAACTTGGCTTTGCGGTTTAGAAGGTCAAATACCTTTAAATGCAAACACAACCTCACAAATCAATTCTTTATTTCCATTTATTATTATCTTTCATGTCCAGAGTTCACTCTTTAAATGAAAGAACTGAGCCTCACTTCTATTAAAGGGTGATAAATAATCATTCCTTCCACTAGAGGGCTTTTCAATTTACCAATTAACATTTGAAAGGACCATAAGATGTAGGTGTTTTTGTTACACTATACTAAAAATATGATGCTAAATGAAAGTATATCTAAAATCTCATACAACTCTGTTCGCAAATTCAACCTCTGTGACTACCTGGATGTCATGAATGTTCAGAAACTTGCCTTCCCGCTGTAAATCTCAAAAAATGTGGCAAAAATCTGAAGGTCCAGCTTCTTGTAGTTTGGTTTCTTTATCATGAGAAAAACGTCTCTGGCTGCACAAAAGGAAAAAAAAGACTTTGAATTAAATCAAGCAGACTTTATCGGTATTAAATGGAGAGATTAGTAAGAAGAACTAACCCGACAGTGCATAGATCCCTTTGGAGCAGTCCTGGTTCTTTCCAGAAAAGTCTCCTCCCATCGTCTAAAAAGAAGATGTTGGTCATAAAAAGATCAGATTGAAAGAAGGAGTCCTCTTGAGCTCAAACTAAGACACTCACATGTGTTTTTCCACTTCCAGTTTGTCCGTACGCAAAGCAGGTCGCCATCCCTCGCTCAAAAATGGTCTCGACTAAAGGCTGAGCAGTGAACCTGAGAGGAGAGGAGTCCAAACCAAACATATGAAGACAGTGGCACTTTAAAGGGTCCACTATCTGATGTATAGATTTATAAATAACTGTGCAGAGATTGCATTGACATTCACGTCACCTGTAAACCATCTCGTTGGTGGAATTCTCATCGAAGGCGTAGTCGAATCGGAAAGTTTGATTCTCCAAGTAGCGCGTCAGGTCGACTTTCTGCTTCGGCTCATGAACCATCACGACGTCCTTACTGGGAATAGTGATCACATCCAGGTCCTTCGCTGTCATTTCTGAGGAGACCAGAACAAAAAGATTTATTTTCTGGGTTATGTCCACACAAAAAAAAAAAAACAGCAGCGTGTTCAGACAGCTGAGCGGCACAAACATAATCAGTTAAGATGAGATGAATTTCAGCAGTATTTGTACTTTTATTAAATGTTGTATTTTAACTACTGGAGTATTTCCATTCTTTGCTGCCAGACTTCTTTCACAGAAACCTCATATATACTTTGAAATAAACACAAACTCATCAAACTTTTGCAAACGACACAAGACAAAGATGCTTAACTCTTAGTTTTGAGTCACACCTACTGAACAAAACTCCTCTTACCTTTTTTATTAAGGGGACGTGCACGCACACACACACATATCCTGTGTTCCTCAATCTGAAACAACAGCAGACATGTTTTCATGAGCTGTATGATCGGTTTGTAAGACACAGAGAAGTAAAACATGCAAAATTCCTCCTTTTATTCCCCCTTAGATAGTTAGAGGGTGTAAAATAAACATAACCCACACTGTGAAATCCATCAATGCTCTACAGTACCTTAATTAAGATTATTATTCCACACTCAATGTCCTTGATGATGTTTTTGTGCATCATTTGATCAACATATCCCCAGAATTCAGCCCCACAGATGTAACATATTTGGAGATTTGTGATGTGAGCTTTGGTGTGATTGAACAAAGTCCAGCTGCAGAGCAGGAATTCGCACTAACCAGTAGGATTTGAGGGGCTAAAACTCAGGGGCAAACACTCTAACATGATGTAAGAGCTTTTTTAGTTGATGCCTCTTAACAGATTAATAAAGTTCTGCTATAAATATCAACAGCATTTAAATGGATCTCACTCATGTTTCTGCAATTTGCTTTTAATGTATAATTTATAGCATTAGTCCTCTGAAGTGTAACAGCATGAAACCGAGTGTCCTAAAAGCTTTTCTGCTGCAAATCCAGGTCAGAGGAGACAAAAAATTAAAATACAAATGAAGATGTAGCTTTAATAATGAGCCCCACTCACCAGATCGTTACTGGTTAAAGGCCTGTAGTCCAGACTGGCTCTGAAGTCTCTGATCATACACATGATTTCGTAGTTTGGTAAGTTGACATCCACCTCCTTAAAAAAACAGCAAAAGAGAAAACTGTTACAAGAAATTTACCCCAAAAACAGAGAGGAGTAAATGCTTTTATTTCACAGCAAATAAATGATAATTTTCAGCCGGAGGTATTCTAAAATGTGTTGTTTAGTCTGAAATGATCCTGCACATGACCTGGATTCACTCCAAGAGCGGGGTGGAGTAATATTTTTTCAAAATTCATCCATTATTAAGCATCAGTGAACCAGCCAAAAATAGCAACACTAGGTCCCTTTAAAATATGCTGTTTCTGTGTGAGGCTTAAAGTCATACATGTGCTCTTATACCCATGTGTGGCACCATAAAATGAACATGATCCAGGGTTTGAGTTCAAAGTAGGACTACTTAATGTGACAGAACAGTGAAAGTAGTTGAACACTTTTAAAAGAGACTCACGTCTTCTTTTCCAGGCATTTGAGACACATTTAGTCAACTTAAGCACATCAAACTTTAACATAAACTCCAGCTTTGCCACCACGGTATAATGTATAATATACACTCACCGGCCACTTTATTAGGTACACCATGCTAGTAACGGGTTGGACCCCCTTTTGCCTTCAGAACTGCCTCAATTCTTCGTGGCATAGATTCAACAAGGTGCTGGAAGCATTCCTCAGAGAGCTTGGTCCATATTGACATGATGGCATCACACAGTTGCCGCAGATTTGTCGGCTGCACATCCATGATGCGAATCTCCCGTTCCACCACATCCCAAAGATGCTCTATTGGATTGAGATCTGGTGACTGTGGAGGCCATTTGAGTACAGTGAACTCATTGTCATGTTCAAGAAACCAGTCTGAGATGATTCCAGCTTTATGACATGGCGCATTATCCTGCTGAAAGTAGCCATCAGAAGTTGGGTACATTGTGGTCATAAAGGGATGGACATGGTCAGCAACAATACTCAGGTAGGCTGTGGCGTTGCAACGATGCTTAATTGGTACCAAGGGGCCCAAAGAGTGCCAAGAAAATATTCCCCACACCATGACACCACCACCACCAGCCTGAACCGTTGATACAAGGCAGGATGGATCCATGCTTTCATGTTGTTGACGCCAAATTCTGACCCTACCATCCGAATGTCGCAGCAGAAATCGAGACTCATCAGACCAGGCAACGTTTTTCCAATCTTCTATTGTCCAATTTCGATGAGCTTGTGCAAATTGTAGCCTCAGTTTCCTGTTCTTAGCTGAAAGGAGTGGCACCCGGTGTGGTCTTCTGCTGCTGTAGCCCATCTGCCTCAAAGTTCGACGTACTGTGCGTTCAGAGATGCTCTTCTGCCTACCTTGGTTGTAACGGGTGGTTATTTGAGTCACTGTTGCCTTTCTATCAGCTCGAACCAGTCTGGCCATTCTCCTCTGACCTCTAGCATCAACAAGGCATTTCCGCCCACAGAACTGCCGCTCACTGGATATTTTTTCTTTTTCGGACCATTCTCTGTAAACCCTAGAGATGGTTGTGCGTGAAAATCCCAGTAGATCAGCAGTTTCTGAAATACTCAGACCAGCCCTTCTGGCACCAACAACCATGCCACGTTCAAAGTCACTCAAATCACCTTTCTTCCCCATACTGATGCTCGGTTTGAACTGCAGGAGATTGTCTTGACCATGTCTACATGCCTAAATGCACTAAGTTGCCGCCATGTGATTGGCTGATTAGAAATTAAGTGTTAACAAGCAGTTGGACAGGTATACCTAATAAAGTGGCCGGTGAGTGTATATATATGTGTTCACTGTGTCTTTACTTGTGCCCTCTTCTCTCTGAGCTCCTGTTGCTGAAGTCGTCTCTTCTCTCGTTTCTCCTGCAGTTTCTCCACCTCCTTCACACAGTTTGATTTTCTCCGAGCTGAAAAAACAAATAAAAATATTTAAATATGATCAGAAACTAAATATTTTTCAGGACAAGGCTATTATTTTTCTGTTATTCCTCTGAGACAGCATCAGGGTCTCTGTGTTACAACATAGTGTTAATTCTCTGACAGAACTAAAGACAAGAATCACAAAATTTTGGGGCTTACTTGATTGAGTAAAACTTGAAGACACGTTACCACACTGAGCTTTTTTATTGTCATTTTTAGAAAAAGGCTGCGTGCTGGTAAAACCTTGACATGCAAATATAGTGAATTTTTAACTAATACACTTTTGACCCTTGTTATCCATTTAACTTGACCAAAGTAGAGACATTACCTATGATTACTCCACCGATCAGGATGATAACTAATCGGCATTTACAAATTCAAAACCACCTTATTTTTTCGAACACAAGTTTAACTCAGAAGAGAGCAAGACTGAGAATATTTGTACTTTTCTTCTTTGAGTTGGTTCTGATTTATAAACATACTTTATCATGCAGAAGTTATGAGTAGCAGAGTATTTTTTACAGTTATGTCTGGTTTTACTTTAATTTGGCTGTCACACTCTAACACTGTTGGTTTGAGGTGTTTCGAAACAACAATGAAGATTGTAGATGGAAAAACACAGACTCTGAGGAGGGTCAATTCAAGTTTTTTTTGTCTTTTTCGCTGTATATTGTTAAAGAAAAGGAGGAAAAACATATAAACATCTGAGTTTTAAATCTAAAAGTTTGATTTTAGGTCCACAGTTGTAAATGTTTCTAATAAATCCAACATGCGCAGCTGAAAACTAAAACAAGCGCTGCAGTATGAGTTAAGAAGCAAAGCCAGTGAGCGACTGTGAAAGAGCCTTTGAGGCCTCACACTCACAGCTGTGCGGGACCATGACATCACTGCTGCTTACCACTCTCAGAAACACACAAACACACACACACTTAAACACACACTTAAGTCTTTGGAAACTACCTCAAAGATTACTGAAATCTGTGGACTTAATTGACCCTTTAAGTGTCATGCATGAATCAGGTTTAAAAGTGCGGGTCGTTACCGTTCTGCTGCTGGATCAGGGACTGGTTGACGGCAGCAGACTGAGGGGGGATGGCAGGTGGTGGGGGCTCTGCAGCTTGGCTGTGCTGGCTGGGACGAGCTCGGGTGGTTCCCACTGCTGCAGCTGAGGAAAACACAGGCCAACATAGTCATCAGTTTATGAGAGTTAAAGGGCATTTCAGCTAATTTATAAAACCAACAGACTCATTATTAGTCCAGCCTACAGCTTTAGTCTGATCTATTGAGGTATCAGCTTTTGAACCTGTTGTCATATCGTGAAGAGATACATATGTGACCTTTACATGACCCCTTAAGCATTTACTTCTCTTATAGCAAGAACTTTCTTGCTTAAAGTCTGTATTTTTAACCCTGACTGCACCGTGGATCATCCATTGAAAATATTTGGTTTTGAAGGCAAAAAAGGAAAAACACACAGTGAAGCTGAACAAAGCTGTTTTTCTGCTTCGGTTCTCCTTGGGAAAAACAGAAGTCAGCACTGCAACATCTGCCCTGATCATCAATTGTGAGGTCTGTGTGTTCACCACACGGGTGATACTGAAGCAGAAACCAGTGTCAGGATACACAAACATCAGATCTAACTCAAACATACCTCTGTTTTCCCTCGGAGCGTTCTCAGTCTTGGGTATCGATGTGATTCTTCTAGTCTGGAAAGAGCGACGACATAAAGATAGTAAACAAACCAAGAACAGATGCTGAGTTTAAAGGAAACTGACTTCACAGGTCTCCTGTAAGAGCCTGGGAACAGCTGATCTTATAATCAAGTTCCTGACATAGATATTATAACGTTTTGCACAAGTTAAATTTAGTCAGTTTCAAACAGACCCTGCAAGTCGTTACCTATCAATTTTCTCTTTCAATGACCTCCTATCACAACTAGAGATGCAATTGTAAACTGATTGTGACAGCAGACCTTGGGCAGTTTGCTGGTTTTGGCAACACTGGAAGGAGGAAGGGGAGCTTCAGGACTCGGAGGGATGTCTTCTTCTGGAGCCACATCTGGATTCAAAGCAAAGACGCTCTCTAGATCAATCTGAGGTAAAAAACAAGACAGAGCGCATCATCAACTTTAATCTTAATAAGTCTTTATTTTGATTTCTGTGATAAAAGAATCTGGATATACAGAACGGGTGTGACACCAAAACTCAGAGGTTCTGCTTCATATTTGGCTATACTTGTACGAATAAGAATACAGTTAAGAGTAGAGAACTTTTTGTACTGTATGACCTGAACCTTGGTTTATATGTTTAGAAGAGGACTGTGATTTTTAACAGCCATCTCATATTTTAGTGGTTAAATGTATATATTTTAGCAGCCTCTATAGATCACCATTGTCCATTAGATGTTAATGGCAGAAAAGTTAAGTCACATCTTTAATTGAAAGATAATTTTAATACAATTTCCCACACCAAGTGGGTGAAAAAAATTCATAAGCCTGATCAATGAGTGCCAAAGTGGCAGAAATTGAGCCTGGCTATTACCTCTTTCCCTTTTGTGTCTCCATTCTCAATCCACTCCACTGTCACACTCTCATTGTCCTCATGCAGCGATGTGACCATGGCCTGGTGTATCCGTCCTGTAGAGAGAGGATGCCAGAGAGATGCTCGGCCTGCTCAAGTGCTCATTCAAGAGTTATAGAGTCTACATGCTGCTGTAAATCACAGAGACAGGCATTAACACATCTAATGAGCCATTAGCCAAATATATCTCCAACTGAGCAGATCATTTCCAGATCATTTGACAGAGCAAAGGACTTTTTCAATAATCTAACATGTGAGATTTCTACAGTTGAGAATAAAATAAGGACACTGGATGCTAATGGGTGTGGCTCATGATGGATGATGATAAGACTTCTCACTTTGTCACACCAAACTTTCACTAAGCTGCATTTCCATGCTGATTACTACGTGATTAGCACACATTAAATGTGATCAAATACAGACATTTTGTGATAGATTGGGGTATTATAGTGTCACAGAGATGGATGCAGTAAGAGGGGAGAGGCCCCATGCATGCAGATCATCCTCCAGCCCCATGATTCACAGGCCACTGCTGGATGATGCAGTGGAGGATGGTGCATTCAGGAGCTTTGACTGGAGGGGTTTTCAGCCATGATGCAGAGGAGGGAGCGGGCAGAGAGAAAGGGAGAGGAGGAAGGGCAGCTGTCATCTTAGAAAGCCGGGAGGATGCACAGGTGGACGGACCCGCCCGCTTGCCTGCCTGGCTGCCTGTCCGCTCCCTCCTCCCGGCTAGTTCCGAGTATGTCTGAATGACTGACACTATCACTGATAAAGACGATTATTCTCGATTTTAAGGTGATAACACTTTACTCGAGAGATTTTTCCCTCGATATCTCATATTTAAACGACGATGTAGCCGGTTGGCTAACTGCTGCTGCTGCTGCTGCTGCTGCTGCGGTGGTCAACGGTAGACGTTAGCTCCTCTCATCCAGACCGGAGCGGTGTCTTCGTACACTACTGTCTGTGTGTGCGTGTTTCTGCGTGTGTGGAGAGTGCTAGCTACGTACCGTCGCTCCGTTTTATCTCCACGTATATTCCCACGAATATCTTCCCGAAAATACCGGCCATCTCCCCTCCTCGTGCGGCGTTTCCCGTGTAGGTGCGAGCCCGTCCCAAGTTGAGTGCTGCTGCAGAAACTGAGGTCACTAACGGTCAGTCATAGGAGAGGAGGCAGAAGGAGAGGAGAGGAGAAGAGGAGGAGCAGGTGCGCATGCGCGGGTGGTGTCGCCAGTTGGCGGTAAGGAGCATCATATGGTGGAGGAATATCCTTTTACTGTTCAAACATGGATTAACAATAAAAGAAAACACAATTAAGTATTAACATGTCTCACTTTGATTCAGAAGTTGTTCATGAATAAAAAAGTACGACGGAGTAGGGGCGACCAGGGCTTGTTATCACACTTTTTACACTCTTGTAAATTTCTTGCAATCAATACATGATATATAAACAAAACGTGTATCAGATGAAAGACCAAAGTCTCAGGTATATATTTTGTATTCATGTCATTTTCATATCTTGTGTCAGAGCAGAGTTATAAGCAATCAAATAGAGAGTGTAAACATCTGACATGTTGCCCCACCATCGGGTAAGTTGTCTCACCATAGACTGTATACAGTATACTATGGACAACTTGGTTCTGCCTTCCACCAGGATACGGATTTGAAGCTAAAAAGCTCTCAATAATTCTGCGTTTTTTCTCCATTTCCTAAAACCAACATTGTGCAGTAGCGTTGTACGCATTTGGCGGGAGAGTTGCCAAGAGTAGCTGTGATGATGCTCGGCTCAAACAGCGTATCCTCCGGGTGAGCTATGCAAACTTTGTACACCCATAGGCTGTATCAAGTGTCGGTCATAGAAAACATGAACCCCCTTATAACTTTTAAAAACTGAGTTGTATAGAAAAAAGAGGACTTGAGCACAGACCAGTCTTACAGTAACTACATGTCAACATCGCAAGCAGGAGGGAGAAAATTTCATATTCTGTGTCATAAATTTCTTAAGTTTGTCCACAGCTCCATAAGCTTTGCTGGCGGAGGCGGGATTTATGACCTGTACTGCAGCCCGTCAACAGAGGGTGCTGTTCTTGTGGTGAAACATGTGACAACTAACCCCAAAATGTCTGAGACATGTTGCCCCAAACTACCATCTTTGCTAATTCTAGCTCTAGCTTAAAGTTATCTTAAAACAGAACAATGACTGAGGTATGACAGGATGCCTTAATCTCTTCTCTAACAAGTCCACATCTATCACTGCTAGGATTTTTGTCTGGAAGAAGCTTATTTTGAAATATATGAAGTTAATTTTTTTTACTTTGGGTTGTGCAAAATGGTTAATTGGCGCTCATTTCGGCTCACAATGTGCTCTTCTCTTCTCAGACAGGACACCCTGACCATGTCAAGAAAGAAAACTACTATTCCACTTTTTAGTTGCACCCTCTGGTGGCAAACATAATTGCAATGTGACAACTTCTCCATGTGACAACAAGCCCCGGTCTCCCCTAGTGGGGCAGAATTTAAAGGTAACACTTTATGTAAACTTTTTATAATGAGATATTTACACATTTATGAAGCCTTATACATGCATCTATAAAGCTTTATTACAACCTTTAGGAGTGTTTATAGTCATTCATGATCGCAGCAATGTGTTATTCAGCACTCTGTAAACAGCCAGCCATTAATATTTTTTTACACTATCCCTTAAAAAGAAATCTGTTCTCTTTAGTTTTTATTTGTACCCATTTTAATGAACAGGAGAATAGTTGTAACTTCGGTATTCACGAATAGGGATCCCAAATAAATCCATAAATGAATAAAAGTATTGAGTCAGTAGTCATGCGGTAGCATTTTCTGAACTGCTGTAAGAAATACATGGTATTAATTTGATGAAATAAGAAATAACTCCTGTTTACATTGATTTACTCTATGGTTTCACATTTTTAAGGTGCTGACCATAAGAATTAAAATAACAATGAAATTGAACTAAGGAGAAATGCACAGTATTTAATCAAAAATGTTTTTATTTTAATAATTAAGAGTAAATCCAACCCTCAAATCTACTGACACACTAATTAATTGTCTTTCTTAATTTTCCAACCAAATATTCGATTTTGTCATCAGTTGTGAGTACAGATGGGATTGGTTGTGACTTTTCTTTTTGAACACAAGATGGCAGCAAAAGTCTGTTTCAGGATCATCAGCTAGTACAGTGACTCAAATAAATCCAATCATGTGGTTTACTGGGAGTCGGAGACAGTGTTAAATTGTGTTTATTGCCTGTGGCACCCTGTTCCACTTTAGTCGAGCATGAATAAGCAGAAAAATTCTATCCAATTAGGAAGCAATTGCATTGACTAAAGAAAAAAAATCCAATCTGAGATAGGCTAAATATTTCATCAATAAAGAAAAACAGAGGAAGTTTTGACAAGATTTTTTCCTCTGAGTTCCAAAATAATCAACATATTAATTCAGAAAAACAGGGTAGAATTTTTTTATTTACACAGTTATCTCTTATTCTGAGATAATTATCTCATTAATACAGGAATTGAAGGTCGATTTTTTTTCTCAAGAAAAAAAATAAGATTAAAAAAACAGTTTTTTTTACATATTATTATTATTATTATTATTATTATTATTATTTTAGGTTAAGCCATGACATTGTTACTTGAGCGATAATGTCAACTTGAGAGATTGCCACCCAACGGTCAGAAATGTTCATTTGCAGGGAGTATATAAAATTATTTTGTTGTAAGAATTTTTTAGCTTTGGTGTCACTGTTTATGTCAAAGGAAGCCATGAAATACAAAAAGTCATTGCTAAACAATTGAATATTGACACTTTTGTTATGCGTGAAAAAAGGTGAATTCATGATGTTGAAGGCTATGTTGTGCTTATCCAGCAGTTAGGACGCTGACACAGAGGAGGTATTTGCTGGGAAATATGGAGGATTACAAGAAAAACAAAAACATAGATGAAAAGGGGGTTTCTGAGTGAGCTTCATAACCAAGTAAGTCTCATTTGCTGTAAGAATAAGAAAGTGGACCCTGTTCGGTGCTGTTAGCTAATGGCTAACGTTAGCTAAAGCTGCCAGTTAGCTGGAAACTGTCCGCTAAGTATCCAGCCAAACCACGGTCGTTTTTGTGTCATTTTTAGATAGCTTACTTGTGGCCGTGATTGTGTCTGTGTCTGAATTTAGTCTGTCATAAGTTTTATTAGAATTGTGTTCAGACCAAAAAAAAGATCATTTTAAATTTGTTTTATACATCAATTGTGGTATGAATGAGCTACAACATGAGGTCAAAAACCGAGCATAAAAGTCCACCATTTTAGCTTAGAGGACTAATAAAGTCATCATAGTAGTTCTGGGGTCACTGAGAAAGTAAAGTAGTCTGATGAGAGGATCAGAGTTCAACTTACCCCACTCCTATGGTCAACTTACCCCATACACAGGGTAAGTTGACCCCCTTTTTGCATTCTATATTATCAAGACAGTTATGTTTACACTCATTCTGTTGGTTTGCAGGGATGCACGACATCTTGAAATATATGCAGATACACTAGTTAGAGACAAAACTATGATTGCCTTGATGTAGTGATCCAAAATATGAAAAATGGCTCATCTTACCCCACTCTCCCCTATACTGTGTGAGAAAATGGCTGAGATTTACTTCAAAATACAACCAGACTCATTTAAAATGTCATTTTTTCTTGGCATTTCAAGTCAAAGCTCTTTATATCACAACTGGAGACAGCAGAGGATGAATACTTAAAATTCATGGGGGGAGCTGGGATTATTGAGATACACCTATATTGGCTCATCTAAATATTTATCAGACACCATCTCATAGAGCCCCTCCTCCCCAAAGAGCCTCCAAAAGTGGACCCGAGCTGAATCCATCACTTCCCCATGTGCACAAACCAACTGAGATGACTGAATTCTCAACTTATTCACACTTCTCCCTCTTTCACTTCTTTGTTCAACACACACACACACACACACACACACACACACACACACACACACACACACACACACACACACACACACACACACACACACACACACACACATGACTACAAACAAAAACACTGCCACATCCCCTTGTTACCCATCAGTCCATCCGGTCCCTGAGGTGTCGGCCATCACTGTCTCTCGTAGGCGTTTCCCCAGCAACCACAGCCTCTCCTGTCAGACTACAGAGAGGGCTTTTTTCTGTTTGCTTTGGAGGATTAATGACTGTATTGTGCTGGTGTAGGTGTGTGATAGATAATATGATGAAAACATTACACAATGGATTACACTCTGTGTGCTTCTATAAAAGGATGCAAAGTCTTTTCATTTCACCATCACAGGAAACATGCTCCTGGGTTAATTTGGTAGCAAATACAGACTGAATCCAGACCAGCTTTTCATGCATGCATATTTCTGGGGATCATTCGCATTATTTTACATACCAATATTCCATGTAGAGCAGCTACTGCAAGGGATCTATTTTGCAATCATGGATAATTCATGATCTGCACAGACAGGGCATATGAAAATCCTTTGAAGGCGGTGTGGGACTGGGGGAAATTCCCCTTTCTTCTACTTTGCCTTCACTTTGTAAAGGCTCTGCTTCTTCTGTTTCAGCGCCTCTGAATTCACACAGTGAGGTAATGGTGTTTTCTATCAGGCAGGATGACTCACCTGTAGTGTAGGAGCTAATAACGGCTTCCTGCATTACATTTCCATCCCTCTGCTGCAGTTTGACTCAGATCTGTGATGGCATGTTAAGTGTTGAAGGCTATAGAAAATCTTTAAGAGGAAGAATCAGAGCTGCTGATGTCTGACATACTGACAAATGAGTGTTTCACACCTGCCTGACTTTAGCTGTCTGTCGGAGTAGTGGAAATGTGTCACCTGTGATCAGCATATTCAAACACTGAAGAGGTTCAGTCATTTTCAAATGCGACATAATAAATGATTTTCTTTGGTGGCAGTCTGACCACATTAAACACTTGTTTTTGAAGTGTTTAATGTGTTTTATTGTTATGGTCTGTTTTTTGTTTCTCCATTCCGAACTAGCCTAGAACAGTCAATGGCTATAACCAAACGTGTTATTTATTTATTTATTTATTCATTTTGAATCTTTTTTAATGATTTTTTTGAACAATAATACATATAAACAATCAGTAGTACACTGTAAAAAAGAGCGAGTGTAAAATGAGATATCAAGTGCCTATAATAACCCCTCTTCCCCCTCATCCCCTAACCATCCCACCCCACCCCGCCCCACAACATCACAAAGACAAGAAATAAGGATACACATACAAATATACAAATAAAGTAAATTAATAGATGACATTAAAAAAAAGACAAATATATATATATATATATATATATATATATATTTATACACACACACATTCACATAAATAAAAAAAATAAATGAAATAAAACAAATAATCAATTAAAAATGAATAATTAAATGAAAAGAGAATATCTCAAGTAGCAGTACTGTCATCTTCAGATACTAGGTCGAGGTTATTTGCATAGTCTACAAAAGGTTTCCAAGTTTTGTTAAAAGTTGCAAGGGACCCCTTTAATGAGTACCACATCTTTACGAGTTTCAGACAGCTTAAAATCTCCTGTATTCATTTATTATGTGTTGGAGGAGAGGCATGTTTCCACTTCAGAAGAATGGCACGTCTGGCCTGAAGTGTTGTACAGGCAATGGCACGTTGGATATTTGAGGGAGTGTTGGGGTTCTGGGGCAGACCAAAAAGTGCTGTCAGTGGGTCTGAGTTAATAGGTATATGATAGATGCGTTGTTTTTAAGTATTTGTCTTATTATATCTCAGCGTATAACTGTTTACTTATTTTCAATTTGAGCTATTAGTGGAAGTGTTTTGAGTCCCATGAAACTGTATACCAGAAAGCCTAAAAACAAACTGTATTGAGTAAACCACTGTACTAATAACAAGTGACTGTACCAAACTCAGTCAGAAGAGAGCAGTACAAATGAACAATAGTTGATTTTTCTAATTGGCTGTACGTGTTAAAGTGCTATGGTTGCGTGTAGCTGCTGCCTGCTACTACACAGTTGTTTGCTACTTGGTTCTTATTCAGCACAACTTGTTCAGCGCAAAGCAGACCTGCAGCAATTCCCCTTTTCATTGGCTATTCATATAGTCTACCAAAACATGGCAGAGTGAGGACTATCAAAAAGCATATTGGCCATGTTTTAGATTGATATTGAGGGAAATTAATTTTCAATATATATCATTATCGTTTTATCGCCCAGCCCTAATTGAAGCTTAATAACTCAAAGTTAATTTTGAGTTTCCACAGTGTCAGAGTATTTTCACTGTGTCGTACTTGTACATTTACCAAAGAAAAGGCTCTGATTGCCTCCTGAGCAGGCCTGCTGTGTCAGCGGTCAGCTCATTGTTGACTCCAGTCTGACCCTTTCCAGCACGTTTCATCCACACTATGTGCGCCGTAATGACTGCAATTCCACTGCTAATTAATAATCACTGTCAAATCCGAAAAAGGCGGTCTGAGGGGTTGGAGAGGACAAAGGAGGCAATTGAATTACCGTCCATTTTACTGATTTCATTTCCACGGTGGAGGCCTCGTGGAGGTAATGGTTTCTGGCAACGATGTGGCCCTTAGTCCTGTTCACTGGAGCTGCAACATCCCCCAGGGTTTCATTGGCAGTTAGAGCTATTGTTTCTCCTCCCTTGATTTCGTTTAATGGAAAAAAAGTAATGCTTGTCGTTAACCTCGCGTACTGTTCTTTTATGCATAAAAATAATCCAGGCTGTTTGACTGGGCTAAACAGTGTCCTTGTGCAACCAAGAGGGTCAATCAGATGTGAAATGAGATAATTAAGAATTCATATACAAGAAATGGGTCTTTATTTAGGCTACAAGTACAGAGATGCTGCAGGACATTACAGTGGAAATCAGGGAACAGGCCAGAGACCTTTAATTAGAAGGGCAGGAGGGGGGGGGGGGGACGAAGGGCAGGAGGGGGAGGAAGCTGCTGCAGTATTTAAGGGTGAGAGGCGTGGGAGACTCCTCCAGGGAGGGGGCGCTTTACTTTGAAGTCTGTGTTGGGACCCTGTGCAGCACAAAATCCACCCCAATCCTCCGTCTATCAGGCTTTCATTACAGCCGTGTTTGCTCATTATATTTTCATGGGCTGATCCCAGACGCCTGAGTGAAATCTTTGAGCCCAGGAGAGACAAACTCCAGGGGAATAGAGAATGAGGCAGAGACGGAGCTCCAGGTCGGCTGTCGACACCCATTCATGTGTCTGACATCAAAACTGCTGCTCTGAATCAAGTCGAATCTTTGACAAGTTATTATGATTCTTTGATTGACAGGTCACAGTGAGCTAGTTTGTGCCGTGCTAGATTCACTATTCAGTCTGTTTTCTTTAAGGACCTTTAGATTCTCTTTATTTCCATGTAAGACATATCTTTTATTCGGTCAAAGCCCTACCCTCAGATCATGTCAAGTAAATAACAAAAAACAACATTTTTTAATGACTTCCTTGTCCTTTAATTTGTTTCCTTTGATATGGAATAAGGTCACTTTGTGTATGTGTAGGATAATGAGGTACAAAAATGTCAAAACATGGAGGATCTTCTTGGTAATGCACAGTCACCAACATTAGTACTATTGCTTTTAAAGAAGTCCTTTTGAACTTTTGATCAACTTTTTTTTTTTTTTAAACATACTTTTAGACATTTTTTGTCTCATTAGGTAGGAAAACTGAAGAGAGACAGGGAATGTAGGGAGTAGAGAGTGGGGGAAGACATGCAGCAAAGAGTCATGGCCAGAAACTGAACCAGCAACCGCTGCAACACATACCATAGCCAAGGACCAAGGCCATTGGCACCCCTATATGTCACTTGTTGATAATAAGTTTATGACAGTAGAACCTTAAAGAGATATTCCAGAGTAAAATTAATTTAGGGTCAAACACACCGTAACACCGAGTTAGACACCCCCTCAAGAGATGAATGTTGCTGACCGCTTGCTTCTCTAGTTATACCAACTTTAGTAACGACCACAGGATAGCAATACACAGCGGTCTGAGGAGCCATAAACAAACCTCAACCAAAACGCCACTCTATAGCCACAAATAATGCTCAGAACAGCACCGAACTTCATCAACAGTACATATAGGGTCCCAGCCATAGTACTAGCCACCAAACATCTTTTTAACTTTGCCTGATTTCTTAAGCAAAGAGACCAAACACAACTCACCTACTCTCTTCCAGCAGCTGCTTGTTTGTAGGGAGACCTCAGGCCAGTCCATTACGGACTACAGTGGGGTGACGCAGCTCAAGGAAGAACATTTATGATAATTTCTTCATGGAAATACAATCAGACCGAGACGCTAAGGCAGAAGAACTACCGCGTCTGCAGTGTAAAATGATTAATATGGTGATTATTACTTCAAGGAAATGATAAAGAAATGATCCACAAATGTGCAGAAGTGCTAGCAACTGTCAGGATAACAAGTGTGAGACATTATTCTGAATCATAATAAAATACAAGCCCAAGTCTTGATGTTATAAAGGAAATAATATTTGAGTTTTAAAAAGGTCTTAAACTGTGTCAATACATGTGATGCAATTTTAAATCATGGGTCCTAGTTCTCAAAAATCGCGATTGTCACGATCCGGAGTCAAACAAACAGAAAAAGGACCCAATTGCAGGAAAAAAAGTGGTTTAAAGAAAAAATAACTAAATAAAAAGCAACAAAAACGTACGTCTAAATGTCCAACTCAAAAATCCAAAATCTAAAAACCAAGAAAAATCACAAGGGGAAAAAAACACAAGGAGATACTAGAGTTACACAGAGGCATGGACATCCACAGGAAGACAAGGACTTTAGATACACAGGAAAACGAGCAACAAGAGGCAGGTGAGACACTTAGACAGGTGCAGACAATCACAGAGGAGGGAAACTGAGGTAGTAAAACAAGACTAGAAGCACAGGGAATAAACTTTTACAAAATAAAACAGGAAACACTGAAAACTGATAATGAATAAAACACTGAGAACAAGAGGGAACTGGGGTCAGACAGAAACTGAAAACTCATAAGACAGGACTAAAGGGGAACAGGAACAACAGGGCACAGAAACACTAGGAAAAATCACAAAGAAAATACACTCAAATGACCAAAACCAGGGGAAACTGAAAACCAGAACATATCACATGACACGAGATATCAATATCAATCAAATCAACTGTGATTATGAAACAGGGAAGACATGCAACCACATGCACAGAGTGGAATCAAATCCAAGCTGCCTGCTAATGTGGACCACAGCCAGGCCACTAACCTATTGGTACCCGTGATTATGATATTTTCTATTATCCAGCAGCCCTAACCTCAATCAAAATGCCCATCTTAGTTTAAGTGTACATTCCATAGGGAATCTTTTCAGCAATCAGAAACCCTTTTTTTTGCTTCAATTCTTGTATGTTTTATCTATGTGATCTAGCTCTGTGATGAGATGCATTAGAGGAGTGTTGCACAGAAACCAAATCCGTCTCTCTCTTCCTAACCAACAACCAGCCAAGCAGCTGTCTATAAGCTGGGCTAAACGTGCTGCAGTCTCCGGTCATCTCTGAACTCTTATCGTTTTTACTTTTCAGACGTGTCAGTGTGGCTAAAATTGATGTCTTGTCAGATGATGTTCTGGCTGTTTAAAACATGATTCCATCGATTCCTTTCTGCCAGCGCGTCTATTATCCGCCGCTCATGTACACCTCATGTGCGTGCCCTTCCTGTTGTACTTGCTTGTCACTTATTTCAATATGGCTGTTTCATAGGGAGATGATAAAGCCATTATCTAGCCTATTCAAAAGCTGTCACACGCCGGCGCCGGCTGGGAAACAATTAATTTTCTCCAGTGACAATGCCTCTGCCGCTCCTTGAGTTGAGATTACATTTCTTTGTCAATCTGAATTTGAAAATGTATATTTCACAAACGGCTGTGCGATGTTCATTTGGCGCACATGTAGCTTTGCTCTCAATCCATTTGATTCCCCTCAGTGGGGCCCCCGAGCTGTCAGCGCCAGAGTCAGTGGGATGCTGTGGATGGTGACAAACTGCAGAGGATGACAGATGAAAGATGACGGCGAGCGATTGTGCTGTGCTGCTGGCAGGCAGGGATTCACCTTTATGTGAGCACTGAATCATATTTTACATACATTTAAAAGAGCGTGCACGTCACTTTACTGCCTTTTAAGGCCACAGCACAGCGACTTAGTCTACTTATTTGAGACTTGAACGACATAAAATTGCAAATTCTATTAAATCTAAACATAAACAGTCCATAGAAGAATATTTCCCCTTTTTCTATCGTAACAGATAGTCCGTACATCATTACAATCAGAGGGATCTTAAATCTAGTTTATCTTAAAGGGATAGTCCGGACTACGGACTACAGCGGGGTGACGCAGCTCAAGGAAGAACATTTTTCATTTCCATGATTATTTCTTCATGGAAATGCAATCAGACCGAAAATGATTAATATGGTGATTATTAATTCAAGGAAATGATAAAGAAATGATCATAAGTGTTCTTCCTTGTCACCCGGCTGTAGTCCTTAATGGACTGGCCTGAGGTCTCGCTACAAACAACCGGCTGCTGGAAGAGAGTAGGTGAGTTGTGTTTAGTCTCTTTGCTTAAGAAATCAGGCAAAGTTAAAAAGATGTTTGGTGGCTAGTGCTGTGGCTGGGACCCTATATGTACTGTTGATGAAGTTAGGTGCTGTTCTGAGCGTTATTTGTGGCTATAGAGTGGTGTTTTGGTTGAGGTTTGTTTATGGCTCCTCAGACAGCTGTGTACTGCTATCCTGCGGTCGTTACTAAAGTTGGTATAACTAGAGAAGCAAGCAGTCGGCAACATTCATCTCTTGAGGGGGTGTCTAACTCGGTGTTACGGTGTGTTTGACCCTAAATTAATTTTACACAGGAATATCCCTTCAATATTTTATCATTTTAACACAGAGGGTTAATAACAAAAAGGCAGAGGATGAACTTCTCCACTTTCTAAAATTTCTTGGAGAGGAACAACACTCAAACCCTCTGAGTCTGTACATGGACAGAGCTGGTGGGGAGAAAACATTTTTCATCATTAAAAATGTATGGTGTATTCAGCACAAAATATGTCACCACTATCTTACTCCACACTGCTTTCCATGATCTGCTTTTTATGAAAAATGTATGTGTTGTTGTGCTTGAGAGCTCATGCGCAGCCAGACTTCAGTTCGATTAGGGGAGAAATCAAAGCTTGGATCCTCAGTGAGAAATAATTCATCTGCACTGAGACGCATTTAGATTCCCAAAAAAGTAACATGACATCGGATAAAGTGGAGGATCCCTCTCCTCCCACAGCGTGAGGATACAGACAACAGAAATACAATAAATCTGCAGACTGTGTGCAGACTGGTCCTGAAAATACAACAATAAATCATTAATTACCCCACATGGCTGAGGGATTCAAGTTCTTAAAGAGCGGTGTAAAGTAAAAACACCTCTTTTAGTGTGATTGATGGATTTCACTTTGGACTGAGATGCATCTTAATGCCTCTACTGTCCATATTTCCTTGAGAAGACTCAGATTTATAGCAGAAAACCTGCTGAAGGCCTCACCCCCCTCCTCTCAAACAACTATTAATCACCTACACCTGGATTAGAGGTGCATAAATTGCCATAATTAATAACCATAAACCCCCCAGGGATTTTATGCATATTATCTCCTTGGTGGAAATCTGAGCATAGATGCGCTGAACTAGCCTCTAATAAACAGTCAAACTTTGGTGCTATTTTCTCCTTGAGATAACTTGAAATGATCTATTGTATGCAGAACTTATAGGTGACTATCTGATGAGGAAGGTGAAGACACCTTCCTCTTGTCTGTGTTTTGCTGTATTTACAGATTAACACCTGTAGGGGGTACTGCACACCTCTGAACGTGCACGACCTGTGCCGAGTGTTTTTAAAAGGCTCCAGTGATCACAGGAATGAGACTGTTAAATAGAAGAGTAAGAAAATTAAGACAATAGACCCGACAGAATGAGGCCCTCTGTGTTGTCATTTTTAGTATTTACACACACACAGTCCTCATATTTCAGAGTTCTCAGTGATCACTTCAGTTTCCCAAAATACAGCCGTTTGATTTTGTCATTTAATCTTCCCTTTAGTCATTGTCTCTCAAAACAACCAGAGTTACTGTCTCATTGTTTTGTGCATCTACAGACAGACAGGCAGTCAGCAGCTGTGGAACTTCACTCAGACTCAGATTACAGCAAGGATCCATGTGCACTCGTGCTTGTCCAGTGAAGCTGATCCTGCAAATAAACAAATAAATAGAGAGACACTGAGAGCTGAAAACTGTGAAGACACACAGTTCTCAACTGGCTTTTCTGGTTTCCTGATCCAGCTTCTGAAAGTCGAAGAAAGTGGGCAAAACAGTGACATTCAGTGACAGCAGGGACTTCTGGAGTTTTTACGACAGGCCATCTTTCAGTTCTGTATTCCTGTTGTAATAGCAGGTCTGGGCTAACATTTGATGCTGCTTTAGTGAACATGAAACACTGCTTTAACTGGAGCATAACCCCAATTTTCACCGCATCCGGAATGGCTCTGATCTGGAACAGCAGCGTTTTTTGCCGTCTGCCAATTCCTACCAGATCTGTTTGTGAGGCAAATTTCGAGTTGGATTACGGACAGTAGGAATCGTGAGAACTCACAAAAACCTGGGGATTCACGTGCAATAACAAGTTGTCTCTAGCCACAGAGGCTTACCATATAAGCAGTAGATTGTGTCCTTTCAGAGGAGGAAATCTACTTCTAGACTTCAAAAATCAGCATCCTCTTATCCATGGTGTCATCGGGGTGAAATGACGTCTAAAAACCTTTCACTTGTTCATCCCTGCCTGTTTGCATGGTGTAAAATACTATCTGTCTGAAACAGTGTTTTATTTTGTGTCTGTGCTCGACTTCCTTTCCAGCACGGGTTAATCTGTGCTGAATTTATCCGGCATGCTACAGCATCCGGAAAAATAGAACTCTTGCGATCAGCGGCTGAATGGAAAGAAGCTGATGGAAATTGACACATTAACTTAAATGGTTACGATCAGTGACAAAAGGTGGATGCGGCCTTTTTGTAGCCGTTCCAGATGTGGTGGACATTGGGGGTAATAGCGGTACTGGTACCTGAATTTATCTGCATACTAGGGCTGGGCGATTCGGCCTCAAATCAATATCACGATATATTGATCAGTTGACCTCGATAACTATATATGGAAGATAACTACTCCACAAGCTGCTCCTCCCTCCCACATTAACTACGTCTACTTCAGCCGCTACTCAAGCTGCTACAACTTTTGAACCGTCCTCCATCTCCTCACCTGTCTTTCCTTCTTTGTTACAGACTGGATTGGGTGGAGTCACGTCTCTGATGTAAGACAGCATCTTAAAGGGACATGAGACCATAGCCTACCTACACACATCCAAAACCTACTTTTTTTAAATTTACTTTTCTGACACTGAATATACCGATATGGGCAAAGTGACGTTGGTTATTGTCGTAAATTTCGGTATCGGTAGATTTTCGGTTTATCGCCCAGCCCTATTGCACACCATGTGTTGGATGCAAAAGGGCTTTTATGTATGATCTTGGTTATGGAGACTCAGAGTAGATGACAGTGAGGACTATTGGGTGTTGAACACTAGAAGCTCACACATGCTCTTTTATGCGTAGAGAGTAAACTTTTGTGCCACATTATTTCCCCTGTGTTCTCAGAAAGGCTTTAAGAAACGGGTTTACAGTTGTATTCCAGCTTTGTGTCGTTTTCCTCTCTGGCCTGTAAATATATTCATGCTGTGGCCCCCTGTCTCCTCCTCAGACAATCATTTGGTCTTCTGGCAGCTTTGGCAGCAATCACTGGAATGACCCGGCCTAATGTAGCGAGGAGATCAGTAGACCAGGGTAAAAATCATCCCTCACTCACACTCCATCACACACACTCATGCACATGCAGCAGAAACATCTGCCACAGGCTGAACAAAGGAGCGGAGAGTCTAAACTGGATCATCACACAGAGCCGATACCAGCGTGTTTGTTCACAGCCCAGCAGATTTCTCCAAATGTTGGTGTTATTTTGTCTCTCTCCTCTCTCCTGGGTTAGTATACAGGGTCTACTCTTGCTTTCACCCCTCTGAAGCAGCTTTGATCTAATGCTAGGTGACTGATGCTGTGAAAAGAGCCCGAGGCCGTGTTCTTGTAAGCATTAAAATGTGTGTTTCATCATGACAGAGGTCTCCCAGATGAATATCGCAGGGAAGAAGTGGGAAGGCAGTATCGTCAGGGGTTAAAAAAAGTCATCTTTGTAAGGGGTGGGAAAATGTTGCTTCTGTTTTGTATGGTAGCCCTGAGAGCTCAATCAACTGCAACTTCATAAAAAGAGAAGAATAAAGACAGAAAGTGCCTCCAAATTTACCGATACCATAATTTACGACAATAGCCAACGTCATTTTGCCCATATCAGCATATTCAGAGTCAAACAAATAAATAAATAAAAGTTGGTTTTGGATGTGTGTAGGTAGACTGAGGTCTCATGTCCTATGTCAGAGACGTGACTCCACCCCATCCAGTCCGTAACAAAGAGGGAAAGACAGGTGAGGAGATGGAGGACGGTTCAAAAGTTCTAAAGTAGACAAAGTTAATGTGGGAGGGGGTGAGCAGCTTGTGGAGTAGTTATTGTCCATTTATCCTTATCAAGGTGAACTGATCAACATATCAAGATATTGATTTGGGGCCGTATCGCCCTGCCCTAAGCACAAACAAGCTCACCAAGTGTTCTGTGTCTCGTGCTGGTTGCCAGGTTTTTCTTAGACAGCACTTAAGGAGTTATTGATCATCAAATGATTAACCTCTTTAGTATGAACACATGGTTGGCAGGGCTTGGAAAAGTGTGACCTCTCGAATTTAATCTGTGCAATCTGAAAATATATTAGGGAGCAATTTTGCAAATAGTTGTTGAAGTTCAAACATTTTGGACATTCACTTATACGGTGACTGATAGTTGACGCCTGTCATCGGGTGCAGTAGTATGCTCCATTGTGAAAATAGCACGATGCACTGTTTACTGTAAAGCCTGTGAGATGGAGGTTGTTGGGAACACTGTGCTTGTCTTGAATCTGCGCATTTGAGGCACAAGAACTTCACTAAATACAGAGAGAAGGACAATTTCAGGCCCAACTTGAGCTCATTTTCCAGAGTTGGTCTTTTAAAAAACCTAGAAACTCCTAAAACTAACACGTTAGAAGGCCCGTTTCTGAATTTGTTGTGATTGTTTCGACAGTCTGAATTGACTTAAAACAGCTGAATGTGTCCATTTTTTGTAAAACTGGGTTATTTAGGGAGCTGCCCTCTGGTCACACTTGTAATATGTTCTGTAATATATGTTTTATCTGAGTACCTGCATCAGGACTGTAGATGAAGAAGAGTCTGAAGGTGAACAATGTCAAATCTAAGATAAGATAAACGTAACTCATCTTTGTTTGCAGAGTGTAGATAATATTAGGAGAACCATCTGTTAGTGCTCCTTGCAGGTTAAACACCCACAGGTATGTGTTGGTTACTCATGGCTCAGATTGAGTGGTTATGTATCAGTTCTGGGGGTATCTCGATATGATTTTGATATTGGATATTGGGCCGATATCAGCAAAAATCGAATATCTGATTATATCAGCCTGCATCTAAAATCTCCGATATAAGCACTCTTGATACAAGCAGTCCATTCCAGACTCCGCTTCAGCACCTCAATCTAGCAGCACCCGGATCCATCATGTAGATCCCATGTGATCACAACAACAGTGTGTACGAGGGTACAGACAAAGTAGAGAGGAGTAGGAGTGATATCGGCTGTGTGGCAGTATTTTTCATTTAAGTCCGAAAAAAACGTTGCAGCTGAGTGCAAAACATATCATGCAAAAGTTTGTGCCGGTATTGGATCAATATCGGTATCAGCCAATACTGAAAGCTACAATATCAGTATCGTATCCAAGATAAAATAGTTGTATCGGGACACCCCTAGTCATTTCAACCAAATATGACCATCGGCCTTTTTCTCTATTTTCTCTTCAAAATACAACAAACCATCACACACAATGAGAGGTCACCTGTGCGTTAAAGAAGCATCTTTTTTTGTGGTGTATATAAAGAAACTTTTAATATCAGTCAAGAGCTATTAGTCATTGATGACATTTGGTAATATAACGATATCGCTGTGTTTTGTTATGTCTGTGTAGTCAACATTTAAAATTTTTTGAGCGGCCCACTCTTTCTGACTGTAAACAAAGCCATTCTCCACCTCCCCCATCCTGCTTGGTTGTGAGGCGGACGCTGCTCCCCCGTGTCGTTCAGGGGCCCAAACAAAGTCACCGTACCACAATATCAGACAGTAGAAACCAACCAGAAAGTACAGAAAATTGTCTGAATCCTCCTTTAGCCATGACTGCCAACACAAGCAAGAAAATGAAGTAAATACTGGAGACTCTGGCGGAATGACGGGCGCTTAAAACGGAGGTAGACCGGACAAGAGCTAAAAAAGCCGGGTCAACAATGATGGGGGACACTTCGGGATCTTAAAGACCCTGTAATCTTTCTGCTGGACAGGTAAACCGCTTTAACAAAGTAAGCCAAGGGTCTGTAACAGAAGTGTTTCTTGTCAGACGGGACCTGCTGCGTGTTGTAGCACCACTAAACTGTTGACCTCTGGTCCTGGACTATGTCACTTTATCCTAGTTATAGAAGTCCTGCAAACATTGTGTTTGCTGGTAGTCTGTTGACATCTACAGTAGCACCAATGCTTTTTACTTTAACGCTGACTGGGCCCCATTTGAAATTATCTGAAGTATTTATCTGCATTATATCTGAATTTGATTGAAACAATATGAGCGAGCAGGAGCATCTGTTTGTAGGCGGGGCTTGCTGGAGCAGAGAGGGAGGGGAGAGGAGGAGCTGAGGGGAAAACTGGTTGGGAGGAGTAGAGTTTACATTCAAGATTTCTCCCAAAAACTGGAACTTCCTCAGATCCTGACTACACCACCTTTAACATATGACGACATTTCAGGCCTACAATAATACAATATTGATAGTCAATTAACTGATAATAATGGTTCTAAGCTGTATGAGTGATGACCTTTAATCATTTAGTTGACCACACTCTTAGTGAGTTTGTTGGATGTACGCAGAGTGTTCCTGAATCGTGATTTCTTTGTTTTGTTGAAATGGAACAATCATAAAAGGATTTATTGTTATTTTACCTTTAAGTTCAACCCTTTTTGAGGCTTTACAATATTGAATTCAAGGATCAAAAGTTCTTTACACAATTCATATCATTGACATTTTGTGTGCTCACGGGTTGCACATTGTGCCCCTGCAGAGAAAGCAATCGATGGCCTCAGCATTTCTCTGTGGACCCACAATCCTCTGCTGCTTGGGGGAGAGTGTTTGCCACACGGCAGCGTCCTGTTCCTATGCCGCCCCTGGGATCACTGTGCACACAACTCTAAGGACCCGTGCAAGGTGAAAAGGTGGTGGAGATGCTGCTTACTCATCTATTCTGCTCACGCTCAGACCAAGAAGGCCGACAGACGAGGAGGGAGGGGGGGCACCTCCTTCACAGCCAAACCCCCAAATGTCATGGAGGGGGCGGCACATTATCGCCATGGAAACCAGCCTCAGTGATGTTTGACTTTTATCAGAAGCAAGGCTCAGATTGCTCTCACCTGCTTTCTGTTCCCCTGGTGTCTGGATTGTTGTTCATTGTTACTCAGCTCCTTCGTTTGCTTCGTTCACAGTTTGGGTGGAGAGCTCACGGTTGGAAAAGATTCTGCTTCAGAACTAGGAGTGGGCAGTGTGAGTTAAAAAATTTATCGGCATTAGAAAATATTAAAGGATTACACATGATAAAACATGTTCACTTGTATCAGCCCCCTAAAACTAGCCTGTGATTTACAGACTCAACTCATGTCTCTGCCTGAGAGTATAGAGAGGTGGTTTCTCGAATTACTGTGTGTTCAGACCATAGACTGTATATAGAATGGACAGCATCTGCCTCCTCACTGGGTGAAGCCACTCCGAGAATAGCACCCCCTGGTGACGGGCTGCAGTATAGGTCATAAATCCCGCCTCCTCCAGCAATCCCTATGGAGCTGTGGACAAACTTTAGAAATTAATTACACAGAATATAAATTTTTCTCACCCCTGCTTGCGATGTTGACATGTAGTTATTGTCAGATTGGTTTGTGCTCAAGTCCTCTTTTTTCTGTGAAGCTCCATTTTAAAAGTTATTAGCGGTTCATGTTTTCTATGATTGACACCTGATACAGCCTATGGGCGTATGAAGATTGCGTAGCTCACCCGGGGGGTATACTGTTTCAGTCGAGCGTCATCACATCATCTCGGCGAATGCGCACAATGCTACTTCCAAGTGGTGAAGTGCGTACAACGGTACTGCGCAATGTTTGTTTCATGAAATGGAGGAAAAATGAGAATGAGAGCTTTTCGGCTTCAAATCCATATACTGGTGAAGGGGGGAACCAAGTTGTCCATAGTATATACAGTCTATGGTTCAGACAATTAAATAAAGTAGTTTCCACATGAGTCTCTGAGTTCCGGATTTGCATTTCCCTGTTTGTATTGTGCAAAGTTATAGCTGAAAACTTGCTATTAGCTTAGGTGGCTGATTTCAGGATAAAAATGTTTATTTTTCCGTTATGTTTTTGCTCTATCCCAGCTACAGAAATCCAGAGCCCACTGCAGCAAATAAGCAAAGCTTTTTTTTTTTTTTAACCAGCCAATAGAGCATGACGCACCAGTCAGCACAGGACAAAAGAATTGAAGTCACACAACAAGGCAACATCACCATATTGTCTTTCACTTTACTACACTAAAAGCCAGACTTGTTGACTCAAGTTTTCAGAGCTCATTCTGGAGGTGAAAAACCATTGCAGGATATACTCAGTGTTATGACTGCAGATATCTTGTGCACCTAGGATGCAGCTTGTGGGAGTTGACGAATGAGGGAACACTGAACCAAACTGGATTGCAAAGGAGACCAACAGAACATGGATTTGATGGAATTCTAGCATTTGGCTCTGGCGGGTTCACTAACCCACTGAATCTCTTGTTGTCAACCACAAAAAATGTCTCTTTACTCAGAGACACATGTTGTGATATCTTGAGCTCTCACACTGTTGTTAGAAAGTGGGGCTTCCTTCAGAGTCTTACGATCTGGACGGATTTTTCTCTCTCATCCTCTCAGACCTTCCCAAAGTGTGGATTTGCCAAGTTGCGTCTTAAATTACCCTCAATCGCTGTTGACAGTCTAAAAGTGTCTGCATACTGTTTTTTTTGTTTGCTTGAGACCTTTTCTCCTTTGACATTTCTTGACACGGAGAATTTTGTAAGTCCCAGTACAGTTTTTGAATATCCACTGGCTTAACAAGCCCTAAAATTTTAGCCAGCTCTCCCAGAGGCTGCATCCTTTTCAGGTGATAACCAAAATGCTCTCAAATAGGAGGAAAGAGGATTCGATCTCCATGTTTATTTATTTCCTTTCCCACATGAAGATCCTCATTGACTTCATGTTTGCTGGAAGTTTGTCTCTGCACTGAATAATCTGCTCTGAACATGTGGAAATACAGCGTAATCAGATTTCTTATTAAATCACATCATTCTGTCTGTTTCACATTTCCCACAACAGTCTCAGATACACAAAACAATACACCTGAGTCATGAACAACATCCAGATTACTGTATCTAATACTGCGCAGGCCCTACTGCCTGCAATATGAACCCCCCTGTCTAGACACACATTACCCGCCTGCACCTAAAACACAGGAATCAATACCATCGCAGGGAGTCATAATGGCCCAATTACTGTTTGTAGGTTTGTCAATGCCACGTCTCTGAGGACGCCTGCAAAAGGCCACACCAACATACTAACTGCAGGAGTAATGCCATACATTTGTAATGTGAGTGTGGGTGTGTGGGTGTGTGTGCGGGTGTGTGTGTGCTGGCTTGTATACTCTAGCCTGCTCTGCTGTGACATTTAAGAGAAAAAGGTGACCGAGCTGCTGTGTTCAGACTTGTGTTTATATATTGGCGGAGAGTTAATAGCAAAATCCTGAGCTGCTCCATTTGGTGCATTTTAATGTCTGATCAAATCAAGACAAAGCACTGTATCGTCAGCAAGGAGTGTGAACTGGGTAACCATAATCCCTGCTGATGGGTTTTCTTTTAAGATTTACAGAAAGTTACCTCAAAAAACAAGGTAAATTATATACTGCAGACCCCTCGAAGGTTGATGCTACAATATTGTTACAGTATTAGCATGAGACCAAACAAAGAAAATGGGAAAAACCACAAATTGCCACCATGGGATCGGAGGCATAGTGGGATTTTGAAGACATCTTCTTGTTGAGTTGTTTGGTACCAGAATACAAGTTCCAGTCTCTCTGCTGTATACTGTGTGTTTTAACGAGTGCTCTCTTAATCAGTCAGTTTTGAAAGTTGTCTTGTTCGTAAGTCAGGCCATTGTGTCATTTTACTGTGTCAATTCATTGTGCTTTGTACGATTGTCATAGTTATGTAAAATGTAAATGTAAATGCTCTTTGTTTATACAGCCCTTTTCAACAACCCTTTCGGTGAACCAAAGTGCTTTCCAACACAGTAAAAATTAATAAATAAAAACAATAAAAGGAATAAAAACAATAAAAGCAATAAAAAAAGATTAAAATACAATGCAATAAAATAAAGTGTCACGACGCTACTGGGTATTAAAAGCCAGCAAAAATAAGTACGTTTTCAATCGGGATTTGAAAAGGCCCAGGTCAGAAATAAGTCTCATTTTGGTGGGGAGCTTATTCCAGGCTCGGTGACCCCAGTGCTTGCATTTTAACCTGGGCTACTCCAGCAAAAGTTGATTTGACGACCTCAGAGCCCTACCCCGCTCCCCAACTGTTAAAAGCTCAGTCAAATAGATGGGGGTGAGGCCGTTAAGAGCTTTCAAAACAAACAGAAGTAGTAGTTATCAACTGCAAAGCCAAATTATCAACTACAAAGCTAACAGTTATCCAGGAAGCTAGGTTGACGGGTCGGCAAGTCAGCTGAAGTATGTCTTTAACTTATTCTTGTTCTCGGTTTCTAGTCGGTAAGTGACCTCACATGTCCAGAGACTTGATAGCTTAGCCTGGCTACTGTGTCTGAGCGACTGTTCTGCCTCCAGCTGGGCCCCGCCCACTTAAACGTGTCAGAATATTTATCAGTACTGAAAGGGTCTAACCATTAGTTTGCTTTTTTGTCATTCTAGCCCTCGATATTATTCTGTATTGTTTTTTCAATTGTGGCCATAACAGGGCTAGACAGTGCCACCATTTCACTCGAATTTGCAACTAAAAATAGATGTGAACGAATTGTAAAATATATTTAGGGGCACATGTGCGCATAAAAAAAAAATCATCCAAGGCAACAAATGTTTTTTCATGTAAATACCACGGTAAGGTTAGTTTTAGGTTGGCTATCAGATCAACATTCTCTGCAGATCTACCGGTGTCTTCTCATTCTTCATAACCGGGAATAGCAACAGCACACAGTTAAATCTACTCAGCACCCTCGCTGTCAACATCTGGTGTTGAATAAGGGACCATCAATAAATTACCGGTTGATGTTCTCAAAAAAGGCTGTTTTCCTTCAATAGCTTCCATGTCATGTAACCAATTGACCTGAAATTATTGATTTCAAATAATAATAATAAGGTTGAAGGATGAGACACACCTCTTTTTTTCCGCCCGAATTTGTCCTCCAAAAATTTGGGGGTTAAATTTAAAAGCAATTTTCATTGTGCCCCTAAAGTTCTTCGTGTGCTCCTTACTTTTTTCAACTCAGGAGCACATGTGCCCCTTGTGGAAAAAGTTAGTGTCAAGCCCTGCTTCATTATTTTGTATTTACAGACTGGAAGCAACCATATTTGGTCAAGAAGGAGGAGCTATGGCATAGGGAGGAGTTAACTGATATCATGCTGTTAATGCTGCTGCTAAAGGTCACTTTCCTGCTTCTATGCTTCACTGTAATTCTTGTCCTAGAACTCAGATTTTCTAATGAGATTTTTAAAATTCATTCTCTCTCAGTTACAAAAGACGAACTAATTTCCTGTTCTGGTGTTTTATTTCTACCGGCATTGTTATTTTAAACAGTGAAAAGGGTTCATATTTTTCCATCCTGGCAGCTTTTATTCTCTGTTGAAGTAGGTTTGTTACTGTAAAAAGCCAGCTCTCTAGAGGTCAGAGTGAATGTCATTGTAATAGCGGCTCTAATAATGTATGAATGAGAGTCATTTCATTCTGTACAGTGTCATTAATTAATGTGTGTAGCTCCGTGGGTTTGTGAATAGCTTTCTTTGTTTTAGCACTTTTCTGCCCTCTATCCCTCATCAGGGCTTTGTTCTCCACCCCCACTTCCACCTACCTGTGAAGAATGGCTTCATATGAACTACAT